AGCTTGCACAAGCGCTTGAGCTCGTCGCCATGAGACACGAGTCTCTCAGAACCTTTTTTGTCAATGACTTTGCGCAGCCTGACATGGCAGTTCAAAGCGTCTCCAATGCGAATCACGTCAAGCTAGAGCACCGAACGATCAACCACGTCGATGAAGCAGCTCAAGAATACGAGATCCATAAGAGACACGACTTCGATTTGGGTAAACCTCATCTCCTCCGCATGACCCTTCTTACGCTCAATAACACGACGCACTACCTGCTTGTCGTTTACCACCATATCATCATGGACGGTATCAGCTTGCAGGTGCTGTTGTCTGATCTGGAAAAAGCATACAATAGCACACCATTGGGTCCTCCACCTATGCAATTTCCCACCTTCTCAGTGAACCAACGCAAGGCGCTCCAAGCCGGTGAAATGGATTCTGAGCTTGACTACTGGAAGAATGTCTTTCATGACTCACCATCTGTGCTTCCACTTCTTCCAATGGCCATAAGCAGTTCGCGTGTACCCATTTCTGCTTTCAAGAGCAACGAAGTCTCGAGGCGAGTCAGCCCCTTCGTTGGGCAGAAGGTCAAGGCTGTTGCTAAAATGAGTCGTTCGACAAACTTCCACGTCTATCTCACCGTCTTCCGCATCCTCCTTGCCCGATTGGCTGGCGTTGCTGACCTCACGATCGGTATCGCTGATGCTAACAGAACTGACGACAACATCACTAGAACAATTGGTCTCTTTCTTAATCTTCTCCCTCTGCGATTTCAGCCTGACGAGGCAAAGACTTTTGCTGCTTCGGTCACAGAAACCAGGAATCAAGCATACACTGCGCTGGCCAACTCCAAGCTGCCCTTCGACATGATGCTCCAGGAGTTCCATCACGTCGAGCGTTCGTCAACTCATGCTCCGTTCTTTCAAGCTTTCTTTGATTACAAAGTTGGCGTGAAGCAGATTTCAAATTTTGGCAACTGTCAGATTAATATGCAGCATAATAACGCCGGAGAGACAAATTACGATATCAACATCACCGTCATTGAAGACGATCAAGGTCCAGGTATCATATTTGAGACACAGGCGACGATCTATGATCGCCATGCCACAACCCTGCTGCTCGAGTCGTATATCAACCTGCTGGACGCCTTCGTTCATGCACCAACCATGAGGGCAGGCGAGCCTTCGCTATACGGTCAAGCACAAATCCAGCGAGCACTCGATATGGGCAAAGGACCTGACTTGCTGTCCCAATGGCCTCCCACTCTTTCGAGTCGTGTTGAACAAGTCGCAAGACAAAACAAGGACGCAGTGGCGGTGAGAGACGGCAATGGCACTTCAATCTCCTACGGAGCACTTATGAACCGAAGCCAAGCCATTGCAGCCACCTTGCAAAAAGCCGGCGTGGATCCAGGATCCAAGGTTATCGTCTTCCAACAACCAAACGTCGATTGGATTGTCTCGCTTCTGGCTATCTGGCGAATTGGCTGCATCTATGTTCCCATGGACGTCGCGAACCCACTAACTCGCCTAGCGGCGATCATCGAAACTTGCCAGCCAAGTGTGATTTTGACAGATGCCACCACCAGCCCTAACGCAAACAGCTTGTGTGCGGGCAATGCACTTACGCTCAATGTCAGCAACGTTCCCAATTATGCATCTGCAATGGTTCCAGATTTGTCTCGGAGCGCGCAAGCCGCTGTCATCATCTACACCAGTGGTTCGACTGGAACTCCCAAAGGTATCACAGTCAAGCATGAGGGTCTACGAAACTACATTGAGGGCTCCATCAGAATTTACGGCATGGAAACCCCACAAACCACGCTGCAGCAGAGCACGCTGAGCTTTGACATTTCACTGGAGCAGATTTTCACAGGTCTTGCAACTGGCGGATCTGTCTTCATGTGCCCCCTGAACCAGAGGGGCGATCCACTAGAGATCACCAAGGTGATGCGAGATGAGCATATCACTTACTCACAAGCAACACCGTCCGAATATCTCATGTGGCTTCAGTACGGGATGAGCACACTCCGACAATGTTCCGACTGGAACTACGCAATTGCTGGTGGTGAAAGACTCACAAACACCGTCGCAAAGCAGTTTGCGGCCTTGAATTTGTCCGATGTACGTCTAATCAACAGCTATGGCCCAGCAGAAATTTCTTGTGGATCAAGCTTCCATGAGATCGACTACCGTCAAGGAGAGCAGGGTGATATTCCGATTGGCTCCCAGTACCCGAACTATTCAGCTTATGTCGTCGACGAAGATCTCAAGCCCTTGCCAATTGGCATAGCAGGTGAGATCGTTATTGGTGGAGCGGGCGTTGCTGCCGGCTATGCCAACAACGCTGCCTTGACTTCTACTCAATTCATACCCAACCCTTTCGCATCTGCGGCCTATGTGGCAAACGGATGGTCAAAAATGTACCGCACTGGTGACTACGGACATTTTCGCGAGGATGGATCACTCGTCTTCCGACACCGTATCTCCTCCGACCTTCAGGTAAAGATCCGTGGTCTCCGAATTGAGCTTGGAGACATCGAAAGCAACATCGTGCGCGCGGGCAACGGTGCCATCCTGGAAGCCATCGTCACTGTTCACGGCGAGGACTCTGACTTCTTGGTTGCCCACGTCGTCTTCGACACCAAACGCGACATTGCCGATAAGGACGCTTTACTCCAGAATGTCCTTCAGGACTTACCGGTTCCACGATATATGGTTCCCGCTATGGCTATTCCTATTGAACACTTGCCATTGAACAACCATTCCAAAGTTGACAGGAAGGCCGTCAAAGCGCTTCCACTCCCAGAACATACTGGAACTCCGACCCTCGGCGACGAACTTACCGATAGTGAGACTCGGCTATTCCTCTTGTGGCAAGATGTGCTGTCTACGCACGTAACTAACATCTCTATCACGCCTGCTACCACATTCTTCTCGGTTGGCGGTAACTCCCTCCTAATCGTCCGCCTACAAGCTCGCATCCGCGAAGAGCTCAGTGTCGTCCTGTCTGTCTTCGAGCTCATGAAGAGCAGCACCCTTGGCGAGATGGCCTGCAAGATCGAAGAGATCGTCGGTGTCGAAACCATCGATTGGGAACGCGAGACGGCTGTGCCGTTTGTGGCAATCCCAACTCCCGTTGAACCCTATACCGCACCCCGGAATCAACCCAAGGTCGTCGTGCTCACCGGTGCCACCGGGTTCCTCGGCCGTCACCTCCTTAAGCGGCTTGAAAATGACCCTAACGTCAACGAAATTCACTGTGTGGCTGTCCGTGACAAGCCCGTGGTTTCTTCGCCCAAGGTCTCAGTCCACCATGGGGATCTGTCCGACCCAATGCTGGGTCTCAGCAATCCTGAGTTTGAGGACCTCTCATTTACAGCTGATGTGATCATTCATCTCGGCGCCGTCCGCTCATTCTGGGACAATTACCACGCCCTTCGCCAGACGAACGTGCAGCCAATCAGAGAACTCGTCAAGTTGGCAGCAAGCCGCCGTGTTCCCATCCACTTCATTTCATCCTCTGGCGTCTTGCCCACGACCGCTTACGCCCCGATCGGAGCCTCGGTTGCTCAGAACCAACCCACCACTGACGGGAGCAACGGGTATGTCGCCAGCAAATGGGCGGGCGAGCGCATTCTCGAGCAGGCAAATGCCAATTTGAACATCCCCGCGTCCATCCACCGCTTCGTTGCAGGCGGCCCGAAGCCTCCACGTGATGCGGTGACGCCAGTGATGCAGTGGCTGGCTCAGCACAGTGAGATGCACAAGATTAAGCCAAACATCGCGGGCTGGAGAGGTCACATTGACTTGCTGAAGATGGATGAGGTAACTGAGGCACTCTGCGAGTCGCTTGTTGGCAACTCGCCGGGAGCGCGATTCTTACACCATGAGAGCCATGTTCGTCTGAGGGAATGCGACATGGAGGCGTTTGTTGGAGCGAGGAAGAGAAGAGCTGACTTGGAGGAGATGGAGCTCCTTGATTGGTTTGGCAGGATCAAGGACGATGGATTCGAGTACCTTTTGTCCTCCCATATGGCGAGCTACCAGGCTGGCGATCAGAACGGAGGTGATGTCTTGAGGATGAGAAGATAGATACGGCGCAGATTCGGTTCGCAGTGGGTGGGCCTTTGTTGCTGGGCATAACCCGTTGACGCTGTGAGCATATATATAAAGTGTAGCAGCCTAGCACCAAAACCACCAGGTGCTTAATAGATGCCTCTACTAAATATCTAAGTAACTATGGAGGTACCTACCTACCTAGTTAGTGATAGCTTAGTAAACATCTAATCAGATTCACTAACCTTGGCACTCACAAAGCATTCACCGATCATCACGTGATGACGCTGAGTAGCTTAGTGAGTCTGATTCCCGGACTGAAATTTAATCAGTGAGCCTGACTCTGAGCGCCCTCCTAAAAGCGGCGGCAGCTAAAATAGGAAAGCTCTACATGGCATAGGAAAAATGTTACGTATAGTGTCCTAGGTATACCTCCGGGGATGTTGATGACTCCCGAGCTCACTACCAACACCTGGACTAATGTCTTGTTCGATGCCCCGCTACGACAACATGCAATTTTTTTTAGCGCGTGTTGATGGAGAAGAGCGGACTATAAACAATGGAACACGTGCAAATGACCTATACCCAACCGAAAGGCACACTTTGATGCTTGATATCCGGTCCATTTTGCCCGAATACGAGGTTACTTCATCGGGTAAATACCCAGCAACCACTAACCTCAAAAATGCCGCATTGGCGGATATGACGGCATAATACGAGTCTCGAAGCTCGCGCCCTTTATATAGCAAGCGGAACCACACGACTCATGTCTTAACAGAAGAAAATAAAAGCATCTATTCACACACTCGACACGATCGCGAATTGAATCCTGTAAGCTATTTCTATCCTCTCGCCTACATTCCATCCGACTAACACCCGCGCAGCCTAGAAGCCAACAACCACTCACAATATACACCACATCCACCACACCTACAACCTACTCTCCCACCCTGCAAAATGTCAAACCCCTCCAAAAAAGATAACAAAGCCATCCCCTCCTGCTTCACCGACACCCACGGCGTAATAACATCAACAATGAACGACCTCCCCGGCTACAAAATCACAAAAGTCCTCGGCACAATCTACGGCATCACAGTACGAGCCCGAAACTGGGGCGCAGATATTGGCGGTGCACTGCGTACAGCAGTGGGCGGCGAGATCCGAATCTTCACAAATTTGATGTATACGTCTCGGGAGGAGGCGATGGAGCGGTTGGTTGGGGAGTGTATGAGTCGCGGGGGGAATGCGATTATTGCGCTTAGGTTTGATGTGGAGAATTTTGGGAGTTGTTCGCAGATTTGTGCGTATGGGACTGCTTGTTTTGTTGAGAAGGTTGAGGAGAAGTGAGAAGTGGATGGGAATGGTTGATGGTTGATGGTTGATGATAAGTTCAGTTGGGCATTGCAAGGAAGGGAGGTTTAATACCATAGAGCAGAGTGATTAATAGCATTCAGGAACATGTTGATAATCTTTGGGGAACTGGGAACGATGTGTGATCTTGACGGGAACCGAAGCTGTACTCTTCGCTGGATTGCAGGGTGAAAGATCCTATGTTGAGAAGAATGCAATTCATTCCATCTGACAAGGTTTTGTGGACGTATTATGTGTTTGTGCCCGAGTCAGCTTTCGTGACATTCCCTAGAGCCTTGTGGCTCTACTCAGAAGGGAGAATACCTAATTGAGGAATTCGGAATGTCAGTGATAAAGCAAAAGAGAGAGTGAAGTCAATGTGAACATGCCCGGCCTCTAGAATAGAACCAAAGTGCTTAACAGCTCCTGAACAAGCCAGGTCCCAGCCCGAGTCCACATTATGAAACAGGCATTATCATTGTGAAAGTAGCAAGAAACGTTGAGAATCGTAATTGGAGTTTGACTCTAGAGAAGTGATATTAGGTATGTTGGATTCGCAAAAGCATTGCCAGACAGAAGGGTGTCACTGTCAGATGGACTGATTCATGAGAATCAGAGATTCTTCCTTTCCACTGAGAGGAACTGTGATTTCTTCATGTCAATGAATAGGAACCATTTCCCAAGTAACCTCGATTCAGTACCTGTAGCTTCAAGGTAACCATCTCCCCTTAATGCAAAATCGGATGAAAAAACTGCACAGACCCTGCAACCGATGTATCCCAAAGTATCGAAGCTCTAAGCAAGGACAAACTTGACTCATGCCAACAAAATCTTCTAACAACAGCCATTATCGTAACCACCTCCGCGGAGTATCATCGGCTCTGCGTCCACTCTTCAACAAGACACATCAACTGAGGAGCCATAAACTCGTCATCTACACTCTAACCGACATCCTCTCCCCGAAAAATCCCGTCCCATCCTCATCCCAAACCCTTAATCCTCCGATATTCGCGTCTGAACGCTTATCCCAATCCTAACGAGGGGGTTTCAGCTACGGGCCATCCTTTCCAACAACGGAGCTATAGCTGACGAAGTGGAGAAAAACCATACACAGGAACTAACGCACATGCGGGAGGGGTGTTCTAGGCTAAATCCACGCGGCGAGATGATCCAATTGGATCAACGGCGTTTAAAGTGGTGGCTGCGGGTTGGGATTAGCTTTGATGTCAATCAGTATTGTATCTAGGATGTGATTGGTTAGGGAGAACGAGGACGAAGATGGTGCTGGATTGTGGTAGTTTCGGGGGTTGTCGTAGGTTTTTGTGTTGGGGGTTGTTGTATCAGGATAGATTCCGGGTTGAGGTGATCTGATCGATGGTGATGGTGACGACGCGGTGGTTTGGAGCCAATCCGAGGGATTGGGAATGAAGGTGTCGTGTCGTAAATGGTATGGAGTTTGGGAGTGATGGAGATACGGTAGGCAAAATTATGCATGTTGCATGGTACTGGGGCTACCCCGGTGAGCAAACTACACACTATAGGTACTAGGTACCTTGTTGCGGGGGTAGTGTATATTTTCGAAGCATATGGCACCATCCTCCCATTCGGCTATATTTCGGTATTACCCCGGATTTATTTCCACATTCTAAAACCACTCGCTAATCATCTCCGGGGAGACACCAGAGTTAAGCAGAGGCATATATGGCCAGGCAAGTTCAGGACCTACCTACCTATCAGGTTACAGGTAGTCGGCCAACTTCCGAAAGTCTATCCAATCCACCATCCCGACTCCGCATTATTAAGCACATACACATGGTGTTTGTACGATATCTGGCAAACCCTAACCTGCCAAGCTTCGCCCCCGGCCCGCCGAGTCTCGGAGTAAAAAGGTTAATCTGCTGGGGCACCAGCCTGAAAGAGCCCCAAGGCCGAGGCGGGTTTCTGGTCAGTGACCTATGGCGATACACCGGTATGTCAACGGGTGTATAACCGTGTGTCAGTCCTGCGTCTGGGTCCTTAAAATACTGTAAATCTCTGCGGTCGCGTAGTACTGTATGCTGGTGTTGTACGTGGGTGGATGGTGCTAGGCTAAATCGGCATTTTTTCAAAGGCCGTTGATTCAGGGCGGAGGTTGAACGGACCGACCATTAGCGGATTCGGTAACAGTAGCTCCTCGCGCGAAATGCCCTGCCGGCTGAAGGGAATGGGAGTCAATTTCCGTACTGTGGCTACGTTCAGTGCCTGTGTCCGTGCCGTGGTCGCCCCCGGGTATAGTGGGTCGTGGGGGCCCGAGAGAGATTTCTTGTCTCCAGGTTCCTCCGCAATCCCCGGTCTGAGCAGATCAACAGGTCAACAATCAAGGCAGTCTGGCCCGGATGAAATCGGGAGAGGAGAGGAGGTCATCACGCAGTTCACGGAGTCTGTCGGGAGAGACTTTGTGTGGCTTTTCAGGATTTTCCTCCGGATCCAGGAGGAAGCAAAAGGTGAACGGACAACCTCCGTGATAACGTGACATGGGGGGCGCGGGGGGGCGAGAGAAGCTTCTTTGCCCAGAGATGCTTAGTGCGGAGAGGCTGGGCTTGGCTGGACCTTGGCTGGTAACTTTGAGAGTAACTTTGAGGAGTAAGTTCACAAAGTTCATCACCACGCAAAGAATCCCGAGTTCTTCTCGGGATGTGAGGCGTGCATAGGGCCGGCTCTAATTCCCTTTGATCCCACCTAACCGGGCTGTTTGACATGTCCCGGCGACGAGAGCCAATCTGCACTCACTAGCCACGAGGCAAATTGACTTCTTGGTGGAGACCCTCGCACTTTAAGTACGAATCTCGGTCATGCTCCTCGGCGATGCCGGCCTTGTTATTCGTCGTGGCGGCTTGGGTCTGGTTTCCGGACTGGGTCCGGTAGCTTTGATGTAGGACCAGAAATGGGTGAAGAGTGGTTGGAGGCGTCAAAGCGAACAATATATGGAAGAATGGAGTATGAAAGTGGGAAAGTTTAGTTGATAGCATCAACTTGAATTCCATGATTCCCCGGGGGGAGACCAGCTGTGGACCACCACTTCCCCAGAAAGTGCAACGATCGGCGGTGACTGGGGGAAGAAGCAAATCATCGGGTCTTCCCCAGTTGGATGGCGGACCGTCAGCACAACGAATGAGACACTTGCAGCCCATCCCTGTTTATCGTGGAGCGGGGTTGGTGAGTTCCACTGTTGATTCAAAAAAGATCCAAGCTTGAGCCTTGAGGTAGTATTTAGAGTCGCATCCCATCCTCTTCTCACCTCCTCCTCACTTCCCCAGCCTTCTTTGCTCATCCCTCTCTTCATCTCCTTTTCACCACGTCCAGACCCTGAGCAGGAGTCTTTTCTGTGTATCAGCCTTGACCATCCCACGGCGATTTTTCCAAGTCTCTTTTTTTCGGCTCCCAAATCTACTCGCCGAGTAGCCCCCGGTCACCGGTGCAGTCATGGCTGACACTTACGACCAATCTGCGCACGCGCAGAACTCACCCGATGTCGAGGAACATATGAGTGTCGGGCGATACATCGCTACGCGTATTCCCTCGCTGGTGCCGCCCATGAACCCGGCCCCGAATCCGTTCAAGGCCCTGACTCTGTTGAACCGACAACAATGGATGTTCTTCGCGGTACGTACCCTATTCTTGCTTCGCATAGAATCAATATACTGACCACCTTCATGCAGGTCGCCTTCTGCGGCTGGACCTGGGATGCATTCGATTTCTTCACCGTCTCCCTGACCACCTCCCAGCTGGCCAAGACCTTTGACAAATCCATTACCGACATCACCTGGGGTATCACCCTCGTGCTGATGCTGCGATCCATCGGCGCCATCATCTTCGGTATTGCCTCTGATCGTTACGGTCGTAAATGGCCCTTTGTCGTTAACCAGCTGCTCTTCGTCGTCATCGAGCTCGGTGGTGGTTTCTGTCAGACCTACAAGCAGTTCCTGGCCTGCCGTGCCATCTTTGGTATCGCCATGGGCGGTCTGTACGGCAACGCTGCGGCTACTGCGCTCGAGGATTGCCCGCCCGAGGCTCGTGGTATTATCTCTGGTTTGCTGCAGCAGGGTTATGCTTTTGGATATCTCCTGGCGACGGCCTTTGCGCGCGGTCTCGTCGATACTACCTCCCACGGCTGGCGTCCGCTGTACTGGTTCGCTGCCTGCCCTCCTCTGTTGATCATCGCGTTCCGTCTGTGTCTGCCCGAGACGGAGACCTTCCGTCGTCGTCAGGAGGCGCGTGCCGAGATGCGTGGTGGTGTTGCTGCTTCCTTTATGTCTGAGGGTAAGGTCGCCCTCAAGCGCCACTGGCTGCTGCTGATCTACCTTGTCCTGCTCATGGCCGGTTTCAACTTCATGGTACGTACATACACCTCAACTACCAATTTCACCCTTCTGCTGCAAATCAATCTAACATTCTCTCTTCCTCCCTTCCAGTCCCACGGCTCCCAAGACCTCTACCCCACCATGCTCAGCAACCAATTCAACCTCTCCAAAAACGGCGTCACAATCACCCAAGTCGTCGCCAACCTCGGCGCCCTCTCCGGCGGCACCCTCTGTGGCTGGGCCTCTCAAATCTTCGGCCGCCGCTTCTCCATAATAATCATCTGCATCGTCGGCGGCGCCCTCCTCTACCCATACACCTTCATCAAAAACGAAAGCGTTATGGCCGCCGCCTTCTTCGAGCAATTCATGGTCCAAGGAGCCTGGGGCGTCATCCCCATTCACCTGATGGAACTGTCCCCAGGTTCCATCCGTACCTTTGTGGTTGGTACCTCGTACCAGTTGGGTAACTTGGTGTCGTCGGCTAGTTCCACCATCGAGTCTACTATTGGCGAGCAGTTCCCGTTGCCGCCTACTAAGGCTGCGCCGCATCGGTATGAGTATGGCAAAGTTATTTGTATCTTTATGGGCTGTGTGTTTGCTTATGTTATTTTGTTGACGATTGCGGGTCCGGAACGCCTGGGCAGGAACTTTGATGCGGATCATGATGCTGATTTGGCCGTTGTTGCGGCGCAGCGCGGTATGAATCGCGATGGGTATGAGAGTGATCCTGAGAAGGCCACTGCTACGCAGAGGGAGTAAGCCACACACAGAGAGTGAGAGTGAGAGTGACCTTGAGATCTCTATGGACGTGGACCCAGGGCTTACTTACAACACCCTGCCGCCTTTGCCATAGGGTTTTGGACGCACGTTTTGCTCCGCGCTGGCTCTTTTCTTTGCCCTTTCATCTTTTTTTGAACTGGATTCAATACGAACGTGAAACTGATATGATGCATGTATACCCGCCCATTAAGAAGGATATAGGACTTTTTGTATGAGATGAGATGTGATGAGCTTATCACAGTGATTTGATGAAATGTATCGCTACTTTAATTCAATAACGACCTACCTTCTTTGCTTCACTCATACCCTTCCCTGTCGTCGTAATATCAACCTTCTAACTCTCCTCTCCGCTCGCCCGACTTTCAATTATGTGCACCTCGACCTAACATCAGCGCATAAGGTACCGCTGCTGTGCCATCCATTAAGCGCAAGGCTAAGGTAAAGTGATACACGAGGAAAATTCGCAATTCGCAGTTCCCAGTCTGTTATGAGTGTTAGGTAGTTGACATTATGCGATGGATAGAATGAAGGTATAACGATTAGGTCGCGGGGTGAGCTTTGATGATTTCGATTGCTTTGCTGTATGGATTTAGTTCGATGGTTTCAAACGCTCGATGGTTTTAGCATTTATCTCGGCCCTGGGATTCGGGTCGGATCTGATAATGCAAAAATAGAATCGGAATAGACGAAAAGATCGGATTGAACCCAAGAAATCAGGATTGAAAGAAGGCAAAAAAAATTGAGACATTGTATGTTAAGAACATCTACTAACTACAACTTGCTTGTCTTACGCGATAGGAGGATAGACAGGTAGTGGCTGGTAGAGGATCTAATAATACAAAGATTTAATAATGCAAGAATTAGATCGAACGAAAAACTAGATTTAACGAAAAAAGAATTAGGATTCAACGGAAAAAGATAGGGATACAACGAAAAACCTGGAGGGATCGTATGTTGAGAACCTCTGTTGACCACTACTGCTTGTCTTGTGCGATAGTAGGATGGCAGTAGTTGATAGAGGATCTGATCGAGGATCTGATCGAAGATGTAATAATGCAAATATCGTGATCGAACGGAGAAATCGGATTAGACGAACAAAATCAACGAAAAACAGAGGCATCGTATGTTAAGAACCTATGTTAACCACTGCTTGTCCTGCGCGACAGCAGGATGGCAGTGGTTGGTAGACCATCTAATAATCTGATAGCCAAATCATCAGCTACCTAATGCGCTACAATAACCAAGGCACTCCGCCACAGAACCTTCCAAGTGCTGGAGTTGCCAGAACACTTTCCCACCTTTCCCACCTCAGCCCCATCACATTCCCCACCGACCCAAGACCTAGACCGTCCCCACAGCTTATAGGAAGGACTGTATATTTAAGGATTGTCCGCATGTATAGTACCTCTTATATACAATCTATCAATTCCTTTACAAAATACCAAATCCCAATCACACCTGGAACCTACACAATGAACTCACCAACCCCCCTCCCCAATGGCCTCCCCCTCACCGACGCCAAACACCTCATTTCGAACCCTTACCTCCCCCTCGAGGCCGGAATCTCCATCACCCCCGACGGCATGCACCACATCGCCGCCTCAACCTACATGCCAGGCTCAACCGGCTCCATGATAGACTGGTGGTTCGGCTGGATCCACAAAACACCCCAATACAAACTCTGGCACCCCCGCGACCACGTCTTCTCCGACTGGGAAGGGCCCCGCGATAATAACAGTACTTATATCGGCGGGCACCACCTCGTGCACGAATATATTGGTGGAAAACTTGCTAAGCTTAAGATTTCTTTTGTTGATCCGGGTGTTTATTTCGGGGACACTTGGAAGGAGGATTTTAAGCGGGCGGGGTATTCAACTGCTGTTTGTGGACGGGTGGGGAATTGGGATGATGAAAGTGGGGAGGTTGTGTATGGGGGGCATCTTGTGCATTTGATTAAGGATGAGCCCGATGGTGTGAGGATGAGGTCGAGGTTTTGGTTAGGGGATATCCCCGGGCTTGATGCTGAGCAGAGACGCGGGGCGGTGGATGAGGGGTTTGCCCTGGGTTTGTTGAGGCATGCGACGGAGGAAATGGCGATATTGGCTTCGATTTTGCCGGGGATGTATGAGAAGTTTGCTGTGAAGGAATGAATATTGTGATATACTTTTTATGTACTTGCCCTCCGACTCGAGGCCCTGATTCTCGGGATGTGACTAGTGAATTGATAACGTATATTTTAGTAATTGGTTAACACCAGGTTGAAGTGTTTCCTCGTTCTTCTCCTTGTTGTCCGACAACTAGAATTGTAGATTTCAAGATTCTTCATAGTCACGGTTGTGTAAGAAGCTTAAGTGAATGACAGACAGCGGGTCCGTCTCGCTACTGAGTGTGAAATACGAACTCGGTCTAGTTGAAAGTAGTTCTAGTGTACAGTATTAGTCCGCAGAATGACCAGCAAGCTAAGATCATGTAAAATGGATAGACGCCTTGGCTATGAAGCATAAATCTCATCAAGAATCCAGGTTCACTAGGGCTGTTGCTGATTAAGTAGATTTTTCCGATCCAGTGGCCCAGGATTTGCGGGGTAGCCGCGGTAGCCGGATCATCCCCAGACCGTTTGTCTTTCCCACTTCCCCATCCGCCTTTCCCACTTCCTGTCCTCTCCTCTACAACTCGTTTATGCAGAGTGCTCATAATAATGTCACTCCCCCTAGTCACAAGCGGAGCCACCCCGACCAATACCCTCAAGAAGTATGACTGTCGGGTTTGTGCTAAGGCCTACACAAAATTAGAACATCTCACAGTACGTGATCATCTTTCCTTGTGACAATATACCATGACGCTGAATGAAGCATAGAGACATGAGAGAACACGTGAGTGATCACTTTATACTCAGTACCATGGCACTTTAATCCGCCCCTTGAAGAAGAAAATAGCTAAAATAGAGTTGAACTAGACATCAATCTGAAACCATTTCATTGCACAGAATGCAATAAAGCATTTGGCAGACAGGATGTGCTGAATCGGCACATGAAGCTACATGCAAAAAGACCACCGCGAATTTCCACTATCAGTACTCCTGTCAGTACACCACGGCAGGAGGACCACACTACGACCGGTGGATTAGTCCTTCCCAGAACACCAGCACCATCATTCCCCTCAATTTCTCTGGAACCGGCTGATTACTCGAATGAGCAATCCAGGTTCTTTGGCCAATCTCTCCTCGCAAATCACTCTACGCATGAATCTGAAGATCTGCTCGAGTGGCTGATGCCGGATTTTCAAAACAGTTCATCGCTGCTATTGCCTATCGTCTCAGATAACTCCTATCCGTTAATCTCGGCATTGACTTGTTTACGGTCCGTACCCCCCGTGGAGGACGGCCAGGAGAACTCAGGCCAGCATGCAGTGCATGAACTTCACAAGCTCATTGATGACCTATCGAAGAGACTTACCAATGATCTGCACAACACGGGAGTTACCCCGTCTTTCGTGGACACATGTCTGAGAGAATACTTCAGCCGAGTATCGCCGTCTTTTCCAATACTTCACGAGCCTACGTTCTCCGTGCGGGAGTGTATCTCCCCTCTCTTGTTGAATATGGTTGCTCTGGGTTCCCTCTTTGCATGTCTCCCTGACGCCTCGCAGCAAGGAGAAATGCTGTGGAAATTAGGGCATACCGCCGTTGCAACCTCGTGGCAGAGTCTGATCAAACTACGAGGGCCGCGGGACCAGTGTGATGGCATTCAGTTGGTTCTCACGGCTCTTCTGGGGCAGACATATGCATTGCTTTCCAGTAATACTAGTATCAGGACAACTGCGTTTGTTTTTCATGGATTGGGTTTCTATTGGGCCAGGACATCAGGCATGTACACAGTGGACGAGCTTCAACTAGGAGATATACCTAGCTTGGAAGCAGAGCCGGCGGTTAAAGAAGCCGCCTGGCGTACCTGGGTGGCTGCAGAAATTCAACGGCGAGCAACACTCGGGCATTATGTTCTGGACGGGCTCATCTCGCACGCATCAGGCTCTGCGGCCAGCGCTCGTCATCCCACCAACAAAATCGCGGCCGCCTGTTCGGACGCTGCATTTGCCGCCGAGACAGCCGATGAATGGATCATTCAAATGGCGGCATTGGACCATGCGCAGATTTCATTCTCAGATTTATTCATCGAATTCTGCGCGAAGGATTACACCAAGGCACCACCACTACAACTCTCCCGACTATCGATCATGGTCCTACTCGAAGGCTTACAATCATTAATCGCGGAGTTACACGACATTAACAGTCCCGCACTGGGAACAATCCCAGCCTCCCAGCTCATCCAAGGTCTCATGAACATACATGAAGGCCATCTCAGCACATCCCGGAGCGTCGAATCCCTCCAGACTCTGATCCGCTGGCACGCAGTGTGCATCGAGCTTTCCACCCCAACCATATCCCTCTACCGTCGTATCTGCGACGCATATGACGTACCGCAAGTCCTGAGTGGTATCCCCGTTCGAGGATGGGCACGACCCTTCGACCTAGCCGTCTGGGCCCAAAGTATCGACGCTTTCCGCGCTGTTCTTCACTCCGTCTCCATAATCCGTCTTGTTAACGAGATTCCCGGCGGTCATGCCCATGCAATTCATATTCCTGGCTGCCTCTTCTCATCGGCTATGATTCTTATAGCGGTTCACCTATGGAATAAGGAGAAAGTTAAGATTCCTAAGGAATGGCGATGGCAGGATGTGTGGGTTGGTGTCTTGGTGGGAAACAATACCGCCGGCGAAGCCCAATCAAGGGAGAGCATGTCTGTTCCAGCTTCTGCACAGACACGAGTATATGCATCTCCCGATCTGATTGATTTCACCGGTGCCAGGGAATTACTTAGCGTGTTGAATCCGACTGGCACGAGCGAGGTAATGACCGAGGTGAACTTGATGCAAGAAGTGAATTCGGTGCAGATCAGTTTGAAGACTGTTGCTTCGCGATGGGGGATTTCGGCACAGATGGAAGAGATAATTGGTCGCTTGTCGATGCTACCTAGGCAGTAGGTAGTTGGCAATGTGGATGGCTGGTTGATGTGATGTGGAGTGCGTCGGGTATCATAGATATTGAGCACGTCACTCGCGGGGCGGTCTTACCTTGTAGCGATTTATTCGTTCCTCTTTCTCAACTCCTCTATTTGTCTTAGATCTGCACTCATTCAAGAGATTACACGCAATTATCCAAGCCATACATTACTGAGTAGAAGCTGAAAGGGTGGCTAAATTTCTGGATTACCGTTTTCAATTCGCATATCGAGACAAACTTACTAAATAAAAATGCAAGACGTTTTTGAACTATATCTCTATCGAACAAGAAATCCATCGCATTCAATAATCATAGGGCAGCCACTCTATTGCTCGTTGACCATGCCAAGTGGCTCTTCAAAGCCTCCACAATAAACGCTGCGCTATCTTTCCGATCCAAGACAGCGAGAATGTGTTGGTCTGGACGTACTAGCACGGCCTTGCCCTGCTTCACAGGGACCACATCATCCCATTTTTCCTGACCATGCTGTAGCACGAAATCCAAACCCATGACAACCACTTGCAGTGATAAGCTCGAAGCCGTGATGTCAGCCACTTGCTGCAACGCCTTTTGAATAGCGGGCTTGAACTCCGAGAAGAAGCTCTCGTCGACCAGGATAGTGAAGCTGTCAAACCGACACAGGTCCAGCGTAGAGTAGGTCATTTCCGCCACTTTCTGTGGGCTAGCACCAAAATACGATGAGTCAATTGCGGGAAGCTGCAACTTCTCCGGATCAGAGAGTTTAATCCAAGCATGGGGCAACCGAGCTCCAGGCACGCAGACGGGCTCATATACGGATGCGTTCTCAGGGATCCGATTATCACCATACACGTAGCCGATGTGCAGGCCGAGATTATCGAAATGCTCACGCTGGTCCTCAATTCCTTTGTTGATATTGACTATAGCCTTTTCATCGTGAATCTTCTGATATAAATTCTGACGAGCAATGTCGACATCGGGATCGGTAGTACCGAGTGTCTTGAGCAAACGGAAAATTTTCTTTCCGTTTTTCACGCTTTGTTGCGAATTTACCAAGGCAACCTGACGACGCTCGGCTTCGTATGTATCCAGAAGTGCCTCGGTGGCGGAGCCACGATGTACGGCTGCCAGCTTGTAAGCTAGGTTGTGGACGTCGCCGAGGCCGGAGTTTAGACCTAGGCCGCCTGTGGGAGGGAAGGAGTGAGCGGCATCACCAGCACTGGGACATAAGTTAGCTTTTTTCATGATATGTAATTTAGAACGAAAAGCTAGAGATATACTGACAGGAAGACCCGTCCATCACGGTAAGACTTGGCAACCTTTCGGCTCAGTATCCATGGACGGAAACTGAGAACGTCATACTTGGTTTTCGCACCGATGGCAGCGTCGACGACCTTGCGGCAGTGCTCTTCATTCCAAGAATCGACGGGGTATTTCTTGGACTGGATTGAATAAGTCAGTATCGATTATGACAAAGCGGGACAAACAGTGAACATACGTCGAAATTGCAAATCAGAACTTGGTTTCCGGATAGATCATAGGCAATGATAAATCCAGATACCAAGGGATCCATAGCCCAGTGAAGCATACCGACCTGCTCCTTTACAATGGGACGAAGATCCGCGTTGAAATGGATAGTCATCATCGTTTCATCTAGATAGGTCGTTAATTGTTGGCTATTGGAATCAGAAAAACAATTTATACTCACAAGAATCCTCGCCCTCGCTTTCAATGCCCAGAAAGTTGCGCACAGCACTCTTTGCGCCGTCACAAGCAACTACATGCTTCGAGCGGACCCTGTATGTTTCGTTCGAATCACGGTCCTTGATTGTTGTGATAACATAGCCATCAAACTAGGTGATTCAGTGAATAGATATTACAGGACCAGAATAAGAAAATTTCTTACCTGCTCTAAGCTGATAAAAGTGTGGTTCTTGCGGATCTCGACCAGGTTACTCTGCGATAGCCTACTGGCAATCATCTCTTCAAAAGCAGGCTGTGGGATATTGTGAATCATCTGTGTGCCAATTTAGTATTGCAAAGTCTCCGTTTGGGGTACATCGGGAACCAACAGTAGGAGTGCTGTTAAGCACTTCAGCGTCCATGCGCTCATAGGGCAATTTGCCAACCGACTCGCCAGCTAAGCTTGTGATGAAGTTGACCCAATAGGCGTCTTTGCGAGAGGTACCGGTCATGCGAATCTCGTTCACGTCCAGCCCGAATTGGCGACACATCTCGAGTGATCGAGGGCTCAAGGCGTGTGCCTTGGGAGCAGCTAACCTGGTGGCATATCTTTCGGCAATTAATGATCGGACTGAAGTTTAAAACTCCGTCAGTATCCATCTTTGAAGTATGGTGCTTTCTCCTAAATCGGAGGAGGTAAACGGACTGCCAAATTTCTCAAGCATGAATGCTAATAGTAAACCCGATGGGCCACCGCCAATAATGAGGATTGGAACATCCTCGTCGAAGGTATCGTTGTAAAGCAGCGAAGGTGACATTATGTGGTTTGGTGCGAATGTTGTTTTTGTGGAAAATTCGCCCTTGTCAAGTTCGTCTTAATATCTCGGTGAATTTGAATACCACCTGATCTCGACCCAGGTAGACTAAAGTAAACTCACCAACAGAGAAGACATCAATCAGTTTAAATCGGAGATGTAAACGTCACGTGTCTCTTCCCCACCCTTGAGAACTGGAGTGGGTGGAGAAGGAAGTGGGGAAGGGAAGTAAGTGGGAATCGTGTCACCCATAGGTATCGTGGGGAAGAAGAGTAGGTGGGATTCATATTGCACTAATGGCAGAAAAGGCCAATGGAGGTTGTGGCATCTTACCGTGGGGAGAGCAACGATTTGCGTCCTTGGAATTTGATTTCGGGTATGGCAACAGCAACGAACTTTCAAAATTTTACATTGCTTGTGGTTGGACCAAAGCCCAGTACTCCTAGCAGTGAAGCCAACCTATACTTTTTTAATCCGAAGGCATAAAATCAACCTCTACTCAATTCTAGAAAAGAAATAATTAACGCATTCCAATTCACTAAATATTTCAAAGAATCTGACTATAGGCTCCTTGAACTTTCGTAAAGGAAAATGGCGTTTATTATAGAGAAGGTGAAGTAAGAATAGACGTCTACCAATATGGTACATTTGGTTCAATTCAATATGATCGGATTCAAATGGATCAACCTAAGGAAATGACAAGTGGTTACTCCCGTTCTGACTCCTCGCCCATGAAGTTTTTCTTGTGCAGCCAGATCCGGATCTTTTTCCCATACAAATGGAAAATAAACGTCGTCATGTAAACAGCCACATTAATAGCCGCCACGGACATAAGCACAGTCAAGAGGCCGCTTGAACTAACCCAGTCGTTGATACACCAGGTCCAGATCCAAGCTACGCCAGATTTGAGGCAGGAGATGGTCACCATAATTTCCGCCGACAGCTCCTTGTGACAATCCAAACTGTACGAGATGGCAAGTGTCGCTCCCATCTGCGCGCCAGCGGATAAAACCCCGAACCCGACAATAGGACCAACCCAGTGCGTCTGATAGTGGTAGGTGAGGCCGGATATCAGGGCGCCAACGAAAGTGAGGAAGGCGGCGACGATACAGGTGGGGAGACGCATTTCGGGCTCGCGAAAACCTAAGTTACGGGCTGTGAACCAGGTAGCGATTTGATCGGCGAGAGGACCGGCGAGATATGTGCCGACGAGAGAGCCGAGGAGAGGGGATATAAAGACGAGACCTTGGGCACCGGAAGCGAAAAAGTATGGCCTGTGGAGAGCAATCATTCTGGTTAACCTTGTTCTCATGAGTTTATAAGTGGAGGAAGTATTGCTTACGGTGGTGCAAATAGTTGAGCGACAAGAGATCCCAGAATAACGTTCCAGCTCAGACTCATTCCATAGACGATACTTGACCAGACCACAGTCGGATAAGCCATCAAAATAAAAGGTCGTTTAAATATCTGCCAGAAACTGATATCATGGTTGATACCGACCTGGAAGAGCTCATTCCTGTAAGATCGTTTCTTCGTGGTCAACGACTCCAGCTCCCTTGGCACAGTATTCATAGAGGTATCACCGTCGACGTGCTCGCAGGATGGCTTGCCTTCTGACTCGTTGATCTTATTTGTTTCTTCTGCAATGACGGACACAATCTTCGGGCGAGGGCCAGTGAACATAGTTTCCGGCATGAAGAAAAACATCATGATCAAGCTGACACCAATAGACATGGCAGTGATAAAGAATGCCCACCGCATACTCAGCGACTGAATAATGTATGCGGAAGCCAGAGGACCGAGTTCGTTACCACCGAGCACAGACAGTCCGTATAGGGCAATCTTCTCTCCTCGTTCGTGCAGATAGAAGATGTCGGTAACGGTACTGGGAACTATGGCTTCAATAGGGGCCTCAAAGAGGCCGAGGAAAGCACGGGCTACCACGAATTGGGGATAGGTCTTTTCGGCGGCAATAGCTAGCCAGACGCAGGCGATACCCATGAGGGCATTAGATGCGAGATAGACGGGACGGCGACCAAATTTAACCGCCAATGGCCTATCATATGAAACGAAAGTTAGTGGTTTTGTTTATGACGGGGTTTTTAGGCGCACGATATACATCCAAAGAAGAGTACCAAATCCTTGACAGATCAAGGTCGCTCCATTGCTGTATGTAATATCGGAGAGGGGACGTCTGAAGAAGGTGGCGAGCTGGACCATTCCTATATTTTGAAAAAGGCCAAGTTAAACCTTGGTTTAACAACACAACGAGGAAAGGAACTGGTACAATGACATACCTCCAGCCATCATAGGTCCAGTGACTGCTCCGTTAAAGGCATAGAAGAGACCATTGCCAAAAGTAAGCCACTTCTTCAGACAACTCCATAACAATGGGTCGTTGGGGTCTTTCAGCGATGGTTGTGGGACAAGAATAATTCGCCCGTCACCATGAGCGACATGCTGGTAGTCATGGACAGAACTGAAGTGCTCTTGATCAATCAAAAGCTCAGTGCCTGGCGCCGCTGTATACTGCGTCGGCTGGTGCTTGATTTCGTCGGACATATTGTATTGACAATGTATGTACAAGGTTGAAGAAAAGCAGCCAACAAAAGTCTTTGATGTCAGGTTAGGGGTTTATCACGATGTTTTGAACTTTCGGGGCAACGTCAATCGATATCAATGATGTGCAAGGTTTTGAATCCCCACCACCTCTCCGCATTTATCCCCACACAATGCTCCTGGGTGTAACCTGGGGGAGGTGGGATAAGGTTACTGGGGTAAGTGGGGATTATTTACCCACGAAACCCGTGGAATGTCTATTAACCTAAGCTGTCAGCATGCGCCAATCCGATCCCATGATAGAATCCCCACAGAATTCTCCATAATCATCTCAAATCACACAGCCCGTATTATGTCTCTACCTACAGTACCTCCATTCCTCCGGAACTCCTCGCAGATGCCAGACTTCTCCTTGGCAGTCCTTACCTCTCGGTGGAACCAAAAAACAGTACCTATACCGGTGGCTACCGCTTTTTTCAGGATTACATAATGGTAATATTGTCAAGCTTAGATATCATTCTGTAACCCCTGTGCCTATTTTGGGGTTAAAAGGGGATAATTTCATCACATCGCCAAACATTCTCAAATGGCCCCGGATGAAGCTATGTGGGACTTTCGACATGAGGTTATTCAGAGATTGTGGCTTTGATCCATTGTTTTATATCGGCTTGCCGGGAAGACCGGGTTTCGGCGGCGATCGACAAAATCGAATCTAGCCATGAGGTCGTTGATGCGCCAAGCGCTGACGCTACCGGTTACTGTGCGTCGTGGCTAATCCGCTTTTAGGCAGGCATGCGGCTGGACGTGCTTACATGGGTTGCAAAAAAATCTCCACCTTCCAAAACCGGAATATGAATGGAGGAAGCTATGTGAATAACCCACGCTACTAAACCCTTACCTATTGTACTGTAATTAGTATGTGGCAATGTCTGCAATAGTCTGGTTTTTAACAGGGCTAGTTTTCGTAGCTGAAATTACCTATATATAGCGTGATGAGTTCTTCTTCTTTTCTCCTTACTTTTGGCTCGCTAGCACCTATTGAGCAGTATCTATTCTTTCATATATGAATAGATTTGGCATTCTTCCACGATTCATACCTCTTAAGCCGTTGGCTACACGCTTTCAACTCAACAATCGGTACTCTTTTTCCACTTGCAAAATGATCTCACCAGACTTGAAACTTGGATCACACCAGTTCACTGCTCCTAATGGAATTACCTTCAACTACCTAATCCGTGGTCAGGGTCCTTTGGTTATTTTCCAGAGTGTCGGATGGGGACCTTCAATGCATCTATACTCGAACACCATGAGGGAATTAGAAGAGGATTTCACGGTGCTATACTTTGAGGCGCGTGGAAGTGGAGGCACCTCTCGCCCATCAGCCGATGAGATGAGCTCAAGGGCCATGGGTTCAGACTTGGATTCGCTACGCATTCACCTACGACAGGAGAAACTGCGACTGCTCGGCCACTCGAACGGTGGTGCCATCGTCCTAGCATACGCCGAGGACTTTCCGGATAAAGTTGAGAAGCTCGTGTTGATCAATTCCGAGCTGCAAGGTTTCAGCTCTGATAACTCTGCAACCTATGCCGCTGCTCGTCAGGATCATCCTGTGTACGGACCAGCATTGAAGAATATGTTCAAGTTGATACAGCAGCCTCCTTCGACCGATGATGAGTTTGCCGAGGCATTGCACTCGGTGCTTCCTTACTATATGCACGACACAAACAAGACTTCTTTGCTCGCTGATGCGTTAGAAGGCGGATCTCTCTCCGTATGGAATTTTTTGAACCAGAGGAGGTGCGACAACGAACTGAAATTCTCCGCCGTTGAAGGGTTGTCGAAGGTCCAGGCCCAGACACTTGTCATAAATGGAAGGGTCGATGGAGTATGTTCAGAAGCTGCCGCTCGGGAAGTAGCCTCTGGACTTGGCAGCAAGGCAGAATTGGTACTGATCGAGGAGGCTGGACATGTACCTTGGCTGGAAAAGCCGGTTGAATTCTTTTCTGCTGTCAGAAAGTTTCTGTGTTCCTAAAAGACACACCCACCTTATCTGGCAGCCGCGACGGAGCCCAATCTGAATAGCACAGTGGTGATCTAAACTCTCTGCTACGTCTGGAATTTGTATGAGCTTTTGCTCTGTGCTGGTTTCCATGTTCACGGGATCTCGATTTGAAATATCAGATGGCAATCAGATAATCTTAGCAATGTTATGAATACATTCGGTACGTCGATCCAAGAAAGACGTTCCTCGGTACCTCGCATACAATATCTATTTCTAATTCCGTAACATCAGTTCCATTGGTTCTCCAGGGTTGATCACACTAAAGAGTTAATACAATGTCCAAAATCACCTCAGTTTCTTCCCCAGACCGAAAACTATCCATTTTGGTGACCCCACGCAAAATAATAGCAATTCACATTTATAAGTTCTCAACATGGAGGAATTCTCAATAAACGTCACGGTGATTACAAACGAGCACTATCCTTCATGTAACACCCATCCTGCATATTCCGCCATATATCCCAAAGCCCGGGCAGAGAACACTTCATCCAGCCCATAAACGGCGGTGGATATATCTCTTGCCACGCCTCAACAAGCTTCGCATAATGACCAATCCTGTACTGCATCCCTACCTGACGTTCCTCGGGGACAGGACCGCTCAGTAAAGACTGCAGACTTTCCTCGTCGATAACGGTAAACATCCGATAATCCGGAAACCTATCGGCCATATCCCGCTCCTCCACCCAGCCTTCAAAGTGACACCGGGTATGATCATCTATCGATGCCCCGCCGAACTGCTTCGCATCTTGAATAACACGTGGCTCGCATTTAGCCCACATTTCATCAAAGACGGCTATATCATCTTCGGTTACTGTGCGACCTCGCCCTAGGCGACTTTTTCCGAGCAGATACTCGTGTTCTTTGTAGAATTTATCCTTGAGGTATGCTGCTGTAATAAGCTCGACTATCGCGGGGAAAGAGGCTCCGGATTTCGGGGTGTAGGTTATGCGGTAGGTTGTGAGATTCCAGGTTGGTTCTGTGAATTTAAGCCAGTCGTAGTGGGTGGCTAGATGATCTGGAAGCCAAATATATTGGTATAAGGATTGAAGTTGTGACATGACGGAGACAGTCAGATGGTTGAAGGTGAGCGGGAGGCAGAGTATGAGCAAAACGACTTGGAACTTGGTATTAGTGTGTACTTAATATTAGGAACAGGGCTAAGGTATTGGCTGCACCAGGCATAGTCTTGGCATTAATCAGGCTTAGCATTTTGTCCGAGGTGATCTTTCTGTGCACTATGCGAATAACGAAACCCAAAAGAAACCCCGTTAACTCGACCTTAGGCTTGACCTCAACGCGATAGATGTATACCTGCAACCAAATTATCAGCAAATGCGCCACAACAACCAAGGCTCTCCGCCACAGAACCTTCCAAGCGCCAAGAAATTGAGTTCATGGAGTGCAGTATGGACCCGATCCGAATCTGCTTAATTTGTTTTTATGCTCATACCAGGTGTACCGGTTGGAGGGTTGAAGGTGTTTTCCCCTCCTATAGGTCTCCAATTTCCTTTGATGTGAGAGGAAGATAAGGGAAGAAAGGGGATGCGGGGATTGAGGTGAGACATGGGGTACAGGGAGGTGGACACTTACATAGGTGGTGGTAGATAGGGAGTTGATGGTTAGATGGATGGTGAGATGAGATGAGATAAGAGCAGCGGAGATGAGAGGGAGGATAAGGATGGGGGGTACTCATTTATATGGCAGGAAGCTCGAGGGGTCAAGGTCAAAGTGCGGGGGTTGTTGTTTGATTACCTCGTTGTTACCCTGACTTATGCATAGTGGAAGCTTCCAGGGTACAAGGGTTAGGGTGACAGACTAACAGTATGTAAAGTAGTAGGCGTTCCTACAGTATACCAGGATGTCAACGGGCCACCCTATCTAGCCTTGTTGAGTAGTCATAGGCGCCGTTGCCTAGATTATTCTTGTACATAGTACATAGTCATATGAGTACTACTAAAATAGGCCTATTAGTCCTAGGTCAAAGCTTTATCAACTAGAGACCAAGAAACTCAGCTACACTGTTGAATCAAGCTTGATAAACAGGCTAAACGCCGAGCTTGATTTCTTGGCTGAGACGGAGTACGCGTCCCGCAGGATTGTGACCTCGGGATATGGTTGCCTGCAGTGGCAGCTATAGTGGTGGAAAGCGCTTGGCTGTCATTATTGACGCCCATCAGCGAAGCTAGAGACGCCCATATCTTATATAGATTAGATAGCTCAGTATAGATAGCGACTACATAGTCAATTTGGTGTAAAATATGGTGGAAGTACTGGGTTAGCGCTCTCTTGTACCGATGAATGTCTCAGATACTCGGTACTTGGCTATATAGTACTTGCAAATTTGATACATAGTGTTGAACAAGTAAATATCTCATGCTATTTGATTGATATACTACTTTCTACCTCCCAGAATGTACTAGATAGTGTATCCCGGCTCAGATAATCCCATGCCAAGCCTTCGAATTCCAATTCCGTCCAAATGTTCTGGGAGAGTTGAGTAGTGGTCATCGACCTTACCTGCTACTATCTCTCCTTCTCGATCATAGTCAATTTTCCAACAATACAGAGATTCAGTTACTTCCATAATCTCTACCAGGTACTTCCCTGATTTTAAACCACCATTATACTCATCCAGTCCACTTTGTGGAGCAGGGCCCAGGCACGCCAGGGACTCTTTTTTTTCTTCTCCTTGGCCAACCAACCAGCGAGCGGATAAACCCACTCCACGCCCGTTCCGCCCAAACCTCCTGGCACTTCTCTTGCTTTATCCTGTTCCTGCTCGGCTCCAGCTTTGCTCTGCTCTGCTCCAGCTCCGGTCCTCCTCGCATTCCAATCCTCCTCCGACACCCCCCTTTCCTCTCTTCTCTCCCTCATCCCTTCCTCCCTTTCATCTACGATTGGGTCCTGCGAGGCCGACAAGCGACCGAGAGACCCTCCCCCCGTGCCAAGATCCACCCCCATCCAACCCCCCCAATTCCATCCCTCGTCTTGTCCTGCTGTCTCGCCGGTGCTGGATGAGTCTCGACTCCGCCCTCCTCCAATGCACAGACGCTCGTCTGGCTCCCCGGTCGCGGACGACTCTGACGATTCTCCGGTGCGCTCCTCAGACGATCATGGGAATGGTCACGGCCCCGGAAATGCTATCGACAATTCCAACGATAAATCGCGGTCGCAGATAGCCCGCCACGGCACCAGTTTCGACCTTCGCCGGGATAACGGCCGCTCGACGCCGCGCTCGCGGAATTCCAGTCTCTGGCGCACTCCGTCTGCTCAACCGTCGAACGATACTAAAACCATGCCATTGGGCTCGCCAAGGTTACCCATGGAGGCGCCCTCCCCAGATGGCCGCCGCGCGCGTCAGTCTAGCCTGCGCAGTCCGTGGTCCTGCTCTATTTTGACGGCTTTGACAACCTTCTTCGCCGTCGCGTTTTTGATCTCCACTGTGCGGTCGTTTGCGAGTCGTCAAATCGGTGGGAATGGATGTGGTGTGCCTATGATGAGCCCGACGTTCATTCGGATGCTGGAGTTTGATACCGAGCATACGCGGTTCGCGAGCAAATACAATCTGTTTCTATATCGAGAAGAAGGCGTGGATCCGTACACGCAGGACAATATCGGGGTAAGCTTGACACGTCTGGGTTGCTCGGGATGCGATTTCCGATTGAGATGGGAAGGTATCATGTTGCTGACGATTGTCTCGTCTCTAGTTGAATGGCGTCCCCGTACTCTTTCTCCCCGGAAATGCTGGCAGTTACCGACAGGTCCGGTCTCTGGCGGCAGAGGCCTCGCGACACTATTACGATGTGGTTCGACACGACGATGAGCGACACGCGGCCGGCACACGCAGTCTGGACTTTTTCATGGTGGATTTCAACGAGGATATGGCGGCTTTTCATGGCCAGACCTTGCTAGACCAGGCGGAATACGTGAATGAGGCGATTTCGTACATCCTCTCACTGTACCATGACCCTCGCCGAACTCGCCGGGATCCCGCGCTTCCCGATCCTAGCGCGGTGATCTTGGTCGGACACTCCATGGGCGGTATCGTGGCTCGCACCGCCCTGACCATGGCGAATTACCAGGCGAACTCGGTCAATACGATTATCACCATGTCAGCACCACATGCGAAACCGCCCGTCTCGTTCGACTCGGATATTGTTCATACCTATAAGCAAATCAACGACTACTGGAGGGAAGCGTATTCGCAAACTTGGGCCAACAACAATCCACTCTGGCACGTCACGCTGATATCAATTGCGGGTGGTGCACGGGACACCGTAGTTCCGTCTGATTATACCAGTATTTCATCTCTCGTTCCGGAGACTCACGGGTTCACCGTGTTTACCTCGTCCATGCCGAATGTGTGGATTGGCATGGATCACTTGTCTATCACCTGGTGCGATCAGTTCCGGAAGGCGATCATCAAGTCTCTGTTTGATATTATCGATGCTCGACGGCCGTCTCAGACGAAGCCACGGGCAGACCGTATGCAGGCACTCAAGCGGTGGTACTTGACCGGACTGGAGGCAGTCTCCGAACGGACACTCTCTCAAAAGGAGCCGAATACTCTGTTGACACTCGAGGATAACGCGAATACCATCCTTGCGCAGGGTCAGCGGCTAGTCCTCCGCCAGCTTGGACAGCAACATGGTCCCGATGTCCGTCTTTTGCCTATCCCACCGCAGGGTGTCTCCGGCAAGAAGTTTACACTTCTCACGGATCAAACCCTTGACAAGCAGGGCAACATTGAAGTGCTCTTCTGCAGTGTGTTCCCGTTGAACAATGGCCGGTCGGCCATTTTCTCCATGAACTTGGACTTTTCTGGTGGGACCGTGGGGTCGACTCGCTTGGCTTGTAAGAGCGCGGCTGAGGATGTCATTTACCTGCCATCCTCGACGCCGACGTCACAAAACGCGTATGACCGCGTTCCTCCATTCTCCTACCTCCAGTATGATCTGGAGAACCTCGCGGAGCATCAGTTTGTGGCGGTCGTAGACAAGGCCAATGTTCCCACTCCGGGCTTCTTGGTAGCCGAATTCTCGGACAGCTCCGATGCCATGATCCGTGCCAAGGTTGGCTTGGGTAGTCTATTGAGTGCCGGTCTCAAGATGCGATTGCCCGCTAATCGCCCTATGCTCACCGAAGTGCAGATCCCGGCATTGCACTCTAGTCTCCTCAACTACAAGCTGAAGATTACGCGGCACCCACAGAGGGATGAGCTTTTTGCTCCGCTACTGCGCCAGTCCATCCCAGATCCACACGAGTCCAAATTCTTTGTGAACGTCAACGATGTCAATGTCAATTTGCATGGTGTTGCGCCATTCATGCCGTCCCCTGTTCGCGAGTCAGCTGCCTCTGGCGGTGTCTCGTTCCAGCTGTGGACTGACCCCAGTCCCGGTGAGACTGTGGATATCTCGCTGAAGATTGATATTACCGGTAGTCTGGGTGAGCTGGTCATGCGGTACCGTACCGTCTTCGCTGCGTTCCCTCTTCTTGTCGTGGCTCTAGTCCTTCGCAAGCAGTTCCAGGTCTACGACGAGACGGGGTACTTTATCCCTTTCACGGATGGTCTTGACCGGGCTCTGCGGTCCTCTCTGCCCCTTTTGCTGGTGGGCATGTCGCTTCTAGCTTCTTCCCTGGCTACAACGAAGGCCCTTCCTCAGTCAGATGACCCCTTCCACTGGCGGACTAACTCTACTGAGACGCCGCTCGACTTTACCAAGAACGACCTCCTGCTTGGGTCGCAAGATGCATTCTTCTGGTTCCTCGTCCCGATCTTTGGTCTCATCAGTGTCGGTGTCTGCGTGTTGGTCAACTACGTCGCTCTATTCCTCGTCAACGTCTTCTCCCTGGCTTATGGCGCTATCAACAGCAAGTCGGGATACATTCGTCGCGAGGACAGAGGCAACTTGCCCATTTTCAGCGCTCCCACCCCGCGCCGTCGCGTCATTCACACCGCGATTCTCCTGCTTCTGGTCTCAACTATCATCCCTTACCAGTTCGCCTACATGGTAGCCTGTATCGTACAACTAGCAACCACAGTGCGAAGCCAATGGCATGCCAAGGAAACCGTACGCTCTCACCCTCAATCCCCAGCCAGCAATACCCATCTTTCTAACACGCTTGCAGAGATCAACCTCCCACCTCAACTTCAGCAACTACGCCCACTCCATACTAATTCTGATGCTCTGGATCCTCCCGATAAACGTCCTCGTCCTACTCGTCTGGGCCCACAACCTAGTCGTGCACTGGTTCATGCCATTCTCCTCGCACCACAACGTCCTCTCCATCATGCCCTTCCTCCTACTAGTCGAGACCATGACCTCCGGCGCCATGATCCCCCGCATCACCACCCGCTTCCGCCACGTAACCTCCATCCTCTTCTTCGCTATTGCCATGTACTCCGCCGTCTACGGCGTCACATACGCTTACTTGCTGCATCACCTGGCCAATATACTGGCGGCGTGGTTTGTCGCCATTTATTTGGGCGGTAGTGGATTTTCCCCGCGGAGGTTGTGGCGGATTATCGATGGGGATGAAATGCCCGAGGATGGTGGGAGACATGTTAAGAAGAAGCCATGACTTTTTCGTTGATATGCATTTTTGTCTTATTGTTGGGACTTAATGTTTCTTTTTTTTTATCACTTTTGTTTGGTTTTTCTTTTGCTGTTGGATTGATTGTCTTGGTGTTGCGCATTGGATGGAGTTTGAGCGTTTTCTTTTTCTACACTTGTTCTTGGTTTTTCTTTCTTTGATTGTACAGATCTGATTGAACTGAACCGTTTTCAATACCTATCTTTTCTTTCGGATATCTTACACTCTGCTACTCTATTTTTTCGACCACAGGTTGCAGGTCAGATGTGGTGGATATGTTGTCCTAACCTGGAAGGGGTTTATCCTTCCTGACCACCTTTCCCTTCCCTTTCCCTATTACATGGCCCAGCGAGGGTTTCGTGTATATACATCGAGCGATGCTATTCTTCCCCGTGACACTGCGCTTTTGACCGTTTTCATTCTTAACATAGAATTTCTTCGTTTTTCTCTTCGGGTCGGTGCTTTGTCTGGTTAACGTGGGTTGGACTCGAACGGTGGATGTGCGTTTTGGTGTGGTACTACTGATAGATCGGTTTCTCTAAATACTACTAATTGTGTCTATTACTGCCTTAACCTTCGTTTCCTGTGTAGGCCTTTTGAGGTTATTGTCTTTCTTGATATTGTGTGAGCAAATGTTATGTGTCCTGAGTAGATACTGCAAAGATAAATTTAGAAGCTTTGATGCTAGACTGAATAACATCTTTGCCTTTTAACAATATTAAGGTATTGTATCCATCTCCTTTCCACCTTCCTACCTCATCTACTCATATCTAATACTCTCTTCCACCCCCCCCTCCCAAAAACAAAATCCACCCTCCACCACCTCTATCAAAATACCCAACCATCCATATTTACCTCACCCTACCAACAAACCTACCGACTCTTCCAATCCCAATCCCGATCACCTGCAACCAATTACATGAACCCCCTAGGATCACTCCTTCGAAACACCCACAACCTCCTCCTTTTCCTCTCCTACATAGCAATAACCCTCTGGTTCATACTACTAGTCCTCATAATCCCCTCCTTCAAAATCATGGAAACAGTTTATCGAGAGCCACATGATACCCGGACGCAGACACTTGCACTCCGGAGATTGGAGCATATGAAACGTATGGGGAATTATTCGGAGGGTTTTTTTGTTTGGGTGGAGGGGTTGCTTGACGGGGTGGGATGGGGATTTAGGTTATGGAGGAGTGAGTCTGTGGATGGAGGTATAAATCGAGGGGATGAATATCTTAGATGATGAGCTACTGTTCTGTGTGTGTGAGTGATCCGTGAAATATTGCTGGTGGTGTTTTCTTGGCTAAGTATAAGCTAGTGTATATGTTCCATGTAGCGGTGAGAGGGACTCGGTCATAACTAGACCTGCCTTAGCCTCGAAAACCTGGGCGAGACCTGGCAATCCAAGGAAGGAATTTCAAGATGGACAGCGCTCCAGCTACTAGGTTCTAATCATGGTTTATTCACAAGAACAAACAAAGCCTGACCTACTATAGGTCCCGACATTCCGCCTCGACCAGTCCGAATGCATGTCCCCTTTCCCCGGGGCAGGAACCAGAACAGATCTACAGGAGAACAGTAGTGTGCCAAATTTCCCAAAACAGTCAAGCCCAACCCTACAATAGGGATCCCATTCAAAACCCGACCAAACACATTCCCTCACGTGTCCCTCAGCTGTGGCCAGATCGGCTCTCACTACAGTAGCACAGATCTCAGGCACCGTCCTACCCTGACAAACCCTCGCATAAAGCGAAACCTAAACCTAGTCATAGGCTGGCTGGCAGTTTATAGCCGCCCCCTATTTTATCTTTTTTCAGGTCAATCTATAACCCATGGATATATTATTTATGGATACATGTACTGTACAAGTCGAGGGTGATAGGTCGCCCCAAATTCCAATCAAGGATACTCGGGCTATGTATCAGGGCACAGGCCTGAGCGTCGTGGCAGTACAGGGGCAGGGACAATGCATCCAACGGACCAACAGGAAGGCGGGAAAAAGGGGGCGCTGAAAATGAAAATGAAAATGAAAAGTACGAGCTGATTGATGATGATGGACAGGGGCTTGTTTTGATGCCAGGTGTATAGTAGGAAAGGAAAAAGGGGGCGGAATAAACCAAAAAAAGAATCGTAAAACAAAACAAAGCACAAGCACAATGCGCTGCGAGGATTGTTGTTGGGTTGTTGGCCTATCCCTTGGGTTATATTGGGATAGGTGATGTGTACCATATACAGTGGCTTAGGTGCTGGATGGCCATTGTATTCTGTACAGATTCCAGCGTGGGTCCTCTACCCGCGTTCTCGACAGAAGGATGCAAAGAATAAGACTATATTATGGAGTATCAAGGAGACAACCTAAGGGAAAAAAGAAAACTAGGTGGATACTCATTTCGGACCGGGTGAGATTTCCCCAGAACAAAGCCCAGATGAAAGGAGTGGTGGCCCCATAATCATACAAAATAGACAATCGACCAGACTGGGGCGCAGTTCAGATGCCATGCGGATCCACCCCCAGACTCTTAATTCCAACTTCATCGCTACTACTGTATATCCAGAATCAAATAGTTCGTTCACCTACTACTGTACCACCGAGCGTGGTAACTAACAACGAAAAATCCTAATAAAATCTCGATGACCTCGTCGCGACGTCAACGACCAAACTCCCGTTCTCCAACTCTCCATTCCACTGGCGGGCGCACTCCGACAAACGCCACCAGCGAAAGGCAAAGATTCGACAAATCAGAACCCCTAAACTCTGATTTTTTTGGTCTTCTCTGGCCTCGCTTCCAGAAGGTTTAATATTTTTTCTAGGAGGCAGGATTATCGCCGGGAGAATCTCCGGGAAACTCGGAAGCGTTGAAACCGTAAGCCCGCATGGAGAGTTCGTTCCCGCGCTTTGCGAATCAATCACGGAGTGTCCGATGGAATGTCGGTAGGGCCGTATCTCGGTATTATTTTTATTATTGTTACTATTGAAGCGAGGCGGAAGTTCGGCTCGGGGAAGAAAATAGAGAAATGATCTTCGAAAAGGGATGATAGCTTTTACAGTATACGGAAGACTGTAGTGCTAGTCTAGCTCCATCTCGAGACCATCGCCGGCTCTAAACAGAAACAGAAACCGAAACAGCAAGGGAAGAGACCAGAGAGCCCGAATCTTGGTACATCCGACTGTGTTCTTTTTTCTTTTTTTCTTCTGATTAACTTTTTAACCTTTCCCGACCCATCGACCCGATCGATTTTCGCCACCGGGTACTTTCGCGGGGGATAAGGGATAAGGGATAAGGGATGATATAATGCGATAATGTGATTAATGTGATTATCGCATTGACGGCTTTAATCCGGAGTGATTCGGCGTGTTTGAATGAAAGAGATTTTCCATCTATAGATAGAACTACTGCTATTACTAGAGTATGAATATACAGTATACATGGTAAAGAAATTTCTTTGATCAAGACAAAAGTAAAAGATTTTTTTCCTCGATGCAACCACAACCACATGCAGCCCGCGATAAGCGATAAGCAGGAAGCGGTGAGGGCTGTCAACTGGCGGTGTTGAAGTATCCAAGACGTATATTTCTGATTTCGAATAGAATCATCTAATTTCTGGTTTTCTCTTATACCCCTGGATGCCAGTGTTTTGTATCAAGGCTCGGTCATGCCTCGGCATGCGTGTAGATTCATCACCCCTGAAAAATGAGAACGACAGAGTACATACTGTACATACTTCTGCTCGGCATGCGTGCCCGGGATGCGGTCGATCGAAGCCCGCAGATCTTTTATACTTTTGAGAATAATAGATTGTTGTAAATTTGTAGCATGACTCGTGTTTGTCCTCTTCAGGTATCATGTCAGAGATCCGAGGCTGACTGTGGACAGATTGTAATCTTCTGGCTTAGTACTATCATTTCGATCGTGGCGGATCAAAACCAGTAACCCATTACAGCCCTGTAGGTACCTAGTCAGCCCTTTCGGGACATGTAGGCAATGGTTCTGGGCAACTCTAAAAATATGTTCGACCTGCATTTGTTCTTGAAAGGAAAAAAAAAAAAAAACTCTCGAACTTGGGAAGGAGTGATTGGGTGTTCCAACGGCCGGCAGAAGGGCTGCGCCACCCGGTCATGAGAGTGGCGACTGGCACGCCTCAGGATGGCCATAGGAGTAGCAGTGACTATTAATACTAGGAGAGAGTGCTGTAGTAGACTAGTAGTTTATTATTCTCCAGTTTGTATTTGCCATTTCATCACCCCGGATTTAATCACCCCCTAGCACTATCTAGGCGGATTCTGCATGTGCTGCGGACTGCGCGGGGACCTTTTAATAGCCGCCTTCAAAGAAAAAAAAAATTTTTTATCAACGATAGTAACTATAGTAACACTAGAACAGTACAGTATGGGGATAGTTGGAAGGGACGTCATATTTCCAGGCGACAATTGATGCCTTGGATCATGCTCAAGTACTGAGTTACTAGTAGTACTCCGTATGGAGCAGCACGGGTCGGAGGGTGAAGGACAGTTGATTGTTTCGCTGTCCCAGACTTTTGGTGATTTTCAAATTTTGATTTTTCAGATTGTCCCAGCAAGGCAGCCCACCAATGAGAAGACCAGGATTCGGGAGGCAGCCCTGACTAGACCAATGAGATTCGTTGAATTGAGTAGCCCGACTCCAGCTTCCACGCTAAACCCAAAACGTCCCTAGCGTGACCGCAACTGCAAAAAAAAAAATTTCTGCGGTTGGGCGGCGAGGGGCCACACGATAAATATCTCGCCCCCCTTCTAATCAGCACCCCTCCTCCTTCCCTCTCCTCCTCCTATCCTCACTCTTACCCCCATCTTTTCTTGGGTCCTTTCTTTCCCTGTTTCCTTTTTCTTTTCTGCACAAACAGAAAAGAATCAAAAGTTTAGAGCGTTCGCTGCGTCTTGGACAGCCGACGCAGTTTGGGCCACCTCCAGCTCACCGAGATACCCCTCATAGAAAAATCTCTTTCTTTATTCTAATCTCTTCGCTTTTTCCTCCCTCCACCCCCCCCCAAAACCGCCAAAATTTCTTCCACAATGCCTGCCGTCGACGTTTCTTCCGTTCCTGCCGTCTCTGGCAAGGAGGTCGCCCAGTCGATCGCCGTCCTCGAGGACCTTATCAAGAACCTCAACGTCTCAACCTCTGCCGATGAGGTTAACGCCGCCGCCAACAACTTGGCCACTCTCTTCAGCGGTCCCATCGCTGAGCAGGCTCTTCCCCTGAAGGCCGTCGAGACCTTCAAGAAGCAGCTTTCCAACAAGAAGGATGCCCTTGTCCGTGAGCGTGCCTGTGAGGGCATCCGCGCCATCGCTTCCCACACCACCATCGCTCCCGGTGTTGAGCCCCACCTTGTGTCTCTCCTTGGCCCCGTTCTGAACGCTGTTGGTGACAAGATGGTCCCCGTCAAGGAGGCCGCTCAGTCTGCCGCCGCTGCCATCGTTCAGGCTGTCAACGGCAACGCCGTCAAGGCCGTTGTCACCCCCATTCTCGACTCTCTCCAAAACGCCCAGAAGTGGCCCGAGAAGATGGCCGCTCTCAAGTGCCTGGATGCCCTTGTTGAGACTGCCCCCGCTCAGCTCTCCTTCCAGGTCCCCCGCCTGATCCCCGTTGTCTCCGAGGCCATGTGGGACACCAAGGCCGACATCAAGAAGGCCGCCTACTCCACCATGGAGAAGGTTTGCGGTCTGATCGTCAACAAGGATATTGAGCGTTTCATTCCCGAGCTCATCAAGTGTATTTCCAAGCCCGAGAACGTCCCCGAGACCGTTCACTTGCTCGGTGCCACCACTTTCGTTTCCGACGTGACCAGCCCTACCCTCGCCATCATGGTCCCCCTGCTGGACCGTGGTCTCGTCGAGCGTGAGACTGCCATCAAGCGTAAGTCCGCTGTCATCGTCGACAACATGTGTAAGCTCGTGGAGGACCCCCAGCTGGTTGCTCCCTTCTTGCCCAAGATGTTGCCCGCTCTGAACAAGAACTTCGACACCCTCGCCGACCCCGAGGCCCGTGAGAAGACCAAGCAGGCTCTTGACACCCTCACCCGTGTCGGTGATGTCAAGGACGGCAAGATCCCCGAGGTCTCCAACGCTGGTGACATCGAGACCGTCGCCGGTATCCTCAAGGATATCCTCAAGGAGAAGAAGTTCGAGGACCGCATTGCCGGTTCCGAGGCCGTCATCAACTACGTTGGTGCCATCGCTGGTCAGCTCGTTGACGAGAAGGATTCCGACAACACCACCTGGACCCAGAACGCACTCCCTTACATCGTCGCCATCGTCGGTGAGGAGGCCGCCAAGCCCATTGCCGAGACCCTCCGCAAGCGTGCCTCCCCCGATGCTGCTGCTGCCGATGAGGTCCCCTCCGATGAGGAGGAGGGTGAGGATCTGTGCAACTGCACCTTCTCCCTGGCCTACGGTGCCAAGATTCTGCTGAACCAGACCCACCTGCGCCTCAAGCGTGGTCAGCGTTACGGTCTCCTCGGCCCCAACGGTTCCGGCAAGACCACCCTCATGCGCGCTATCAACAACGAGCAGCTCGAGGGTTTCCCCAAGAAGGATGAGGTCAAGACCGTCTACGTCGAGCACGACCTGGATGCTGCCGATACCGAGCTGACTGTCATTGGCTGGACCATCAAGAAGCTGGAGGAGGTTGGTCTCAAGCCCGTCGAGGCCGAGGTCCGTGACAAGCTTGTCAACGAGTTCGGTTTCCTTGAGTCTCAGCTCGATGGCTCCATTGGTGCCCTCTCTGGTGGTTGGAAGATGAAGCTCGCTCTGTGCCGTGCCGTCTTCGAGAACCCCGATATTCTCCTGCTCGACGAGCCCACCAACCACTTGGACGTCAAGAACGTTGAGTGGCTCGAGAACTACCTCAAGACCTCTCCTTGCACTTCCATCATGGTCTCTCACGACTCTGGTTTCCTGGACCGTGTCATCCAGCACGTTGTCCACTACGAGCGCTTCAAGCTGAAGCGTTACCGTGGTACCCTCTCCGAATTCGTCAAGCGTGTGCCCTCTGCCCGCTCATACTACGAGCTCGGTGCCTCCGAGATGGAGTTCAAGTTCCCCGAGCCCGGTTTCCTTGAGGGTGTCAAGACCAAGTCCAAGGCCATTATCCGTGTCAACAACATGTCCTTCCAGTACCCCAGCACTCCCCAGCCCCAGATCCGCGACATCACTTTCCAGGTCTCTCTGGGCTCCCGTATTGCCGTCATTGGACCCAACGGTGCTGGCAAGTCTACTCTCGTTAACGTCCTGACTGGTGAGCTCATCCCCACCGCCGGTGATGTCTACCAGCACGAGAACATCCGTATCGCCTACATTAAGCAGCACGCTTTCGCTCACATCGATAACCACCTCGACTCCACTCCCTCCGAGTACATCCAGTGGCGTTTCCAGACCGGTGAGGACCGTGAGACCATGGACCGTGCCAACAAGATCGTCACCGAGGAGGACGAGAAGGCCATGGACAAGATCTACAAGGTCGAGGGTACCCTCCGTCGTGTTGTCGGCATCCACTCTCGCCGCAAGTTCAAGAACACCTACGAGTACGAGATCTCTTGGGCTCTTGGTGACAACGTCGGCATGAAGTCCGAGAAGTGGACTCCCATGATGTCCAACGAGAACACCTGGTTGCCCCGTTCCGAGATCATTGTCTCCCACTCCAAGCAGGTCGCCGAGGTTGACCAGAAGGAGGCCCTCGCCTCCGGTCAGTTCCGCCCTCTCGTCCGTAAGGAGATTGAGCAGCACTGCGCCAACTTCGGTCTCGATGCCGAGCTGGTTTCCCACTCCCGCATGCGCGGTCTGTCCGGTGGTCAGCGTGTCAAGGTTGTCCTTGCCGCTTGCTCTTGGCAGCGTCCCCACGTCATTGTCCTTGACGAGCCTACCAACTACCTGGACCGTGACTCCCTCGGTGCCCTCTCCAAGGCCATCAAGTCCTTCGAGGGTGGTGTTATCATCATTACTCACTCCCGTGAGTTCACTGAGAACCTCACTGAGGAAGTCTGGGCCGTTAACCACGGTCTCATGACCCCCTCCGGTCACAACTGGGTTCAGGGCCAGGGCTCCGGTCCCCGTCTTGACCAGAAGGGTGATGATGATGAGGACAAGTTCGACGCCATGGGTAACAAGATTGTCGTCGAGAAGAAGAAGAAGCTGACTGGTAAGTTCATCTCAAAGAGATTTCTATTCGTCTTGAATTCAGATTGACTAACATTTTTCTTTTCAACAGGCTCTGAGCTCCGCAAGAAGAAGAAGGAGCGTGCTGCCCGTCGCAAGCGTGGTGAGGAGGTCTTCTCTGATGAGGATGACATCTAAATCAGATGATAGACTGGGAGGGTGTCTCTCTCATTATGGAGTTGATGATTATGAACTTTTCTTAGTGTGGTTTTTTTGCTGAGGACAAAAATTCAAAGCTGTTCAGAACAAAACTTGTTTCAGATTGTAGATGTAGATTGTAGACATTGTCTTAATAGAACTTGGTTATACTCAATGCTGCTAGCTTGTCGTCCCGTGTGTCACTGTGTCTGACCTTGGTGGAAACATGGGTTCGGTGATGCTGTCTGTCTCCATGTCATTGAATGTGAGTATATCTAGTCTTCTGCAACGTCTCATCACACCCGACTTCTTGGTCTACGTGAACATCTATCTTTATGACCAGGTCCTTGAGTATTTTTGGACGGACTGTCCAGTTTACATTAGATTATTCTGTCTTTGGAAACTAACTTCCTTTAGCTTGGTGTATCTCGTTCACGTACCCTTGAGCTATACATATGCTCTTTGGCTTGTCCAGCAATGACCCCGCATGATATTGGAGTAGAAGAGTGTTTGTTACTTCGAAGGACCGTGCCAGTGAACATGATGACTAAGGGTTCTTGGGATTGATTAGCTTTTTAATTCTTCCTATTTATTGTGACTTTCGATGCTATTCGTCTGATTAAATCCGTGTCATTGTAATGTATTGGTATGCGGCTCTAACTACTCTCTCCCAAGATTGAAGTAACTAGAAAAACACAACCAACCCGATCCAAATAAATGCAGGTTATCGTTCAGCTTCAGTCAAGTCCCAGTACCCCTTCCTATTAGTGATGTAAGCCTAAGTACCCCGGGCACTGGAGATGATTTATAAAGCTTTCGTAGAGTCCTCAAGCGCGGTATCGGGTAGGGATTATACCATCAGCGGACCTACCCCAGCCCCATGGAGAGTCAATGCATGAGATCAACTCTTAATCTTCCAAACCATTACCAGTATTCAACTATATAACTATTACATACCTAAGAAAACGAACCAGTGTCAGCTTATCAACTATCAAGAAGGGCTTGGCGGCGCTGACAAGTTGCATCGGAGGACGCCGATGGGAGTTGCTTTGACAGCGGGGTCGATCGTTAATTTAGGTAGGGATTCTCCAAGACCCAGTTGGAGACAGGTTCTAAAAAATGAGATACCGTTAAAATCTGCAAGAACTACTCCAAGATTGAGGGAATACTAAATCTCTTTAAGAATTTGACAGGCAGACTCATCCTTGCCTTTGACAGGAAACAGCCGCGGCGATGCCTCAGCCAACAGATAAAACCACAACAACAGACGACCTCGAAACCAGATTACCCCCAGAAGAAGGCGTTCAAGGGTGGACCTGTGTATTTGGCTCATTTCTTGCTCTCTTTTGCACATTTGGATTTCTCAATGCGTGAGTTATACCTAGCTTCCCCAATACACAAAACCTCCCTCCGAACCTAATATCTCCCCCTCCATCCAATCCATCCAGCATCGGCGTCTTCCAAACAATATACCAAAAAGACACACTAAGCACCTACACCCCATCATCCATATCCTGGATCTTCGCCGTCCAAATAAGCCTAATGTGGGCCCTAGGCCCCCTCTACGGCCGCATCCTAGACACATACGGCCCGGCGCCCGTCCTCTACCCCTGCAGCATCCTCTGCATCCTCTCGCTATGTATGACCAGCCTCGCAAACCAATACTACCAGATCTTTCTCGCGCAGGGCCTGGGTTTCGGCATGGGTGCCGGTGGGGTCTTTACGTCTGCAATGGTCTGCGTCGGACAATGGTTTAGTAGACGGCGTGGACTTGCGATTGGAATTGCGAGTTGTGGTGCTAGTGTGGGTGGGGTTATTTTTCCGGTGTTTTTGGAGAGGGTTATACTGGCAAAGGGGTTTTATGCGGCTGTTAGGTGGACAGCTTTGGTTGTGGGAGTGCTTTTGGGGGGGGCTTGTTGGTTTATAAAGGGGAGGTTGCCGAGGAAAGTGTGGAGGTGGGAGGGGAGGTGGTTTGATGGGGGGTTGTTTGGGGAGAGGCAGTTTGCTTGGTATACTTTTGGGGCTTATTTTGTTATGTGAGTTTCTTTCTTTCTATTGGAAAAAGGAAAGGAATGATTGATGACTGACTACTTTTTGGATAGGTGGGGTCTTTGGGGACCGTTTGATTTCCTGTCCAGCATGGCTGAGGCTAAAGGATTCTCGTCGACGTTGTCTTTTTATTTGATATCGATGATGAAGTAGGTGAGCCCTATCATTTCCATTCTTGCATATGATTGCTCATAGAAATTGATTTGTTCAGTGCAACCTCCATATTTGGTCGAATCATCCCACCATATCTAGCTGATCACATCGGCCATTTCAACGTATTGACTACATGCGCCCTGCTAACGGGTGGTTCAACGCTTTTTCTCTGGCTCCCATTCAACTACCATCCCTCACATGCAGGGATCATTGCATTCGCGCTCGCGTACGGGTTCGTTAGCGGGGCTGTGGTATCTTTGCTCATGCCCTGTGTTGCAAAGACGGGCAGTCTAGAAACCCTCGGCCAGCGCTTTGGAACGTTCCAGATGGTTATTTCAGTCAGGTGGGTCCGGATTCTTCTTATTTAGTTCGTGGCGCTACGACTCTCAGAGGTTTTGTACTCCATACGTCATTTCTTTTCGAACGGTCTGTGCTAAGACAAGACTGTGCTTTTTAGTTGCCTCACCGGTCTACCTATCATGGGAGGAATATTAAATCGACAATCCGAGACGGGGACAGACTTTTCGGGTCTACAACTGTTTTCCTCGATTACTACTTTACTTGGGGCGGGTGGTTTGATGGTATCAACATATCTTTTATCTCGATCGCACGGAACATGGAAAGTGTGAAAAGTGTAGGAGTTGAACAGGGACGTTTGCAATGGTGAGATCTTTCGAAAGCTCATTTCCGGATGCAGATTCCTCTAGATCATCACAAAATGCCTGCTCTTTGCCATTCTATCTGCAAGTATGGATAATGATCATACCAAACCGCTCAATGTTGAAAACTGGTGGTAAAATCGATTTTATTGAATGATAGAGGATAAGAAGATGGGAACGGAAGTAACTCGTAGAAGTGAGAGTATATTATGAGTAGGTAGGGTATAGTCACATTGTTGTCATCACGAGAGACATTTACAATAATTTCTGGGGTTGCCCCCCACTCATCAAAAAATCCCTAGGTTTCCGCCCCTGATTACCATCTTTGTACACGACAGGAGAGTTCGAATTAGAAACCTCCGGGATGGGGTTTGAACTCCTCCGAGGTTGACGTTCGTACCATACCTAGGATTCGGTCTGCTCTTTTCCTGCAACGACTTTCTCTTCGCCACTGCTACTCTCCAGGAGACCAAGGTCAGTGTAGATCTCAATCAACCGGTTCCGGTCTTCAATCGCGGTTCCGGCCTCGTCACCGAAGACCTCGTCCATTTCCTCAAGTGTCAAGTTCTTGGTTTCAGGGACAACGAAATAAACAAACACCGCGCCAATGAAGCACATGGCCCCAAAGAAGATAAAGGTTCCGTAACCCATCTTCGCCACCATGTCGGGAGTTGCTTGGCCGATCTGTAGAATTGTCAGTATAGTAGGGTCCGGAGAGAGTAGAAAACTTACCGCGAAGTTGTTGAGCCAATTCGACGAAGCGCCAATGGAAATGGCCTTTGCTCGCACTCCGAGCGGGAAGACCTCAGCGACAACCACCCATGCTCCGGGCTGAAACGATCGTTAGCAGCAATTTCGATTCATTGTTGACAGTGCACATCTTACCCCCCAAGAATAACCGAAGTTGACTTCGTAGAGCCAAACGAATACCACGGCAACCCAACCGGCAGCTTTGTGCTGGGGCCAGCTCGAGTTATACTTTCCATCGAGACCCGCCACAATAAAATGGCATACACCCATGCCGATGGCGCCAGTAATGAGGACTGGCTTCCGTCCAAATTGATCGATATATAGCACGGCAGGGATGGTGGCAAGGAAAAGCAGGATTCCACCGACGCCGCCTGCAAGCAGGGAAGTGGTGTTACCAGTCAGGCCCAAGTCCGCGAAAATGAACTGTTGCGATCATTAAGTCAGAACGGAGTCAAACCCCTATTTTCACTTCTTCAAATTGCAGGAAGGACCACTGACGGATGCATAGTATAGAATGGCATTGATTCCAGACCCTGAGAAGATTTAGTACCGGTGAGTTTTCCTGGAGACTGGGAGTGGAGATCTCACATTGCTGGAAAACCATAATGAAAACAGCAACAATGGTACGTTTGAACAGAGACCGGTTGGTAAGCAAGCTGAGATATTGATGATATTCCAATTTGACTTTGTTCATCAGACCTGGAGAATGGTACTGGGGGAACCGAGCGAGAGATGTTTCTTGTTCAAAGCGATGCTGCGCTTTCACCTCGAGATACTCCAGCTGCACGAGATCATTGTCAGTGGGCAAGTTGCGCAGATTTGCAATGACTTCTAAGCATTCGTTCTCTCTGCCTTTCGTCATAAGCCAGCGTGGACTGCAGTCGGATATCAGTATAGGAGATACGAGCAGGAGGAAGAGGGGCAGAGCAAACCTTGGTGGCATAAAGAGGATTCCAACTCCAAGAATAACCGCAGGTGCGATCTGAATACAGACTGGCACCAACCATGCCGCATTTGACTGGGATGCGCCAGTCCCTCCAATATAATTGGTACCATAACCTGCGCGAGGTGTCAACGGAAAAGTTTCCAAGCAATGCAAAGTGGAGAGCATACCAATCCAATAAGAAACCATGATTCCAAAACAAATAGCCAACTGCTGAAGTGAAACAAGAGAACCACGTAGTTCAGGGGGTGCCAGCTCAGCGTTATACCTGAAAAAAAAATGAGTGTTAGGATCGGATTCGTAGAGTACAGCGGCGATCTGTGCTTCGTGGGCCAATACTTACAGAGGAACAATCATCGATAGGACACCAACACCAAGACCGGTAACAAAGCGGCCGCCCAGAATGTAGTCGGCATTTTTCGCACAGGCCTGAACAATCACGCCAACAACGAACACTACAACGCCTGAAAGAGTTGCCTGTTGGCGACCAAGAGCATCAGCGAGAAGGCCGTTGGCGAGGACACCGACCCAGGCGCCAAGTTCCAGAATACTATTCATTTCCTGTTAGTGGACACAACCGAGCACGTCAAGGGATTGCAGAGCGTACGCTGTCAGAAGTCCTCTAGTGGTTGTGTTGGTGATCGACTCCGGGTGCACGGTTGCTGAAAAGGAGGACATGCTCAGGATCTGACCGAACATGCCCTGATTGTCTGCAGGGTTGATATGTGAGAAGGTATCCGATTTCAGGGGTAAGTTCTCGAGCAATGGTACATACAACCATAAACAAAGCCACCGAGCGACGCGAAAACAGCAATAGCAAGAACGCGAACGTTGGAGACCAGACCCTTGACTCCCGAAGGTCCGGCAAGCTGAGCTCGTCGGTGGGATAGGGATTGACCCGCTCCTGTGGTGGCGACCATTTTTGAAATGGACCTTTCTATCCAAGGTGTGATTTATGAGAGAAATCTCGCAGTTACGAGTGCAAGTAAAAGCACGTAATTGCCGAATGAGGGCCTTTTACTTATATGAGAGCTGCTGGAGATTTAGCTTACTAGAGTTGAATGATGAGGTGCAAGCTTTAGGCTAAACCCCCATGGCGCTCCTCAATACCCTAGCTAAATCATATGAGTGCCACCCATAACTCTACGTGAAATAGAGTTTCTTAGTTCACGTTGAACACTACTCCAGGCCGGATGCAAGCGCTTTAGGCTGTTTTGGCCAGCCTCCTTTCTCCATGTCTATAGGGAAACTTACCGCTGGAACAGGATGACTCCAGATTCATCCGTATTTTTGAAAAATAATACGGATTTCTCCGCAAATCGGTTATAGTTGCCCAGAGACCCTGAGACCCTGTGGTTGCAAAGGCTAGGTCATCCTTCTACTTTCGATGCAATTAGTGATCTTATTCGTCGCCTATTGGGCAGTTTGGTCTCGTTCACATTCATTCATACTCATCTACATTTGTATCGGCTTGTTCCGACCTTTACTTTTTCTTGACTAGGCCATTAAGACATGAATTTTTTCAATATTTGGTCATTCGAAAATGGATCAGCAGGCGAGGGTAAAGTTATTTTTCGCAAGTTATAATATCTCTTGGGCACTGGACAGTCAAGACTACGTTATTTGTAGTCTGGAGTACGGGATGTGTCAGTAACAATTTACGAGCCTGTACTTCGTCCTATTTTTCTGTTAGCTAGCACATTATGCTAAACCTCTTATTAGTGTTAGGCCACTAGTCCTCTGGCAGGCAGATCGTCAAGTCTTGACAAGCTGGCTACGGTGCATCTCTTGTAGGAAATTATCTATGGGGTCTGTGTAATCCGAGCTACATCAGGATACGGCAGTGTACTTTCTGGAACTTTCTGAGTTTAGCCACCGAGAACTAAGGTAGTATTGAAGGACGGGAGTTGTGTGGAGTAGAGTATGAACGGACCTATCCTAAAAGGACCTTAGTGGTATTTGATAAATCCCTTGTTTCGTTCATAAGCTTACTCCGTACCCTTCTAGGTCTTAGTGCCAAGTAGATTCCCCTCCTTTTTTCCACTCCCTTAACAACTTGACCCGGGCTGACTGGACTGAATTATCGGTCTTTGTGCCGGGCGCACTTCCTGGCGGAATGCATCGTGTACTACAGTGTGTGGCTAGGCCAACCTTCTCCCACCCCACAGAAGGCAGCCCGGGTATTCTCAGGGTTCTAGAATGTATGGTCGGGTCGTGGAGAAGCTTAGGTAGAAATCGAGTGCGGGAGGGGAGCTTGTCTTAGTTTAACTTTCGATTCTCATTGGACAGTATACTTGCATACTCCTATTTATCTAGCCCCGCCGGGATTAAACTACACTCGGTCCATTGTTGGCCTTAGGCTCGGTCCCCCATTCTAGCCCTCCTCGATAATGGGCTTTAGCTCGGCATCGTGCAGCCTCTCACCGCAAGGAGAATGAGCACTAAAACTACAACTTAAAAAGGCAAGCCATAGAAGTTAGGCTTTCAGTAAGTATTTCGCAAAAGGATGTGTGCATTGAGCAAGTCTTTCTATCCTCGATCTGTTTTTTGTTCCCTACAACATCCAAACGTTTTTGAAAGACTGGCTCATCGACGCCGGCTTCGAGGATGTCACGCAGCTTACTTATTTCTTGCCATACTCACCCTGGCCTAGAGATCCTTATCTCAAGGAGCTTGGGAGGTACCAGCAGATTATGTCGCAGCAAGCTATTGAGGCTTACGGGCTTAGGCTTTGTACGCAGGTTTGGGAATGGGGTGTGCATGTCTCGAAGATTTTTCAGGCGCAGTGTCGGAAGCAAATCGGTGATAGGAATGTGCATGCTTGGTGTGAAAGAATGAGTTAATCTTCTTCGAATATTCTTCGGATTTGGAAATAGTGCATGAACTAATCGAATTTTAGGTACGCCTTTTATGGAAGGAAGGAAGCCTTTCCGGTGGATAATGGTCAGTATAGTATAATGTGGGACATTGGGGTGGCCTGTAGAATTATCTTCTTTGTTGACTTAGCGATCTTTATTTTCGAACAATGTTGTTAAATTTGAGAACTTCGTTTTGGGGCCACAGCTCATCCTCGATGGATCTAATACGAGACTTTATCACCCATTCGAAGACACCGGACAGAATAAACTGACATCTCGAATCGATAGCTCGCAAACACGTTCGTATATCTTCCCCGCGGGTTCCAAGTGACGAACAGAGGATATTGATTATAAATTAGGTAAAATACATGTGCAGAGGGTTTGGTTATTGTACAATTTGGCCATGTATTGGCTTACTTTCATCTCGTCAACCAAGGCCATCAGCCTTCCACAGGCCCAACCTTGACATTAGTCCTCCTGCGCAGCTCATCGAATTCATTCATGGCCTTTTCTTTCCGCTCAGCCTTGCGTTTTTGAACTTCAATACTCTTAAATCGCTTCTTGCCCCCAAACTTCAGTTTTGTGATCATATCGGCCGCTTGGCCCCTCGTCAGATCCCCAGGTCGTAGTTTACCTTCCCGGATGCGAGCTTTGTTCAATAACTGAATTTGTCCAGATGTGGCCGGATTCTGCCTCCAGGGCTTCCATGATGCAATGTATCGCTCGTCAAATTTGCTACTGGCGTAGGTGTCAGCAGCACGGACGGCTGTTTCAAGGTCTGTTCCTGAAGCGATTCGTCGGGGACGTGTGAATTGTGGTGTCTCGGTCATTGGGTTGGTGAATTTCATGACGTGATACACGTTGTACATGTCTTCTTCTTTCTCCAGGGTTAGCCAGCCTGAAGATTCTGACAAAAGGTATTTTTGATCATCAACTCGGACCCAGGAGTTTGGACTGAGAGAACGGATGTGTTTCTCAGAGCGTGTGTCATCTAGCAGGTCGTAGATGCTGTCGTATTTGGTGAACTGGATATTGACATCACCATCACCCTCCTGGCCTGCCACTGGGTCTTCTGATGGCTTGAGCAGCTTATCTTCCGCACGCCCTTCTCGAATATCTTCCACAGAAGACTGGTTCAATACTTCGTCGGGGTGGAGTCCAAACAATGTTGGTGTTGACAAGACACCCGTTGCCAATGAAGCAACCATGTCAATGATATGACAGTCTTCTTTTCCGGGGAACAGACGCAGTCCACGTCCAATCATCTGAATAAGCAAATTCCTGGATCTGGTCGGACGCGCCAAGAGTACGCAATCAATGTTGGGGATATCCGTGCCTTCAGTAAACAGACCACAATTCAGAAGCACAGGAAACTCTTGCTTTTTGAACGCCTCCAGCTGCTCGGAGCGTACATTCTTATGAGTGGTGGCAGTTATGTACCGAGCATCAACGCCGTGTTCCCGAAACGTTGCGGTCAGTTGTTTGGCATGCTCGACGTCCACACAAAAGACAAGTGTAGACTTCCGACCTTCGGCATTAGCCATCCAGGCACGCACGGTGATGTTGTTGGTATTCGCAGTGTTAACCGCCTCGGAAAGCGAGCCCAGAGCAAAATCGCCAAACTTGTCCTTTTTGACATTTGAGAGATTCGCCTCGGATTTCACGGTCGTGAATACTGCATTGGCCAGCCATTTTTCACCAATCATGTCCACGTAATCTTTGTGGTAGACAATGTGATCGATTGCGGCGCCGAGTTTCAGCCCGTCGAATCGCGCAAAAGTAGCCGAGACACCAACAAGAACTGGTGCATTTGGAGATGGCTCATTGAGTCCAAAATGGCCCAGCGCTTCACGGTACGATCGTGCAACGATATGATGTGCTTCATCCACAAGGATCAACTTGAAGAGCTTCGGGTCGAACTTGTGAATGCGGCCTCGGGCAAGTGTCTGCACGGATGCAATGATAATATCTCCATGTCCTGTCGCAACATTGTTTCCCATTTCAATCTCCACAATCTTATCCGGGTATGCTAGGCGGCAATGTTTCGCAGCTTGTTCGACGAGTTCGCGCCGGTGGACGATAATCATAGTCTTCGTAGCTTCCGCATCGCGTGGTGGAATCCGGCTGATAAGCTGTGTGAAGATGACCTAGGATAATCAGCAGGATGCTCAGAGATTAAGGAATAGAAGATCATACTGTCTTTCCAGCTCCAGTTGCTAGAGATATCCCAAGGCGCCGGTGACCCTCGTCGAGGTAGTTGAGCACCGATTGTATGCACTCTTCCTGGTAATCGCGGAGTACAATGCTGGACGAGCCGGGCAGTGGCGGCACTGTGGAGTTTCGACGAGCATTCCGCCAGTAGTGCGACACTAACAGCCTCCTTGGAGCTCTCCTCCAGGGCTGTGAAATCGCCAGAAGCCCAAATCTGCGAATGAACTCCATACTAAGAAGAAGAGAGCAGCTCGGCGGATTGAAATGTGATCACAAACAGTGCAAACATTCTTATCGGGCGCCGCGATAACGTCAGTTCCTATTCAGGTGGACCTGGAGAGCTCAACTTTTTTCTGTCTTAATTTCTGCTCTACATTTCGCCTGCATACACTCTTTAAGCTCACAGGTGCAGCTGTGATGTCCTCGCCTTCGGTCTCTCCAGATGCGCTGGCAGTCTGCACGCCTGCACGATGAGCAGTTCCGAGTCATCCTTTGCGCCCGACGAAATTTCCGACTCCGAGTCCGCATTTAGTGTCGATGAAAAGCCGCAGCGGGCGCGTAGTCGGCGCTCTTCGTCGCGAATTGAGACAGTGAATGTCTCATCCGACGATGAGAATAAAGAAGGCATCTTCTCAGATTCACATCCGGAATCCGACTTAGACCCAACCCCAGGCTTCGACGTCCGAGATAACCAATTCGAAACACTTCATGATCACATTCAACGTGTGTCGCCGAATATCCTTGAGGCCTATGCCTCGCTCGTGACGGAGGTCGAAAACGATATTACTTTCTCGACAGTCAGAGAAGATGAGGAGATTCACAACGTCCATCAACATGGAGCGGTGATCTGGACTGCAACGGAGAAAGAGATTCTATACAATGTGCTTGATAGGAAAGGCAAAAATGGCATCAAAGAGATTGCCGCTGCGATTGGGACCAAGTCGGAACTCGAAGTCATGGATCATCTCCGGCTTCTCCATCGCGGTCTAGCAAGCCAGCATCTTCTCGAGCGACACGTCAAAACCGTCATCATGGGTGACGTCCCTGCCGCCGCCGAGGTCAGCGAGCAGTGCTGCGCTGAGCTAGAGGAGTATGCTCGTGGTCTCAGGGCAAAAGAGGACCTTGACTCCGTACGGGCTGCGCGGATGCGATACGACGATAATTGGACTGTCAATACCGCTCAGGCCCAACAACTGCTAGCGGCTGAACAGGATGTCCCGTTACGTGGCGATATACACCTTCCTGCCAACCTTCTCAATCTCCCAACATGGATTAAACTCGAACAGCGATTCTTTATGAATTTCGGCGGTTCGCAACAGGCAGATAACTGGGTGAATATCGTCCAGGCGAAAAATGAATCGCCCTCAATCAGCGGCGATGCACTCATGGACTTTTACGCCCTGACTGTCAGCCTCACACGTCGTTTGATACAGTCATCACAGTTCATGGCCATGAGTCGGATACGCAGCCAGCGCCAGTACGGCCGTACACGAGCCAATGCGGTTCGCAAGAAAGATGTCAAGGCCGCCATCAACATTCTAAACATGAAACACAATCGATCGAACTTTCTGCTCAAACTTGCCCGCCGGAACGAGCTAGTTATTGAGGACAGACAACAAAAAAAGGGCTGGAAGGCCAAAACATTCGACTACGATCTGGCCGAGATGATTCTCAACGGAGAAATAGATTACTTCAAACGCGTCAAAGACGTAACCCTCGCCAATGCAACGGACACCGACGTCGAAGTCGAAGAAGAAGTCGAAGAAGAAGACTACGACAAAGAATATTCCGACGAGGAAGACTCACACCACCCATCAAGAATGAGATCCCGACAACCAACCGAACCCCCCTCCCCCAATCCATCATCATCCTCAGATGACAACCCCTTCGACGCAGAAGAAGAGCACGCCGACACCCTCGACCGAGAACACAGTCGCACCGAAGAACTCAAACTCTGGCATCTCCTCGAAAAACAAGCCCCACCTTACCTCGAAACCCCCATTACAACATACCAAGACGACAAAGATGCCTCGCGCAGACCCGCCGCCGAACGCAAAGCCCCCCAAGACATGGTCGAATGGCGCGATCGTGTCCTCTACCGTGGTGAATGGGAGGAGTTCGGGTATGAAGTAGGCGATGTGGAGGATGCGCTGGTTGAGAATCGGCGGAAGAGGCGTCGTATTGATGAGCCGCTGTCTGCTTCGGTGGTTAATAGTGAAGACGATGATAATGAAGACGAGGATATGCCGCAGCTTGGTGCTGAGGAGCATACGCGGGTTGAACCTCCTAAGTATGGGTCTGCAGGGTGGGATGCATTTTTGCATTCGTTTTTGACACCAGGTCAACCTCAATCTACTAGGAGTATTCCCAATGATGCTAGGATCCGCCGGTGATGACGAGAGCCGGTTGGCATTTAGAAGCTTGGATGTAAAGATACTACAAGATACCATAATACAATTTAATCAATGACATACTTAACATACTTACCCCATGTGGTCTATCAAGTGCATTAAAGAAAGGCGAAAGATTCCATCGTGGACATATGATTAGAAGAAAAAAAAAGTAAACACATCCAAGAGAAGTTGGAAATTGAATAAAAAACATCCGAGTCCCCCCGTTTTCATCCCCTGTCGCCCAAAGCAAAACCACCTGGAAAAGGGGTCTTGGAGGTCTTATCCAGAGGATGAAATCGAAATCAGAATCGACTCAAACTCCCAACGGATAATCAAAAGATACTGCGCCTTTTCCTAGCCAGACAGATAGACAAAAGTTCAAAACAGAATATTCATAACACCACCAGAAAGACCGGCAGTCTCCATTCACCATCACCACTGCACCCGCTTGCCTCCTCCAACATCCATGGGATATCATACACAAATCGGGCAAAGCTTAGCTCACAGGTCGAGCGACTTGAAATCGGCACCGGCCTCAGCGCTCAAGGGCTGGGCACCCGGTTGAGCCTCACCAGCTTGGGGCTGGAAGCCGTAGTTGTTACCGATACCGGCTGTGGCAGCACCGGCGAGCATGGCGTTGGTGTGCTCGTTGGGACCCTGGTCGCTGACTACCTTCAGGGCTTCCTGGGCTTCCATAACACGCTTCTTGAAAGCCATCCGGTCGAGGAAGAGCTGTCGGCGCGCCTGCTCGAGTTCCCGACGCTCGGCCTCGATAATTTCCTCCATCTCGTTGAACTGTTGCAGCTTGATCTCGAACTTCTGCAGAGTCACGTTGACAGCAGCGCCAACCAGACGGGTCATCTCACGCTCTTCGTGAGAAGCGAGAGCTCCGGCGCGAGCTGCTGAAGCCGCCAAAGCAACAGTTGACAGGGACTCCTTGGGCTTCTGGGTCTGCTGCTCGCCCTCGCGAACGGTATCCACCTCCATGGAGTCCTCTGCCTTGACAGACTCCTTGGCCTTACCATCGCCCTTCTCCAACTGGCTGCGGAGCTCCTTCCGGATCTCATCGACAGAGCGGCCGGCAGCGGCAGCGGCCACTGAAGGCTCGGCCATCTGGGCAAGGAAGGCGACCACGGACAGGACGGGGTTCTCTGACTGGCTGATGGGATCGCGGGCAGCACCAGAGCGCAGCTCGGGAATATCTTCAACATATTTGTCCTCAATCTCCAAAGACAAGAACTTCATCACACACTCTTCGCGCGTCCGTGTTCCAACGTGGTTCGCAATCTGTTCCCAGTTGTCATCAAAGTTCTCCAGACCCTCCAACAGCAGAACAAGCTCTGAATCAGACCATGGAGCGTCCTTGTCAGCCACATGAGAGTGACCCTTATCTTCGAGCTTCACAAAGTCAGAAGCATTGTGGCTAGAGGGCATGCGGCCCTGAAGGAAGCAGTTCGGGCACAGATCGTATTTGGTGTCGGGAATGTTTGCATTGGCTGATGTCGGGGCCGACTTGGCGTAGTGGAAACGAAGGCGTGTGCAGTCTATACCACAAGAGAAGCAGTGGGACTTCTTCTTGGGCTCTGAGGGCTCGATGCCATTTGTGGCCTCGCCATTGGTATGCTTCTCCTTATCTTCAGCTGGTGTCACATCCTTGCCCTTCTCGTCGTAGATGTTGCGGCGCAGTTCAAGGTTGACATCGCCCTTGGCGGGGGTGGCCGAGGCAGCGCGGTCGGTGGAAGGGAGAGCCTTGCCAGCGGTGACAGTGGGGTGTGGGCCGGGCTGGAAGGGCTGCAGGCCTCGTGGGGTATCGGCGATAACGCGGAAGTGGCCAGTAAATGGGGGGCCGATATTGGAGGGGCGGGATTGGGGGTCGACCTGAGGGGTTAGTTCTAATTCATAGCGGCAGGAGCACTGTCTTCTAAGCTCACCTGGTAGTTGATCAAGCCCCACTGCTCGAGGAAAGAGTGAACACGCATAATAGCACAGACATCACCAGCGAGATTGCGACGGCAGGCAGTGACAGTCAAGTATTCAATGGGGTTCAGGCGGTAGGTGTTGATCATGAAATCACGATAGTCCTTGTAGGTAGCCGGGGTCTTGCTTCGGTTGCGGCCGTTGAAGAACTCTGCCAAAGCCTTCTTCTCGATGGCATTGATGGTGTTCATGTCGAACCAAGTTGCGTAGCTAGGGAGGATGATTGCGTGGGTTTGAGAGACGAGTTGATCGCGTGCTTTCCCTTCCAAAGCCGACTTGCTAGGCGCCGGCTGGTCTTCTCCCACAGCATCCTCCAGACCTTCTGTCGCTGTCTCTGGAGGCTGTGACTCTCCAGCTGCATCCTCTAGACCCTCGGTATCAGGCTTGGCATCGGTCTCGGTGCCACCCATCTCCTCATCTTCCGGTTCGGCATCACCATTGTGAGGCTTGGGGGAGGTAGGGGCATCGAGCGGGTTATCTAATCCAGCAGAAGACTCTACCTTCTTCTCGGGCGACTCCTGGCGCGATTGCGCCTCTATTCATTTGGTCAGCATCGACGTGACATTAACTGAGAGCGGCTTAGGTGGCTGGGTCGGCTATACCTGAGGTATTCGCCGCATCCGCAACAACCTCAGTGCCAGTCATGGGGTACAAGTTCTCAGGCGTACCTGGGTTGACGGAAGTTCCGTCCATGATGGTTTATCCTATGGATAGCTGCTGTCGCGGGCGACAGAAGATCGACTCCTTGCCCTTTCGTTGGTTATCCGACCTTGCGCAGCGCAATTGATTACGCGTTACAAGAGCGAGATGTCAGACGCGAGCGAGGATAAGACGAAAGATGGCCCACACTGATGGGAAATCAGGCCAGGGAGGGATGATTGGACGGGTGCTTGATTCAATGGGGGAGGTGGATGTCGCGACACGGAAAACTCGCGGTCGCTGTGCCAAGACTCTAATCAACGCTAGTCGCAAATAGGACTAGCGTAGTGACACCTGCTTTGTCCTTTTACTGGCACGACAAGGACCTTGTTGATGTTCAATATGGAGTAAGTCTTCTATCAAGGATTCTTTTTGTCTACGGGCAGCTAATTACAGCTGTATTTTGATACTGGACTATAAGATGGATTATACAGGATCCTACAACGAGCTATCTGTCCGAGATCACACACCAACTTTCTATCTCATTTTTCTCCTTTATACAGTCGCGTATTAACAGAAGAGCGAAGTGGTTCATATACAACTCATAACAATCAACAATCAGATCTTTTACAGAGCCGCAATTGCATCAGCCCGAGCCTTCAAGGCCGCCTCAATAGAAGGACGAGCCTTCTGGCGATTTAACCAAGCATCAACATGAGGGAACTCCTTCGCCAGGTCAATATCAAACATGCCGACAACATTATACCAAGGAACGAAAGCAAGATCAACATAGCTGAACTTATCACCAACAAGATACTCCTTATCCGCCAGGAATCCGTCCAGAACACCCGAAACACGACGGATCTCCTTCACGTAGCGCTCCTTGGCACTCTCGATCTTCTCCGGGTGGTAGCGGGTAAACCACACAGCCTGGCCGAAGTAAGGACCCTGGCCGGACATTTGGAAGTGCAGCCATTGCTTGGCGAGGAAGTAGTCCTTGGAGCCGGCTTCGAAGCTGATGGTGTGTTCCTTGTCGTAAGTCTCGACTAGGTACTCGAGGATAGCGCCGGACTCCCATAGGGTAATGCCAGTATTGGGATCTTCGATAGCCGGGACACGGCCATTTGGGTTGACGGACTCGAAGGGCTCCTTTTTCATATCGGCGAAAGCAACGACGGTGTTTTCGTAGGGAATGTTGAGTTCTTCGAAGACCATGACGACCTTCCAGGGGTTAGGTCCGGGGCCGTGGCCATAGAGCTTGATGGGCTTGAGGGAAGACATTTTGGTTATCTGTTCTTAAGATTGAGGCTTAAAATAAGAGTATAATGAACAAGAATTGATGTCGAGGTGGTTGGTTGAAAATGGTGCAATCTGCAGCTATCAAGATGAAATCTGGAGAACACATACTTCTTAAATAATCTTCACTCCACAACTGGCCACCTAATACCTCCCACGTAGATCCCATCTCGGGGCCACGAAGCTCAAACATTATCCTGCGTATTATTCAGGACATTCGGCATCGGCGTCTTGATAGCCGACCGTCTGCCCCAGAGAGTCGCTGACAAATTACCAAAGTGGAACCTTAGCGCACCCGATAGTATTGTTGTGGAATCCTGATGTCCGGGGTTGTGAGCCACCATTGGTCATAATTAGGAAACGGCTGGGAATTTTCCAATAGGCATGTTTCTCGTATAGCATTATGACCTCACAGGAAGCCCGTGTTCTGCACGTTTTGTAGGCAATCGAAGGAGTTGACTTTACGCCGCGTCCTGATGGGTTAGTGCTCAGCCGGCAACGTTGAGTAATCGAGCTCCTTCTCTCGTAACCGATATTATAAGCCTGACAAATGTGTTCAGTGTGACTCTGAATACGATCTGATCCCTGGGTAGAGGTCTCAGGGGATGATTTTGGTTAAACAAAAGCCGGGTTGCGAGGTTGTTAGGTGGTCGGTGAAGGGTTGGCATAAGGTTGGGTTGAACATATATATAGTAGGTCCCAATATCTGTTTTCCGGGGCATTAGAGTGCTGAAATTGACCATTTTGCCACCTGACACCCTTCATGCCCCGCCGGGCTCATCGGAATGATAAGTATCCATACCTAAAAGCACTAGGTTGAAGGTTCCAACCCTCCACACATGCTCTTTTTAGAAAACTCGACCTTTTGACAAACACTCCTGAATCATCGACCTTGACCATGAATGACTCTTGCTTCCGTCGCACTAAAGAAGGAATTTAGTAGCGACGCCCTTGCCCGCGCACGTTGGAGTCATTCTTCGAGTCTTTATAAGCAATTTTCGTGAAAGCGGGCACATAGTGGAGATGTGCATGATCCAAGACCGAAGGGCGCGGTTTGGCGATCCCAAACGATTACGACGCGGTAACGGACCGCGTTAGGCCTCGTATTGGAGCTCGCTTGAGAGATGTGCGGGAAGAGGCTCGTTTATGGGGGCAGAATGGATATCGACAGGGGTTTATTGAGTCGGTATAGATTGTGATCACTCTGCGACTCGTTCAATCTTGATAAGCCTTTCGGATTTGTCAGGCCGGATCTGAATGAGCCAATCCCGTTTCCCCTAGCATAAACGGAGTACTTTGGTTATACAAGGCCGACTGGCCAGAGAAGCAATCCCGCATTGGGAGTCAATTGCCAGTCCTCGGAGTAGAATTAGGAGCTGGCAGAACCACAAAAATAGCTCGCATCAATTCAACATTCCAAAATAGAAAATGTTCACTTGAATAGTCTCCTCGGACTGAAAATTCTATATTCCATTCGCCTCAATCAAGTAGTATCGTTTACACAACCTCAGAGGGGCACTCGGAGTAAGGATCGGAGTAAAAAATCAACCATCGGACTAGACAGTCCAAAGTTCGGACTAAACCTGACAAACGCTCCCAGGAAACACATCTAACCGCCATCACGCCATCATTTTAGTTGGAAGGAATCAACAGGAATATTGAAATACGATCAGAGAATGATTTCATTGACGGGATTTCAAAGCAAAGAAGATCTGATTCGTACGCCCTTCAATAAATACGGTCCATGAATCCATGGATTTGGTATAATTGATTGGCTTATCCCACAACCCCGAATGGACTCGTATTGACTCACTTCCAAGCCACAGTTCGTACAGCGATGCCATGACCCAACGAGAGGGATGATAGCTTTGTTTGCTTGGAAATCAAACATCACGTCAATCATGTATTCGATCAAGGACTCCACAGACTACAGTAGACGTGTAGATTTTGGAAAATTTTGTTTAGTTTATACCGTTTGCACTTTAGATGCGTATGTGTGCGCAAGATCACCGCTGATAGCCGCAAGGCTGTACTCCGTAATTTAGTCTCGCCAGGTCCAAATACTCCATTTAGGCCCTTTGGGCTCCGTTTTGGGACCCCGAGCCCGTAAGGATATAAAAAAATGGGCTGCGGGAAGTGGAGCCACTCGGATCTGGATGTTCTGGCTAAATTCATCTGACTTCAAGGTTTTGATGAACAATAGGAACGTGTTCCGAGCCTTGCTGCAATGCCGATACATACTGATTTAAGCCTTTCAGGCGAGAATCCTCCAAGGCAGCAGCGAGGTCGAGATTTGGCCTCAGGCCGTGACTCAAGAATCAAGATGGACGCGGATATCGGATGCGGAGCCGTATACGAGCCAGAGCCAGTTTCGAGATACCTGCCAGCGAAGACTTGATCATCCACGCCCTGTGATGCTGGGCCTATCCCATATCTGGAGAAGTCGGGGGGTCGTCGGGGGTCCAGATCCACAGAGCCAGAAACGAGACGGTCAAGATCCGAAAGTTACGCGTTGGGATAAACTTGGATGCCTTCAACTATGAAGCCTGTTAGGGCTTAGGCTCCAAGGAAGCGAGGAAACTCCTGTCAGTATCATGATTATCTGATACACGCGACGTGTCAGCGGATGCGCCCTTTGGCTGGGGCGTTGACATGTGCTAGTGAGCTCGTGTAGATTGGTCATCTGCGATCCACTGGGCTGGTCGTTTTAGCGTCTATTTGAACTCCGATGTCTAGTCCGAACCCGCGACGGAGTACTAATTCATTTTAGTCGGGACCCACTCGAGGCTTCTGGCTCTGACGTCTTTTTTTCTCAGGCTCTAATGCTAGAGTTTATTCGAGGATTGACTCGTTTTTTTCTCATGGCTGAGTGGTGGGGCTGTGGCTTTGAGAATTCTAATTTTTTAAAAGATATGAATGGAATTTTTTAGTATCGGAGTGAATCACGGATTAACAATACAAGCTGGATGGACTTTGCTGGGAGGATTCCAAGTATATAAGACCCTGGGATCCCCGGACGAAAAGAATCATTATCCATTCCATTACAATCAAATCAATCAAGTCTACATTGCAAAGAACCTTCAAACAAGTTTCTCTGTTCAACAAACATTCCTCATCTTGACTATACTTTCCACCTCGTCAACAAAGCAAAACATCCTTGACCAACCAAACTACAAACCAACCACAACTATACCATCCAAACAACAACCCTCAAAAACAAACCCTCCACCCAAAATGTCCAGCTTCACCTCCTCCAAGAGCTCCTCCAAGACCATGTCTTCTGACGCCGCCTCCACACATTCCACCGTTTCCACCGCAACAACGCTAAAGGGCACCGACTTCCCCAACAAGAAGAAGTGGTTCTCGCTGAGCTCCAAGTCCGAGCCTAAGCACGTCAACAAGTCGGATGCTTTCTATGCCAAGCAGGCTATTCACAATGAGGCTGTTGCTAGCTACTTCAGTATGCGGTAAATGGGGAGGTTGGCATATTGAGTGAGACGACAACACCGCCACGAAAGATACCTATCAATTGGGCACAATACGCCATTCATACTTGGTTTCAACACGCCTTCTGCTGTTTTCTTGTTTCGACTCTTGTTCTTCTTTTTTGGGCTTGCTTGCTTTGATACCACCGCCTTTTCGATGGAGCCGCTTTTGCGACGATGGAATGACCCTGGATACCAATACTGTTTCTAATACTTTTTTTGTTACTTTTTTGGATCTTGCACCTGTTGTTTTTGTTTCATAATTATGACCTAGATTGCTTTGCCTTTTGTTTTTAGAATGTATGGAGTGGATATCTCTTCCATGCAATGAACTTTACTTGATTATGAATAACGTGTATTCCTCGTAAGAATGTAGTATACTTGCATGTTGTATTAACAAAAACTAGAACTAGAGTCTGGGTAATCATGATATGAGAAGTTATGCTAAATGTGCAACATGAATGATAGAACCGACGGAAACACAGAGACGCTCAGAAACATGCTATCCAAATTCATCACAAACCCGCCAACAACTCTCCCATGGAGATTGGCTTGCGAACTGCATTTGAGAAACCTTCATGGTAAGTAACCCACACCTTCCGGCCCGCCTTGGAAGTTTCATCCGATGGATTGCCATCCTCGGTTTCCGTGGTCTCTCGAACGGGCTCTTGAATCACCCGTCCGAAGAAGTCTCGTTTAACGGCATACCCGCTAACTTTACGAGCAGCACCACCCTGTTCCTTGGCAGATTGACCGTTAAAAGATCTACCATTGGCAGCATTCTTGGCATCAGATTGCTTGCGCAAAGTCTCCTTGCGATACTCCTGGTCCAGAACTTGGCGAACCGCATAACGGACCGGTGCAGATGCTGAAGAGACGCCCGTCATCTTGGAGAATGCGACGAGCGAATCGATGGATCTGGAGTGGGGCATTAGTTCTTATCTGTCAAGCACATGGAAAGATATGGGTTTCACTTACGGCTCCATTCTGTAGGCCCATCCGCCATGGCTCCCGCCTTCGTGCTCCACTCGAACTTTCTCAAAGGTGACACCCATACCGGACATGACCCGCACGGCAGACTGAACGAGTGTACGCTCGCTTTCCTTGCGGACACTGGCTGTGCTCCTCTGCTCGCCGCCTCCACGTACAATAACGGGCTTAACATCTGGTGACAGCATTCGAATCAAATGAGGGATGAGGTCAGTGACGACGCTATCGGTGGACCGGAACAAGCGAATCATAGGCGCTGATAAAGATGAGTGGAATCCGTTCAGGATAGAGCGGTTCTCTTTCTGTGCCTCAAACACAAGGAAATCCGCCTTGGGCCCCGAGAAAGGATGCTCCTCCTCGGCATTTTCATCCTCATTGTCGCGATCATTCGCCTCGATCTTGCCGGCAGCGGAGGCGAAGAGATGATGGAAAGCGAGTGTGGACTGGCTCAGATAGGGACCCAATTCCCACTCTTGGGATTGATGTACCCTCGAAGAGATCGAGTCATGGAAATGAAGCCAGTCGTAAGCGGCAGTGGGTTTCGAGAGGAAATTATCATCTCGGTACTGCTGGTTGGGGTATGCAGCAAAGCAGTCGGTGACACATCGGTCATGCTCACCACTGGCATCGACCATCTCCCGCAGCCGATTGATGGCGTGTCGTTTACGCAGATCCGCTACTCCCACTGGAACACGGCTGTTAGAGTTGTCGAACTTGTCCTGGAAGGACATGCCAGTGGGAGCATCAGTGAACCCGGCCCCTTCGGCGAAGACCCGATTCACAATCTCACGGACGCCTCCACGACTCATCTCCTTGAAAAAGGAGCCGCCTTCGGTAGAGGCACTGAGCACTCGTGACTCTAACCAATTTCGAGTCAGTCTCAGAGATGAAGAGCTTTCATTCCGAAGCTTATGCGCCACCCACTCCGCAGCAACAAGAACGCTTCGAATATCACCCTCGGCGGATCCGTTGTTCTTAGAACCGCGTTTCCTTCGCGATTCCAATCCCCAAGCGGCTTCGCATAGCCTTCGGGCTCCATCACCGTCACATGGAATACCTTCTCGGCTGAAAATGTTCTTCACACGCTGAACAACATTCTCCAAAGGTGCTTGTCGAACATGAATCATCTCCGCAATTGTAGAGGCCCGCAGAGGGCGAAGACTGGGATGATATAGGTCGTTGCAAACCAGAATCAACGGCCGCAGGAAGCGGAAAGTATCGCCTTTGCGCTTCTTGCCGGCATTGCCGCCATTCTCAGCGGTATATCGGGCATTTCGCTGGTCAAGCATCACCAAATCAATCAAGGCTTTCATAAAGCCACCTTCACCGCCGCTGCCAGCTCCTCCAACAACGCCGTCGACTTCATCAACCACGATACATACTGGCTTGGCAGCCCGACGGACCTTGTTTTCACCAACCTCAACGTTGGCACCTTTGACATTCTCGGTTCCTAGCGCATCACGAATGCGGCCCTTAACCACATCTCTGCTGCGCTCATCACTGGCATTGATTTCGAGCACCTCGTAGCCCGCCTGTTTGGCGCATACATGTGCTAATGTAGTCTTACCGAGACCAGGGGGGCCACTAAGCAAGAGGACCTTGCGGTGCATGCGCTCCTCATTCTCGTCCTCTTGACCACCCTTCTTAGATCGGGAAGACTTGGCCAAGCCGGGGAAGACAATTGGCTCCCAGCCCTTCAACCAGCGAAGCACTGCACGGTGTGTTCGCTCGTCGCCAATCAGATCGGTGAATTTGCGAGCACGGTATTTTTCTGTCCACATCATGGAATCTATCTTTTTCTGCTTTGCATCCCCTTCTGTCCTTTCAATCGACTCTTGCACTGGAGGCCGCGGTGCTGCCTTGGCAGCTTTTGTTTCCTTTGCAGCCTCGTCCAGCAATTTGTGAATTTCGATACCGTAGTAGCTCCTCTTTGCTCGGCCGGGGTCGGTCTCGGAGCGACTGGCGATCATACGCTCGTAAGAAACGGGAGCACTGGCCTTGCGAAGAGGGATATGGTGGGTTTTACCGCCGCACGTTTTGATCTGGATCGGGACCCCATTTAACGGAGTTGAAGCCGGGCGAGATGCGATTTCGGCTTGTATTCTTGAGATCGTGGGCGTATCATCATTTTGTGAAGTGGGAAATGCGAGGTTCTGCGGTTCTTCCAGAATACCAGGGAGGTCTGTCGGTGCTGGCTCGGGGTTTTCTTGTAGTTCGAATTGGCTCTTGAGCTGCTCGTCACGCATCGCAGCGACTTCATCATCTTCATCCTCGTCGTCGTCATCCACAAATCCTCCCAGGAACTTCGGTCGCTTAGGTTCGGCCTGTGAGGAGTTCTCTTCAAGATCGGCGACTTTTCGCTTTTGCGCATTGCCGTCCGAGTCACCGAGCACGGCGGCCCCGGGGTTTGTAATAAAAGGCATATTTGAGATTGGAGGCGAGGAGGGAAGAAATGATAAAGTTTGGGCGCGAGTCAGCGCGTTTCGACGCGGTGTCTTGGAGTATTTTTTTGTCGGAGTATCTGTTTGATGCCAACATCAGTCTCGAAACTGGACAATCGCGCACGCAAAGGTCTGACCTGGGGTTATATCGTCGTCACTTCGAAACACATCAGATAAATTCCAGGCTCGATGTTGTATCACGACTTTATTGCGGGTCTGTTCGAGGCGATGTAGGTGGATTGCCTCGATATCGTCGGAGAAAGACTCCGAAGGAAGGTTGGGGGGCGTTGGTAAGGTCTTCGGAATGGAGATGGAGGGCGGGATCGAATGATGAGAGGAAATTGGGCGACGATGGAATCATTCAAGCGTGCCGGTCATGTCAATGGTTTGGACCTTGGATAATTGGCGGAGTTGTTCCCCTCTGAGTCTCTGAATCTCTGATAGCGAAAGAGACGCGCCGACGCGTGCGGGCAGAACGCGCTAGTCCCGATTGGGTAATCTAGATTAACATCTTCCTTATGGTCTTGTATCACTCACCTGTAGCATCGAGTAGCTGATAATGCATGATATAATCTCTAGTAGGATTATATATTCCATTATAGAGCAGGTATATAAAGTCAAAAGGTATAGGAAATGCTAAGTCTTGGTCATAATTGCATGTAAATGACAATTTACGGTCGCCATCATTGTGTCTGTCAGTACCTACGGGCTATAATTCATGTACTCCAGTATTCATGGTTAGTACTAATTATTTGTTCTAGATGAACCCTTGAGAGGCATTCTCAATCGTGAAAATACAAAGAAAAGAAGCCCTCGCTTATGTGTATGGAACACCAGGGCTACTTACTATCTACCTCGAAGTCGCCAGGAATAATCTCCCCTGATCTATTGTAACAACAGGAAAGAGCAAGTGCTCACGCCTAGTAACAAGCAAAGGTAGAGACTTAAACCGAAATTGCCCATCCAGCATAAACTTCCAATGACAAGTTGCGCCATATTTAAGAGGTGAAAGTGAAAACCCGTGAATAGGTGAATCTAGCCGAGCGGCAAGAACAGCCGTTTTCCTTTCGGGTGTGACTCTCTCCTCTTACGTCCACTGGGGTCAAGTAAGCTCATCCTTTCGGAGACCCCTAAGCCCCTCCTCTCAAGAATCTGACATGCTTTTAGCCTTGTCGGCCAATGTAAGCGACCCTAATGGAGGGCTCCTTCTCGTTTGCCATCGGTTCCTGACCCTAAAAAGTGTGTTCCTGGGACCTGGAGCAGGGTCTCCCTAGTGCCACTTTAATAGTGCGCGCCACTCTATCGCCTCCTGTGGCTGCTTTTGGGACGAACACATGGAAGCTTGGCCAGACGGAGACTAGCTTCCACCAAACCATCACTCTTTCGCTTAAGTCCTTGCTCATAACCTATGGGATTGGCTCAATAGCTCGCTTTGAGATGTATACTTTGACAGAGTCCCCCCAAACTTGGACTTTTCGGAGATTATCTGGCCGCCATGTTTACGCCAATCGAGCCACCGTGAGGCCCATAGAGGACTCACGCTCGTCGATATGAATATAAAGCTATCACCCAGTCATCAATATTACGGGGCTTCTGGACGGTGCCTTCGTTACGTCTTGTCAATTTGCGAGGACTCATCATGATGTGGAAGTCCGCATTATGGTTGGCATTGGCAACCGCTGCCACTACTTCAGCCCTGCCTTCGGAGGACCATGGCGAATCTTGTCCCATCAATCATGACCCGTCACCCAATTGGCATGAGGGGCCCTTCAAGGAAATCGTTCGTTTGGTTGAAGGATGCCCCGGCGGACGCCCTTTCTGTCGCGAACTCATTCACCAGTCTGATGTTACTACCAAAACCAAGATGGTGACTCCAGCGCCAACTACCGTCAAGATCACTCAAACTATCACCGATCATTCTCGTGAAGTGACAAAGACGACCACTCAGGGGATCACCTCGACAATTGCCCGGTCTCCGATAACCACCACTCTTTTTGCGACATCAACTTTCACTGAGACTGTGCCTTTGACGATCACAGACCTATCCACTTCTACAAGTGTGGATGTATCCACCGTCTTCCTGACTCAACCTGACTATGAAACAGTCACCAGATCGGTTACTAGCTTCATCACGAACACAGTCACTCAGGTAATCACTGATGACACGACTGCCACTCTCACCCAGTATTTCACGGACACTACCACCGAGACTTTCTCAAATACGATCACCGACTATGAGACAGTCTACGTTACATCATACATCACGGACTTTGCGACCAACTATGTCACCAATCTTTACACGGAAATCGCAACTGACACCATCACAAACTACCATACCGAGACAACTACCATTTCCTTCACTAATACCGCCACTGCAACGGCGACGAACACTGTTCCATCTACAACCACTCAGGAAGTGGATGTGACTACGACTGATACACAGTCTCTGACTCTTATTAACACCGATTTCATTACCTCGACCAACACGCTCTCTGCCACGGAGACCGACTACATCACTGCCACAATCACTTCCGTCAGGACTGATGGCGTTACTGTCACTACAACCGCAGTAACAACTGTTGCACCTGCCAAGCGGGACGAGATCAACGCACGTGCTGCACTACCCACTCCTTTCGCCTTGAAGAACATTGACGACAGTCACCTGTCAAGCGCATGCTCTATCCTGTGGGATGAGAAGTGGCTGTCAACGGCGTATACCACGACGACAGTCGCAAAGCCTACAGTACGCTCTATATCGATTGAATCTTGCAGACCAAATGCTAATTAATTGAATAGGTCACTAAGACTATCACCATTCACACCGACGCGCCTGGAACCCATACCATCTACATCACAAAGTATACAACCGATTTTGTGACCAACACACCCAGTCTCTTGACTACGGTCGTGACCAACACCGTCACCACCGATGTCACGAGTACAGTAACCATTGATGAGACAGCAACCGTCACATCCTCGTCTACTACGACTGCCACCGATACTTTCACAGTGACAGTCACATTGGATGCCCCAACCACTGAGACCGACCTCGTCACTGCCACGGTCACTACTGACGTGACAATCTCGACCACTTTGGATATTACATCCGAAGTAACTGCCTCGGTGACGGACAATGTCACAGCGGACGTGACAAACACTGCCACGACTGATCTCACCACGGTTCAAACTAATACCGAAACCGTCGATATCACATCCAGCCAGAGAGTTACCCAGACTGCCGATATCACTGCTACCGAAACGGCATCTGTGACGAGCACCGAGACCTCGACAACTACCATCGACGTTACGGAAGTGGCAACGATTACTTCAACTTCTTTCTTCGGAGTCACCACCACTCAACCAGTCACGCTCCAAAGCACGATCGTCAATACAGTCGATGTCACTGACACTAAATTCACCACGTCAACCATCGAGGTTACCACGACCAAGACAGTCTCGACGACTACCACGACCACGATCACCTCAACAGTGACGAGCGCTCCAACTTGCGGAGTGAACCGTGTCTCGAACCCCGGTTTCGAGAGCGGATCTCTCTCACCCTGGTCATCGACCGTCAGTGGTAGCGGACGCTATTCATTTGTCCCCGGAAAGTCTGGCACCTACGCAATCGATCTCTCCGCAACCGGTAACAGCGTGAGCACATCATCCATCAAACAGTCACTTGCAACTACCCCTGGTAAAACGTACACGGTATCCTTCTACTCTTACTACGTGAGTGGAGGCGCCACGTCCGCACTGCTGGTCTCCGTTGACAACAGTGCTACAACTACGTCCTTATATAATATTGGAACAAGTGCCAAGAACGTTTGGAAGATGTACCAGTCTACTTTCGTGGCGACTTCATCGTCTACCTCGATTACCTTTAAGCTGACTTCACAGTCCCCTGTGCATGCTTATCTTGATCAGATCTCGGTTATGTGCTGATTGAGGGAAGGGCGGAAGGCTGTGTGTTTTGCTAAGTTCTTATGTTGTATTATATTGTTCGCGTATATAATTCTTTGACTTTGTTGATTTTGTTTTCTATTCGTGTATTTACCGTTTCGTTATTTGACGAACATTACTGAAATTATAATGGAAAATGAGAGTGTGTAGGCCTTGTATTATCAGACTGGCAAACAGAAAGTATACAGTGGTCAAGCATCCCCTAGTAGAAACCTAGCTTGGGTTTAGCTCCTCCAACGAATGTGCAGTTAAAGGGCTGTCCGTAAGAATCAGTCCACCCTTTATGGATCTATCTATGAAAACCATCATAGCGGAGCATAATTATATTTCCCAAAGAATAACATCAATGTATATGAGTTTGATCCAATATCATATACCAATCAAGTTCCCACCAACACCCCTCACTCCCAAACACTCCTCTCGCTCATAAACCGGATCGCAACCTCCCTATCATTCACCAAAAACAATCCTCGCCCCAAACAACCTCTCCAACCTCCTCAGAACCTGCAACCTCCTCACCCAAGCACTATAATCGGATTCCTCATCAACCCACCCTGCGGGTGCCAATGCTCATAATTCTCCCTAACATGAAACTGATCACTCGTCCACAAAAACGTCCCATCTTTCTCAAGGTTAATTCAATCTGCAACATACATAATCCCGGACTATGACAAAGTGCATGGTGAAGCGTCAACCCCTGGAAAAGATGAATCTGTGAGCCCACGAATGTATTCCAATTCAATCGCTCAAGTAACATGTAGTGACCCAGATGCACGCCTAGATTGGCGCCCGTGGCAAGCCGAGAGTCAGCTCGCGGCTCCACCGTAGTAACAATGTGAGATCCCCATAATGCAGCAAAGCCGTCCCACTGAGCAGGCGTCCCAAGCGCATCGGGATCAGGCACGCTAGCTAGCCAGAGGACGATATGCGCATGCTGGTAGGAGTGGTTGTAATGCCAGATGGCTCAAACAATACGGATTCCTCAAACGATTGGAATCTGTGCACTGCATTATATTAGTCAGTTCTTATGGTATCTTGTTCAACTTCGGAGGTGCCGGACAGGAGTGATGCCAGCTTCATCAGCTCTACTGCATACCGTAATATGATGACATTAGAAAGGTCCTTGTGATGGGTAGAAGTAAGTGCCTCGCTGGCAGGAGGATTGAGAGACTTCAGGCAATTCAAGAAGTCTTTCACCGCGGAGCTCCTTCGTCAATTCTCCATCTCTGCGCCGCCTCGAAAACATTGGCATCTGACTATCCCGCGCCGTGAAAGAACAAACATCATCAGACCGCGGTCTTTTCCCCTTTCTCACTCTTTTCTCCAAATATTTTCTTCTCCAAACACTTCCTTCTTCCTAACCCCGGGCTCCAGGGCCTTCCAAAAAACACAAGCCTCTTGGCGATGAAACGGATCAGAGGTCATCAAGGGCAAGAAGTGCGAGACGGAGTCCTCAGATAGGAAAGGCTGCTCGTCTAGACTCTCTGGTCCTCCATCTCTCCTTGTTTCTTTGACCGCGGCGCCTCGTCATCTTCAAATCAACTCATCCCACCACAACACCCGTCGATTCTTTCCCTCTTCCAAGAGACACCTTTATCCATCACCTCCGCTTACCCTCAAATCCCTCTGACCATCTTTCTAGTGCTGGAACTTCATTCTTCTTTCCTCTTCACTCTTCCAACTTCACTCTTCCAACTACTGAGAGGAGCGTGGACTCATCACTCGCTCTTCCCTTGGTTTCACGATCGCCCAAAGGATTCCGCTCCGTGTATCCCCGAGTACGCTCTGGTCTCTACACCCTGCTCCTCTCATCAAATCCAGCTTCAATACACCCGCACTGCCACTGTACCCGCCATCATGAGTTCTGACCCTGGGTCCGAGGACTCGGTCGTCTGCGATGTCCATTTCCAACAGCTCTCGCCATATACCGTCCGCGGCATCCTACTCGACACGAAGTGGACCCGCTGCCGGTATCCTTCACTTTGTTACCCAAGCCACATGGGCAGTCTAGCTGGTCAGGTACGCGCGCCATACCTTCCTATCGCCTGTGAGCTGAGCCCAAATGGCCATCGATTCCTCCCGGACAAGACACTGGACGAGGTGTGCCCAGACTGGAGACAATACATGACTGGAAAGACACCCCTCCCTCCAACCTACAGCCATCTACAAGGTGCTTGGGACGCGTGGTGCAAGAACGAACGACGACGCTACTTCGAGCTCGGAGTGCCTTATCCTACTGTTGCTGGGACTGCAAAATGGATCCCATTTGGTCCAAAGAAACAGCCAATGGGCCCGGAGTGCTACGAGGCCTTGGGAGAGCATCAATATGACCTCCTTCGGGTTAACGCTGAGGTCACTGTTTCAGTGCCGGGCTCGCTGATTGATAGTGGGAGAGCCCCCAGCATTGGCCTGGTTCGACAAATGGGAGATGAGAGATCTACAGCTTGCGGGAAAGAAAGAGAGAAACCAAACGAATGGAATCTGCCCCAAGAGAGTATTCGCGTGAAACATCCGGCGACCTGGCTTCCACGCGGTACTGCAATTGAACTTTGGAGCGATGGTCTGTTCGATATCCCTGGTACGCGGTGGGATATTGGAAGCCTCGGGCGCGTGCAAGAAAGTGATTGGGAATTACTGAGCCATGCTGAACTTTGATCCCGCCTTTCAATTTTGGATCTATGACGGACGCTGCAGACCATGTACATCATCCACAAAACGAGCCATTGAACCATGACAGAGGAAAACAAAAAAAGAAGAAAAAAACAACAGCAACAGCAACATTTTGGCTGCAGGGGGGTTTTATCATACTGGGGATGGCACAAGGAACCCTCCCAGCAGCTGCGAGGCTTCTCCTCATCAAGGCTCTCCCAACAGCAACAGCAACAAAAAAAGCACAAAAAAAGGAACATATTTCGAAATATTTACAATCAGCTACACACAAAATCAAACAACAGATGTTTCTTATACACGAGATGTGTAGATCAGTAGATCAGTAACTAGGACCGACTCTGGCACACCACCGACCACACAAAGTAGTTCTATAGATGAATTTTCTGAGCAAAGTGGTACCACTTTCCATTGTATTGACTCCAGTTAAATATTGGACTGCCATTGATCTCTTGTAGTTGTGACATTTAGCAGAGTTGCTGCCCGGTATGTCGTCACTCCAGTAAAACAACTCACTGGGACTCGAAACCAAATCTACCCACATATCTTTCCCAATTCCATATCTTGCAGATTGCATCCATGGATGAATTGACGCAATTAACTCCGAGCGGTTAATCGTTTTCCATTCCGCTAACGCAAGATAAATGGGTCTCGATGTCATCAAGTCGGAGTTAACGGCGGACCCACCCGCTCTTAAAGTCAGCTTGAAGCTTAGAATCCGTCATTCGTCTGATATAAAAGGCGATCTACTAACACGTTCTTCGAGAACAGAAACAATAACAAAACGAACCAATCTCAACATCTACGAACAAAATTGTGAAAATGGTCAAGACACTTCCCTTCGGTGATATCCAAGTTCCCTCGCCCGGTTTCGGCGCGATGGGTCTTAGTTTCGGGCTGGGAAGTAATTTGAGTCTTGAGGAGGCGGAGCCGGTGCTTTTGAAGGCGATTGAGCTTGGTTGTACATTCTGGGATACTGCTGTGAGTTTGAAGCTTTGGGGTTGCGGTCATGTTAGAAGTTGCTAACTGGATGCATAGGTTATCTATCAAGCTGGTGTGAATGAAAAGCTTCTTGGTGATTTTATCCGGAAGCATAACGTTCGCGATAAGGTTTTCAGTAAGTCTCATACATTCATCCCATGTATTTAAAAAGGTTTGAAGCTGATATTTTGTTATAGTTGCCTCGAAATGTGGCTTCATCGCCTTCGGAGGTGAGCTAGGAGTCACCAACTCTCCTTCGCATATCAAGGAGTACATCGAGGGCACGATTGAACGACTCGGTTTCACGCCTGACCTGTATTATCTCCACCGGATTGATCCCAGTATGTCTAAACCCAATCAATACTTGCATGTTCAAATCCTGATCCTCTTATAGATACCCCTCTCGAGGAATCCATCCCCGCCCTCGATGAAATCCGCCAGGCAGGCAAGACCAAATACATTGGTCTGTCGGAGTGCTCTGCGGCGACATTGCGCAAGGCCAATTCCAGTATGTTTCTTTCCCAACTCTTCCAACGGAGCAAGATCATTCCGACTGACTGACAATATCTAGTTGCCAAGATCGATGCCATCCAAGCTGAATACTCTGCTTTCGAGACAGTTCATGAGACAGACGGTTTAATCGAAACGGCAAAAGAGCTAGACGTCGCTTACGTCGCTTATAGCCCTCTAGGACATGGCTGGCTCGTGGATAATTTTGACTACAAGACGCCTGATGACTTTGCCCCGGATGATTTCCGTCGTACGTGTAAGTGGACCAACATTCATAAACCTCCTCATCATTTATTAGTGTTTGCGGTATATTAACATCTCTCCCTCCCTCGCAGCACCCAAATTCCAAGGCGAAAATTTCTACAAGAACAAGGCCATCGTCGAGGAAATCAAGAAACTCGCTGTTCGCAAGGGTTGCAGCATCAGTCAAATCGCTCTCGCTTGGGTTGCCGCCCAGGGTATGATTGCTATCCCTGGTACTACCAAGGTGAAGCGATTGGAGGAGAATTGGGCATCGAGAGATATTGATTTGACCGAGGAGGAGAAGCAGGAGTTCCGCCGGATTATTGATGCTGCTAAGCCTCATGGTAACAGGTATTCTGCTGCGCATCAGTCTATGGTTGGACATTAGGATAGTACAGTAGCTCCCTCCATAACCCAATAAACTTTCTCGGAATGCTCTCTTACTTTCGTCTTTTGGTAATCATTTTCAAGTTTGTGCGCTACGAAGGTATACTTTGTCTGGAGATTAGTTAATATAGGATAAAAATTGCAGCCATAGGAAGATGTTATATTGCAAAGTGATTGGGCCGGGATGCGGACTCCAATCCTCTAATCGGTGGTATACTGTACGGGTTCATGTGACACAAAAAAAGAAAAACAGCTTGTCATCGCAAAAGAAAACGAGAAAAAATTATCACTTCACACCCACTCTGAACCTCTTTTTGTTTAAGCGCTCTTCAGCTTCTCAGTCAGCTCAGGTACCTTCTCAAACAGATCACCGACGAGACCGACATCCGCAACCTGGAAGATGGGAGCCTCGGGATCCTTGTTGATAGCCGCAATGACCTTGCTGTCCTTCATACCAGCCAAGTGCTGAATAGCACCAGAGATACCAGCACACAGGTACAGCTGAGGAGCGACGTTCTTACCAGTCTGGCCAACCTGCAGACTGTTATCGGCGAAACCGCTGTCAACAGCAGCACGAGAAGCACCAATGGCAGCGCCGAGAGAGTCAGCGAGGGGCTGCATGATGCGGTCAAACTCCTCCTTGGACTTGAGACCACGGCCACCGGACACAACACGAGTAGCGGTCGCCAGGTCGGGGCGCTCGGACTTGGTCAGCTCCTCGGACACCCACTCGGTCTGGGCGGGAGCGTTGGAGTCCACGCCGTCGACGATCTCGGCGGAGCCACCCTCGGTCTCGACGCCCTGGAAGGCGGTGCCTCGAACGGTGATAACCTTGATGTTGTCGGACGACTGGACGGTGAGGATGGCGTTACCGGCGTAGATGGGGCGCACGAAAGCTAAAAGGTGGGTTAGTTAGATCGGTCCGTCACATGTCAATTTTTCCACATCGCTCGGTCTTGCACGTACTGTCTTCGCTCTCGATTCCGGTGATGTCTGAGACCTGCTGTACGTCCAGAAGAGCAGCGACGCGGGGCAGAAGGCTCTTGCCGAATGCTGAGTGGCCAGCAATGATGTGGGTGTATTCGCCCTTCTTGATGTTCTCGACGAGGAGAGGGGCGTAGTTCTCGGGAAGACCCTACAGCAGTAATCAAAAGCAAGTTAGCCGTTTGTGTCGCGGGACTCGAGAGAACGTAAAGTCAATGTGTACCTTCTCATAGGCGTCGCTCTCAACAGCGACAACCTTGTCAAGGCCCTTGATCTTCGCCGCCTCGGCAGCAGAGGTACCCTTGACGCCGGTACCAGCCAAGAAAGCCGTTACAGGACCACCGAGCTTCTGAGCCGCAGCAATTGCGGAGAGGGAGGAGTTCTGCAGCTTGCCATCGCGCTGCTCGAGAACGGCGAGGGTCGAGAGAAGACGGGCGAGCGCCGAGGAAGTGGGCGACGTCAGAGTGCGGGCAGTATAGATCTGCGAGCGGGCAGCCCGCAGGACGGAGGACCGGGCGATTGGAATCATGGCGATAATGTGTTATGAACAGGATTGAGGGTGTTGCTTCTCCCACGAGGGCCTGGAGGGGGAGAGTTCAAAGTTGAAGCTCGGCGATCGGCGGTGATGTGAAGATGTGGTTATCGTCGGGATGCCAAGACCCGCCCGCCCGAGGTCGGACTCGGCTAATGCAGGCATCATAAAGGCTGATTCTTGACAGGCCGACTTATGACGCGATGATAGACGGTTATCTATTGTCTGAGGGAAGCGATCTAGCTCTAGATACTAATTCATGTAAACTACGGGTTTTTATATGAGATGCAATGTTTAAAACGTAGATAATCCCTATTGACGAAAGAAATGACACACGTGATATTTTGTACGCCGAGAATACCTTTACATGCAGAACATTATAACGAGGCAAAACTGGACCCAACTATGAGGTCGACTTTCTCTTCTTCTTGCCCGCCTTCGGGGCTTCGGTCACCACGGCCTCACCATCCTCGAGAGCCTTGGCCTTCTGCTTCTGGAGCTTCTCTTTCCTAGCTGCCGCAGACTCGGCCTCGTCCTCGTCCTCGTCCTCAGCAGACTTGGTCTTCTTGGTCTTCTTAGCCTCCACCAACTTCTCATCGCCAATAGACTTGCGCTTCTTGCCAGCCTTGGCGCCGTCCTCGATAGCGGCCTGATCCTCCTCCACCACATCGGCATCTTCCACCCACAGCTCATTGGCCAGCCAAATAGGGAGAGCCATGGTGTTTGCGCCCTTGACGTGGACTGCCTTGATGTTCCTCCAGCCCTTGTTGATAAACTTCTCAGCCATGCCATTGACGACGGCGGCGATGTTCTCGGACAACTGCTCGGCAGTGAAATTGGACGAGCCGACACGGATAGCGGAGGAAGTAGAAGGAGCCAGGTGAATGGCAGCGCAGTTCAGGGTGCGCTCGATCTCCTTGGCGCAGATCAGAGGCGCAGCGAAAGAGGCGCTCTTCTCCTCCTTGGAGGGCTTCTTCGCCTTAGGATCCTTCTTGACACGCTTGCCATCCACCTTCTCAATCTCGGCGATGCGAATAGGGATTGGGCGCTTGCTCGACTTGTAGAAAATCTTGCCAAGGGTGGGAATCAGGCGGGTGATGATACGGTCATCGGCCAGGAAAACATCGTGCTCGGAGAACAATTGGCGACGGCTCTCGAAACTCTGGTAGCGGGCCTTGAGTTTGGAGAAGCCGATGACCTTCTCGATACGCGAGGATAGTTCCTGGGGGAAAGCGGGGTCGGCGACGACATCCTTGAAGCCGCGCTGGGGGTCGGCAGTGATCACACAGATGCTGAGCGAGGGCGACGAGTTGAGGGAGTGCGGGATAGTGATCTTGCCGGGCTTCAGGCGGTTCTTATCCACGACGTGCTTCTTGGTGGTGAGGAGCAACCACACGGCCTCGTTGTTGAGGGGAGTGTCCTCATCATCGGAGTCATTGTCGCCAATCAGGGTCTTCTTGGTCGCCGACTTTTCCTTCTCTTGCTGGGCGGACTTGATATGGCGCAGCAGTGCGGTGGAAGCTTTGACAACCTGCGCAAGAATGAGATTAGTATGCGCATTTGGAATTTTTCTTTCTGCAAAAATCAGCTGCATACCTGAGGGTTGTCCAGCTGGTATGGTGAGCCAGAGGCCACTTTGGTTGTGAGGGTAGTAGAAGACGGCATTTTGGCGAATTGCTGTCTTTGCGGTCTCAAACTCGACTCCAATTTTTCGCCGATGATATCTTAGGTTCAAAAAAAAATTCTGGAAGACGGAAGGCGGTGGCAGTTTGTCCGGTCTTGGCAGTCCCGACCCCAGAATCTTGGTGCCTGAGGCAAGCAACCCTGGGATGGATCACGATAAGCTGGGTCGCTCACAGTCTAAATATGAACGAAATAGCAACGCGAGAATTGAAGTTCAATTTCAAGTAGTAACTTTGTAGCCAGCATTTCTTACCCGATATTTTGGGAATGGGGGTATCTATGCAGCTTGGAGGTGCCTATCTGCTGGCTCTGGAGGTGGGCATCATCCTTTCTTGTAAGGCACACATTTTTTGGCACCTATTGAGTGCGGTCTAGGTGCTCAAATTAAGTTCCTGTGTTGAATTCAAGTAAATTGGTGATCTATATTGCCCTTTGGGAGCTGGCTATGGGCGAGATTCATTTTCTCTGTGTCGCTTGACTACTCGAATATATATTTGGATGGACTCTCAGTTATGACCAGATACCTATATAGTCTGGAAGTGATTAATCTAGTGGAATATGTCAATGGTACCATCATTCAATACATGGGAGACGAAATACATAACTTCCAAGCTCAGCTCTAGATGAATATCTGGGCAGAGAACTGTATTCTTGGCCTGGAGCATGGAGGTTCTTCATCCCTGTCCGCAACCTTAAGTACGCGATGCCCTCGCCCACCCCCACTGTCCACACTGGCCACGTCGTGGGCGTTTCAGATACCCTGCAACCAGCACAAGCTCAAATTCCACCGTTTGAAAATGTCTCGGACCCTTAAAAATAGCTATCGTCCCAAGGTTCTCGACTCAAGCATCGCCAAATAGGGTTTCTTAAGACGGCCAAGAAAATATAGTAGCTGCGCTTAGCTTACTATTAATAGTACGACTAGTTCATACGCTCTCGGAGCGCCCGCTGGCTAAAATGTACCTCGCCAAGTCTGATTGGACCGGAGGGTAATAATTCAGTAGGCCAAGGAAGGCCATGGAAAATACAGTCTCGGCGCGAAGAAGTTATCGTGTATGTACTGTATGTAAGGAAAGATTATTTGTTTGTCTTTTTTGTGTGTAGGCTGCACCTGTACTGTACGCAGAGCTTCTGCAAGGTACATAACGGCGGTGAGTGTACTACTGTAGTTGGTCGCCGGTCGCCTACGCGTCCATCGACATGAGATAAGCTCGTCAAGCGCAGCAGACAGAAAAAACAAGGAATAACATCTAACATCATCTTTGGATATTGCAAGATGTCGCCATTACGCACTAAACACGTGCTAGTCAGGGGGTGGCTTCGGGGTGTTGATCCGATTGTACTACGATTTGTCCACCTCCGAGTGACAGTGGTTAGATAGGCGCCTTCTTCGGACGAGTCACGGCGTCATTACGGCAAGACTAGGCAAAGGTTATACAAACATAATTGTACTGTAGGTGTAGTATGTAAACTGTATGTACGAAGACAGCTAGCAAAAGGAGATGGGGGTACATCAACAACCGCTAGTTTAGTACGCCACGCAAGCAAGTTGTCTCCAGTCTACACGGCCCCGGATATGAACCCCGAGGAGTTCGTGAGGTGTTTGGTTAAGGGGTTGGCTGAGAGTGATTTAGTGGAGGTTATGTTTCTTGGGAGTTCTGAAGATATTGGGCGAGTGGGACCTCATAGGCACCAGCATTAGCACTGTCCTGAGTTACGAGTTGGGCTTCTTGTCAGGTGGTGAATATGTATCGGCTGGTTGTACAGGGTTTATGTTTAACGCCTGATATAGACAGTGAGGGTGATCGATTACAGCAGGAAACTGACGATTGACCGTTTACTCCTCTCCAATAGTTAGAGCTGACTAGAGTCGCTATAGAAACTTGTAACCGAGGTTGCCCCGTATGATATTAGGGTGAGAGTTAGAAGCCCAATAATTTGACATGCGCAGGTCAGCCCTGTGCTACGTACGTAGGTAAGAAAGCTTCGTCTCCGAGCCAAACGGAGGACTCGATTATCCAACGGGCTCATTACGGCCGGCACAGTTGTACTTGAATATTAGGCCCCTAGCTGGAATTCGCATGGTCCGATAGAACATTAACGGCACAGACTACCTAATTTAATTATCGGTTGGCCAACAAAGTCAATCCGTATTAAACCTATCACAGGAAGGGAGGGATGACGTGGACAATTAAGATTACTTCAAATCAACGAGTCCATCACTCATCACCGTTGAAAAGACGACAACACTTGAACCTGAACAGCAAACACCGGACAACGAGCAAGTCTTAGTTGTCGACCTGGTCATGCAGGTTGAGGCCGGGCTGGGCAAGGGGGCTCTGGAGAAAGCGCGGGCAGGTTTAATTAAACAAGTCGTTCGAACTCGTCATCCTGTGGACCGCCAATTGATGGAGACCAGGTCGCCAAAGCAGTTCACTCCAAATCCAGGGCAATATCCGATTTCCCGGCCGCGATTGGCCGGGCAGTGGAGGAGAAAATGAATTGATTCAAGTCGACAAATCAAAGGAGAGGAACCTCATCAACTTGTACTTTAATCTGGCTAGGGCTAAGGATGTGTCTTGCCCGTTGAGGCGGGGAACTGAAAAATGGGTAGAGTTATGATATATACAGACGGGCTTGAGGCTACATACACAGCCTCAAGTCTTGATTAGTATAATTAAACAAGACGAGTGGAAATGCACTGGCGGTCCATATGAGACCAGGGTTAGGAGCATGCTGGGCAGCAGCTTCCAGGGTTTCTCGGCCATGTATGTAGGGTATCGGTTTGCATCTTGTTGTCCCCTGCGGCAGATTAGCAGGTCGGGACCACCTGCCAGGGGGAAGATCATAGCGATCGTCATGCAGAGAGGATCAAGAGAGTCTCCGTCCTGTAGGCGCCCCTGGCGTGCGATCAACACGAGTGCATGATTAACCTTGCGGAGCTTTGATTAGGGGGAGACATTTCCGTAACGGTTCCCCCCTTGGCATGACTGGACGGATCGGCATCGAAAGGAGACAAAAATTACCGTTCCAAAGAGAAAGAGCCCGCAGGAACACGTTCGTAAGGTTCAATAATCATATACACATACGACTTTAACATACTTGCCTTGGATAGGTTTGCTGGAGTGGCAATCTCCCCTTCGGCTCTCCTTTGGCTATGGGAGATGAGGAGGGCAAAAAGTTGGGACAAAAAGGAAAATACCAGATGGTACCCATGGATACGAAAGGCATTTCGGCAGCCTTGGAACGATGTGATTGGTGTGCCTGGCCAAGTATGGAGCCTAATCCCCTGGCAGCCGTGCAATTAACTGACCTGATTGGTTGGCCCCTGGCGCATAGTAATTTCGTTTGGGCGCCAAGCTCTTAGGAACAAAAGAAAGGTAAACAGAGAGAGAAAAAAATCATTTTGAAGCCCCACGGTGGGCGATCTCTAGCGTGGAGGACGCGGCGAGGCCCATGCCAAGAGAGACGGAGGGAGTCGAGGCTTGAACGGAATTGGAGGACAAGAGATGCGCAGGTGGAAGAGGAAGAGAGAGGCTGACTCTTGGAGTCTTGGATGGGGGTGAAACTGTGAAACAACAGTCATGGTAACTTACCGAGTGGCGTAAGGCCAAGTGAGATGGTGTAAGAATAATAAATCTTACAGGGCAATTAGACGCTGTCGTACTCAATACGGTTGTAAAATTACGGGGATAGTGCAACAGCCCCCTTTTCCCCCTAGTTGTGGCCTGTGTTTGTGTGGTATTGAGCCTTACAGCCCAGACGGCCCATACAATACGAGAGCCACGGCCCCCGTCTCCCAGTTTACTAGTCAAGGCCCCCTCCTTTCCAACGCCCCTGGTTGTTCTCCTTCTCTCTTTCCCTCCCTTCACTTCTTCCCCAGCCTCAGTCTCTTCGAGTTTTCCCATCCGACCAGAGGGATTCGTTCTCTCTACCACGTTCATTTAGGAAAACCTGTCATTCTCTCGACTCAACCCAAGCGATTCGATCTTCCCCTTTTTGTGTACAGCCCTTTACGAAAGCGCGCGACTGGCTTGCCGTTGAAGTATGTGAGAGTGCGCTTCAATGGTTGCGAATGGCGTCTCGGGGCAAGATTGCGGGTGAACCTGATTCATGGCGGCGAGCAAACAGGAGGACCTTCAGTCTGTTGTTCTCAACAACTGGAGCAAACTCGAATGACTATGCGATGGTGCGATGAGAGTCTTGGTCAAACTCGTCCGGCGCATGAATCAGGGTGAACCACAACTTGACCAGAGACGCCTTCCTCCTTGAATTGAAGAAACAGCAAACGCAGGCCATGAACTGACTTGTCTCTTTCCTCCACTACAGATCTCAATTCAAAATCCTGAAACGCAATGAAGTTCACTAACTCCGTTGCCGTCACCCTCGCCACGGCGGGCTCCCTGGTGGCCGCCCACGGCCACGGCCACGCTCACTTCCACAAGCGCGCTGTTGAGACCGAGACCGAGACCGCGGTCACGGCCGGTCCCACCGTCTACGACTTCGTTGTCCTCGACCCCAGCAAGTCTGGTACCCCTGAGCACATGAGCGTCGATGAGGCTTGCTCTCTCCTCGCCAAGCACGAGCTCGAATGGCTTGGCAATGCTATCCCCAATGCTTGCCCGACCAGCACCAGCACCAGCACTCCCGTGAGCACCTCGACTGCTGCTCCCACTACCACCATCGCTGCCCAGGTTCTCCTTGAGACCTCCGCCGCTATCACCCCCAGCTCCTCCAGCACCAGCACGGTGGTCCCCACCACCAGCGCTGCCAGCTCCACCAGCTCCGCCGCTTCCAGCAAGTCCAGCAAGACCAGCTCCGTCACTGGTATCACCGCCGAGTTCCCCAGCGGTGAGATTGACTGTGGCACTTTCCCCTCCGACTACGGTGCCGTTGCTCTCGACTACCTCGGCCTCGGTGGTTACTCTGGTATCCAGTACGTTACCATTGCCGACGCCGTCATTAGCGAGATCGTGACCGCTGTCACCGGTGACTCCTGCACCAGCGGCGCCATGTGCTCGTACGCCTGCCCTGCCGGTTACCAAAAGTCTCAGTGGCCCCTCACCCAGGGTGCCACTGGCCAGTCCATCGGTGGTTTGGAGTGCAAGAACGGCAAGCTCCACCTGACCAACACCGAGTACAAGACTCTCTGCATTGAGGGCACTGGTGGTGTCAACGTTCGCAACGAGCTCGGCGACCAGGTCGCTGTTTGCCGTACCGACTACCCCGGTACCGAGTCCGAGACTATTCCCCTCTCCGCTCTTGCTGGTGAGGAGCACCCCCTGACCTGCCCCAACGGTGCCACCTACTTCAAGTGGGAGGGCAAGATCACCTCCGCTCAGTACTACGTCAACAACAAGGGTGTTTCCGCCGAGAAGGGTTGCCAGTGGGGTGACGGCTCCGAGCCCATCGGTAACTGGGCCCCCATGAACCTGGGTGTTGGCTACTCTGCCGGCTCCACCTGGTTGTCCATGTTCAAGAACGAGCCTACCACCTCTGCCAACCTGGACTTCAAGATCAAGCTGGTTGGTGACGACCTGAGCGACAACTGCCGCTACGATGGTGCCGGTAATTTCTACAACAACGCCGGCCTGATCACCTCTGGCAACGGCTGCACTGTAAGTTTTATTCTACTCCCTTACGTTTCAAGAAGATCCACAGTTTACTAACCGCAATTACACTTACAGGTCAGCTCCTCCTCAGGCAACGCCTACTTCGTCTTCTACGAATAAGCGCCTCCCCAACCAACTGGGTCTCTGTTCCAACCCTCGGCCCAAGAAAATACAAAGCCCCACGGTCTAGGATGATGCTTAGTTTTTTTCATTTTGCCTTTCACCTTCTATTTGAACCATGCTTGCAGTGGATTGAGAGAATGGGGGTTAAAGTTGGGTTTGGGGTAGTTCCCAGTCCCCATCTTTTCCCCCTTCTCCCTTTCCACTAACGGTGCTTCTGTCCATATCACGGTTTGTTACTTGAGGGTAGTCTTCTTCTGTGTATCTTAACTTTTTTTTATGTGCTCGATCGGGGCCTTTGTGGGGGGCAATTCAATCTTTGTTACTTTTTCCTTTCGAATGCCGTTGAGCGTTGTGCGTGATTTGTATTCGTATGGATCGGATCTACCCACGCTGATGGTTTACCTATAGACTTATCTCAGTACCTCATGTACAACCAATTTTATCTCTAAACTATTGTTTCTTTTTTTGGATGTTGAATCTCGAGGTAGGACTTGTTTTTTTCGATTATGGTCGTCTGACTGCTTCTCCTCTTGAATGCTTGTTGTCGTCATGCTGCTGTGTGGCGTTCGGGTGGCTTCATGCATTATGTACGGAGTAAAACAGGGCCTAAGGCTCAACAAACTCCAAGTACTACTACATAGAAGGTCCACGATCCAATCCTCAACTGAGTATTGAGTCTATACTAGTATCTCATGCGATTTTTGATTTTTCTTGGCATTGGGAATACCTTCATAACGCTAATCTCATACGCCCCTCAATGTTCATGAAGGAACTGAACACATTTCGCTATCCTTTTAGAAGGTTCAGTCCTATTCCATAGCCGTGTTTAGATGATCATTCCTGGTGGCCTTTGCAACTGTAGACTACGACACCACACGCTGTTCTCTCCTTCAAAACCGTTATTATTTTTTGCTTTTTGAGGCCTAGTCCTCCTCGTCGTCCCAGGCAACTGCTTGAATTCTCTGTTCCTCCCTAAATACGACGCCCGCCATTTCGATCTCCGCAGAAACCTTGTCAAAGTGATCCCCATACAGTCCAGTTGCCTCTGCAGGCAATGTCAGGCGGATCTCTCTGAGAGACGGTGTCTGAGCCTTCACAGCGGGGAAATCATGAAAGATGGCCGCCAGAGCCTTTGCCTCTTTATCCGTCCCACATGACACCAACGAAAGATGTGTGACCGACGCCGGTATAAGATCCCGAGTCAGTAATTCGAAGACATCCGAAGCAGTAGCAGTAGCAGTAGCTATGAGATTGCATGATACAATTTCGAGGGGAAGCTGGAATGTTTCTAGCCTTTTGAAACCACCTAATGATGCCCTCCCAGGACTGATAGTAGTATGAGGGTCATCGTCGAGGAGGATGGAAAGCTCCACGAGGTGGTCTCCGACATGGTGTCCAATTGCCATGACGAATTGGCAAAGACCCCAGCCTTGCGTGGGATCAATATTTCCCGCTGAATGCCAAAACTTGAACGTCGTGAGACGCGGAGTGTTCTGAAGAAAACTCGCTATTTCGATCGAATCAATCGAAGCATTAACAAAACAAACCAATTCAAGGGCCTCGTATTTTTGTGCAGAACTTCTTCTTCTTTCGCTGCCTCCTTTACACCATGTTGCTCCGAAATATCGAATATGTGGCAAGGTCAGAAAGCAAGATTCCCAGTCTAGATTGAATCTGCCGTCTGCACAGCCATGGCCTATCAAGTTCGTGAGTTGAACAAGGCCGGTGCTGCTGCTGCAAGTAGGATTTTTTCGAGCTTTGCAAATCACGGTCTCGATAAGTTTATCAGACGCAGCTTGTGGCATCCACCACTTCGGCAGACCGAGAACCTTGATATTCGGAAGCAGACTCAAAACAAACGCCGCAGCATATTGTGAATAACGGCCAGCGTCAAGGTCTTCTTGCATTACAGCCCAGTATTCCTTCCAGTCCAAACCTGCTTGTTTCAAATAAGGAGAACTGGCAAGCAGTCGCATCATAGCTCCATCATGAGAACCCCTAGTCACAAAATCATGCGGTTTGCCCTTTGATAATTCACCATCCTTTACAAAGTCCGCCTCTTGGATGTAGTGCGCTACAATAGGCTCCACGGCGATCCTTGCAATCAAGTTAAACGCTGAGCTGATTGCGTCGGGGACTTGGAGGATTGCAAGTCTGCTCTTCACTACCTGGTTTGTCCTGTAGTAGTGGAATTTCTGGAAATGAAAGCGTAGTCTGTTGTGATTCGCGAGGAATGGGGTGCATAGAATATGGATGTGCTTGCAAGTTAATGCGAGACTCTCGAAGCCCTCTGACAGGGCATATCCAATTACTGCCCGAGAAGCTCATTTGGTAAATGCATGAGCTCCATGTTATTCAGCGGAGAGCAACCTTGGAAGTGGGCGGCGCCGTGACTTGAGATGGGGTCTTGATAGTTGGGAGACACACTCACTTTCACGAATGGAGTAGGTTTGATGCGTCTGACGATTGGTGGAGGTATCTTGACCAGCCCCGTTGTTCGTGTTAGAGTCTCAATACCTGATCACATGACTGATTGCCAACTCATGGGTTCAGGAAACAGGTGGACCAACCTTTTGGCCCCTATGGGGCCGAGACCTATTTTGTTTGCCGTTTCATTATAGTTCGGCTACGTATTGATCTTCACGATTAGTATTCTACAACACTTGAGAGCATTAGTCACGGAGAAACTCTGATATGGAGAAAGGACGAGTATCAAGAGAACAGGAAATGAATTTTTGGGATTTTCATTCCATTCCTGTGGCGCGTGATAAGTGCTTCCTTCCTTGGAAGTTGGTGTGAGACATACCCATATCGTTACACTCGGAAGTATTCAGATGATTTTACAAGGGTTTGGTCTATGATGCGGACTGTAACTTGATTCGCTCTTTTCTAAGGTTATCTACAGTGTTAAGGGTTTCAGTAGGAAATACTACTTGTTTCAGGGAGTGTTGGTTAGGGCTTTGGTCGTTGGCACAGAGACGAAGGGAATTAGACCTCAACTACATCATGTCTAATCATAGAAACCCTTGGTACCATAGTATATCTTTTTCCATCATAATCAGGTTCTCTTGTGGGCTAGAAAAGAAAATAAGGACATGTCTCAGAACTCCAAGTCTCGCATGCCAAGCTTCTGTGATATCAGGATCGGGGTTGGCGAAACCATGGTTTCCATAGATAACTGACACCTATCTCTAATCCCTCTATACGTCAACAAAGCTCATTTCCAAGTCATGACCGTCGTATCACACATGAGACATACAGCTCGAGATGTCTTGATCACACTCCCATTCAGTTTGAGTATACTATTTGCTTCTATCTATTAGACGCCGTTGGCATGTGATATGATGTGATCTAATAGGGCAATGGTCGTTGGGGGGTATTTATTATCTCCAAGGTAACCACGTTTCTCCAGATCTTTGGAATGTGAGATATGCTACTTCGGCCATGGATCTCCACATGCCAATGGGATAAGGTGCTAGCTATTACATCATTTCTCTTGAGTGGGTGCTGTAATTGGTACATGGTAGGTTGGTTCTTTGCTCTTTGACTTGTCACAGTAATGACAGTCCAGGATACCAAGTCCAAGAAGTGCTTCGGTACTGAGATAGATCAAGAAGAACTAAATCCGAGCGACGTAAGCAGCACTTGGCTCTAAATGAGTTTGCAGGCTCTAAATGAGTTTGTACTTTTAATTCTAGAACAGACCATGACGCTTTTAGTTATTATCTACCCACATTGTGTCTAGCCTCGGCATGTGTAGGTGTTGGCTGGGTTTAGATGCCATCAACGGGATTTGTTGAACATCACATTCTTGAATCACCATGATCAATGACAGAACAGCGGCCCAGTTGGTACTCCAATTGTATGCTATTTGATGAAATAGAATTTACTGCTCCACTGGCAGGGCTGATTTGTAAGAGTTTCTTTTTGTTCTGTCAAAATTTGAGCTTTTTCATCTAGGCCGACGATCGTTAGTGAACGACAAGGTATATAGATAGACCATCGTGGAGACGGAGAATGAACTTCTCTTTACCCGACTTAATAAGCTCTTATTGTGGGGCTTCAATGGAATATTTTTGACCGTATCAAATCAGTCTTTTATTAAGCACTAAGACCGAGGTAACGTAGTTCCCGGCTTACCTGATAACCCGGTTAACCCGATAACCCCCTCCAAATTCGCGTCTTCCTACCAACACACCAACTTCAACCACCTACCATGCCACCAATCCGCTCTGAATCCTGGCTAAAATCGGCCAATCAGGAGGGCAAGATTCAATTAGCCCTCCAAGATATTAAAGAGGGTCGAATCAAATCTTTACACGCAGCGACGAAGCTATATGATATACCCTACGCTACCCTGCATGCGCGCTCTTCCGGAGTAGCCCCACGCGTCGATACACGATGGCATCGTCATAAATTGACCCAATTGGAAGAGGATTCGCTAGCTGAGTGGATTATATCTATGGATACGCGTGGTGCAGCCCCTAGGCCCTCTACCGTACGCGATATGGCCAATATTCTACTAGCTGCGCGTGGTGAGAGCCCACCGGCTACTGTTGGCAAAAATTGGCCATCTTCTTTCGTTCAACGGCGCGATGAGCTTCGATCATGCTTTTCTAAGCGATATGACTATCATCGCGCTCTTAACGAGGATCCAAAGGCTATAAACGAGTGGTTTTCGATGGTACAACGCGCGATTGAGGAGAACGGTATCCAATCAGAGGATATCTACAACTTTGATGAGACTGGATTCGCAATGGGCCTTATATCATCGCAAAAGGTGGTTACACGAGCAGAATACTACGGTCGGCGATCAATTCTACAGCCAGGAAATCGCGAATGGGTCACTGCGATCGAAACTATATGCGCTGACGGCTATTCGCTGCCGCCCTGTATTATATTCAAAGGCTCGGTTTATATCGCTGGTTGGTTTGAATCAAATCTCCCTAGGGATTGGCGAATCGAAGTATCAGATAATGGCTGGACTACCGATGAAATCGGCCTTCGCTGGCTCCAAAAGATCTTTATTCCGTACACTAATTCGCGTGTACGAGGGCGATTTCGGCTGTTAATCCTTGACGGGCACGGTAGTCATCTTACGCCTCAATTCGATCGAATCTGTGTCGAAAATGATATTATACCACTCTGTATGCCGTCGCATTCTTCACATCTACTACAACCGCTTGATGTTGGGTGCTTCGCAGTGCTAAAGCGTGCGTACAGTCGCTTCGTGAGCGATTTAACCCGAACTGGCTATAATCATATCGACAAGCTTGATTTTTTAGCTGACTACCCACGCGCACGGCTAGAAGCTTTTCAGCCGAACATTATTCAGAATAGCTTCGCAGCTGCTGGTATTGTACCAGTTAATGCCGAAAGGGTGCTTTCTAAGCTTACTATATCTCTTCGAACGCCTTCACCCCCATTAAGCCGACCAAGCAGCAGATCTAGCGAATTCACACTAGAAACGCCTAGAACAGTAGCCCAGCTACAAAAGCAGGCTAAAATGATGAAAGATCTAATAGATCGGCGGTCAAAAAGCCCTCCAAGCCCGTTGAAATTAGTGGTTGATCAGATTCTTAAGGGCCACTATAAAGCATTACACAACACTGCTTTATTAGTGAAGGAGAACGCCGATCTACGCGCAACGAATGAAAAAAACGTCAAAAGCGCACTCGATCGACTAGACGGATTACACACGAAGGGGGCCTATCAATCGAAGAGGGCCTACAGCTAGCTCAGCAGCTAATTCAGCCAGTAGAAGCTGATGAGGTAGTATCGCATGAGGAGGTCGATCTGCCTAATCAGCCGATTCAACCGGCCAGGAGGGCTCCGCCTACCTGCAGTGGATGTGGAAAAACTGGCCACAGGATTACTTCATGTAAAAATCGTGTTATCTAGTTAGATTAATTGGTGTTGGTTGCGATTATCGATTTTGAAAATTTCTAATGGGGGTGGGTTATCGGGTTAACCGGGTTATCAGGTAAGCCGGGAACTACGTTATCGTGATTGCCAGTTGGTCAGCGCTATGTACTTGGAGCTAGCCGACGCACTCCAAATCAATTAATCCAATTGATTTGATAGGGCGGAAAAAACTCATTTTCCTGCAGTGTAAATTGAAAGTAGATATTTTAGCGAAATCTATTGCATTAGTCGAGGCCTAGAATCCAGTCGAGATCCCACTTTGGAGGGGCTGGTCAGTACAGAAACGGTATTCACGCGCCACGAAAACCCCGCGAAGCAGAATTTTCCATGGACCCCGCGTCGTGATAGTTTTCAGATAGCCATTTACAGCATGGGGATGATTAGTACTAGGTTTCATGCTGTATTTCTCTATTAGGAAATGTAATGAGGCTCAAATTTTGTATATATCTTGAATAGGTTTCCGACCATGACGCATCACACAAGTTCGCTATAGATCGTAGCTTCAGAACTCAATTATACAAATACATACTCATAAGAGGCGCCTAAGTATACGACGACATCATCTCGAGGTCATTCAAATGCCTATTACTACTACTAGAGCATACCTTGAAGTGTCTGTCATACTGCATACTCCGACTCGCGTGCCTGTCACGATCCACTCTTAGTACACACGTGACTTCAGACGCGACCGCGATTTCCTGTCGACCAGTCAATTGTATAGAGTTGTCGATCTTTAGAGCTACAGGTAGCTTTCCAACAAGATATAACTGGATCATTCACATACATAGTGATTTTTCTTCACTACTTTGCCCCATTATTCATCTCAAAAGGGCTGAGAAAGGGTGAATTGAGAGCGTGAAAGGATAGTGGAGCCCGTGAACCCTCGTCGGCGCCTATCGAACGCGTCTCGGGCTGTAAGCGTGCATTTCCGCGAAGGGCGAGTGCTCCCGCCAGGACATTCCACTACCACACACCCTACCTCACTCAACTCTTCACCTTTTCCTCCCAAGGCCCTTCCCCCCTTCCTCTAGGCCAATTCCCCTCCTCTCTACGTCTCTTTTCCCTTTTGAGAGTCCTAGCTCATCTGCTACCTCTTTTCGACTTTCCTTCACATCCTTTTGTCCCATAGGAAACGCGGTGACGCGAGTCCATCGAGCCCGACTTGTGTTCATACTTACAACTTCACATAGCAAAAAGGGATAGCTCGCGTGGGTTTACCACCTGGAGGACATCATGGACTCCTCTCCAGCTCGAGTTGGCATGGCTCCTGCTGCGGGCGTGAAGCGTCCAGCGGCTCTGCTACCTGCCTTCGAGCCATTGAGCTCATCCCCCTCTCTTCCGCGGCCTACCAAACGTGTTGCACGCGAACCCGCCTATCCTACTCCTGTACCAACCTCTTCAACTCACATAATGTCGTCTTCGCCGCCTGGTATTGCCGCTACCGCTCGGTCTACAGCGCGTCGTTCCTTTCCCGCCGCCGTCGAGCGGTCTCCCTTGTCCGCTGTTCCGACTATCATGCTCCCTGAAAGTGGTGAGCCTGTGCTCATGGGTCGGTCCAGCGCTTCGTGCCATCATCAGCTAGCTGCAAGCCGCATGATTTCCCGGATCCATGTCAAGGCTACCTACAAGCCCGCCCCGAACCCCTTCGACCGAGATAGGGTTGAGATCATGTGCATGGGTTGGAATGGAATCAAGATCCATTGCCAGGGTAGGAAGTATGATCTGGCCAAGGGAAAGACATTTACTTCGGATATCAAGGAAGCGGACATCATGATTGATGTTCACGAGGCTCGTGTCTTGGTGCAGTGGCCGCGGAACGAAAATGATAGAAAGGACTGCCCATCGACCGATTCGGAACAGACTTGGGATGAAGGAACCCCAACTCAGAAGAACCCACGCCGAATCCTCATTGATAGTCCCTTTATCGAAGGTCAGCGTGAGCGTATGGGTTCTCCTGTCTCGCCATCGCCTGTTGTGCAACGTACTATTCCTCCGTCGTCGCCTCTCTTTACGCCCTCTCGTCCTCGTGGTTCCGTCGTTGTGTACGAGGATGAACCTTCTCCATTGAAGCGTCATAATACCGTCGGCGGAATGACTTCCTACAGTGCTCGCCGTGCTAGTGAAATTCTGCAGATCTCGCAATCTAGCGATATCAGCAGACCCGAGGATGAGTCTGATAATGACGAGGAAAATGATCCCATTGTCCACTCATTTGGTCCATTCGGCGAGAACCTACTCCCTCGGATGGCCTCATTCCACGCTGGGGAGTCTCCTGTCCGTCCCGTTCTCTCGCCTCTCAACTCGCTGCAGCCCCCACCTGCCCAATCACCCCAGCATCTCAAGGCACGGCACCCCAATGCCCAGGAGGAGAAGAAGGAAGATAGCGAGGTCAAGGAGAAGACCAAAGAAGAAGAGGAGGCATTTGAAAGAGTCCGCAACCATACCGTGAATCAGCTCGCTTTCTCCCGTTTATCATCGACTCCCTTTTCCACCATCTTGAACAACCTCCCTCCTTCATACTGGAAGTCGAACTCGAGCAACACCTCTGGTCCATCCCGCTACGACATCCGCGCCATCCTTGAAACTACTAAGTGTATTGGCAAGGTTGCGCGTGAAGGAAAAGATGCCGCTGGCCAGCCCCTGGAAAGCGAGTTCTACTACATCCCCGACTTTGATGAAGATGTTGGCCGCCGCGAGACCGTGGTGAACAACCTCCGGAAGCCTGGCCTCCGCAACTGCCGCAAGCAGCACAAGGTTTGTCCTCCCACTATAGATTCGTTTGCTTTTTTTTTTTTTTGATATACCAGGACTAACATTATTCAGCAATACTTCTGGAAGAAGCCGAAATAAATCGACCCTCTTATGGATCCGTCATCCCCCCTCCCCCCAAAATTTCCACTTTTGAATTCGGATCGGCCCCCTCTCAGTACATATTTGCAGTGTTCTTAGCCACCTAGACACCCTCCTAGGTGGCTCGCATAGCGTGGCGTGTGGCATACCCTGACATTTTCAACCTGTTTGATTTTAATATTTGTTTCTCCTTCTCCCTTTTCGGTTTCGTTTCCCCTCCCTCCATGTTTTCTGCTTCCGTTCCAGCATGGTGGTGTACGATGTGTGGTACTTTCGCAGCGCGCTGTTCCTCGTTCTTTTGTGTCCCCTCGTGGGACTTGTCCAGTGTTTTCCCCCTGATGCGTGACGGTTTCCCCGAACTCGACGGCCGCTTATGTTTTGATTTTTTGCTTTGACCTCCAACCTTTGATTTGCTTCGGCTCGACTTCTTGATGTCTGTTTGATTATACCATCTCCTTGGTATGGTTTCAGCCTCCCCTTGTGAGGTGTCTTTCACATTTTTGTATCCAAGGGAACATGACCAGTCATGTTTCCCAGCCCAAGTGATTTTTCTGTGTCCTTTTTTGTTGCCTCGGCCTTGCTCTCTATTGAGGGTGGGATGCCGTCATGAATTGTACGTTTAGCTTGTCAATTATTAAAAAGTGTTATTTACTCATCTGTGCTTTGTAGAGCCAATGTGTAGTTACACGTAGGTTGATAGCTATCGCAAATTTTACCCTGCAGCTCACTGACCCTCCCTTTTGCCACCTTTGCGTCACTCGAGCGTCCCCGATTACAGGTGTGATATGTCGTGCATATTATGGAAAGTTTATTCAGCTGGATGATTTTTAGTAGATATTAAAGGAAGAACTAAGAAGATGAATGACTCGGTGACTTGGAATTGCTCATTCGAAAAGGGCTGTATAATCATGCCACTCCTCCGGGTATTCTCTGGTTCATAGTCAGCGGCCCATTAAATAAAGTCAGCTTCATGGACTTTAAGCTTATTATGCCAATGAGAAAGATCATGCAACCCGTTTGGATTGAATTTAGATTGAAGCCACGACATCATCGTCACCAGTGTCGCCACTGGACGAACCGCCTCCCAAGCATCAACCCCGCATCTAGAACCATCATCAACTTTCCGATATCTCCTACAAAAGCATTCTCCTAACCCTGCCAGTGCTCATTGAATTGCAATCAACTCCGACACATCGTTCAAGACTACTACTACAAACTCCCCCCATCGAAACCAATCACAATGCAATCTACCATTCAAGCCCAACAGGGTCCCTTCCCAGACCGGACTCGAGAACCCATGGCATCTGCAACACAACCACAAAGTCTCTCCTCTACTGACTCCCATCCACTATCGGATCCGAATCAGGATGCAGAGTCAGACCAATCCTGGAAACCAAGATTCGATCGTCGCCAAAGCTGGAGCCAGGAGGACCAGAAACATCTGTTGCAGGAACGATTGTTGGAGCATGCTGATATAGGACGGGAGACTGGATTTACGGAGACGGGATCGAGTCACTGAAACCAACTTAAGAGTCTCGTGCAGCTGGGCTCACCAGACGATCATAGTGGCTCGTATCTTATTATAGTGGGGATCAGCTCAGCGAGTGATTGTAATTATTCGAGGGACCTTCTGGAAAGAGTGGGGTCCTTAGCGGTGATGACAGTATGCGCGGTGACATGCAAAAAGGCGCTCTTAATTGCTTGAGTGTTTCATCAATCAAATTGAGTTGATTGAGTTTTCGAACTTGATATCAGTAGATAGTATACAAGCTTATCAAAGATCAGATAAGTGAGAGAAAAGAAGAAGACAATCAAGAGAAGATGCTTGTAGAGTCTGTAGGACTGCCGGGATCATCTTCCAACCTCCGCACCGCCTTACAAGAAACCAGCCCGCCTTCTCTGCTCCGCTCATCGCCATCCCGCCCGCACGACCACCGCAAAGGAGCTTCCTGACCACCTACGAGCTTCCACTTAGCTCTCAACTCATTTTGGATCGCCTATCTCTCCCCAATGTGGCATTCACGTCACTCCTGCAATCCCCTTTCGGACGTTCTGAGAGGACCCCGCGACTGAATCGGCTCCGAACGCACACACAGCCATGGATCGCCAGAAGAAAAGTATTGCGCCAGCCAGGCCACACTGTCTCTCTCTGACCACTTAACTGACTTTGTTCGCTTTACAGGAGAGCTTCGTGATCTGAACGAGAGGGCCTGGGAAGGCGAGACCGGTATGACGATCTTCCCCTTCGAAACTGAATACTCCAATGATAAGGGCCGCTTCTTTGATTCTGACCACACTGGCTACGCACACAGATGTATTCCCTGTCAGCAAATCCCTCGACTCGGCTCTCAAAAAGAATACGGCTTTTATCAAGCGCCTCCGGACTGGCATCAGTGCTTCCGCCCTTTCTACCTTCCTGACCGATATCCGTACCCTTTCGCTCCACAAGTACCTATCCGAGATCATATCCGCCTGCTATGAGGGACTATGCAAGCTCAAGTCGCCCGGGGAGATCGCGGCCGGCGTGGAGATTATCTGCGCCCTGCACCAGCGATTCGGTCCCGCGGAGTTCACGAGGCAGATTGGATGGCTTCTCGGCCGGGGCATGAGCTCCATGGATAAGGCGTCGCTGAAGGCTCTTCCGCAGGAGATGCGCGAGCGGGAGGAAAAGGAGCGCTTGTCGCGACACCGGGTTCTCCTTCGCGTTGTCACGGAGCTGTGGCTTGTCGGTGTTCTTAGAACTCTGGATGATACCGAGCGGCCGGAAGATGCAAGGAAGGATGCTACAACGGGCAAGCTTCCAGATCTGGTCCCGATGAGGGCGATGAAATCTGCCGCCGCGTTGAAGGAATTGGAGAAACAGGCTGAACCTTTCCCGCTGGAAGTACTCAAGGATTTACTGGGCCATGACCGCGACCATACCAACTTGCCGCTTGCTGTCTTGTTCGTGAAAAGCTTTAGCTGGGATATTCTTGGTACGAAGCTTGTGGAGGACGGTCGGAAGACTGTGGAAGCCGATGGCGCGACATCAAGGTCTACCGGTGCGGAACAAGAAAATGCAGAGGGTAATGCTGATGCTACTGCAGAGGCAGAGCCGCCATTGGTTCCGGAGAAGACGCAGCAGCGATTTAGAAATATCTTGAGTCGCTACCTAGATGACGTCAAGGCGCATGTGGTTCGTGACCAGAAGGCGCTGGCATCGCAGAGCCGCCGTAATGCTGAGGCTTACGTGAAGAGCGGCGAGATCTTTGAGGATCGTCAGTCAAATTTCGAGAAGCAGTCAAAGACCCTAGAGAAGCTTGTGGCCAATACCCAGGTGTTGTGTGAGGCCTTGGGTGCTGAGATGCCTGATCTGGTCGAGAAGGAGGCCGCTGATGCTGGTGGTAGCGGTGGCATTGGTCTGGTCAAAACTACAGATTATCTACGTGGTCAAGGTGATGGCGCTGGCATCTGGGAGGATGAGGAGGAGCGGCGCTTCTACGAGAACTTGGTCGATCTGAAAGGCAAGGTGCCCGCGGTCCTTCTTGAAGATGGCAAGAAAAAGAAGGGCGAAGGTGAAGAGACCGGGAAAAAGAAGGCAGAAGGAGATTCCGAGACTGCCGCAGAGAAGCCTGAGCCTTCAGAAGATAGAGCTGCAGCAGATGCCGATGACCAGTCAATGGCAATTGCTAGCAAGACTGTCGGCGCCCAGGTCGATGCTCTACTTGGAAAGCTCCCTGAGCTGCAGACTAAGGACCAGGTCGACCAGTTCGCTTTGGACTTTTGCTTTGTCAACTCCAAGGCTTCCCGCAACCGATTGGTGAAGGCTGTCTCGGATATTCCGAAAGGTCGTATTGATCTGCTTCCTCTGTACTCGCGACTGGTGGCTACTCTTGGACAATACTTGCCCGACATTCCGCAGGGGTTGACCACGTATCTCGATGAAGAGTTCCGAAGCCTGCAGCGACGAAAGTCAAAGGAGTTCCTGGGTCAGGTACGCATGAGCAATGTGCGCTATCTGGCCGAGTTGACCAAATTTGGCGTGGTTCCTGAGCACATCATCTTCCACTGCTTCAGAGTTTCGCTGGATGACTTTTCCCGCATGAACATCGAGATTATCGGTAATCTGCTGGAAAACTGTGGTCGTTACCTGCTTCGCAACCCGGAGACATCGCCCCGAATGGCGTCCTTCTTGGAGACTCTAAGTCGGAAGAAGACAGTGCAGCACTTGGCTCAGCAAGAACGCATGGTCATTGAGAATGCCATCTACTATGTCGATCCGCCCCCAAGACCGGCCATCCAGCAGAAGGAACGTACCCCCGTGGAGCAGTACATTAGACGACTGATCTATCTCGACATGAACAAGCGCAATTACACCAAGATTCTGAAAACCATCCGCAAACTCCACTGGGAGGAGCAAGAGATCGTCGATATCCTGGAGCGTGTCTTCAGCAAGCCAGTCAAGGTCAAGTACGGCAGCATTCATCTCCTGGCAATCCTTGTTAGTGCTCTGTACCGCTACCACCAGGGATTCGTGATTGGCATCGTCGACAATGTGCTTGAGCAGATTACGCTGGGTCTGGAATTGAATGATTTCAAGTTCAACCAGAAGCGAATCGCGGAAGTCAAATACCTGGGTGAACTTTACAATTATAAGATGATTGACTCACCCGTGATTTTCGATACTCTGTACCGCATCATCACATTCGGTCACGAAAGCGGCACCCCCGTCCCTGGGAAGATCAGTCCACTGGACACCCCAGATGACTTTTTCCGACTTCGTCTGGCGTGCACACTTCTTGACACGTGCGGCCACTGCTTTGATCGAGGTTCTGCGAAGAAAAAGCTGGATTTCTTCCTGACTTTCTTCCAGTATTACCTATTCACCAAGGACCCTCTGCCGATGGATGTCGATTTCCTGGTTCAGGATACGTACTCCAGTCTACGGCCCCAGTGGAAACTGGCCACCGACCCCGAAGAGGCTACCCGGATTTTCAGCGATGCAGTTGCCCAGAATTACAACGTTCCGGACTCCGAGAGACCCGTTGAGCTTGACGAAGAGGATGCGGAGAGTAGTTCGTCTGACGAGGGTCTAGAGGATGATGCTATGCCGGAGATCGAAGATGAGCAGGAGTCTAGCGATGAAGCCGAGGTATGTTCTCTTTCTAACTGGCTTTTCCCAGATACACCTTACTTACACGTCAAAGGCATCCGGTCCATACATCGACGCAAATGACGAGAGCGACTTTGAAGACGAGCATATCGTCGTGACGCGTCAAGAAGAGGAGCGCGACCCAGAAGTCGAGGCCGATTTCGATCGTGAATTCGAAAAGATGATGGCGGAGAGTATGGACTCGAGACGTTTTGAGCGTAAGGGCGTATTCGACATTCCCTTGCCTATGAAGCGAGTCCTTCGTGAGAACCCTGCCACTGAGTCTTCGACTGAATCGCCCACACCGGAACCAATGCCCACCAAGACCATGGCTTTCTCGCTGATGACGAAGAAGGGAAACAAGCAACAGGTCAGACCAACATCCCAAAAATCTTAGCAGTAGGGTGATCAAAATACTAACAACGTATAGACACGCACTATTGATCTTCCATCCGATTCTAGCTTTGCTGTTGCTATGCGCAGTCAGCAACAAGCTGATCGGGAAGAACAACAGCGTATCAAGAACTTGGTTCTGAACTACGAGGCTGCGAATGAACCCGAAGTTGCTGAGAGTAAGAACTGCCACCGCACAGAGAATTCGAGGTTTTTTTTGGATAGATTGCTGATGATGAAACTTTAGGTTTTGAAAAGCGAATCCCTGCCAATCAACGGGTCGACAAGTCCGGTGCAAACCGTTCTGCTTTCCGCTCCCGCAAGCTCCAACTCAGTGATGTGAACTGGTAATGAGGGCTATGAATTCAGTTTGACACGACTTTCGAATCTGGAGTGCCACCGTCTGGCCCTGGCCCTGTGAAACACGCATAGTCATAGCGAGGAATAAACCCTGTCCGTTTATCTGATCGAGCGCAGTCCTTGATCCATTGGGCCTCGTATCATGTCGATGAAGGAAGCCAGGATCTCTTCTCACCGCCTGGCGATCGATCACTCTTGCACGTCCGAGCGTGAATTCCAGTCTACGGTGTGCTGCTGTTGATCCTGCATGGCATGATCTCGTCTATGTTAATTCGGTGCAAGCCCGGCCCCTGCTAATTTCCGGCGCATGTGAATGCAATTGCTTTCAGAAGTGCAGTACACTATGGTGGACTACATGCTTCCGCCACTAGCATCGGCTGCTTCAAGGAAGACGGGGGGACCTCGGTAGCAGCTAGAGAAGGAACGTGCAGGAAACGATAGGCCAATGAAAAGCTCATTCAGCCTAAGGTTGCTCAGCAGATTTCTCATATTCTTTTACTGTAGTACTGTAGGAGAGGAGGGGATATTGGTGTTGCTCTCCTCTGATTTAGATCCATCAGTACTGAGGAAGAATATCATGGCTTATCTCCAGGAGTGAATAAGTTTTGGCTTCTAGTCAAAGGACAACTGAGCAAGACTAGGTCTATTAATCATAAAACACCATGGATGTGCATTTCCCGACTCAATAGTGTCCCCTTTCGTTACCATTTCCATCCACTGGCGTCATTGTACCAATCCGTCCGGTCAGATCGCTTAGCCAATCCGTACATGACATAGTCTGCTTTCCGAATTTGTTGGTTTGTATCACAAGGAGCCGCCATCCGAAACCCGCAAATGTGCCTATCAAAAAATGAGAATGAGAGTCAGTGCCCGCTTAAGAATCTTCGACCATGGAAAAAAACATATCACATACATCTTTCCAGTAGACTCATCATATATGAGCTTCGAGGTGGTGGCCATACAGGGCTTGAAACCGGAACGCAAAACTTGTCTATTTGAATAGTTAGCCTCTCAACAAAATATCTGTAGATAGTGGTTGAGGATATGAACTTACCGGTAGACCCGGCGAAATTCTTCGCGGATACTATCGCGCTGCTGTTCATTGAGACTCCAAAAATAGTCCTGAGACAGGGGCTCTCCCGGGACTTTCTCCCAGACAATCGAGATTTCATACCCACCGGGGACGATCTCGTTATCTCCCTGCGTTCCTTCTTGGTAACCTAGGAGTTGGGGAACGACAGGACATGCCAGGTGCTTCAGTTCCTTGAATGCCGCCAACTCCCTATTCGGCTTTTGCGGGACTGCCTGGCTAGCTCGGATACTAGAGGGGGCGGATTCGAAGCCAGAGATAGGGATTTGACGATAAATTCGCATAAATGCTAGCTTGTTTGGGTCGTCCTTCGGGTGGCAGAGAAACTTTGCGGCAGCGAATCCAGGCTTATGACCATCGTTGATATCCTGCTGCGTCATGAAAAAGGACAGCTCTTTGAGCTTTTTGGTGATAATCCATGTCCGAGTTGGCAACTGCTGGTTGGGCTTGGCCTCAGTAGTGATCTCAGTGCCCTCAGGGACCCAGAAAGTGGAACTTGGGGCGCTATGCATTTTGTTATGGGTAAAATTTCAGAGAGGGATCGTATGTGAGAAGGAAGCGGGGTACGGCTGTCGAGACGATTGAGGTAAAAAGGAAACAGAAAAAGTTGAGTCAGAAGAAGGAAGGTCCAGAACCTGCCGAACGCGAGCGTGACGCCGACACTTTATATGGTGTTGATGGCCAAGTAGTGCCTGATGCCGCAGGCACCGATTTCTACTAGTGGCTGATACCTAATGTTCATGGCGATGCCTACAGTAGGCATCGATGTGATTTCTAGGTACTCCCCTCTTTTACTCATGAAAGTTCCGGGGAATTCTTTGATACGGTCTTTTCACAACCAAGCTGTACCACTATTCAGTATGGGTCTCTTGCCCTATGAGTGCCTAATATTTCCACGTAGTAGGTAGAATAATAACCTGGTAAGCTAAGCGCGGAGACTTGGCCCACGCTCTTCCTGTTCACCAACCACCTCACTATAAACAGTGATATTTCTTTTCCTCGTCAGCTCCCTCGCCAGGTCAGCGCCCAGTACATGTTCTCTGCGTGTCTTTCCCATTAGCTTCATGCCTCGCGATAGGGCACGCTGTTCCCAATCAACATCTTCACCAGCGTCATCTAAATCAGCACTGATAGAGGTCTGTGATTAGACCCACGCCTTTTGACACGAAAGTACCCGCCTTTGCCAGAAGCAGTAGAATGCATGCCTTACTAGTCCACTCTCAGTTACAATCGAGCCAACACCCAAAGCCCTGGCTTCCTGGCCTGGAGCAATCCCGCAGATTCCAATGTCAAGCTCGGTGCCTAGGGTGTAGCAATCCAGTGAAAGTTCGCTATCACCAGCCAACTACTTCCGCCGAGCTCTTCTACATCTACCTGAATTATAACAGCAATGTCTAAGCTGTGGCCATTCTTCAGCTCACTTACATCCGATTTTGTGAAAACGAGAATTGCAACCTGATTCTCAACAGGCTCTACAGAGTCAAAGACCGCCTTCATGACCCCCTATCAGAATGACGATCCTCTCCCATGAACCCCTCATTCTGTATGGTTCTTCACAAACCCCACAACCACCATTAGCAAGACGCTGTTGACAGATCCGTGTTCCGTAAGTATCGGACTCAATCAGCAGCTCAACCTCGTGCAAATTTTCCCCGCGCCCCTTCCCCCTCCTTTTCAAGTCGTTAAGCAGCGAGCAAGCTACCGCGGTGTGATTGTTAGTAATTATCTTGCTCGTACTACTCAGATGCCTACAACATACCGGCCGCTGACAACCATAAACGTGGGAAGGTTGGTCTACCTTGAAATCGGAAGGAACGCGAGAGCGTTGATCCGGAGTCAGCATACAATCTTTCTTTAGGGGCTCTTTGACTTCATACCACCTGATCTAGTTGAGTAATCCATACGGATCCCTTTGGCATAGACCTGACGATCACATGCCTCGGAGCGCCGCCATCTCGGAGAGGGTCATGTCGGCAAAGCTCATAGATCTAGGTGTTTGTATTTTGAGGCGTCCAATTAATATCTAGATTGTCTCGCATCATGTTCCCCTCTCCCTCCACTTCCAACGATTAGTTGCTTGAAATGGTACCACGTTGGTTGATCCCTGTCTTTACTCGAGGTGGGAATAGACTTTCTATAACTAACTTTATCGAGGAAGAATTCAGAGTTTCACTTGCAACTTTTGATGATCATCTGCCCAGAAACTACTCCTAATCAATGAACCACTCAGATTTTGGCGTAATGTTAGCAACTGGCCCCTGATGAACTGCAAGACCGGCAACATAGAGAAAACACTGCTTGACTGAAACAACCGGCGAGCTTACCACATTCGTAGGTTTGGATGGGACATATCTGGTAGATCCTTGGATCACGGGGGAATATGATACTTCCCACACCCCGTTGATCAGCTCCTGTCTCAGAAAAATAGTCTCATCGTACGTGCTCAAAAACCCATACATGCAATTCAGACTTTGCATGTAGTTAATCGGTTGGGCGAGCAATTGTCTTAGCTCGTCTTCATCGTCGACATCAGCTAACTTGTGTTGCTCGATCCAGGGTACCTTCAGCTCCCCTATCACCTTTAGCTCGTTGTTGCTGTTCTTCAATATCACATCAGGTACACCAGTGTATGGGCTTCCTAGGCATTTGAAGTCGGCAAAACGTAGGTCGATTGATTGAGCTTCGAAGATATGCCCCATCAAAGTGCCTAGTGATTGCTGAAAGCGGCCCTGAACTCCGTGCTCGTCACCGACCTCCACTTTCTCTGTATCGAGGCGTTCGGTCTACTTGATCACTCTTCGTTTCCATCTCTGAGATTTGCTCGTTGCTTCGACAGCCCGTAGAAAATTAGACCATCGAGAGAGAGGGCCCAGGAAATAGAGGCTGTGGAGAGCAGTGGATTTCGTGTGATCCTGTCCGACCAAAAGAGTGGGAAGGTTGGCTGCCGTGGCAGCTTCGGCGTACATCTTTCGACCAAGACGAGGTGGCATGTTGACAGGATCTGTGATTTTCATCTGAATTTAGTACGACGCGCTTCATGCTAAGATGAATGTGGGAGTGAAACACGGTACCGTATGAAACTTGGTTGACTTGAATGGCTCTCAGTAAGTCGTTGTTTGGATCACCACAAGTTAAGTTATGAGTTGTTGAGAGGGAGAAGGATTATTTGATGGTGGGCAAGTGAGCGAGGTGGAAGGTTAAAACGGTGGATGTTGCTATGTTGTCGTGCTGCGCGAGTAAACTAATGCATCGAGGCTTTGCGCATTCTTTCCTAAACCGACACAGTGGCAATCTCCTTAAACGAGTCAACCGCAATACCATAGCTACCACCAGTGACGATACCAACCCCAAAAATACAGAACCGCAGAAAAGCACTGTGATAGTGGCAGCTTTAGCAGCGCCGATTCCACCCATGAACAGACCAAGAGGCCAAGTCAAAAGGTCGTCAGAACGATAAAATGGTGAAGGCACTAGTATAAATCTCGCCATCGGTTGCAAATTCGCCCTCGGAGTGTTGTAACAGATGGATTGTGACCGGAGGTAGAGAGATGTAAGAAGCAGACAAGATGACTCGGGAGACTTGGAGATTTGAAAGTCTCGCGGCATTTTCAAGATGGAGAGCCTGAACCTTTCGATTCAAAGTACTTGAACAACTCCGCATTCTGGGTAAGTGTGAAAATGGGACCGTAATATCGACATTCGGGAAGTCTGATACTATTTATTCGTCAGTTTAATACTTCGATAATAATAATAGTGTGCTGTATATAGCAGGTGGATACTCTCCAGCCTGCCTCGAGGTGAACTTGCTTACAATTCCCCACATCCGTAGTCGCGGGTAGTTCCCGAGCTACTTTCCGAACCTTTCGAATATACTTTCCTCCTAGCGCCAATAGGCTATATCTGCTCTCCCCGCGATTTTGAACGATAATTCATGAGCGGGGTTACTGTGGGGTTGGTATCGTGTCCGTGGCATCAATTCTGGGGTAAATTAGCACGGACAGTAGCTAATTGAGTACACCTTAATCCATACTCGGCAGTGAGCGGCGGCAATTGAATATGTGACTTTTCCAACAATCGGAAATTGACAAAGGCATCGTCACGACTGTTGTCTAGTCAGGCAATATTTTGGAAGCTGTCCATAAAGACGAGACACATTCGTACAAATTTGAGGAAATCAATCGGCATCCAGAGAGGCTGCTGCTCCTCTTTTTTGGTTTCATGACCGTTCGTTTATATACGGTTTACTTGATATCGGATCCTAGAAGAGATGGTTTTGGATAATAAATTGGAATTGGAACATATCCATGTTGACGACGTTGGGGGAGGGGATTCTCCGGTCATTTACACTGCTGCCAAAGAGCTGAAGGTGGTTCGAAAGTGCGACTTACGCGTTGTACTAGTTCTTAAGCTTCTCTATCTTCTAACCTTTCTTGACCGCATTAACATTGGTAATGCACGTGTGCAAGGCCTTGAGCATGATCTGAAGATGAAAGGCGGGCAGGGCAGTACAACTACACGCTCTTCATCTTTGTCATTCCTTATATTCTTTGCGAGGCTCCGTGCAACCTGATCATGAAGAAGCTAGCTCCTTCCACATGGATTAGTGGAATTATGATGGCTTGGGGTATGTCTTTTCCTCGTTATCTTTGATTTGACAGAGTCAGTCATACTGATCTAGAAAGGTTGCGTGACCATTGGCCAATGCTTTGTCCAAAGCTGGTCTGCTTTGATAGCTTGCCGCTTTTTGCTCGGATTATTCGAGGCCGGATTCCTGCCAGGTATGTAATTCTCAATTGAAACGAAGTGCTCACTAACAAAATTGCAGGCTGTGTCTATCTGATTTCAATGTACTACAAACGCCTCGAGCTCCAGTGGCGGTTGACGCTCTTTTTCACTGCTAGTATTCTATCAGGAGCAATAAGCGGGGTAAGGTTTTTTCCTGCAAGATTTCAAGCAATCTGATTCTCATACATGGACTTAGTTACTGGCGTATCGAATGTCCTATATGCAGGGCCTTTGAGGATATTCGTCCTGGCGATGGATATTTATTCTCGAAGGGATCGCCACCATAGTCTTTGCGCTTATTGCAAAATTGCTGATTGTGGATTGGCCTGAGAAAGCTTGGTTTTTGAGCGAGACTGAACGTACGATTCTTCTTACACGTCTGAGATTCAACAAGCAATCGTTCGGCAAGGATCACCTGGGCCGGGGTCGCCACACGCAGAATACTGAGCGACAAAAAGATTTACTTAGGGTATGTGAATCAAAAAGTCATAAAGAATTTTACTAACGTATTAAATAGTACGATCATGTATCTGGGTGCTTTGAACACGGGATATGCAACTTCATTTTTCACACCGTCTATCCTTCGAGATATGGGATGGACGTCTTTGATGGCGCAAGTGATGAGTATCCCGATCTATGTCGTGGCTGCAATCATGACGCTTTGTACAGCCATTCTCAGTCAGGAGACCAAGCGTGCCCGGTAGACGCGCTTCAGAAACTACTACTTCTGGACCCCAAGGGGGCCGACGCCCCGCTGTTCTCCTTCCACCGAAGAATAATTAATCGTAACAATTTCCTCTCAACCTTATCTACTGAGCTGAGAGCACTTGGGTTACAGACGGACGGCTACTCAGGCCACAGTTTTCGGAAGGGTGCGGCTCAACCTGCACACGATAGTGGGATCCTCGACGACCAAATTCAAGCGCTCGGGAGATGGACCTCGGAGGCTTTCAGGGTGTATTTCACGACAAAATACGTCAGACTTATACAAGCTCAATCACCAGTTCCAGACAGGCTCGCCGGCTCAACTGTCTTTACTGGCTCCACCACCGTCCCCTCCACCATCCTAGTTTGGCCCGGCTCATTTGGGCCCTATCTGCCGCTACGATCTAATGCGTTACGCATAAGACCGTAGCGACAGGTGACCCATTACGGCCAAACCATACACACTGTCCCCTTGACTGCGTAGAGGTAACCAATAAAAGACTTGCTTGCTTGCTAGCACCGGTGGGACCAAGAAAACAGGTAAGAATTCGCAAAACAAGACTCGAAACAAAACACTACCAGCAGCTGAGCAGAAGGTCTCTGAATTTTTCCTCCCGCAGCGCCGTGTAAATTTTGCTCACTTGCGAGCCGATACACTCCTTCCCTTCGAACTTTTCTCTGATGTAAGTTGGGTGGGCATCAATGCCACTGTGAGGTGGCACCTTCAGATCTTCTCGAACGAACTTGTACAGTTTTTGGGACGAGCTGCAGAGATATGTCTTTGTTGTGGGGTTAGCCAGGAACTTGGTGCGAGCAGTTTCATAACTCTGCTGCAGGGCAACAGCGACGCTGCTCTTCCATTGCCGAGCGTTTCCTTCTTGAGAGATTCCAACATCCGCAGGAAGGAGATCAAGGAGTGCGCCGACTGAGGCATTTGCAGCTGCCACACAACGATCGCAAAGATCACTGGTGCTGTTTCGGCGCCATTGGTGCATAAGCTCCTCCCACATTGTCGCCGAGATATTCTTGATATTAGCAGGGGCGACCGGGAAAGTACTGCTTGTCATGTCGTCGATCTTCGGGCGTACGTCTTTGACAAATTCTGCATGTAGCACGCGTAGGTCCACAGCTTGACACAGGACGTAGAGGTAGGTCGCTGTCATCAGCGACAGAACTTCGACAGCATCACCAGCATAACGGCAGCCGATAAATGCCAGTGAATTGATGGCCTGGTTGTGCATTTCCGCTGACTGAACGTGATTGCTGATAGGATGGTTCAGATAACCGAGCTCAGACGTGTAGGATGCCATGTTGATATCGATGCCCTTAAAAGCGAACGACAGACTCGGATCATCCATGCACAAGTTTGGAGGAAGGCCATTGCTCAAAGTAGGGTTGAGCAACTCTGAACACTGCGAGAAAATCATTTTGCCAATCATTTGCATGGCGCTCAAGGTTTTCTCCATAGAGGACGTGATCGCTGCAGCTTGAAAGTTGCCGCCGTGGTAGATATTGCCATCTTCCGGATTAATCAGAGGATTGTCCGTTGTCGAGTTAAGTTCTGCCCGAACCTGCTCTAGCGCTAAAGCCATATTTTCAATCTGGGGGCCAATCCATTGCGTCGATGTTCGAAGAGCGTAACGATCCTGAGCGAGTCCGTCATGTCCGGGACCAGCTGGCGTGGCCAATTTGGAGTCAAGCAAAAAATTGAAGATGTTTTTCGCAGCCTCGATTTGTCCGTCGTGGGGGCGTGTCGAGGCAATGAATGGATGATAGTTACATATCATGCCCAGCATGGCTTCAGTACCCATAGCTGTTAGAAGCTGGGATAAGAGGACCAGCTGACTGGCTTCGAAAAGAACCAAGCTTGCCGCGCCGCAGCTGAATGCCGTTCCATTCAATAGTCCAAGTCCCTCCTTTGGACCAAACTCCAGAGGCTTCAGATTCAGCTCGGTGAGCGCTTCATCAGCACCTACAATTCCTCCATTCGCTTTGTGAACTGAGATGTCGGGGTTACCCTCCAGCGCTCCAGCGATGTATGCAAGTGGAGTTAGATCGCCCGAGGCTGAGATACTTCCCCGGAGAGGAACCACTGGGGTCATGGAGTTCCGCAAGAAGGTGCAGATGTACTCAATCACCTCTGGTCGGACGGCTGAGTGACCGCGGAGCAGGGAGTTGCATCGAACCAACATCGCAGCCCTGACAACCGGTACAGGGATGCTGTGGCTTTTCATGGAATGTGAATTGGTAAGGTGAGAGCTTTCCCTTCCTCGGTCAATTGGGAGTAAGACTGCCGCATTGTGATGTTGGATCAATGCCTTTTGCAGAGCAACATAATTGCTAGTCCGGCTATCTGCACTTCCCCCAAAACCGGTGTTGACACCATAGACGATTTCACCACGGGTGAGCTTCTCGTTCAGAAGATCTACACTTCTCTTCAATACTTGGTGGACCTCTGGGCTGTCGGTGAGGGCCACATCATAACCGTGTCTTTAGCAGATTAGCATGCATAGAAAGAAGGGATTAATCGCTCACAGGCTTCATACCTTACAACGGCCACAACCGAGCTCAAGTCCAAAGATTGACCGTCTAAAACAACCCGCGTCTCTTTACTTAGAAGGGTTCGCACCTGGCGGCATATTTGAAGCGTCGTATCGGTGAAAGACGCGCTCTGCTTCCAATTGAAGGCGGAGGCTTCTTTGCACACGGAATATTCAAATGATTCGCCCATTGCAATGATATACCTAGGTATGATCCCCTTGGGCGTGAAATATCGGTCGAACAAAGATATTTATACGGAGTACAGTGACGGTTCATAAGTATTTGCATCCCCCAATAGATGAACTAGTTATCTTACGCTAGGGGAAATCGGAGACGCTAGGATCTTGGACGAGGCAAAGCTCTTAGCCTTCTTCACTAACTCCACCTCTCCTTTTCGACTCATAAAACTCGGCTGCGGCTGAATCCCTCACCGCTATTTTCTTCTTTCCACAATCTGCATGCATACGGAGTGGGTCCCCGGGCCCACTGCTGAGGATATTCAAACCAGTTCTATCACACCAGAGCATTTACTCCGTAGCGCATGCAAATATTGACCCACAACGTAGTTTCCGAACACAAAAGGTCGATCTTTATCCACATCAGTATACCCGATTGCTGGTTCTCTTTCTGTACAGATGATTTATATCCTGTGGGACTTTCGGACCTGTCGACTTGAGAAAACACTTTGGCAGTGCCTGTATGGCAATCCTGAAACTTAATCTTGAACAGCTTGAGCTAGGTCGTTTTTCTTTCCCTTGATTTTCACTATTCAGTCTTGTAAACAACCTTTCCTTGACAATCATGGTGGCAGACTACGCTTTCTCCTTCTCCAATCTTCTCACGTTCGCAGTATCCACAGCATGATTTGTCTTCTTATAAACTTTTGCTTTCTGCCATCCAATTGTCAACCTGAGGCGAACTCTCCATAATTATTTTAATTGCTACTCGACATTATTCCTCTTGATCCTTTTACCGTCCTCCAATATGTCTGAGCTGGGGGATGATTCCGCCGACAAGGTTGAGTCGTGTCGAGAACCCTTCAACTGCTCTATGTTGCCCATAAAGCACTGTCCATCTCCTTTCTCCGCATCGCAGGTGGTTGAGTATCTCCAAGCCATCAATTTTCAACCTCTACCTGTTTGGAGAGCGGAGAGCGAGTGGGTGGATTTTAAGCCAAATCTCGAAACGTTGGAAAAGCTCATGCGGCTGCATATTATCGCTTTTCCCTATGAGAACACTGAGGATCATTAGTACGTTGCTCATCACTTCAAATATAAGTTGCTAACACTCAATGAAGTACTGCGAAAGGTCGCATCTGCTGGAAGGAGCAAGACGTGTTCAAGCGGCTCGTGACCGAAAAGAAAGGATACGGCACCGTTTGCTTTGGCCACGGGTTTTTCTTCAGAGGGATTCTTCGTGCGCTTGGATATAGGTCAGTATTCTGCGGACATCGTCGTCTATTTAAGCTTGTCGATTAAAATGTACTGCAGAGCTATCGCAACCGCGACCCGCAATAACGCCATTTGGAACACAAGTCTTGGCACTCCAGCTCTCACGCCCATCGGCCATACCATCCTTCTGGCAACTGTACCTGGCCACAAGATTCCTTTCTTGGTCGATGTTGGGTTTGGCGGGATCCATAATTTGTCATTACTGTCTAAACCTGTCCCGCTCATTGCTGGCGCCATAACCGGCTCGTTTACTCCACCGGAGGAGTACAGACTCATCCCGGGAGACAACACAGAGTCATCACTTGAACCAAATCCCTGCGCGCCATGTGGCTGGTGGTTGCATGCGCGTCATTCCACTACTGCTCCGTGGAGAACTATATCTTACTTCACGTTGGAGGAGTACACCGACAAAGACTTCGAGTATTTTGTCTATAGCATGGTCACCATGCCGAATGGACCCGGTCATACAAAACTGTTTTGTATTAAGGTAGTCAAAGGTCCTAGTGGGATTCTCGAGCGCTACGCCGTTGCTGGTAAGTTCGCGACGAAGCAAGTCGGTTGTGGGGAGAAAGTCGTCATCGAGACTTTCAAGTCGGAACACGAGAGAATCGATGCGATACGGCGGCTTTGCGGAATACAGTTGGATGTAGCGGACGCGCTGAAGCACATGGCAAAGAGAAAGATCGCATTGCCAATTCAAGAGTCTAGTCGATTGTAGCATACGGGATGACGACATCTTTGCAGAATTTATGGTGTATTGTTGGATATCCACCCATCGGGATAGACAGGCACTTTTGCTATCATAGTAAAACACACTAGTTATACGGCGCCATCTCTCGCATGTCTCGCCATTTCTCGCGTTTTTTTAGCTATTTTACACCATTTCATAAAACTTACCTTTTGATGACTCGATCCCTTTGACCTCGAGGGTTTGCAGGGTTTGTCGTCTTCTTTGGCCCTGCATGAAGCAGGCCGGGGATTTCCTGCCAGGTCCAGGCCTGTTCGTTCGCTTTGTGCTTTAGGCCTTTATAGGCCTTCTTCCTTTCCTGTCTGCTTCTTTCCTAGTCGTCTTCGTCTTCCTGTTCTAGATAGACCAATTGACTCAGTCTCCCTCTTCTCTCTTCGCTTCCTGTGCCAGCAGTGCCGTGGGCACTGTCACCTTTCAAACCTGCTATTTTAACTATGCCTTCACGCTCATTTCGCTCTCAGGCACCCGGCGGACGATCAAAAAGAGCATAAAAGACGTGCCGGTGTCTCGAAGCCATGTCCTGATCGGTCTAAGAAGCTAAATGCACGATGCTAAGCGGATCTCATTTTGCGCGCTTCAAGATCTAATCGGCAGCGTACGAAGAATGAAAATTACAATTTTCCCTGCGTTTCAAGTTCCATAGTACATGGGTTCAAATCTACATGCACCCCACTATTTGGAGAAGTTTGATAAATTGAGGCTGCCGATCTGAATCGGACATGTCAAAATATGGAAAATTCTCTCTCGTGCCCTCCGATAACAATTAGTTGAATGTGCCGGGTGCTCCACATTCAACTCAGCTTGTATTTCCAAGCCGTCGGTCTATCTCCGATCAAACCCTGCTGCTCGAGAAGCTTGCATTGTAGGGAGTATTTAATAATAATAATAACAACAATAATAATAAAATTCCTCAGGCTGTTCACGACCTAAGGTCGTATGTAGTCCCCTAGCTAGTGTGCGCTGCTCCGTAGGAAATGTACATTTGATAGCGTAACCACGTGCGTAATTTCGGGTTCAGATCTTCCTCACCCTTCAGGAGCCAGCCGTCCCGTCTCCATTGCAAACGTGATGCCGGCTCTGGCAATCTTGACATCGGGTTTCCATGCTCTACATCGAAGCAAGGAATGTGGGACTGTTTCGCGCTCGACGCCACATTCGTACAAATCACCATCAATCTTGCCGATTCGATGAAGATATCCATTCAGTCTTGCATGTCCCGTGTGGAGCTGAGCTAGTATCGATGCTTTCTCTCGGTCGAGGCTATCATATAGCATCTTCGTGTGGGGCCCTGGGAGAGCAGAATCCAGCTGGCGAGTAAATTGGCCAGTGGTCCACAGTTGGAAGTTGTCTTTCCGGTGCTGTTTACCATTCGCCCGAGCCCGTCGCAACGCCGACGCCCGGAGTTGAACTCGCGCCTAGGGCGGGGAATTCACTTTGCTGTTTACTTTCAGTCGCGTTGCGTGCGAGGTTGTGTGCTCGTGCAGTATTCTCGCAGTCTGCTTCCGTTGGCGGCCACAGGTGGACTTTGGCGCTAATCTCCGCCACCCGGGCAATTGCTTCCGTGATCTGAGTGATAAGAGCCTACGGAGTATTTATGGCAATTATTGGAGGTGGGCGCATATGTTTCCTGCCCCCATTTTTTCCGCTTCATCTTGAATTGACCAATAATGGACGAACCTATATTTCTTCGGCATGTTCAATTATCATTATTTACTTTCTTCTACTTTGGTAACAGTTTACAAATATACAGGATTGTTCATATTCTCCAGTCGACTCTACTATATCATATATCAAGATTGTGCCTAGGTACATCATCTGGCTCTTATTTCGTGTTCAGGATTTGTAAATCAATCTTCCCAACCAGTACTGACAAGGACAATACCGTTAAGCGGACAGGGATCGGTTTACGTAGTACTCCGTACATTGTACCACGAAGTTTTGCGGCAGGCCGCTGAGGCTGCTGAGAGCTCGTTTGCCTATATTATTCCTCGAGGACACGTTTTGGATTATGGCGTGGACTTGAGGATTAATTGTAAAATAAATCAAATTGTGAAATCCTAGTTGGTCCCAGCACGATATCTTAGGGTATTCACGATGTATGCCAATGATTGAGCCCATTTCCCGGGAGTACGATTGTATTGGGCGCAAAAGGATTCTTCTGGCCATTGAATACAATGGAATTTCATGGCAAGGCTCAAACAAGTACTACCACACAGGCGAGCTGGAAGGCAGTGCAATTTTGACGGAGACTCCTAGACGTCACTAGCACCTCCCTATCTGCTGAGCCCTTCCTATCTGGCGCCCTTGCCTACTCCCCACGGACGGCCATCAGGATATCCGGGTACCACCTTTCCCCAACTTCGGGATAGGCCTTGACCCTAATTCGCAGAAGCGCCTCTCCGACCTTATTCACCACAGCTCCCTTTCTGAGCGAAAATTTGACGTCATCCACGCGTCCGCCGTTCCTCTCAATCACCTCCAGCCTCTGCCGGCGCACCTCCTCCGGCACCGCGCCAATACCCACTGTTTCCAGCTCGTCAAAGTCGGCGTCGAGTCGCACACCCTGGAAGAACGGCATCGAGAAGCGCGCCCCCGTCCCTGCCGCTGGGCTCAAAACACGGTGCGTCGTCGCAACGCACACGCCCTTCGTCAATGCCTCCATGCTCTGTCCGATTGATACGACGAGGGTGCCGTCCACTGGGGGGCAGTCGATCCACTCGCCCAGCATATTTTGCACCTGGAGCCCGTGGTGCTGGGTCGCCTGTAGCAGGTACGACGTGAGCATGCTATCTTTGTGCGGGCCAACGCCCTGACCTTTCTGCGTTTCATCGACATTTCCGGGCTCCATGCTCGGATACTTGAGGATCTTAAGCTTGTTCTGCTGATCTGTGTCGAAGTACTTGTTGAAAGCGTCGGCGGGGAGCCCGATGGCTTCCGCGACGAGGGAGGTAAAGTACATAGACACGTGGCCCATACGGCGCATATAGTCGGTGTAGACTTCGCGGAAGCCGGGTAGGATATCCTCCGATGGCCACTGGTTCGGCGCAAGGAAGTTGTGGTAGAGCGGCGAGCCGGGTGCGGGAATGGGGTGCTCCGTCGACAGTTCGATTTGTTCACGGCGGTCCACCTCGCCGGCCGTCATTTCGGCAGATACACCAGAATATCCTAGAAAAGATGGTACATTTTTCATATCAAGTTTGTTTCTGAAAACATGTCAAACCATGTTCACAAAGATTCTGGAGGTGGGGAGAGTCCTACTTCTCTTCAAGAGGAATGTCAAAAAAGGATTTGCCTCTTTCAATGACTTCCTGAAACAACTCCGGCGGGATGTCCACGTTCTTCAGATATAAAAACCCAACCTCGATGAGTGCATGGCGCAGCTGCTTGAGGAATTCGGGCTTGGTCGCCGAATCCCTAGTCAGCTCCAGATCCAGGATGGGAATGGATGTAAAAGACATAGCAACGGCTTTGATTGATGAAACTCGGTGGCAGGTCTCTTGTCGCGATTTATCTTGATTTTTTTACTAAATATATTGCAATGTTAAGTAGTCGAATGGCGAGAAGAAGGCCAAATCGGGCCCTAATACAATATACATTCAGACCAGGCTGAATTTTTTTTAGACCGCCCTTACTGATATACTGTAAGTAATGCCGTCAATAAATACGTGGCTGCATCACAGTCACATCGAAGGGGCTAGCGATAATATCAACATTCAGACCCACCTTTTCATAGTCTATTGGTCACTCCAGGTGGGGTTCAATCGGAGCTGAAATCGCGCTTGGACACTAGATCGGGGATGATTGTGTTCCCGAATTCTATAGGCTACCGTCAGCGCGAAGAAGAATTGACGGGTTGGTCGATATCGGTGCCCTTCGCTACGCTGCGACCCACCCATCCGCTTCCGCGTATGGGTGCGCCACCTTTTCATGCCCACCACCTTTTCATGCCCAATTTTCGAATACACCACACATTCAGCTACTTCAACCACCCAATATGCCTAAATCTGCTAATTTCAACGAAGAACGTATGGCAAAGGCCTTCGCAGCCGCTATGCGCGAAAAAAAACCAAATTTCTCCAAAATTGCGCGTGAATTCGACGTGTCTCGCGATACCCTTTCGAAGCGCGTCAGAAAGGCCAAATCGCCTCCTACACCGCAGGATTCGCAGAGAAACGCCCTTCGTGCATTCCAGGAGAAAGCCTTAATCAATTGAATAGCTAAAATGCGCGATTGGAACCTTCCCCCTACCGCAGCGATTATAGAAGCGTGGGCGAATCGTGCGATCGCACGAGGGGGCGAGCCGGAGAGGCAGGTTAGCAAGATGTGGGCGTATCGCTTTATAGTACGTCTTCTAGCGTATCTAAAGCTAGCCCCAGTGAAGCAGAAGACGAAGGAATTAAAGCGAATCCAAGCCGAAGATGCAGGCTTCCTTGCGCATTAGTACTATAAGCTAGCAACTCTCCTCTATGATATACCCCTACGGCTAGTATACAACTTCGATGAATGCGGCTTCTAGCCTGGCTAGGGGCGATCAAGGAAAGTTATCGGCTCTCGCTTATCTTGCCCTGATCTAGCTAAAACTAAGCGAGGCGAGACTATCACTGCAGTTGAGTGTATCGCTGCTGACGGCTGGCTAATAGATCCGCTCTTTATCTTCAAACGTAGCGGATCTAACTTCATAGAAACCTGGTACAATGGTAGCGAAGCCCTGCCGCCTAACACAGGCACTGCAATATCACTAAACGGCTGGATTTCTGATGAATTAGCACTAGCTTAGCTAGGCTACTTTATTACTACTACTGCTGGTGATCGCTTACGATCAGGCGAGAAGCGATATCTTATATTCGACGGGCACGGCGCGCATCTTACCCTCGAATTTCTGGAGAAATGCGAGCAGTATGCGATCGTACTATTCGCATTTCTACTGTATTCTACACACCTCTGTCAACCGCTTGATGGGAAGCCCTTTTTGAGTTATAAACAGCAGTTTCGCCTTACGAATAATGAGCTATCGTTCTGGGGTGGTCGACTGTATGGGAAATCAGATTTCCTGCGGATTATCGGGCCAATTCGCGAAAAGGCCTTTAATCCGCGAATTATTCGTCAATCTTTCAAAGAGCGTGGTATTTACCTAGTCAATGGTAGTCAGATTGTGGATAATCTAGCGAATCAGCAAGATCCTCCTGAACTATATGCACCGGAGCTTCGGTCGTATATTCGTACACTATCTCCAGAATTTCTATCTTCCAGCGTGGAAAATAGCCCTCCCACTACTGTCGAAGCGCTGGAGAGGAATCACGCGAAGATATTAAGAGATCTTCAGGTTAATTCAGCGAAGGCTTAGCGAAATTTAGCCAAAAATTTCAAACACTAGCTAGATAAGCTGGAGGAGCTTGCTATGACGCAGGATTCACTTTGGCGCGTTCGGGCTGCGCAAGACCCCCAACGTCGAGTATATACTAAGCGGCAGGTTAAACCGCTTAGCCAGGATGGTATACTAAGGGCTCGTGATGCGAATCGGTCAATTAAAAAGAGAAAGGAGAAGGAAAACGCTGCAGAGAAGCGGAGGATTGATAAGGCAGCGGAGAAGGCGTACGGCTTCAAGCCTTCACAACTATCGGATGAGACTATTCAGAGTGCAAAGGATAGTGCGAAGGAAGCGAAGGATAACGGAGAGCTCTTCTATATGGGTTAATTGCGTGTTTTTAGCTAGTTTTGGTTGATTAATCGCATGGTGTATTCGAAAATTGGGCATGAAAAGGTGGCGCACCCATACGCGGAAGCGGATGGGTGGGTCGCAGCGTAGCGAAGGGCACGGATAGTTCATGACGATCATGGTCATTCAAAACTAATTCCTTGGTGGCCCCACTAGTCCTATTCCTCCCGAGTTATGCATGATCATCAGTTTCACCCTTGATTCCTGATACCCTCCTTATTCCCCTGATCATATTTATCTCTACTTGAAAATCCTTCCAACTCATTCCGGGCTCGCCGTCTCCATCGATACGTGAATTGGACAAAAAAGTGTATAGGATTGTGTTTGCGTGCTTCATCTGGAATTCCCGAGAAAAAAAATGTCCTCCAGCATTAGAAAACCTTGGGGATATCGATGGCGCTCATCGACTTTTTTCATCCTCTCATGTGTCGCATTAGCTTTATTCTCAGGTTTGTGAGAGAAAACTTGCAATCTTGTATGACGCTGACATCTACTAGAAAACTTTCTGTACAGCTTCATCGTCCCCATTCTACCAACCATACTGGAAGACCGTCTTCACATTGACCCAAGCAAGGCACAAGTAAACACTTCGGCTGTACTTTCTATTCACGCTTTGGTGTGTTTTCTTTCCGGGCTACCTATCGGCAGCTGGGCGGATCGAAACGCATCACGGAAAGGACCTCTTCTGCTCTCTTTAGGTGGAGAAATTGCGGGCACAATTATTGTCGCCACTGCCACGTCACGTATGCTATCGTGGCTTCTAACTTTCATAATCTTGAAGGGGCTAATTTTGCTGTAGTTCCGGTACTCTTCCTTGGGCGCATAATCCAGGCCATCGCGGGTAATGCAGCATGGATTATCGGTTTTGCAACAGTAACCGACACTGTGGCGGCCGAACACAGGTCGCGAGCCATTTCGGTGATCTCCGTTTTTTTCATATCCGGGTTGTTGGTTGGTCCTATGGTCTCCGGAATATTCATGAAGCTTATTGGGTACTGGCCGACCTGGCTTATAGCGATCGCCATCCTCGTTATTGATATGATCATGCGACTTGGTATGATCGAAAGTCCTGCCGGGTTAAAAAAAGACGTTGATGGGTCAAGATCCGATTCCAATCCATCAGACGAGACCTCTACTCTTATTTCCAGGTCCAGGTCTTCAACTGGCGAATTTAGACAAGAGGAAACTCTACAGCAGAATGCTAACACAGGATTGTATTCAACTGAAACAGCGACCGAATCCTCGAACCAAAACTTTTACAAGGTTATGCTCAGCAACCCTCAGGCTCTTACTGCCATGGCCTGTCACGGAGTCAATGCTCTTACTCTGGTCAGCTTTGATGCTACTCTGCCCCTGCATGTCACGCGGGCTTTTGGTTGGGACACATCTCGGATAAGCTTGATGTTTCTGCTACTGCAGCTGCCGACAATGTTCCTCTCCCCCCTCACCGGATGGATGAAGGATCGGGTTGGAACGAACGGTCCCGCTAGTATAGGATTCTTGGCCACCGCATTTTTCCTTTGGATTCTAGGCACCGCTGGTCCGGATGGACTCTCATTTGTGGGTTCTAGAGAGAAGGGCCAGGCCGTTTACATCTCTTCCATGCTTGGTTTGGGCATTGTAAGATCTTTACTTACGGGATGCGGGGTTATTGAGATGACTAGTAAGTTCTCATCGGCGATTCTATATTCCTTTTTCAAATTATTAACACCGTTCAATGCAGGTGTTGTTACAAAACTACAGGAGACACAGCCCGCTATATTTGGACCGAATGGTGGATTTTCAAGGGCATACTCCCTTACCAACATGAGCTGGACATTTGGTATGCTCATCGGGCCTATTCTTGCAGGTTCTCTTAACCAAACTGTGGGATATTACCATATGAATATATGTCTTGGTAAACAACTCTTCGCATTTAAAGTTTGTGGTGTTTTTCATGGTACTAACGTTACGAACATCGCAGCAATCATCTGCTCCATATGCGCTATCCTCACTTTCTTATACTTCCACAGGAAATAAAACAAAAACCTGCCTTGCCTATTGTCTAACATTAGACTCAACTATTCTTCTAGACAACTGTCAGTGCGCTCCGCCAATTTCTCACGTATTGGGTCTCTCTGTCTACTAGATAACAGTAATGGAACCGTCTTAACTGTAGCGCTTTTTAACACAACCGTGCAACTCTCGAGTTCAGTTATGCTTCAGCCTTTGGCCATCACTTTGGATAAATTCGGACACCCTCCTGGATAGGATCCCAGGTGAGCATAGAATATCGACATGGTAAGCCCTCGATTAATCAGTAAAAAAACTGTATTATCGCGGAAAGTTCGTCCAGGAGCCAATCGGCATCCTTTAATCAAAGCAACGGGGCTGGTTTTAAGCTACATGATCACGAGTGGAATCTGTATCCGTCGGGACTAGACTTGAAACCAAGATTATTTTATTTCTGCGACTGGCTAAGCACTTTAATTCGATCGCCATTGTTCAATCTTTAGACGAGGTTCATCGAACACCAAACAGGCAGCTCCTCTAACACTTACCCCTAGTGCTGTTCCTAGGATCCGGGCCCCAATCACATTATTCACTCCGATTCATGAACTACTGATCCATAGTCTTGAAATGGAAATGCCTCTGGACTGAATGCTAGGAATGACGGTACACCCCATCTCAACACAAGATAGATCGGCTCAATCGCCTCGCTCAGGTGGGGGTACTCTCACTCTTCCGGTTGATCACTAAACATTGCTTTGCCACCGTGCGGGCGTCTTCAACATTGTATGCAGACTACTTTCATCGATCTCTTCTGGGTTTAGATCGGCGTCTATCTAGCTTGCTTCCAATCTTGTGCTCCGGTACTTGTCTGGCGCAGCTTAAGGGTTAGCGCTGATTTCTGTGAGAGCACGGCCTTGAAATATTCCCTGCAAGCCCGGTGGAGCCATCGCATTGCATTCTGTTCTAGGCTCAGGGACATTTCCCAAGTTGCTTTTCGACCAAGTAGTGCTTAACGCTGCTCCCGATTCCAGTATTCCTGTCCGATCGCCTGTAATGAGACGGTTACAATTCTTTCGAGAGGCGTATCATCCGAGCTTAAGTGAGGCATCTTCATTCTTATCTCATTTGCAGATCCCCTACGATGGATAGCCACGGGTTTTCGTGAGTTACCGCACAGTTCATGAGAGACCCGAAGTGCGGAAGCTGAGATACGGACAGTGATCTCTGCTGCCGAAGAAGCTCAGTGGGTGGCAAGGGCAGAGTACCTTTCCACCTCGGAGATAAATTGTTTCCCTAGCTATGCTCTTGTATCCCAAAAGTCACCCACACAATGTCAATCCTCGTATTCGCAAACAAGTTTGCTGGGTCTCGGCCTCGATCGATTCTTCTGGACAGATGGCCACGACTTAGTTATATAGACGTGAGCATAATTTCAGCCAAGTAGCAGTCCTTCATGGCTAGAACGGATGCACAGATCAGGTGCACTGTGACCTGATACCCCTCTGTCGAGTGGAGCTGTACCTACGCAAAAGAACACATAAGGGTTGTCAATGACCGTGATACTGTTGACCGTGACCTTGGGACTGTTGCTATGACAGTCATACTCATGCAAAGACCATTGGCTCATTAAACCGCGATGGGAGATTTAATCGGCCTTCGAATGTCTACAAACCTCAATGGCCAGGGGCACTATGTTAGGGTTGCAACAACGCCTGGTTTTCCAGTAGGGCACACGCTTCCTCGCGACTTTTACTATGAACAATACGTATCCAAACTCCAAGCCACCGCCGATGCAGGAGTGAGCCAGCATGATCTGCCTGCGAAAAGCGCTTTCAGATCGTCAGCCAAGAATGATGAATCGATCCGCTCTACCAGAAGGGTAAGTATTTCACTCGCAGGAACTTCGTGCCAAAGATCTCTGAAATGATTGCTGATTCAAAATTACAAACAGAAGCGCGAGAGCCCATGTGAAGGAGAGTGAAGATGAGGATGACTTTGAAGAAACCGATAGTGATGAAGATAAGGACTGTGGATGCGATGGGGTGCAAAATCTATGCATTTGGGCCCACATGGCCCACGACAATCCAGGCAGCAAAGTCACCCGTGGAAGACATGCATTGCGAGCACAACACTTCAAACATGATCTTCGTTTAGTTAGATTGCAGGTCGCTAGGGCTAGGGCCTACAGGAGTCAAAAGCGGTTGGGGACCAGGCGACCAGGGATTCAAAAACCGAACCATAAATGGGTCAAGGCCCGTCGGATTGCTAGCAAAACATGTCTTCGTCGGTCACAGAAGGTATTGGAGGACGCGACTCATGAAAAACCAAGAAGCATTTGATGTCAACGTCGCAATTCTTGTTAAATTGTTCACTCGAGCTGTAGTTGGAACAGCCGTATCCATGACCGAAATTCTTTACTCAATTGGCCATTGCTTCTATTTTTCTTTCTACTACAAGCGTACGTTACGTGTGCTAATTTATCCCTTCGGCAGTCTTCCCCGCATGCGAACTTGGGACTGTGGAAAGAGTCCAAGTAGGTCAGGCTAGCTGCCCGATACTCTCCATTCAGGCATCCATTTACAGACTGCCCAATTTTCGAAAATGTGGCCGCATCTTCTCTGAGGAGAAATACTTGCCTCCAGTAGCAAACGAGATTGGAATTCGATATTGAACCAACTCAATGAGTCCCTTTGATTTCAATTTTCTATACTAAGACCAATATTTGTTGATTGAGCACCCATTTCATACAGAATCATACAGCCACCTATCAAAGCGAGGACTCGGTAGCACGACGGTATTCATGCCCAAGCGTACCTCATCGAGATACTAGGAACAGCCAGACGGTCTTACGAGGTAGACCTCATCATGGTCGCTGTGTCGGTGGGACTGGGAAACAGGGACAGGAACTTTGGTATAATGATGTCCTTGAGGCTCGCTGCTGCGATCACAGCCAGTATAGGGATTTGTTACCTAGCGTAAGCAGAAATACTACGGACGCAGTATTGGTTCACAAAAGCAGAGACAAATCCAGATCCCGAGCCTCCTTTTATCAATAGATTCTTCTGCTTATATTGCTCCCGTTCAGGCTCATACGCCAATCATAATATCCAAAACATAAATCGGAACGGTATATGTACCACGCCTCACGGAAATTCAATCTGCAAGATTTGCCCCACTTGTGAAATCAGGTCATTCTCGATACATCCCATGAGTCTTCTGATCACGCCCGTAAATGGAATCAACCGGTGCTTCGGTCGTTCGCGCAGAGGGGGCTTAGGCAAAGAAGCATAAGACGGAGTAGTTTGCTGCGTCTGAATTCGTACTATGCCTGACTTCGGAAGGGTTTTCTGTAGGAATATCTAGAAAACGATAGAGACTCTCTGCGCCAGAGCCTTCGCCGATGCAAAGACAAAATTCGATAGCAGCGTGATTCATCTGGAGCAGACTATTTCTGTCTTGGGCCAACCAATGAACAGCGGCGTGGCGGATGCTGGCGATGGAATAGCGCAAGTTCTGAACAGGACTGACATTTCCACAGCATTGCTCAGAGGGATCTTCGATCGATATTTAGCCAAAGATTTGGAAAAAAATTGTGCAGTTCCGGCGCCTCGGGGCATACCCAGCCAACAGCCACAAACTGTGGTAGAAGCCATTTTTGGACAAATTGGAAGGCCGATTGCTCGAGATGACGTTGCAGGGCTTGGAGAATCAGATATTGAGCTCGAAAAGGGATACGTATAATAGGCAGTCCTAGCATTGGGAGCAGAGTCTCTATGAAATCTATCGAACGCAATTAGCGAAGGCACTTTAGCCCTGGTTTGGACCTACCCGTGATATTCGTCGCCTGGCAATGTTCCAAGAAACGTTCCAAAGACCTGACACAAGTCTATTAGGGAATAAACTGATTTTCAGCGTATCTGCAGGGATGGTTTACCGATAGCTGATTATTTGCGGAGACTATAGATGCTAGGCCGCAACAAAGTCTCGATCGGGACTCGACGAAACCATAACCTGGTGACGGGGTTGGAGTCGTTATCTCTTCATTGGGGGCACCTTTTCGGCCGATTTCTGTGTGCAGGCCCACGAAAAGCTCCGATCTCCATGTGCTGGCAGGTGTAATAGAGATGTGGGCGGTATGGGATCTTGCAGTGGTTGCAACTCGGGACGGAAAAGATAACAGCCAGGCTAACGGAGTGGATGGAGGGTGGAAAGTATTCCTTCCCAAGGAGGCAGGGCAAAAGGCTTGCAGACAAAGAATCGGTGGGCAGGCAAGCGATTTGCCAAGGCGAGTTGGTCATGGTACGCTTCTTCAGCCTAAACCTACATATTGGCTGCGTGAAAGCCGTTTCACCTTTCGGCAACGTTGAGGCCAATGATTCGCAAATCGACCGACTACAGTACGAGCAACATTGGCAGACTTCTGAAGCTATAGGAAATTAAGCTGCCAAGGCGAGTGATCTATGGAACGTCACTTCGATCTATATCGCATCCCAGCTGCGTTGAAGGGTCTAGGTCGATGAACGTTGAGGCAAATGATTTGTCAAGCGGAGCCCGGCTCTGTCCAGTGGGACGAGCCACGTCCTCGCTCGATACCCCAAAACGCTTCACCACACTTATCTTAACGTTGAAACAATGCCTTATTGCCTAGCAAAGAAACGCTCGCCCGGTATGAATGTCGAGTGGGAAACTCTGGTTCGGGTCAGGTATGCGCAAGTGGTGCCTTCGCAATACCCGACTCGAACTCCAGACGACTTTAATTGCTTGTTAACTGAGTTGTGGGCTGCTTCACCTTTGTCAACAACATTGATGAGGCAAATAATTTCTCACGCATAGCTTCGTGCCAACAACGGCTCTAGGTGGCCTCCTGGGTCTCTCCTCGCCCGAATTCCCTCTTGCTGATAACAATGTCCGGGGTATGGAACCAGCTACGTACACAAGTACTGACGGGAATCAATCTCTCTTTGGCTCTTAATCACAGCCTGTTCTCTGTTATCTAATATTTGACATGATAAGACTCTCTGTCCACTCTACTGTATTATGAGCGACTCAACGTGTATTCCTTCCTGGGCACAGAATGTATACGTAATATCCAACCTGGCCGCAGACTGTCCCCCTGGGATATGTATATAAGACAATGCTTCGATCCTCTGCCATACGGGAATTTGTTCCATGAACTGTACCATTTGCTCTCCCCCAGCTGTACCCTCTTCAATTTCGATAACTCTCTCCACAATTATGGCAGTGGAAATGCTGTCCCAAGTCGCCTCCCGTATTGGTTGCCTTCGCAAAATACTCAAGACCTCCCGACGGACAGTAGGATGCCGGCACTTGACCCCAATTATGTAAAGAGCGGGGATAAATCCGATCTCTGGCGTAAAAGTCGACCTTGACGACCCTGAATATCGCTGATGCGCCGCCGCTACCTCGCCCGCCAATGCGACGCATTGCTGGAACTGGGGCAGAAAGTTGTCATAGTCCATTTCTCTGCCAGGTCCGTAACCACTGAGGAGAGTCCATGCGATGGTATGTTGTAAGCGCAGGAGTGATACGAGAGGGTCAGTTCTAAAGTCTGGCCCAGAGGGGCTGGTTTGTTGCACGAGGTATTCGAAGAGACTCGACCACTTTTCTAACTGCCCGAGAACGATGTCCTTGGGTGGAGAAGATAATGGCGCCATCGTACTTATCGGGGACATTTGTTGCTCTGTGTTGTGGAGCCTTATCACCTGAGCGACGAGAATCTGGAGGTGGTCGGCAGCTTGATCGACTGACCAAAAGGTACTGTTGACGAGTGCAAGCTGGGATATAAATGTCTCTTGGATGTGGGCTGGGGTCCAGTCGACCAGAAACATGACGGCCTGCATGTCAAGACGGCAAATCTGCTTGGTGACCTGGCAGATAATCGCGTGAACTCCGGAGGATTGGGCATCGTCGTAGGTACAGTTGTTCAATGTAGTGCTGCCGATGTTGCATGAGAGCGCCACACCTCCGCGCAGGTGTTTTACTGCTTGTACGTCGTCGCCTGCCAGATGATCAAAGCAAGTAAAGAGATAACAGACCAAAAGCGTGACAGCTATTATTTTGGCGCTGCCACCACGTTCCAGGTTCAGCAGAAGCTGAATGGCACGGTTATAGTGAAATAAAGGAGCCTTATCCGGTAACCGGTCTTTCATGAAAGGGGGTTGATACACTCGACTGTTAGAATGACGATCCAAGTAGTTTCGGTGAATTAAGGCTAGAGCAATGGCAGCATGCCGCACTGATGGCACTGTTTGGGAGAAGAACATGAGAGTTTTCCGCCATGGTTCGCAAGGTCGGTATTCATTCAGGTGCTTGATCGAAATATCCATGAAAAAGCACATTGCCTCTGCCTCGATTGAATGAGTCAGAGGTAAGATCATAAAGGATCCGAGATTCTGTAAAATAAGGCCATGATGTTTTAAGTGCCATTGCTTTGACTCGTACGCACTGATCGTGGTACAGGCGTTGTAACTGTTGCAGCTATCCGCGCGGTTGTCGATCTCCTTGTGATAATAAGTTGATTCAATCTCGGTCCTGAAAGTGAGGGGCATTTTACTGTAGCCATCGCAGGTGCGACCGGTAGAACGGCATTTCAAGCATGAAGGCCGAGATAGATCGCATTTAACTCGTCTTATCCTAAGAGACGTCAGTTTCCAATTCTTTGAACACAATTGATCGCTCTGTAGCAATATGTAAGGTCACGACATACTTGCAGGTCTTACAGCCTAGTTTTGACTTTGGGGCGAACTTGCGAGGCTTTTTCCTCCAGGCTTGATTGCCCATTTTGATGTTCTTATTCTTCACACCATCCATCGCGGTGATGTGAACTGTCTAAGATTTGCAGCGTTTCAGGCAGAGGTAATTTCAAGACCGCCACGACCAGGAAGACACCACCTGCCGATGATAGTTTAAGATGATGATCTGTTCGTCGGCTCGCATCCCAGTTAGGATGTTATCACCACATGCTTTGCGATGGAGAGTGGAGAGAGAAAAGTTGGAGAGTACGAAGTACAAAAAACAAAGCTTGTGGAAAGACTAGGTAGGCTTGACAGGCCAGTTCGTAAAAGCGGGCCACATGGATTGAAAGGAAAATTCTCAGTGATGGGGAAAGATTGGATAAGTAGCTAGAAGCTAGACTAGTTGGAATTAATCATACTATATATAGTTTAGTGCCTCTCTTGATGAGTATTGATTGGCTACTTCGTACACGTGGAGCCGTAGAGAGAAATCTGATCGGCATATATCTTGCTTACTAGAGACGAGTGCATATCGTAATAAGTACTGATTGGATAACTCGCACAACTGGGGCGCAAAGGAAGGCGAACCTCTTCCTCCTCAAGTATTTAGGACAATGGACCAGGAGGGGCCTATATAAGGAGTCATATTTGTGGTGATCCAAAAACATTGATTGGCTAGTTCGTACAAGCGGGACGAACAGCGATGGTACACAAGAAGAGGCCCTGTGAGTTGATGGAAAGAATGCAGCTGCCTATTGAAATTGCCAGAGTTGATACTAATATCTAAGGAAATTCAACTGGTATAAATAGTTCCCAGATATCGCAATTGTATCGGCTCTTGCAAGCAATTGAACTGATAGACCAACGAGAAGCCCCTAGGGATTACAATGAACCGACTCGTGAATACTCTCGTCCTTTTCCTTAGCTTGGGGTTGAAAGCCCACAGTTTGCACGGTCGGGTCATGGTCTACGGATTTGATAGTGTGAGTTCGAGACTTTACAGTACCAACTTACCCGAGGGATTCAAGGTTTCTGACGAGTTATCTAGATTGAACCATCAGCCGACCTCACATGGACACCATGTTTCGATTCCTTTAATTGCTCGAGACTAGAGGTTCCTCTGGATTATTCAAACAGAAGTCTTGGCACTACATCGATTGCGTTTATCAAGCTGGCTGGCAAAAATGCCACTGTCAAGTCTCCAAGCATTGTACTCATCCCCGGTAAGATCTTAATTCTATCAATCATGCAACGTGGCCTGGAACTATATTGACTGGACTGACACTTCGTTAGGCGGTCCGGGTGGCTCTGGTGTCGACCTGCTTCTCACGTACCAGAATCTCATCGGACAGATGCTTGGAGAGCAGTACAACTTCGTCTCCTTTGACCCTCGCGGTGTGAACAACAGTGACTTGCATCTTGACTGCTTCTCTGAGGACGCAAAAGCAAGATCAGCCTTCTTTCGACTCCACAGAACCGGCGCCACCAATATCTCATCAACATCGCTTGAGGAACAGTACTATTCAAGCTCTATCTACGGCGATTGGTGCAACAATGCTGTCGAGAATAAGTCACCTCATTCATATTATGTGACTACACCAGCAGTGGCCCATGATTTGCTCACATTTACCGAGGCCGAGGCTGAGTTGGCCGGTCAATCACCATCAAAAGCCAAATTGTGGTGCTATAGCATCAGTTACGGCACTGTCATCGGTAGCACTTTCGCTTCACTGTTTCCTGATCGGGTTGGGAGAATGATACTTGATGGTGTTCTGAACGCAGAACAATATTATAACAACTATTGGACGGACAATGTTGATCAAATGGACGAGGCCATGGAAACATTCTCGACCTTCTGCCATTCCGCAGGGCCTGATAAATGCTCATTTTGGGGACCCACACCCACTAACATCACGGCAAGAATGAATGGCATCATCAGTCAGCTTCAGAACCATCCAGTCCCGCTAAGCGGCGTCGGACGTCCAGACCCGCCGACAATGGTCACGTATTCTGATCTAAAGACTCTTTTTCTCACCGCACTCTACACTCCACTAACAACATTTCCAACCATGGCCGAAATCCTACACCAGGCCGAGTTTGGGAATGTATCTGCTCTTGCGGGCATGTATGACCAGTTAAACTCGATGACCGATGCCCGTCTCATCATTACATGCACCGATTCATATCGGAGGAACAAGCTTACTACTATGCAAGAGTTCAAGATTTGGGCAGAGTACACAACTTTCAAGAGCAAGTACATCGGTGATATCTACCCCTCATTCCTGGAAGGCATCTTATGCCGATCATTCCGACCGCAGTTGCCTGATAGTATGGTAGTTCAAGGTAGCTAACACTCCTTTTCTTTCTCTTTCTCTCTTTCGGCGTTCTATAAAAATTGTCTTCTGCAAAATTGGTGACCATTCGCATTAGAAGCAAATTCTAACCAGGTTTGACGCAGATGAAATAAGTGCAATAAACATGCCTACGGCCTTCCCGATCCTCTTTGCGAGTAATACCATCGACCCTATCACGCCGTTGGAATCGTACGTTTTGGCCAAATCGCGCATCGGTTTTGGAAGCGATACTGTCTGACATTATCTCGTCATAGGGCGCGTAAGATGTCTTCTCGGTTTGCCGGGTCGGTCCTTTTAATGCAAGAAGCTGTTGGTGTAAGTTGTCATCAGTTCTTAAATCTACGGCCATCTCCAAGAGCCTAGGCTTACTCGCGGGACGTTTCCTTTGAATTCAGCATACGGTCATCGACCAGGGGGCGTCAAATTGTTACTTTGGACATATTCAGGCATACCTCCAAGGCACAGTTCCATCGTTGAACACTACGTGCCCCCGACAGTACATTCCTTTCTTAGATGCCTCCCCCTTCTAACGATTGTCAAAGCAGTAAGAGAAGAATTCTATCAATTTCAGGAAAGAACTGACCGATGCCGACTCAGTCTAAATTGTCAAAATACGTGGCTAATATACACTCATTCCAAGGTAACCTGTTCATTTGCTGTTGATTCCTACGTTCCTTTTACTCTCTTGTTATTAGATTGTGTATCATTCTGTTCACTTCATCTGAAATTTTGGCGATTAATTTGACCCTACAATCATCCATATACTCCTTATTTTTTTTGTGATTTCTCCCTATGTGTCCATGACCTTGGCTGCCTATATACAGGACGGGTATTCCAATGCGGTAGTCACAGAGTCATATTGTGAGAGATCGATGCTTAGTTGTTGATCGACCGCCACCGGGGGGGAGGGAGGCTGCTTTCTAGCACCTCCAAATAGCCGCATGTTCTTGCGTATAATAGTGACAGAATGCTCACTACACTTCGCGGGCTAAGCTAATATATTTCTGCTAAGTACAGTATCACACATAGGGACGATGAGTTTACGCTGCAAAGGGTCGGTATTTCATGCGATTTCAAGGGACTGCCTCCAATTCTTTTTATGCGTACTGATACATCACTATACCGTCTTGTACATTCTTTATCGTTGTATCAAAAATTCGAACGACATACTTTAATACGGAGGTAACCATATTGGGACTAATAGTCATATTATTAGGGCTTGAAAGACCATCTCTATGTTTGCCGATATGGAAGGCCTTAGCGGTCCGTACTGTAGTATTGTCTTATAGTAAACAATCAAATTTCACTCTATACTATTTTCATTTGAAGGGCTTTGGAAACTAGGATTAACTCTATCAGTCCTTTTATAAACTAGGCATGAGACACCTAAAAAGCCCTTTGATGAGGACTGGGAAGACTGGCAATAGGCTTATCTTGGGATTCAGCTCAATCTATATTCTGCGGCTATCTCATCAGAAAAGATGCCTGCATACCCCCCTTAAAATGCAAGATACATATCAGAGCGACTATTAACCAAACACAGATGAGACGACTTGATCAAATAGCCAGATTAAACCAAAGAAATGTACATAATCCAAATCCATTGAGTCGATGATGTAGCGGTCTTTGATTGGCGTGGAGGAGGCTCTGGAGAATCGGCTAGTATACCTTCTGCATTGGAAGATATGAGTGTTAGAGTTGACAGCGGCGGCATGTTAGTTATAGGATTATCTATTTCGTTAAAGGTCTTCGTAGCCAGTCCCTTATACAGAAAATGGTTTCCTTCCACCTAATAACTCAGAGAAACTCTCACTCCTTCACTGCATTGGTTTCAAAAAGAAAAAAAACTCTACAAGAGTACCAAATGCAATATATGCGGTCATACCAGCTCGTCGGAGTGGAGGAAGTTCAAGTGATTGTGACATGTCCAATGACCCGGCCTTGGTGCGATAATGCTGGCGACGCGCGCTCCACACGCCGGTGCCCTGAAACGACAAGTGGAAAAAAAGGAACAAAGGTGTGGTTAGACTCGGCACGGTTTTGGTTGTGGTCTTAGGTTGAAAATCACAACTCAAAACTGTTTGGTTTATTGTACCACTCTGCCAACCAAAACCAAGACCGCAAATTTGCGGTTGACCAAAACACAGTGCGGTTAACCAATAGTTAGTTGAGAAAACCGTGATCATCATGGAAGCTGAGGTCATTGGGAAAATTGTGGGACTCCGAAAAGCTAAGCGTGCTCTTTCGACCTCGCGTTCTGACAGAATTTATTTGAACAGGCATATCTATTGACCGGCATTGATTTTGAGATATCTGTACACAAGAAAGTGCGTTTGGAAGAAGCAGTGAGAAAGAGATGCAAAACTTATGGGCATGATTAATGTACAGTAGAATAGTGTGATATTAACAATTAAAGACTAGAAGACCTTCGCGAGGGTCAAGCATTCACTTTAAGCAGACCCAGTCCCTCGTCTGTATCTTCAGACTGAACTCTCGAATACGTGCGCCGAAGATAACGTCGGAATCTCGGGTGGTACATGCTAAGTATCAAGTACACAGATGTACTTGTAAGGAAACCAGCCACAAAAAGGCCAACAAAAGTCAGGGTCTTTCGCCTCGATGTTGAATCCTCAACAGCGACAGCTGCAGCGTCATCCGGTTTGAGTAATTCCACACCCTCAGGCCAGTACACCGGAGGCTGGGTTCGAACAGTTGCGGATTGCCCCAGAACTTGGAAATTCATATCTAGCGCCTCCACAGAGACCAGGTCCAGGTACCCATGTGCAGCGAACGAGGTCTCAAAGCTTCTCTTGGGTATGATGGCGATCTGCTCACTTGGACCGGTCAGATTTGCCTGAGTGAAGAAACGCCAGTATTTAACATCGGTAGCACCATTCCAACTAACATGGAATGTTGTCGACAGAGCTGTCCCGTTCACGCCGTGACATGACGCCACGAGAACTGGCGGGTATGATGGACGGCTTCGCCAGGGAAACTTGTAGGCGCGGTAGGTACTGAACCTCTCAGACACAAACCTGGCTTCCATGAGGAGCCTTCCGTCGTGGGTGAACTCGCTCATGTACCCGAACTCACTCCACCCGACTAAGACGTTGCCGTTTGGTAGGGTTTGCATGTTTCCTCTTTTCCTGGTGCTTTCGTGATCGGGTCGAGTGTATCGATTCAGGAGCGTGGCTGTCATCGTGGTCAAATCAAGCTCGACGTACACGGCCGATGAGGTTGGCTCGTTAGTGATAATATCCTCAGCACCGTTATTCAAGAACGATATGGTGATATGCGTATCGTTGGCCGAGATGAATTTCGCATCATGCTGATAAGAAAATTCGAAATCCTGCGCAAAGTCGCTCCTTTTCCCTCCGAGTCTCCACATGATGCGGCCATCTTGTCCAGAGATGAAATAGAGTGTGCTTGTATGCCTTGCAGAAAGCATATAGTCCCCATTCTTATTCCGGTCGATGGAGTTGACGTGCATAAAGTCAGTGTTCGGGTGCTCTTGATACGGGTCGAAAGCAACAGATTCATCTGGGGAGATAGCATCTTGCGATGTCCATAAAAGAAGAACTTTTCCGGTGGTGATGTCAAATTCAACAAATCCGCCCGTCCATATGTTCATATTCACATCTGGCAATCCAAACGAAGCCATGTTTAGGTTCTCTTCTCGAAAGGCCAAGGCAAGGGCCCTATGTGGATCTTGGATATTAATTTCATGCATATCCACGTCCACTATTGGATCGAGAACAACAGGGGACGGATTGTACTGATTATCGTAGACAATTACCGTCCCCTTATCGTCCCAGTTACCGTGTTCTTTGGTGAGAAGCATTGCTAGGTGGAGATCATCGCCCATGGAGTCAACCATGCGGAAATCAAAAATACTCCGATCATTGAAATCACTGGATCCTGTCCAGACAAGTTCCTTCTACAGTTAGTAAAAGTCGCTTAGACGGGAGTGAATCACTTTGCATACTCCATCTTGATCGAATATATGAGGGCCTATTTGGGAAGGTATCCATCTATTCGTTGCTGGCTCACTCTCAGCCACGAAATAGGGCGCGACAAACCAGTAGCCCGGGGCAACAGAGGACCGATCATGGTAAGTGATATTCCATTTTATTGCTCGGTGGTTGGGGAGCTGACCGATACGTGAGCAACAAATTACCAACCCAGCACGAGGACCCGCACTTACTGTGACGAATGTGAAGAGATCATCATCCCTGATAGCCTCAAATGCCGATGCCCCGTAAAGAAATAAAGACACAGCTCCCAAGATAATCATTCTGTGCGGGCTGCAGACTTGGCGTCGAGAGTATGCCACAGAGAGAGAGAGAGAAAGTTTCGTAAAGTGGCAACTGCCGACCATAATAATGTAAGCTCCCTAAGAGGACATCGGAACGAGAGAGAGCGCGCTAGCAGCCACAGCAGTTTGTGAGACATTTCGGACTAGAAAAGTCAAAGATACGATGGGTTATTTATGGTCTTGAGGCCAGCTGTCGGTAATTGAGGCTTGGCTTAGCGGCTGACTGGTAGTTGCCCCCATGGCCACGCCGCGCTAAGGAGTGGTAAATCTCCACAAGACTTTCAGGACTCCGTTCATGGGCGTGAGATCTTTTTTAGAGATCAGAAACTTGCGACCACTAGATCAGCTCCTGAATACAGCGTTTCTCTGCACTTTGTCTGGCAAAGAGGGTAGATTGTACCGTGTCTGGTAGGACATAGGATATGCTGGCGTTTTTCCGGGGCCCCCGCGAGAGAACAACAAGCGACAAGAACCCACTGTCCTTTCCGGGAGTGCAGGGTCCTGATTTTGGCCTGACAGCGTTGATTGGCACCAGGGTATCATCTCGTACGCGTACGGGGTCGAAATTTAATTCCGCACGGGCCGGTTTCGGGACTGATTGTGCGCCAATGCTGATTGGCGTCTCGCTCGCATTTCGTATCCGAGCCCCCCTGCGCTTGCAAGCCTCGACACCTGACGGGGCCACAAACGCCGCCCTCATGTTCTCGTCGTAAGTGGCCCCTGATTCAGATTGTCAATGTCATCCACCCTGATAGTTAACTCCTGCCACATGTACTCTGTGTCTTAATCAAACACCCACTTCTGTGATCATCGCCGTCGGCTACCGTAGGTCGTCAACCTTAATAGAGGTTTGATCAACAGACTAGTAAACTATCTCGAACTTCTAAGAAAATTTCCCTTTAGAAGAAGATTTCAAGTTCTAATATAACAAAAAGGCCCTTAAGGATTGCATCTAGTAGCTACTGCATCTTTATAACACTTATTTTTTATTCTTAGTCCTCGCAATGATAGCTACGTAAAGTCCAGGCTACACCACGAGGTAGTAGAGTCGGACTTCGCAGCCTAGGAGCAAAGCGGGAAGCCGCGTTTAGAGAGAGGCAACGAGAAGCTATGCAGGAGCACTAAAGGTAGGCGTGAGATCCGGCGTTGGGGAGTGGCCCAGCACGAGCGATGGGCGCTACGTGAACACGACCATACTTTTGGCTGTTGTATGTTTTTTTTTCTTTTTTAATTACTTTGGATTTTGTTGATGAGATTGACTTGAAGTGTCGAACACGCATAAGCGCACGTCAATGACCGTTATGTGACCATGTGTAACAATCTTTAAAATCAAGAATAAATACCTGATGAATTTTACTAATAATCTGGAACATCGTTCAGTAAGACTTGCATCTATGAATTGAAAAGTGGGTGGTACTCTATATGAAATAGAGCATTAGGGTGACTTTGCACAATTACCCGCCACGCGTTTTGCCCCATTTTATGTTGTCTTGTTTCCACGCGGAGAACAATGGTATGATGACGCTAAAGACAGCGATCATAGGGAAGAATGGCAGATAGAATGGAATATACTTCCACAATCATTGCAAACGATGCATAGGAGCACAGGCAAAAGACAAAATGCAAGCAGTATAGCCCACGCATAACTTGTTAGCAAGACCGAAATCACTGCAAGGGCAACACCAGCCGGCAGTGCGAGTGGTAGGATGAACACCATAAAGAGTTCGCAACCAATGACAAATAAATGCTAAGTTGGGCCCAGAATGATGCTTCAAAGAGATGAACGTTGAGGTGGGCAAAGTGGCAGTAAAAGAGGGAATTCGGGCATCGGCGTCGCTGGTCGATGAGCACGGAAAGGGTATCCGGAACCGTGGTCGTGCATGTTGCAGCGGAGAAATATTGCAGTCGACAGTCAGCCCCGAAATAGCGGATTGCTAGATTTAACAAATAACGGTCTTCGCCAATGGACAATAAATTATGTTCATGCAGGGTCTTGTCGTAGCTTCCCGCATAGTCCTCCCAGAAAAGGACCTTTTGTCGAAAGGCAAGGCGGCGCTGAAGGTCGTTCTTTTTGAAAAATTTCTCGAGGAACCAGGAGGGGATGTAGAAAGTCAAGCAACGCGCAAGCCATTTCCAGAACCCGCGGTAGACACCCGGGTTTATTTACTCGTCTGTCCGATGGGGCTTATTCCAAGCTTGGTATGCAGCGACTTGAGCTTCCATGGTCTTCCTACGTAGCTTCTTCTTGAGCTTTGGGCTCTTGGAGGATTCCAATTGCTGGCAAACTTGCGGGGCCTGTTGTGTATTCGGAGCCATTCTCCGGTAGAGTCGGCCAGGAATCCGTTATTTGCGTCACTATCGGACTGAGACATGTTTTGAGAAGAGTCGGAAAGATTTGGAGATCCGCAGCGACAAGTTTCTTCATCGGCTTCCTCGAGGGACGAGTCTTGACTCTGCGCCAGAAATTGAGGCAGGCTGGGTGGAAATCGAAGTGATGTCTGCGGTTTCATCACTTCCTCGCTGGCTATCGTCGGAGTGGTCTGATTTGAGTGAAGGGCACGAGGGCACAAGGTCTTCTCCGAGAACTGGGGTGACGAATTCGTGTGGCGAAAGTGCGTTGCGTCTTTCTTGGTTGCTCTCATGATCTTAAAGGTCAGTCAACTCACCCAATTAATACATCTCGACCGGAGAGGGTGCTCACAGGGATCGGGTATCTGGTCCTTAGGATCATTGGGAAATATGGTAGTATATAGAGCCTTCCACATATCTTCCTCCGAAGGGTTGTTTGCCATGGCTTTTGTCAGTTGAAGTTTTTGTGAAAGACTCTCGAGGCCTTTGATAGGCTCATCTGCCTGGTAAAGGGTACGGTTGCAACTTGGTGATAGAGCCCACGGCACTGCTGGCATAGGAAGCGAAGAGAGAAGAGGGAGACTGAGTCAAATTGGTCTATCTAGAACAGGAAGACCACCCTGAGACCTTGACAGCTTCTTCAGACCACAACAACTATTTGCTACTGGATTAAAGCTCTCTTCTCATCTAACTTCGAATTGTGCCGAGCCCTTCTAGGTGCTACGCATATGATGTCCGAAGAACATGATCTTCCGCTACCTTCTCATCCTGTCAACCACAACACATCTGAAGATGAACTGGCTAGCTCAGAAGACGGAAGTGAGCAGTGAATTTTTCGCAAGCTCTTTGCTTGTCCGTATTCCTTAAAGCGTGCCTCCTTGGAATATGAAGAGAGACAGTCATATTCCGAGTTAGGGTGGACGACAATCCGCCGTCTTAGGTATGGCCTCCGGCTCACTAACGATATGTCGAGCTAACCGTAGATTTAGAGAACACATTTACCTTTGCATGTTGTGCCTATCAAATGTCCGAGTCGGTCGCAGAATTTTGAGTCTAGTCGGGTGTTCATGCGCCACTTACAAGCGATGCCAAGTGATGACTCGATCCCTTTGACCTCGAGGGTTTGCCAGGTTTGTCGTCTTCTTTGGCCCTGCATGAAGCAGGCCGGGGATTTCCTGCTAGGACCAGGCCTGTTCCTTTCCTTTGTGCTTCAGGGCCTTATAGACCCTGTCGTGTTCTCTTCTGCTTCTTGCCATTGATGTCCAGTAGACAGTATATCAATTTTTTCGGCACTGCAGTATGTCATGTCAAAGCGATTGGCTACTATGAGCGTAAGTGAACATTATTAGGTGGGTCGCTTATTTTTGACACTTCCTATAGATCCCAGCTATGCAAGTCCATGTGTCGGTTTTTGATAGATCTAACAAATTTGTATTTTCTAAGATACTCTGCCTTGTAGCACGCCTCTCGCCTAAACATCCTAAATAAGCGTGTGGAGTTAATTGAACACGGATGAACACCTGGTTTGACTCGACGCGTTACCTCTGATTCTAGATCAACGAAGACTAAGCTAACTAACTGGACACAGCATCTATAAAACTCGAAAGAATGATCAATGCATAATTCCTGAGCCTATTGGAGCTCACCAGTGACGATTCGTGGCGCCGCCCAGGGTTAACTGTGCCTTTCAGCTCACTCACGCCGCTGGGCTGTAATTCGAAATATGGCTCCATGTATAATGTCCCCCACGAAGCAGGCCCCAGCAGGCCCCAGCCAAATGCTGGCTATTATGAGGGATAATAGGGCTACCTGACCGGTCGGGTCGGCTGAATCTAAGCTCTTGAATCTCCTGTTTGGCTAGTACTACCGGCGCATGGAGCATGGGATCATCTGCATAAGCCGAGAATTTAGAAAGGCGCGATTCGGGATTTCTGTCAAGGTCTTTTTCGTCTATTCTACCTCACGCACTAATTAGTTAGGTCATCAGCTCCGTATACCCATCACCTGAGAATGATTTTCAAGTCTCCATTAGCTCGCCGCAACTCCTTCCCTGTGTAACGCGTGCTGTTTAGAGTCAGCCTAGAGAATCCCATCTCGCCGCCCGCAAACCTGTCATTGCTCTGCCATCTATATAGCGAGTAGATCGTAGCCTAAGTTAACTAAATGATTTCGCTATCCGTACCTGCGGAGTTGCTTCAGGGACTGTGGTCAGGGCTAGATCCATGATCAGAATTTCTGTTGTTGTTTTCGGTTGAGCCGAATCTCCTAACAGGGGAGGTATTGATATAGAGTCTACAATGGAGAGCTTTCTCCAAGTCTTGAACTAAGTTCCTGAATATGTTGCTGCATAGACATTGTGGAGTGGACCACCTCTGGAATCTGCAAGGAGATCGAAACATGCGACGAAGACACCAAACCAAGGACCAAGTAAGATTCTGCTGCTCAGTTTCAGCAAGCGAAACTTACAACCTCGGGTACTTGGCCCAGCAACATCTTTCAAATTTCTACCACTTGCTGCTTAGAAGATTTCAAGTTTTATACTGATAGCGTTCACCATAGTTTGACAGGAATGAATGACCCCGAGTTTCTCCCAGTCATGATATGTTTTTTCCCCATCATCTCACGGAAACAGTATCAATTGATCAAGCGGCGCAAATATCACTTACGCCATTTGAATATGAAAATCAAATAGGTAGCAACAACAGCCATTGTGTAATTGAACAGGATGAAGCCGATAAAGATTCCAACATTGTTACCTTTTTGCGAATATTCAAAGTCATATTGCGTAACCTGTGGAACACTCTGTTAGCTACAAATAACTCGCTCCATAAAAACTCAGGGGACAGGTCAAAATAGAGGGAGAAGAGGCTTAGGAAAGGGTTTGTTGAGGTATAACCACATATATAAATAAGTGGGTGTGTGTGTCAAAACGAAGTCAGGGAGGACAGAATGCACTTACATATTGGTCTCCATCAGCGTAACTGCAGTATTCGCACTGGTCAGTGGCATCTGGATTGATAAGATATCCCGTGGAGTTGGACATGTTGAAAAATTCAGCCGCAAAGGATGCACATGTCTCCGAGAGAGGAGCCTTGAATATCTGTATCTCGGACCCCTCGCATGTAATATCCAAAGCGTGCATGGCATTGGTGCCGATACCTTCGATATAGTAAAACAAAGGTGAAATACTGTAAAACCAACGCCATCCGCGGGGTGTCAACGGAGGGGGGATAGCGGGCCATTGAATGTGTTCACCACCAACCAGACAAAACCGGTTGCCGTCTGGGCAGCCAGCACGGTGGGGAAAAGGGCCGCGGTAAGCTGTGCCAGACTCGCGACGAAGAGCGAATAGAGCTCATACATGAGAAAAGCGTAGCCGGCACGATCCGAGGTGTAATAATACCCGACCATGTAGTGCCACAGAAGCCAGTATATGAGCCCTCCTAGCAGTGTGAAAGGGATCTCCACAAGCAAAGCACTGATGGTAAAGACACTCCAATGGTAGACGCGTGACTCATTCTCCCTTGCCAGGAACTGGTCACGCAGAATTATGAACCGGGGCTCAATTTGCAAACTGAGGACGGGCCCGGTAATGACACTCACAAATATGGAAAACATTCGCCCACGAGAGTCGGCCAAGTCGTTGGATAGTTGCAAAAAGGTAAGCCCGTTCATCAATCCCATCCAAATATTGAGTTGAACTTTGCCCAAAACATAGTCCGAATCACGCCAGTAGTTGATGAAGGCCCGTCGGGTAACTACACGGAGCTGCTCAAGATAAGGCACCGCATACGCTTTATCGGACCCCGATAAGCTGGTATCTTCTTTCTCCTGGAGTATATCCTGAAGCTGCTCCTGTGTAGCCAAGAACTCTGGGGACTCCTTCCAAATCTGTTTCGGAAGATGAACGTCAGACACGGCTGGTATGAATTGAGAATAATTGTTTTAAGTACCTGGAACCAGTCTGTTTCGGTACTGGAGCTGACCTCCAATAGATAATCGGCCGGGTTCTCCGTATCTCTGCATGGCCGTGTATGGCGAGCAAAGTAATCAATGATCTTTTTGCACCGAGGACCAAGTGGGCCAAAGTATGTAGTTTTTCCACCGGGGATCAAAAGAAGCAACGAATCGAACAGTTCAATCATTTGAGATGACGGCTGGTGGATTGTACAGAGGATCGTTTGCCCAGCATTTGATAGCTTGCGCATCAGTTGGACAATGGACAGGGCCGAATTGCCATCCAACCCCGAGGTCGGCTCGTCAAGAAAGAGGAGAATGTCTGGTCTGGCCGCCAGCTCAACTCCAATACTTACACGCTTGCGTCTCTCCAGATTCAGTCCAGCTCCTGGTACACCGATGACTGCATCAGCGATATCTTCCATTTCCAATAGCTTGATGATGACTTCAACATGAGTCATCTTCTCTTCCAGAGAAATGCTTTCTGGGCGGCGAAGCCGTGCACTCAACTGCAGAGCCTCTCGTACTGTTGAAGAATCGAGGTGAATATCATTCTGGTGTACAAACCCAGTTCGGCGTCCCATAGATTGTGGCAATGGACATCCATCGAGATAAAGTCCTCCCAATAAAACACCAATGTTAATCCGTTGGGCAAGGGTGTCGAGAAGTGTAGTCTAAGTTGCACCCGCGTCAGTCGTAGTGTCCCAGCTAAATCTTGAACCTACACATTATCCATTTGCGTACCTTGCCTGCGCCTGACAATCCCATCAAGGCAGTCATTGATCCAGGTTGAAGCCAACCTGCATTAACTGTCAACATAGAGCTCCCTTGACCTACTGCTCACGAATATTCTTACCGGAAACTTCATGAAGCAATCGTTTCCCGTCGCCAAGCTCAAGAGATAACTCTTGCCATGCAAAGACATGCTGAACCGCCTCGAGGCGGCTGACAGACGACTCGTCATTGGAAGTGGCATCAAACCCTCCCAAATCAGTGGTCACTGGCAGCTTTTCAACATCTGCGAGATCTGAAGTTGAGGTTTTTGTCCATGGCAGCTTCTGATAGTAGATAGTTGACATGCGTTCAGTGGCATTGCGGAATCTCTCCATTCCAATCCTATACAGAGCATCACCCGGGTTTGGTTAGCGATATGAAATATAAGAGAGGGCATAGAATTGTCCATAAATAGGGAGGTAGCATACGTCACCAAAATCGCAAAGAAGACAAAAAACGCCGCATTGATACCAACGTTGCGCCACTTGTGGATGTACTTGAAACCGTATTCAGCAAGAATATAAAGATTTCCGGACAGGTTCAAGTTGCCTGGTACAGAACCGGACACCGCGCATGTTTGAAATGTGGTGTCATTGTATGTTGCTCCGCGGGGAACAATGTGATCAGAGCTGCATTGATAATTGCCGTCTCCAATTTCATTCAGAGCAATGGACTCGAAAATGTAGTACATCGGCTACAAGTGATAAATGTTAGTGAACGCTCACGAACCTCTAATTGCCGCATCTCAGACTTACATCAAGGTACCGAATCCATGACAGCCAGACTTTCATCCCCGGTGGAGGGATATAGAAGCCGGTGTACATAATGAACACGTTGAGTAGAAGACCGACTGGAAGAACGGCCCGAGTGGGAGAATTTGTGAAAACCGCAATGGCCCGGAACATGACGCTCAAAGCCATCAAACCCAAGTAGAGACAGACGAGCCAGGTAAAGAAATGACCAGCTGTGCGCTGAAAGTTGATCATCCAGTAAATCGGAAGCGAATAAAGGATGAAGATAAATTTCCAAGGAATATCAGCGAGAATTTGTCCAAGGGCATATGCTCCTGGTCGGTAAAACCGTAAAGCCTTCTGCTTGAGCAAGATTGGGCGTTGGACGAAGGTATTTCCAAACTCAGCAGAAGCTTGTAGACCCATGATGAGTACGCAGAAGAATAGGGCCGAGCAACGCGTATATAGTCCCTGAGTCACATCTTGCTGGTCTCGAAACAAAGTGCCCAGAAGAAGAGCCTGCACAATGGTTCCTGTTGCCTCAGCAATCCAAGTACCCCGATCAGTCAGGAAAATCTGATAATGGCGGACAGTACACTCGTATATCTGACGATAGAAGGGCAGAGCGTATCCAGAAGGCTTTGGTAACACTGCCGTAGACTGAGGGGCTATGGCTGCATCAACCGCCTGCTGATAGAAGCTACTCTCCCAGAATCGGACCTCGAAGTCAGCCGGCCGAAGAGGCACCGGTCGTTGCAAGGCATCCTGCGGTGTTCGGCCATCTGGAGTACCTGACATAGATGCAAGAAAATCCGATATGGAAATGCGTGGTGAGCAATAAAACCCCAAAGACTCAAAGTAACCTTTGGCAGAGGATGCTGGGCCGTAATATGCGATATGGCCTTCATTCAACACCAAGATCTTGTCGAAAAGTGAAACAGCCACGTCGCTGGCCTGGTACAGAGACATTACCGTCGCACATCGGCTGCGAGTGGTATATTTTCGGAGAACGTTGAGGAAGCGAATCGCAGTGGAGGAATCCAGACCCCGTGTCGGATTGTCAAAGCAATACAAGCTAAATCCAGTCATAGGTTAGCTCTTTACTGTCTTTTGAAGCCTCATCCTATCCTGCAGACACGGATTGTGAACTCACCTTGCACGCGTGCAAAAGGCTTCCGCAAGAGATACTCGACGACGCTGTCCACCACTGATACCACGAATATGATCATTTCCAATACGGACCACTGCCGCTTGTTCGAGACCCATAAGTTGTAATACAGTCTTCAGGTCTTGTTCGAGGTGTGATGCTCGATCAGGATCTGCAGTAGAGTGCCGGGCATTCAGTGCAAACCTATATCGCGGTTATGAGTATGGCTTCTCTCTAGCTATTGAGAGTAAGCAGCAAAATGCGTCCAGGATGACCATACCGAAGCGTAGTGTTGACTGACAATGATGGGAAATGAATATCATCTTCCCCTGTGCAGAAAATGACCCGTTAGTACAGAAGGTGTAGCAGTTTTAATTTCAAATGGGTGTCACAGTACCAACAAAAGCAACTTGATCGGGCCTGGTGTTCTTCGCCGTCATAGCATCAAACGACCCGTACCAGACATTGCCCTCCATGGCCAGATACTCCTCCCGCATATTGGCTATAGCTTTGAGAGCAGTCGTACACCCGCTACCTGGCCGGCCCACAACCATCAACATCTCCCCCTCGCGAACCGTGCCAGTCATTTTGCGAAGTAAGACCCGAGACGGGGCAGGCCTTCTAGACCACCAAGCAGCGGGGTTAACAAGCTTGAGCAACCGATTCAAAGCTTCGGGCACATTGTTCACAAGTTCATGCTATGACATTGTGGGAAGAGTTAGTGAGCTGACATTAGAAAGACTTCAATCATGGAATGAACGAACCCCAACTCCGGCTCCTATTACGGACAGGTCCCGAAACACAATGTCCCCCAGGCGCTCGGAAGAGCCAGTCTGGCTGGCTACGAAATCGCCCACCAATCGCTCAATCTCATCCTGCTCGTGAGCCTCTTCGATTTTGTCTTTCACTCTCTTCTCCATGGAAACATCCATGATGAGGGATTACCGCTTGTTTGGCTGTCGAGGGAGGTCTGCAGTCAACAAAAGCTAATGGAGACTTTCACGGCTTATATGTATCGACTTCTTGCGCTTTTTCTGTTCACATTGCAGGGTAGTGATAGTTTGCGCCGGGTTACCGAAAGGGGTAATACATACTCCTTTCGGTTAGAGGAGGGGCTATCGGCCCCAAGTGGAGTGAGTGGGGCTGGACGGTAGTTGGACGGGAAAGAGATATTGTTGAGTCGAAGAGATAAAGGGAAGGGCAAAAAAAATATAACAGGGGATTGTCAAGTAAATTTGTCTCAGTTCAACTCGCATATTTCTTTCGTCTTTCTGTCTCATCTATTCGAATTGTACGCGATGTCTGACTCTACTGTTGATCCTGATCAATTTACCCGCCAGGGTTCTATTACCAAGACATACTATCGCGATGTCTATTCAGCTATTGAGCCGTCCAAGCCGGAATTATCTCAGGCAGGGAAGGTGACCATTGTCACTGGAGCAGGCAAGGGAATTGGCAGGGTAAGAGAACCTTCGAAAAGACATCATGAAATCAGAACCCTAAATAAGTCCATTGTTGCAGGCCATCGCACAAACCCACGCGAAATCGGGTGTTAAAGGCTTGGTTCTCATTACACAATCTGCTCAATCTGCCGAGGATACTAAGGCTATTGTTGAAGCGGAATACCCATCGGTCGAGGTGCTTGCTCTTCCCACCGATATCTTGGATGAAGAGGCCGTTGCTCGCACTTTCGAAGCCATCAAAAGCAAGTTCGGAACTGCGCACACTCTGATCAACAACGCCGGTGTCTTTTCGTCAGTGGCTCCCATTGAGCAGTCGGACTCCACAACGTGGTGGAAGGACTTTGAAGTCAACGTGCGCGGCACATATCATGTTACGGCAGCATTCTTGCGTCTGATCGCCGGGACCCCGGATATTGAACCTACGATCGTGAACCTGATTAGTTCGATCGCGTTAACTCCTCCGGCATTGAGCAGCTACTTTATGAGTAAGCTAAGTGTGGCTAAGTTCACCGAGTTTGTGAGCACAGAATATTCCCGAGTGGCCGCATACAGCTTGGCACCAGGAATTGTCCTCACGAGCATGACACTGGATGGCTTCAAACCATATGCTAAAGATACTGGTTAGTGGATATACTCGGTTTTATTGAAATCCATGGCTAACTGATTTATGTAGCGGAGCTATCAGGAGCTGTCACCGTGTATTTGGCTGCCAAGCGCCCTGGGTATCTCAATGGCCGTCACCTCTCTGCCAATTGGGACTTGGAAGAGTTGGAAGCCCGCAAAGATGAGTTCGCTTCTTCAGATAAGCTGAAGGTCGGTCAATTCTGTTGATCGTTGATAAAATATTCTCCGTCGTCTTCAACTTTATTCTGTTCTCGTTTGGCTCTGTTTTCACTTGTGGAATTCTCCCGGCCCCCATAGATACATTAGGATGTGAAACGTCATGACAGTATTGCATATACAAGAGTAAATACATAGACACGTTAAAAGAACTGAATGGTCAACTCCTCAGGGAATCTCCGGGAGATCCGTTAGCACATCAATGATTTCATCGCAATACCCGTCCCAGGTTTGAGGGTCCACCATATCAGCCCAGGACCACAGGGCATCACATCCGGAGTCGTGCAATAGAGGGTTAGTGAATTGCTTCTCATACTCCACCGGATCCCGGGTTTCCGGTCCTCGATAGCCCGTGGTCGCAGGGCCATTGTGGTCGTTCAGAGGTGGTTGCGAGTTCAGCAATTCCATAAGGACAGTGACTCGGCCAAGCAGATATTCCGTGAGACGGGCTGCCCGACATGCAATCGGATTTGAAATCTTTCCCGCTTCGAAAATTTGCAGTGATATCTCAAGATGTTGCCGAGCGATGGGAAACCAGTGACACAAAGGATAAGCCAACATAAAACCGATGAGAGTCAGGGCCGCATTCCATACGTATTGGTAGACATCGGAGCATCCGTATAGAGCATCATGATTCAGCATGCGCGAGTGAATTAAATCTGTGACGGTTAGAGCATATTGGAGAGCCGTCGTTGCGTGGATATCCGCTCTCGGGCTGCGTTGAGGGACCAAGCCACGACTTGGAAACTGAATGAACGATTGGTGAAACCAAATGACAACATCATGATATTGAAGCTCCAGCAGGGTTTGTTGTAGGGTATGGACGGGTGATTGGTGATATATATGTGCATCACTATCGCTGTTCGGTCCGTCCGTGACACCGCGTGTCTGTGGGTTGTAGGTCCTACAGGCCAGCTTCATGTATGTGAATGGCTCTGTACACAACATCTGATCTCTCCATTGATATACACGAGTGATTTCTTGGGACAGATACTCCGCACATAGTTCAAGCGTTCTACCCCGATCATTCCCACACATTGCATCTTGGCGGACCGCCATGGATTCAGCAGTTTTCTTGGCCTCTACTGTCAACAGGATAGATGCTGAGTAAAACGCTGGCTCCGAAGAAGACAATTCTGAACCGGACGTAGGATTCGGAAGAGCAACGGTGGTCTCTCTTAGGCAGGCGATCATGGGTTTACCCAGATATCGTGAGCAATGAAAGTCGAGATGAACTAACATCCACCATATACGCCCACGTATCTCTGCCTCTTGGATAGAGACGTGGGGCTCTGGTGGACGCTGTAGACTAAGCGATTGCGCAAGTCGAATAGCAACGCCGGTGATGTTATACGCGGCCAAAAATTCCCCGGAGTTCAACAGAAATAAGGCCATGAGAATGTGGCGTTGGATATCCCGCAAGGATGGTTCGGCATAAAGGAGATAATGATTGTTTGCAGCCAGGGCCTTCTGGAAAGAAGCGACGAATAGCGTCACCACTGGGCTTTGCTGTTTCCCAGCTGGGCGATCCTCGGTCTCCGTCAGTCCCAGACGGACACCCAAGAGACGGTGGTGCAATCCAGAGTAATATATTGATTGTAGACAGTACGCGATCAAAGCCTCTTGCAAAGGCCCCAGCCTTCCACCAGGCTCATGATCCGCAAAGTCATCTCGAGTAACAATCGGTACTAAACAATGATAACGAGCCCAGAAAATCTCCAGCACCCTTGCTTGGAGCTCCTGCAAACTGGATGTGCTCATATAGGGCATGCCTTGCTCTGGTAACTGAAACAAGCCCGATGATGAATGGCACATGTCCAAAGGAGGTGATTGACTAGTAGCTGGGGATGAGTGTGCAGACATTTGTGACACGACGAAACAGAAACTATTAATCCGTGAGATAAACCCGGCAAACGAGCTCACAGAATCCGAAACTACAAGGTTTCCGACGGTAGGGTTCCTTGGTGTGTCTGCTCGGATGGAAGTCAACGGGACCAAGGAGGATTGTGGCGCCGTTTGTACTGATGAAACAATGGAGGATACTGATGGACGGGCCTGCTGGACTGGAGGCAAGGGAGCAGGTCGTGAAGCATGAGGAGAAGGCTTGATACACTGTGACTTATTGAGTACACACTGAGCACAAGGCACCGCGCCATCACAGCGCACCCGATGCAAACGGCAGAAGTTACATGCTCGGCGCACTTTTCTTCTCTTGACCAATGATCCTGTTCGTGGAGGGGTAAAATTGTAGAACATAGCTAGTGTGACAAGCAGAGAAGGGAGCACTGCTATGTAAGCTTATCCTGAATGTCAGAGAAGCCTCGCTTGCGATCGTGGATACAGGTGGTCTGGGGCTTGGCAACGACAGGAGAATCTCGATCGGTAGCTTTACGGACCGGCTTGCCCAAAGGGGTATTGGAGGCTTTGTCCAATTGGAGACGCAGGAATAGATCCTGACGCTCCACTACTGTAGTAAACAATGTGGAGTTCACGGAAGTGCCCGTCCCGTCCCTTTTCCTTCTTCAAGCTTGATGTTCGGTTAGCACCCGCTTGTCACTTGTCCGCCTCACATTCCACATTTGATGGTGAATTACAAACGATAATAATATTCATTATGACGGAAACTATTTAATCTATGACTAATTTCGTGATCTTTTCCTCCCCTCTATGCCGGCTGTGGTGATTGTAATAAAGAAGAAAGTGAGAGCAAAATATTTCACAGTAAAAACAAAGAAATCATGAGAAAAAGATAGTATCAAAACTAACACATATCATCATTTTTATTATTTGCCTTGAGGGTTGGTGCAACAAATCTATCAGTCCCCCCTCCAGTCAACCATGGAAGAGCGCGTTCTTGCAGTTCTGTCCAGGTCATCGCTGCAGAGAATGAATGGCCAAGCAGACGGCGTGTAAAGAAGGACGATTCCATCTTCTTCACTGCACATTCCCAATCCGTAGTATACTCCTTGAAGAATGGTTTGTAGCCTAGGAGGCCCCCGATCCATCGACCTACGATCACTCCGCCCCAGTATCCAATAAACTTCCGCAAACGGTTAGGTAGCCACGCCGGAGGAAGAAGATAGGCATCTCCGGCATCATATGTCTTTTGCCAGTCATGGATCAGAAAACAGAGTCCAAGGAGCGGAATGGTAAAAGAGAGGGTGCTGCACATACACAGAGTAACTGAATCAGATCCATCTTGCCTTCATACACCAGATAATCATGCCACAGCCCATACCAGTTCTCGAAGAAGACCCGATCGAGCTGATAATCAAGGCCAGGATCAGATGCACTCAAAATAATAACCATATCCTGGGTGCTATCAGGGGCTATATAGAATCGATGAATGGAACCGGCCCGGCCCATGATTTCTCCATCTTCGGGGGTGAGAATTTGAAGAACACCGTCAATCTCGACGCACATCCGCCCCTGTTCTACACGAAAGTACTCGTTTTGGAAAGGGTGGAAGTGGACAGGTGGGCCGGACGGATGATGAAGAGCAGCACTGATACGCTCGTAGTCAGGGTCGCTCTCATCAATAGTGGGTTTTACACAATATCTCTGGCGGAAGCAAAAGCATCGACCGGGAGGTGGCTCGAGGAATTCGGTCACTAAAGCTCCTCCAAACCTACTCAGAGATGATTCTTTTAGCTGCGACTTCTTCCCTATAGATCGATCTAACCCAACAAACTTACTTTACAACAGGATTGCTCCCTGCAGAAACATGGTAGGGAATGAGAGGAGGCATCACGTGCAATTAGATCAGTCCAAGACTAATAGAGTATGGGACAGGAAAGTGATATCCAAATGCTTCATAGCAAGAGATTAGTTTATATATTCCTCGACATTGTCTATTTCGTTATTGTCGACAACACTTCAATAGTGCATCTCAGACCCCTGCATCAAATTGCGTTTTAAAAAGAATTACTCAGGCCTGAGTAATAAGAATCTAGTAGATTGCACGAGCTGTTTTTGGAGTAAGTGAATGTAGCTAATAGTTAGTTTAGGCAGACTTGATCCAGATCAGGCCAAACAAAGCAGTTTCCTTATGGTGCAGGATTATATTCCTGACAGTTTGATCGGCATGGCAAGCTGAAGACCGGTATCTCCCAATCAGATGGGGAATAAAAGCGGCGTTGTTCCGAGCCAAGCTGAAGCTCGTTCCATGTATCACCATACTTAGACTGCCCAATCGGTATGAGAGGCAAGCTCCTCGGCACTTTCCTCTGGTCAGTGGCTTTTCTTCGGCCCCCACGTTGCAATCTGCAGAATCTCAGAAAGATCGATGACTCGAACCCTAAATACAAAGCCAATAGGAACCTGAGGAACACATTATGTACCGACTTCTCTAAAAAGTTGACACATTCTAGGTTTTTGAATAGTTTGGGCACAAAGGTGTTGTTTCGATTAGCGCCACCTTTCGCTGTGGACTTCGGCAGTCAGCAGCCTGAAGCTCTGCCGAACGCCAAGCGTGGTAGGTGATGCACAAATCGCAATCGCGATATAAAACCATTCACTACCAGTTTATCCGGTGAAAATTTACCTTTCACAATGCCTATCATCCTAGCTTGTCAGGCGCTATATTCTGTCGGTACATCATGTATGAGTTGAATTCAGCATCGAAAATAGGATCTTGCAGTTTACCAGTCTAATACTCCGGCTTTGCATTCCACGGTGGTGTTTGATTACACAAACCAGATTAGATCTGGCTTACTCAAAGCCTCCGTCTATGGCAACAGGTAGTCTAATGGTTAAATATGAAACTTTCACTTTATCTCTAGCTGGCAATACTTATCAGCTCCTCTGAAACCTGACGAAAGTACGGATTATCGTAATCAGTGTTGGTGTACAGATTCATGCATCAAGCACTGAATATGGAAGTTCGGTTTTTAGATGAGACCTTGCCGAGAATTTTCATCGAATCAACGTGAACCAAATAATACTTGGAACTCCGAGAGGATATGAGGGAATGGCTTGCAATGCAAGAGCCATTACGCGACTTCCGGGTTAAATGATGTTGAGCCGTTTTATCATACACACATACATCTAAGAGGGGGGGAAACAGAGTCTCAAGGATACCTATCCATTATGGCTTATTTACAACTTTCGATTGGTTTCAAGAAAAAAAAATAGGATAAAAACTAAAACATACAACAGCCAGGATTCGCATGTGGTCACCCACCATACTACTAACTGGCCGGCGTGTGGCTTAAGTACGGCTGAGCGGACGGGAAGCCCTGTTCTCCACACCCTATGGTCGTATGTGGTAAACAATGGATCGAAATAAAATAATATCTTCTTACAGTGTCTATATCTATTGCATAGAGCGCTATGAGCGTCGCGCGGCCTGGGTGTGAAGGATGAATGTGTCATAAATAAGGTAGCTCTAGCAAAGGCAACATTATGCATAGCCCCGATAATTCTGCAAGGCTGAAAATGAGCAGACACTTTGACGTAACCTGCTGCCTGCACGGTTTGGGGGCGGCAACCCATCCTAATCCCAAGTCTCCCTAACGATACAACTTTGTGTCGTAAGATCAGAGGAATTCCGGCTGACGATGATAAGTCTATGATCGCGTGTGGTCTTTCCTTCCAAAAACATAGTGTTACTACCAGAGCGTTGCTAATTTCATCAAGATGAATTATTTTCTCTTACCCGGCGCCTTGCTAACGATAATGTGGCACTGTTTGTGGCTGAACTGCTGACAGCTCCACTCAGCTAAATCGTTATTGTACCTCACCCAATGCATACCTAATATTTTGAATCTAACTTTAAAGCTGAGGGCCGTTCCCGTCAAAGCATATGAGCTTCTATCCTCGAAATAAGTATTGATAATGTTCAGCAATAGCAGAACCCGCCGACTGTTGGAGAGCAAGCACGGTTTCCTAAGAATAGAATACCGCAATCCTCCCAACCGCCGATCGAGAACAGATTGGCGCTACGGGATGGGCCGCGATAGGCTAAAGCTAGATGCACGCACTCTAGCGTAGAAACCAGCCTCAGCATTTGGATGCAAGGGCTGCCTGGCTCGAAGTATTTTAAAAAGGCGATTTTCCTCTTTCTGTGTCTAGTATTTGGACGCTCAAATTCTCATATTCCACTGATCTATGTCGATAAGTACAGCGAACTATGTTGGCTGGGTCGACGAGCCCGATGGGCGAGGGACATGGGCAATCCTCTCAACCTGCATTTTGACTATCACCCTTTGCTGCTGGTCTTCTGTTTTTCCAAATAATCCTCAACGATCGGATAGTATATTCAAACAAAAAGTAGGAAAGATCAACTTCTTCTTGATCGGGCTTCTTGGACCGGAATTCCTGCTAGTCATTACCCTTGGGCAGTGGTCGTCCGCTCGGACTTCGTTCAAGGTATGTATTATGTCCGGGTGATGCGTTCCGGGCAGTGAGCTGGTCGAATTACATTCCTTACTGGTGAATATATCTATTTGACGCAAACTATTGGTCGCGCTACGATAATGGGGTGTCCAAGCCGAGTGAGTATCGTGTGTCGTGTGAAATCGCAAGTTGTCGCGCGATAACCTCGGCCTATACGATAGGGGTACACGTTCCTTGTCTTGAATCATCCAAGAGAAAGCCAATTGACGAAACTCAACAGCGAAGACATTGCTCAATTGCCGTTGTAAAGGAAATTCATGATGCAACAAGTCTATTCTATCTCCCCCTCTTTTAGAGCCCAAACAGGACCGGAGCACAGGACAGGACATACCAATACACTAAGTTACACAAAGACAAAATATGGCCAACGACATAGGAGCGCGGAACGGGGGAATGAATATACGGGAGAAGATCAAGCACAGAGAGGAGAAAATGCAGCGTGGGGGTCCCTCATCAAGGCAGAGAAGGCGGGGAAAGGGCTTTTGATATAATACACACCCCGATTCAAGACCCCAGCACACATTATAGAGAATGGGTAAGAAAGAGTCAAATGAGATGCATGGGTCTGGCGTGAAATCATTTGGCTTCCTTGTCCTGCTGCTCAGCCTCGAAGTGGGCCTTGGTGGTCAGGCTGTCGCCCTCGGCGAGCTGAGCCTGCACATCGGCGGGCATAGCAGCCTCACCTTCGGCGGCGGGGACAGGAGCAGAGGCGTCAGCCTCAGGCTCGTCGTCTTCCAACTCGGCGCCGTAAACGTCAGGATGTTGGCGGAAGCAGTCTTGCATACCCCTGTAGAAATTTGTCAGCATGGTCGCGATCAGGGCGTGGGTAGAACCTCGATGTAACGTACTTGAACTTCTCAATGCACTCAATACCCTTGGGCTCCTCGTTCGAGTACACGAAGCAGGAGAATGCTGCCCTGAACTCCTCTCCGCAAGGGCCGTGGGCCATACCGCCCAGGCATGGGCAGTCCCAGTTGATCTCGCCAGTCTCCGGGTTGAAAGCGGCAGACTCTGGGGGCTCCTCGGAGTCAATTCCAATCTGGGGGTTCACCTCCACAGCACCAGCATCAGGGGCAGCGACCTCGGGGGCAGGCGCATCGGCCTTCGGCTGAGACCGGGCAGCGGCCTGCTCTTCACGGATCTTGGGGGTGATAGAGTCGAGTGTGGGGAGGGAAGAATCGTCAGTTTTCTCCTTCTTAGACTGGCCGAGGAGGGAGACTATACGCCGATAGTAAGGTTAGCACTGTTCCGATCTCCCAAATAGCCATTGAACCAAGAATGCGACAAGTCCAAGGGCTTTGCATCTCGGGTGCGGAGGGAAGACGAAAACGACGAGTGCGACGACATGACGTACAAGAAGGCTCTTGAGCAAAAGCACTGCTCGTGTTGTAGTAATAGATAGCACCACCAGCCAATCCTAGGCGGGCAAAGGTGCTCTTCCAGCTTCTGGATTTCGAGGTCGGACCAGCAGTGCTTATCAATCGAGTGCTTGCCGGGCTACGGGCCGCGACAGCAGGCGCGCGAGCAAGCGCTCGGGCGACGGGACGGAACATGATGTAGAGGATGAGAGGAATGGGTCAAATTGAGACCGAGACCGAGATCGAGACGGCGAAAGATCCCGGGGCACGAGGGGGAAAGCAGGAGGGGAGAGAAGCCGAAGCCGCGGACGGAGAAGTTGGTGGAAAGAGAAGTGGATTTCGGCCTGAGGTTTGGGTTCCGGCCAGTCACGTTGCGCGGATCCCGAGTTACACGCGACTCAACACTTCAACGGCTGCGCTTAAGCTCTGTGATATCCAAGCAATACTCACTCAAGCCTCAACGATATCAGCTTACTTGAGCCCGATTCTTGTTTTAAGTTATGGAGTGGGATCCAAGCCGCTTCTTCCGGCTTGAAGGGAGTCCTTCACCCTATGCTCTGCTGGTGCTGAACCAGCCAATCAACGAAAAGGCCTTTGGGGTATTAAGTGAACATGGTGAGACCCCGCTAGGAGAGGACTCGATCTCTATTGATCAATCTCAAATATCACATATGCATATATCCGTTGATCAGGCCTATAACAGGGAGGAGTTCTAATGTTCTCATCTCTCCACAGCTTCTTACATCATTTGTGCCGATGGCGGGGCTAACCGCCTGTACGACATGATGAAAATACATGGGAAGGAATCCACCGAAGTAAGAAACTACTAGCCTAACAGGTTCATCCAACCGTTTGGCATATGGAAATAAGTTCGATTGAGACCTCTGGGCCGATATTCCAAACTTGGGACCATCGCATTCACCTCCCTCTTTCGAACGACCAGCATATCAGCTCCAGATATATATTCTAACCTGTGGAGCAGCTCCCTGATAGAATCATTGGCGACCTGGATTCCATACTTCCACAAGTACGAAAACACTACGAGGACCTAGGCGTATCCATCATAAAAGATCCCGATCAATACTCGACAGATTTCACCAAATGCCTCAAATACCTCAACAGTCACGCAGCAGAGATAATCATATCTCCCCGCCATCAAAAAAAGAAACCCTCCAACAAAAACCAGGAGGGCACAAGTCCAAACACACCATCCCCCCTATCAACACTCGAGATTGTCATTCTCGGCGGTCTAGGTGGACGCGTCGATCAAGCCTTTTCCCAAATCCACCATCTATACATGATGACCCAGACACAACGGGCACTACGCGAATCTCAAGAACCCAACGAAAACCAGAAAATAGGACCTGGTGCAGGTGGAAACCTCTACCTCATTTCGGAAGAAAGTATCACTTTCGTTCTGCAAGAGGGAAAGAATATCATCTACACGCCGGCCACAAACCGGCCCGATACCGATGCCGATGCCTCAGCGGACCAAGACTCAATCACCCAGGAGAATCAACCACCCTTGAAAAGGAAGCGGGACCAGGAAACGGGTGCGGTGATGGAGTACTTCTTCGAAGAGAATATTGGGATTATCCCACTCTCAGCTCCGGCGTCAATTACCACCCTGGGATTTGAATGGGATGTGGAGGACTGGCATACCGAGATAGGTGGCCAACTATCTACTAGTAATCACATCCGCGCCGACAAAGTTGAAGTCTCGACGTCCGTGCCCGTGTTGTTTACGGTGGAATTGGCGCAGAGGCTGAAGAGGGCTTAATGGATGGGTTACGAGGACTCGAGCGCCTCGAGGAGGAGGGATAGAAAGGTGTCAAACGTTTACTATACTGTCGATTGAACGAATACCCCCCGTATAGATTCAAGCCAGGAACCAAACCATATTAGAAACAAGGTCCAACGGAGAAAGAGAAAGGGGACACAGAGGAGAAAGGATGAGCGACCACGAACAAACCAGAACAAAACTAGAATAAAATTCCAAAAACCCGGGCGCCTCCTCTGGCTGAAACGAGAGACCAAGAAGATAGAGAGAAGTAATCCAAACAGGAAACCCTTCAAAAGGGCCCGAAAACACTAAGCCAATATCGCATATCGCATCATCGCATATCCCAGACAAACAACTAAAAAGACTCGATCCGTGAACCGCAAACATGTAAAACAGCAGTCAAAACAAACCACAGGATCCCAGAACCCAGCATCAGGGTAGCGACAAACCACGACACGCCTTCAACATTCCGAGGATATCAACCAGGAGGGGACAAAAAGGTAAGGCAAGGGGAAAGGCAAAGCGGAAGTAAGTGAACAACAACTGCACAAAACAAGACATTCACACTATCCAGCACTGTACCGCGCTAGATACATTCCTCATCCTCGTCTGCGACTATCAATAGCAGACAGCCTGTACAGCCCAAGGCAGACGCAGGAAAGCCTGTCTACGAGCGGCGCAGAATAGCCTCGTAGAGAGCGCCAATCACACCAATGGCAGCACCGCTCCACATGCCATAGTAGTTGCCGGGAATGGCAGAGTTGACCTTCTCAAGGGCAAGCTTGCTGTACATACCCCAGTAGGAGAAGCCCTGGACATACACCTTCCACACCAGCAACGCCTTGGCGATGTTGAAAGTCAGCGGGTCGAAAGAGCTCGAGGAAGCCGCTGAGCGACCCCGACGTGCACCACCGCCAGTAGCAGCGTGCCAGCTCAGGTTGAAGAAATACGCGGCGATCAAGGGGAGAATCAGGTTAGTGAGGAGCCAGAGGGTGAAGGGTCCCCAGAAGCCCGGGGTCACCAGGCGGAACAGATCCGGGACCTTGACCGGAATCGCGGGAGTGTGCAGGGTCTGGTTGGCCTTGATGGTGGTCAAGAAGCGGTTGGGTAGCTGGTCGGACATAACAGTGTAAGCCTCAACAAGCACGACGAGGACCTGGATTGCGGCAAGGCTGCTCAGGTTTGTGCGCAAAGAGTGCGTGCGCTCCGTAACACCCGATGAAGACCATGCCTGCTCGAGGCCCTCGCGCACGCGCGTGGTTTGCCGGTCAATCGCGTCCGTCACCTGGGCTGGGGAAGGAGGCACATCGAAGGCTGCGCGAATGTGGCTTGTAGACCGGCGCACGACTTCACTGGGCGAAACGGGCGAAACGGGCGACTTGGCAGCTCGGCGCGTTGAAGAGGGTTCATCAGATTCACTGTCGCAAACCGTTAATTTAATGATCGCGTGGTGATAAATCTGTCGCATGCGACGCGCCGTGGTGGTTCAGCGCGATGGTCAGTACTTACGTCGCTTCCTCCTGCTTTTGCGCGTTGGGCTTGCGGCCGGGCGTCTTCCTCACGGTGGGGGTGATCTCAACCTTGGCCTCGCGCTTGATGGGCGATCCTCCACGAGGAGGCGCAGACAGACGCTTGTAGTAATCGGCAAGAATCTTCTCACCAGAGAAAATCGCGCGATTGCTGCTCAAGTGCTTGTCCAGCGCGGTGGCGAGATCAATCTTGTTATAGTCGGAGAAGCTGCGATGCGGCAAGGCAAGAGTCAGCGCGGGAATATCCTGTAATGCGACAGCGGGATTTGAGTGCGCGATCATGTATACATACCCTTGAAGATCGGTTTTCTCTGCAAACTCGAGCAGCTCCGGCTTGCGCAGCTTGTTCAAATAGGGAAGGCCGCTTGACATAGTGGGTGTTGATGGATAACAATCCGGGTCAATGCGGGCGCACGTTCTGATGGGATGTAATAGAGTAACTTTATCCAAGCAATTTGACCATCAAATGACGGACGGATAAGAACTGTCCTGGTTTTTGATAGAGTAACAAGGTAATCAAATTGTAAGATTGTAATGAGATGTTTCGGAGTAGTTGGGAGGGGAAAAGCGAGTAGATGCAAGGGCGGAGGAGGGGAATTGGATCTGGGACTGGAATTGTTTACACGCGGATCGCCAAAACAAAACACGCTAGCGCGTTTGCCCTTTGTTCCTGCGAAATTCCACTGGACTTTGGTACTAGTGACGTTTTCCATAATCGCTTTATTTCTTACTTATATGTTTTTCATTTTGATAATTGAAGAAAAGAGTAGAATGGAAAAGCATTATCACAAATGATGTAGCTATGGTACAATAGGGCCCGTAGGACCCGGTCTAGTTAGGATTGTCTATCACAATAGGAGATGGGAAACAGCAATATACACAAACAGTGGCCCTCTGACGGCCCCAAAATACACATAATGAAGAAAATGAAGAAGAAGAAGAAGAAGTCCGCAGAAAACGCCACCCCAATGAAGTAGGCCCCGTCCCAAAATGCATGAAGGTTAAGTTGAACATCACAACAGCTGGCTCTCATCCAGAGAGCCGTGGTAAATTTCGAGTTGCTTGAGGAGATACTGGTACATCACTAGCATGGTTCCGCTTTGAATGCTGGTCCACACACCCCGTGGGCCCACGCCGCGGAACCACCCCGCAAGACCCTCGGTACGGTAGATCATCTTCAGTCCCGTAAACACGGATGATGTGTCCAGCCGTGGGGCTCCAGGAGGATTGACCGATGTAGAGGGCGATGAGGTGGAAATTGGCCGCGAGTGCGCCCTCGACGACGCGTGAGACTGGGACGGACTCGGTGCATGGGGCCGCGGGCTTTCCTTAGGGATGTGATCGCCCGAGGACTTCGCACCACATGACCCGGTGGAGTTTGACGGAGGGTTCTGCTGAGTTTGAATGCGCGTTTTAACCACGTCCAATGGGCAAGTAATCACGCCGGCCATTCCACCGGCAGTGGCTGCCGTCAGAATTTCCAAGCTCAGCCCAATGTCTCGCTGACCGACCCATTGCTTCGCCAGGTTTTGCTCTTGTTCGTAAAAGGCAAATTGCAGCGCAGAGAATGGGAGATCACGGTAGATCGTGGCTTTGTAACCGTGATACAGCGCTGAGAAGCCTTCTTGGTGAATGATCGTTCGGAAGGCATCCGTCAAGCCGCGGTAATTGTAGCCTGAATTGAAATGTGGATTGTTGTATCGCCCTTGTAATTGTAGTCGAGTCTTTAGGACCTCCGATGGCACATAAACAACGGAAGCCGCCAAATCCGCAAGGAAACCACTAGATAGATATGCGATGTTCTGGTTGATGCCCGCATCGATCATCGCCCGCTTCGTGTACTCGTAACAGCCGAAGAACACCACCGTGCCGGGAAAAGAGCCCAGCGCCGCTGGTGTTACTCCACCGTATAACCCACGAAAGAAGCCTTCTTGTCGATAAATAGTCGCATATGACGAGGTCATCGAGGTGTACCGAGGAGGGAAATTCGGGTCGCCTTGTAGTCGGGTTTTGACGGTGTCCAACGAATGCATCAACATATCACCACATGTTCCTCCAGTTCCACCCGCTAGCATTGCCTGTGATTTCGTGTGTTGTTAGTCTCCGCGGGTCGAAAAGAGTAGCCTGGGCGCCACCTAGAACAAAATCATACATGAAGATACGGCGGACGGGGCTCGTCTTCCTCCTCCTCCAACATATGGGTAATCCGGGCATGCCGGGTGGCACCGGCAACGCCTATCTCATTGTGAACCAAAGGCGCTGGGGTTTGTGCTGTCGCGGTCGAGTCCGAAGTCGCCGTCGTCGAGAACAGGCCGAACACTCGCGAGGTCAGGCTCATGGCAATATGAGCCGACACTGGACTCCCGAATACGGTCGGGCCCGTGGGGGGGTTAGGGGGATGCCGATGAGTGAAAAAGAGAGAAGCAATCCCCCGGTGGATCAAGTATAATGAGTGACAAGAGAGAGGGAGGTGAATAATCGAGAGTATTTCCTCGTTGGCGATACTCGGACCCGAGCCAAAATTCTGGTCGGCGGTGTTTTTCCTTTCTCCGCCCTCGCCGCCTCAGGCAGAATATGCGTCATTGGCCTGGTGTTGCGTTCTGTCGGGTCTGACCGCCTGCGGGAAAGGGTGATGGGGGACGTGATTGGGTGCCTCAGGCATGATAGCACCCGGCTTTTACCGAACCACTGCAAAACTACATGTGTTCAAAGCATACCATCTCACAGCCAGATTGATCGTATACTACTGGCTTGATCTTCCCAATTGGGTCTGCAATTTCACAGAATACAGCTATGAGAATTTTTTTGGGGAGACTTGATAAATTGATTACATCTTACGAAGCCTCATCTTCTGTTATTAGGCCTGGCGCGTCCTACAATCAGTATGCTGTGTCGTAAATGTTCGTTTTGATTCGGTGTATAGCAATCTTAATGATATTCAAGAACCAAGATGGCTCTAAGATGGTTCAGATCTCTCGAACCAGATCCCGCTTTCTGGAGTCAGTCGCGTCAACTCATCCTGGTACTTCTGCTCCGTGACAAGGCCGACGTTCCGGAGCATAGACTCCTCCTCGGACAGTCTCTTCTTGATTCCATCGTCTGGACAATTCTTAAGCCGTACTCTGGGATCTGGGAAATCTCTGCTTGGTTTCGAATCCTCAGAAGCCCGAGATATAGCCGTTACATATCCGTCTGAGCCGTCGCCTGACCCCAAGTCCATGTATTTGGTGCTGATAAAAGCCAGATATTCACCGCTGAATCTGCGGACCTCAAATTGGTAGTAATTCTGGCATCGCTTGCAGGTGGCCACAAACTTTCTTTCCAGCGACTCGGGAATCTGTCGATTTTTCACGAGGCCATCTGGCGCCTCCATTCCAAAGTCCATGAATTCGCGAGGGATACATCTGAGATGTTCGCACTGATTAAAACGTACGAAATCTCCCCAGCTTGCGGCTGCATCTTCCTTGTCTTTGCCCTGGACGAATTTCTCGTGGCCAACCAGTAGGCTCTGGGCCCGTAGGCATAGACTCGCGGGACTTGGGAAAACCCGAGCATCGATCGACGTGACTCTGATAGCGTGTTCTCGGAAGAAACTGAACGCTCAGGAATGAAACTCCAGTTGACTTCAAATTCTGGTACTCTGACCTCCGTATAGGAAAGTGAGTCTGCAGCGAATCCATATCGCGGTCCATGGAGGTGCTGTCTGATGGCAAGTTGGACGTGGGCGGAGTCAAGGTAATAATGAGTGTTTGAGAATTACCAGACGGCTAGGTTTGTGTCTGAGTAGTCCGGGAAAGATGAGGATACCGGGCAGATACTCTCGAACCGAGGTGATCCTGGGTGTGGGACATCCTCCAGAGATGCAGTCGTTCGCAGACACCGCAAAGGTAGTACTCGGGGGAATCGTCTGAAAATTTGCTCAAGAAATGGCAAATGTCGCTGTCTGCCTGGTTAGCGAGAAGACCTTTGAGTGGCTTCTCACCGCCACGTGTGACCAGATGGGGGATGCTATGGCAGGAATTGCTAGGGAAGCACGGCTCACAGGTGGTAGGAAGTCCATGATGCTCAGTAGTAACTCCAGGGGAAGACCATTCAGAGTGAGGCGATTGTCCATCGCGACAACGTGCTCTCGAAGACGAGAAACGTGCCGAAGGACTGAAAATGTGTTGAGAAGACAGATATGAGTGTGGATCGGAGAGCTTGAGGTGAAATGAGAACGAAGATAAGTTGAGAAGATGAGAGATTCAGGAGCTGAAGGTCGAAGAAGGGTGAAGCACCTCTGAGCCAATTTCCTCTGCCAAGCGGAGAGGAACCAAGTAAGTTGAAGAGAAAGATGAGCTGAGAAGATGAAAGGTCCAGAAAAGCTGGCAAGGTCGAAGAAGGGTGGAGAATCTCTAGGCTGGTGTCTTCTGTGAAGCGGAGAGGAGTGAAGTAAGTTGAAGATGAAGATCAACTCAGAAGATAAGAGATCAGAAAAGCTGGTAAGGTCAAATAAAAGTGAAAAATACCTGGGCTGATTTCTCTGTCAAGCGGAGAAGGATAAGTATAATCTCGAAACCTCTCAGCACAGTCAGTTGGGTGTATACGCTCAACTGGTCGGCATTCTGGCAGTGTGTTATATGTTATACCTGTCCAGCCCCCCTAGGTTTTCATTAGTATTACATATCACCTGGCTCAGACTGTACCGAAACCCCTACTCGCACCTTCCTTTTCAGTTAGAAGGGCTGAATCCGAGAGAGCTTATAATTTACCAAGACCAAGTCTATAAAGCCATGCCATCAGTATACATTCTATTGGTATAGAAGCCGCCAGTAACGCCTAGGCGAGGGAGAAAGGAATATTATAAGGCACGGGCAAGAGGAGGAAAATATAGAAAATTTAGGGAGGACCTAAACAAAGGAGGCAAACAGTTTTGATGCTGGAGTTTTCCATTAGTGGTCATAGACTATCCTTCTCATCAATTATTATTATTATTATCTTCGACATGGACTTCCTCAAACTAGACATTCGCTCCAATCATGGCTCTGCTTCCCGATCCTTGCATCCCCTCTATTTGACACAAGTGAAAGACGAGGCCTCATTGGGGTTTCCACCCGTGTAGGTAAAAACCTCCGGGTACGGGCACAGATACCCAGTACGTGTGGTTGAGGTGTTGGAAGGTGCCACTGCAACCGCAGTGGCTGGAAGACGGTCTGGAACAGTACCGTTCTCAACCCACGCCTTCAGAGTCCCGAGGACGGTCTCAACAGGGTCAAAGCCAGGGCCAAATCCGCAATGAGTCACTCCAGGTGCCAAGAAGAGACGGTAATAGTCTGCGGCACAGGAATCCAGTTCGAGCACGCGGTTATAGTAGTCCACCGTACCGTTCGTAGGAACAAGCTGGTCTTGCATACCATGCCATGCAATCATCTTTGTTCCTGCACGCCGCATCTTGCTCAGATCTGGGTTCTCGGTTCCGATCACAGAAGAGAATTGGCGAACCGATTGGTGGAAGAGACGATCGTAGTCCTGATGGGTGAGGGTGCTCGTGTTGAAGGATGGGTCACGAGCGAGGAAGACCTTGACCCAGTCATCGCTAACAAAGAATGGGCTGATTGTGCAATCGTCGATCGATGTGCATGTTGTACCGATCATAGCCGCTAGGTTGGAGTCGTAGTGGAAACCGTACCATTCAAATCGTCCATTTTCAGATTCAGGTCCGTCCCACACTGCAGCAACAAGCTCGGCCATCTTGTCAGTAATTGTGATCTCTCCGTTTGGTTCAACACATTGAACCTTTTGGCCGATCAAAGATGAAGCTTTGAAATGACATTGTCCTGGCAAGGCGATGATTCCGTCTTTCACACCGTCGAGCTCATCGCAGGCTGCGATAGCAGCGTTGGTAAACGCCTCAAGAACGCAAATAGGTGGCTGGACACCTGTGTCCCAGTTAGAAGGTGATACAATGAGCTAGTAAATATAAACACGAAGACAAAGCTTTTGCTTACCAAGAAGCTGAGCTTTCAAGGGACCCCAGAAGCCAGCGGGAGCAAACTTGTCCCAATTGACTGCCGGAGCACCACCCACAATTCCATCGAAGAGCTCGGGGTATTGCTGGGCCATAGCATGACCTTGACGACCACCAGTGGAGCAGCCATGCCAGTAAGAGTACTTTGGTTCCGAGCCGTAGTACATCTTCGTGGCCATCTTTCCCAGAATAGCTGCCTCAGCGATGGCGACAGAAGAAAAGTCCCAAACAGTAGGCCAATCGATATCTCCCTTCTTAGTCAAAGCCCAGTCTCCCGTCGAAGCGGTAACACCGTGTCCTCCATCAGTAGAGGAGGATGCGTAGCCTGCCAGAACTGGTGAGAGAACCTCAGGCTGGCCTCCGGCATACCAGCCTCCACCACCGTCCATCAGGAATTGCGAGTTCCAGTCCTTGGCGTTGAGAGGGAGCCCGATGTAGGCGTTCACAACATCTTTCTGCCCGTGGTGTGTATAGGTGATCGCGATGAAGCAGATGTCCACTGTCGGTGCAGGGGAGCCAGGTATATCGGGAATGACACCGGCACCACCTGTGGCGTTGCGACCGCTGGTGGAATAGTTGTGGGCAGGAGTTACATCGAGTGAAGTGATCTTGATGCCTTTAAGATCAAGTGACTTGAAAGTACTTTTCGAACATGATGCTGTGCGAGATGCCAATGCGCCTGGGACAAGACCAGAGAGGGCTGCCACTATGGCTGCTACCCGGGGAATCATGATTTCGGTTCACAGAGCAAGTATTTTTCCAATCAAATGAACTTTGAAAAGCTTGTGAGCAAGTAGGAGGATGTTTTTCAACTTGGATAAGCAGCTGCGAGGTGGTAAAGACCTGCTTTATACAAATAAATCCAAGGGCGCGGTACTAACAAAAATACCATCCTTCGGTCATCATTATTCTCGAATTGGAAGTATGGAATTGGATGGAGATTGGCTGGTCAGGATTTCAACACCCTAGCCTTGCTAATCAAGGGGCTTGACGGGCAATCAATCGCACACCGGGACTTCGACCTCAATCTGCCTAGACTCATTTCGATACATTAGTGCGTTTCCCCCAAAGGGTTGACCTATTCAAGAAAATTATCAGAAGTTTCCTTGTCAAGCCGCTGTTTATGCCCAGCTGCCTCGCGGACTGTGGCATGTCAAGCATGAGCCATGACATCAATTACACAGTAGGCACATGAGATTTTGAGGCTGAGGATAGGATTAGGGTTAGGCAGTCGCATGAAAGTCTTGGCAGGTAGATGCAAATCCCATTCTGGGTGATCACATAATTAAGGCCTTTGACTTGGGGCTTGCAGGATTGTCTTCAGTGGGTAGATTGCTGATCGGAATCGGCGGGGAGGCGCAATTAGCGTAAAAGTCCATTTACCTGATCAAGCCTAATGGATAGAGAAGGTGTTGGGCGATACGAATGCGCGGTGTGGCTGGAGCACATAAGCAAACAGGTGGATGTGTCGCCAAGCATAAGCAGGACTGAGAACCAGGACCCAGAACCATGGAAAGTAAACTTCCGGGGGAATGCGACAAGTTATTCCATTCACCTAATATCAGAGCTTGAAGTTTTGCGCACAGCTTACCAGCGCTTCCTCCCTGCGCTTGGCGGTCCAATTGCTCTACTCCCTTTACCCAACAACCACGCCACCCTTGTCTGGTCCACGACCCCCGAGAACGCCGCACACCTCAAATTCCTCCCCACACCGGCCTTCCTGGCTATGGTCAACGCGGCCTTCCATATGCGTGCGAAATGAGGCTCGCCGCACTGGGACTAGATACTCGGAAACTCGACCAATGCAATCTAGTGGTGATGGCACAAATCCCTTTGAAGCAGGTCGCCACGAAAGACCAAGCCGAGTTTTTGAGCTCACCTGCAGCGTCCATTTTCGATTCTGGGTATGGCTTGACCTGAGTTTGGATTATTCCAACGCCAACTCAATTGGAGAAAAGGTAGTCCGGAGGATATGCTGTTCACGTGGCTGAATTAACTTTCTATATTTGTCACTACAGATGCTTTTCAATCTCGTTTTACTATCAAGATAGTCTGACGGGCATAAATCGAACAACTCAGACAGATTGGAAGACAATGAAGAGCTACATACGTGCGCTTCCCTGATACAGCGTGATCAAACTGGCCTTATTTTTTTTTAAACGACACGCTAGAAAAGCAATGAGGCTAAGTGATTCATGACATTTGTTTCGCTCCTATTGAGGGTATCATCGATATACTCTTGAGTACATGCAATACATACTTCGCTATACATAATTCGAGTCTAAATTCGGGCGGCAACATCAATTTCAACATAACCGATCATTCGGCATTCTGGCCGGTAGATGGGGATACTCCACCCCCGGAGATTTCCCCGCATGTCGCCAACCATGAACACAGTTCATAGTAAATTTCTCTCCGGAGAACATCTTCTGAGAGAGATTGCTACAATAGTGAGCTCATTTATTTACAATGTCCCAGATCAGACCGGATCGCTCAAAACGAGACCAATATACCTCGCACGCCTGGTAATCACCCCGTTTGTTAGGATCTTTTCGCTAGTGGAATCGCTGACCTCGACTTCCAAGCCACGAGTGTCATAGACGGAAAGTGAAGGTCCGTATCCAATGCGTGAATACCTCATTTCGGTACTCTCTCTCATAACTACCACAGTGCTCCGGAGGTCCATTATGCGCCAATTGCGAAGCAAGGGGCATTCAATGCGCCTTTGAGGAATACAAACCCCGAGGCCGAAAGCCGAAAAAGCGCGATTCCGAGTTCATGATAGGGTATGGAGAATCTGAGAATTGAAAACTCGTGATTTATCTGATGCTGAGAAGATATTTCATTCAGTGGCCCCTTTTCTCCTGAACATGCTCGACCGAAGAAAAGACAGCACCCTTCTTCCATGAAAAGCCAACTGGCTCGGCTACAGCGAAAAGTGGAGGAGTTATGCCAAAATCGCCAACTGGAATATGATGAAGATACGGAAGCGTTCCAGAGACCTGCCACCGAATTACTTTCTCAGACGACGTCCCCATTGAATAACCTTCCAGCTATGAACACGTCCGGCTCGACGCTCGATAGCCGCCTCATATCGCCAGAAGCACCCCGTTCGCCGCAATATTATTTTGCAATCTTTCAAACGACGGATACTTTTGTCGCTAAGGCTACATCCCCAAGTAGTCCTAGCAGTATTGCGACGAGTTCCCAGATTCGTACCCTTCGGAAGCTTGGCAAGGGCAGGGACACACCTCAACCACAGCGGGTGTCTCCGAGAATCACAAAGATTGTTCAGCTACCCGAGTCTTCTATCTTGTGGTCCCGCGTGGAAGCTTTCTTGCAAGAGTTCGGATGTTTCTGGCCATTCTTGCGCGGGGAAAATGTTCGTGAAAAATTATCGGTCGCCATAGGCTCGACAATGCGTGGCAGCCATCCGAACCAGATAATCGTGACAGCGACAAACTGCAAGATGATTGCCATTTTGTTCAATATGCTCGCCTATGCGGACCTGATGGATGAAGTATTCGCCACCGCCGATATTTCTCCTGGATCTCAATCCTATTGCCAAGGGCTAAGTCTGATGGAGTCTTTTGGGATGCTCCATGATAACGACTTGGAGACGATGATCTATTATACTATCGCAGCATCATTTTTTCTGGCCGCTGAAAAGCTACATACGGCTTTGCAGAGTGCTTCTCAGGCTTTCCATATCGCTCGCTGTCTTGAGTTGAACAATCAAAAGCGGTGGCCTGAAAATACAGAGGCCGAGATTGCTTGTCGCCAGTCTCTCTGGTGGACATTGTATTTTCTCGACAAAAGGATCACCCAAAAGATTGGTATCTCGTACTCTGTTCGAGAAAATGAGTGCGGTGTCAGGGAGTTTGATGATGATGGAACCGGCGAGAGTTTACGCGACCATCATGAAATGCTACAAAGCATGGTGAACTACAGTCATTTGTGGGCTTATATTTGGGACGGCTTTTTCTCCCCACGCGCCTCGGTGAAACAAATTGATTTTGATGAAGTTGAATTAACAGACACCAAGATTATGCTGGCCTATCGTCGTCTTCCCGACAGCCTTCTTTGGGATTACCGAAAGGCTTTGGAATACATGAAGGGTGATAACGAGACACAGATCCGGCGGCGACTTCTAGTTTTTCTGGTAAGATTCCATAAGATCCAATTGAAAATTGCTGTAGTCTGCATCCATCGAGTACTGACACTTCAGCCTCAGAGGTTTACATTTCTCCGCCTCAGCATCAGACATAGCCATTTACGATCGGAGAAGCACGAGCGACAGCGACGTGAGTCGTGTATTTCTCTTTGCAAAGCAATGGTAGATGCGGTTCAGTCCTACACCGATAGTTTCGGCAGTCACAAGCCCAGCGGCTATTTCTTGACATCTGCACTAGTGGAGAGTCTGTATTGGATTGAGATCGAGAGACGACAAGAAACCCCAGTGGCAGAAGCATGTCACCTTGACAGTATCAAAGAAACTGCGAGACGACTCCTTCATGACCTTTCATTGAGTATCGGGGCTGCCTCGAGAGCTTATCAGTCTTTAAGTGATGTTCTTTCCAACAACGTTTGGGAAGAGCTGCTCCAGGATCCTGAGAATTTACCAGACTTCAGCGAGCTTTTCATAGACGAGATGCACTTGCCTGACAATACTTCACAAGTGAGAATGGAGAGTGGCACGCCCGAATCGACGTATTCGAGACTTTTCTCAAAGTCTATGCCAGCGTGGATCGCGGAAAATGGATTAAATGACCTTGGGGACTTTGACTGGGAAATACTCATGGAGCCACTACCTTTGACACAGACACAAAATGAAAGGTGATGAAAATCCCTTACAAAATAACAATAGCATCACTTTCTATCAAAAACTTTGTTTCGCATATTGCTTTTTCTTGTCGATTTTTTGATAACAAATTGCATGGATGAGAAAGAGATGGGGTTTAAAAATCTCACATCTTGAGCAAGAATTTAGCCCATGAACATGTAGATACACAGCCTGAAGTATCACAGCTTCGAGGCCAATTGATTCTGGCCGCATTGTGATATCGCTTCATAATCCTTCAATTTCTTCTTCAGTAGTTTGCCCGTGTGATTTCTCGGCAGTGCATCAATTATCAAGACTCCTCCTCTCAATTTCTTGTAGTTTGAAACCTTACTCGCAACTAAATCTGCGATTTCTTTTGCAACACTTACGGCATCCCGTCCGTGATCCTCTTTCAGACTCACAAAAGCGCGTGGAATTTCAGTTTCCTCCTTGGGACTCCAAATTCCAACCACCGCCACCTCGTGGACCAAAGGATGCTGAATAATGATGTTCTCGAGCTCTGAGGGCGCAACTTGGAATCTGGAGTCTTGTTAGTATAAGCAGGCCACGGTTCGTATCCAAAGAGAAAGACATACCCTTTGTATTTGATCATTTCTTTGAGACGGTCGTAGATGTGAAAATAACCCTTCTCGTCAAGGTAACCTAGATCGCCTGTATGGAGCCACCCATCTTCTGAGATTGTTTTTGCCGTCTCCTGTGGGTTGTCCTTGTACCCCCTATCTTCCAATCAGTTTCGAGTAAAAGGCTTACATGTTGCACAGACGTACATCATTGCGTTTGGTGCCCTACAAACAATCTCCCCTGGCCCTCGGGCTCCAACATCTTTGCCGTCGAGGTCTACAAATCGAATCTCGCAATTTGCGATCACTGTTCCTGAAGCAGACAGTGGCATTTTCCTGTCCCGCACGCCACTCTGAACGCATGGACCAGATAGCTCGGTACATCCATAAGCTAGAGAAGTGTCAGCATACCAGAATAGGCTCTAAAAAGGACATCTCAATTGTACTCACTTTGACACAGCGCGGCACCGGGAAATGCTTTGCGAAGCTTCGCTGCCGTTTCTTCCTACACGTACCGACCGCCAATCAGCATGAAATCTCCAGGGGACATTGTCTAGATTGAAAGACTCTTACATGTAATGGGGCAGCAGAGCAACTGAAATACTCCAACTTCGGATATTTATATTTACAAACAACTGGGCTCTCGGCAAGCATCTTGGCAACGGCAGGGACAATTCTGGCCAGCGTGGCCGAGCGATCCTGCATGAGGCGACAGTAAAGCTCAAGATCAAAACGAGGCATCAAGCAAACGTATGATCCCAGCCAAAGATTTATGGTAAAACAGACGTAAAGCGCATAAACATGAGACAGTGGCGGGAAGAAAATCTCTCGTTGCGATCCACGCCAATTTCGAGGATTGTCACTCCTTAACTGGAAGCAGGTGGCAACAAGATTATGATGCGATAGCATTACTGCCTTTGATGCGCCTGTTGTACCACTCGAAAGTAAGATCGCGGCGCAAGTCTTTCTTGCATCGAAATTGTTTGCACGGATAGGGTTGTGTAGCTCGAGTCCTTTTTCACCTGGGGGCAAATTGACAAGCGGAAGTCGTAGCCAGCCTGTACTAACCTTGCTTCCAATGGTGAAAATTTCCATCTTATTCGGTTGGCGCGCATGGTGTGAGCCCTCTTTTATAGCTGGGATTTTCCCGTACAGAGTTTCATCGACGATGAAGATTCTTGGTTTGATGAGATCAAGCGCATGGTTAATTTCATCGACATGTAAAGTGTTGTTGATTGGGCTCACAATACCCCCAGCCCACCAAACAGCATGAGCCGTCAGAATGTAATCGATGCAGCTGGATGCAGAAATGGAAACTATATCCCCCGGCCTTAAGGCCAAGGTTTGGCGTAAGGTAAAGGCTGTCTGGCGAATTTGGCGATGAAAGAGTCCATAGGTAGCCGTCTTTCCAGTGATTGCTTCCTCATAGATGACCTTTTCCGGGTGGGTATTCTCAACACCATGTTGCATCAATTGAGAAATTGACAGATTGTCTGGAATAGCCGTCCAAGTCGCGGAATAGTGGATTGACATTTTTATGGTATGCGTCACTAGAAGAAAGAACAAAATTGACCACTGGTCTTGTTTTAAGAATATCTGTAGTATTATTCAATTATTGCGACTAAGTTCTCTATGGAGCTTTTTTCTTTTGACTACATCCTTTCGTCGGAGAGATGGCCCGGAAATTTTATGGATCACCCCGACTGAGAAAATTCCCGAAATGTCGGAACGGTCTTAATTCCCGAGATCCAAGTAAATCGACGAACTAGATAACAATTGCGCATTCATCCCTGCTAACTGAGCTAGCCTTGCTTTCGCTAGCTAGATCAAGAGTGGCTTGGCTGCGGGAATTCTTCGACCGTAGATAATTTGAGCCAGTATCGGGATTTAAATCTTCAAAAACCACAAATGAGGTTAACAAGGAGGAATTTTGCGAAGGTGAAATTTTGATCTAATGGTCAACTGCAATCTTCTGTTTAAAACGCATCCCCCTAGAGTTTCAGAGCGTACCATTTCCACTACGAAAAAAGAGCCAGTGGGTACATACTACCACCACCCTACTAGCCAAAAAGTTGGACTCGCGGGGAATCGAACCCCGGACCACTCCCATGCTAAGGGAGTATTATACCACTAAACCACAAGCCCAGTTGCACTTGGATGAAGTATAGGCCAAAAATGGATATATAAAGCAACGGCATTGTCATCAAGTCCATAGACCCATTAGTCTGATACCTGACGTATGAGACAGATAGTCCATAAGTCAAAATCTTGTCAACTCCCCTCCAATTGGTAAATTAATCACATGAATCGACCCCCAGTGCACTCAATACAAGTTCCAGTTACATATGCAGCAAGTGGGCTAGCTAGGAATAACATAACCCTGGCAGCCTCATCCGCAGTCCCTGGTCTAGCCAAAGGTATGTCCGAAACGTCTCGCCATTTCTTCGCATTCATAGGAATGCCAGGTTTAATCTGCTGCCCTCCAATGCTTAATACTTGCGACTTAGTAGGAGGACGTGTGATACGGGTGTCAATCCATCCGTATGCTACAGCATTGGCTCGCACATTGTATCTAATTCAAGGTTAACAGATGGGCGGAGGCCCTCCATTCATTATTCAAATTTACTTACCGGCCCCATTCTACTGCCACAGTTTTTGTGAGCCCGACTATTCCTGCCTTGGCTGTTGCATAATTGATCTGACCCATGGCGCCGTGTAGCCCGGATGTGGAAGAAACATTAACGAGGTTCTTAGGCATATCATGGAATGCGGGGTCCATCCAGTGCGAGGAAAGGGCCCTGAGGAGGCGGAACGGCGTGTAGTTGTGTATTTTCATCACAATGTCAAATTTGGCGTCCGGCATTTTGTGAATGGCACTATCATGACAGAACCCTGGGAGCGATTAGCATGTCGTTTTCTCAGAATGCTGAGACGGATCGGCATACCGGCATTGTTGATTAAACAGTTGATCTTCCCCCATTTTGCCCGAACTCGAGTTATCAGTTGGTCGGGGAACTTTTCATCCAGAGCATCTCCAGGGAAGGCCTCTGCAATATGTCCCAGGCTTCGGATTTCGCGGACAACGTCCGCTGCTTTTTCGCTATCTAGATCATTGATCGCGACTTTCGCTCCCCTCTGAGCGAGGAGAATGGCCGCTGATCGACCGATGCCTGCAATCCTTGAGTACTCTGAATAAACTTTGATTAATTTGTGGATCTTACCTTGTGCTGCACCGGTTATGATAATTACATGGCCGTCAACGCGGGTAGGATCCATTTCCAAACCATTCGGCCCAAGGTGACTTTGTATCTGATCTAGGCGAGTGTTGGCCATCGTGACAGATAAGTGAGTGTGCGATGTTATCGAATTATTTCGAACCAATTTTATGAAAGTTTAGGGATTTTTGAGATTATCTTATCATTATTTTATTCGGTTCGACACTGAGTAGTTGCGCGTTCGGAATTTTTCTACAATTTACTGGAGAAATTTACCGACGCGGTATCCGGAATTCATGGCAAGCACATTTCGAGGCCGAACAATTCCACAAGCATGAATAATTCAAGGATATATGTTTCGGTCAAGCCATCATGTTAGATTAATTCTCAACTAAATCAATCCTGAACTATTTCATCTCGTACCGATTTTGAACATGGCCTCTGCACTCACTTCCGAAATTCCTGGTGCTGACCCAGCATGGCATCGTCGCCATGATCACCCGTACTTCAAGGAAAGCCATTATAAGCTTCAGAGATTCGTTCGTGAGTATGTCGATCGAGATATTGCGCCAAATGTCGAGGAATGGGAGAGAAATGCTGAGGTTCCGGAATCAGTGAGTGCTAGCAGTTGCTCATAGCGATCGCTAAGGCTCACAAAGAATAGGCTTTCAAGAGACATGCATCTCTGGGATTTCTGGCCGCATCAGCGTTTCCAATCCCCAAGGACTATGTGAAGGGTGTGACATTACCCGCTGGGCTGAGTGTGGATGGTGAGTGTGTCTCGTTGACCAGTCCAAAATGTCCATATAATTGATTCGATCTAGAATGGGACGAGTTCCACGATGCAATCGTGAGTTGTATCAGCCAGTATATTCAAGGCACTTCCTTTGCACCTGTCTAATGAAGATTTAGATCATCGATGAAATGGCTCGATCTGCTTGTCTAGGCACCATCTGGGGTATCAACGGCGGCGCGACCGTCGGAGGGCCGCCCCTCGACCGTTATGGCTCACCAGTGCAGAAAGAGAAATATCTTGCTCCTCTTCTGCGTGGACAGCAAAGACATTGTCTCTGTGTGACTGAGCCACAGAGTGAGTGATAATATCCACGGTCGGTCATTCGGGATAGGTGGTCACTAACTATTTCCAAGTTGGCTCTGATGTAGCCGGGCTCACGACAACCGCTAAGAAAACTCCAGATGGGAAGCAATACGTGCTCAGTGGTGAGAAGAAGTGGGTGACCCAGGGTCGTTGGGCTACCCATGGGCTGGTAGCTGCGCGGACCGGGCCTGTTGGTGCTAAGGGTATCTCTGTGTTCATTGTGCCCCTGGACAACGAGAAGATCTCGAAGAGAAAAATCGAGAACTCCGGAGTCAGCTCCAGTGGTAAGAATATCTCATTAGAAATTCCATGACCTTTCATGCGACGTGCACTTACCAATGGATGAACAGGGTCAACATATATTGAGTTCGACGAAGTCCTGGTGTCTGCCGAGAACTTGCTGGGCAAGGAGAACCAGGGCTTTGAGATCATTATGTCTAGTGAGTGTCAATATTAGAGATGCATTCATATCCGAAGGCTAACTATTCTACTCTTATTTAAGCCTTTGCCCACGAACGACTGTGGGTAGGTATCACAGCACTTCGACTCGGACGCGTCGCTTACGAAGACGCATATCGATATGCCTTGAAGCGCGAAACCTTCGGCAAGCCTCTTTTTGAGAACCAAGTGATCCGCCAGAAGTTCTCGCGAATGGCAAACATGCTCGAGCCAACCCAAGCGTATGTGGAGGAGTTGGTACATCGTTCTATTCGTTTGCCGTCGCTGGATTTCTCTCCTCTAGCAGCCATGCTGAAAGTGCAGGCTGCACACAATCTAGAAAAGATCTCCAGAGAGACACAGCAGGTGTTTGGTGGTCTTGGGTACTCTCGACAAGGTCAAGGGCAGAGGGTTGAGCAAATTAGCCGCGATGTGCGTGTCTTGGTTGTGAGCGGTGGCAGTGAGGAGATCTTGCTTGATATGATTGCCAAGCAGCAACGCAAACTGGCACATCTTTAGGACATCCTTGGGTCCATGCCTTGTGTCGAAATATCCATCCCAGGTGGAGAAGCCAGGGATTTTGCTAGAGGGTTCGGGTGAAATCATACCGAAGTATGCAGCTAAAGCACTCCGATATCATAATTATACCGTACCATCGACTGAGAACTTCAGAATTAGTTTCAAATCAGCTTCATTTTACCAATATGTCTTCATACTCAAATCGAGAGCATTTGTTGGTGGCATTCAACAGACCAGTAACCAGTAGCCGACTTTCAACTTACCTTCGTGGCTTTAATCGGGGTCAAACCTTGTGTCCCTCGCGACTGCGGGGTAGATAATGAGGACAAAATTTCTTGACCCTTCATGCATGGCAACTTTGTAGATCTAACGGAGATTCTCCGAGGGAATGGTTCATCTCTACTATTCTTGGCCTGGCTTGGGCACCAAGGAGAAAAATCAATGGCAGTCGGAGTTCGACCGAGCTGTGCCTTTCGCTGATGATATGACCGGACGCTTGGAAGACCATCTGCATTTAAAATCGCGCGGAGAGCGAGAAAATGTCCAATAAAAGGATTCATGCGAATAATCAATCCCAAAAGCGTATATGCAACAAGAAGGTGGAATAGAACATTCTCGATCTGTATATCTAATCTGAACTCATGTCTGTCTTCTATCTCTTTTCTTGTCATCTGAATGTGTCTATCGCCTTCTACTTCTCATAAAGGCAATTTATATAGCGTCCAAAGTTAGCCATAACTTATTCCCAGCACAAATATCCTTTAGTTTTGACAACGCAGCTGGGCAGGACCAAAAGTGCAAAAAAGGCAAGTTGGCCCGCTGCGCCAAGTTGGTTAGCGCCGGCGAGTCCTGCCGTAAACCGAACCAGACTCAATAGACCAGCATGACTACATGGGCCTGACCTTGACAATTTCAAAAAACCATCAACAATAATCCCAGAGTCGGTCTTGCAATGGCATTGCCCCGCAGCCATGCAACAAAACCCGCACCGATCAAAAAGAAATCTATGTCTAAAGTGCAAGATATCTCGTCATAAACAAGGCATACCCCAGTTAGAGGTTTACCCCAACATTCCTTCCATCCACCCCACTCCAAACCTGATTTATGACCCCCACGTTCTCCCTCGCGGTATCGCGACGCTGTTCCGCCCCACGCTGTATTTCACGCGCATACTGCACGCCAAAGCCGTGCTGGAAGACTTCCCGAATATCCTCCAGCGTCATACCCTTCACGTCCGGGTAACAGAAAATGACCCCGACCCAGCCGAAGAAGCACACCGTCGCATAGAAACCGAATGCACCCGATGGTGTGGTATTTGCCATCCGTGTGAGAAAAGTGGAGGACACGATCACATTCGAGCCTCAGCAGCTCATCGTAAGCAACATAGTGCCCACGGCGCGAACTTCGAGTGGGCAGAATTCGGAGGACATCCAAGCGAAGTTACCTGCGCCGGCAGAGTAGAATGCCACGAAGACGACCATACAAACGAGGACAAGATCCGCGGCCCAGCTGTTTTTGTGCGAAGTAAGTTCGAGGTCGTGGTTGAGTGGGATCCAGTGGAAACAAATCGCGGCGAGTGTTAGCGCCGCCGCCATCACCCATAGTGTATGTAGGAGGATCTGGCGACGGCCGACACGGTCGACTAGAAGTAGATTGATCCAGGTGAAGGGTGAAGACGAAATTTGTGGCTGCGATGATAGTTCCCACCGCGATGGGTTTGTCGAAGCCTACGGCGGCAAAGAGCGTGCCTGAGTAATAGAGGATAGAAATGAATCCGCCGAGTTGTGAAATATCCATGAGACCACAGGCTGCGAACATGGCGCGGTAATTGGCAGGGATCACGAGCTGCTTGATCAGCCACCAAAGACTCTTGTCTTCGTTTCGTGTCCGGTCCACGTGAATCATGATATGCTGCACTTTTTGTTGGACTTGTAGCGGAGTTCCATCGGTGAAGATCTGGGCGATCACTTTGGCTGCCTCGTCTGGTTTATAGTGTTACAATAATTGTCGTGGTGACTGAGGACAGAACGGGAGCAAAGTGCAGAGGATTATGGCAGGCACGGCGCCGATGGCGGCCATGTATCTCCAACCAGCGCTGACATTTGCAAATGCGGCGCCGATGCCGTAGCTGATGAGCTGGCCCGTGGTGATCGAGAGGTTGTCGAGACTGATCATACGCCCGCGATGTTTAACAGGAGCTACTTCGACGATATTCAGCTGGCAAAGTCAGTCAATTGAATATTCAGAGTGAGGGAGGATGTGAAGCACGTACTGGGACGATCATCGCGGCAGAACCAACACCCAGTCTAACGATCAGACGGCCCACAGTCATTTGAGGGCTTCCCCCAAGTCATCAGCGAGCACTACGAGAATGGAAGAAATGATGCCGGTGTCATAACCGAATAGGAATCCGCCGACACCAGCGGTGATTGACACCAGCCAGGCATACTTGCTGCAACGTGTTGATTCAATCGTGTCCAAGTCTTGTACGTTCACAGACTCGCAATGTTCGATGGGGTCTTTCAAGTCATCCTCTTCGAATGAGGATTTTCCACTTTGGTCACTCACTATGGGCGTACAGGGTTGTTCAATTGAAACCTGTGGAGAGGTAAAAATCTCGCAGAATAATGAGATTGAGCACTTGAGAGATCCGACCCTGCTAGGACTGATATTTCACCAGCTTATATGGCATAAACCTCCAAGGGCATAATGCAGGAACGGGACTATCATGCATTATCCCGGGAGCAGCTCGTTGGCCAAAACTGCCGGAAGAATGACGCGCTGGGAGGGAACGCCGTCCCGCATAAGATCCACTTCCCAACCACCAATAGCGCATAGGCTAGTATGAGGTGGGGTGATAGCCTAGCTGCATAGCTCATTCCAGGCGAAACCAAATTGTTGTAGTCTTCATGGTATCAGACGAAGAGAAAGTTCTACTTAATTACCATGACCAAGATATAATTTCCATAAAGGCAACACTAACCACACGTCACGAGAATTATGCAAACATAGTTTGTGTGGCAACAGCCAATCAGAAAAAAGGCAAATCCCAAGATTTATACCCCGCACTTCCCCCGTGTGGAGATGGCCGGCGACGCCTGCCTTCAATTTCCTTCTTTACCACGCCCTTTCCCTATCGACCTTCCCATCTCTCTTGCAAGCATACATATTCAACTGTAACTATGCGGCGGAATAAGGCAGTCCCCTGGTAAGTGCCCCACGTCGGCGAGAAAGTACACCAATCACTAACGAAGTAATTGTAAAGCCAGGAATGCCGCAGTAAGTATGCCCATGAAGAATCGAAATATGCTAAATAGTGCCCACTAGTTGATGGAATGATCACTGACTGTCTAATTACATCGTGTTAGATCGACATGTAAAATGTGAGTGCATAGGTACACAGCAGAACGTGTGGACGAATTCTAATAAACGGCACTAGGTGATGGGCAAAAGCCGACGTGTCAACGCTGTGAGCGGACCGGAGCATCTTGCGTATGGCAAGAGAACCCCTCGGGTTTTCGACATGGCTCTAGTGCAAGTGCTCGTTATGACTTTTCCGATGATCAGCCGTGGCTTCCCATCGGGCGTGGTGCGTTAATTTCCATCATTCTCTTGCCCCATTGCATTCGATTCGTCATATACAGCAAATCAATTGCATCACTACCTCAATTTCGGGCTATGATGTTACTAGTTGCAATCGCTGACCCGAGACGGCAGTGGATTACAAATATGTGGATGAAACAGCCGACATAGCCCGAAGCTACACCCTGGGAGAGGGATTGCATCCCTCTCCGTCCCCGCCTTTGGCTCCCGAAAGACGCGAAAGTAAACTGTCAATTGACCATCGAACCCTGGCCGAGCCATCTATTCTGAGCGATCCGGTCGGCTCTTATTCGTCCGAGCATTGTCTGCCGCCGCCGAATCGGCCCGAGACTAGCCATTTGACTGGGTACTCGCCATTTCCCTTGCAGCTGTCCCCGAGAAATCATTCTTCGGTGTCGTCTTCTTCACCTCATTTTTCTCATAGCAGTCAGGCTTCGCCTGGGACGACGAGGAACCTTGTTTCCCTGGTTGATAATGGGATTGATCATGGACTCCCTAATCTTGATGAACATGAAGCTTGCTTGATGCGCTATTTCGTCGTTCAGCTTGCACCTTGGGTATGGGCGGCATCGTCCCCTCTAATTATGACCCTTCTCTATACTGACGTGATTGACTAGTTTGATTTATGCGATGGGGAAAGGCATTTTGCCTGCACAGTACCCCTGCGAGCTCGAACATGTCCACCTCTACTAAACGCTATCTTTACTGCCTCGGCAAGACACCTGAGCCGAGTCAAAAAATACTACAAGGGAAACCACGTCCATTACGGAGGAAAAGCCCTTCCAAACCTCACACCCGAAACCGCCATCCACTACCACAACGAATGTATCGCACACTTTGTCTCCTTATCGGATCACTCCCGCGAGGCGCAGGATGAGAATCTTCTGGCTGCAGCAGTAATCCTCCGCTTTTATGAAGAAGTCGACAGTCAGTGGATAAGCCTACTTCTACTTAATATCTTCTACTAACATTATCCCTACAGTGCCATCTATGGGCGAAGACTCCGAGAGCGCCCTTCGCGGTATCCAAGTATTTCTCGATGCCCAAGCCATCTCTGCCGTAGCAGGCTGCGGCCTGCGTCACGCAGCCTACTGGATCGCCCTCCGCCAAGAAATAATCACAGCCTTCAGCAAACAACGAACCTTCCGCCTCCCCCTCGGCCCCTGCGAACCCTACCGCACCTTTGAACCGGCCGACGACTACGTCTGGGCCGACCGACTGGTAATCCACTGCGCTGACGTATTACAGTATTGCTTCGGCTCGGAGGAAGAGAATCCTCCACGCGACAAATTCCAATCAACCTCCAGCATGGGCGTGTTATACCCACCGCCCTCCACGGATAAACGCGTCGCCCGGTACGAGGAACTGGTCGCCTTCCAGACCCTCTGGGCTGAAATGGGCCCGCCTAGTTTCAAACCCATCTACGCTCGAGGACCAGACCGCGCCCGCGGTGAGGTCTTTCCCGAACTCTGGTATCTGAACAACTGCCACGTCGCGGGTCTGCAATTCCTCGAACTAGCGCGCATCCTGCTCACAGTCTACAATCCCAAATTACCCCGTCTAGGCCCGGGTCAGCGCACGGCAATGCGAACGGTCGATCGAGAGGTACGCACGATTGTATTGAGGCTTTGCGGAATGGCACTGTCAAATCAACATAGCCCGCCGGGACTGGTGAATGCATTTGTGGCGATTGGAATGTGCGGTGATCGGTTCACGGATCGATTGGAGCAGGAGGCACTATTGGAAGTGTTGGTTAAATTGGAGGATGAGCATGCGTATCCCACGACGAGCACGAGGGAATTGTTGAAGGGGGCGTGGGGGTGGGATGGCTATGATGCCTCTGAGTAGGTCTTGGAGAGTGGATAATGTGTACCGTGTACTATTATCGATCAATGCACTCTGTGCAAGTCAATTAGCTTCACTTGCTGCTGTTATTATCTCCAAAAAAAAGTCCTCCCTGACGAGACTGCAAATTGTACAAAGCAGTACTTCGCCGCCACGCGATGCGGAGATCAATCTATTCTCACGCTTCGCCCCTGGCCGGGAATTCAGTCCACAATTGCATCACCCATCACAATCAACAATCTGAGCTCGTGACATATTTTTATGCTCCATCTCCGCATCTCAGGCAAAAAGATTGATTGAGATATTGAATCCTCGTGGGGAGCTCGGCGAACCAGCGAGTGAGGGGAAGTGGACCCTCTTCCTCCACGAAAGGCAATTGTCGCCGGTCTCCTTCTCGAAGTAGTCACAACCTGCATAGATTCAGACTGATCAGCTTCAATACAGGCGATACTTCGCCGCGGGGCAGCGATAGCTGTTTGATCTTGAAGGGAGCGGTATTCACCTATTTAACAGTAAGGTCTTCTCCTCGCCATGGCCATTGAAGCATTGCATTCTCTTCAACTCTCCTTCTCAGTTTCAATTCATTTACTACACGATCTCTAAAATGTCCCAGAAGCTTCAAGTTGCAGTTGCTGGCATTGGCCGCATGGGTATGAATCTTCCCAGAAAAAAAATCCAAATGCAATTGACCATTCCTAATTCCAATTGCTAATTATTCTGCTTGTACAGGTATGCGCCATGCCCGCCACTTCGCCACGCTCACTCCGCGCGCTCAATTGATTGCTGTCTGCTCGCCGGTGCAGTCTGAACTTGATGCTGCAAAGGCCGAGTTCGGTTGCCGTACTTACACCGATTACGAGACTATGTTGCATGAGGAGAAGACTCTGGAGGCTGTCGTTGTTGCTAGCGCTACTACTGTTCATGCCGAGCAGGCTATTAAAGCTATTGAGCGTGGCCTGCATGTTCTCTGTGAGAAGCCTATTTCTACTAGCCCTGAAATTGTAAGTCACGTTCTGCTTTACCATGCTACAATGTCCCGATAGCTACACTCTGCTAACAAGTATAGTCTCAATCCGTCGTCGATGCCTACAGCGCCTCTATTAAAAAGTTCCCCTCCCAGAAAGTCATCTGTGGCTTCAGCCGTCGCTTCGATGCCTCCTACCGTGACGCGCACGCCCGTATGGCTGCTGGCAACATCGGCACGCCCTCAGTATTTCGGTCGCAGACCTGCGATAAGCTGGATCCCAGTGGATTCTTTGTGGCATACGCCGAGTTCTCGGGTGGTATCTTCGTTGACTGCAGTATCCACGATATCGATCTGGCGCTGTGGTTCTTCGGTGAGGAGACTAAGGTCAAGAGCGTGACTGCTATTGGTATCACCGCTGTGCAGCCGGATCTGCGCAAGCACAATGATCGGGATAATGCGCTGGGTATTATTGAGTTCTACGTGAGTTGATCCTTGATCCGGCTTATAGAAACACGACCCTAACTCATATTTTCCTATCGCTAGGGAGGCAAAATCGCCCAACTCTACTGCTCCCGCATGATGGCCGCCGGCCAAGAAGACTGCACCGAAATCTTCGGCACAGACGGCAAGATCGCTATTAACACCCAGCCCCAACTTAACCTGGTTAACTTGTACGAATCGACTGGCATCCGGCGCGAGATCCCCGCGGACTACTACGGTCGCTTCCGCGAGGCGTTTATCACGGAGGCGAATGAGTTTACTGCTTCCTGCTTGGATGATACTAAGCCTCCTTTGCGCCTGGACTCGGCTGTTAAGGCTGTTACTATTGGCTGTGCGTTGCAGGAATCACTGATTACGGGTAAGAAGATTGAGTTCGATGAGAGTGGGAAGAGGGTTGAGGTTTCTCATCTGTAGGTGTTGGATGGGATTATTGAGGATCCATTTGATCTTGCCTTGCTTTTATGATAGCTTTTTGTATAGACCACTTCTAGTCAGATGAATGAACATAGACTTTCGAGAATTGATCGTACAGTGTAGTGTGTACAAAGAGTGAGTGTATGTTTTGACTATATCCTCCCAGTTTGTAGAAATAGAAAGCAAATAGAATATCGATGAGACTCACAATCAAAAACCCTATGGAGGTTGTTATGGAACTCTCGGCTCAGAATTCGAAGCCGATCCGGGATGAGCGTCCACAAGAAAATGCACCCACCCACATGAACCACCATGAAGGGACCCTGGAAATCATCAAACGTAGAGATATCGGGACACTTCCGATCCTACTCTATTTTCTTCTCGCTTCTCATAAATGATGCTAGGATTATCAATCCGATGGAACATATTGGTTAAGGTAGATCCTTCAAAGCAACCACGAGTCAAAGATTCATCGCACTGTTTCTACCGAGGATGAAGTTGTTAGCCGGACAAGTAACCATCAGGTCTGTCTTGTATCTTTCCTTATCATAAGTGACCGGGAATTCACCAACGTCTAGCAGCCTACAGAAACCTCACCCGAATCTCATCACTACATTAACCCTTTACTCCAAACTAAATCACAAATCAAAATCTAGGAAATGCCGAAGCGCTGCAATTGACTAAGACACGGACCAAACAGCCCAAAGATAGGTACTGTATACCAAATATGCCCCAAGGACACACAAGGCAAACAACAAACTCAAAACAAGAAAAAAAAGGATTAACTTGAAAAAAAAAGAGGAGAATAATGAGCGGGGGTAATAGGGCACACAGAAAAGGCGGGCAAGGAGCAAGATATGGCGTAGCAAAAAAGTACATCACAAGAAGGGTAGTTAGAGAAAAAAGGAAGAAAAAAAGGTTAGTCACAATTTGATTTTCTCCAAAGTTTGAGTTTTGGAGATTGAGACCCCCGTGGATCGTATTATTCAATAACCATTCTTCTCTTTTGTTTTTTGCGACGCGTGGGCCCATCCAGTGGAAGATAAGGAAATAAAAAAGGAACAAGGAAAAAGCTGCAACAGAGGTGTGCGTTAAAGGGGGATACCGTAAGGTGTCCAGGGTAAGGGAGTGTGCGTGTGTGGAGATGACAAGCAAGGAAATATGGAACCCCGTTGGGAAAAAGGGAGACGGGATCAAAACGAGAGCGATAGATAGCGGGACTGCATAACTGAAATGGCAACTTCAGCAGCGGCCGTCAACGGCACGAAGAGGAAGGAGCTGAGCGAGGGGTTTAACGGAGCGAGAAACCCTTGCGCTTGCCCTTTTCTTCGATGGGGCGACCGCTCTCCAAGCGAGCTTTCTTTTCCTCTAGTTCTTGGCGCTGCCGGTCTAACTGTTCCTTCATCTCGCGGTGTCGGGCATAGAGTTCGTCTTCGCTCTGTTTGAGCTTGCTTTCCTTCTCGGAAACCTTCTGCTGGAAGACCATCTTCATCTCGGCCTCCATCTTGGCGAGCTTCTGCTCGTGGAGAGTGCGCTCCTCCTCCTGCTTGACGGCAGGGTTGACCTCCTTGAACACGCTGGGGTCCTGAGCAACACCCATCTGGGTGAGCTTGTCCGAGCGGTAGTTCTCGTACAGGAAGTTGTTGGTGTGCTCCTTGAGCTCCTCCATGTGGGTGCGGATCAGCATCTGGCGCAGCTTGACAAAGTCACAGTGCTCCTCGTTGTCAACTTCGATGACACCCCAGGGGTAGCTACGGCCACGGACACGGCGGCCATCAGCGGCGGTGACCTCGGAGTTGGCACCGACGACAGCGAAGGGAACCTTGGACATGATCTCCTGGTTTTCGGCAATGGTCTCCTCGTCATCGAGCTCGTAGCGGGGACCCTCGAAGATCTGGATGGAGTGGTGCTGGATATCGGCAAGGATCTAGAAAGTGGGGTGAAAAGTACCAGATTAGTCTCAGAGTAATCAAACAACCCAAATTGAGAAAAGAAAATGGAAAATACATACTCTCTGCTTGAACAGAGCAACCTCCTCATCGGTCAGGGTATCAGCCTTGGCGATGACGGGAATCAGGTTGACCTTGGTGTGGAGACGGCGCATGACCTCGATATCCAGAGGCTTGAGGGAGTGACCGGTGGGCTGGATGAAGTACACACAGGCGTGAATGCGGTTGTCGACAATGTTGCTGCGGTTAACCTTGTTCTCAGCCTCAAGGTAAGTGTCGAAACGCTGCTCAATGTTCTCGACAATAGGGCGCCACGAGTCGTCATTGTTGACAAAGTCACCGAAGCCGGGGGTATCGATAACGCTCAGGCGGAGGCGGACACCATTCTCCTCAATATCGGCGCTGGTGGACTGGATCGACACGGTCTTGGGGATAATGTCGGCATTGGGGCCGGTACGCTCCTTAGGGGGTAGAGAGAGGTGTTGAACAGGGTGTTAACGAGAGTCGACTTTCCGAGACCGGATTCACCTGCGACGTAATCGTGTGAGATGTGCCCATGCAAGCCAATTGGCGGGGAATAGGCCGGAGGGAAGCGTGTATCTTGATGTACGTACCGACAACCATGACGTTGAAGTTGAATCCCTTGCGGACACTCTTGCGGTGCCACTGGTTGGGCAGGTTGGCGAAACCGACGTAGCCGGTCAGCTTGCGGCGAACCACGTTCTTCATGTCGTTGGCAGCCTGGGCTACGGCCTTGGGGTCGCGCGAGCTGACAGTCTGAGCATTACCGGAGCCCATGGGGTTGGTGCGCTCCACGAAAGGAGACTCCTTTCCGCTGGGCGTGGGGGAGTCGCGGGACGCGACGGGGGAACCGTTCGCAATCGGCGAAGCTAGAGAATCCATCAGTGACTGGTTCTGATGATTGTGGACGGTCCTCCCTGAGCGGTCGAAATCGTGGAATCCGCTCGGAGAGAGATGGGGACAGATGTGGAAGCTGCTTACACATGGCGACGGTCTTGTTTGGTGGAGGACGTTAAGGAGGATACGGAGACCAACACGAAAAAGATTCCCTAATCAATGAACAATATCATCAGTAACCGATTACACCAGAGTGGGGTCTCGTCATGATCGGGACAATAATAAAAAAGTTATTCGGGGGGAAGATTGAAACGAAGATCGAGAAATGCCAGGGATTCATACCTAGAGAAGATTGCGTCGGTCAAAAAAAGGGGGGGGGAAAGAGGGAGGGGAGAAAGGGGAAAAAGGAAGATGGATTCAAAAAGCGAGAGACAAGAAGCAGCTCAAGCAGTGCTAGCTCGAAGCGCGCAACAAAAGAGAATTGAAAGAGAGGGAGGGAAGGATGGGGAGGGAGAGGAAAGAAGCACTGCCAGTCTGGGAAAGAAAGGGGGGTGAGGTTCTCCGGTCGGGTCCAGTGATCAAGCCAGACCAAAGAGCAGCAGCCAGCCAAAAGAGCTATTCTGGAGTGGGCGTGGATCGACCCGCGTCAACCACAACTAACTAAAAACCACGACTTGCAGTACGATACATCATCTTTCCCGGCCCAATGGACGTTACTTGTGACCAGTAATTATTCTCTCTTGGACTACATGCCTTTCTAATGACTGGACGAGTTATCGTACATTCCTCGGGTCTTTGGAAGTGCATGTGTTCCCCCTCGTCCTACAGGGAATGCGGGCCAGACTATGGAAGTATTTGTATACGGCCAGTTGTCATGTTCTCGACCATGCAAGCCCAATGATCCACCTATTTTGAAACAGAGAGGCTTCAATGGCAAACATTTGGGATTCTATCAGACACAGCTTGTTAGAAACGAGATAGTTAGAATAGTAATCATCACTATCTGTATTCTTATGGTATCCAATCAAGACCACCGTTCTTCAGTTCCTCTCCCCAAGATCAGGGGTTACGGGGTGGATCACGTGAGTTCCACTGGGTGGATCCACCTCTTTACCGTACAAAGTAAACTGTTGATGTTGATATTACCGAACCACAAACCACCGAGTACTTGAAAGATATCAGAGAGCAATTTTTTCAACTAACGCCAGGATACACAAGGTCCCGTCCCAGATGAGGTCACCGAAAAAGAAAAAAAAAAGAAAAGGTGAAAGAAAAAAAGACCCAGCTATTCACATTTATTTCCCGGTCTTGCTCTTCTTCTTGGGCCGGGTTTCCTCGGCATCCGATCCAGCATCTCCATCATCATCATCATTACCCGCATCACCCATTTCCTCATCACTGTCACCACTGCTCTCGTGTGCCGAGTCGTACTCCTCGGCTACATCAGAGTCGGAGGAGGCATTAAAGTCCTCATCCACAGACTCCTCGTCCTCATCTGCGGAGCCGCGATCGGCCCGGACAGCCTCCTCGTCACTGGACTCCATCAAGTCGTCATTGTCAAGGGCAGCCTTGAGAAGGGTCGAGGATTCCTCGGCCATCTCGTTCTTAATACGAATGCCCTTCGCCTTGAAGAAGTCCTCCAGCGGTTGTTGCTCCTCACTATTGCTCTCGTTAGTTTACATGGCCAAGGCTCCTTTAGCTGTTGAGTGGGGCGCTTACCGGTTGATGTTGCTGAACTGGTGCTCGCCCAAACCCGACTTGAGGCTGACAGTAATATCAAAGGTTCGGCTGGCCGACACCGCGCCACCGACACGTGACATGGTCACCACTGCGACGCTCTCGAGCTGGACGTAGGTGGCAGGCTTAGGAACGAACATGAGGCTCTTGTCAAGGAAGTACAGAGAGCCCTCGTTGGCCTTGATAGAGCACTTGACGCCGTGGTGCCCGTGGTGGCTGATAAAGTCCTTGGACGGCATGATGACCTTCTTACCGGACAATCCACGGAAGATCTTGGTCACAACTTGGTGAATGGGCTCCTCATAGTGTGCCTGGAGCTTATCGCCGTACTGCTTCTTCAGCATTTCCCTACAACAGTGTCAATAAGATGAATTGAACGCGACCTTTGTTCGCATCTCGGGCTGAAACTTACTCTGTCATGTTCAGCTCCAGGCTAATTTCTTCATCTAACTTCAACTGCATGACCAGGAATGGGTAGCGAGTCTGACCCTGGCGAAGAGGGGGATCAAGACCGAGAACAATGAGAGTGTGGGTGTCGTCATTCTTCGGAAGCAAGAAGAACTTTTTAATGGCGGAGTATTGAATCTTGTAATCGTATGTTTTACCGCGGAGACGGAAGGATGACTCGTACATATCGATATCAAAACGACCTCTAGAAGATAGATGGTGAGCAGAGAAAATTTACGCCAGCCAACGGGGAGAAGAACAAACCTGGGCGTGAGATGAAGAACATCCAAGAAGGTCGCAAACGTATCGCCTGCCACGTCTCCAATCTCGGCCTTGTCCATGAGAGTCTCATAGAAGAGGTTCGCGGCATTCTGCTCCTCTACCTCTTCCTCGTTGTCCTCCTCATCGCCTTCGGCCTTCTCCTTCTTCACAGCTGTACCAGGGATGTAGAAGCGCATCTCGACCAGCTCATCGGGGCCCGCAGCAGCCTTCCGGCCACGGTTCTGCGTGCTTCCAGCGGGCTGTACGTTGGCACCGTTCGCCTGGTCTGCGGAAAGCGCGAATTCAACCGCCACTTCATTCTTGCCTGCGAGGTTGGTATTGGAGATCTCGGAGTAGGGGACTTCGAAAGCGGGTCGGTTCTGGACACTGAAGGAGAGCTCGGCCTTGGTGAACTCGGCCTTGCCCCAGTTCCATCCACGGATGGCATGTTCGCGGGTCTCGACATTGATGCCGTACCAGATCTTGAAGGCCTTGCTCAGTCGCTCGAAGTCCTAGTACAGCAAACCCATTAGCATAATGTCCTATAATAATATAACGCACAGCAAAGCGGATCCAGCGTACCTCCTGATCAAAGCCATCCAGCTGAATGACTCCTGAGCTTCGCGACAAGATCTTCAGCTCGTATCCTTTGGCGGCGCGACTCCACTGGGCGTGGCCGATGTTGCTGCTGTCAAGGGTGAAGGTGTCGCCACCGCCGGAGGGACGCCAGCCAAGACCGCTCTCAGCAAGCTTGCATTTTCCCGGTTGCTTCGAGAGGTCCAGGTAGACGTTGTCGAAGCTCTCCCTAAATGTTAAACATGGTCAGCGGTGTTCAAAGGCGTCTAGTTTGACGGCACTAGAAAGCTTACATGATGGAGAAGCTCTATCGGAGAATGAGTTGTCGGTTGAGAATTGAAAGAAAGATGATTTAGAGAAGTCTGATGGATATGACAGGTGATGGAAGCGGGGTTGGGTCGGAATGGTAGGAGAGAGGGTTTAGAGAGCTCTCAGATTTCTCGGAGGTCGCGTTGCGGCGCGCTGCAGGAGAGGAGGCCACTTTCGCCTTATCGGGCTTAGCGTGGTACCTGATTGATGCCTGGGAAAACGGGCGGTCACTTAATGTCGGAACAATAAATGACCGTATAGACTAAGAATGTTGCCCATGGTGCATTTTTAGTCTAGCGGTATTGTGCCCCATCTGTGTTCGACACTTAACGAGATGCATCTTCGGTCCTCAGATCATAGATCAGCATTACGTCTGTGGGGAAATTGTTACTAGAGCAGCGACATGAAGACCACTAAAAATAGAAATAGGATAAGAAAAATATTTGAAGAACCTGCAATAGCTACTATTGGCATCCAATGGTCATCTACCAAACTACTAAATGGCCGGCGTGAGTCTTCTTTACATATGCACAGCAAATGGTTGGTGCCTACCGCTACGGTGAATTTGAGATGCGCGCACCTTCTCCTGGCTCGAGTCCATACTGGGATGCCGCAAATATAAGATATGAAGCATATATGTCCGCACTCATCCATACCAAGTGACTCGAGCGAACCAAATAACAATGCTAATAATCCCACGATAAAGAGTAGATGTGAAGGTCGTGCTCCCTCTTGATGGTAGGTCATGTGACCTTATCAACTCTGGTATCTTATCATCATTTTCTGCTGGCTGTGACCGCTGCATTAAGTGATAGTGACGGTGTCAATACGACGTATGGGGATGGAGTTTTTTCCATCTATAGCTCGCATCCCCTGGCTTTCCTATCTTCCGTAAATGCCATGAGCTTGATCACGAAAGAGACTTCCAGCCTCTTGCTGGTTTCGGATTTCTCGCCCCTTCTCCCTACCTAGGTGGTCCCTCAACTTCCTCAAACACCTCACGAGATCTTATTAGCTAAAGCAATGATCAACTTGCAGCAGTCCCTGACCTTGACTGGTCTCCCGGTTGAGATACTGCTTCTGATTGCTGATTTTCTCTCACCGGCCGATGTAGCGTGTCTATCTCTATGCACCCGGTGGCTCATGTCTTTATTCGAGCCGGAGTCGCTGAGACACGGATTGCCAATTGGTGAACCTGGAGACTTGGTAAATGAGAGAGCCATCTTTTTGAATAGGCTCTCACTCGTCAATCCCGAATATTTCCTTTGTTCGATATGCATACAACTTCACCCCTGGAGAGCCTTTCCCTTCCCTTCGTCGAGGAGGATCTCAAAATGCTGTATCTTGAAATCCGATGACAACCGATACCCATGGTCTCTGTTCTCAATGCCATACCTACTGTGGCCAAGATGCAATCAGTATCGCTTCCACTTCACCCATCTCCAGCTGGTTAAGAGGCAAATTAATCACGGCCCACAGTACGGTATCTCTGCCCAGTCGCTATTTTACATCGAGGTCTCAATGAGACCGTGTTCAGAAGATGTTTTCCTCTCCCGAATGCAGAAAACCGCAGCCTCAAGTTCAAAAGGAAAAATCCAGTCACCGATGAAGACATGCCTTACTTCGTTTGAGGCACGCATATGCCCAGCAGCTCCGAGTCTGTGCTTGCGCATCTAGTCCTGGTCAGTGGTCAGCCGTGATAAAGCGGCAAAGCGGCGAAGCTGCTGAATCGCGAAGATTTCGTCTTTGGTTGTGAGTATGTCGCTTTCGAAAAACCCTCTCAGGAGGGTCCCACCCGTTCGCATGTCTCGGCCTATCTCTCTGGCTCATCGAAGGCCGCTGAATATGGGAAATGCCCCAAATGCAACACAGAGTGGCAGATCGAAGTCCGAGACTTTGGCACTCAGGAAGTGAGCTTGATTTTAACTCGATGGATTGATTTTGGGCCTGGCATAACGCCTCGGGACCCAAGGTGGAGTGACCACGTCAAGATTCAGAACAGCTGCATGGTCGCTGCCGAAGACATCGTTGCTAGCCTTAGACTGCGTTTTGAGAGTAGCTTGCCAGAGGGTGGTAAGAGTATGCCTTGTCAGAAGAGGAGCTCTATTTTCGCAATGCGTCTTTGTTGACAGGGAAGAAGTACATGCGTTGTATGGAGGAAGCCTCCCTAGGATGGTGCTTACGGCCTGGCTCCCGCCGGCGTCACTCTCCCGGCTGTGTTTTACTTTGAGAGTACGTCATACGGTCTAATTCAAGGCTCAGGTTTGCCTACTGAGAACTTGTACTTGAAGGTTCTGTTGATTGCCGTTTCCGAATTACTTGGGTCAGGCCCCCCATCGTCCTTTACTAAAATGGATAACAGGAAAGGCCCCCATACACAGAACAAGGCACCCCTTCCATTCTCTATCCATTTTTCTCTCTTTCTCATCAATTTATTTCCATCTTATTACTCGATTAACCGTTGATGTCGCTCCGCCGTTATCCCTCTAGGCTATCTTGAGAAGCCGTCGGGGTCTAATTCAGATCACGTCGACCTTCTGCTAGATTCCGCTTGGGACAAGTCATCCTAGTTTCCAGTCAAGCCAGCTTCTGTTCAGCCGCGGCTCTTAGGGAGAATTCGTCCACGGAGGAGTTCCGGCTCGGTACTCTATGGAGATAGGCCCCTAGGAGGGCAAGCGAGGGTGGCGAATTCCATTTTACGCTGACCGGCCTGAGACCCCGGCCTTGCGTATATCTTCATTTCGAGCATTTACGTATCTTTAATAACACCATCAAGTGTTATTGGAGCTATGAAAAGGCCCTGTTAATAAGAGAGGTTGTTAATCAATCCAACCTAAAAAGGGGAAAGACGAGCATGGCAATGCCCACACAGTTGACTGCGCAGAGGAATCAAAATTAAGTATAAGAAAGGATACACAAATAAAGCAAAAACATAAACATAAACAGCCATACTATGGCGATGCTCGCCTAGCGCCCACCATTCGGTCGTGGGCGGCTCACCGCTGTACGCACTTGGGCTTCAGGCGGCTCCAGGGGGCAGTTCACCCACCTGAATATTCTTCACCCAGAGGAGTGAAGCCCTTTCCCAAATAGGCATTTCTGCATTCCTACCAAGAGAAATATTTCGCGATGCGGGAGCAGATACCATGTCCTTCCCTTTTATGCAGTGACTGCTAGTTGACCTTACCATTTTCTATACCTCCGTTTATCTCGTACCACTATATCTCAGTTATCTTTGCACCATTGTGTGATAGTCTGGCTCAATGCTATACTTCCGTCCGGATATATAAAGTTGGCATCCACCCCTGTGTCAAGTAGTAGCCGTATCACTGCATCTCGGGGACCTGACTATGAAAAGATAGCCTAGCCCAATGCTATACCTCTATCCGGATATATAATGTTGATATCCGCGCCTTTGTTAAGTAGCAGCTGTATCACTGCCTTATATCCTCTTTTTACTACCCACCATAATGCTGTGAAGCCTTCGCTATCTTTCGCTATCGTGTCTGCACCCTTCCCAAGCAGCAGTTGCACTATTCCTCTATTACGTTTCTTAGCCGCTGCTTATAATGCTGTCTCTCCATCATTAGTCCTTATTGTTATATCCGCCTCTTTGTTAAGTAGTAACTGTACTACTGCGTCTTGCTGAAGCGTCACGGCCTTTATTAGTACTGTGTAGCTATCTGGATATACTATGTTGATGTCTATAGCCTTACTAAGCAGTAGCTATATTACTACGCTATGACCCACGAGTTGCAATTTCGCGACGAGAATAATTCCCCGCCAAATCGAAGGTTCTCTCGGTCTTTTCAGCACTTTCATCGAATTGAGCAGTGCTCGAAATAATGCAACAATAGATACTATCTGATTCTTGCCATCAATCAAGTACACGTGCAAATAACATAGTCGAAGGAAACTCGGTTTTTATTTCCTTGTTTAAGCCTTTTTATCTCAGCTACTGAGTCATTATACCTTTTTTGCAGGAAATGATTAGGATGACTAGATATAAGTATTTGTTGAACCTGGAATAATAACCTGAACTATGAATCCAACTGGCAATTCAAGCAGCTTGAACTAACTGAAAGCCCTTCTTTCATCCTTGGTGTAAAATACATAGGTAATCGCTTCCTGCCGTTCAGGTGGTCTTTTCATGCGATTCTCCTCGTATAGGCATAGGTCCACAATATCGAATCAGGTGACTCTATCATTCCCCACATTCAATACATGTTTCCCACTTTCCCCACTTCTCACTTTAAAGACTTACCTACGTGTCGGAATTAACGGTCGTCGGAACCAATTTCACGCCGCATCGGGGTTTCGGGTCTCAAAAAGTCCGATTTATAGACAACAGCTTCAAAGGCATTATTACTATAAATTGACGCCCAGGTTCGCAATTCATCGTGATGTTGGCAATCACATTCTCTAAGAATCCATTTCAATATCAGATTGCTCGAATTCTTCACCATGTCACTCGACTTCGACCCTGTGGAAACAATTTTCCAGTCATCCAAAAAGCCCGAGTCAGCTGGAACTGGATACAGTGGTCTTGATACATCTCGTGTGTTCCTATCGGAAGGTCACTGCCGAACTCCAGAATGCAGACCACTTCCAGTTCCTCTGATCTGGGACCGTGACGTTCCACTTCGTATGCGCGATGGTGTTTATATTAGAGTGGATATATTTCGCCCTCAAGACTCTACGGCCAAGTTACCAGCTCTCATGGCGTGGAGTCCTTATGGTAAAACCGGGGCTGGTCAGTTTTACTATTAACCTATCTCAATTTTGCCTCTACTAATTTCTTAAACTTGAAGGAGTCATAAGCTTGGATATGATTCCCCATCGAGCAGGTGTTGCAAAATCCACGTTATCTGGTTACGAGAAATGGGAGGCTCCCGATCCGGTCGAGTGGTGTGCTCGGGGTTACGCAGTGGTGAACGCTGATGCCCGTGGGGTTTTCGATTCCGAAGGGCATATTCGGTATGTAATTCCAATGAAAAGAGTCTCTATATCTCTTTTCGTTCCCTATTTTCTATTGTATTAGGCCTAACAAAAGGGTATAGATGGCTAGGGATCGGAGAAGGCCAGGATGGCTATGATGCAATTGAAGAGATTGCCAAGTTACCTTGGTCTAACGGACGGGTTGCACTTGCTGGTAATTCGTGGCTCGCAATGGCTCAATGGTTCATTGCAGCTGAAAATCCACCGCATCTCACCTGTATTGCTCCTTTGGAAGGGGCCACAGACTTCTACCGGGAAACGTTGTGTCGGGGAGGTGTACCCTTCAAGCCCTTCTGGGACATGCTACGCACATGCTTAGTGGGACGCAATCTGGTCGAAGATCCTGTTGCAATGATCGAGAAGTACCCTGAGTGGAATGCTTATTGGGAAGACAAAAGAGCACGACTAGACAAGATATCGATCCCGGCGTATATCTTGGCTAGCTATTCGACTATGATCCATACCGAAGGATCCTTTCGGGGATTCGAGGAAATTTCATCCAAAGACAAATGGCTCACCATTCATGCCACCCAAGAGTGGTTTGACCTATACTCGAAAGAGCGCATTGAAGATCTTGCCTGCTTCTTTGACTTTTATATGAAGGACTGCAGTAATGGCTGGAAAAACACACCTCGGGTTCGGGCGTCGATCCTTCCATTTAATAAGGATGCGATGACAAATATTCCTTTCTCTTCTTGGCCGCCTCGTGAAACAGAGTATCGGAAGCTGTATTTGCAGGCTTCTAACACTTTATCCGAGGAGTCGACAAGCTCTTTTTCGAATAAAGTCTCCTACCCAGCTGACCTGCTAGGTACCCAAGGAGGAAATGAATCTGGTGAACTGTCTTTTTCATACACATTCAAGACATCTAAAAGACTTCTTGGGTATTCGAAAGCTGTTCTCTTTCTATCGGCCGATCAAGCCGATGACATGGATGTGTTCGTGCAGCTTCGCAAGGCTGATATTCATGGCAATCTCCTTGAGCATCTGAACATTCCCCTGAAAGATCTCAAACTTTCAAATATCAATGAAGTGGAACAGATCAATCCCTTGAAATATCTTGGCCCTCCTGGTATTTTGAGAGCTAGCCATGCGCAGCTTGATTCTACTCTTTCAACCGAGTTCCACCCTGTTTATACCCACAGAGATCCCCAGAAAATTACTCCGGGTCAGATTGTCAAGCTTGAAATTTCTATTTGGCCAACTGGAATCTCATTTGAAGCTGGTGAGAGCTTGGTTTTGAGGATTGGTGGTCATGCTCAGGTATTGGCAGAATTCTCCGCTCTGAGAGGCAAGTGGCTGTCTGAAAACAAAGGCACCAATTTTGTTCACTTTGGTGGAGAGCATCTTAGTTATATCTGTATTCCGTTTGTATAAGTATGTCATCTCAGCTCAGGTAACTTTGATTTTCGAATCTATCAAAAATGTTCCTCCGCCCTCGTGTCCCCCCACTTGCCCTTATGCCCTCATGCCCCATTGCCTCATGCCCAATTATGCAGTAGGCTTCTTCAGGCTGCATTACATTATGTAGGCTTATCGCATCTAGTAGTGTGATGGTCTATATAGCCTGATTTCTTAGCAAAATGTATAACAATCTGGCTCTTACTATCATCGTTATATTATGATTATCGAGGCCCGACCGTGTACTTGAAGCTTCTCGTATTAACTTCTACTATCGAATCCTATCTTTCTGGTTTACATACTAAAGATGGTACGCCCTGAGATTGATCTTGATACTTATAAAGATGAGATTAATACCCTTTTCAACCAGCAATATACATAGGGAAAATGGAGCACTAGCTTGGGATACGAAGACTAGATTATATGCTAACTATTTTTTTCACGAAGACGGCGTACGAGATACATGGCTTTACACCTCACCTCAGACCAATCACGCCTCGTCCAATGCAAAAGCTCCGGCAGGATGGCATTCAGACGAGACCTGTCTGCCAGTCGATTCTATCACTAACCCATCGTGTAGAACAGTGCCGCGAGAATGAATCGCCCGCCCATCCACTTGATCCAATAGCCACCCCGCAAAGAGCTGTTACTATTTCTAGGGAGCCATAGGTTTGCGCATTATCTGCATCTAGCTATCACCAGTCCGTAGATTGCGTACTGCTTGCCAGTCGTTCCAAGGCCCAGATACCAGACCTTCCTCGAGAAGGTATCGGTACCTCTGGTTAGGCGTGCAGATAGCATCGGTGCGTAGCATCCTATATTTGTCTAGATCGTATAATTTCCACTTATGGGTAGAAGTGCTGATTTAGCCGAAAATGCAGTTTGATCGTTGGGTAACGTATCATGCTCGACGATTTTACCCCACCAAATTGGCACAGGAACTCTGCCTTATTGCCGAGAAGTGCGGCAACCTTACAAGAACCCCGACGGATAGCTTCTAGAATGGCAGGGCAGGACACAGTGATTGGGATTAGCCGGCTGAGATTGGGGGTTGGCAATCTTTTTCTAGGGTTCAAAATACCTATTTTTACTTCTTGCGCGAAGCTTGAATTTCTATTCAAGGACGTTATAGGTTAGTATAAGATCTGTGTTCAAAATGTGGATCTAGCGGAGATAAGCCGAGCCGACGGCAAACTGTGCTCTAGTGGACATCCACCTGGTGGTCCCTGGCTGGAACGGCCGCCACGGCCAACGGGGGCTGTCCAACGGAATCCCCAAGATCACCCACATGGTGAATGATCGTCAAACAGAGTTCGGCCAAGACTTGCTTCATCGGCCTTGTCCTTTATGGCGTTGCACAAGGTCACCCGGCAGCTACGGTTGGCGGAACTACGGATAGAGTTGCATCCATCCACGCTGCCCATGCAGGCCATGTGCTTTGGATAAGAGTGGAGACAGATTCGTTGGTCGGAAATACAAGTCTGCTCGCCGCCGTCAAACCTCACGTTCTCGGGCTGTTAAGGTAGTCCGCTGCCTGCCAGATCAGTTCATAAGAGAACACGGGACAGAAAAGAAACGACCCGGCATCTCTGAGAAATCTCCGAACAGCGACACAACGGGATTCTTTTTACCTGTGTCGTACCTCCGTCACCATGGTCTTTGCTAGTCAATTTAAGCTCGCAGCTTCAGTGGCAGCAATCGCCCAGCTAGCTTTTGCAGCGAACAACAACACCAGCGCTATTAATTCGCAAATCCGTCTCGCGTACCATGGCGACAACGGCATGATGGTATCGTGGAACACGTTCCACAAGCTCGGCAAGCCTACCGTTCACTTTGGCCTCTCGGCCAGCAACCTTAACGAGACGGCCTCATCGAAGATTTCGGTTACCTACCCGACCTCGTTGACTTATAACAACCATGTCCTTCTCACAGGCCTATCTCCTAACACCACCTACTTCTATCTGCCCGCCCACCTAGCCGACTCCCACTCGTCAGTGCCCTACAACTTCACCACCAGCAGGGTTGCCGGCGATATGACCCCCTTCTCCATCGCGGTTGTTGTTGACCTCGGCACTATGGGCACCCGGGGCCTGACCACTAGCGCTGGCACGGGTGTCAAGCCCCAGAACATCCTGAAGCCCGGAGAGACCAACACCATCGAGTCACTGACCAAATACCGGAACGATTTCGACTTTATTTGGCACCCTGGTGACATTGCGTATGCGGACTACTGGCTCAAGGAGGAAATTCAGGGTTTCCTGCCAAACACCACCATTGAAGGGGGTCACACGGTTTACGAGGCCATTCTCAATGACTACTACGACCAGATGATGGCAGTTACCGCTACCAAGCCCTACATGGTCGGCCCTGGCAACCACGAAGCTACGTGCGATAACGGCGGTACCACCGACAAAGTCCACAATATTACTTATACAGCTGACATCTGCGTCGTGGGTCAGACCAACTTCACCGGCTACAAGAACCACTTTCGCATGCCGAGTGACATCTCAGGTGGCACCGGAAACTTCTGGTACTCGTTCGACAGCGGAATGGTGCACTTTGTTCAGCTCGATACCGAGACCGATCTCGGTCACGGCCTGATCGGTAACGACGAAGTTGGCGGCGCTGAAGGCATGAACGCTGACCCTGTCAATGCCACAATGGATGCGCAGACTAAGTGGCTCGAAGCCGACCTGGCCGCCGTCGACCGTGCCAAAACTCCCTGGGTCATTGTCGCCGGCCACCGCCCGTGGTATCTCAGCCATGCTAACGCCTCAGGCACCATCTGCTGGTCCTGTAAGGACGTTTTTGAGCCGCTTTTCCTCAAGCACAGCGTTGATCTGGTACTCTCCGGCCACTCCCACGTCTACGAGCGCCAGGCTCCCATTAACAACAACGTCTACGACACTGCCGAGCTCAACAACCCCACGGCTCCCTGGTATATCACCAATGGTGCTGCCGGTCACTACGATGGCCTCGATGCCCTCGATACCGCCCGCAAGAACTACAGCCGCTTCGGTCTTGACACTTCTAATGCTACTTACGGCTGGTCTAAGCTGACTTTCCACAACTGCACCCACATGTCCCATAATTTTATCGCCAGCAACAACGGCAGCGTCCTCGACACTGCCACTCTTTTCAAGAACCGCAACTGCAGCACCGGCAAGATTACCAAGGCCAACTCGAGCACTGATACCGCTTAGGCTGGTGCTGCCATCGCTCTACGAGTCTCCAGCTGCGTGTGGGGTCCTCTTGCTACCCTAGTCGCTGCTACAGGTACGTGTCTGTAGATTAGTTGCTTTAGGCTTGTCTTACAGCGATTCTCGAAATCGCCTTGACCATCACACACTCAAAAACTTTGTCTAGGCCCCACCGCCAAGGCCTTAGTGAAGATCATTTATTAAACGAGCCCCATTATCCGTGCCTTTCTGTCCACCCAAACTGCTACCCGCTTTGGATACGCCCGCAATCCCGGTCACTGTTTTACCAGTAGCCTACTACTAGCCAATTCAACCGCCTAATATGCCTAAAGATCGTGGTCATGATGAATCTCGCATGGCCGAAGCCTGCAAGGCGGTATTATCCTAAAAGAAGCCGAGAATCGCGAATATTTCCTGTATCTGCCACGTATAGGAACAATCACTAATATGCTAGTGGACTGAATAAATGGAAGAGATATTGATACGGAGTTACGGAGTGGAGTAAGTGACGTCGTTTGAATTGTTTTGAGCCTAGTAGGGGCCTACCTATATACGATTAGGGACGCTGAGATCTTGAGCCCTAGAGGAGGAATACTATTTCTGCGATTAGTAGATACAGGCATTTAAACTCTGCTTTTCTTCTCACGTATGTACAACTAGTGTGATATGATTAATACGTAGTTTTGGATGTTCTCGCCCCGTCCCGTGCTGATATTCATAGTTACCCTTCATTAAAGCATCTGACTAATACCCTAGTGACATTTTGGGCGCTTCAAATAGACTACTGGAATCCTGGAGATTAGGGCTTTGATGATTTAACTGGGTGTCGAGGTATTCTTTTTCTTAGAATTACCTAGGTTCTGTTATTAAGGGTGGCAAGTCTGTCCTTGTTTGGCGCCTAATAATAGGTATCTAAGAATTTGCTATATGGAAAATAGCTATTCAGTTACAGTGCGATAGAAAGTATTATTACCTAGAGACCGTTACCTAATATTTATCACCGCCTTATAGAAGCCGACAGTGAGAGTCACGACCTAATATAGGTATGTATGGTGGGCGTGATCTGGGCGAATGTCACGGGGCCGTTTAAGTAACCAACCTAACCCCTCCCGGGAATATAAAGAAAGATATTACTAATTTGAGGCGCTTTAATTGGGAAAGTAAACCATATATTAGGCTATGGGTGACTTTAAATTTATTTTCCTCGCCTCTTTGGTCAGATTCTTCACTGCGTCCTTAGAGAAGAGGTATCCAAAATCAAACCAGACCAGACGGTTGTAATGGCCGCGGTAGATATTCCAGGGTCAGCTCCGACCAGGAGAAGTCTTCAGCTCCCTAAAGACAGGAGAGGGAGACGGAAGGGTAGGTGAGAGGGAAAGTTTAGCGACGAGGCCACGTCGGAACTTTAGCGGCCGTCAGAGGGCTCGGGTCAAGAATAGAGGGCGTTCAGGCGTTCAGGTGAAGGGGCCTGAAGGGGCTGAAGAATAAAGCGGTAGAGGCAATAGTGCTAACGACTGGAAAAATAAAAGAAAAACAAAACATACAACAGCCAGGATTCGCATGTGGTCACCCACCATACTACTAACTGGCCGGCGTGTGGCTTAAGTACGGCTGAGCGGACGGGAAGCCCTGTTCTCCACACCCTATGGTCGTATGTACTTGAGTACAGATTGAAAAAAGATATATTCTCTAAGTTTTCTCTTAGGCCATGCATAGAGAGCCGAGAATGGGCTTGTGCGTAGTAGACTAAGCAGAGAACTACTGGGCGAAAGATGCTGGCTTAAGATATCCGACCTTTTCGTGGGCTACGTTGCTTATTTAGGGCCTTGAAAGCGGCGAATAACATAAACCGCCCTATCGAAACGACAGAGCCATTTTTGAAAATTATCAATATATATCGGCGCGAATAGTCTGTTCCCTAACATGATTACTCGGTTATCTCACCCTCGTCCCTGCCAGCGTCCTAGCTCTGAAGCTAAACCTTAAGCCGTTCCATGTTTCGGAAGCTCGGCCTTCTCGTGTAAAACCAGTGCCCTTGGGACATGACTTAAATAGCTCAAGCGCTCCCCTCTCTTTTAAGTCAACAACTTGTTTATTCTAGTCTGCTCAAATTTGCTTCGTCATGCTAGATTATCTCCGTCTCAAGATATGGGCAACGCTCGTTCGTCTGATCTTTTGGTGGAAACGCCCTGCCATACATGGAAAACCAGATGAGATTCTTCAGGTGCCAAGTCGCGACCTGGGGAGAACAATCAAAGCCAACTTCTATCATTCAAAGTCCAACAAGCCATCTCCTGTCCTAATAAACTTCCATGGGAGCGGTTTCACCGTACCCTGGCATGGCACCGACAATGAATTTGCTCGCCAAGTCGTTCAAACAACGGAATACGCCGTCCTGGATGTCGCCTATCGACTTGCCCCAGAAAACCCCTTTCCCGCCGCGATTCATGACGTTGAAGACGTGGTCAAATGGGTGATTGCGAACGAGCAGGATTTCAATACGTCCCGTGTCTCTATCTCCGGTTTCAGTGCCGGCGCAAATTTAGCTCTTGTGACCAGTACCCAACTGTTCCCCTTGGGAACCTTTCGGCACGTTCTATGCTTCTATCCACCAACCGATCTAGCCCAAGATCATTACACCAAGGTCCCACCAGACGCAAATGGAAATCCCCTTCCCCCGTGGATGTTGACCGTTTTCACCGAATGTTATGCGTCGGGCCTGGACTGGACAGATCCCAGAATATCTCCGCTCAATGCTGCTGGTAAAAGCTTCCAGCGAAATACGTTGGTTATCACCTGCGCTTACGACAATCTTTGTGCCGAGGGGGAGGCTTTGGTTCAAAAAATACGTGACGCTCAGGGTTTTGAGGCTGTGGTTCATCGCAGGATGGAGGAGTGTGATCATGCTTGGGATAAATCATACCTTCCAGGGTCTCCTCAGGAGAAGGCTAAAGACGAGGCCTACGACTTGGCCATGGAACTATTGAGAAGATAGCACATTCTAGTTAATTTGTGAACTTGCTATTACTAGATGTTGGAATATCCTTTTGCAATACATAGTCATGCTTCAGATGGAAGCTCAATCAATCCCATATTTGGGAGCCATTCCCGAGTTACAACCGGTTCACTTGGGAAAATATCCCGTCGTAGAAATTTCTGAACTTACTACTATTGGTCTGCATTTTGCTTGGAAAATGAATCATATGCAGTGGACCACAATGTTCGTCGGGCTGTAATTCGCGAGGTTTAAGATTACTGATCTAATTTGGTACCGGCCAGGATTTAGCCACCCACAACCGAAGATCTTCGGGCTCAGTGCCCCGGAGATAATCCCCGCTTTCAACTACAACCGAAAATCTTCGGCTCTGCATAAGCCGTCCCTGGTGTGTTGCGATAGTGTCTATTTGTGATTACTCCACATGCTGCCTCGGTGACCAATATGCAGTTTTAGAGTAACTGCCAGTTGATCGAGCGTCCATCTGCAGGTGGGCGACGAATGACTACGAGCATCTTCGTATACGGAAGCCACCGGGGAATACCCTGACCTCTAGTATCTTTTCTATAGGTGCATCTAAGGCCGCAGTAATGGCACATTATAATTTTGATTGAGTCAGACTTGGTGTCAGAAGAGGAAAACTTTCGTGCCGTTGTCCACGCGGGCAAAGGCAAAGTTGAGCTGCAATTATTTTACCATGATGGCAAATGAACGAATTAAGGATCAATTTTTTGTTCCAAATGTTCCATAGCTTTTGCAGACATCATTAGCACCTCCAGTCCAACGTTCTACGCTCTATCATGGCCAGTGCCTAGAGATTGTCGCATCTCACATGACAAAGCAGGGATATCCTTAGTTCGGTGGAAGCCAAAATCACCTATTTGGGAATAATTGATAGGTAGTATTCCGAGGCATTTTCGTAAGATTAAAATTTAAACTTTGCTTCAGGTACGAGATACGGCCTGGTGTCTCAGTCGTTAATGGCTTTTTCTCAAACCCCAGGTTTGGCGGGGAAATGGCGGGGGTGCAGATCCTGACAATTCAACCGTGCAGGATGCATTCAGATATTGTTTCAGAAATCATCTCTGAAGAAGGGAGATTGCACTTGTTGTTCATATCAAGCCTTTGAAGGCAATAAACGCCTCGGTAGCCTTGAGGAATCCAAGACTATTTCCTCGTGAATGATGAAGTGTGTGCTCGAGGCTCTGTCTATATAACTAGTTCCTGACGCCGTGCTCGAGTAGATCACGCCAAAGCTGAGCAATTCCAAACAATTAAAAAGCACAATTCGAGCAACAATCTGAAACCATGCTCTTTCTTCCAATTTTTTTGTCGACCATTCTTGGTTTCACAGGCACCCACGCCACGCCTTTGGCAGCAACAGGCCAGATGAATCACGTTGAACGCGATGTTGGATTGAATGCGTTCTTGGCCATCCTTCTTGCCAATATGCCAGCTATCAATGCCCCTCTGACCGAGGCCACTAGTCTTATTACTGCATTTGATAAGATCCTTGGCACTTTGACTGGTGCCAGAGACACACGAAATGGGTTGGGAGGGCCATGCAAAGAATGGACCGTTATCTTTGCTCGTGGTACAGCCGAGTCGGGCAATGTGTGTATCACAAAATGGCTCTCTCTGGCTAAGCACTAGCTAAAAACAGCCTTTTTCTGGTTGGCTTAGGTCGGGGTCCTTGTTGGACCACCCTTGTTTGATGCTCTGGGTGATAAATTCGGATCTTCGACACTCGCCATTCAGGGAGTCAATAACTACTCGGCATCGGTTGAGGGGTACTTGGCAGGCGGAGACCCAGCAGGAAGCTCTGAAATGTAAGTCTTACACCAGAGCAAATGATGCCAAGCGAGCAGCATACTGACGTTGCTCAAAGGGCTCGCCAAATCGAGGCAGCGAAATCCCAATGCCCCGATACAAAATTGATTATATCCGGTTATTCTCAAGGTTGCCAAATCATGCATAACGCAGTCTCTAAGCTTCAAGCCACAACCGCAAGCTGGATTAGTAGCGTTCTGCTCTTCGGAGATCCTAGTACGCGTACATCTCAATTTGATTACAGAATTTTGTTAACCAGAAACAGTGAATGGCCAACCTCTTGCAAGTGTCCCCTCCTCTAGAGTATTCACATCGTGCCACGCTGGAGACGATATCTGCAATGATGGACTCCTTATTGGTCCTGCCCATCTGACCTACGCCCTGGATGTCACTGCTGCTGCCAATTTTGCAGCTACGCGTGGCTAAGAGGCATAGAGTTCGTCGCGAATTCAATATCGCTTCGAGCTGAAGGGAGCGTCCTGTGCGAGACTTCTCCACAATTATCTTTTCCTGGCCATTTATCTTGCCTGTGTAACCATACCGTGGAGGAAATTGGGCTGCCAGAGATTTGTATTTTTTTTGCTTCTTTTTCGCTTCCCATTGAAGCAAAAATTCCAATGTAGCTATAGCGAGCGCGAACTACTGGGATGTCGAGGCCATATTTTTAAGAGGTTGCACCCAAAGAAGCCACTCGCTTGACTCGAAGATCTTTCGGAGAACAGCTGAAGATAGATTTTTTCTTCAAAATCATTTCTAAGTCATCTGTCAAATGTTTTCTTCTCAAGGGTAATCGCACGTCTTAGTGTCAAAGATTACATGCAGGTGAATCCATTCCTCGAGCATCATCAGTCCACTTAGTAGCTTTCGTATCTAAAGTGCTAGATCTTTCATTTCATTTCTGCTGTGGGATCTCCGAAAGTATGCACTAAATGTTACACTTTTGCACTACTAAAGGGAAGGCAATGTATTTAATTAAATGTGCAGCTGATAGCGACGGAACACAACCTCTGTAGGAAATTTTTCAAACTTTCGATAGTCGCATGAAACAGTGGAATATTGAAATTGCATACTGGGATGAGCGAGCTTTGCATGCAGCCAGTAATAATCTTTTGTGATCAGAGTCAAGAGCAGAATTTCATTTGTGTTAGTAAGAACGGGCAGTATCCAGTCTAGACTGGAGAAGAAAACAGACAGGAGAATTGCTGGCAAAACCCCTTTTGAAAACTAATTAATACAAAAGCGCTCCAACTTTATCTGGACATACATATCTTCCAATTTCTGGCCAGCCACCATAAGCTCCACTCGTTCACGAATGCCCAACTGTAACATGAGGCCCCAGGTTGACTGAACATAGAAGAACCGTACAGACACAGGAGAGGTGCGGAGGTTCTGAAGGCACGATATATCTCCACAATCACCCCTTGCAATCCAGCGACAGCTGTCATTGCGATTATTCGAGCTCTTTGTTACAATTTCTAGCATGATTTTCCGAGTTCGGTCTCCTGGGCTGCAGCCTGCGATTTCTGAACGCCAGCATATTCCGGTGGGATGACGGTGGCCTCGCTGAAGTAATTTGTGTCCTTCACACACTTAATGACCAGGAAATACATGATCGGGAATGAGGCAAGCATCAGCGTGGTCTGGACAATTGTTTGGTTCCTTTTTCGCGGCAATTAGCAGAGAATACTGTATTCATAGAGGTGCTTCACTCACAGATACGAAACTCTCCCTGACTCCATGCCAAAAGCGATACACAACCCAGCGCTCAACATGCCCTTGAAAAAGCCACCGTATCTTGCAAGTAGTCTGGGCTCATTACTGAACGCACTGATTACCCACATGACGATCATTTGGTCAATCGCATAGGCAATACCGGTAAAAAGTACCATGACGCTGAACTCCGCGTATTGAGAATCTGTCCAGTCCCAATCTGGAGAAGGCACATCCCGCCGTAGTTGGTGCTTCACTTGAATTCTGAGAGCAAGAGCCCAGCTAACAGCGACTATCACAACCGCAATGGTGAGTGCCATGATGCCCCGGACGCGTCTTGAAAACCGATCGTTGTCTAATACCAAGCCGTAAAGGAGGGTCGCAGGAATTTGGACGGCCCAGAAAAGAACACTATTTAGCGATCGCGTTCGCAGGTTGAAGGTGTAAGCGCTAAGTGTTGGTATCAAGGCCGAGGACATCTCCGTTGCTATCATCGGGACAATCAGAGCGACAATTTTCCTAGACACCAGTGAGCAAAGCAATATGATAGCAATTGTTGTTTTACGAACCAGTCCTTCATCAAATAAATGCATGCTTTGACTTCTGTTTTAAAGTCAGTAGCCTCGAAGATCGCTAGGTGAGTACCATCATCTCGGACGATGTCCTGTGGTGATCTAATAGTGAGAAGACTGTGCGGTTTGTGAGAATTAGAGAAAGCATATGCCGATGATCAGACTATTTTACTCACGATAGAACGATAGCCGAGGACATAATGATGATGAATGTCAGATAAACTGATGTTGGAACACCGGTCAGGCCAGTTTCGTTGATGCTGATTCCGAAGGCCACAAGTGCGCCGACTGTCGAGCCGATCGCGAGCAAAAAAAGCTGCCACGCAATGTAAGTTCCCTTATCTGCCTCTGCAGCATAGGCAAACTGACTAAAATTATCCATATACCATTAGAAAAGGGATCAACAGAAGGGAGTATTTCCTTACATGAAGCCCGAAACGGTCCAGAGTAAGCCTGCCCCGAAACCTCCCAGGATTCCTGCTGTCAGGGGAAACCAATCATGACCTGTTGCGTCGTAGTACCAGAGACTTGAGATGTAGAACGGATATCCAATAGCACCGATCTATCATCCGAACATTAGTAGGCGTTATCAACAGCTGGAAGATGCCATCTCTGGAGCGATAGGCGTGGAAGAGATGAGCTGACTGTCATTGTCCATCTCGGCCCGATCGTGTTCATAATACTACCACCGAAGAAACCAGTCACGGCGAAGACAGCGTAGATGGAGGTGTAGGTGATGGTTGCCACATGAGCCGAGCTGGGCTTTCCTCCTCCTGCACCGAGACCTATTAAGACTTAGCGATCATCGTTCATTGCCAATATGATCTTCAACTCCTCACCGATGACTGCCAAGTAGATCCCCACTGTCAGGAATAGGATAACTCCAGAAATAAAATTCTGCATCCACGGACTTGATTACCATATTTTCATTGTTAACAACGACCTGCGAGCGTGACTCGATCAGCATACCTTGTCAGGCGGAATTTCGATTTCAGCAACGCCATAGCGAGAGGTCAGAATCTTTCTTTCTGAGATGTGAAGGTTTTAAAAGCTATAAATGGATGTTTCCTAGATGTCGTACAGATCTGGAGAGTCCCAGCTGTCTTTATATTCTTGCCCCAGTGAGACACGAGGCCGGGGCAGACCAGTTTATGCTAAAGGTTCTCATCAGGCGATTCCAAACTTGGTCAACGTGCCTCCTCACTGGGCTTGAATAGCTCACAAGCTTACCGAAAACTATCAATAAATGTATGTACAAAGCCTGGGAAATGAGTGTGTTCCGTGGGTCAGGATCAAGGATCGCATTCCTGCCGAGATTCCTCGGCTTGAAGCTTCCCCATGTGGACAAAACTTCACCTGTACGATTTTTTCATGCTGGAAATCCTAGCGCCGGAGGGATATTTGAAACTTTTTTCTATGCTGACCAAGTAATAGTTATAAAGGAAAAAGAAGGGTTCTGAAATGAGCCTTCTTGTATAACCAGGAAGTGCACACTATTACGGTCGCCATGATGTCGTTAGAACGATTGGAGAATTGCTCAGCTTAGTTTCCCACATACCCCGAATTTTGCTCATGTTCCGTCAATCTTGTTAAATCAAATGAAGGCATTGGTTGTTGGTTGCGAATACTCTAATCAATATTTGCGTTGCAGTGGCTAACACCGTTGCCGAAGAATTTCGGCTACGGAAAGTTTAAATTCGGTTTCGCTGCGCTACTTGTACGACTTCCGCGACCAATTATAGTGCACGCTGAAGGCAAAAATGGGGGCGAAATCTCCACCCTTGGACTAGGCGAGAGAGCTCATGATGGGTCATGGACGAGGCTAGGCCATCAGCCTCAATGAGCTCACGGAGTCCCCCGCACCCCGCAATCGCTCTCCACGTCTCAAACGCCCCCCAGGAACCACTTGTGACTAACGATGTCGGTTGCAACAAGAGTTCCTTCAATTCTATCGAAAAGAGGATTCTCGCACGGCAAGGTCCAGTGAAATGGATCCCGACTCAGCAAAACAGGAGCGACTACGCAAACGGGCGCGTGTCGCATGCTCGTGGTGTCATGACCGCAAAGTCCGATGTGATGTCGCGATACAGGGTCTTCCATGCACCAACTGCAAACTTGACCGCCACGAGTGCCGTATCCGTATGACAAAGACTACATCAAAGACCCGGAGGTGAGGTTGCCGGGATGGCCATCCCTAGACGTCCCTGTTTCTGACAAGACTGGTAGCACAAGTCTCAACATTCGACAAACACAGGCACGGCTACCTCCCAGTCGCAGCATTTTCCAGGAAGACGGAATGAACCAAAGCCACCTGGTCAGAACAATTTCCTACGGCATCTCGTCCCTTGAACCTGTTGATGATATGTCAAACATGGCGCCTTTTCTATCAATGAACAGCGGCGCTGGTTTCCCCTACGACATGAGTGAGTGAAACTGGAGTCTTGAAACTGAATGATACTGACGTGAAGGATTGTGATAGACCATTTAATTCCGTTACCATTCGTCCAGACAGTACCAAACAATCCTGGACCTTCGGCCAACGTCCCTTTTGCATCCTACCAATTCCTGAAACTTACACGTCTTGATCAGTTACCCTTTGAAGATGTAAGCTTCTTAGAGTTGAAAGGTTGCTTCTGTGTTCCTGAGTCGCGTTATCTCGACATCTTTATCACAAAGTACTTCCTCTATGTTCATCCTTGTCTTCCTGTCATAGATGAGGCAGAGGTTTGGAGGATGTATCGCTCAAAGGGTTCCGATAATGTATCTGGACAACAAATGTCGCTTTTTGTGCTCCAGGCAATGTTGTTTGCTAGCTCTGTGGTAAGTGGTTATCCCATCCATCATTGCTCTTGGAACTTCAAAGCCAACTATGCATAGTTTGTCCCAGGACATATTCTCAACGCGGTAGGATTTTACGACATCAGGGCGGCTCGAACTGCATTCTACCAACGAGCTAAGGTAAAATTCAAAATGCGTCCAATTTTAATGCGATGCTAACCGGAATTGCTAGCTCTTATTTGATTTCGATACTGAGATCGATGTCCTGCCGAGGGCACAGGGTGCTCTTCTTCTCACATTTCAAACAACAGCTTTGGACTTCTTTTCTGGTACACGCTGGCTCTCAGTAGCAATGCAGTTGGCGAGGTCAATCGAAGCTGATCTATTCAGTCATGACCTCAGACGCAGCCACGATACAGTTGCCAAAAAACGGCTATGGTGGTGCATCATCCTTCGAGATAGAATTCACTCTCTGGCCCTGAGACGGCCAACACAGGTGGGCCTGGAACGAGGTGGGATTCCGACCAAATATTTGGATGAGGTAGATCTGGCGGACGAAATCCAGAACTCGCGCGTATATGACCCCAAGGAGAAAAAACAACTTGTCGCCATTTTCCGCCTCCAATGCGATCTTGCAATTGTCATTACAAAGCTTGTCAACATCACTTATGCTCCGCTTTGGGGAACTTTGCAACAGCCTGATTTGCACGAAACTTTCTATACTATTGAGAATGAAGTCGATAGAATGAAAAGTGGGCTCCAAAGGTGGCGAGACACTGCCGATGAAGTACTGGAAACACAGTCCACTTCCCTCGGAATTGCGGTCTTCAACAAGCTGACGCGGATATACTACGAGTGAGTCTATGAGAAATTTAAGATGCCCTGATTTTATTCCTGATGTGTCTACCACAGCTCCGCTCGACTTGCCGTCAGTCACTATGAGGGACTGATGTGGGAGACAAGATATGCAAATATTTATCCCAGCAAAATGCAATCTGTTAAAAAGGATATTGAAGAGGTCATCACGAGCTTGGCCAGGATCGTCAAAGATTTGATCACTCATGGGTTGGCAAGCCATCTGCCTATCAGCGTGTGAGTTCCATGGCGAAACATGTTTTGTAGACTAGCTGGAGACTAACTATTTCTCAGAGTGGCACACGTAGCGCTTCCACTTTTACTCAGTACCGTCGATTCGGGATTCTCTTCGACCCGCCTGCAAAGGGCTGGTCGGCGCCGCCAGTTACACTTCTACCAGGAAGTCATGCGGGTCCTTGGATCTCGGTATGAGGCCGCTGATAAGGTCTGCGCTTTCATCGACAGTGCTCTTTCGTTTTCCGGCGCAAAACTAGGTATCGACATTACGCCTGGCGGGAACGAATTGCTTCGCAACGACGAGTTTACCGAAGACCTCGATGATGCTGATGAGGGGAATCCTCCAAACCAGCTCAGATCAGTGGCGGGAAGCCGATTTAAAAACGTCTGTGAATACTTTGCACGACAACCTCGTTCATATCTCCGTTTGTCTTTGACATTGGATTACGCGCTTTATAGAGGGCATTACCCACTTCAAAGTGATATTGAACGGCTCTGGGGCGAGCTACAGCTTGTAGATACCCGACAGCTGTCCGATCCGCAGGTGCAGCAAATCACGCAAAGCGCAACCTCCTCGAGCTCGATCTTGCAACAGATGCCTGGAGAATTTTCAATGGATCTCCTAGACACTCAACATCTCTACTCGGAAAAAGACATTGGCTTTGATGACTTTGGAGACGGGCTTGAAACCTCGAATATGGAATATCTGACAAACGGCTTCATATCTCCCGCCAGCATGATTATGATGGACCCTCCGCTACAATGAATGTCACTCCCAATATGCTGTTTTCACATCTTGTTTGCCATAATTTTGACAGTCTACTGCTCGGGAAATCTTGAAAACACAGGAAGCAATTGAGATTATGCTATGGTCGAGAATGAGTCGCCAGCCCTGTCTTAAACACTAGATACCTTGCACGTGCCCGAATGCCTAGACAATTCCTGATGGAGACAAACGGCATCACTACAGGGCTAGAGTCGCAGGAAGTAGTCTGTCAATCGGCGAAGCCAGCGAAATTCATGAAAGTGTGAGTCTTGAGACCAGAGAAACGAACCAACTGGACATGCTTCAATCACTCTTTTTCGAAATGTCTTTCTGAATGTCTTTTGAATCATCTTCTTTCATAGTATAGATACCGTTCAATGGGTGACTGCTAGCATGATTTCGAAACTTTATCGGGGTTTCAAATTTGTGGAACCCCACTGAAGAAGGTACCTCTGTCGATGTTATCTCTTGTTCCAAATATAAGTCCGAACAAGAGGTACGTCACGCGATTTATTCAATCTGTTGAAGAGAAGGCTTTAAAGGGCAAATTGAGGAGTTGTTGCAATTTCTTGCCAATTTAGTATTCATCGTGGCGGCGGAAGTTGTTCATTCCATTTCCCACCTCCTGCCGACCCATTAGGGTCATATCCAGCAGGTGATATGTTGACAAGATGATCTCCAAGCCACGAGACGAGGTATCATAGGTGTGAAATACCTCGTCACCTTCCCGAAAGAACGAACATAGTCCAAAGTAGTCGTTCCCGGGCTTCCAGGTGACAATTTCTCCCTGTCCCTCGACTTCGGCCCACGCTTTGTGCGTTTTCGCAGAACTATAAAAAGGGAACTTCCAGCCCATCCGATTCCCGTAGGCGGTGACTTCAGACAAGGGCGCAGTAGCCACGGCGACGAACGAAGTATCCCTGCTCCAGAGGTGGCGGAGATCGGGGATATGGTCCATGCAGAATGAGCAGCCCACGCAGCCCTGGGTCTCATGGGGTCCCAGCATAAAATGGTAGAGGATCAGCTGTTTGCGCCCATCAAATAGGTCCAACAGGCTCTTCGTTCCGTCAGGTGTGTCGAATTGGAATCTAGCTGGGTCGTGGATGCGCACCATGGGCAATTGACGGCGCGACAAGGCGAGCTCCTGTAGCAGGCGGGTTGCTGCTTTCTCGTGCTGAAGAAGACGAGATCGAGCAGCCTGGTACTCTTCAGGGCTGACAATATTCTTCTAGCATGGGTGAGGGAAATCCACGGGATACTTGGGAGAGAAGCATACCTGGCTGTCCATTGCTGCAAATTGTGATACGATTAAAGAGTGCACCTGGCCAGAGCTCAATGCATGTCAAAATCATACGAGTTTTGTGTATAAAAAAACACCATGTCTCGCGAGTTTTGAAAGAAAAGAGGACTTCTTTAATGAAAAAGGACGAGCTAAGGGTAAGGGCCAATCGGCAGACAAGGCTTATTCATCACGTGTAACGTCGAAAGAGGAAATTCGCATCAGTGTGACGCGGTTGAGACGCGTTGTCGGGAGATTCCTCGTATTCGAACTCAAATCGTGGCGTTCTCGACTGGCGTGTATTAGCGCTCATTCGCTGTGGGACTCTCCTTGATCCAATATTCATGGATTCATGATAAATATACGAAGTGGCTGCATTGATCTAGGCCTCTAGGTGAGACTCTACTTGCCGCCTGCTCTCCATGATAATATTGTCGATGACGTACACTTACCATCCTTAACTCTCACAGCTTCCTGTGGGCAGTATAAGAGGGAGTAGATTTATTATGCTCCTTCACCTCCCTCCGAACCTTTTGTCTGGCGTTCAACTTATTCTGCCTCTAACAGCCTACAATGTCTACCGAAACCACCAACGCAGCTAAGGCCCAGTGGAAGCCTCCTCAACAAGGGTCCCCATGTTGGGTGGAGATCCCTGCACGGAATACCGAAAGACTTAAGGTCGGTTAGCGGTCATACGGCGAGGCTACTCTGATGATTTTTGCCTGTTGTGGTAGCAGGGTAGTGACTGGACCCCACTGACTATTTTGACTGGGAAGGCATTTTACGCTGCCATCTTTCCGTCCTGGGAATGGAGACCAGCTGAATCGGCTGAAGGCCAAAGCAAAGTGCTGCATTATAGCTTCGCTGAACCGAAGGGTAAGCCAACAGTGATGCACAGCCCACCAAAATCGCTTAATGAGGTTTCTGTCTAGGATTCACAGGAGGCATAGTCCAGATGCCGGAGGGTTGCGCTCCAACAGAGCAGATTATGGGTAGTGGGATGACCGTGTACTACTCGGTCGACTCCCTTGACATGGTCAGTCCTGGTGCCGAAATACTCCAGGAAATGCGTACATTTTCCAGAAGATTCGCAGGCTGATTATATCAGATAGAGAAGAGAATTCTTGAACATGGTGGTAGTACCTGTCTCAGCAAGACAACCGAGAGTTCACATGGGTGGTTTATGAACTTCCGTGATCCTGAAGGGAACCGATTCGGTTGCTACGAATTTCATCGTAGCTAGAGAGTCTTGGAGGGTATTTCGCAGCGGTTGCTTTCCCAACAAAGTGGGTCGTTTTGTTTTCTAGTCATCTTCTCTAAGGTCCCATGTAAATATGGGTCTATCTTTCATCCGAACGTTGCCGGCACAGAGTCCTTGTTAATTAATCGTCATGTGCAATGAAGTACATATAAGAGGGTGCTTTGTCCGGTTATTCCGATGGATGTCTCCTAGACTACAGCAATCTGACTCTTAATTTAGCCCATTTTTTATAAAACACTCTAACTCAGAATATGAAATGAGGCCTTCAGTCTTTGTGGCAACCATGTTGATTAGGGGAACTTTTGCCCTGCCTCCCCCCCCAGGGAGGAGAGTATGAGCAATCCTGCCAAAGGTCCTCAATTCTTTTCAGTCCGCTAACTATGAGCTACTACAGCTGTCTCAACTTCTAGAGTATTGCAGGCAGCAATGAGCCCTGTGGCAAGTGGTAATATGGCTAGATTGCCCTCCATGCGGGCTATGGTGACTCCCTAAGGTACTACACAGGCAAGAAACAGGCTCCCAGAGCCCACCGCGTCATCTCGTAACCTATCCCCTACTGTGCAGTCAGTCGCCCTGACTCCTTCAAGTAATCCATCAGCAGTTGTGAAATAAGAAATTTTTGGCTAACCTACTTGATACATTTAGTGTACCAGTTCCCAGTGCCTCGACCCTGAGTCCTACTGGGGGGGTCATTGGACATTGCTCCCTCGGACAGCATGACTGTGCAAGAGACAGAGATAATGCAGAATATTGGAGTACCTATGGCGGAGGCATCCTTCACCAACGACCCACGAAGCCTACCTCATGCGAGGTATCTCCAGTTGATAGGACCGCAATTCGCATCATAAGGAGTACCCTACAATCCCTTTCCACCCAATAATCAAGACCTCGGGAATCTTCTTTTCTTTTCGGGACGAGACCTCCAGACAATCTACGCAGAACTGTACCCAAACCAGCTACTTCCAGTCCCAGGAAATGCGGACCCAAAGGACGTGGCATATTTTGCAACAAATTTTGCCCAAAACAACATCTCCCACCCGGTGTATGCTACCATTGTACCTCCGTATGTTTGGATGCAGATTGTGGGCATCACGATGGGCAACAGCTTCGCCAGGAGTCCCGCGTTTCAAACCTTCGCGCCCACTGACCTCGGGCAAGCGGTATCGTGGGATATTGCAACTTTGTCTCAATCAGTCGACAACCCCTACATGACAGTAGTAAATAGCAACAATCTACAGGCCAATTCAATGGTCATTCTTGCAGCCATGGCTTATCAAAGCCAAAATGTGGTGGCAGAGAACCCCCCAATACAGGCTTATTCGCCAGTGCCAGGCGTACCGTTCGCCTATTCGGGACTGCAACTTCCTGACACTCTGCCCTTTTTAAACGGTCAAACCTCGGTTCGTATGGGAGGAGGTTCGGGACTTGTGACTGTTGAAAGTTTTTCGGATACTTATGCCCCGGAGCCATAGGAATTTTTGGTTAGGACAGGTAATTTTTATGTCAAAGATAGACTGTCGTTTTCCGGTTTTTGTCTTGTGCTTTCCGCTTCAACGGCGATTTGGTATTTCTAGTGTCAAGTCGTCGATTTTCATTCTTCGCTTCAACATAATCGTTGTTTTGAGTACTGTTTCTCTATTTCTTTATTCCTTAATTGCAGTAGTGAATTGCCCAATGCACACATCTACAGACTAGCCAGTCGTCGACCGTAGGTAGGGTACTATATATATCCCTACACCCCCTCTGGAAGGCCTGGTTTTACTACTACAAACTCACAATTTAGAAGGTGGCAAACAGTGAAGGAATAGTCGCTGGATCCCTATCTAAATATTAGGTAGTCCTAATTTAATCCAAATTCTCTGGGTGAGATTTCCCCATAATTCAAGCAAAGCGGGCAGAACCTGAGAATTTGGACTCGCAAAAGGACTATGATCCATGATCCAACAACTAAATAGTATTCTTCTACCACACAGCTCATAGTTTAATTTGACATTAGATTGATATTCTAAACACATTAAATTCGCAACCTGTCCAAACGATTGAAGTGTGAACCCCACAGGGGGCGGGTAAGGGATTTCAAGGGAGACTGCAGGCGATAGTTAAGACATTATGTTGCAAACTTCTCCCTTGGTAGATCATCCGGGCGCTAGATGCCTGGATTAAGGTTATGAGACTCGATAAATTGGATTGTGCAGATGAGATGAACCTTAGTCTGTGCCATGGTGAGACTTGCTGTGTTTACGGGCTTGTACTCGAATCTCTAACAGGATGCCTATCAGGACAATTACTGTATCGACAGTGCTGCCTGTGCCTCCGCAGACTGCGTAGACACTGGATCATTTTCAGTGGACCTCAGTTCTATATTTACGCAGCCTTCCAAACACAGGCCTGGACCTGGTTTCTGCGACAGCTAGTTTTGGCCCACTTGGTATGGTATTGAAGCTAGCGGACGGGTTATGATTCACGAAGGCTCTTCAATGTGAAAGGCAGTAGCTAAGTTTCTGAACAGCTGCGAAGCTAAGAGGAGAAGTCAGTGTTCAAGGAAAGCCGATGATTAGTCGCTAAGTAAATGCTCGGTTTTCTGTAGCAAGTAAGGAACTACCACTAACAGGAGTCTAGAGTTTGAGTGCCAGGAGATTTGGTCATTTGGTAATTTCCCCTGTAGATCCCCATTCAACTTGAGGAATAACCGTCATCCCGACGTAATTTGAGATCTCGAGGGCTTCTCTTAAGTGTTATAGACAAGTCTAGAGTATTATTAGCTATCTAGTATAATTAGTATATGTAGCATTCATCGCGCGACACGACATAATTTATTGTTGGTTCTCCAGCATTGCACCAGGTAGGGCCTGCCACTGGCATGACCGGGGATCGCATCGCCCACGGTCGGGGTGGATCCCTTGGGACGGAAGGGCTGTTCATCTACGCATGTTGATTGGTTCATACTGTGGATCTCATCCCCCTTTCGCGTCGGGAAACGGCGTGGCTGAGGTGAAATTGGTAATTTTATGGTTTTTATTTAGTTTTATTTGGTCTTATCTGGTTTTAGCGTTACTGTACGGAGTACCGCACGGGTGTTTGGTTCTGTTTGTCTAGTTTCATTTGCGTGCCCCCTTCGATAGTCATAATCCTCACTCTCATGGAAGACCTCCGATTCCCACTCACCTCCACCACCACCTCCAGTCATTCGTTGATTTCTTTTTGCAGTGAGGCTTCGGTCTCGATATGCTGCCGACATTCTTTTGCATTCCTTAGATTCTTCTTCGTTTTTTCTATGCCACATTCCTTATTACGTTCCTTTCGTTCCACGCGTTTACAGGCCTGCAGCCTCCTGAATTCTTAACGACACTCTCCCTTGGTTGTCGCCCACTCTCGCTTCACTTCAACTCCCCTCCAACTCCCAACCGACTGGAGTGCTCATCCTACTGCTGTCTGTCGTCGCCCCCCACACAATGAGGGTTTCTTCATTGTACGGGCCTGCGGCGGCTGGCATTTCGACCTTGTTTGCGCTTTTGCCGACCGTACACGCCGTGACCTTCAATGCGGTCTCCACCCCCGAAATCGACCTCTCCTCGCTGGGCCGGGTGACCATCACAGGCGACTTTGACGGTGTATCCCTATACCAATATGAGGGCCAGTCTGAAATCACCCAGCGCCAGGGCTCGTCCATCCTAACCCCGCTTCCCAATGGCATTCTTACGAACCTCTCGTCCGCCGACGCACAGATCCGAGACATGTGCGCCTTCACGAAAAAGGATGGTACTTTCGCGGGGATATTCGTCGGTGGTAACTTCACCAGCCTGGGAGGAGTCAAATCGACTGGCGCGGCCTTGTTCAATCCCAATTCTAGCCATGTTACAGCCTTGCCGGGCCTGACGGGCTCGGTCTCGACCGTACTCTGCGACCAGGACACCAACCGCGTCTACGTTGGTGGAGTCTTCTCCCACAAAAACACATCCAATGCCATCGCATGGTCTCCCAGCGATGGTTGGACCGAGCTTGAATTCGATGGACTCAATGGCCCCGTGAACTCGATCATCAAGGGTGATAACGGCCATATCATCTTTGGAGGATCCTTTGATGGTCTGGGTAACTCCACTACCTCGTCTAACAACAAGCAGATCCTCAATTTGCAGAATGCAACCATCACCTCCGACGCCGAATCCTCCCTGACTGGCTACATCGACCCCCGCAACGTGATCTGTTCGACTAGTGGCGAAGCGGGCGCAGGCAAGACTTGGTTGCTTCACGACTATGCTCCTGGATACTGGCGGGCATACTTTGGATTTACATTCAACCCGACTAAGGTTCGCCTTTACAACACTCACTTGGATGGACGCGGCACCAAGAGCTTCTTGTTCCGGGCCCTTCCTGACAATGGTATCATGAACATGACCTACACCGACGACTCTGGAAATACGGTTCACTGCGACTCGTCATGCCCACTCTCCGACAGCACAAGCGAAAAGTACCGCGATTTCACATTGGTGAACCCCGTCGGTATGAAGGGATTCCAGATCGAAGTTTTGGACTGGTATGGCCAAGGTGCTGGATTGAACGGCATCGAAGTTTTCCAAGATCAGATTCTGTCTTACGCCGTCGATGCGTTCAATGAACCGAGCTGCGCGGGACTTGATTACCCTTCCAGGTCTACTCGTACTGGCTCTTGGACTGTCGAGGATGCTGGCTACCTGTCCGCGTCAGTGACTGATTCCACTGACGCTGGCACCTCGGTCGTCTTCTACCCCGATATCAAGGAGTCCGGCAACTATACCATTCTTGTTTACACCCCTGGGTGTGTCCAAGATAACAGCTGCAGCTCCCGTGGCATGGCCAATGTTACGGCCACTGTCGCGACTGGTACCGATGCCTCGCAGCCCTCTCCCACAACCATCTACCAGACCAACGATTACGACAAGTACGACACCTTGTTCTCTGGCTATGTCGATGCCAGCAGTGACTCTTTCCGCCCCAGCGTTACCCTTCGTCCTATTTCTGGTCAGGGAGACATCACTCTTGTCGCGTCCAAGGTCCGGTTTGAGCTACTTTCCAACACCACCAGTGGCACTGGTGGCTTGAATGGTCTGTACGACTTTGACCCTTCCTCCAAGACGACCGCCAGTCTTGATAGTTCCGACATTAATGAGGCTGGCAACTCTCTTGACAAGGATGCCGTGATCATGAGCCTGGTTGAAAATGCTGGCGTCGTCTACGTGGCGGGCAACTTTACTACCAAGAAAATCCACAATGTCATGTCTATCACTGATGGTAACGCAACTGCAATGCCTAGCGGTGGTCTGAACTCCGAGGTGCTTGCCATGACCACACTCCATGATATTCTGTACGTCGGAGGTCTGTTCACCGATACGTCTGACGGCGGTGCCGATGGTCTCTATCATGTGGCTTCCTACTCCTCCTCTTCCAAGAAGTGGTCGGCCCTTGGTGAAGGCCTCAATGGCCAGGTCGATGCCATTTACCCAGTCCAGCTTAACGTGTCGACGGCCATCAATGAGACCACCATTGCCGTGAGCGGTAACTTTAACCAGATCCGCGCCACCAGTGACCACCCAGCCATCTATGTTGCCGGCTTTGCTATCTGGGTGCCTTCCAAGAAGGCCTGGCTGCAGAGCCTCAATGACACCCAAATGGAGTTTGCTGGTCAGCTCTCTGCAGTGACTACATACAACGAGACCACACTCCTTGCAGGAAGCCTCGGTACGGATGGAATCACCGCGTCTGGCGCTATCTCGTTACAAAACTCCAACGACCTGACCTTGGTTCCCCTGTCGATGAAGACCAATCACACTGCCTCCAGCGTTGGGGTTATCACAGGTGTCTTTGACACCGAATCCAACCGCAACTTGACCATCGTTGGTGGCCAGTTCACTGCGCTGAGCAGCGACGGATCCGCTATCCACAACGTTGCCTTCCTGAATGGCACTGAGCAGAAAATTTTCGGCTTGCCCCAGGGCTTGGACAGCAACTCCACTGTCTACTCAATGGCCGCGCACAACAACACTCTGTTCGTTGGTGGAAATATCACCGGAACCATCGCTGGCTCTAGTGTGAGCGGTATGGTGGCTTATGACTTGTCCAGCAACTCGTTCAAGAAGAGCCAGCCCTGGTCTCTGACTGGCAAGAATTCCAGCGTCAACTCCATGGCCGTCAGACCTGGTTCATCCGATCTTTTTGTTGGCGGCAGCTTCGAATCCGCTGGTTCGCTCCCTTGCAACACTGTCTGTGCTCTGGATACCTCGGTCAACTCATGGAGCTGGCCTGGTGCGTCGATTAGCGGTTCTGTCCTGGCCCTTAGCTGGGCTAGCTCGAACACCTTGTATGCTGTGGGTGATATTGAGATTGGCAATAATAAGACTGTTGTCGCCACTTTAAATCAGAAGACGTCGACTTGGACCGCCTTGTCTGGTGCGTCTACCTCTGACATTACGGGAACCGTGACTGCCTTTGCTCCTGCTAGTGAAGATATCTCCAGCTTTTGGCTTGGCGGTACCTCCACCAACGGCTCGGCCTTCCTCCTGAACTATGACGGATCGAAGTTCCAGTCTGCGGGCTCTTTGTTCGCCAAGGGTACGACCATTCGTGGCCTGGAGATCCTTCCCATCACCCAGGAGCACTCGTCTGTCTCTTTGTTGAAGAACGACCAGTCGCTGTTGATCATGGGCGAACTCGTCATTCCAAACTTTGGTAATGCCTCTGCTGCTCTCTACAACGGAACAGCTGTCACGCCTTTCATCCTTTCTTCCAAGTACAACGGCGAGCCTGGTAGTATGTCGCAATTGTTCACGGAGAAACAGAACCCGTACACCACCTCAAGTGAGCATCTCCAACATCTTCTCCTCTGACCACCACTGACTCCGTTCCAGCTTCCCACCACTCCAATGGCATCGTCGTCCTGGTTGCCTTCTGCTGCGCTTTGGGCTGCGTCTTCCTCATTGTCGCCGCCGGCGTCATTGCAAACAAGATCCAGCGCCGTCGCCAAGGTTACAGCGCCGCACCCCAGAGCTTCGGCACAGACCGACCAACCGACATGCAGCGCGTGCCGCCAGAGTACCTCTTCAACTCCCTGCGCCATCCCAACCCTGGCGCCCCAGTTATCTAATGAATGCTCCCCCACCTTCTCCTGCTTGCACAAAATTCTCTTCTTCCGCCCTCTTATCCTCAAGAAAAGGCGTCCCGTTTGATCAACAATTTTTCTTTTCTCTTCTTTGGAAGCAACGTCTGCTTATACCCACCCCTTGCAACCCTTCCCTCACTTAATGTCTGAATTCCTTTGATTTTGCTAGCGCGCCTCGTGTTTGTTTTCGCGCTGGCCTTGTCTCCTCGCGAGTACTATTTTGTGTGTGTGTGTGCTCTTCTGGCGGATTGTGACCCGCCTTGACTTTGATCCATGTCCTCGATTCTCCCTATTGTGCATATGCTGTTGTACATGTGTACAAGTGACATTTGTATGTAACTTTGTGAATACGTCCTGGGGACGTGGATAATACTACGATCTACCTCGTCTGATTCAGTTCCTCCTTCTCTTCTAAAATCGTTGTGTAGATTGGGCCTGGTCTTCATTTGGTCCGGGCGGGAACTAGGGTCCTAGGGGAACCTTAAAAGCTTACTGCATTTAAGTTCTGGAAACCCGTCGATGGCTTTTTCAAGGCTGATGGGACACTAATAGACGGACATAGATTGGACCAAAAATCCCCCGAATGGTGGAGCCTTGTCATGTTGTAACATCCTGCAGGCCATGCACTAAAAACAACGAGTTATCCCCACTTTGTCCTTGGCCAGTCTGGGAATGACCTACGAAGGAGGCAGCGCCTTGTCAACACCCCTGTACTCACATTCGTCAGGCTGTAGTAAGAGACACTAACATGATTAGTGGTTTCACTAGCACTAGGCTAGACTCTTCGCTTATCAATTAGCGTCAACGGTTGCATGGACGAGTGACGAGGTGTACATATGATGGCAGTCAACTGCAGACCGAACCCCCTCATTTCCAACTCACACCATCCCCATCCATCATCTCTAAAAGACATAACTTCTGTGCATCTTGTGGATAAATCATGGCTCTCGAGGGGATTTTGGCACTGTCGACGGTTATCCGTCTCATCGGTGTTTACGTCGCATACCATATTATCCGGGCTTTATATAATATCTCCCCCTTCCATCCGCTCAGCCATATTCCTGGCCCGAAACTTGCCGCTGCAACATGGTTCTACGAGGCGTGGTTTGATTTGATTCTGGGTGGGATGTATACGAATGAAATTAAACGTATGCATGAGATATACGGTACGAACAACGCTAATCCATCCACGGCGCCGTGTCCTCGTTCGGCAAAACTCAAACTAGAACTAAAACCGAGTATCACATCTCCAGGTCCTGTTGTGCGCATCAACCCCGAGGAACTCCATTTCAACGATATAGCATTCGTCGACGAGATTTATGCCGGAAAGGGCCGCAAGCGTGATAAGCAACTTCATTTTCTGGAGTTTGTTGCTGGACCGATTCGGTTGTCGGCGTTTTCTACTGCGGGACATGATCTTCATCGTATTCGACGGAATGCTGTGAATAAGTTCTTCTCGAGGGCGTCGATTGCTAGACTTGAGTCTTTGATTAAAAAGCTCGCTAATGAGTTGTGCGATAAGATTATTCGTCTTGGTATGTTATGTTTATGTTGGGCTTTTTCTCGAACCGTTGTCGTTGGAGCTTCGTTTCGGCTAATAGAGGCTTCAGAAACAAACACCGGGAAACCATTTGATATCACCGAGGCTTATAGCTGTTTTACTGCCGATGTGATATCCAGCTACTGTTTTGGCGAGTCATTCGGGTTTTTGAAACAGGTGCGTCTCAATGAGACATACAATCCCGAAAAAGAGCCACAAAAAAGGTGAAGTGAACAGCATTTTCTAACGACGTTCATGATCACAGAAAAATTGGCAGCCGAATTTCAGACAACCTCTGTACGGTGCTTTGAAATCGACCTATATTTTCCGGTTCTTGCCGTTTATGAATGTTTTCATTCACATCGCACCGTTATTCGCGGACTGGGTCACGGAGGATTTGGGCGTCATGTTGAAAGAGTCGAATGAGAAAATGCCTGCTCGCGTAAGAAATTCCAAAAAGGAACGTGAGGCTGGTGTGAAACAAGATCGTCCGAGTATCTTCACTGCTCTTCTCGATTCCTCGTTGCCGGAACAGGAGAAGACGGATCTTCGGTTGGGTGGGGAGGGATTTTCTATGATTGGGGCTGGAACTGAGACTACCGCTGTAAGTTCTTGCCTGTGAGGCAGGCACACTCTTTTTGGATAGGTTGGAAGCTTTGATCTAATACTCATGAAGTGGACACTCTCTGTAACGACTGTGTACCTCTTAACTCAACCCGAAACTCTAGCCCGCCTAACAAAAGAACTCCAAGACGCAGACGCCCTAAACCTACCCTGGTTCGCACTCGAGAAACTCCCCTATCTAAACGCAGTCGTCACTGAAGCCCTCCGTCTCTCATACGGCGTGTCAGCAAGATTACCCCGGATCGCTACAAACGAGAACCTCCTCTACCGCGGCGAATTCCAGGGTCGAGAGGTCGAATATGCGATTCCTCCGGGTACACCCATGGGCATGTCCAATGCAATCAATCACCACAACGAGGAAGTTTTCCCGGACTCACATAAATTCAGACCCGAGCGGTGGCTCGATATTGAGGAGTCTGAGAAGCATCGGATGGAGAATAGTTTGACTTCGTTTTCGAGGGGAAGTAGACAGTGTCTTGGGATGAAGTGAGTTTATCCATTCGACACCTTGGAATTTACACTGTTGCTAATGGTTTGGTGTGGTAGCCTGGCGTACTGCAATATGTATGTTGGGTTGGCGACTATGACGCTTCGTCTTTTCCCGCGGATGAAGCTTTATGAGACGGATGTGGAAGATGTGAAATACCATCATGACTTCTTGGCTCCTGCACCCAAGTCTGATAGTAAGGGTGTCAGAGCTATCATGGTGTGAGAGACTCGACACTTTTCGATAGCAACGAGCTCTTCACGTGAGGAACTGGGGATCAATTGGAAGGTTATGGTAGGTATAGCACGAAGAATTTGGCTGTTTTGACTCACATTTTGGACTTTGACTTGCCCCATTTTGTCTTTCAATATATTTGACAAGGGACTCTCAGCACTCATTTGCTTCACCTAAATTTTGGCTTGTAACGATGCATGAACTTGATATTAGGTAGCAAGATTGAAGAATAAACTCCCAACGTGAATTTGCCAACAAAACCCCCCTGACTAAAGTCAAAGAGGGAGAGTGCGTTGGCTACTACGTATGCATGAGCTTCAAAGCTGTGGTACTTCTATGGTCAAATATATATGACTTTATTCGAAACTCGAATGCATGTATCTAACTTTGATCCTAAAGAGGGATGTACTGGAAATAATTGTGATCAAGGCAGCTTGCATAAACCCCGCTCGCTATAGTTACCGTAGTTGGCTGCTCCACGGCCTGCAGGAGTCCGTCTCATATCAACCCCTTTTGAGTGGCCGAGGGCTGTCCAATAAGAGTGCCCGCGAGTCCCAGTAATCACCCCCACCAATCTTATCTGACAAGCTAGCTGCTCAGGGAGCTTGAGCTCTACAACTGCCTAGGCAAAAAGTTCCCCAGCAGTATGGAAAATTATCCTTCTTCTAAACGCCTCCGACGCAACACGAAACGATGCTATGAATGTATGAGATTGTTGCCTATTCTTTGTCCTATCTGGACTTGCTAACCCACTCCAGGCCGTAGGCGCAAAGTAAAATGTCAATTGGCCTCCGAGGACGTCGCAACTTGTTCTGAGTGTCTTCGAACTGGCGCCCAATGTACCCCCGAGGCTCCAGTGATCGAATCCAATGCATCGTCTACAACTTTGCTGGACCATGATGGGCGGCTTGAGCGCATAGAGCAAATGCTGCGCACTTTGGTTGATAACCAAGAGTCATGCAAATTACCATCCAAGAATGGTAACGATCTGCAGCAGTCATTGAACTGGGACGACATTCTGAATCAAGATTTATTTTCAAATCAGTTTGGCATATCCCCACCCTTGGGATACTCGGTGCCAAAAGAACAATGTCCCAGGTCGCATCAGGTTCAGCTACCCCTGCTTCAATACAAAGATGAGACAGCCAAACAAATTCTTCTTGAGCTTCTTCCATCCCAAGAGGATGCTATCAGCATAGCCAGCCATACTACAGCATGGGCGATGGAGCTTCCGAACCCTCCCGGGGCAATCTGGAAACTTGGAGATGGATCACCGGTTCGCGATCTCAGTGCCGCGGCACAATTCAGTACCATGGGCATAGCGAAAGCCATTTTGTATTTCGCTTTGAGTATACAGCAACTACCCCCAGGTTTTAAAACAAGTCACCTTCAGATGGATGATGTCGATTATCATGTCCGGCGGTATACCCAGGTTGTGGGTACTTTGGTTCTAGCCCATGAGGAGATGTCGTGTTCCACCGAGGGATTGGAATGTCTGCTTCTCCTAGGAATGATCCATATTAACGAGGGTGATCTCAAGCAAGCGTGGATGAAATTCAGGAGGGCTCTTGACGTTGCACGGCTCCAGGGGTTCCATAAGAGCTATGAGCCTTCTGTACGCCAGTCACAATCTCCAGAACTGGCATTTCACCGTCGATTATGGCTGTCGTCTGTCATGGGAGATAGCTTCTGCAGTTTGATTCTCGGCTTTGAGACTGGGGCTACGCAACCATTCGGTCCGGACTATTCCTGGGATGATCCGTTCGCAGATGAAAATGCCAACTTTCAACGTCGGCTTTGTATAGTGTCAGCTCAGTTGAGTCAACGAAATTTGGTTGGACTTCAGAATAGTATCGACGAGGCAAAATCGATAAACACTGCCATTGACGGACTGCAGAACTCCATGCCAGACTCATGGTGGCAAAGACCCGATCTTCGTGAAGAACAGTCTCTAAACTGTGCTCAGGAATACGACCGACTCCTTTCTCATCTTTGGTTCTTTCAACTTCAAATACTTGCCAATACTGCTTTTCTCTTCTCTCCAGAAGCCGAAGCTGAGCAGTACCGCGATCGCTGTCTCGAAGCAGCGAAGACAACTCTATACAGATACCTGGGTCTGCGCCTAGCGGGGACAACTCGACTCCATTGCAGAGCCGCGGAAATCGCCGCCTTTGTTGCATCGCTAGCATTAATTCTCAGTCTAAGCAGGAGTACTAGCCCTCAAATGTCGGATTCCTCTAAAGCACTCAATTCCGATGTCGCCCTGTTGGACCAGATTATTGACTCATTGGCGGCTCTTGGCCTGAGCTCAGGGCACGAACATTTTGCTTTGAAGAGTGCTGAAATACTCACAACTTTGCTGCGAAAATTGAAGATGGGAGATTCCGAGGTCTCGGCGTATCGTGGTGGAAAGAGAAAAGCTGGGCATTCTGCAGTTCATCATCATACCACCAAAAGGCAAGTCGGTTTGCCTGAATTACTGCTTTCCTCGGTGAAGAGTGCTCTTAGGAATCAGCCAAATGCACATATCCTCGACACGGACGATATCATATGAACATACTCCTACATCAATGATTGATCTGGAGGTTGAACGAAACCCCCTTTCGAATAGTTTTTAACCCATCATCAAGATCTCTAACCTATCACCCTTCAAGACAATTCCACATAAGTATGCCATAATCCCAGATTATTACCAAACAAAGCTTAAAATAGCACAAGACTAGAACCCCTTCAGCAACTCCCTCCCCTTCATCACAATACTCCCATTGAGAACAATAGTCCCATCAACATCTCCCCCAACAGCAACATAAGCCAAATAAGCGCCAAGCGTACCCACATTAATCGCCCAATTCCTTCCCATGGCAGCAACCAGCATACCCGCCGCGAAACCGTCAGGTAGAACACCTCCAGGCCGAACAATGATTAACTTCCACCATGGGTCAGTCTGATCAGCTAACGCGATAGCCCTGGTGTCGTGCAATCCCTTGGAAACCTACTGTTAGCACTCGAACAATAAAAACAATCAAATGGAGAAAATATAACGAGGGAAATACCTTTGTTTTCCGCTGTGCATCCAGGAAATACAATTTCCTTTCTGGATCTTGTTCCACAAATTTGCCGCTCACATGGACATAACGGAAATTCGCTGGAGTTTGTTGCTGGCTGCGTCGTTTGATGAACGCTTCCTGGAAAGCTAGTGGATACTCCACGTCTACGTTGTGCGTAGGACTCAACGAGCCAAGGCCCCTAGGATAGGATAGAGTGTATTAGTAACCCTTCGCGAGATCACTGGAAGTAGGTATGGCACTACCAAATCATAGCCGCGGCATCCATATGCTGATCTAGCAAATCATCCGACCACGTCGAAAAATCTTCGACGATGGCCGTTTCGAGCTTTGAATTCGAGGAAATATCTTCTGGAAGAGCACGGCGCACGAATGCGACGACCTTTGTGATCTGTGGATGCGCGAGACATGCTCTTAGTGCTCCGCCGCCGATGGTGCCAGTCGCGCCTGTTAGGAGGACTTTCATTGCGATGGAACAGCCTGGAATTGGATAGAGGCAACTTTTGAGTATTTGTGAGGATCTCAGCTTGGTTGAAGAAGAAGTGAGTTCTTTTAAAGTGTGGTAGCAAGGGGCGTCATTACGTCGGCCGACTCGGCCGACGCGATTAACGTATAGCAATTATCTCTTTCCACCATGATATAGCCACTTTCAGTCACGCTGGCGGCTGTGAAGTTGATTTTGTAGCGTAGACTGATAGTAGGATTTGGGTTCCCTGGGGTCTACAAGTCTAATCCTTCCAAAGCATTAACTCACCTGTTGAGGACATCGCTATTCTCTACAATCCGCAAAGTACACGCTCAATAACAACGTCCGATGCTATCTACCGTATTTCATATCCAGTAACGGGTCATCTTTCATCCTCAACAAGTCAAATTCCCTAAAAAACAACTCTCCAAGTCCAGGTATATTGGCAGGAAGAATGATACACAAACAATGCATCGCGAAGTTCTAAAAACAGCGACAGAAGCAAAGCGACCGGAAAAAAGAAATAAAGGAAATGAAACCAAAAAAAAGAAAAGAAACATGGGCATTGCGTTGCGTATAGCATCATGATGGCGGAACTCTTCTCCCCTTCCGCCTCTTTTCTACAGATACCCCCTTCCATGGTAACATCACACACACTGGGACACCCCCTCATCACCACACATTTGGACATCTCTCGATGGGAGTATAGTTCTGCCATCGTATGTTTTCATCCGATAGCAATTGACACTGCTGTAAACCGTGTGGACCAATCCGAAGGCTGAGTTTTTTCGAGTCACAAAGCTCCAAAAAGCTCAATTCCTGAAACGGTCCTTCCGAGCTGCCATTGAAGCATTTACTGGGGCTTCTTGTTGGCAGCCGCGGGGCCAGAGATGTAGCGACCAATGTCAGTCGCCTCATAGCCCTGGCGCACGACGCCCTTGAAAGCCTCCCAGCCCTGACGGACCTGAGGGGGAGTGCTCTGGTGAGAGATCGAGGCGTCGGCGCGAGCGGTCAGCTGGCGAACAGCCTGCTGAACAAAAGAGCTCTGGGCGTAACGGGCACGGAAGAAGGACAGATAAACGATCAGCAGAACCCAGCTACCCTTGGAGAAGGTAATGGCGGACAGGACGAGGCGGAAGAGGAGCACGATCTCGAGAGTGGCGACAACACCCATACTGGCATCGTAGTACTGCTTGATGAAGCGGCCAATGGTCTCGGCGAGGGGGTTCTGCTTGCCAGCGGGCTTGGAGCCGGAGCTGGGCGAGGCTGGGCTGGCGGCACCGGGGGCTGGGGGCTGCAGGGTGGGGATCAGGTACATGCGGGTGTAAGTCGCGACGTGGAAGACCGAGTACACGCTGAAGGGAAGGAGGGCCAGAATGAGCTGGCGGGAGTAGAGCCAGACAAGAGCCATTCCTGTGAGAAATATGTATATGAGCTGGGATGTTCTGTGCACGTGCGCAAACTGCCACATCGCCTTATCGCCGGGTCCCTGAAACACTTACCCAGGTACTGCACATTCTCATCGGAGATGAGCTTGGTCACGATCTGAGGCACACTGCCGGAGACACCCCGGGCGAAGTGGCCCTTGTAGACGACAATTCCATAGGTCACGGCGGCAGAGATGAAGGCCAGACGGTAGGAGATCCGGGCGGCGGAAGAGTAGTAGTTGAAGAAGATGAAGGACAGTGTGTAGCGGAAGACGGAGAGGAGCAGGGTAAGGTGGCTGGGTTGCAGGTCAGTATTCTCATCTGGAGGTCCGCGGAAAGCGTCTGTCGTCGACGATTCCTATCGGGTTGACATACCCAACAAACCAGGCAAACCTATAGCAATGTCATCGGTTAGTACAGTTATCACACGACTTGGAGCTCTTCCATGCGATAGCACATAGGCGGGAAGCAGCAACATACTGGAGAGTCTGAGCCAGAGCCTTCAGCCTCTCGGCCAGAGGCAAGGTTGCGGGAGGAGGAGGAGCCATGGAGACTGCTTTTTCGCCGAGGTAGGTAGTAGGTCGGGGGAGGAGAGGATAAGGGGGTAGATGGTGAAGGGGGAGCTATGATTCAGAACTGCAGCAATGAGCAGGGAGATGAATCCGCGAGCGAAGGTAGAGGACAGGGTAAAAATCGAGGATGTGTCGGTGGCTGGGAAGCGGGGATGAAGTGGATTGGAGTCGACTTGTGTGTTACCTTGTGCCCTGTGCTTTCCGCTTTTCCCAGCTCGGGAGCTAAACTGCGTTAACTAGTTAACTTGTCCTCTCCGCCTTGGACACGGTGACGTCGGGCATTTCGGATGATGCAATGCACCGCTGGAATATAGAGTTTGAGGTGACTGGGATACTACAAGTAGAGATACATTGCAAGTACATAAACTCGATTATATATGATAGTATTAGAGCATCATTTGAAAGTGATCGACTCAAGTCATTCTACACCAAATGACAAGATCTTGTCCTATTCTTATCCATCGGCAGATCCCTCAAATGCCTAGATTCCAGCCACTTTCCACATTCCTCTGGCCGAGGTGCAAATCAACGGCTGTTGGACTCGGATCTGCTCGGGTTCTCACATCAAGACTCGAGGGTCATTAGCTTGATTGGTGAGTAGTACCAAGTAGAATGGATTGACTCTGACCGCTAGTTCTACACTTTATTGGAAAAATCCAATGGTTCTCTCCACCTATTTAGAGTTCCGTGCGCTCTGATAAGAGACTAGAGGTGGCTAACCCTCGGATATCAAAATCTTGCTTATTATACCGAGTCCGACCAGCATATTATATCAAAATCTACTATCACAGAATCCACTATCTCTCGTCCTCTAGAGGGATCACCACGATCGTTGTTAGAGTTCTACTAGCTAGCAGCTTTTGAAATGGCTTGTTGTTGGATCTCATCTCCTATTTACGTGGACCTTGCTAGTATCGAGTGAACAAGCCCTGGACAAGGTATGACTGGGCTACCGCTGTCCTCCATGACCTTCAGAATGGCGACTGGGGTGTACCAATCGTTTGGAACTCGGACAGGGACAAGAAGTCCGTCATGGGCTTTTGGATGGGACTATTTACTGCCCTACGTACGAAGCTCCTCTATACCGCCGCATACCATCCATCTACTAACGGCCAGTCTGAGCGATCTAATTCAACCGCCGAGATCTGGCTTCGACGCTGGCAGAGCCTGCACCAGAACGTCGACTGCGACGAAGGTCTTGCACCAATGCAGGCGTTGCTCAACGCATCGGAGAACGCTTCCACAGATGCGACGCCACATCAGCTAATGTTTGGTGTTCGTCAAGCCTTCGTCGGATTTCTCCAGGCCTCGCGGCAGGATGCGGATGAATGTGCCAAATGTGCTGCTATGGTCGTGAAGAAGCAGTACGAGTGGGTTGTACTTTTTCATTGTCGCTGTAATGAAACAGTGTATAATCTCTTTCGGCATCTCTTTCAACTTCTTTCTCCTTCTTTCTCCATTTCTTTCTCATGTTTCTTTCTCAAACATCAGTACAGCGCCCCTTATTAGCCTAATGTTTCAGGCTGCTACATATGGCCATATAGTCAAGTATGTTTTCTGCCAATGAAATTTAACAAGACTTCAATTGCACGGGGGTAGTCACTATCGTCCACCGTAACCAAGGTTGATGTCTGACTGTATGGTGTCTAACCTGGGTTTAGAGGATAAAACTTAGCGGGAAAACAACAGCGGAGAATTAGATATGTCATAAGGCTACCTTTTATGGACAAGCTACTTGATACTGAGCTCTCCACCAGGAGTCATTCCACAAATCGTTCAAATATTTGAGTCAACCCTTCTTATGCTACAATGCAAGACAATCATCACACATCAAACAAAACTCGTCACATACTCAACACCTAATTAATTCCACTCTTCTCCAGGCCCGCCTTCAACCCAAGCTCCAGTCCATCCGCCGTCTCCTCGGGCTTACTCAAGAAACCCGAGTGTGAGGCATCAACGTGGAAAGTCACCGGGTTACCCAAAATCTGCGCAAAGCTCTCCTGGACGAACAGCGGCAGAGCAGCATCCTTGTCACAGTAGAGGTACATAGACGGCACCTCGTTCCAAGGCTCAAAAGTAGCCGGCTCCAGGAAGGAGGGCTTAGCGTGAGGCTTCAGCTTGGAGATGGCAGTTTGTTGGGCCTCCGGGGTCATGTCATGGTAGAAGACAGTTTCTTGCTGGGAGGAGTGGCAGTAGCCATCATCAGGGTCCTGGTTGATTATCAGCAATGGCTCCCCATAATAATTGAAGTCTGTCTCTTCAAAGTGAAGGAAAAAATGAAAGACAAGAGCGGCGGGAAATACATACACTGAGAAGCATCCATGGGAGCCAATTTCCTCCCAGCATGTCAATAACAGACTTGCCCCTGGGCGTCACAAAAGCAGCCAGCCACACCATCATAATCACACCTCCAAGCTGGCCAGCCTTGGAACGTTGCGCATATACAAGGCCCTCGGCGGCGCCTGCACCGACCATACCACCATATGAGTGCATCACCACGATAATCTGACGTCCTTGGTCAGCCAATGCCCGGAGGACACCGTTGGTATGGGCGATATCAGCGTGGAGGCCGGATTTTGTTGGCTCCGCTGCGCCAACAGAGGGGAGCACAATAGCTTCAGAGTCATGTCCCCGCTTGCTCAGGAGGGCACGGATGCCATCGAAGGTGTCCGGGGTGTGCCATGCACCTGGTACGAAGACATAGATTGGAGTGTTCTCGACAGCCATTGTCGTTCCAAGTTTATATGCAAGGTGTGGTTGTTTATGAAGACTTGGACGGATAGGGGGGATTTGAAATTGCACAGACAAACCAGGAGAAGCAGTTCAAAGCGAATTAGCGGTGATGGCAGCGAGTTTAAAGGGAGTCGAAACATTTAAGCTCGTCCATCAACCGGAGTTCACCCAGACCAACCACAACAATGCCCCACATATCCACAAATCTCCAACAAGTTGGCAATTCATTTAGTCCGTCAGTCTGTCAGAACCTTGAGCCGTTGAGGCTATTCAAGCTATTCAAGCCACCTGAGGAGTTATTTTGAGACATCCACGCCTCTCCCCGGGGAGAAATCACATCACTCATCACTTTGCAGACCACCTCGTGCCACGTTCAAGTGGATATAGTCCAAGCCGGGCCCTTCCACAACTCCCGCAAACCCACAAGCCACCAAGCAGGACTTCCTACCCGGCATCATAAACATGGCGATCTGTCGCACCAGACATGCAGCTACAGAGCACCAGGATCTAGCGTTGATCCTCCCCCACCCAGAGGTTGTCCGGGGCCAACGGCGTGGCGGACAGCGGCTCCACAAAGCGGGTAGGGGAGAAATGATCCGGGGCTCGAGGCCGAGAAAAGCAGGCATGCCGAAGTATTTTGGCCTCGAAGCAACGAGGTTGTTTATTTTCTCGTGTGCTCATTCGCTGCATAACCCTGTCTCCGCTGGAGCTTGCCGTTTTGACAGGAGTTAAAATGCGCCCACATATTGCTCCAACGGCTGTCTTAATCGGCCTTTTTTTTTTCGTGACTGCAACTTGCAGGGGGGAAATCGTTGTTGAAAGGATTCATGAACTCTGAAATGATTTCTGGGCTGAAGAACGCAATCTATTGTGTGGGCTTGTGGGCCAGGGTATTTCTGCACACTTTATTTCTTTCCTGCCTGCATGTTTCGGCAGGGAACTATGCACTAGGGTAGAGTGTTTATTTGGAGTCGTTCTTTTGCTTTCACTATAACCAGGAGATAGCATGGCGACCACGAATATCTATGAGAGTCGTCAGCGGGAGTATCGGGCTGGAACAATCTCCATGACGGCTCTGGGTGTGGTTTTTGTCATTCTGAGGTTTTTGGTTCGATGGAAGAAAGGTCTCCGGATTGGAGCGGATGACTATGTGATATTGCTGTCCTTGTAAGTGCCATTCTCGAATATCTCTCTTGAAAAAGACTCAACTAACTCGAGAAATCCTCTCTGTTTCTTCTAGTATTCCTCTTCGCAACATGTGCACTTAATTTGGCGAGTAAGACATTCTCCTTGGCAGGTATATAGGCGGAATTGTGGATGACTGACGCATCCTAGTGATTCACTTTGGCATGGTCTGACATGCCGACGTATTGCCAGACGAAAACATCGTGATCATTGCCAAGGTTCGAATCAATGCAAAGACTGAACCCCACTCAAGATCCATAGACTGGTATTTGCCAGCTGCTGATGTCTTTCGCATGCGTATACTGCACGACAGTTGGTATCGTCAAGATTTCAATCTTGCTTATATACGCTCGCATCTTCCCCACGAGAGGCTTTCGCATTGCCGCAATTATCCTGGGCAGCATTGTGGTCGGATGGGTCATTGCAATCATCTGTGTGAGCGAAATTTCAGTGTACCTTAATCACAAGGGCCTGGAACCCTACCCTGCCGGGTACCTGCATCAACCTCAAGGGCTCGTTTATCGGGAACGCAGTCCCGAATATCCTCACAGATATCGCCATTCTGGCTCTGCCAGTGCATGTCGTGTGGGGGTTGCATGCAACCGTGACGCATCGGCTATCAGTGATAGCGGTGTTTCTGTTGGGCTGTTTGTTCCTCTCTCTTTCTCCTTCGAAGCAAAATTGAGCTTCAGCCTAAGCAGTGCGCTAGACTAATAACCATCTCACTTCCACAGCGTCATTTTCACCAGCGCCTACCGCTTCTCCACACTCTTCGAATTCGAGCACGCCGATACCCCCTGGACCCTCGCCACGGCCTACACTTGGTGTCTTATCGAGTGCTCCAGCAGCATCAACTCAGCCTGCATGCCCACCCTGCGTCCCTTATTCGTCATGCTCTCCTCGAAATTCTCCAGCTCAATCGGCACCCGCCCAGGAACGACTGGCGCGCAAGGCTCCGGCCTCAAGAGTTATGACATGAGTAGTTCGACCTTGCGTCCGGCGGGAGAAGTCAACGGCAAACAAAGAGTGCAATTGGAGACCAGCCAGCCGGATGATGCATCGGGGGATGAGGTGCCGCTGAATACGATTCGAGTGCAGCGCGACGTGACGTGGCAGGAGACGAGCTAAGATTCTTCGCGACGATGGAATTGAGAGGAATATGTATCTGTTTATATGTAGTCGTCATGTATATTAGTCAAAAAATGAAGGACAGGAGTTTCTTGGTCTTGATCTTGCATAGACTGGAAAATCGCATTAGAAATCAGGTCGAGCTTTGGAGTGTGTTCCGCAAATTAATTTCCTTCCAAGGTCAAATCTTCTCTGCATGTCAATGACATTTTTGCGAGAAATTGACAGCTCTGCTCGAGCAATTTTAGTGGGAAGAGCATGATCATGCTTTGGGGAGCAAGTTGGCCTAGTTATAAAAGTTCTGACGAAGCGCTGAATGAAGTAAACAAGATCCAGGACCATGATCAACCATGAAGCTGGTTTCAGGTTGACATTAAAGCTGCAGCTTTAATGAACTCTTGTCTCACGCACGGTTCAACTTGAAGATTTATCTCGATCTTCCATCCGTTTTAGATTGAAGAGTACTGATTCATAAGCACAATAAGCTCTACCAAAAAGGGAGCTTCGAGCTATCAGTCACGCAGTCAATACTCTGACCTACTTAACCTCCCAGGTCTGGACAATGATTTGTACCTTCTGGCTTACCTCAGATTTCCTCCCGAATACCGTTCAGTTCATACACCATGAAAACAATCAAATACCCATAAAACAATCGAAAAACAAAAACAATCAAAACCCCGCAAAATACATGACTCCCCCGAAGTCTCGACCCCACGAAAATACAGACTTCAGCTAAGAGCACGAATCAGAAACGTCAGCCCCCAAAAGTCAAATAACACTTATATCCCTGCATAAGGTCGATCAAGCAAAGAAGTCTGTCAAAAAATCACATGGGGATAGCAAACCAGCAGCGAGCCTCGGCGAGTTAGCCCGGGGTTAAGGTTTGCATGGCACCTGCACCCGCTAGTCCCCGCGATCCTTGCTAGATTGGGCCCGGTCATGCAGTCTAAGTGATCATTATTGGATGAAAAATTCGCTAGGCATATATTAAAGTCTGTTGAAAAGCTGCAGTCTGGTGTCGCTTCGCAATTCAGTTCCCAAACCAACATTGCTAGTAACCTGGCTAACATCAAGAGTGTCCTAGTTAGGCAAGCAGTGGTACGCTCGCACGGTGTTTTCAAACCCCGCAAATTCCTGGACGTGGACAATCGAGATTGAGAGATCTTGAAGCACATGCCAATTCCCCAGAAATGCCTCATGGAAGAATGAACGAACGCTGTGATGATCATTGATGGGCACGATATGCCGATGGGATCCGGCGGGGATCATCAATTATTGAAAGGCTATCATTTGATGGATCGTCCAAGTGAGCGAGGAAGAGCAAAGTACAGTGGTAGTTCAAAAATCCGAATCTAGAAACCACCTAACAGACATTCTTCCACTGCTTGTTTTTTGCAAGGTCTTTCCAAAGGTCTTTCTGAAGATCATTTTAATCGTCTTTCTTGATGGTTTAGGTCTCATTTTCTAATCTGCCATTCAACTTATGACTGAGAAGATGATTCCGAAAATTGGTCATAGTTTCAAACTTATGAAACCCCACTGTGTTCATTGACATACTCTGCGTATGAATCATTTCGCAAGGACGGTAGTTTTTTGGGGGTACAGAGCCTTACGAGACGATACCCGTGGGACGACTTGACCCTTGCGGCCTCGTGAATCCGCGGCACTCATGCCATCATCCCTGAATCCAAATCCACCCCCGCCTTATCAGCCTCGGCCGGTGGGTTTTTGGCATCTCCGATCACGATGGGGTGGTCATCTAAATTTTGAGGCTTGATCCGCTTCCCCATGGGGTGATCCTGTAGTGGAGGGTAGTCAATTAATGAAGGGCGGGGTTTAACTAACTTAATGGCTCATGACTCATGGCTCATGGCATGGATGGTGCATCATCCAACATGGACAATGAATGGATCATGAGGAAGGGTCTCTGGTGTTCATGGATTCCGAAATTCATTGGTTGGAAATCGTTGCAGGTCGAAACTGGTTCATGGCTGAATTTTAGGGGAATGAACCAAAGACCTGTCAATGAAATCGCGGGGGTGGCAAGATGTCACCGGGAGGAAAAGTAAAACTTAGATTGAATGGCATACATAGTTCTTTCTGTAGGATTCTCAATAATGAGGACTTTTGAGGCAGGAGTATTATTGATTCGATAGTTCTTACTCTCTGCATTAGCCCGTGCATAGTATACATTTCAAAAAGTCGTACGGAGTACACTAACTACTGTAAGACTGCATACAAAGTGTAGTTCATAGTTCATACAGTCTCCACTGCCACCCTCAAGGTCCTACATTCCCAGACAAAACCCTCCACAATGGTGACAATGCGACAGTAACCGAAACGTCCCTTCCAAAACCCCGCCAAACAATCACAACCTTCAATCTACTGTAAGTCTGTTACAAACCCCCGACCCTGGACTTTTGTCCTTCGTCTAACGGCTTGCCGGTGGATCCCTAGCACACACCACCCAGCAAATCCCCGATCCCGCCACGCCAAACCACCTAACCACCTTCCCATCACTTAGCCTCGCGCACTACGTATGCTCAATTCCCCGTCCCCCTTCTATCCACAATACCAATAACCCATCGCAGAAATACCTACAATACATACATAGCCTGTGAATAAAAAATCCCACATAAGCAACTAAACAGATCAATTTCCCCCTGCCCTCGTGCCAATGCTGACACGGTCCCTAGTCCTTCCTCATGCAGGAACGGCCAACTTACCCTGTTAGGGGTAGCCTTAGGGGGTAACCCTGAGTAGCCACGGCTGCCACCCACTCATGCAAGTTCCAAGGCTGGCAGGTTGAGTGTTTCACCGCAGGTGAGCCTATCGGCTCACGGGCGGGGGTAGGGCTTGGAAGGGTTCTAGATTGTTTTACCTGTTTTATTTGTGTGGGGAGACTTGCGCGCTAGCGCCTTGTTGGGCTGCTCGCCGGTGGCTTGGGACTTGGCTTGAACTATGCCATTACAATTGCGTGGAAGAAGATGGATAATACATACCTAATAATGGAGGCTGGGGTAGAGAAGAATAATGGATGATAAATACGGGTCTAAGAAGAGAATGGCTGGGAGTTTGTGCCGGTACTTCCTGTTCTACGGTCCTCTGGATGATGATGGTGGCGGGATATTCCGTTGCATGTAAGAATGAATTACTCCGTGGCAGGGTATAGCGAAAATATCGGGAATTTGGAGCTGCATTATTGGTTCAGTTTTCTTCTTTCTAATTTCCTGGCCGTTTGCCATAGTACTATTGTAGTATTGTATGTATGTGCGCAAGCTACTGTTGTGTGCCTATTTTCCCTGGTTCCTGCAGTCTTGGCTGCTGGGTGTCGTGCGTAATCACCATGAAGTACGAAGTATGCAAAAGAAAGAAACAGTGATAAAAAGTTATACTGTACGGTCGCAAGTATGTATTATTCAGTGGGACTTCTGTATTAAGACTGGGCAGATTCTGGATCTCCCCCTGCGCCTTGTGGGACAACTTGCCGTGTCCGTCGCAGTGGGTGATCGTCATCGACCGGGAGGGAGTGGGACAAGATCCATTGGGATGGGAAAGGCCGATCAAAAGAATCTGGACGGTGGAGACATGCGCCTAAAATGGAGTCTGGAGATACTCGGTACTTCGTAAGGGGACACGCGATATGAAACACATATCTCCACCCGAGTCATAATTAGGCAGTGCCAAAGACAAATGCCGAGTACAGTAAAGAAAAGTTTCCGTAGAACTTAGAGGATAGTCTCAAGATATGACATTGTTTTAAATCTTCCCGTATTAGGTTTTGTACTGCGTAGATATAGTGCATGGTAATACAATAGTGGTAACATGTGAAGAACTCGGGAAAAAAAAAAGAAGCAGACATTATAACCGAAACCTCGTGGGCCTGGTCAAACCACGCAGCCTGTTGGGGGAGGGAGGGAGAGAAGGTAGATAGATGGATACGAAGACCATCAAGCGAGAGAGTGAGAGTGTAGAACACCGTCCCGTATCCAATGGGAAAAGTAGGCGGCGACAATGAGGCAAAATGAACAAGACCCTAGCCCACACGAGACAGAAAAGAAACACCCGTCTCCAGATCCTAGACGCCATGGACCGATTTTCCGAAACACCGAGATCAACCCTCGACGCGAAAAGCAGGTATTCCATACGGAATACTTGGCAACAGTTGCAGTGCCAATAGCAGAGGCAGTCACAGCAAAAGTCGTCGCAAACTCCTGCCTTCCATTGTGCCCCAGTCCAAATCCCCCTAACCCTTTATGGTAAGATGGAAACTCTAATATGCCACTCGCTTCGGTCGCCTCACCCTACCTATGTAGTAGGTGCAGGGAGTCGGACTAGGGAAGCAGGTGACTGACTGACTAGCAGGGCCAGCCCAGCCTCGCGGTCCCACCGCAACGGCTATCATGCATGACCCCGTGCAAAAGTCGTAGATGGATCCCAGTCACGCCCCGGCGAAGTAGGCGGCCGTGGCCCACTGAAGCTCATCGACGGACGCGTATACCGCGCCTCCTGTCCGAATTGCACATTTCGTTCAGAAGTCGGGCTAGCAGGTCCCGGGCTGCGATGACCGTTAAAAGTGTATGTTGGACTAGGCGAACGCATCATCTGCCGCGGACTCGCTGAGCGCATCATCCGGCTTGGGCTGGGAGAGCGCATGTTGTAGTTGTATGGCTCTGGGGTTTTGCCTCCGGTGGTGGTGAGCATCTCGAAGCCCTTGTTGTCGATATTGCGGTGGGCATCGGCGGAGACGAACTCGCGAGGTGAGGAGAATCCATGTCTGCAGACTTCGAACCAGCCCACAAACATTGACCGGCGAGCGAAAAGGATGAAGTTCCAGAATCCCACGAGTGAGAGTAGGTAGACTACTGCTAGGAGGGTGGCTTCGTTGGGGCCCAGTGCGGAGGCATATTTTTGGCAATAATCCTTGCCAGCACCCATGGCCAGGCAGGTGAGCCATTCAGTGGCTTTGGCCATGTTGGCCTTGGTAGGGCTGGTTTCTCTGTCGAGATTGATGAAGGAAACGGCGAAGAAGATCACATTGCCAATAATGATGAGGACGAGGGCGATGCCGCGCCATTGGAGTTGGAGGACGCGACGGACGCGGCGGTAGGCCTGACGTGCGGTGACGGTGCGCAAACTGCTGGTGTAGCTAGGCAGGCCCGAGGAGTTTTCGGTAGTCGACGCGGATTTGTCGAATAATGAGCGCAGGTAGATATGCATGCAATATACCATTGTCGCCAGCTGAAGAACTAGAGAAGCAACCGAGAAAGCGATGAGCGGATACCAGTAATCTTGGGAACCGTGTTTGATGTTGATATGGCACATCTGGCCGAAGCGGAAAGAGACTCCCGTGATAATCAACATGACAGTCATACAGATGGCGGGAATACCGAAGCCGGCTAGGAACGCTCCCCACATGAACTTGGGGCCCAGCACAAACTCCCAACACACTTGCAGGTGGAAGGCGAGGGTGCGAATGAAACTCCACATGACGACGAGCCATCCGCCGAAGAGGAGTAAAGCGCCGGAAAAGGCGCAGGAGAGGTCGCTGTACATATCATTAGGTGTGATGGCATTATAGCATTGCTTGGGTTTGGCTCCAAGGGGGATAATGAATGCGATCTATGGGGAGGTGAGTTAGTTAAGCTTTTTTTTTTTTTTTTTTTTTTTTTTCATCGGGTTGAGATTGCGACTCACCTCCATGCAGCAGATACCCAGTGTAAAGCAGATACTCAAGTAGTGACGGTTGGTCCATTTGACCGGGAGGACGGCGTAGGAGACGAGGAGGAAGACGCAAAGAGGGAGAATGGCAACACTGATCCAACTAGCAATATCGACTCGCTTTGCAGTATCTAAAGAATTGTGGTTAGTTTGTTTCCATGGAGTCCGGGTGTATAGATCACTGACTATCAGCATATCGCCAGTCGGCCAGTGGGCAAGGTAAGCAGCATGTTACGGCGGTCCCGTTAGGGCCTATGCTGGGAATTTGTTGGCAGAATCGCCCGTCGATAACTAATAAAGCCCTAGTCAGCACATGTCCTTAAAGTCCTTATAGATCAATGCATCGAAAGCAGTATATTCCAACATACATCCACCTGTAGTAGGAAAAAGGCTCTCCTGGAGAAACGGGCCAGGACAATATCCTTTCGTTGTCGCCATGATGGGTCAAAGGTCGAGCCAGACCGGCATATTCCTCGGTGACGCAGGGTATCTAACGCGCCAGCGCGACGAGACCGAGTGCGCACAGCCCGTTAAAGGAATGTCGAGATGGGAAGTGGGCAGGTCGAAAGCGGGGAGGAAGGGAGAAGAGGGAGATCCAAGTGGGCACGACCCCAGTATACATACTCTGAAATTCTTATTGACTAGTTTACAGTCCAGGTCTAGGTCCAGATTTCGATTGGGAGGGGGAAGAGCAACTAACTTGTGGAGAAGGAGGCACGGAGAGTGAGAAAGAAGTGGATCCCATGTGTGTACAATAGGAAAGTTTGGAAAGGTTCGGAGAACGGGATTTTAGTCTTGGTAATTGGGTATTTTAGCATACCGTACTTGGAGCTATGTATTGCAGCATTACAGTAGTTACTAAATTACTGTAGGTGGCCAGTTGGATTACTGCAATTGATCGAGTAGTATGTAACGTTGTACTCCATCCGGAGAACAGTAAAGGGTAAAGAACAGCAGTCAGAGTCTGGCTAGAGTGGGTCTACTGTCAGGGACGAATCCCACTGCAGAAAGCCCCGGCCCGGACATTGAGAGAGCGAATAATGACAATACACAATAATAATTGTGCCTCTGTCTCTCGGTCAGAAAGAGACAAGGCCCGTTCTCAGTGCAAGCCCAGTCCACTGGAACCCACGAGCTGACGAGCGGGATGGACGTGATGGTGGCGGGGGAGGCGATTGGAGGGGCAATTACACACGGTCCCTCGATGAAAGGCAATGAACTCAATTCCGACTAGTGCTTGGCAAGGTTGGCAGTCCTTTTGGCGACCAGGAGAAGCCCGGTAAGAATGACCAGAGGGGGGAGATTCACCCCCTGGATTTAGTGCAGCTTGGGGCTTGTCAGTCGAAGAAAATGGCCGACTGTCGTTGGTTCGGGAGGGGAAGAAGAGAGAATCACATCGTGTGCCGGCCAGGTCTCGACCGTGGTTGGTTTCATCGGTCAGTATGCATCTGGTATGGTAATTACCATTGGGATGTAAGTTGGTACTGCGGTAACTCGGGTACCAGATGCATACAATGGTGTACAATATACAGAGTACGGTACATACATCAACGCTGAACCATGGGTACTGCCACAGGTGTTCATCAGATGATTTGACGGCAGTTAGGGTTGGTTGACCGTTCCGTGAACTTTGGAAGCGAAAGCTCCAGCAGGCAATGATGCGCGATTCTAATCCGTCCCAGTATAGATCAGCGCTGCAAGAGGATCATTAGCCGTGGCAGCTCCAGTTGAACCAGACACAGCCCCCCGACCAGCCTTGAATCAATCGAGCTAATCGAGTTAATTGAACCTTCAAATGCTGCGTTCAGTAACTGGACTAACTTAACTAGGTCATTTTAACTCCCCAACGGTAAGGTTCCACGGTCGCAAATGGTTCTAGAAGGCTACCGAGAAGACTAGGCCCGCGAATCGCTGGACCACGTTTACAAAAGGTTTAGGCCAACGTTCTGAGGGCTGCGGCAACTTTTGTGTGCCGTGTGGACGTACCAACTTCCAAGGATAGTCAATAATAATGGGAAACGAGGGAAACCACCATGTGAGTCTTCGTATAATTTCCGTATATAATATTATTCTTCAAACTTTCGGAGTCCTCCGGCCTAGCACCTGCAAAGTGCAAGCAATACCGACGGTGGAACATTCGAGGATGACGCCCAGAAACCTGGCTTGATGGCTGTGCGACCTTGTAAGAGAACGCGCAATGCGACCGTGGGAAACCGTAGGCAGAGGCCATGACGCAGGCAAGAAGAGAAGAGAGTGGAGGGGAAACTATGTACGGAGTATAGACTACGGAGTAGCAAGCGAGCAATAATGGCTTAATGGCTTATAGCACGGACCATGAGGGTCATCATACATAGTCATAAGCGCTATATACAATAGTCTAGATTGTACGAGCTAGCGTCTCGAATGCCTTTGTTAGTTAATAATATGGGCATGGTACATAGTAACAATGGCAATGGTCAGAACAGATGGACAAATGCAATCTTGTAGCGAAGCAATATGTATCTATCTTGATTCTTGTCTATCTGTCTTCCTTCGACCCAACCCCCTGGTTCTGGTTCACTTCCCGTGTGTCCAAATCTAGAGCGAACCTGTCTTTGCGTCGGTTCTCCGGTCTCCACTTCAGCCTCGTCGAGATGAAAAGAGGAGGCCATGGCGATGGAGTTGGCACACTAAGACACTAGTGCCCCCGGTCTGCCGTTGGTGACTGTAAGGGGCTCGGAGATTTGGAGCCTCTTTGGGAAATGTCCCTAGCTGATCTGACCAGAGGAAAGACTGGTTAAGTTTGGTTAGGTTTCTCGAAGGCTGCAGGTACGGATTGTTCATGTAAGAGCCTAAGTTGGACAGGGATTGTTGAGTAGAAAGGAAAGTTGTAGCCGATGGCAATTCTACGGTTATTTGCGTTGATTATCATCCGTGCATATCGAAATTCAATCTATGTTGAAGTGAGCATGGTCATCACCTCTTGAACTACTGTATACTTACAGGAGGGCGCAATACGGAATTTCCGTACTCCGTACCAAAAAACGTACGGAGTACAGCAACGGACTATTCGTGACAGTACCACAGTACAATAACCAACATGACCAATTCAACACGGAAGCACAAAAAGGACGATGTCTTAATCGCCTCTCAACTCCCGCCATCCCCGTACAACTTGCTGATTCGATCATCCACAACAGTCAACCTCGCATACCCAGTCCAGTAATCAGCCCACATAAGCTCTACAGCTTCCTTCCAAATTCCCACAACCATGCACAGCAGCACAGTGGTCAGTGTCCCGTTGTACGGCATGGGGATCCTCGCGCCAAACCATCCAATCAACACCGTCAGCCCGCCTCTTACTGTGATCGCTCCCGGCATTCGCTGAGCACGCGACCAATGACAGTCACCGCGGACCTTTTTGGCATTCGAATCGTGCCATCGTATACATGACAGTTGATCAGTCAATTTCGGATGTTCTGGACTCCTCAATCGTTCAACGAGGATCATCCCCGCTCGCAGGGCTGGATGCGATAAGGCATTGATTCACTGTTGGACTGTGTACACAGTCCTATCCTGTCACGTCTTTGACCCCGGGATAGTGTGATATTAATCTACAGGCTATGGCTATACATAGTACAGATCACAACACAGGGTTGCGGAATGAGTGATCCGAGACTTGATCGAATCAGATGCGATATCGAAGCGCGCTGATTGTAGGCTTTATCATTGATCGTCTACTCACCGACTTCAAAAGGATGGTTCGGGGCATATTGATCATTCGCCCACATCGCGCTCGTCACACAGGTCACCTGTTCTATATATTCCGGCTAGCCATCTTGTGAACCGTGAGCAGACCAGTCAACCTATCGCGTGCAGTGGGACATGACTCGGTGGTTGGTCAAGCCTCTTACTATTTCTGTGTGACTTTATATCGTGCGAGATCTCACGTCTTCAAATTTGTGCATCTACAAACCAACCACAGCCCTAACTCTCACCACGTCTAATCTTGAGCACAGATGAATTATTCCACTAGCTGGACCACTCTTCTTTTTCCATTTCGAGTCATTTGTCTCTTCTAGCTTATCGTGATCGCGTCTATCTAGAGACAATGTCATTGGCCCGCGATATGAGATCGCCAGGGTCCCCAGGAATTCAGCTGCCAATCCAGGTACACCTAGTATTAAGTCACACTCTATATACTTAACTAACCGCTCGCATATTCCATGGCTTACACTCGTATGCTTATCGTAGCTGATGCACAGCCTGGTGACGAGCAAGGCACCCGATGCTTTCAGCGCGAGATTCAAGGAGCAAAATAGGCGTAGACTTGCTGATTTATACACATGGGCGGCGAACTTTGTACGGTGGACTCTGAATTCAGCTTACTTTGAGAAGATTGTAGTCAATTTTTGTCACTGTAACCTGGAAATATATTATACCCGCTTATCCTGGCATACATACATATTACCTGCCGAGCAACCCGATCTTCCGTAGGCCACAGTACGAAAAAAGCACCACCATGTTGCAGGCCAACAATCCAAACACAAAAAGGTCGGCCCAAAGATTTACATTTACTTCAGAGAGGGGTAGACGACTCCAAGGGATGATGCCCTACTCCACAAGCTCCATGAAAAATACGTTGGCTACTTCCAATCCCAAGCAAGCCAAGTTTACTAAAACCCCCACATGGATACTTATCTCCCTTTCCTAAACCTGATCAAAATAAAAAAGTTCTCTTTGAGTCTGGGCCGGTACGCGCAGGCTCAGGTGATAGAATAATAGACTATCCTCCAATATAGGCCGGCTAAAGATGTAGGGACTGGAACTGCGAACACAAGCTACCCTACAATCCCGGAAGAGACCCTCTAGGATGCTTGCCTATTGCTCCCTGACAGAATGAGATGCCCGTCTAGAGTATACAGAGTCCTGGAGACCATGCACTATGGTGGAGATCAATAAGGGTTGGAAACTTGAGATACTAACGAACCCTTGGAACAAATAATCTTACGAGTCATGAGATGGACTTAGACAAAAAGGTGAAGCTCAAAACGAAAAGAAACATGAGTTTGAAAAAAATTATGGAAAGACCTTTCGCAAACGAGGAGATTGAAGTGTATGTGATTAGACCGGACTGTCTGCTCTCGGGGAATCGGGCAGGCTTCAGAGTTTTGAACTACCGTAGTACCATAACAGATGCATATTCATGAGATAAAGGGAGTCTACTCTCCCATGTATTTATTCTCGTGCTGAAAAGGCCAAGCTGATTAGTGGTTATGTGGCATGAGTATATAGCGCTCGTCAAGGCTGTCTTGTTTGCTTGTCTTTTCCAGTGTTATAAATTATGCCATACCAAGACCATTCTGCCAGTATTTTCATTCGAAACGAATATTTCAGCATCAAAATATCATAAATAGAGGCAATTAGCAAATATCAAATCATTGTTGGTTGGTAAGACAAATAAACTATAGGTCCTTGGCCAATGAAGAAGGCTTCTCATATATGTGACTAACAACACTTTATGAATGTGCTAGGCGGTGTAGAAGTGTAGAAAGGCGAAGGCTGACTAAAGGCGGTGTAGAGGCCACAATACTGCCATTTTTCTGGTCGCTCCAAGCAGATTTCTTGTATATCGACTTTGAAGTCATCAACTGATTCGGGTTTACTTATATTCATTCAAGGGGGCTTGGCGCAGCGGTAAGATTAATCTTAAATCGTCTCGTCCTCAAACATTCACTAATAAATCCTCAGGTAGCGCGTGTGATTCCAGTCCACAAGGTCGTCAGTTCAAATCTGGCAGCCCTCATTAATTTTTTGAAAATATTTAGAAAAATTTACGAATTTTTTTGACCTTCTCCACACCCCCACAACCCATGGCCGCTAAACCCAACTTAGCCCAACCAGTACTTCCCTATACTTGTTTTTTCTACTGTCTTGGCTATTTTCTAATAATTGGGCAAGAAGTAGGTTCAATTATGGACCTATCAGTCAAGTAGTGTCCCAGTACTCCGTATATACCACCATGTAGGAATTGTTTGCTGTCGGCATATTTGGGGTTGGTGAGCGTCATGTGACAAGCCCTCGGGTGCTTTGTCAGATAGACTCACGTGATACTCTGCAATGACCACCCCTCGCGGGTTTCCTCTTGGGTTCTTGAAAGTTGAATGTGGTTGGTTGGTTCCATGACAACGATGCAGTCAGTCATATCAATTAGCCACCATCAATGCCAAAGATGTCTAGATCTATTATCTCCGCATTTTTTGAGAGAATTTCATCATTTGAGCCCATCGACGTTCTATAGAAACCATTTGAAAGCCTCGGCGTGAGATTTTTTAGCATCCATGGGCCAGACAGAGCCCATGGGGACGGTCTCCCAGAACTTTACTTCCCTTTTTCGGGGTATTGTTCGAGTCCAAATGCAAATGATTAGCAAACCTACCAAAAGCCAAGACTGAACGAGTATATTTAAGAAATCCCAAGAGAAGCTTGGTCGAATTACTCAAATGCCCTGGCGCTACTGTACACCAAACGGGATGGACTTTGTACTATGCAGGAACCTAGGCTCTTTATTGCTTCTTACTTATGTCTCACATAGACCATATAACTTGTCTTGTCTCGTAGTCAAACTGAAATACACCAAAAAGTTTGACCGCATCATCTAAATGCCCCCCACAAATTATACCCATCTATCCTCTACTCAGAGAACCTTCCACAGCCCAACCTCGCCAACTTTTCCTACATCGTGACGCCCATGCCCACAATCTCCACTGATATGCGCTCCCCCCACGTAGCGGAAGGTATCCCGAACACTCACTCCGGACCTCCTCCGGTTTGACCTCAATGACTGTAGGGACACGATATCTGTTTAGTTTAAAATGGCTCTCAGGGAAACCCGGCCAGGGCATCCCATAACAGAATCGGACTAATAATTGACAAAAACAATGCAGACTACGGAGTAGACGAAGCTGGACTAAAATGTAGGACGAAAGAATTCCCAAAAAAAAATGGTGAGGGTTGCCAGATTTGAACTGACGACCTTGTGGACTGGAATCACACGCGCTACCTGAGGATTTATTAGTGAATGTTTGAGGACGAGACGACTTGGGATGAATCTTACCGCTGCGCCAAACCCCCCTGTGTTTCCTTACGTAAGCTCTAAATCCAATCATAAAGGAGAAAAGCCAGATTTGGTCTAATCTCAGGCACTTAAGGTCTTTGAGGGACAATTATAGTTGAACGTGAATTGAACGACTTCGGTCGCAAGATTGGCGGTTGTTGTCGGAGGATGCATTGATTTATCTCCCGCTCTTCCTAAGAGGCCTCGGATACGCCCAACCAAGCCGTAAACAATAAGCCACAGGGCTAAATGTTTCCCATAGAGCACGTAAATAACCATCAACCGAAAAGGCCGAAATCCATGGATGGGCTGGACTTTTACTCTCAATTCCTCATGGCATGCCCAAAATACGAACTCCATTCGGGACGAAAAAAGCCCCACTAATAAGACTGACCTACCTGTTCTGAAGGATATGCAACACAAGTTGCAGATCAAATCCTGTCGAACAAACGAAACTGGTTTCCATAGGCTGTTGGGCTCGGAAGTGATGCAACTGTAGCCCACTAGAGGAAACTAAACCGAGCGAGCGAGGTCTGCAAGAAAATGAAAAGCTCAATTATGGGAAGAGGTGCTGGACTGCAGAATTTTAAAATCTTTGTTGGGTATCTAGCAATTATGATTCCTTGGGAGTCCTGAATCTATCGTCCTTCCTGCTCTTGATCGATCTCCTTCCGTCCCGCTTTCGCTTTCGCTTGTCCTTGCGCTTCCTCTCCTATTAAACACTAACGGTATATGGTGATCTCCCTTAATAATGGCAGTCTCTGGTAGACTGATCTGTGAATGCATTTCGTCACTCATTACGTCGGTAAAGTATGGAGCGGAATCTGGGCTCGGGCCCAATGGATCTGGGGGCTCTAGGTGTTCAGAGAGATCTCAGTGATGTGTTTCGAGTCCACGTCTATCCCCCGCTGCAGAGCTCAGATATCTCGAGAATACCACAACTAGCAAGAGTCATGACAGACTTGCCATCCAATGTTGTGGGTATCGCCATGGTTTCTGCCGACTGGCCCAAGCGCATCGAGAATCATCCCAAGGAGATAAGGTTGGGCCGTTTCTGTGACTGTAACTCGGTCCAATCGGCAGCCTCATTCGTCTTGACCAATTCAACACACATAATGACATTTCAAGTGCCCGCCACTGAGCGCAGGAAGCCCTCGTCCCACCCCCATTCTTTCAGCAACTGCTGCACCCGATACTCGGTCGCCCAGCCCAGATCCGCCTCGATAGCGCGGAGCAGTCGAATCGCCGTGCGACGCTCGCGCGCATCCGTAAGGCATTGTCCCGCAACAAACAGCGGTTGCAATGAATTGATTCTGACGCCACCATCCGGCCGTGCCAGCCCAATGCCCAGGATCTCGCGACTGTGATAGCCAATCTCAGCCTCGATCGACCGATAAGACTGCAGCCGCAAGGTGATGGTGCTTCTGCGGGAGGTCGATTCGTGCGGTTTGTTGATCAACAGAAGGATGCGAGCCATATGGTAGTGTTGCATACTGGACGCACACATTGGGATGCTATGCCAGATTTCTTGCAGCGTGGTGAGGTCCTTGGCTTCGTCGGCTGGGCGGTAGTGCGGGATGCGGGATGGGTCGATCCGCGCACAAGGCTTAAATGTATCTGGTAGCCCGCTGTACCAGGTGTCCAGCTCGGCTTCGAGTCTGTACCATCGTTCGAAGATGACCTGCTGCGAGACACCAAGGGGCCCGCTGTCTACTGATCGGGTGTCGTTCACGTTGAGGTTGTCACCTGAACTGATGTGATTGACGATCTTTGACATGATCCAAACTAGCGCGTTGCAGATTTGGTCTTCTTTCATTACGTCGTTGCCCTCGGGATACCCTGCCTCGCCCGTGTTGCTGGGTTGCACAAAGCCCATTGGGTCAATCAGTAACCCGGCCTCAGTCCACAGTACAATGTCTTCTGTGTTTAGCCTTGTTTGGCATTCATTGATGACTTATTGCTGCTGTTAGCGACTTTCGATGACAAATCGATCAGGGAAAAAACAATGGTGGACTCACAGGCAGCAAGATAATCCTGTCGGGCAAAATTCCAGAACGCTGCCTTGCGTGCCCTGGACAGACGGGACTTCTTATACTGATACGGACTGTCCCCATCCGAGGATTGGTGCTCCAATGGCATAATGCCAACCTCGGCCACATCGAGCAGAGACTTGACACCGCTCAAATGACGACTCCAGGCAGGGCCCGTTGCATCAAGAAATTCATACACTGACAAAATCGCAGTCGCCGCCAAGATTTCATCTGAATGCACCCCCCGCGACAATCTACTATTAGAAACCCGTCGCCGTCGTTTACGCGGATTCTCTGCGTCATCGCAAAGCTCGTTTGCCTGCCACTGTCCAAAGGCCTCTGGTGTGCTTAGTGGAGGCGGGGCCTCTGCATCGGGTTGAAGCTCTTTCATCAACAGCTGAATGGCCTTTTCATAATATTTCGCCCCAATCCAGGCAAAGTCATTGTCTTTGTCATGCCATACCTCCATGATGGCTTGCCGAGAGCATACGCCGCCCATCTTCGCCTTCGCGCCCTTGACGCGGCCGAGTTGCTTTGCAGCATATGCACAGGCAGCGTATTTGAGAAGGGGGTTCAACCTCGCTCGCACTGGGACGCAAGATGCAAAATATGTCCCAAGGTCGAACAGATCCATCCTGCAGAGCACTATTAGCTGGGAATTTGGGAGACTGAACGTGGTTGTGCGACGTACCATAACCCTGGCCCTTCGGTATAATGCCGCAGCAGAAATGCAACTTCAAAGTCTGTCTCGGCATGACCATCCATCTTCTGCTCTATTATGGACCTTGCTAATGTGGCTGGGCGTGATGGTAGCGAGGCACTCCTCTGATCGGGTGTCATGGATGGGTCGACAGGCGGTGATAGCGAGTGTGATGGGTTCAGGAGAAAGTTGATATTTGTGTTATTGCTACTGGCGGATATGGATATGGACGGTGATGCGGGAGGAGGCATAGCACTGTTGCGCGACCGGTTCGGAGAGGGATATGAGACGCTGTCGGAGACGGAGTGGGCCATTGGAGAGTATGGGAAGCGATCGTGGCTTGCGACTGCAGACAAGGCTTCCAATCCGTGAGCATCTGCATCGCTGGCCCTAGAGCCACTGCCCCATCGTGAATTGCGGGCCTGAGCCAGCGCGACAGCGCTAGACTCTGCGATCTCGAGATCCTCGGCGTATGGATCGGAATTATCGACGAAGATGACTGCCAAATGATCAGCCCATAGGCTCGCCGGAAATTGGACTGAATGCAGACAATATGCATACCATGTTTCGGAATATCTAGCCACACACTATCCTTGTCAAACGTGTTCTTATACGAGTAGAACCCCTTCAAATCCCCTCGGCCCTCCGGTGTTTGTTGCTCGCCATCGTTCATCGATGCATTCTGCTGATGGCGAAAGACGATACCCTCGCTGGGCCGACATTCTCGCCCGCCTTTGCGACATTGTGCGCACACTGGTTTCTGTTCGTCACCTGGTAAAATTTGTTAGTCGGGGTGTCTGGCGCGCGTCGCAGGGGTGACGAGAGGGGGGCTGTGTACATTTGAGCTTGCGAGTCCGACATGTCAAGCTGAGCAAGGATCATGGTTAGCTAGGGAGGGTCATGGCTTCTGTTAATAGACACCTGCATGGACTTACCAGCCAGTTCGGGAGCGCATACCGGGCGAAGGCGTTGGCGCGACATCGGTGGGGGGTGAAGAGCCGGATGTAAAGTGGAAAAAGAATGAAACCTGGAGACTTGCGGGGAGGGCAGGTGACCTTAGACTCGGCCTGGGGAGTCCGGAGGTCCGCCCCCACAGACTCTCAGACTCTCAGACTCTCGCTGTTCCTGACTCCTCTCTCCACTTCGATCATCTCGCATCAATCCTGGTCTACTCTACTCGGTACTTTTTTTTTTTATACAAGCGAATACGATTTGGTGGCTTCCTTTTCCAATTTTTGCGCCCTGAAGAATACGCCACGTTGGATCCTTCTATCTTGTTCTGCCAGCGTGTCGGTCGTGCCGGGCCGGTCGGCCTGTGGTTGTCTACTCCATAGACTTGATACGCGAATCAGTACTCGACAAAACAGCGCTTCAGCCCCTGGAGGCCCCAGAAAAAGGAACCGCCACTGACACAATCGTCCACTAGTATGATTGGAAACGGTTACCCACTGAGCTTCTTCACAGCGTAGGGACGACTGCCGACGCCATAATCTGCAGGGACTGTCGCATAAGATCTAAGCGAGCCTGGGCAAGTCTTCAACACATATCATAACCAGCATTCAGCCTATTTTCGCCTGATGAGCAGATTTTGATTGATCCTTCCTTATCAATCATTGTCCACTGGACTGCGATCGTGCACCACAGGAGTATAGACCATACCCCTGCAAACCCAATTGAGCTGAATGTTATCAAGGCTCCAGCTTGGCGACCATGGCCTGGGCTGTTTCGTTCGTTGATGGCGCCATTGCTCACTCGCTAAAGGATACTACTCTGTTTACCAAGGACTGACCCCTGTTAGTAAAGGATTCATTTGACCTCATGACTGGCACTAACAGCTGTTGACCTGGCCCATATTGACGATTGGTCCTCGACCGTCCTTTTTCAGTCGAAGGAACACATCAGCTCATGAGCAACATGCTCGTCAAGTTAACTTTCAAATTTTGATCATGATAACATACCCACGCTTTGTCCTATCTCTCAATATCAGTACAAATTTTAGTCCACTAAAAAGGCCCTAGTTCTACATGGCCCCCAGAGGACGACAGTAATATGGCCATTTACAACCCCGCCATCACTCAACCTAAAATTCAGCAACAAAATCTGCCACGTGCACGCGTGGTCTTGAAGGATCAAGCATGCGGAGGCGGATCCTTTAGCCGTTTGCCGGTGATGGACCCTTATGTGGGGGGTCGGCGCAATCTATAGCCTCGCCTAGTTAACATCCCCGCACTCTATGACATTTGAAGTGTCATGTTAAGCGAGCCTCAAGCTTTGGTAGTTTTGCTGACACATGACAGCACTGCTAAGATTAATGCTGGGGGAATCTTGCTGACCCAGTCTTGGGAAAATATCTTGAGTAATGGAAATACGAATGGGTCACCATTAGACTTCTCATTGGGATGAGGCTGGCACGTGGCATACAACAGAGTTTGAGAACAATGATTTCCGCTATGTGCTATGATAGGGTCTTGGGTGGACTGTTCAAATGCGTCGCCCGTCATGGAATTGGATACTCTTTGGCTTTTTCCCTGTGCAATTCTACCACTGAAACAAACACCTCAGGATGTGTCCCTCAAACCAAGGCTTATTTTCCCTCCATGCCTGTACGATAAGGTCTTTTCCAACCTTCACGACCTCCTCAACTTGCTCGGGGCTGCCCCATCCAGCGACTCGACTTCCGAAACAGACCAGGTGAGCGCCGACCTGGATAGCGGTTCGGAATGCCAGCTTGTCGCTGAGAGGTCCGTATCCGTCCATGAAACCCTCGATGACCCATACACCATGTTCGGCATTTTTAAAAAGCTTGGTTTCGTATGTCTCGGCAATGATCTGGCCCAGATCTAACGCCCGACTCCCGATCTGAGCCATTTCCCAATCAATGACCAACAATGTTGTTTTTGAGTCGCTAGTCAGCGGCTCGTTGGGCATGAGGACGCTTGTAAAGGTTAGGACTGGCGAAATATATGGCCTGCGGTGGAGGGGATGAGAACTTACTTTCCTGTCCAGAAATCGCCATGGATCACATTGTATTCATCGTCAAGTTCAGTTCCCTCGAGCTCTTCAGCCGCGAAATCCCGAACCTTTTCGAGAACTTCCCGACTATCCTCCAGAATTGCGGGGAAATTGTCAATGGTATCCAACAGCCAGGTGTAGTTGATGTAGAACTTGAGGTTTTTCAATGCTTGATTCTTGCTGAGAATCTCCCTCGTCTCTGCCTGTTCGGGCTTAGAGGCCCAGGTATGGAAAGCTCGCAGCCAGGACCCGAGACCATGCCCCAGAGATTGCGCTGAAGTCTTTGACATGTCACGCGAGACATCTGAAATGAGGAAATGCTTCAGATCAACCGAGCCTGGCAGGTCTTCGAGGATCTGAGTATTAGTGTCTTTGTCAAAGTGGAAGAGACAAGGCGTCTTCACTGTGATCTTCTCTGACGACTCGTATGACTCGAGACCATCGAGTGCTTTGAGAATGGCTCCCTCAAAATGCTGAATGGAGATTAGTACTTGAGTACTTTATTTTGCTTAACTTGTTGGCGAACACTCACACATCTTTCCGCGTCAAGCATGAAGCTAGCGTTGGAAGACAAGTAGTTCTTGGTATGTTTGATGATAATGGATTCTGGATTTCCGTTGAGAGGAGTACCGCGGTAGACGAAATTCGCGGTGCCGCCAGATAACCGGTTCAGCGAAGAGCACTGGAAAGAGGTTTGAGCAAGTTGCTGCTCAACCTCATCGCGGACTTGATCTTGTTCAAGTGAATCTCCAGCCATCTTGGTACGACAGAGTGCTCGGATTAAATTGAAGCGATAAAAGTGTCTGTTTAAATTATCAGCAGGTCCTGCGAGCGACGTGCAATTTTCTTCTATCGAAGCGGCTGGCGCGATCGTACTATATTGGCCGTGACTTATGGCGGGGTCCCGATCAGGAATGTGGGGAAATGCGAGGATGGGCGGTTTGGTCTATTTTTCGAATACATGGAGATAATGGCAGAATCAGACAATCAAAATCGGTCCTCAAGAGAGGTTATAATTGAATTCAAACCCAAAATTGTAACCCTCCTCGCCGGTGGCCTAGCGGTCCGAATGGCCTCGCGAAGCTGCTCTGGTAGCCATTTCTCAACAATTCGGTGGCCGGCTGTCTGGTTAGTGTGCCGTGAAGCGTCTGTGGATCTCGGGTGGGAAGACCGATTGAATTCTGCGGTTATCTTTTTTATTGTTCCTATTTACTTATATCATTTTGATCATTTTGATCAGCATAATCTAATGATATTCTTTTTAAAGCATTTTAAATAAGTGGGCTGTTGTATAGGCGTGTTGTTGCTGGTGTGGTGGCCCAGATGAAGCCCTTCAGAGAGTCAGGAGTACAGACTGAGCACGCTAGGATGTTTGTATGGGAAGCCGGAGATCAAGGGTTCGATTCATGAATGTGGAAGAGATTTCTTTTCTCAGATTTTGTTTGCCAGGCATTTCATTTCCTAGCGCCACTGTAGATTCTGAATGAGAGATGAAGTCCCAAAGGAAAACCATCTATTGTTAACTACCACATCGCTATGAAGTATATGGATCGCTTGGCTGATGAGAGAAACGGAACCAACAAGGAGGAAATATAGATACGGTAATGATTCCAAAGAAAGAAAGAAAGAAATTAAAGGAATGCTTACAACCTCAGACAGTAGATGTCTTTTTCTCGTCCAAGCATGTGTAAATCTTCGGGCTATGGGTGAAAGGGCGACTATACTAACTATACAACCGACACCTTTATTGTTTCAAAATAGTCTAGGAAAGAAGAATCACTATACAGTCTAGTACGTTAGGCCCTCGGAACGAATCGAATTTCTCAGGGATTTGTTCTGGCGATGAGCTCAACTTTCCTTCTGGTGCAATTACATGGTATGCCAAAAAGTACGATAAGTATATTAGCCAACACTGGGACAGCAAATCCCCGACTTCGATTCTACCAGTGGAAAACGCCGACGGGGTTGGGTTGTTAAAAGAGGCCAGGTTTTATGAAGCTCTGTGAGGAGACCCTTACTAACTTGGACTACCTACATTCCCTTCAGATACATTCACCCCCAAAAGACGGCCCGCTAGTATGCTAAAGAGCGAAATGCCGACTTGCAAGAATTATATATACACAATTTATCGGAGTTCCAATCATATCACCTAGTTTATGTTGATGAGTCTGGATGCGATCAGAGAGTTGGGTTCAGGCGGACAGGCTAGTCACGTGGTCACGTGATGGCACTCAAGGATCTTCTGTCGAGGCGATGTCTTCTTCTCTTGTTTCTGTAAACCATGTAGTCACTGAAGCTCCCAAATAAGCTTTCCACACCGATCGGTCTATGGCTATTCTCGGCGTCGGCCTAGCTCCGTTCCTATCCTCGAGTTACCCTTCACTCGCCGTGTGAGCGCCACTGAACCGTTTCAGCAACTCGCAATGTGACTGTACTAAGTTCTAGACTGTGACGAGATCACTCTGCTAAGGGTGCAAATCGTCGTGGAATAACGAATCGCAGATTCTAGATTTTCACAATTATGTGTCTTGCTGGACACTATGCACGGAGTGGACGTCGCCGTTCCGCCACCGGATCTAAAAATAACCCGCGCCATGGGAGAGGGAAATCGAGATGAGATCTAGAATCTGCGCCCAAATAAGCCACTAGCTTGAATTTTTTTCCGCGTGGCTGCAGAAGGTGGCGGGGAAGAAGTATAGAGAACTACGCTCGAGACTGCGACTACAAAATATAGTGTGTGGTGGTAACATTATTGCGATCGACAGGCTCCGAAGGGAGTACCCGGTGATAGTACTGCTGCAGTATGAACTGTAGTCCTCTTAGATCGTTAAAAACCTAGTTAAAAAGGGTGTGAATACCCCCGCTTAGTGATCGCCTGGATTCTCCTTGACAGTAGCTACTTCGTGAGTCCATACAACGGTACAGCAAATCATAATGGCCTTGTCACCGGTTTTGCATCAAGTCTTTGCTGGATGATGTGGGTCGTGAGAAACGAAGTGGTCCACTTGGGAAGTCCGAAAAGAATTTAGAGCACCACGAGGATGATTGTTCAACATCTGAATAGAGTCTAAAATCGGGGCAAAGCACTGCCGTAATTTTAATCTAGGAGCTTGTAATTAAAGAGCGGGATTTATTGACTAGTTTAGGCAAGAGTACGCAAGGACTAGGGATGGAAGTGTATATAGAACCCGCCGAACAGTGTTATTCACTTTGCATTTGATAATTATGGACTACTTGAGTTATAACTTTGTAGCAGTGCGGTTCTATAGAGTAGTACATAGTACTGTAGTTTCGTTCTTGTACCTGTCTCCGTACTTCCCTCTAATTTTCCGGTTCGTCTAGAGACCCTAGGCCCTCAGGAACTCGGCGACAGAGAATTAGCGCTAGCGCCGTTTAGTGGCTGTCGGGGAACCTTGTTTCTCCAGTTTTATGACAAGCATCGTGCACCCGTTTCATGCCATCCCGTGCATACTATATTCCGTATGATCCGATGACTCCTTTATGTGTTCATTGTCCAGTTTCGCGTTCCTGATCCTTGACAATGGGCCCATGGTTCACCCCGCAGGTACGAACCCTGATCATCCTAGATTATTGCCATGCCCGGCCCGTTTGACACGTTCGTAGCAACGGGACCACTTCCGACTCCCGACAGAATTGCCATCCGGCGGGGAGGAGTGGAGAAAAATTTTCAAGCCAAAAAAAGGAGTTCTAACTTCTGACGCGGCCATCCCATATTATATGCCCCCGTTCTGGTCTCGCCATCAGGCTATGACTTCAACCCACATAGCAACGTGGGTCAATAGAGTCACGCTAGTCCGGGCTTCTCTCTAATTTCCCTTTGGCTAATTCGAGGCGTTACGTCCCCTCTCCATCGGCTATTTCTATTGTCTCTTTCTTTTCTTCTTCTTCTTTCCCCCAGAAAAAGTATGAAGTGTCATTAGTTGTGGGGTTCTGCTCGCCATCAGAGACTCCATCTATTTCTTCGACAAACGTTCTCCCTTGAAGCAAACGATTGCTGAACCACCACTGCGAATCCTCGACCGCAAAGAACAGTTTGATACATTTCACTTCCGACATATCCGGTTGGTTCCGGCAGGTCTTGAAACTACCGTGGTTTTTCCTGAATAATGTCCTACTCCGATGAAAAGAACCCGGAGACCCCTAATCTCCCCTCCGGCTCAAGTTCTTTAGATGCGAGGGCCGACGAGGAACATGAACCTCTCTCCCACAAGGAAGAAGGGCAGACGGGGAGTTCCCAGGTAGACCCACACGACAAGGTCAGCGAGCAATCCAGTGCCCCATCCATCCCCCAGCGATGGAAAACGGTCAGTCAGCGCATCCGCCAGCGCGCAGGCACGATAGCCGAAGCGCTAGGCCGGCCGCATGAGCGCGAGGCTGATGGTCTGGATGCGAGTTTCTCGCCAGAATACTATGGTGCAACCGACGATATCAGGAGCTATGAGGCGCGCACGGCCGCAGACGAGGAGGAGAGACTCATGGGGACCGATCACAATTCTCAGGCTCAGCAATTGTTGAGGCAGCTGGGTATTCATCAGCATCAGCATCGGAGACATCCAAGTAGTGGCCCGCGTCGTGAAACGGAGCCGCTCTCTGGCGCCACAACTCCCGGTGCGATGACTCCCGGTGATAGCGGAGCATCGACACCTCTCAACGGGGGTCTACTGTCGCATCTGCTACGGGTTTATGCCAACAACATGGAGACGGCAAGTAGAATGAGCGTCGCCACGACTGCGGCAGCTTCGGATCCCGAAATCGAGACACTGCCTGCTAAAACTCCAGGCACGGGCATGGGCTCACCGGGCACTGCTACGCCAATGGGCCCGGGTGTGGGAACTGCGTCTGGAACGGCGACTCCTATGGGCGGCAAGAAGGAAAAGGTCAAGTGGTACAAGAGCGGCAACAACAGCAGGGAGAATGTGAGCGCTAGGCCATCGAAGCACCATTACACCTCTTCTCTCATCCAAGCTTCTATGGACATGAGCCGAGTGGGTGTTCCTGGTGCCCAAGGCCCCGCACCCATGAGCGCTAAAGAACGACGCAAGCAGAAGCGCAAGAGTGCTAAGGATGTCAAATTGACCGTACACATCGCTGCACTGCTTGCCCGCCAGCAGTACATTATGCAGCTGTGTCGAGCGCTGATGAAATATGGCGCACCAACCCACCGTCTCGAGGAATACATGATGATGACTTCCAACGTGCTCGAAGTCAAGGCGCAGTTTCTGTACATTCCAGGATGCATGTTCATGTCATTCGATGACCCGTTGACCCGTACCGCCGAGGTGAAGATTATCCGCGTGGTGCAGGGCCTGGATCTATCGCGGCTTGCTGAGACGCATAACGTGTACAAAAACGTGGTGCATGACGTTATCAGCGTTGACGACGCGACCAGCCAGCTCGATACGATCATGCAACGCAAACCTCGCTACAACCGCTGGATGCTCATTCTTCTTACGGGTCTAGCCAGCGTCACTGTGGGACCCTATTCATTCTCCGCACGACCTATCGACCTCCCTATCATCTTCGTGCTAGGCTGTCTAGTCGGCTTCATGCAACACGTTCTCGCCCCATCTTCAGCGACATACTCGAATGTGCTCGAAGTTTCCGCCGCAATTCTCACATCCTTCCTCGCTCGCGCCTTCGGCAGCATCACCCACAACGGCGAACGCGTCTTCTGTTTCGCCGCAATGGCCGAATCCTCCATCGCCATGATCCTCCCAGGCTTCGCCGTTCTCTCCTCATCCCTTGAACTCCAAAGCCACCAAATGAACGCAGGTTCCATCCGAATGGTCTATACTCTGATCTATTCCCTATTCCTCGGCTACGGCGTCACAGTCGGCACAACCATCTACGGACTCATGGACGACAACGCTACCACCGAATCAACCTGCCCAAACGCCACATCCACCTGGGGCAACGAATACATCCAACACTTCCCCTTCGTCGCACTATTCTGTCTCTTCGCCGCCCTCATCAATCAAGCTAAACCAAAACAACTCCCCGTCACCGTTATCATGGGCGTGTGCGGGTACGTCACGAATTACTTCTCCACGAAAAAGCTCGGCTCAAATCAAGTCGCGAATACCGTCGGTGCGTTTACAATTGGTCTTCTGGCGAATTTGTACTCGCGCATTTGGCACGGTCATGCAGCTGCGGCGATTATCCCGGGTATTTTTACGTTGGTGCCGTCTGGGTTGGCGAGTTCTGGGTCCATTTTGAGTGGATTGGAGTATGCTGAGGCTGTTAAGAACGGTGATATCAACAGCACTACTAGTGGGTCGAGTAGTAGCAGTTTGTTGGGGCTTGGGTATGGAATGATTCAGACCGCGATTGGAATCTCGGTTGGGTTGTTTGTGAGTGCGTTGATTGTGTATCCTCATGGGAAAAAGAGGAGTGGGATCTTTAGCTTGTAGCGAGGGGGTAGAGAGAGACTTGGGAGTCCGTGCTGTCTTTGTACATATTCATTTGCATCTGCATATATGCCACTGTCATATCATCAACATCTTTCGATAGTATTTTGCATGTTCACACGTTATACCGTGACTTGATGTCCTCTGATCACGAGTGTGTACTTCCAGCATAACATGTACTAAGAACAGGAATGCTAAAGTCCCAACGTGAAGCATAGTTATTCATGAGGAGCCTATTAAAGAAACAGGTTGGTATAACCAGAACGAAAATTCTATTGACATCATAGCAAGTATCTGCTAAACGATTCTTCAACCACTGTAAACGACACACGAGGCGTGCCCGAAAGAATAGCACAAGGAATAATATCACACGACCTGCCCTTCTTCTCATTCTCTTCGATGCGCCCCCATCCCCACCAGTGAATCTCGCCCCCAGGCCATAACAATTCGTACTTGTAGCCCGATACCATAGCGTCTGACCAAATTTCTGGTATCCCTGCAAAAAACCACGTGCTTTCACCGGGTGACAGCTCAAACAGGCCTTGGGCGTTCCTCGCAATCCGAGGCTCTGTCGGATCATGCACCCGCCATGGCTCAGACGGAATATTCACTCTTTTAAGTTGGCCACTGCCGTTATGTCACAGAAGCAGTAAGCCGGTGGAACCCCAAGCATCCACGGTGTCAGACCAGTAGAAAGAGCAAGGCTGGTCGTGGCCCTCTGTACCCCGATGGATACGGAAGATGAGGCCGCTGTTGGATTTTCGTTTGGCGATCTTGGACTCAGTGAGTCCTTGTAGCTCAAGCGAGAGTGTGAGTTTTGGAGTATCGGGCCTAGAAGGCATTAGCTGTAGGCTGTTACTCTGGTTGGTGGAGTTCCAACGCTGCATCGGAAGGTGAGTTCTTCAAGAAGGGAGCGATCTGTGGATCGTCCATGATGATTAATTGTTTGTTTGTATAGATGAACGCGTGAAGGTGATGAATGCAAGTCAGATTATGATCTGCACTGGAGGGGTACGTACCTGGTGATTAAAAGGGAGCTAAACCAATTCGACCTGGCCCCTCAACGGGCGATAAAACAATGCTACTAATGTAAGCCTCATTAGACCTGAAGGCTGCTTGGGCCTTGAGGAGCGAGGAGTCAAATCCCTCGCGCCTATCCACGTTGAGGGGCTTTTACGGTATTAAATAGTCGGCAAGGTTGGCAAGAACATGGTTCGTGTAGCTGCAGTGTGTGGCATACGAGACTTGGATTCTATATATCGACTCACATTGACATCGTACCCCACGACGGGAAGTAGAAGGGCTGCACAGATTGCAATTCGAGCAATCGTGATTTTCCTTCAATCAATTCTAGAGAATCCATTGGTCTCTAAAGCAGGTCTTGAGGTTAGGGGGTTCAAGAATGCAATTTAGGAGGGCATGAATGGTAGAAGAAGAAGGATTCTCCACGGTGTCTAACAAAGATGAGAAAATAACGTTGTGTATAGCCTGCCTGCCTGTGCAGCCTGTCTGTAATTCATTTGCAATTTACCTTGACCTGTTGCAAATTGAACACAATGTGCATGCTACAGATCTTGGGCTGGAAGTACTAGAAAGCATAGTATGAAGCTCGAGGCCTTGGCTTTCATGCGGTTATCGTCGGCTTACGCCCTGCTGGGCATATGCAGGAAGTATGGAAGGAATTTATCAATAAGAGTATTCAAACACTGGAATGAATTGCTTCTAGAGCAGCTCATTGTATGCGATGCGATGCGATGTGAAGAAATGAATCAACTATAAAATCAGCTAACAGGCTGGAAGAGTTGATGTTGATCAACCTTCCTCCCAAGGTGCTTAAATACCTTCTAAATCTGGCGGGTGGGGCTCGGCCTCCACGCCCTTCGCGTCGCACTTTGTGGATCTGAAAAGTAAAATTCAAAGCACTGATTGGTTCCACGGATGAAAGTGAGTCAATCTACCTTAGTCTTGCCGGGGCGCCCGTCATGGAGGTTCATACCCCTCTCAGGAGTACTTATACAAGAACCACACTGCCAGACTCACGTCGACTGAGTCATTTGCAGATGAAATTGCTGGTGATATATAATCTTTGAAACATTCTTGGCCAGGTCTCATATTTCTTTTTGAAATTCACCCCTCTTTCTCAGCACAGCGATCAACTGTCTCTGCGGCATAATGGGTTCTCTGCAGACTCCTTTTGGCAAGCCGATGCTGAAGCATTGGCTTTTCGACCCATCTTATAAGAACCTCAATCATGGTATGCATCGGCATCCGGGATTCATTCTAGTGTATAAGCTGTGACTCTAACATTGAATTGCCAGGCTCTTTTGGTGCACACCCTGCAGCTGTTCGCGATGCCCAGCGCGCCTTCTTAGACATCGCCGATCGGCGACCTGATCCATATATCAGGGTCCAGCATACAAAGCTTCTGGATGAAGCACGAGGCGGTGTCGCAAAGATTCTCAATGCGGCCAAAGACGAATGTGTCTTTGTCAAAAATGCAACTACTGGTGTCGCAACTGTGTTATATAACCTCAATTTCCAGGCAGGTGATGTTGTCGTGCATTTCGAGCCTGTCTACGGTGCCGTAGAGAAAGGCCTAGTCTCGCTGCAGGAACACTCTGCCCTTCAGACTCGGAAAGTGTTCTTCGAATATCCTATTGCTGAGAGTGAACTCGAGCGACGATTCCGCCACGTTGTCCAAAAGACACGTGCAGAGGGTCTCACAGTTCGCGCAGCGATTTTCGATACTATCGTTAGCAACCCGGGTGTTCGCTTTCCATTTGAACGATTCACTGCTATCTGTCGGGAAGAAGGGATATTAAGCGTGATCGACGGTGCCCACGGCATCGGGCATATCCATCTTGATATGGAAAAGTTGCAGCCTGACTTTTTCGTCTCCAATTGCCACAAGTAAGATATCAACGTAAATTGTTTTAAGAGTGTGATTAACCCTATACTTAGGTGGCTATACACCCCTCGCAGCGCAGCGGTTCTATACGTCCCCAAGCGCAATCAGCATCTGCTGCGCACGACTCTCCCTACATCCTGGGGCTTTATTCCTGGAACCGACTCACCTGCAACGAGGGACTCAGTTCTTCAAGATGCAAATGCAGTGAAGACGAAGACGCCCTTCGAGGACCTTTTCGAATTCGTCGCGACCAGCGATGACTCGGCCTATCTCTGCGTTCCCGCCGCGCTGAGATTCCGTCAGGAAGTCTGCGGTGGCGAAGATGCTATCATTTCATACTGTACCAAACTCGCCAACGAAGCCGCTGACGCAGTTGCGGCGATTCTAGGAACAGATGTCATGCAGGAGCCGGATCTGAAGCCGGGAGAGACGAGCAATATGCGCCAGTGCATGATGACAACGGTGCGCCTGCCCATTAGCGTTGCTGATGATGGATCTAATGTTCCCGGGGCACTTGTCACTGTTAATTCCCAAGAGGCTGCTCGCGTCTTTGGTTGGATCCAGACGACTCTCATGGAGAAGCATGATACGTTTGTGCCGGTCTTTCGTCACGGTCCGTGGCTTTGGACACGCTTGAGCGCTCAGATCTTCTTGGAAAAGAGTGATTTTGAATGGTTGGGGGGCATTCTTCGCGATTTGTGCAACAAGGTTGCTGGGAAAGAGTACGCAAAGCTATAACAGGCGCTTCTTAATAAAGAACCTAGCGTATGCGAATACCATGTAAATATTCTTTGTATACACAGAGGATGATCAATCGACACTAATGCAGTTCGAACTAAACAATCTTAGAGGAAGATAGCCTACTTTGAGGCACTCGAATCCTTTGACCATGGGATTTTCTCAACACTATAATCCCCTATGATGAGACTTCTACCCTATGAGTTATCAATTGTGTTTCCTATGATCCAAAACAACGTTCAATCAGATAACAAGCATCCAGATAGAAAATGAAACTAAAAACTCAAAATTGCACCGAGCCTCTTTATTGGCCTAAAGATTGATCAGCTCCATCACGCCATCACGACTCAGGTTAACCCAAGATCACATCATCTCCTCACGAACACCCTTAGTGCGGGGGAAACCCCACCTTTTTATATATAGTCTCCTGTCCCCAAGGTACCTCAAGTAGATCAATATCCATTACTCCCAAACGGATATCTCCACCATGTCTGTCGCTGCCGAATTTGAAACTGCTAATGCTAATTATGCCGCCTCCTTCACTAAAGGGGATCTAGCACTGCCGCCGCAGAGGTACGAAAAACACATTCGAGAATGAGGAAGTGCAGCTGACTTGGGCTGTCCTATTAGAAAAGTCGCTGTAGTGGCTTGCATGGATGCTCGCCTCGGTAAGAGCTCGAAGTGACCCTTCATACTTTATTCAATCTATGATGGAGCCACTGATAATACCTTTAGACACTGCCCGAGCCCTCGGTCTCGAAGAGGGCGATGCCCATGTCATTCGCAATGCAGGCGGTCGTGCTAGCGATGCGCTTCGTAGCATCGTAATCTCGCAGCAACTTCTCGGTACCCGAGAAATTGTCATCGTGCACCACGTATGTATTCTTCAACATTCGAAAGAGGGCATATAATCTGACTCAAGCGATTCAGACCGATTGTGGTATGCTTACTTTCACCGACGATGTGATCCGAGGAAAGATTCGCTCGGAGCTTAAGCAGAATGCCGATCATATTGCGTTCTTGCCTTTTGGTGATCTGAAGCAGAGTGTCTTGGATGACATCCAGATTTTGAAGGAGAGTCCTCTCGTCCTGGATGTGCCTATTACCGGGTATGTCTATGAGGTTGAGACTGGTAAGATTGTCAAGATTGGAAGTAGCTAGCGAGGCTATCGTTTAGGTGTTCTCCACTGATCTTAAGCTATGCGGCTGGATAAAGATTGTTGCAATTCTATCACATTTTTATGACCGATCATTATTTGCTTGTAATCAAGGAGATCGTGCGGTTTGCGGAGGACCGCCACTTGAGCCACTGCAGAAATCCCCGAATCCCCAGGCTCTACTAGAGATCTGCTTGGTCATTCGGTTGATGAAAAAATGGCCGTGCTAGTCTGCTTTCAAGCATAGTTGTCTTTATTTCCGTCATCGTACGCGTTACTCCAGGATGCCTATATAACAACATTGTGATATCAATTTTCTCCTCTTTATGAGGGCAGTTTTTAATATGCAACTAGAATTCAATCCCTGCAAAATGAACCAATTTGGATACAGGCAGATCAACACACCAACTCTGATGAAGCGAGGTAGTAAAGCAGACAGATAACCAGCCTTGATACGGTCCGACATTCTATTGAGTGCAATTTTCAGGCAAGCGGCCTGGTTGAGATGGAAGTCCGTGATGACCGCAAATTCTGGGGGCGGTTTTGTTTGTGTTTCAGGGCCTCCCCAGAGTCCTGGTGGGACACATAGGAAATAACTGGCCATCTGGTGAAGATCTTGATCAGAGTCGTATGGCGGAGCCTGAATGCCATATGGCTTAAGGATCCCTAAGATACCAAGCCAGAAATGATCAATTCGAGCCTCTTGCTGCGAATCATATAAAAGACCGTGAGTAGTCAGCTTATCTCATTCCGCAAACACGCATTTTCCTGTCTAGCATACCTATACACGGTCCAATATGCGAGAGCCAACCGGGCCGCTCGGCGAACACCGGCCAGGGACCAACCCGGAAGCGATTTTGGCAAAGCTGAAAGGGAACCTCATCAGTGAGTGCACAGTGGGAAACACATTCGGGTGGGAGAGGGTATAACCTGAGTTCAAGTCATCGCCGCAGCCATTGCGGTATCGCGACGGAACCGATGCGAAAACCTTACCCATCAAAATTGTATTGTCACCATCTATTGATAATGCTGGCTCGAGGAGTATTGGAGTCAGTGTGAGTCGCGTATCTGGGACGGAGAGTGAGCGAGAAGTATGCCGGGGACGGTAAAGAGATGAGCTGACTCGAGTGGGTGAGAGTCGTATGGGGGACGCGGAGTAGAGGAGATGGAGAAACAACAAACCGGCCAAAGGCCGGAGGGCCTGATACATTCGCTCCATCATCAAAATGGAGGCTTAGATCAACCAATTCATTTGCCTAGCAAGACCGTCCGTCATACTAGGATAAAAACCTCACCTTGACGCCGTTTCAACCACCGATTTTCAGAATATCATGTAGTTAGTACTATTCGGAACCCTAGTGCATTCTTCAGAGCATAGGTTGAATACCCTAACATACTTCCCATAATACTGAAAGATATACGAGGAGAAGTGACCTTATATGAAGTCTATTAACAGATGATATATCGTTTCCATGAGCTTGACTGGTTGAAAAAAGATTAATACACATAAGATTATCATTAAAGGGCCAGCCATATTAATAAAGCCACGCCTGCAGCGAACGGATTAGGGAGCGAGAGGCCGCCAGGCGCAGAATTCTTGTTGGTAGTAGTTGAGCCCGTAGCGTTGCCTGCGGCGGTTGCAGTGCCGTTGGAACCCGTAGTAGTACTGGCAGTTGAGCCCGGAATAGTTCCTGCAGTTCCAGTGCCAGTAGAGCCCAAAGCAGATGATGAATGGGAGGACGACGAAGTCAATGGCTTGGGACACAAGTTCTTATACACGAACTGATCAGGAGCGCCACTACAAGTGGTCGCAGACCCAGCGTTGAACGTGCCGTTCGGATACATCCAACAAGTGCCCGAGGCATATGGTGAGTCACTTGGATTATGCGAATTAAAGACGACGTAGCTGCAGGAATCGGCCTTTGCACACTGACTCAAGCAGTCCGGTGCACCCAAACTAGCAGTGCAATCGTAAAAGCAGTCGTCATCAGGCGGCGGGTACCCGCAGACCGAGGCAATAGCAGAGGGAGTCGCGGTGGCGGCGCAGCCGCCAGCAGTGGTGGTTGCGCTCCCGCCAGAACACACGGGCTTGCTGTAGACAGACAGATCGCCGTTGGGTTCGGTGCAACTTGAGCTACCTTTGCTCGGATCGTAGGTTTCACCCGGGTACAGCCAGCAGGTACCGGTGCCCAGGTAAGGGTTGCCGGCATTGAAGATAACAAAGTTGCAGGGAGGGTGGGCGTTACAGTAGTCCCAGCATGAGGCCCTGCTTTCGATGGCGACGGCAAATTCTGGGCCAGGATCCGTGTAGTGGCAGAGACTAGCGATGAGGGAAGCTGTACAGGTTGCTGCCGCGGCGGTAGACGTAGCCGACGTAGTGGACGTAGCAGATATCGCTATGGCCCGTGGAACTAATAGGGCGAAGGAGGCCCAGAAAGTAGCGATCTTCATGGTAGCGAGTGTGGGTAAGGAAATAATCAAATGAACGTGTCCGAACCTGGGAGAAGTATTGATCTTTCTGCAGGAGCGGTCACTTATAAGAAGGATCCTGTCTCTTTATAACTAGACAGAAAGGGGCAACAAACCTTGTCGATTTTTAATATCACGTGCTAAGTAGTGGAGACAGATTTATTCATACTGTACTACTACATATATAGAATAGCTGTATGTACCCGTGGCATTGACCATTCTACCCCGGGGTAGGGTGGTATCGTGGTGAATTTGGGGGCCTCTAGCGTGTTTTTTTGGGGTCCAATACGCGCTCAGAATTCATTATTACCGTCTTAGGAATAGCTTATATACTCCAATACAAAATTGGATGCAAAGTTACATGAGTCATTGAGAAGAACAATGAAAGGCAAAAATATTCTTTTTTCAACAGACTAAGACAATAACATTATCTCAGTATGGAGGTTTATATTTTGGCAATGAATTCGGAGACCATATTATCTAGAGTTTCGCCCAAAGGACACTCAAACAAGTCAGCTTCCTAAAACTCAAAATACCTCGAGTATGTGGATAAAAGGAACGGAGTCGGAACTCATGTTCGTGAACCACTTTCGTCAGGTTTATCTTGCGCTTCTTAAACCTCGCTAGCCAATTCAGATGGCTCGTATCCACAGTAAGCAGGTGAAAAGCGACCACACGCCTGGTTCTGAGTGGACTGCATCGCGCGGGGCCGACGCCCCTGCTCCTAGCCGCCCCGCAGACCCAGGACCAACTGGCAAGTGGAACGCCTTGCAGGAAGAGCCTCAACCAATTACTGGAGATTGAGGCATCGCATTTTCACCTTTTTTTTCCCACGCCTTTTGGTCCCGATTCTTGTGCTTCGTACAGTAGCTAACTTGGAGAGGGCCGTTGAATCCCCGGAAAACAGTTGACGACCGACTCCATGTGAGATCCAGCTCCTTTCTGGCCTAAATAGGAGCTAACAAAGACTTTGGGGGCCAAATGACCACTAGATCAAAAATGCTCCATGGGTGACATTCTCAATTTTACCCGTCATTTATTCTGTGACAGGCGCTGATCGGCCTCTGGGAGGAATATTTCCCTTTCTTGTATCCACCTGTCAAGACCCCTTGGAATAGATACTCTTAGAATCTCGACGCTCACATCAAATGTCTGGAACTTCGTTTGATCTATGGAAAAAGGAATTCTCCTGTTAATCTTTAAAGGCGAATAAGTATACGGCCCTCGATATGAATATCTGCCACATGAAAAGAAACCTCAAATAGGTATGTATAGTTTCGATGTCGCAGAGAATTGTTGAGGAGCAAAGGTTATCCGCGATATGCGATGTGAATACTACGCTGATTATTTAGCCGCGTGCGGGCCTAGTGAGGAACATCGACAGTGGAGATCAAGAGAAATCCTAACCGCTGATTTTCCAGAGGAAGCATCTTGGAAAAAGCTAGTCATCTGAGGAATTGAAGTGGGGTCAGTAACGACACATAAGCACTGTAAATTCAAACTAAGTCTCAAGTCATGACAAAACCACATCAAGTCACTTTTTCGTAGCCACACATTGTTGTGTCACAACACTTAGAGATGCCGCCGGGATATTGATTCATTAATTGCTTTCCAATCCACTTGTCGCGTAGTAGACCACAGCATAGTAACAGAATTCAAATCACATTATGAAAAGTTCATTGTCCATATGCAGCTGCGCAGCATGTGGCTGCATCCTTGGTATGACATTTGCTGATGCCGGCCTGATTGCAGCATTGACGACATGGGCTGTCAGCGGTGCACTTGTTTTGGCAAAGATTGTAGTCATTATAACAACTCTGCGTAGAAGTGCCATTATAACAAGTGACAAGTGCTTGATAGCATTGATCATAGCATGCCTGAGGATAGGAGCACTGGCTGTAGTAGCACTCATACACAGGCTGCACAGTGTTACATGCTATTGGCTTGCCTCCGGATTGCTGGGGGGCCGCAGCAGCTAGGGCACAAATAGCTGATAGAAGTAGCGACGGCAAATGCATGATGGAATGAGATGTCTGTCTCTGGACTGGTCAGAATCAGCATCAATCAATACCAAAGAGCCATCAGTTCAAAACGACCGAGAGGAAAGCATAACTTGTGCGCTTGACGGTGTTACTCTGATGTAAGCGATAATGAGATGTGATGGAGGGGAGTTCAGGGTTAATTTATACTTGATGGCCCCCGATAGTGACCTACTCAGCACTGTTGGCCTCTACAGCATAATGAGGCCTGGCATACCTTATGATGATCTAGATTGATTTGACACTTTGTGTTAGGTTTATCATGGTATCCTGCATTGGCTAGAACTTCCAGCCATTCACGCCATCGTCGGTACTATAGACCAAAGTTCCAGTCGTTAACATCAGGTCACTACTAGAATCGTACAAATAAGGTTATTATAGCGACCAGAAAAACACTCATATTCGCCCACGTTTAGGAAGAGAGCCGGGTCAAACCTCCAAAAATAAGCTCTGAGACAGAGAAGTTGCCGCTGACAAGGTAATTAATAGCGGTCTGGCTTTGAATTTGATCATGAAATTGAGATTTATCTGCCGAGCTTCATTCCCCTAAATTCGTGTGACACGTAGCCATAGCAGAGTTACAGGGAATTACCCCCTCATTAACTATATTATACTCGAGTCACTTTGAGGTATAGAAGCTTCGACTTTGAAGTTCACCAAAAGCACAACGCGAGCTGGATCCGGCTTGGAGCTCAAGGGGAGCTTGCTCCAGTGAGACACTATCAGGATGGTATAAACTTTTCTGATCGATAGGAACCATAGGGCTACCCAATTCAAAGGCAAAAGAGGCCTTGGCATGGAAACATCCATAAGAATGTTTCAATCTAGAACCCCTTAGCCACACATCTTCAATCAGGTGATCACCAAGAGAGTCATAGCACACCTGTGTAATTTGCTTTTCTCTGACTCACACGAGTACAGGGCCATAGGGCTGCCAGGTGCATATAGATCCTTCCAATCTGATATGGGTATAGAGGGTAGGCGTGAATAGAGTTTCATGTAATGACAGGTATGTAGAGAACGGGCGTATAGCTTCGAAAAACTAATCTATGTTTTTTCTTAATATAGAAGACGGTGTACAGTAAAAAAATCTAACCGCAGAAGATAGAAAGATTTGACCATCAAATTCCTTGACAGAAGAAAGCTGAATCTGAACCGTGTATTTTCGGGTTGTCTTATGACTGTAACAACACGAAATGGGAGAATCAAACACACTTCCAAGCATTTTCATCCTCGTAACTGCCTGGACCAACGTACTTGTTGCGCTTCGGGTATTTGCAGTGCTTGCGACGATATTCCACCTCTGTACCGTTGAACTTGGTACCACGTACAAATTCTGGTGCGATACCCTTTTCTACCCATTGCACCATCGCAAGGAGAACGTTGTCCTCTGGATCATTTCCTGCAAATGTACCTACACCTTGACCAATTGACCCGGCACCATCACCGGTCCCACAGTGACCCATTCCACTGATTGTGAAGAAGCGGTAAAAGTCATCCAGCTCCGATGGACTGAGGTTCATGGTATCAGCAACGTGCTTGTAGTACATCTTCGAGCTGTCAGACGAGATGATCGGGTCCTCCATGCCGTGATAATGAAGGACCTTGCCCTTCTTCTGGAAGGCAGAGAGGTCGCCTTGGAAAGTCGAGACCTCATATGGATCTTGCTTATTCGCGATAACAGCGTCATTCACAGTCCAGGATGCAGGGTCCCAAGCGGGATTGCTGTAAACGACATAGCGGAACCAATCCTCCGCGTAGTTGAATGGCTTGCCGTTATAGTAAACGTACGCCGCCGTCAGCTCCGATCCAGGTTGCATCCGAGGGTACAGAAGGGTGTCATCGTTGCCGTATAGAGGACTGAAAATAGTATTGACGGTCTTCAACTGTGTACCCGTAAGACACGAGCTGGAGCCAGCATTTGCGGTCGAGTTGCATAGCAATGTCTCAAAAACAGGCTGGCAAAGATCAGGATCCTCGATGATACCATCTGCGGCACCATCCAGATCATCACACTGTCGGAGAATCTCATTGTGAATGGTAATCCACTGAGCGTCCGTCACGAAGGTGGCTGCGCTGGAATCGCCGGTGGTCGGGAAGAATCGAGCACCCCAGTTGATAAGATTGATCAGGTTGAATGCTGGTGAACCAGCCACCACGCCATCAAAGTCATTGGGGAACTTCTGAATAGACTTCCAGCCCTCACGGCCGCCAGTCGAGCAGCCCAGATAGTATGATTTATCATAACCCTGGGTGTAGAATTGTTTAGTGAGTTTCTTTCCAACAACAACTCCGGTGTGGATAGCACGGTAAGCATAATCCTGGAGAACTTCAGTGTTGTGGTAGAAGTAGACACCGGTATCGCCGAAATGGCCATTGTTGGTGCCCACAGTAGCGAATCCGTATTGCGCGGCGTAGACCATGTCAGAGTATTGAATGCCTAAGAAATTAGATGTGAGTTCCAATGCTTGAAAATGTGAACGGGTAGAAACATACAGCCACCGAGGCCTCCATTTCCTGTACTCAAAAATCGACCAGAGTAGTTGCTAGGCAGCCACGCCTCCATGAAGATCTGACTTTTTTGCGAAGTCGTGACATTGAGCTCGATTCGGCAGAATTCGAATGTGCTGCTTGTGCTATCCGCGTTTGAACCGCAGACGGCAGGAACATTGGACATGGAGATGTTCGTTCCGACCGGTATATGGGTCACGCTATGAATTGTGGCATCTGCAACCTTAATTGTGTGTGCAAAGGACTCGCACTTTGCCTTGAAGGAACTTCTTTTGTCCACATCTCCATGGGCATAAGCACTCGCCGAAATGGCGAGCCCTGCGAGGAGCAGCGAAAACCGCATATCAGCAAAGTGATAGATAATCCCAAGTTGCTGTGAGACCTAAGATGATTTGGAAGATCCAAAATTAAACGACGCTGCACCAACAATATATACACCGTGTGTATCGAATACTAAATTAAATCTTGACCTCATTTAACGCAACGAGCATGGTCAAATACAATTGGTGACCGTACTAGTATCATATAAACAACATGAGCCCCCGCGTTGTGATGCTTAGCACGGATTCCCCGCTCTTCAATGTGACGAAAGCCGGCAAATAAGAAGATGAATACTGCCGATTTATTTACACCGAGGCTCTTCAGGCTAATTTTACTAGAGATTCCTCGTTGCCGGTGTCCTTGCCGTGTATTATTGGCGTTTTACGGCTATAAATGATTACACGTTGTCCATACGTGGAACATCATTGCGGGATAATACTCAAAGGACTTAGTGGCCCGAAAAAACCGGAAGAGCTTCCCGGAACGACGTTGTTTAGCCTAAGATCATACGCCTTTTTTGTCGCCAAGCTACTCAAGCTAGGGCGAGGCTTCAAAACAGCGCAGTTATAGAACAATCAGTAAGGCTTCGTGCATGTTCTGTGAAGGAGATCTACAGTGATGGCTCGTGCTCTAGTGTGTGATATTCAATGAAATTTATTGGATCACTTTCCATTCAATTTGGCGCCATGCTCAACTTGCTATTTCAACTAAACTATTTTCGATTATACTTAATACAGGCAATATTACAAAGAAATGTCCAAAATATAAAACAGTTGAAATTTGACCAAATTCTATAAATGGTCTTTCAACGTGTTTTGCACCTAATTGCATTAATACTAAGAAATTTGCCACAAAAACAAAGAAAGCTATTTTACTTAAAGGTCTGAATTGTACACCTCTTAATTTAGATAAATCTGTTATAGGCATAACCATTAAAGCTAATATGGCTGCAAACATAGCTATAACTCCTAACGACCCATCAGGCACAGACCCCAACACCGCATAGAAAGGCAATAAGTATCATTCTGGTACAATAGCAGGTGGTGTTTGCATTGGATTAGCCATTACATAATTTTCACTATCCCCTAATGCATTAGGCATAAAGAAAACAAATACTGATAATACTATTTATGACGCAGGGGCGTAAGATGGGTTTGAATCTTTAGATCGTAGGACTTGACTTGAAATTGTTCAGTCGCAGGAGGCGAGGTCTACACTACCTAGCCAAAACTAGGCCGATCGAGCTCGATAGCGCACGTTTTCCCGATCTGTATTGCAGTTAGCCGATCAATATATGTACGTTGGTATGAGATGTACAGTAGTAAATATTCAGTTAGTACAGTAGACTTTTGAAGGTTTCGTTAGTGCTGCACCACTGTGGGATGCCCCATCGGCAAATATGCACTAAGCGCTAAATACCCTCGCAAGGAGTGATAGTGCTTTTTATCTTCAATAGTTACTATTGATTAGTCAAATGAAAGATTTCCATGCCGAAGCTAGCGACGACTTGTGATGTCTATCATCATCCATTGTTTAAGAGCATTCGCCACCAGTAGCACGGACTCTGATCACAAATAATCGACTGTCTCTGCTCGTCTTATCATGACTCGTTCAGGCTCTGCCTCAAAGCAATCCACCCCGGTCGAGGGGTTATCCTCCTATCTTCCCTTCGCCTCCACAGATCATGGGTTGTGGTGGGATAATACGGCTTCTGTCATTGAGGACTATATTGATGCCGCACAATATAGTGTGGCGTCGCAGTTTGATTGTCTGCTCTTTTATCACAAATATATCGTGCCTTCTCTTGGTCGGTATCCATTGCCTGAGAATGAAGATGGACGCTAGAAAAGCTTTCTGTACAGGAGGGGAGAACCCTTGGAGTTGAGCTTCAACTACCAAAAAGCCTCGAAATGCACTGTTCGTTTGGCCCTCGAGCCTGTTGGCCCACATGCCGGAGAACATCCCGACCTTCTGAACGAATATGAAGCAAGAGCCCTTGTCAACAGAATTGCAGAACTAAACAGAGGTATCAATCTTCAGTGGTTTGACTTCTTTGATAAAGAAACCGCCTTGCATAATGACGATCTATCTCCTCTTAAGGAAAAGTTGAAGTGGGGTGCCCAGCTGTCCCAAAGGCTATCAAACCATACTTTGCCCCATGGCTGAAATCTTTGTCGACTGAAGTACCAACCCTCCAAATCATGTTTGAAGCCATCAGAAAGCTCGACACTCGCGGTTCATTTTCCAAAGGCCTCTCCGAGGTCGAGAACTACTTAGCCTCAACCGACCAGCTACTGTGGTCAGAAGAGAATTATCTTAGCTTCGACTGTGTTGACCCGCTCAAATCACGCCTCAAGCTATACGTCGCCGAGCAAGTTACCAGTTACCTGCTTTGACAGAGTCAAGAGCCACTGGATACTGGGAGGGCGTCTCAATAGTCCTGGTATTCGAAAAGGTCTATCTCTTCTTGAGGAGTTATGGCACCTACTTGGTTATCCGGAAGACTCCGCGCCACACACTGACAAATACCTACCATTCAATTTTAAATGGGAGCTTTGTCAATCGAGTGCGGAAATAGTACCCAAGGTATACTTTGCCCTCGGGAATGAGGTTGATCAGGCTTTCTCGGATGCGCTAGTCGGACTTTTCACGGAGCTTGGATGGTCTGATCAGATTGAGACCCACAAACGATCGATTGAATATGCCTTGAAAGTGTTAAAAAATCTCACTTCTAAATTTACATACCGCTGATAATCACAACAGTCCAGGATGCAACCTAAAGGAGACGACCCATGTGCTCACATGGATCACTGTCACATTTGAGGAACAGTCTTGGGCATATATCACAAGTATTGCAATGCCATCGGAGGCGGACAAAAGCTTCAGTTCAGGTAGTTAATCATCGGCAGATTAGCAAAATGCATCAAATGCCAAGGTTATTTCTCTACAACCTATTTATACTAGACAAAACTACTGGATCTTACTGCTTTCGTATTTAGTATCCTGCTTCGGCAGTAGGAGGGAAGATAGCTAGAACTATCACTTGATACTCTCACCTGGTTGTCATGGCGAAGGGCTGTGGAATCATTATGAATTCGAAACGGGCAATTGTTAGACATAGGTGTTTCGGCCAAAAGGCGGGGTAGATTGACGTAGCTTGTGACCTTATTCTATAAGGTAGTCTCAGAACGGAAGAATCGTAGTATATCTGGAAAAATTTCCTGCTTGAGACCTAGACCAAAACGGATTTGGCTAGTCGGCAAGTCGTTCTTAGTGGAGCATTCATCTAATCGAGATCCATGTTTCAAATGTGAAAAAAGCGGCAAACTTATGTCGCGTCCGTCTGAGTAAAGTTGACCTTTTTGAAACTATTCTTTTCCCTTAAACTTTATGATACCTAAACATTTTGGCCCAAGTCAGCCACATGGGGTCTTCTGAAACAAGGACGATCTCTACTAATCGTTTGAAGGATTTTTGTCCGCGTGATCCCTTTCCCGCTAGGTTTTTGACCTCTTAGCCTTGTGAGACAATCTAATCAGATACTGTAAGTTAGATTCATGGATGACATGAGCTGGATGATCGAAAACCCGGTCACTGAACCGTCCCTGACTCCCTGAAAATCTTGATCAGATAACGCAACCCGACAGTTAGGATAATTTAAATGGCACCGATCTTTGCCAAATTGATCGACTCTCCACCCCTTTCTACTACTTGATAGGACATCCAACGGCCTGAGAGGAGAATCTTCGGTACGGCTAGGCGAATAGGAATCGAGGATTGGGCATCTCGGGAAGCCGGTGGAACTTCGGCATGGTCATTCCCAGGGCTTCATGGTGGAGTGTCTAGTTTGGCATCGTCATACCATCGAAGGATCTTACCGCGCTATACCTTGTTAGACTCTCGGCGTGGTCCTGTTTCATGGATATTTGATTACTAAAGCATTACTCAAACATATCTGAAGAATCCTTGAAGAAATCGTCCACTTTTCACTTCCGAAAGAACCGTCGTCCTGCTCCACTCGACCAACGTTCCGCTGTTCTGGACGGTCGGCTCAAGATTTACAATGCTCGGTAAGCGGCTCATCTATGCCTGACAAGGAAGGTAGCCACTGGACCAAGAGAATTATGACATCCTATGGGCACGGCAAAGTTCCGGAGTCAGGAGGGTGCGAAACAGGCCACACCGATGGAGACATTGGGAGGATGGAAGATTAAATACTTTCAGAGCCCTTTGTTCTAACAAAAAGGAAGTTAGACCAGTTGATCCGACTTTTGTAAAATTGAGAGCAAATGCGGTTCCTACGTGTGAGCTGCCAGGCAGCTTTGATCGCTGCTGCCGGAAGCTTGGCTTCTGCCTCTACCTTCAAGAATGGACACTACGACTACATTGTCGTTGGAGGTGGTCCTTCCGGCATCATCAGCGCTGAGCGATTTGTTGAGGCCGGGAAGAAAGTGCTGCTCCTTGAACGAGGCACTGGTCCAACAGTGGCAACTGGTGCGAACGATACTCTTTCGTGGGACAACCAGTTGACGCCGATCGATCTTCCCGGCCTATCCGCTGATGTCGGTGCCCTTCCCGAGTGGAGCGAGTACATGTGCTCTGACACCGGAGGTATTGCTGCCTGTGTTCTTGGTGGGGGCACGACGGTGAACTATATGGTTTTTGTGCACCCTCCTGAGCATGACTTTGACGACAACAACAATTGGCCTGCGGGATGGAAGTGGAAGGATATCAAGCCTGCTGCTGAGAGGCTCTACAAGCGGAACCCTGGCACTATCTTGCCTTCAACTGATGGCAAGCGCTATGATCAGGGTGCCTATACAGTACTCTCGAAGTTCTTCAACAGGCTTGGCTGGAAGTCGGTTGATATGATCTCTCAGCCCAATGAGAAGCACCAGGTCTACAGTTATCCTTCCTGGAACATCAAGGACTTGGTTCGTGCTGGTCCTCTTCGCACTTATCTGCCCATTGCCCAGAAGAGCAAGAACTTCGACTTGCACCTGGGTATCAAGGTGCTCCGCGTCGTGCGCGAAGGCTGCCGGGTCACTGGCGTTGAAGTGCAGACCAGCTCTGGAAAGACCGAGATTATCACTCCTGCCCACAATGGTCGTGTTGTCCTCGCTGCCGGTGCTCTCTCAACTCCTCGTCTGCTCTTCAACTCTGGCATCGGTCCCAAGAACCAGATCGAGACAGCAAAGAAGAGCGGCATCACCGTTCCTGCCGAGAATGATTGGATTGACCTTCCCGTCGGTGTTGGAATCAAGGACCACCCGATCTTCACAGTCTCCGTCCAGACTAAAGGCGACTTTGGCATTCCCGACTACGATAGCATCTTGAACGGCAGCGACACCACCGATATCAACCTCTACAAGCAAGGCAACGGTCTTCTGACCCAGGGCAAGCACCGGATGATTTTCTTCAGCTCCAACAAGGTGCATGGCCAGACTCGCTACTACCAGGGGTCTTGCGCCCCTGCCGCAAACTCGGTCGTCGAGATTAAGGTCTACATGACCCACGGTCTTACTTCGTCTGGTCTTCTCGGTCTCGACTCGAAGCAGAACACCGTCATCGAACAGTCTCCCTACATGCGAACTGTAGGTGACCGTCAAGCTATGCGTTCTTTCATTCAACAGCTGGTGAATGACATCCATGCCCCTTCGTCTGGTTTCGAGTTGGTCAAGAAACTGAACACTTCTGCTATCCTCGCTTCTCCGTCTCCGGGTGACCACTATGCCTCCTCTGCCAAGATGGGCACTGACGATGGCCGGAAGAACGGTACCTCTGTCGTGGATATTAACACGAAGGTGTACGGAATGGACAACCTGGTAAGTTCAACTTATCTCCCAAATGCATTTGCTTCCTGAAGTGATACATACTGAAAACAATTCCACCGCACAGTTCATTGTTGATGGCAGTATTCACCCTGACCTCCCTACCGGCAACATCCAGGCCACTATCATGGTCGTCGCCGAGGCCGCGGCAGCCCGAATCCTTGCCCAGAAATAGATGGTTCCATATCAATCATCTCGTTGAGCGAGAAGATATAAAACATATGTACAAAAGGAGCGTTTAGACAGGTGTTTACTCGAAATTATTGATTGAAATTGAGAATTCTTTGAAAGTAGCAACGACTAATATAGCTGTAGAACGCAAGGCAACCAGCCCTAAAAGGCCAGCTCAGGCATTAAACGGAACGCCTATGAAGAGAGCTGCGTATGCCTGGGCGAGGGTTGTAACGAAGGCGACCGGAGCTAATAGCCCTTACGATGGAAAGTTCCACTACGACTACAAAAAGAGATAGATCGACCAAGAAACGCCGAAGCATCACATTTAAAAGATAAGTTTCAAAAGGCATCATGGCCAGGGAAATGTGAAGGCCGAGTTGCTATGATACATTTGGATTCCTTCTGCTACAGTGGAAGCAAAGTGAAAGGACAGTGAAAAAGAAAAATCAACATGCCATGTGTCTGTCCCATTTTACCAAGCATCCACGTCAAAGTTCTCCTCGCCAAAGTAAGAGACAACAACAGTTCGATCCGAGAACTTCCGACCAGCAAGCGCCTTCAGGGCACTAGAGGCAGACTCTTGGGTTTCGAATTTCACGTAGATCTTACCGACACCAGCGGCCTGGCGATTGCCGCCGGTGGGGCGAGGAATCTTCAGGCTCAAGACCTTGCCGTACTTGGCGCATTCCTCCTGGACGTCCTCGAGAATTTCCTCGTAGTCATCGTTGTCGAGAAGCTCGTCCACTGTTACCATGTTCAGGAGCTGAAGTACACGGCCCGTCTCCATATCTTGGGAGGTGGTCTTGGCGAACATAGACATGGCGTTGACACCCATGTCGAGACCAGCAGCCTGGGTGGTACCAATACTAGCGCGGACGACCTTGAGGTGACGATCGCCGAGCTCCATGCCGTTGAGACCTTCCACGGCAATGGTGGTGGCTGTCGGGTCAGCGTATTCGCAGAATGCAATGCCCTGCAATGTGTCAGAATGAAGTGTATACGATTTGCTGGAGAGCGGTACTTACCCGTGATTCCTCAGTTGAAGCGTCCTTGACCAGGACAAAGGACTTGAGTTCACCAAAGGACTTGAGCAGCATAGTGACAGGTTCCTCGGGGATGTATGCGGGAATGTTGGAAACGCAAATCTTGTTGGGTGAATCCGGCACCTCGTTGAGAAGCACTCCCTCCTGGTACTCCTGTTCCGCACTTCCATTGGGAACGATGTAGTCCTTGGGCCGGCGAACCTCGAGGCCCTTTTCGGCACCTTCCGCCATAGTGATACCATCGAAGGCCAAGGCAACCGTCGCGTCGTTGGGCGACTTGAATTCCAAAAGGGCAAATGACTGGTCATCGGCCACCTGTGCAGAGATACAAGGATCGACGCTGTGAACGACATTCAGGCCGTTAAGCTGTAGGTTGAAGAAGGACATGATGCTGTCTCCAGTCGCGCCAGCGGGGATATTGTAGACGAATAGACGCTTCGATTGACGGGAGTTAGACGGCTTGAGAGCTGTAGTCTCGGCTGAACCACCAGCAGGCTGGTTCATGAAAGCCTGCAGACGGCTGGGATCCATCGGCTGCTGACGAGGGGCTCCAGGCAGAGGGAACATCCCAGAAAGCTTAGCTTGCTCAGCGGTGACATTCTCATAGCCGGGGGGCTTGATATCCCATTGTGTCAGGCGACGCTTACGCTCCAACACTGATGGCACGTCCGTCAGGTCTGGAGTAGGCTCTTTCCTGCGTGGTGGTGAAGCACTGCGCCGTGGAGCGCGGTCGCCTCCAGGACCACCACCTCCACCCCTTCTGTCACCACCACGATCTTGTTCACCACGGTCCCGGCGGTCATCGCGGCCGCCGCGTCGAGGTCGTTCGTCGAATAGGTCTCGTCGGGGTCTGTCATCGAAATCGCGTCGGCGGCGATCACCACGGTCTCCGCCACGTTCTCCACGCTCTCCTCGCTCAGGGCGCTCAGGGCGCTCAGGGCGCTCGCCACGCTCGCCACGGTCACCTCGGTCCCATTCACGGTCTTCCCGGCGGCCGGAATAGCGGTCCTCTCGCTCTCGGGCACGGTAGTCGCGGCTTGAAGAGTAGGAATTGGCCTCTGGTTCACGTCGCGCACCACGCGAGCCAAAGTGAGGAGAACGTGATCGCCGTCTCTCTCCTCCTCCTTGTCCTCCTCCTCCTCGCTCTGCCCGATCGCCTCTGTCACCTCGGTCTCGATCGCGGCGCTCGTCGCGCTGATTTAGGTTAGTCGCAGCCAGATGAAAGGCACAATTGTCACTTACGAAGTGATCACGGGGACGACCCGAGTCTAGAAAAGTTAGCATGATTCAAACGAGGCGACCAAGGTTACTAACCTCTGGAGGAATAGGTGTCACCGTTCATGTTGAGCTTTTTGAGTGACGAGGCTACTGAGTGGTACCGCAGCGAAGGGGAAAACTGGAAGCTCCTGCTTGGGGGCGGTATGCCCTTGACCGCCTTCCACTGGCCCCAGTCCTGGCAGAAATGCTTCTTATCGGCGTATCACTTTTCGATAGGCCCAGAATCGCAAACTTCCTGTCAACTGCAAGGATGACGGGCGCGTTTTCAGAGTGGCGCAAGCTGCCGATAAGTCTGAGTGAGCTTTGCATCAATACAACCTTGCGCTGTGGCCAATCTTTCAGGTAAAGTTCACTGGATTGCTTTACAAGTCGTTGACCGCATGTGCTAACCCCTTGTAGATGGCAACAGATCCCCGAAAGTGAAGAATGGCGTTGTGTGCTTTATGGCAAGCTCCTGTCTTTGAAGCAAGACTCATCAAATCTCTATTACCGCGATTATCGATCACCATCTTCCGCCTCTCTACCAACTCCGCCGACTTCAGAGATTCCATCTCGGGCGCAATCCGACACAGAACCCGGCGACGGCAAGGCGCATGCAGACAGCTCGCATGAAGACCATGTTCTCCGAATTATAAAGCACTATCTCAATCTATCGTCAAATCTGTCCAATCTCTATACCCAATGGTCCGCACAAGATCCCAATTTCAGGAAAAAGGCAGCCCAGTTTACTGGAATTCGGATCTTGCGCCAAGATGCCTGGGAAGCGCTGGTATCATTCATATGCAGCAGCAACAACAATATCTCCCGGATCTCACAAATGGTAGAAAAATTGTGTCTCAACTACGGACCCTTCATTGCCAAGGTTGGCGAACGCTCATACCATGATTTCCCTACGCCAGAGGCTTTGGCGGGCAAAGACGTGGAAAGCAATCTCCGCACCTTAGGCTTTGGGTATCGCGCAAAGTATATCTACCAGACCGCTGTCATGGTCTCTCAAGAAAGAGAGAAAGGCTGGTTAGATAGCCTCTGCAACCCCGAATCACCGGCTTTCGGGGTGGAAGCAAAGCCTGGTGACGAGATGAAGCCCGAAGGACGGCAAGGTTACCGTGATGCCCATGAGAAACTTCTCGAACTACAAGGCGTCGGGCCAAAGGTGTCCGATTGTGTGTGCTTGATGGGCCTTGGATGGGGCGAATCAGTACCCGTCGATACCCATGGTAAGGCGTTCTAAGGCCTCTTCGAATCATTTTCTAACCTCGAGCAGTATGGCAAATCGCACAACGAGACTACCGTTTTGGTAAAAGCTCCCATAAATCGCTCACTAAAGCGACATATGATGCTGTAGCCAATCACTTCCGCAAGCTATGGGGTCAGGAAGCAGGATGGGCACATAGTGTGCTCTTTACAGCAGACCTGCGGTCCTTTGCGGATCGACTCGCAGCAACGAAGAAGGTTGATGTGTCAGTGAAGGAGGAGGACTCGGAGATCAAAATCAAGACCGACGTGACAACTGCTGTGGCATTAACTGTGCCTAAGGAGGAACCCGTGGATATAAAGGTCGAGGACTCGGAGATCAAGCCTGTCACGAAGGCGGCCCGAGGGAAGAAGAGAAAAGACTCGACGGAGGCCATCGTGCATGCATCTCAGACGACAGAGACCAGGAGGGTGTCCAAGCGACTGCGTCGATAGAAGGTTGCCCAGGTGTGATCTGGCGTACAATGTATATTACAACTGTGTATTAAGTGTACGAGTCATGGATCCTGATCAAGGACGAGGATTGTAAAGTAAAATCTGTTCATTGGGTCTATTCTAGATTGTTTTTGGACGTATATAATGAGCCTAGAAGCAAAGTCAGTAAGACAGTCTCCCAAAATGAATGACAAGCGTGTAGAAGCCATTTGACAAGATCAGAAGTCCAGTTAGATCATCGAAGACGCATCCGAAAACGCGCCTTCTGACATAAGAGGTACCAGAAAAATAGTAAAAATGTGTGTTTCATCATTAAGGGGTAAGTTGGCAGGCAAAGAAGAGAAACGAGTGACACTGACCGTATGGAATGGCGGAAGAGCGGACAAGATATATCGATTGGCGTAATTAGAACAACAGGCGAATCTCTCAAAACCAAGAGTAACTGTGGGAAACATCAATCCGGACAAGAAACCTCAGGAAGAGATATCCAAACTGTTGTTTTGTGTTTATCAAAAGACAAGCAAAAGCGGAAAGCGGGACGGTTTTGAGGTTCGAGGAAAATCCTGCGGAAAAATAAGCGAACCGGAACCACGTGACCCACACACTTGCCCGTTCCCTGCCAACCTTCAACCCATCCAACTCCACCTTGGAACTTCTCCTCTATCCATCTCGACAACCTCCGACGGACCAACCTACACAGCAAAAATGGGTCGCCTTCACTCCAAGGGCAAGGGCATTTCGTCCTCTGCGATTCCCTACTCCCGCGCCGCTCCCGCCTGGCTCAAGACCACCCCCGAGCAGGTTGTTGACCACATCTGCAAGCTGGCCAAGAAGGGTGCCACCCCTTCCCAGATCGGTGTTGTCCTCCGTGACTCCCACGGTGTTGCCCAGGTCAAGATTGTGACCGGTAAGGAATTCCCTGTTTCTGGCTCGAATGCGCGAGTGAAAAAGCGACATGCGATCTTTTTTTTTTCAAGATCGGGAAATGAAAAAATTGTGTGTACTAACATCTGTGTGTGAATAGGTAACAAGATCCTCCGCATCCTCAAGGGCAACGGTACGACTTCCTTCGACAATTCCCTCCTCATCGCTTCAATTGGATGAAGAACGAGTGCAATCGCATGTGAACTTTTCGCAAAATTCTCTGGAAACTGGGATTGAAAATTTCACATCGCGATCGTTCCTCGATCCTTCCTCTCCAACACATACACATACTCTGGTTGCAGAAATGCACCAGCAGCTAAGCCTCTGCTTGGTCCTAGAACAAGACTGACAGAGAGATTTTTTGGAATATACAGGCCTCGCTCCCGAGCTCCCCGAGGACCTTTACTTCCTGATCAAGAAGGTAAGCACATGCATGCTCTTTTTTTCCCTTGCTCTCCCTTTCTGCATAAGATGCACTTCCACGAATCGCCTCCCACTAACATGTAATTTCACTAGGCCGTCGCTGTCCGCAAGCACCTCGAGCGCAACCGCAAGGACAAGGACTCCAAGTTCCGCCTCATTCTGATCGAGTCCCGCATCCACCGTCTGTCCCGCTACTACAAGACCGTCGGTGTCCTGCCCCCCACCTGGCGCTACGAGAGCGCCACCGCCTCCACCCTCGTCGCATAAGCGAAGGCGTGGTTGTTTGTGGTCATTGGGGATGGAGTTGTGAAGGAATTTCGTTTCTGGCATATTATGTCGAGGGCTCAACCTTTCTTCTTCCATATGTGCTAGATCCGCCCACTCAAAAAAAGAACTATTACGAGTTATACCCATGTCTTTTTGATTCCTTCCATTTGCACTGAGCAAGTACAGTATTCGTAGATCAAATGTAGACCGTATGAAGTAGTAAAATCAAGGGTATATTGTTCGTGTACGTCGTTCATCTCGAAACCCTCATGTACAATCGATTATATTGTATTAGCATGAGAACATATATGTACAGCATCAAACCATCACTCACTCAGTCCTCACTTCCCTCGCAACAGCATTACAAAGCTCAACCTGCACCCCCGCCCCAAGAAGAATATGAATCCACAACCGCTGAGTATCACTCAACCGATCATTCTCCGACTTAACCTCCACAAACAAAACCGTCTTCTTCTCTGCACTCCACAAAAAGAGATCCGGAATCCCCCCACCACGCTGCTGGTACTCTTGCGCCATGACCTTGCATATGGTAGCCAGTGCTTCACCACGGAAACATTGCACGATCTCGATTAGGTCGTCTAGCTCGAAGGACCAGTCGATTCCAATTGCGCAGGGCTGGGTGGCTGATTCGCGGTCGTGGATTTCGCGGATGAGACGCTCGGCATCGCCGTTGGTGATTTCGACGAGGCGGTGGTTGATTTCTGAGGCGCGGGATGGGTAGAATACGTCTGTGTGGAGGTCTAGGGGGCAGGTTTGGAAGGGGGTTTGGAAGACATTTGGGATGTAGGTGAAGAGGATGTCGTAGAAGAGGAGGCCGAACTGTGTATAGATGGGCGTTAGAATAAAATGTAGCTTTGTAGCTTTGTAGTTTCGTCCATACGGATGTGTATAGTGTATAGATCGGGGAGAGGTCAATATAACTCACCAAAGTACGAACAATCCCCCCTCAGAATGATACCCCTTCCACCCATGATCCCGATACCAACTCAAACACATACTCTCAACACGACACTCCCCACCCTCCCTCTCATCAATCCAAACAGTAGCCTTCCCTTTCTTCGGCCCCTCGTCCCTCTCAATCCGAATCCCCTCAACCGTCCGCTCAACAGGTTTACTCAACATAACATGACCAAAATCATGTTGGTCCCGTTTAACCACCCTCAACGCCTTTTCAAGCTTCATAATCCGTTTCTGGAGATCATAGTGATATATCAAATGACAAAGCGGATCCTCAAGTCCCTCCTCGCACGTCCGCAGCGCAACTCGTTTCCAGAATTTGCGCTGGTTCTCCTCATTGCGGCCCTCTGTGGGTGTCAAGGCCGACAGGTAGTGTTCTTCTAGTAGGGCTTTGCGCTGGTACCAGGCCCCGCGACGGGAGGCGTGGAAGAGGCGCTGGGCGAGGAGTTCGGTGAGGATTTCGTGTTCGCGCTTGTGTTCTTTGAAGCGGCCTAGTGGGTTCAGGCTTTTGTGGATGATTCTTGTGTATACCCAGGCTGGGGAGAAACGTCGTAGGTATGCGCCTTCGCCGATTTCGTAGATGGAATCTTCTTTGCGTTGTTCTTCGTTGACGAGTTCTCTCCATCGTGGGTAGAGCTCGTTAGCCAGGTCGATGATTTGCTGCAGGGATTCTGTGCTTGCTGGACCGTTGAACTCCAGGATATTGTCAATATCGAATTGAGTTCGAATAGCAGATTCAAATTCCAAGAGCGCGGCTCTGGATGAGAATATGGAGTTTGATCGACACACGATGTACTGGGGGAAATTTCGCCGTGATATCTTTGCCAGGATGATCGTCGTCAAGGACTTCTCCGTCCACTCGGTCGACCGATAGAATACCAAATGCACACGCTCGAAGAGAGCACGGGGCCCCACCGTGAGTCGGATACATTGACCTGTGTAATCCAGGATCTTCTGGAGAAAGTGGCCATCCCTATTACCAGGTTGATCCGTGCTTGGCTGGTCCTTGAACCCGAGTCCGGTTTGAGATTGACTGGTCTCGCAAAGAGCTGCCAGCAGCTCTTTCTTGTTCTTTCCTTGGGCCTTGACTTCTTTTGCAAAACCCTTCAGTTCGTCGAGCAACAGGAGAGACGACGCTTCTTCCAGCGTGGTAATTTCCTGCGTACCGTCGGCGAATCGAAAACTATTTCCGAAGTTTAGATCACCTGTATCTTGATCCTCGTTCTTGGGTAATACACGATCTCGCTGGAGATCAGTAGCCACCGCGGCCAAGTCCGAGATGTCGGAATAATAGCCCAATCGATTGATACGATGCCAGGCAGAGGTTTTGCGAAGGAAAAGCCGTACATATCTAAAAACAAATAATCGACATCTCAGCTAGTACCCAAATTGACATTCCATAAAGCCGTAGAGAACTTACAGATACTGCGACTCATAGGACAAATCCTTCCACTGATTAAACACCTCCATCTCAGCCCCATCAAACAAATGCGACTCCTCATCCAGCACTGTCTCCAGCGCCAAATTAAACGCATCCACATAAATCGAACTCTTCCCCCGCTGCCACACCCCATCCCGCAATCTTACATGCAGCCCGGGTTCAGCATCAGCATTATCATTCTCGACCTTACTAGCCTCGTACGCCTTGATCGCGTCCTCATCCGTCTGAACCGCAGGCAAAGAAGTCTCCAATTCAGTCTGGCTGCTGGGAATGTAAGCATCCGGCTCCTCGGTAACAGGTACAGGCGTAGGCGTATCCACAGCACCGGAGGAAGGACTTGGACTTGGTGGGCGCTTCTCGGGGAGATTGGGTTCGAGATCGGTGTCTTTTTCAGAGGTCCGTCGTCGCTTCACAGATCGCTGAGTCTCCCAGTAATGTAACAGTGACATACTGGAGAGATGCCATGGGCGATTGATTCCTCGCACCACAATGCTCATGCACGATATGGATCGAGGCCCGCAGTCGCGCGTCGAGTGCTTCGCGAGAGAACACGAGGTCACGTGTGTAATATGCCTTGATTGGGTGGTGTTTGCACTGTTTGTAGATAGTGTGACTGCGAGAGCGAAAGAAGCAGCTTACAATCGACAAACTTCTGTGTAAAGATACTGTATAGAACTGGCAGCGATGTTATAGTCACAATCTGCTCTACGTCTTGAAACATTGTCATGGCTGATACACCAGTAAGCCCTCCCATCCTCTCACCATCTCCGTGCGGCGGGAAGCAGCGCTTCCAGAACAGGAGCTCCACAGCTCTCCGCTCCGCGCAACACACCTTGCTCACCAAAGAACTCAATCCATCTTTCTACCACCTCTCCAATTCTCTATCCACGCATGACACTACACTACAGCTACCCCCAGAGGACATCCATCTAATCATTGCTCTTTAATTCCCTGTCCAGTCCGCCCCCGCGCCTTCAACATCCACGCCCTTACCCACCGATTCCTCCACCACCTTACCTCCACAAAGACAAACCACAACCACAATGGCAGACACAAACGGCGGCCCGAACACACCCTCCTTCGACCTCTCCAGCGCCGCAGCAACCCAAGTCCGACCCGGCGGTGCCCCGGCCCGAGTATTCCTCAACGAGAAGATTGTGCCGTATCTGCTTGAAGGGATGAAGACTATTACGAGGGACCAGTGAGTTATTGCACTGCACGATAGTTATAATTAGAAGAAGAGAAGGAGGTCAGGTCTAACTCGTTCATATTAGACCTGCCAATCCGCTCCAGGTGCTAGGCGAATTCCTGATTCAGAAGAGCAAGGAAGTCGAAGGTGATGCGAAGAAAGAGTCGGAGTGAAAGCTGTTCCAACAGTCGAGGGATTTTGAGATTTTTGGTGTTTAAGGCGCTTACATGGATTGGTTCCAATGGTTGAGTATCGCGGAGGAAATTGTTTGAGTATCTATTGCTCTCTTTGAATAAGAGAAGAGGATACTGTGTGTGCGGATACCTTGATAGACAGCACTAGTGGGCTTTGAGCTCCGCCTATGGGCAAGCTTATTGTGTGATACCCCTAATTCTACTTTTTGAAATTGCTTTATGTCTACGAATGGAGTCGTGGAAGTCCCAGACATGATCGTTGGAAGAGATACATTCATGTAGTCCCCAGTCCGAAGCTTGGAATGTACCCAGGTATATATAGGAACGCATGACATGTATATATAAATGCACACGTAAGGTAGGTATGAAGGAGTATACGGCAGACTATCGAAATCTTGTCCAAACGGTGATGTATATATTTGCTTTTTCCTCGGTGAAACTAATTCGAGTCGATGCATGGCTAATCCTTAATTAGCACTTACCAACTTAGCCTGAAAGTCGCCGTTCCTAACAGAGATGAGTAGAGTCTTATGTTGAGGCAACTGATCCAACCAGTCACTGAAATTGGCTCCAAAAGGACATCGGACAACTTCCAGACGAAGAAGCCCACAGCCAACGCCGAGGTTAAAATACACTAAGATGCAGGATCATATTGTCCAGGTCAGCACTTCAAAACACCTTATCTTACCTTTGTATGTTCCTGGGCCAGGGTCGTGCTCCGGAAAATTACCGGATGTTTTAAATCGCCTGTAGCAATTATATTGGCGATACTACATATGCGAAGACGACGGGCCTCGGCGAACAGGAAAATAGACGGAAAACGGGGTGTGAAGGTGAAGGTGAAAAAGGTGGATGATGATAAGGCGACACAAATTTTTAGAAAACTTGTCGAATACAGACCGAGCCGTTACTGGAGAGCTGAAGCTGAAGATTGGTGTGCATAAGGCGAACAGTTTTGACCGAAGGTGCTGACCCCAAGAGATAGCCGAATTACAGCGATAATTTGTTTTTCTTCCTTGCCGCTAGAGTTTTCCCGAGTTGCGTCGCGAACAGATAAAAAAAAGAGAGCCACATCATCTTTGCGATCAAGAGATGACGACAAGACTGGCATCGACCGAGGAAATGATGTTTGCCGAGTCGGTCGCAGTAGGGCCAATGGCGCTCCGAATTATCGTTTGAGACGGGGACGGTGAAAAGAAAAGAAAAGAGCAAAGAAAGAAAAAAGGACACAAAAAAGCAACGACGCCCGTGGCCCCGTCGGCTCAAACCCCGCATTAAAACAATTTGAGAAGAGGGATAAAGAGTTGAAAAGACATAGGAGAAACAAGGGACATAGAGGGACGAGAGTGATAAAGGGGAAGATGGGGGACAGGGGAACATTCAGCCATCAGAAGGCAGAGATATCAAAGGACCAATATCTCCGCTTTGGGTTGCATGCAAGGGAATACATTACCTGCTGCCGTAACGCTCCTCACCACCACGGCCCTCGTAGGAGCGACCACCACCACCGGAGTACGGCTCACGGGGCTCACGGGGCTCACGGGGAGGAGCCGCATCGTAGCTGGGGGAGGGTTGGCATCGCGGTCGTAGTAGCCACGACCCTCGCCACCAGCACCGCCCTCGGCAGGAGCGGCAGGAGCACCGCCGCCACGACGGTCATCACCACCACGACGATCATCGCGGCTGTAACGATCACCATAGCGATCGGGGCCACCAGCACCACCGCCACCGCGGTAACCGTGGTCATCACGAGAGTCACGGCGGTAATCGCGACCACCACCACCGTAGTCACGGCGGTAACCACCATCTCCACGGCCACCTTCTCCACGGCCATAGTCGCGACCGTACTCGCGGCGATCGTTGTAAGAGTCGTAGCGACCAGAGCGATAGTAGTCATCATCACGGCGACGCCAGTTACCACCACCACCACCACCACCACCCATAGGGCCACGGCGATCATCGTAGCGGTCTCCGCGACGGGGAGGACCACGACCATCATCTAGGGACGATTAGCTTCTATCAAAGCAAAGACGGACAGCGATAGAACTCACCACGCTTGGGGGGACCGAAGTATTTGCCAGGGGTAGGGGTACGGGGACGGCTGCGACGGGCCTTCTCGATGCTGAGAGTGCGACCCTCGATAACCTCACCCTGGAGACCTTCCTTGGCAGCATCGGCCTGCTCACCAGTGCTCATGTTGACGAAACCGAATCCACGCGACTCCTTGGAGTGAGGGTCCAACATGATGGAGCAGTTCTCGACATCGCCGTACTTCTCGAAAAGACGCGTGATGTCGGACTCAGTCAGACGCGGGTGGATACCAGTGACGAACAGGTTGGAGCCGGTGTTCTGAGCGCCCTCCTCCTCTTCTTCCTCGACGAGATGGGCCTTGCGCAGGGGGCCAGGGCGGCTGAAGATAAAAATTTAGCCAAGAGTCGAAAGCGTTAGATGTCATTGATATTGTTTACCTGTCCTCAGCTCGGCCGTTGGGGGAACGGCTGCGAGCACGGTCGGCTCGGGGCTCATCGCGAGGGGAGGCGCTACGGTCGCGGTCGTAACGGGGCTCGTCTGGGGTAAAACAAATCGCCTGGTCAGAAAGTGGACGTGTTGCTGTGATGAAGATACTTACCAGCGTAACGGCCGTTGTCGTTGTCGTAATCAGCCATGATGGTTAAGAGCAAAAGGTGATGGATGGGGGAAGGGGAAGAGGGAAGGAAGAGAAATCGAAGATAAGAAGTCTTGACTGGGGCGCTAGTCTTCCGGAAAGGAACAAACACTCCCGAGAGGCTGTAAGACAAACACGAGGGCGTGGAAACACCAAACAAAGAAAGAGCCGATGATATAGAGGAGAGCAATAATTGGGAAAGAGCAGTGGAAAGGAAGGAAAAAGGTTGTGGCAATGAAAATTTAGTTCCAGGGGGTGAGATGCATGTTGGACAGTAATGCAAGGCGCCAAGGCAGTTGCAGGGTAACCAACGCAACCCGGGCCATTTGGGGATACTGTACTCCGTACAGAATAGAATACTCTTTACAGGGTGCAATTCTTTAACAATGACCAATCTATACGCTACACCTTCTAAGAAGACTGTTACATGAAAGATGATAATCCAAATGGATTTCCATTGTCTGCATATTAAGCTACTCTACACAGCAAAAACCTAAACAAGATCGAATCCCCGAAAACTCCAGCCTGCGCCTCATGGTCGCTCATAAACTAAAGTATTCTCATGACTTGAACTGAATCAACGGAAGCGTCCGCGACGAGTCCGACGGACATCCTTCTGCGACTGGCCTGCGTTGGCAGACGCATTGTTTGAACCAGGATCGAGTTCATCATCGACCAGATCCTTGAGTTCATCCTCGTCCAGTTCACTAAGCTCCTCGCTCATCCCGCGCATAACATCCCGTCCGGTCCAGCGCTCCTCGTGAATGGTCGTGCCAATGGGATCAAATGGCTGCATGTACCATGGGATGCCGCCCTGTGCAAGAGGCAGTCGCTGGTCCTCTTCAGTCAGCACTGGGGTTGGGTGGCGACGATAGGTAGCGTTGATGTTGGGTTTGGTTTCGTTGGGAGGGACAGCCTCGTTGGCGGCAGTGTCCTCGGGAGCGGTCTCTTGGGCATTTTCAGTCTCATCCTCAGCCAAGTGAGACTCGGTCGAAGCCGCTGCGGTCTCTGCTGTAGGTTCGGTAGGTTCAACGCCCTCCATGGATTCGGGCTTGGTGTCAGGCTCGCCAGCCTCAATTCCAGTTTCTCCTTCGAATTCGATCGAGTCACGGCGAGACATCAAGCTGCGGTCGAGAATGACGTCGAGTTCCTTCAATTCCTTCTCGAAAGGCTTGCGGTTCAGCTCGCTCTCCTTTCGGATCGCATCCTCCAAGGCGGGCTGGATAGACTTGATGATTCGCTTGGCCAACTTTCGCTTCTCGCGTTGCTCCAGACTCAGCTCTGGCGCACGTCCACTGATCTGCTCCTGCAGAGCCGCGGTATCACCGGCAGGTGCAACGCCTATTTCAGAGGTGAACAGGCTGGCTAGGTCGGCAGAGAAAGAGGCAACAGAGGGGTAAAATCTTTCTTGAAGCCGTTTGCGGATGGACAACATGCCCGCGGCAAAGGTGCCTTTGCTATCAAGACTGTATACAAGTTAGCTTCATGCGTGCTTCAAACAGAGAAGATGTGAGATGTGACTTACGCTTGTGCTTTCTCAAAGATGGGCCAGAGAAGTGGGAAGATCGGGAAATAGACAGTGTCAACGAGGGTGCGAAGCATGTACGCGTCCTTGAGCTTCTCTTCCTCTCGCTCTTTTACCAGGCGACACATCTCGCGGAGTTGCTCAACATCCTTGTGAAGGAGCTCGCCGAATTCGATGCGGCGTTGCAGGCGCTTATGGCCAGTGACGCCCATGGCGACATAATCTCTGCGTGTCATCTCCATGGATGAGAAGGTTTCCAGCTGCAGTTGCAGCCGCTTCAGAAGTGCAGCGCCTCTTCTGGCCTCGCGCTTGAGGGTCCAGTACTTGCAGGCCTCTTCGGCGTAGTGCTTGCGGCCACGGACGGTGAATCTTCCAAGGGCGGCGACGACAGAGTCGAGAACGACCTGGGGGATGACGGGGGCACCAGAAGGAAGCTTCCAAATAGTTTTTGGAACACGTTTGCGTTTGTTGCTGCCGCCAACTGTCAACGTGAGGCGAGGGGTATGGACCCGCTCTTCTTCATCCTCCCCATGAGCTGGTCCCAACGACAAGGCAGCGGCCTGGCTATCACCCCACCGACGACCCTGCATTGTGTCGCGGTAGTACTCAATCGCATCAGCAGTCGCAGCATCAGTTCCATGTTCCAACCGCCATTCTGGAGGCACATGCTTGTCACAGAACGCTTTGAGGAGATGTGAGTCCATAAGTCCATGCCCTATTTTCATCTTGAGATACAGCTGAGCCCGCCGTGCACATGAAACATGGAACGCAACGAAGCAGTTCTTGTTGCTGCACTGAATGGAGGCTCCCATCTTTTGCTTACAGATGTAGCAAAGCAACTTCCAGCGGCTGCGCGGAACTTTCTCAACATCGGTGACTGGCTCCATCAAAGACGGGTTCCCGATTGAAACCTCTGGGATCCAGATGGAACAAAGCAGGTGAGCCCATTTTGATGAAGTGGTCTGTTTGAACGCGCCCTCAGTGTTGGGGCAGAAGATACAGTTGGTGTGCCCGCGGCCCAGAAGCTGACACTTGCGGCAGAGCCATTGACCCTCCGGAATGAAAGGCACGCCATAGCACTCTTGGTGAACAGCCAAGTCACAGCCATCGCAGAAGACAATCGCATTCGAGTTCTCGCAGTCGCCGTCATCACAGATAGCACATTTACTGTCTTGTTCTTCACCAGGTCCGGCAGTTTCACCGTTCACCGCGGCGGCAGAGCTGGAGCGCGGCCGGTGCGTCTGTGGGGGCTTGGGATTCGGCTTCGGGATTCGCTTCTCGAGTGCATGCCACTCTTTCTCTATCTTGGTCATGGTGATCTCGAAAATAGCAGGCTTGATGGGCTCCAGCTGGTCCTCTCGACGCTTGGAGTTAAACTCGTCCAGCCATTTCTCATCCTGCTCATCCATGTCGTACTCGACCCGTCCAATGATGGCATTCACGTCGCCCTCGGCAACGGCGGGCTGGATGATATCCATGTCGTCTTCTTGCGCTCCCTCGGTCATCCGAATGAAGCGCCTATCATGGCGAAGGAACAGATCACTCTCTTGATACCCAACGCTGGCCATCGTTCGATCGACATAGTTCTGTTGTCCAACACCTTTCTTCTCATAAAAGGTAAATGGATCCTTTTGGCGGAATGACGGCTTGGGCAAAGTCAACTTCTCCCGAGGGTTGGGACCCGGTGGCGGAATCACCTTCGGGCCTTGTTGTTGTGCAAGCAAAGCATTGAGGATAGCTTCGGGGCGACGTGGCGGACGTCCAGGCCTACGCTTAAAAGGAATAGGAGACGCGAAGTCGGCGGAATGAATGATAGGACTGCCCGAGTTATCCAAGACACTGGCGCCTGCGATGGACTCTAGTGTCAGGGCATTGAGAGCAGGATCAGCTGCATCTACCTCGGCCGAGGTGAACACAGCAAGCTTGCCATCGATGTCTAGATCCGGGTGGAACTCCTCCCAACCCCGCTCCTCGCGCGGTTTGTATCCATCTCCTTGTTGCAAAGCCAGGGCTGCGGCTGTCGACGAGGGGAACCGACCTCGGTTCTCCCTCTTATCTCTTCTCGGGCGCGTCACGGAGGGGGGTGTAGTGGGCACAGGGGGTGGTGGCGGAGGAGCGTGAATCGGGTGTTCAGTGTCGCGCGCGGGACGGCTTCGCGAACTCGTGGAATGGCGCCGCGGGGTACCGGATGGCTTTTTCTTCGGAGTGGTCTCTTGTTGTCGTTGCGCAGCCTCGAGGTTGACAAATCTTCCGCCACCTCCAGGACCTCCAGGCACGTATCTGCGCTTCTTGTGAGGAGGGCCTTCTGGGGAGTCTACGGCACTGCGCGATGATTTCAGAGATGACTTGGGTTGAGATGATCGTGAAGGACGCCCGGGAATAGAATGTCTAGACATAGGCGCCATCGTTCCCATGCAGCTTGGGGAAGCTACGATGGTGATCGACGATGGGCGGGATATGACAGTCGACACGTCAGGTCCCAGGCCGCTCGTTCAGGGGTGGCAGGGCACTGGGGAAATCACCGGAAAGAAGGGGAGAAAGGAGAGCCCCAGGCGACCGGGTATTGAAAGGGCTGAAGAACAAAAACGAAGGTATTCCCAATCCAGTACAGGGCTGGTGGTTAGAGATTCGATTCAAGTGTTTTGTTATCCGGTCAAGGCGGAGACACCCGTTGCACGCCTCAGGCGCCCAAACTCCATCTACGCGGACTTGGCCACAGCTTCCCCGCATGCTCCTTGGCTGTTCTATTGGACTTGAATCCCTTTGATCACGTTCTCGATTTTCAACCCTTACAGCTATTCTACAGCCACAATGAGCGGCGCAGGTGAAGACAGGTATGCTTCTACAACCACAGCACAGTCTCGTCCATCTCCAGGCTCAAGCTAATCATGTCTGTCCGTCCCAGATGGCGCGGGCCTGCCCGTCAGTCATCGCAACGCCAGTCAGGCAATGGAAATCGCGACAAGTCAGGGGGACAAGGTGGCCCTCGAGGTGGCAACTCATCATGGGGTGCTTCTAGCCCAGCGCAAGATCAGCATGTACCTGTTCGGGGATTCAATGCCATGGAGGCCAAGAATGTTCTGAAGAAAGGTAAGCACGGTCGGGTCGTGTCTATGGAGGAGAGAGTAGAGGATTGTACTGACATTTCCCTTGATTCCACAGGCCCTCATGGTATGTCTTAACTATTCGGATGGTACTCGCTCTACGTCTACATACAGTCATCTAATCCCTCCGACACAGAACCGAAAGCACTCTTCTACAAACCGGCCGGCAAGGACTCGAACAACCAGCGATCAGGTGGCCCATGGGGCTCGAAGTGTACGTTCACAGCGGCCATATCCACATCCCTTCGAGCGATAGTTACTGATCTTCGAATCTGCAGCAAACACAATGGCGAACGGAAAGGACTTCTTCATCGAGCTCCGGAAGCAAGTCGCCTCCCTCCAACGTGGTGGCCCTCCTATCGGCGGTTGATTCGGATTCGAATGGTGGATATTCTCTTCTTTCTTCTTCAAAAACATTCTGTATTGCACAGTGAACTGGTCATGGATTTGGTTCTTCTGCACGGTTAGAGCGGCACATCATCGATACCCTACTCTGGAGGCATAATGGATATGATGGGAGGACCTGTATGGGAGCATAGCCATGTTTGCATTGCTCTCGAGCTGTTAAAAAACATTGCATCGGCGTCTTTGATCATGTACTCTAAGGCTTGACTTGCTGCATGTCTCGTGTACAGTTGCATCTTGTACAATAGCTTGTACGACTACCTGTATGATGTGGAAAAAACTGAGTCGTGGTATCCCTACAACAAATGAGGACTACATATTCAAGTAACACCGGCGTCAAGAATATACAACTCATTGAGTAGAATGGTTTGGCTCTAATATACAATAGGGTATCGCTAAAATACAGTCCAAGTATACATAATCTTACAGAGGCAGTCCATCTCGAACCCATCCAGCAGGCCCCAAGACTCCACCATCATCAGCCTGCAGATCAAGAGTCCACTTGCGGAGAGCGCGACAACTCAAATTAGTCCGCCATCCAGCCTCAAACATCTCAATGCCCGCCCATCCAATCATGGCCGCATTATCCGTGCACAAATATGGAGGCGGAGCGACAACCTTCATATGTCCAAAGCCACGGACATCCAGGAATGATCGCAGAACGTGCATTAGGAACTTGTTGGCCGCTACACCCCCGCTCACGACGAGGGTCTGAATTTCTTCCTCATCGCGGTGTCTCAAACGGAGGGCTTCAAGTGCGATGATCGTTCGAGACGAAAGATGCTCGAAGCAAACACGCATCGCTTCTCTGCCTAGATCGACTCTCTCTTCGTCGGATAAGCTGCCCTCCTTGTCTTTGACAATCTTGTTGACCATACTTGCAACGGAGGAGAAACTAAGCTGTAAGGCCCTGGTGTTTGCAAATGGTGTCGTCACGCTCCATCCCCACTGACTTTTACGCTTGACCACCTCCTCACCGCGGGTCATCGGCGGTCGATAATCGGCGAAATCGGCGGGTCCATTGGGAAAAACGAATTGCTCCAAGGTCTTGCCGTACATGGTCGTTTTCGCCTCCTGCAGTAGAGTAGGAGGTATGATCTCTCGGGCAGCTTTATCCAGTGTCTCGCCCATGGCAATATCATCGCTGGATGCCATGATCTTGTGATCTGTTAGAGATTTGGAATGAACGATGATCGAATGACCCCCCGAGACGAGTAGAGACAGGAACGGGAATTGCGGTGATGTCAAGTTTGGAGAACTCGAGTCTTTAGTATTTTTCAGACATGACACTAGTCGGGGAGTCAGCAGATGCGCTTGCATGTGGTGAACTCCCACCATGGGGATCTGCCACGCAACGGAAAGCGCTTTCCCGGTATCCAGCCCGACCGACAAGTTGGAGCGCATGCCGGGACCTCTGGTAGCAGAAATAAAGTCTGGCCGCTGGCGGGTTGACCCATCAGCTAGTTTGATCGACTCGGTCCCGCCATTGGAAATCGGTAAACTCTGGAGAGCTTTATTGACAAGATCGGCGAGGTTCTCTTGGTGGGATTCGAGGGCGAGGATAGGATGAATGCCGCGGTGAGCTCGAGAGTCGGCGGTGATATTTTCAAGGAAATGAATCTTAGCCTGGTCTCCGGTCGATTCATCGCTCTTCTTCTCAACGATCGCAACGGATGTGTCGTCACTGTGCCAAACAATTGCGATTAGCGGCATCTGACGGACAAGGAGTTTCGGGCTAGATTCAACATACCATGATGATTCAATCGCGAGGGTGAGCAAGCCCCGTCTACATCGCAGAATGCTGCGCAATGCGCCCGTTGTCGACCTGCGTAACGTCGCAACTGGACCTCTTGACAAGAACATTGGTGAGGTTAATCCGATCGTCAACGGACGCGCCGGCAGAAAAGATTAGATCGGGGATGCACGGGCCAACTAAGCCCTGAAAGACTGCCCTAAACTCGACAACAGCAAGGCTTTATAGTTCGGAGAATAGTGGAATAGTGCATGTTAGTTGTAAGTTTCCGAGGTCGTGATTTCGAGATCAATAACCTTAGAGACTGTAATCATAATTTGCAAAATTGAAAGGAAGAAAGGCAGAACATAATCTAGCCTTCGAAAAAGTACGCTCATATAGATTCTATCCTAGGTAACAACACGCTTCTAATCCTGGAAGTTGAGTTCGTAACGTTCAAAACTAATTCAATTGAGTGATTACATAGGAGATGTTTCAGCGCTACCTAATCAGCAAAGCACCGGTGCCTTTTCCGTTAGTCCTTCAAGGCTTCGTATGTGGCTACATAACTGCTTGCTTGACACCTCGAGGGCCCTAATGGAGTAAAAATATACAGCACGAGTACTTCTTCAAGGTAAGGACTGAATTGGTTAAACTAATTGCTTATGCTAAATAAGATCATAAATCGGAGGCCCGTCAACGTCGTAAGATATAATCGTCGGCTCAAGACACGGAGACACAGTCATTTTCATGGCCCTGAATTGGACCGAGGCCGCATTTGTAGTAAGCTTGAGTCGGCTCTCAAGAGTCTCAGTAGCTTGGGCTGTCAGGTAGCGGATACAGCTCTGTGATCGGTATCGGCGAGCTGGCTCAATCGTAGCATGCTGCAGGCCTGGTGTACCGGATTGGGAGATCGCAGACTAGGTTCGTTGGCAATGGCATGCATTCCCAAGGACAATTTTTGATTGCAATGGTTTGACAGTCCTTGTTTCTTGGAGCAGAAGCGGCCATCGGCGGTTTGACACGTCTAGAAAGTACACAAGATAGTTCACTCGCGGACAATCCATCGTCGTTCCTCTCGGGAAATCTTGGTGTGCTTTCCGTAGTAATCATCGGTATTCTCAATTGGTGTCACACAGTGAATAGTAGGCGTGCCTTGGAATTGAATGCGCTTGTCTGCGGCGCTTGATCGCACCGACGAGTTCTTCTTGAGGATGCTCTTCGACGAGCACGAGTTGACATAAGAGTAACTTGGGACTTGCAAAGAAGAGAAACGCTTGGCTGCTGGGCTTACGGGCGAAATTGGCGTCCGGGGAGCAACGGGCGACTTGAGCGACAGAGATGGTCGCGTGGTATTTCCAGTGGCGATGCTCAAGGACAGCTTGGGCTTGGTGGCGGAGCGAAGCATTTTGAATAAGATTGACTGAACACGGAATCAAAATTTTGTAAAGATGACAATGACAATGAAGACTTGTTATCACAGGGTATAGTTTCGATCAACGAAGATAACCCAGGAGAAGTTTGGAGAGAGAGAGAAAGACGATTATTGACGTAGTAGACTTAAGAAGATACAATCTGGGGGATAGGCAAGCAAAAAAAGCTCGTTTGGACCAGCCAGAACGAAGCGCGGACGAAAATAGAACGAGAAGAAAATAGAAAATCTCAAACAACGATGCAGAAACGACGAAGCAAAGTTGGTCCCTGAGGTGGGTATGGGCGGCTATATACTGAGTCGCGGGCGGGGGAAGAATCCCTCATAGCCACTGGTAGCCAACCATCGCTGGCTGTCTACGCGCCCAGCCTATGCAACTCACCGCACAATCACTGTCCTCATCACGCATTAGTCCCAACCTTCAAACCTTGCAAGGCTAGTTGGAGACCTTCACCCAGCTATCCCATCCAATCACTATGGTTTTCGGCCATTCCTTGGTCCGAGAGGATGTGATGAGCCGTGATGGGCTGTGATGGGCCAGTCTGCCTGCAGCCATATGCACCTCTTTTCTAAGGCAGCCATGCCAGTGGCTGGAGAGCAGAACCTTCCCACCAGTCTTGAGTCGTGAATCAAATAGGAAGGAGTATCAATCAGCTTAGCATCCCGTTCGGCCGGTTGAAAATGCCGAAGACGCGGCTAGGAGCCACCTGCATTACTGTGACTTTCTCCGTGTTGCCGTCACTAACAGTAGGTCAAGGAAGCACTATGACTGGCACTCTGAGCAAGTCCTGCGGTCGCGCGGCATGATGTCTATCTGAAATCAAATAGGATAAGCTTTGACTTGAGTTCATTGACTTGTACATATACTTTACATCGTAGGTAGTGTGCTTTGATGTGGGACCATCGTCCAACATGTCCATGCCTCGGCAGATGGCTCCGATAGTATATACCCACTTAGGCAAGACAGTAGTGAGCGATTAGGTTCTTTAGGATCAAACGTTGTACCATACTACGAATGGTGTCTCGTCGTACTTTATGTTGTACATGTACGGATCCCTGAAGCAAGCTATGGTACATTACATATTCAATTGTTTAAAAGTAGTTACCTCCAGTCTGTAGTGATTTGTCAGGACCCTGACCAATCAGAAAAGGACGCTTCTCAACACTTCGATATAACCAAATGCCACAGTAAAATCAAGAAGAAAAAGAAGGGTTCCAACAAATTGATTGATAAGAGCAGAAAGTATTGCATGGTCGGCGCATTATTACTGAGAAGAGGAGATCTTGACGAGGCGACCGTTTTGAAACAAACGCCATTCCATCATTGTCCAGACTCTTGCCTGATAGGGAGATCTACGGAACGGCAAGGCTCTCAACCGCAATATAAGTACTGGGCGGAGGAAGTCAGCGGAAGAGCCTCTTTCCCAAATAATACTAGTGTATTCGGGGACCCGATTGATTAACTTTACACCCAATGCCAATTTGAATAGCTCGACTCCATATGTGAGGGTGATAAGTGTAGTTATAGCAGTTGCTGACATTTAGCTACGACTATAGGAATAGTCGGTCTACCTTGAGTAACCACAAGAACACTTATCAACCACCTTTGTCCCACGACCTCGGTCACAAGTTTTCAACCGTTGAGCCATCAATCATGATGAATAGAGCCTGCGAGGGTCTGCTCCGAAGTGGGGGGGTACTTTTCCCCACGCAGAGCTTCGTAAGCTTTCAAACCGGGAACACTAATCCCAATCAGGAAGGAGTCTGCTCCGCTTGCTTCTGGAAAAATATCATAGTCAACATCCTCAAACGTGGCAAAGACATTACAGCGCGAATCACAAAAAAGACTCGATGTTGGTGAGAGGAGAAATGCCCACACTTGGCGAAATTTCTGCATCACTAGTCGGTGCCCAGCAGACAAAGAAGATATGTCTCTGGCAGTTTTATATCCTCCGAATCCACTTTCTATCCTTCCTAACACCGACGGGACTTATGAAACGGACCTGTGTGATCAAATAAAAAAAGTCCAGCTTCCCCAGAAAGACACAAGTTTTTATATCTTCGAAAATGCGGACCTTTACAATGTCTCAACAGCCCAGTTCGGGGCCATGCCACCACAGCGAATGCAACCACAGTGAATGCCAAATACCTAGTCTCTCTCTCACAGACTACGGGCTGTACCTCAGTCACCAACTGAACAGTCGGATGCTAAGTCTTGGAAATTGGAATCTACCCTGCTTCGCTCTCGCAGAACAATCACGGAATCACAACTTTGTCGGTCGAGAAGACATCCTCCATTCAATGGATACATATCTCCTTCCGCAAGAGATATCTCCCGCCGATATGACCAGTATCCGCAGCTATGCCATCTGCGGAGCAAGCGGTATTGGCAAGACAGAGCTAGCTATCGAATATGCTTATTCAAGAAGACACCAATTCGGCGCTGTCTTTTGGCTGCATGCTGGTAATGCAGCTCAATTAATGTCCGACTTTTGTCAAATACCGGGCTACCTCGGCCTTGCAAATGCATACAGCCATCCCACTCTTGAATCAAGGAAGAAGCTTGCAAAAGCGTGGCTGAATAATCCAAAGAAGAGCGTCGATTGGGGCGTGAATTGTCGTTGGCTGTTGATCTTTGATAATGCCGATTTGAATGTTATTGCGGATTACATTCCACATGGTGGCAATGGATCGGTTTTGATTACAAGTCGGAATTATGCAGCAAAGGATTGTTTCTTTGAGAATGGACCCGGGGTTGATCTGAGTCCTTTTTCGAAGACTGGATCGGGGTGATCAGGGAGATTTGTGGAGATAGCGAGCGTGTCAGGGGTGTGCCCACGGCCATCACCCAGATTGCTGAATCCATTCAAGATGGGTCTTTGGAATTTCGAGAGTGCAGATTCTATTTGTTTCTGTTGACAGAGCCGAAGGCTTGGATATCAGTCGAATGTGATACTTGTGAGGACCAAAGATATGAAATGGTCGTGTTGGTTCATGATCAGGTCAGCTCGCTGCTCAGTTACGTGACACGCCTTTATGATTGTGGCAGAGATTGGACAACGGAAGGACTGTGTGATTCCAGCGTTGAATTTTACCACATCTCATATTTAAGCATTTTGGCCGGTTAGCGAATGTGATTTTGCAGTCAATTTGACCATTGATGAGTCTTGTCCCCAGATTTTGGAGCTTCAATAGCGTGCTCTTCCTTTGATCGGCATATCTTCCTTGAGGCATGATTATAGATATTTTAAGACAACATCCTCACCTCACAAATTCTAGTTCCAACCCGCCCATCCCTCATTATACTTTTCCATCGGCAAATCATCCATCGTTATCCCCAACTCCTCATGACAAGCACAAATCTCCTCCCAAACAAGCTCATCCTCACTCTTCACCCACTCCGGATCCTCCGGCCCCTCAGGATCCGTACAATCCACATGCCCCCCCGTGACAAGCACAAGGTCCGTCTCTCTCAGCATCCCTTCCCAATCCGAATTAATCCTATCAACATCAAGGTAGATAGACGGCTTCTTCATTTCCGCGGGTGCATTCACTGGCACGGCACCACCAAGACTAATCCATATCTCGCAGTTATTCCACATATATCGATCTAATTGGATTATCATTTCAAATAGTGTTCCCATGCGGAGTCCGTTCTTTTGGGGTAAGGCTTTTTGTTGGTGCCAGGTTTGTCCCATCATTCCGCTGCCCATGATGAAGCGGCCGATTGTGTGGAGTGGGGGTTGGGTTGTTAACATGTGGCGCCAGCTTGCTTCGGGGCGGAGGTGTGTTTTGAGGGTTTTGTGATTGGAGGTGAATGGGAGGGTTGTGAGGGTTGTTTTTGGGATTGAATCGTTGTCGATGGTGGAGGGGAAGAATGAGGGGAATGTTTCTGCGAGGAGGGGGTTGTAGATGCGAGGGTTGCTTGGGTCCTTGGATGTATGATCTGGGACCAGGAAGAGGGCTTTTTGTAATGAATGTGAGGTCTGGATGAGATTTGACCATGCTCGACATACCCGTTGGGTAGTGATTAGTGTGCGCATGTCCATTTGGTGCATGATTGATGTCACGATCTCGGGGAGCACGAGGGCTCGAGTCGAGGCTGTTTGTTTGACGTGCGGTTGCATTGCGGTTGTGAGAAGAGTTTTGTTTATTATCCTCGAAGAGAGAGTGAAGCAATATGGAGCATCACAAGTGTGTTTAGCTGCGGTTACTACATAAAAAAGAGTCAGCCGCATCGCTCACAATGGTGGGGTCTGTTGCTGACCTGAGCAGGCACCACTTTCCTGGAACGTTAGACCCTGTATCGATCAAACAGATTAAGTGTTCTCTATCTTACTGACATTAGGAGTTCATATTACCCAAGTCAATAGAGATTCTAAAACCCAGGGCTAAAATAGTGTGCTATGCAAATACCTCCCCTTAGCCTCGATTTCCTTTTTCGACCTAGTCAAATTCTAAAACCCAACACCTGTATTCTCACCACACGGCCAATTAACAATAATATCTTAGTAGTCTTGTAAGAACCAGTGACGAATGAGGCTTCGGTAGACAAGAATCTACGTGGACTGGAGACAGCCGGGGTATTCCCAGTTAGGTACAGTAGCTCTCGAATCTTTCAGCGGTTCACTTCTCCTTCTCAAACTGGATGCTAGCCCTCAGCTACTTTCATATCTGTAAGACCCATAATTCAAGCATCGTATTCTTTGACATCATTCACTATTCCTTCTGTCAGCGTCCCGTATCCCATGGGTGTTCTTAAAAACATCCTAGAGCCAGCTGGTAAGTCAACCGCCAGAATTCCAATTAATGGACCACACTCGAATTCTGTTAGCTTTCTCTTCGGAGGCTGATATAATCTGGAATATCGACTGCGGCTATTTTCGTACTTGGCGCGTGGATTAACAGGCGTGATGATCGTAGCGATGGTGTCGACGATGATATCCGTACACCACTCTTGCACGAGGACGACTCTGAGGAAGAACGGGATGCCCATGGCGAGCCTGAGGAAGACACGGTAATCGAGCCACCAAAATATAAGTCTCGACTATGGCTTCATTGCCGCTTGCTAGCGCGGTATCCCTTCCTTCTTGAAATATGGTACTGGCTGCTGATATACTGGGTGCACAACTCTTCTCGGTTTGCCGTGATACCATCCAAGAACTGACTCGATCTAGATATATCAAGGCGGCCGAGCTATTTCCGCACGAGTCATCGCCAACAGCGAAGCTGTCTTCCAGAAAGCAGAGCACCATGCCATCCAAATCCTCTCCTTCGAGCATACCCTCCGCATCGACATTGAACTCTCCGTCCGGCGATTTATTTTACGCAAAGTACCCCGGCTAATGGACATTCTCACGGGCATATACTACTCCCACATCTTCGTCGGTGTCGCCTTCTACGTCTACTGCTACACCTACCTCCCGCACAACAAATACCAAGCTATCCGACGGACACTAGCCCTAATGAACATCATCGCGTTCGTGATGCTCTCGCTCTGGCGATGCACGCCCCCGCGTCTATTACCAGAAGAATTCGGCTTCATCGATGTACTGCAACGCGGGAACTCCGGGTTCTGCGTGGACGAGGAATAAATTCCAACTCACTATTGCGGCGATGCCGTCTTTGCATTTTGGTAGTTTGGTGTTTATTGCCGTTTGCACGGTGGTGTATAGTCCGCACGCGTTGCTTCGAGTGTTAGCCCCGTTGTGGCCGGTGATGATGGGGTGGACGGTGATTGCGACGGCGAATCATTTTGTTGTTGATATGGTTGTTGGTGTGGTGGTGGTTCGTTGTGCGTATTATTTGAATTGGGTTATGGTGATGTTGGTGCTGGTTGAGAGGGTGTTATTTCGCTTGATTAGGTTGGAGAAGCCTCGGTATGTGGGTGATGGGTAAGTCGGCAGGTATACCGAGGAGCCTTGTTTATACTGATAGGTGTCGGCCGGGGTAGCATGGGAAGGACACACCGGTTTCGGTGTTGGGGTCCAAACCCGCTATTCTACTCCGTACAGTGTTCTAAGTGTGTGGATTGATGCCATTGACAGCTTTATGATGGCCGGAGCAGGCCGTGGCTGGTATTGGAACTCCCTATTAGGCAGGTTTAAGCGTCGGTGCAAGAGAAAGAGGCATACGTCCATACCTCGGACATGAATAGCTACAATGGAAATAAGGGCTGGCAGGCAAATTATGGGCATGTTTTGGCAATATTAGACATTCATTATTAAGGCCAAGAGAGACCAGTTATTAGTTATTACTATATTGCCTAAATCCTGCACCATCATCATCATCATCATAACCCCCCTATATACTCCGTCCATCCTCCATCCAACTAGCAATAATATAACCCGGTCATTCCCCCCAAGGATCTTTCCCCATTTCAGCCACGGTGAGGAGAGCTGCGGAGAGACCAACACCCGACAAGGCGGAGTTAAGCCGAGACTGGTCGGGGGGCCCGCTGGGGAGAAGAGGGGAAGACCAATAGTAGGTACATACTGTAGTGTTCTCCAACTTTATGACCATCTAGAATTCCAGAACTCGAGAAGTTCCTTATTCTCCCCTCAAGCGGACCCGCTTGTCTGCTCCGCACCGATCACGGCGGCACCCGAGAGTTATCGTGGGCTTTTTTCCCACTCACAGGACATGTGAAATGGGGGACCGGTAATGGAGATGTTTCTCCCGGTTTTACCCTTCCGAAGATCTCGGATGGTCACCTGAACAATTTTGGCAGTGAGCTAGCTGGGCGATGTACAACTCCGATTCCGTAGGCTCCGTGTGACTCCATTTTACCCCAGTCATCGTACTCTTTGTATGTACTTAGTAGTACTGTAGATTATTGTCTGAAGTGTACTTCATGCTGACTGCATGTCCAGATTGTTGTTTCTGCTGGTTCTCGCCAGGGGTTCGGTGTGTCCTTTATTGGCTGAAATTGTGTTTTTAACCGTGGCTCGTGGTGGCAACGAAGCCCGTAAAATTCCTTCAGGCTGGACTTTGGATCTGGGATTAGATCTTGATCGTGGTGATAGCTAGATCAATCTTGCATATTAAAGGTAGGGTATATATATAAAAAGAAGGAGACCATAATTTGGATCAATTCCTTCTTATTCTCATGTTAAATGCGGAGAACATGATCGGGTTCTCACAATAGTCCATACTAAGTACTCCGTACCGATCGCGGGTAAATCGCCTCCGAAAAAGGCCCCAGGGGCGGTGAAAAACTCATACATCGCGTGGCCAAAAACATAAAAGTAAATCAGTTGAAAGAAGTACAGGAATATCATTATTAGACTATCAAACAAACAATTGCCCTCTCACTTCACAATTCTTCAATCTTAGTCAATTCAGAGAAAAACAAAAAAACAAAAAAACTTCAGCGCGATTTGTTCGGGGCCAACGGGTTCCTCTCTCCTCTATTATTATCGCGAAATAATCAGCGGCGGGTTCATCATTCCTTTTTGACTCAACCCGGTCCCCGTTCTCCACCTGAGATCTTCCCTTGCCTTTTCCCCCCCTTCCCCCAGTTTTGTTGTGCGGTGGATTTTCTCCGTTGGGTTGCTCCCTGTCACTTTTACCTTTTGGTCCTACAGTCCTGTTCGCGGTGACACAATGGCGAGCGTCAAGGAAACCGTCAAAGAAACTCTCGTTGGCAGCAAAGAGGCGCCCGAGCTGTCGCACCAGGCCCGCTCCATCTTCGTGCGCCACGCGCAAAAGGACGAAAATGGCGACCTGTTCATGACCGAAGATGAGTTTATCAATGCAGTTGCTCCCAAGCAGGAGGACTATGTAAGTATCATTCTGGATCTGTTTCAATCCCTTCGACTACCTCGTGTCCTCGTTCCTTCGCATGGAACTCCGAACAAGTCGGGATCTCGAAGAGACCAACCTGGCTGACCCCAATCCTCCTCAATCTAGCACAAAATCAAGCGCGAGCAATATGGCATCCTCTTCCGAGTGGCAGACCGACGGAGAACTGGCAAGCTCAGCCTCGCCGACTGGGCCACCTTCGAGAACCTCCTTGCGAAGCCCGATGCGGAGTACGAGATTGCGTTCCGTCTGTTCGACCTCGAGGGCAGCGGTACCGTGAAGTGGGAGACTGTCAAGGGAATGTACAATCAGAACAAGAGTGCCGACAGCATTCCCTTTGACTGGAACTCCGAATGGGCCTCCCTGTACACCGGCCGCACCAAATCGCGCCACGACATGACCTACCCCCAATTCTCCCAGATGCTGCGCGGTCTGCAGGGCGAGCGCATTCGTCAGGCCTTCCACATCTTCGACAAGGATGGTGATGGCTACATTGAGCCCGAGGACTTCCAGCGCATCATCCTGGAAACCTCCCAGCACAAGCTCTCCGACCACCTGCTCGAGAACCTGCCGACCCTGTGCAACATCTCGACCAGCAAAAAGATCTCTTATGCTACTGTCCGCGCTTTCCAGAACATCATGCGCGAGATGGACATTATCGACTTGATTGTCCGTGAGGCCACCCTCAAGAGCACTGACGGCAAGATCACCCGCTCCGATTTCCTGAATGAGGCCGCCCGCGTCACCCGCTTCTCCCTGTTCACCCCCATGGAGGCCGATATTCTCTTCCACTTCGCCGGTCTGGATGCGCCCTCCGGCCGTCTATCCCAGAAAGACTTTGCCAAGGTTATCGACGCCTCATGGCGTATCCCTGTCGCAGTTGCAGGTCAGGCGATGGAAGCTGCAGCCACCAAGACCGAGGCCTTCTTGCACAGTGTGTTGGAGTCGGCGCACCATTTCGCCCTGGGTAGTTTGGCGGGTGCTTTCGGTGCTTTCATGGTGTACCCCATTGACCTGGTCAAGACCCGTATGCAGAACCAGCGGTCCAATCGTCCCGGTGAACGCCTCTACAACAACTCGCTTGACTGCGCGAGGAAGGTTATCCGGAACGAGGGTTTCACTGGTCTGTACTCGGGTGTTATCCCGCAGTTGATCGGTGTGGCTCCGGAGAAGGCTATCAAGCTGACCGTCAACGATCTTGTTCGTGGCGCCTTCACTGACAAGGATACCCACAAGATCTGGTATCCCCATGAGATCCTGGCTGGTGGTACTGCTGGTGCCTGTCAAGTGGTGAGTTGGCACAATTTTTGATCAATACTCATGCTTTTTAAAATTAACAATCTCTTTCTTCTCAGGTCTTCACCAACCCCCTTGAGATCGTCAAGATTCGTCTGCAGGTCCAGGGAGAGATTGCCAAGAACGTCGAGGGTGCTCCCCGCCGCTCTGCCCTCTGGATTGTGAAGAACCTTGGTCTCGTCGGTCTGTACAAGGGTGCAACCGCTTGTCTGCTGCGTGATGGTAAGAACAATCACCTAACAATGAGTATTCAAACTGATCTGACCAAATCTAGTTCCCTTCTCCGCCATCTACTTCCCCACATACGCCCACCTGAAGTCCGACTTCTTCGGCGAAACCGCCACCAACAAGCTGGGCGTCGTCCAACTCCTCACTGCCGGTGCCATCGCCGGTATGCCCGCCGCCTACCTGACCACCCCCTGCGACGTGATCAAGACCCGTCTGCAAGTCGAAGCCCGCAAGGGCGAGACAAAATACACCGGCCTGCGCCACTGCGCCACAACAGTGTGGAAGGAAGAAGGTCTGAAGGCCTTCTTCAAGGGCGGTCCAGCCCGTATCCTCCGTTCCTCCCCACAGTTCGGTTTCACTCTCGCCGCCTACGAAGTCCTCCAGAAGATGCTCCCCCTGCCCGGCTCGGAACAGGACGTCTCCCCCACCGGCCAGGTTGAGCCTGGTGTTGGTCTCCGCGGCGCCAAAGCTCCCCTGCCATACCTCCGCTCAAGGAACGCCCTCAAGCTCATCCTGGATGTGGACCAGAATATCGGCCGAGTGCAGGTCCCTCGGCCCGAGAGCTGGCCTAAAATCATGCAGGCTGGTAAGCAGTGATGGTGATGGCCGGGTCCTTGTCTTTGGTTACATAGCGATATGATTTTCACAATTTCCGGGGGATTGCATGCTGTGTTCTTTTTTTTTTCTCTACATTTTTTACATTTTTTCTTGTGTGTCTCGCCCTCCCATCCGTTTAGCATCGAATTTTTCTTTTTTTTCATGTTCATTGCCTCCCATCTTTGGTTCTTTTCTCTCTTTTCCATTTCATCTGCATGGTATCCCCCATGCTACGTTTTTTCTTCGTGATCGAAAAAAGAACCCGGGGCTATGTGTTGCGTTGGGCTGGGATGAATGATCTTTTTGAGCTTGTTTTCCTGCCTGTTGCATGATTCATCTCTTATCCCCGACGTGTCTGTGGCCGGGGTGCACTGCACTGTATTGTATCAAAAAGGATAGATCTGGGGGAGAAAGGATGGAATGGGGGAGCTATATATAGATGGTGGATGGTTCCATGATTGTGTGTGTCTGTGTGTTGGGGGAAATTGGTGCGCATCGATACATCCTCCTCTGTGTGATGCTTCGAACTTGGGATCTTGTACAGTAACTTGGGTCCGATGGGGCTTGGGTTCTGGATATGGATTAGATCTAGAGCGGATAGAATTGGATTTTCCTGTTCATGACTATGACTATCTAATGAGGTGCTTGCTGTAGATGCTGAGTAATGTGGTCTGGATTATGATAGAGTAAAGGTAGCTCAATAGAAGCAGGAGGTTGTACGGTGGAATTGTGGGTATTTGCCCATGGTTGGGACAGGTATATACAAGTAAAAGTACATAGGATCCATTTGAGGATGTATCGGCGATAGGAGGGACCATCAGAGGGTATCAGAATCTCGCACAATTGGGTGTGGTTCCAGTGCGTAGACAGAGAATAGTGCTGTCGAGAAGCCCTTCACGAGCAGAGGTCCCTGAAGCAATATGGCAGGCCGCGAGCAGTCAAGTTCTTTTCAGAATATCGTACCTGATCCAAGACAATGAAGATCCGAATGAGCTTGCGCAAACAGCCACGATATCCCGTTCTCAGAAAAAGTTGACCTTCCGTGTCGACTGCGTCTTCTTCGTAGCATCCTTCTCACTCGTCGTATCAGGAACAACCGAAGCCGACTCTTTCTTCTCCAACTCCTGCATAGCCTGCTTTTGTTCCTTCTCTTTCTCTTTCTCAGCTTTTTGTTTTGAATGCCACTGCGCATCTTCTTGCTCAATCTGTCGCAGAACTGGTAGCACCAAAAAGTCAAGTCAGTAAACCTCCAACTTCCCATGCAATCCAATATCCATCCAGAGCTCAGTTCAGACATACCATGCTCCCACTCCAGCTCCTTCCCCTCATCCCCTGTCCCCAACAACTTCTCCACATCAACATTCTCCCCCTTCTGCACCCGCTCAATAACCTCCTTCAACAACTCAATCTTCGCATCCGCAGACCGGCGATACGCCGCATACCCTTTCTTCAAGGTAAGCAGCCGGATCGCCTGCGACCCGATCAACGTAAACATCACGATGTAGAATGTAGCCGGGTTCCATTCTTTTGATTCGCCTGCTTTGCGCGATTTGCGGGTCCGGATGAATCGGGGTACCATCGCGGTCCATACCGAGCTATCTGCGATTTTGGGGAGGCGCTCGGATGTAGCGTAGGATTTGGATGTGGGTGTGCGGCATGGTCTGGAGAGTATGGAGGTAAAGGAAGAGGAAGAGGGGGATGGTCGGGAGAGAAGGGTACGTGTTAGACCCGTGGGTCTTATTCGGAGGGGCATTGTCATTGTCATTGTCGTGCTGGTTGAATTGAGGGAGTGAGTGTCGTTGCCAATGCTGGTTGTATATCGATCGGGCGGGCAAAAGTGAGAGGTCCTTTCATGCCTGAGGCTCCAAGGCATAAATACCATATCGGGTATAGCGTTTATTGTTGCTACGACAACACGGCCGTTTTGGCGTTCCCACGGGTTCTGGCCGGTGATATCAGCAAAGCTTCGATTTGGAAGCCCGATTCGTGACCGCAGTCCGATCCAACTGTGAAGGTTCTCCCTCCGCCCACGCCATGGCGGTTACCGTCTTACCACCCAGCACGATGTCCGAATCCATCAAGCAGGCCGTGCGATCAACGTCAACATGCTCCGACGCTACCGTGTTGTCCCTCCAAACTCTCCTCCGCGGATCGTCAAAGGTGCCCGAGAAGCCTGTCCGAAGAAATACAAAGTCCAGCAAGGAAGTTCCTACGACGACAATTCGGGCGAAGACATCCAGAACGACGATAAAGACGCGAACTACAACCGAGACGACGTTGCATATTGTTGAACAGGATGGTCCTGCGTTGTCGGCCCAGGAGAAGCTCGTGCTTGCTACGGAGGTGTTCAATGTGACCCTGAAGACATTGACGGACGCGTCGAAATTGTCGGCACCCAAGCGCCAACCTACAAACTTGGACAATGTCTCGATCAAGTCGGGGAGGACCAATGGGACAGCTGTTGTGGATAAAGGCGTGTATGCGGCTGCCGAATGCGCGAGGTTAGCTTTGGCGACGTTACGAGCTCTTAAAAACGACCAACAATCACCGAATGAAATACCGAATATGCAACTCGAGCAGGGCGCGTGCGTGTTGGCGGGGAAATTCATTTCTTTGGGATTGAATGAGATGGCGTGTAAGGAACTCCGTTCTTTGAAGAGGAGGATACAGCAACATCTGGATGCGAAACAAGCTGGGAGGAAAGTTGCTTCGAACAAGGATGGTGGTGCGGATGAAGATACGGGTAAAGAGCGGATGTCTGATCTTCTCACGTTCTCGAACGTCGCCAATGGGGAATCTTTGTACGGATTACTGGTTTCATACCACGCAAATGCGATGCGGCTTCTCGTTGCTGAGAAGAAACCATCGACTACCGAACGACTCGTGCCCTTCCTGCAGATCTCTGATCAGAGTAGTCCTGCATTTATCATTTCTGCGGCTATGGAATCCGGGAATTTGACCAACGACAAGGCTGCTCTCCAATTGCAGCTCCTCTCCAACACGGTCCTGTCCCTATGCGCCAACAAGTCCTCCCCCACCGACGAACCGACAAGCAAGGATACATTGAAACCGATCACAAATCTCAGTTTACAACTTCTTTCTCTTGAGATTCGCTGCTTGGGGTGGAAAACATCCGGCCATGCCTGCGATGAAAACAAGGAAATGATCGATCCGCTTCTGCGCTACCTCGGTGGCTTCTCCCATCGCAGTAAGAGCATTGAGAAGGCGGAATTTGTGTCAATCTACAAGACAATCACCCGCATTCAAAGTTCAATGGCGGAAATCAAGAAACAGCACCAGGACGCCAAGGATATGAACTCGACTGCCAAGATCATGACCATCCTTGGACAGCTCGCTGTGGATGCTGGGTGTCTTGATGAGTCGTTGAAGCTCTTTTCCAAAGCGATTGCTCCGCTGTTTAATTCGCAGAGCCTTCCTCTGGCTACTGTTCGTTGCAAGATTGCTTCTGTCTATTTTCAGGGCCTGAAAGGTTCGAAGAGGTTCCTTGATGGAGCTTTGGCAGCTATCACTGATGCTAGTGGTGCATTGGGATTACAGTTACGAGGTAGTGTGAATGATTTGGATGAACTGGTGGTTGAATCTGCCAAGTTGAAGAAGCTTGCTCTGTCTTGGTTTGGCGAGACAATTACCAAGCCCGCGGACAGTGATAGCGAGAAGAACCAGATCGCTTCCCAAATCCGGGAATATCTCCAAGCCTTTTTGAGGTTGCTGCGGCGCTATGTTGGACGTGCTCCGGCAGAGGATAGTGATGAGAAGGAGATTGAGATGTTCAAGGCTCGCATTGCGATGTCCAAGAGCATTATTCTTTCAGGTGTGGACTCGGCTGTTGCTATTGGACGACTGTCAATCATGTCTCAGAGACCGCCATGGGAAGATATTCTCCCCATTTTGACGGATTGCCATCGACTACTCACGAGTATCGAAGCTACAGGGGGAGATGGTTCAGATTCATCCCTGGCCGAAAGCATTGGTGCTGCACTCGTCAAACTCTCTAATCTCTTTTGGTCTCGTTACATCAAGGAGAAAGAGGCTGGTCAGGGCTATCGTGAGCTTCTCCCTCTACTCAAGCAGTCAACTCAGGTGCTTTCTACTTGCTCGCCCGCCCATCGAACTACCGCATTCGCCGCTCTCAAGTTTGAGAGAACTGCACATCTGTACCTGGATGGTAAGAAGTTTGATGATTCCGAACAGGCCTTCAGGTGTTCTCTTTCCGAATACGTCAGTGCGGGCACTCTTGAGGATATCGCCAAAGGTAACGCAGGAGCTAGCCCTAGCATGCTGAACCATGACCCCCAGAGTCCTGGGTTTATGCTCAGCCGCGTTCTTTCTGCCTTTTTGAAGACCAAACTACGAAAGAAGGCTAAATCAGTGTCTGTCTATGATGACGAGGAGCTGGAACCTAGACGAAGAGGCATGCTGCTCGAATGGCAGATGGGCCTCCTTTGTGATCTCCATGGCTATTGCGCGAGCGAGGATGCCTTTCAATCAATCCTCAGCCCGGTGGTAACCAGTACTCTCAACATTTACTCCGCTGACCACCACCCCATTCGACACGGCCGAGTCATTCTCTCTGCTCTTCGTTTCCTGTTAGAACACCCCAATGCCATGAATGCTGATCTGACAGCAAGACTCATGGAAGAAGGAATGGAAGCTCTCAAGTGCGACAAGGGAGTCGGTCAGGACACAGACTTGGCTCCATTCGCAACACATATCACAAACTCTCTCCGCGTCATCATTGGCTTTCATCAAGGCAAGATGGATGCAGGTGAACTCGACGACACCCTTTCATCTTGGACCTCTATGGTTCGACAGTGCCCCGACTCCAAATCGTTGCTTCTTTGCGTCACAGATACCGAGTACTGGGTGCTTCAGCTTAAGGCTTTGGTGGATTACACCGAAATCCACGGCCTTTGGAAAGCTCAGCTCTCGGCCCTTGAATTGATTCTCCGTGCAGCAGAGCTGCTGCAATCTGGTGACCTCTCGGACGGAATTGTTATCCTTGCTCGACTGGTTTTGCAGCATTGTCGCCTTGGCCATTGCCAGAAGGCTGGGGATCTGCTTGCACGTGGCGAGAAGTATCTTGCTCAACATGAAGTTTCCTTGCTGGCGACTATTTCGTACAAACTTGCTCGGGTTGAGTATCTACTCGAGACAGGAGAAATTGAGAAAGCAGCGGCCACTCTCTCCGCGGCTAGAATCCTTTATCAGAAGGGTCAGAGCTCAGATGAGCTCCGCAATTTGACTGTTTTGTCCAAGATATCATGGGAACGTTTGGTGGCAGATGCTGCCTTTGTTCAGTCCCGGCTGTCGACTGCGCAGGGCTCCATGACCAATGCGTTGTACTTTGCCAAATTGTCTGTCAGACTCAATTGCCGGATCTGGGCGAAAGTGGAAAAGCTAGCTCAAAGGAAACAAGATCGATCATTGCCTTCCAATGGTGGCTCGGATGTCGAGGCTGTCGCCGAGGGTGTGGCTAAGCTTGATCTGTCCCAGAACGGGCTCTCACCTGATACATCTGTCAGTTATGTCCAGGGAGCTCCGTTCTGGCCACACCTTGGGTCCCATCACACCTGCCTACTGAATCTAGCAACTTTATCCGCCCACCATGGCCTGTTTCAGGACGCCATTTACTATGGAGAACAGGCTTTGAAGATTGATAGGTCACTGGATGCTAATGTACGACTTGTTGCTGCTCAAACCCAGCTTGGCTGTTACTGGATTCTTGGCGGCCATCTGAGCGAGGGACAAGATCTTCTTGCTGCGGCTTCTGACTCGTCCAAACAACTTCAAACGAGCGTCGAGACTGTTTCCCTGCATATGGCTCTCGCTTCGCTTTATCGAGTGCAAGGACAACATGAGAAAGCGCTTCGTTTGCTTCAGGAAGCGGAGAAGGCTATTGCATCTGTTACTTCTTCTGATGCAGTCAGCACCTCCGAAGGTCCAAATGTTGCTGTCCTTGAGGAGAAGATGGCAAAGTTGCAAGTGCGCAGCAGTAGGCGAACAGCATCGACTACTACCGCTGCTGCTGCTTCACCTGTGCGTCGCACTCGGGCGACTAGCTCAGCTGCTGCATCCCGGACTACAAAAAAGACATCCACTTCCAAAACACCGATGCCGGAGGTCCAGTCCAACTCCCTCCTCCGATTGAAGGGCGACGTTCTTCGTCAGCAAGCTGATTGTTTGCGTGCTCTTCGCGACTTTGACCGCTCCGCCCAAACCCTAACCGAAGCCCGACAATGCGCAATCGCCCGCGAGAGCAAAGTCTCCATCGAGATCGGCGAAAGCGAACACCTCCTCGCGGACGCTATTCGCCATTTCGCCAGCCACGCCGTGTACTGCGTTCTCCCCGAATCGACCATTTCCCTGCCCTCGCTCAAGTTCCCAGTCAAGGGAGGTGAAGAGCCAACACCGCAACCTGCGAAGCCTACAGCCTCAAAAAGGACACGCGCTCCGCCTAAGACTACGCGGGCTAAGGCGCAGAAGGCCAGCGAGGACTTTTCCATTATGCTTTCCAAAGCGAGCGAGTGTCTGACGAGTGTTTTCACTGATGCTACTGTTCTTGGTTCGACTCTGGAGAGTCATGCTGCGTCTCGCCTTATGAGTCGGATTTCTATGCTTTCGCATGCTACTACCCCTGGAGGGCCTGCTACCTGGGCGCAATCGCCTGCGAATATGAATGGTGAGTGGACAACGCCCAAAATAGTTTGAATGTTAGTAGCTAATGGGGATATTGCTTTTTGTAGAAATCGGTCGTGTTGGGGCATTTGCTCGAGAACGGCTGGCTATTGACTTTGACCGACAACTGGCCGACTTTGCCGATCCACTGCTGTGGCCAACTACTTCACCGACGACCATCGAAATGAACGAAGATATTTGCACCAACTTTACCGAGAACTACGTCGATATTCTTCCTCAAAACTGGAATGTTCTCTCCCTGTCATTGAGCGCAGACCAAACCGAGTTTGTCGTCTCACGACTGCAAAAGAATCGCTCTCCATTCCTTCTTCGACTTCCCCTGCGTAGAGGAACCTCGGACGATGATGAAGAAGAGCAGTTTACTTTTGAGGATGGCAAAGCGGAAATGCAGGAGCTTATCAAGCTGGCTAATCAAAGTGCGCACGCTGCGAAAGCCCAGACTAATAAGCAAATGAAGAAGGACTGGTGGAAAAATCGGGAAGCACTTGATTCTCGAATGGAGAGTCTCCTCCAGAACATTGAGAATGTCTGGTTTGGAGGTTTCCGGGGTATTTTCTCGCCGCTTGCACGCGATGGTGATGCTTTTGCGAGATTCGCGACTTCTTTTCAGGGTATTCTTGACAAGCATCTGCCCTCTCGCCAAAAGGGGGGTAAAGCTTCCTCGCCCCGTCTCACTCTGCATCAGAACGTTGTGGAACTGTTTATTGGTCTTCGCGATCTCGAGGCGCAGGAGGAGCCTGAAGATATCTTGATGGATTTGCTTTACTTTGTAGTGGACATTCTTCAATTCCAGGGCGAACGCAATGCCTATGACGAGATTGACTTTGACATGATGGTCGTCGATACATTAGACGCATTGCGAGGGTATCATGAAGCTGCACGGGAAGAAATCGCTACTCATTCCCCCAGCCACACGGTCCTCGTCCTCGACAAAGCTTTGCATTTGTTCCCCTGGGAATCACTCCCTTGTCTGCAAGGTTTCCCCGTCTGCCGCGTCCCATCTCTCGAATGTCTCCGCGATCGAGTCCTCAAATTCGGCACCTCCCACTCTGGGGCGCTCATCAAGCGTACCTCGGGTTCCTACCTGCTCAACCCGACAGGCGATCTGCGCACGACACAGGCAACCTTTGAAGGGGATCTATCTAAACTAGATTCCTGGACGGGAATGACCAACCGCGAACCATCCGAAGATGAATTCCGCGCCTATCTGGAAACAAAGGATCTATTCCTGTATTTCGGTCACGGCAGTGGCGCGCAGTACATCCGCGGTCGAACCGTCAAGCGATTGACGAAATGTGCTGTTGCTTTCTTGATGGGTTGCAGTAGCGGTACACTCACCGAGGCGGGCGAGTATGAGCCCTACGGTACACCGATGAATTATCTTCAGGCGGGGAGTCCGGCACTTGTTGCGACGTTGTGGGATGTTACTGATAAAGATATTGATCGGTTTGCGACGTCTACGTTTGATACGTGGGGGTTGGTGGAGAAGAAGGGGAAGACTTCGTCTGCGAGGAGTGGGGATGATGTTGCTGGTTTGGATACGGCTGTTGCTGGGGCGAGGGCTTCTTGTGTGTTGAAGTATTTGAATGGTGCTGCGCCGGTGGTGTATGGTGTTCCGGTGTTTTTGGATTGATGAATGTTGTTCTGTGTATATTGTTTTGTTGCGTGGTTATCTTTTGGTTCATAGATATGGGTGGTTCAGGCTTTGCTTTGCTTTGTTATACATACCCATGTCCATAGTTTTGCTATTGAAGCTATTCGTACGTTTATCAATCGTGCTTGATTCGAGTATCTCAACTTCCAACAGCCTTCTATTACAATTGCGTGATCTAATTCGTTAATTATACCAATGATTAACATGCTGTATAGCCCCGCTAAAAGCGGCAATACAATCCGGCATAAGGTGGAGTGGAGCTTCCCCTCATGCGGGACAAAAAACCCCGCGCATAAAACGTCAGTCGTCCAGCTCCTCCTATTTATCTCTTATTCTCTGCTTTCCCCCTGTCATCATTCCACACATACACACACATACACCCTCTCTAGCCTACCCATCATGTCCGGCGTCACTGAAAAGGCCCGCATCGCCTCCTTCGGCGGCAAGCTCCTCAAGCTCGGCCACAGTGCCACCACCACCCGCTGCGAAATGTCCTTCAACTTGTACCTGCCGCCCGGTGCTGTCGACAGCAGTGCGACCGGCAAGGTCCCCGTGCTGATTTATCTGTCTGGACTGACCTGCACGGCGGAGAATTGCTCGGAGAAGGGCTTTTTCCAGCATGGTGCTAGTAAGAAGGGTATTGCGGTGTTGTATCCGGATACTAGTCCTCGTATGTGAATTGCTACCCTTGCCTACCTAGGAATTCCTATTGTTATCCGTTAGGGAAGGGAAGTGGTTTGATAGTGTTTTGGCTAATTTGTTAATAGGCGGGTTGAACATCGAGGGCGAGAACGATGCTTATGACTTTGGCTCTGGTGCGGGTTTCTACGTCGATGCTACCAAGGCCCCCTACAACGAGGGCTATAATATGTACAGCTATGTTACTGAGGAGTTGCCGGAGGTTGTCTTCAAGGCTTTCCCGCAGTTGGATGCTAGCAGGGTTAGCATTACTGGGCACAGCATGGGTGGTCATGGTGCTCTTTCTCTGGTGAGTAATCCCTATATATTGTTCTGTTTTGGTTCGGACCATCTTTTCTCTTCTCCGAGTCATTGATACATCCGGCCATGTTGCTCGCGACCATTCTCACTGACTCATCCAGTTCCTCCGCAACCCTGGCAAGTACAAGTCCGTCTCGGCCTTTGCACCCATCACCAACCCAATCAACTGCCCCTGGGGTCAGAAAGCGTTCAAGGGCTACTTCGGCGAAGACCAACAGGAGAAGTGGAAGGAGCACGATTCCACCGAGCTTCTGAAGAAATGGAACGGTCCTGAGCTGGATATTCTGATTGACGTGGTATGCATGCGCCTAGCCCAGCCCTGCCCCTCCCCCATTCCTTTCCTTTCCTTTTCCCCTTTCATTCCACACCCTACAAACAGGATCGGATCTAATATAACTAAATCACCACCAGGGCACCGGCGACAACTTCTACAAACAAGGCCAACTCCTGCCCGAGAACTTCCAAGCCGCCGCCGACGCAGCCGGCCACAAGGGCGTTAACATTCGCTACCAGCCTGATTACGATCACTCATATTACACGATGGCCACTTTTGCGGATGACCATATCGAGCATGCTGCCAAGTATCTCAAATAGTGTGTGACCACCCACCTCCTGTTTCTTTTTCTTGTTGGTTTGAGTGTGTCTTTTAAGACGGGATGAGATATCACCACATACACCTGGATACAAGGGGTGTGATCTTGAAACTTGGCTAGCACTATTCATTGAAACGGATTCTGATTCTTGGTGGTTTTGCTTCAAGTGGGCGCCAACACGTTATCAAGTCGGTGATATGAAATGATCTGATGTGATTGAATGGTTGGTACGAAAATATTGGGACGATAGATGGTATTGGAAGGGATTTTTTGGACTCTGCGATGATTGGAATGAATGAAATAACGTTTAAGACCTTATATCGATCTTACATAGGTACTTGGGTATTCCATAACTGAAGTGACTGGTGAATAAATCCATCCTCGCATATTGAGGGAAAATCTGTTCATTCGGAATCTACTTCATCCAGCCTAGCTAGTAAAGCACCTAGCAAAAGCCAAGTTAGATAGTACTACCTTCCACGTCTGTAATGCTTCCACCAGGCCAGAAAAAAACCAACATGAAAAACGGAAACGCCCGCGATGCGATGCGAATGTGCCACAGGAGTCGAAGATGAAGAAACGCAGACAGACACGCTATGTACTTGATGATGTAAAGTGGTGTACACATTTTTCTTATTGTTCTTGAATCTTGATTTTTATTCCAATCCATTTCTTTTGTTTGTTCTTTTTTGTTGTTATTGGGACATGTCGGCTGGGAATGGTACGGGTATGGTATCCATGAGAAGAAGGGCACAGATGAAACTATAGATGTCATGAATGGGGGTGGGGGCTTTTTTTCGGCAGCCTGCCCTGTCCTGCCCCGGCGACGGAGTGAGAGACTTCCTCGTTGTCATACCTCAGGTCAGGCTGGGTCAGATCTGGACGGCGCGAGGACAGACATCACCTCGTTACTCGGTCTCGTCAAAACAGAAATATGATATGGCATGGGGGAATCTAAAAAGCAGGAGAGAAGGAAAATGACGATGGTCGTGGATGAGAGGGGGAGGAGGGGGTGGTTATGCGCTCAATCGCTGGATGAATGACTGTATAGTAAAGCGAAGTCAGTATTACAGATGCTTCACTGAGATGCTAAGACGGTTCCTCTTACCGGGAAGAATTGGCGGAATCCCTTCATGTCCAGCCGGCTGAGAGCCGTCAAGAACTCTTCAATCAGGTCGCCGCCCATGCCCATGCCGGGCAGCTCCCGAGTCCGCAAGTATTCAACATATTCCATACCCGTCTTGAGGTAAATTGTGCGTTGCAAAGAACCCGCTTCGGCAAGAACTTGCTTGGCAAGCGCATCTTTAGAGTTGAAGGAGGGGGTGGTAGGGAGAGCCCAGCACAGAGGCGAGAAGCGGCTGATCATGAATCCGCCAAATCCAGGGAGGGCCGCTTGAGTGGGTGCGGCGCCATTAGTAGCTCCGGGGGCAATGTCTGGTCCGCCCCAGGCACTTCCCATCCTTGAAAGAACGGAGAAGGCCATCTTGGCGGTCGTAAAGTCGTCAATATCCTTGGCAAAGTGCTCGATGGTGGTAATGACGGATTCGAAAATAGGTTGGTTCCCTATGAAAAGTTAGAGTTGCAGCTTTGATGAGACGAAAGAAATTAAGGCACGACTTACTCTCGCTAATTATCACAGCTCCGAGATCATTGTTCAATACAGCGAGCAGGAAGTTCAAGTATTCACGCTTGAGCTCAGCCAGTTGGATTTCATCATCGGTACCTGTAGTAGGGTCCGCAAGGCTGGAGAACACGCGCTGCAGGAAGGGGGTCAAGAGTGTGTCGAGAATACTGTAAATCTCACCTTTGAACCCGAAGATTACCTGGTCCAAAAGACGCAGGAAAAGGGCCATCTCATCTCGAGACGAGGTCTGGGTCAGGAGCCCATCAATCCAGCGGGGCAGCTGGGGCAAGATGCGAGCACCCAGCACGCTAATGAGCCGGGAGAAGGCAAAACGAGCGGCAGTACGGATGTTGAACGACATTTTGAGAGACTCCAGGGAGACCAAGGTCGCCTCTGCTACCTGGCAGAAGCACTCAGAGACCTGTGCTGCGGGCAAGTTGACAGGGACACTGCTGGTAGGAGCGAGAGTTCCCAGGGCCATGATATCATGGTGAATCTGTAGCAAGGCCCGTTCATCGTTGGCCTTGGCAGCTGCGAGATTGCGCTCCATATCGGCGAAAATAGGATTCACAACCGCCTGGATGTAAAGAACCTGCTTATCTACAGGCACGCTGCCGGTCGAGCAGATAACGCCGACCGCCTCGAAGAGGTACAACTGGCTGTTGAAAACGGCATCTGCGGAGCCCTCGTGATCCTCAGAAGACATCTCATCACCATCCTCGCCTTCAGAAGGCAGCTCAGCTTGGATCACCAAGAGATCGCCCAAAGCCTCGACGACGGTTTGCGCCACGTTGCCAATGAGACCCCGCAGCTGCTTCACTAACCGCTGGAACAGGTACCACGAGCGGGTCTTCACTTTGCGGTTCGTGTGGTGGACAAGTTGGAGGAAACTCTCCAGAACGCCGGGGATGAGCTGCGCATGGTGCTGGAAGAAGGAGCTGTAGCGAACGCAAATCTCCATGTATTGGAGCTGTGTGGCAGGGTGGGTGAAAGATCGGATGTCAGACTCGACCATTCCAAGCATCATCTCAATGAGACGAACTGCAGCAGGGCCGGTGGGCGCACCCTTTAAGTACAGACCACCGGCCTTGACAGCTAGGTCGCCGAAAAGGAACATCTCATGCAGAGCGAGATCCAGATCTCGCCAGTCAATTTGGCCGCCAGAGGCACGCAAGTTCTCGAATGTTGTTCCCACCACTTCGGAGATAGCATCAATGTATAGCTGCTCGTCTGCAGAGGCAATAATCTGCTGCAGAACGCCCAGTCTCTTGCGCAGCTCCTGGAATTCTGCTTCGTCAGTCTGCTCATCCTCGTCACCCCAGTTGGAGGTTTCATCATAACGCATCTTCGCGACAATTGCCTTCAAGATTGGCAGAAGAATCGCCTTGTTCCGAGCTTCCAAGGTAGGGTCTGCCTTGGCAACCTTCCGGATGTAAGTGAGCATGTCGTTGACACAAGGAATCACAGTTGAGCAGACTTCGTCATATTCGTCCGAGAAGAAGCGCAAGATGTGAGGCAGGAAAACCTGGAGAAGATTGTTTGCCTTGTCTTTGACAGAGCCAGAGTCGGTCTCGAGTACCCGCACAATATCCATCACCGTAATGTTCACAAGCTTGGCGACAGTCTCAGCCAGATCGGTATCGTACTTGAAGGTGAATCGATTCTCGCGCAATGGGGGGCTGTTTGAAAGCTGGGTGACGATCGAGTCAAGGTTGAGGAAGTTGATCATTTCAATTTTGTCGACGGGCTTCATCTTCTTGCCGATGATCTCAGTGAAGACATCCACGGCGGCATCTCGGACACGCTGCTCGCCCTCGCGCAATTCCTGCTTCTCCGCCCGACCCAGCTGCTGGAACAGGAGGTCCAACATTGCCTGGTTCACCACCAAACCAATATCAATCCAGCTGACCCAGCTACCCACCGCCTTCAGACACATCTCGACCACTGTGTCATCCGCGTCCCGCCATGCCGACAAAATCTCTTGCCACGAGCTGGCGATCTTCTGCATGTCCCGTTCACGGATCAGATCCTTCAGACCGTTCGCCTTGTCCTGCTCTCCGCGCGATCTCGACACCAAGACATCGCCAATTTCCTCGTGAATCGAGTTCACCACACGCAAATAAAAGACGATTCCGAGGGCGTTGTCGCGGGATGAGCTCGCGGAGGATTTATAGGTGAGGTTTAAGAGGTCGTCGAAACAGGTCTCCCAACCATTGCCGTAGAGTGCGGAAAAGAGGAAAGTGATGGTCTGTGCAATTTTGTTCTGAATGTAAGGTGCATCGGGCGCCGCGGTGGCGTTAGGGCCGTACACATTCCGGATGTAGGTCATCAATCCATCCCGCACAACGGCCAGCGACGACAAATCGATTAAACCGGTCTGAGCGGCGCTATTGACAATTTCCAAGCTCGCATGTCGCACGATCTCGGGCTGTGGGGGGATTTGGTGAAGAGGGAAAGGCAGACGGGCCATCCGGAGGGATCGGAGCGGAGTTGATTGAGATAGTCAAATGCTTGTTGCTTTAGGGCTTGGTCGGAGGACGGATTCCAGGCGATCTCAATGGCATTTGCTACCTGGAGAGCGGACATTGTCAATGCTTGATTCGGGGTGCAATAATCATGACCTCGGAGAGGAGGGGGCGGGATGCGGTGACGGTGTGGACAGTGGGGGGAGGAGGGGTCATGAATGAAGAATGTTGAGCAGGGCAGGCAAATGGCCAGAGGGAAATCGTAGATGGTAGACTCACCTGTTCTTCCATCTTCGACCAGCCGAGCTCCTTTTTATCAGAGCGTGGGGGGAGAAGGAGGGGGGGGGGAGGGAGGAAGTTCGACGGAGAGGTTGTGGTGGTTCAAAATTGTTTTTCAGTGGAGGAGTAGTCCATCCATGGTATCGTAATCGAATTTCCGTGCCTGGGGTCCGCCCTCGCTTGCACCACGTCGACAGAGAAGGTCTTGGATAGTTGGGGATTGGAAGTGAAAGTGAATTAGAGGGGATATTGAGAGTGAAAAAAGACCGAGATCTCGTGATTGTCTGATCTCAAGGAAGTTTGGAGAATTCTCAGTATCCTAATAAGGTAAGTGGCAGCGTGTTCTCCGATCGGTACCCAACCACAGCGTGTCATACTTGACCAGCCACACACAGCGCCCGAATATCTACCTAGACACCTAGAGACTGGGGGAATCTGGGGGAATTTCTTTGATCTAAATACTCATTTGCCTGCGCGATCTCATAAATATATAGCATGTATATTGATAGCTTCGTTCTCATAGTAGAATTATCCGAAATCTCGAGCAAACTGCACGATTCTTCCCCAGTATGATTCTTATAGGCTGAATAGCTCTTAGAATGGACCCACTTCTATATTGGAAGCTGCAAGATGATTCAAGACTCGGGAAATAGCATTTAGATACGGACCACGTGTGACCAACCTGGGCTATGAATCTATTGGAAGCTACAGTGAGCTTCAAATTGAATGTGGTGGAATCTAATCGTCATGTTCGGCTTTTCAGTTCACTAAAAAGCATAACACAGTTTCTCCACTAAACTCTAACAGATTAGCGATATAAAACAGATCTAGAGGAGCATAAATACAAGATTCTAGCCAAGCAGGCATCTGAATAACGAGCAATCATACTAGAATCCATAGAACAATACAGGCGAAGGTCCCTCCATATTAGGCAACTCCAACAAGCTTCCAAAAAGACTCTTTTCTAAAAAACCGTAGAAATAAACAGTAATCTCTCAAGCTACATACTACATACTAGCTCCCTGATACTGAGATACACGCTTGGTCTCCCGGAGATTTCTCGTCCGAAGACCTACAACAGTCATCGTAAGAGCCGCAAAGTCTTCAGGAAGAAACATGAGAACGACTCGAACAGCAAGCGATCCATAAATGGGACTGAGATCTCTTCTCTGGGTGAAAATAAAGACAATTCCATAAAAAACCCGCACGCCGAGGAAGAGAAGGGCAACAAAGGCTCCCTGGATGAGCTGTAGAGACTGTTGTTAGCCACAGCTTCAAGAAGCCTGACGTTCTTCGAAAAACTTACAGCAGTACCACCATGATATCCAGGAGAACCCTTCGACCCCCTGCTAGGAAGCAAAGAGAACAGCGACCAAAATACCTGGAAAGCCCAGGCCACGACAATCAAAACCGTACCGACTTTCCACTGCGTATAACTGCCGGACTTGGCATGTCCTTCGAAGATATTCAACGAGCCCGTTATTGTGAGAGAGAGTGCGACAATCATAAGTCCTGAAGTCCCGGCGACAACAGTCCAGCTGAGGATTCGACTATAAGATGGGTTGCGGTAGACTCGTCTGTATCACGGTCATTTATTAGTTTATAAATCAATTAAACCTATGGAATTGCAGATGAAACATACCCTTCGTGAACTAATCCGTCTACCGCGAGAATCAAAGGCGTGAGGCCCACGCTTTGGATGATATTGGCCGGTAACCCATCACTATCGTGGATACCAAGTATTCCTCCGATGATTCGCGCAAGGCAGAAGATGCTGAGGTAGTACCATGGAAGGAAGCCTGACCATCGATGGGTGAAGAAAATGTAGAGGACGATTGGAGCTAATAAAAGGTAGACCGCGAGGTCGGCTGGAAAAATTCCGTTCATCTCAGTCGTATTAGATGTTGTGAACTTGAAGATAGAAAGATTGGATCAAGAATTGCAGTCACGATTAGAAGAACACTTAAATTTAAATCAATTGAGAGGTTCGGTCTTCATCTCTCTTTGGAATTAAAGACCATTTATAGCATCATCATGAAACATCCTCCTCTCTACATGACCATACTTCCGATTTTGGAATACTCCTCGGTGAGATTCAGCACATTGATCTGCACGCCAAAACTAGCCTGCAAACCCACCATCGAATTTAAACTTTCCCCTAAGAGATGTATGCCCAGGATGTGGTATGAATATGGGAGCCAAATTGGGGGCTGAAAAAGCTCAGCCTTAACTGCACGAAGACGGTTTAGTGCGGAACAAAATCGCGATCAACCCTCTAAAAGGCAAAGACTTCGACACCTCGAACCAATCACTACCAATTCTTCTTCAGCCTCTAGCGGACGCGTCAGCTAGCTAAGCATTTCCTCCCCGACTTCCAGTACTCAGGCTTTAAAATGCAGACCGACCCATTTTTGCTTTGCCCCTCATGTTACACAAGCTTTCCCGTCCGATCTGATTACCTTTCTTGGTATCGTGTGCTGATTCACCCCCTGCTGCTGTGCGATGGTATACAGAGGGAAGCCCAGTCCTGGCTGCGCCTTATGTCGGGCGAGACGATTATTAGTACGTCTATGAAAAAAGTGGCTAATACCAAAAGGACTCGCTGACAGTCCACGTACAGTGCGATCGACGTCGACCCTCATGCTCCCAGTGTCTGCGAGTCAATCGCGAGTGTTCGGGGTACCAAGATCTACAAGCACTTCGCATTCATGATCAAAGTCAAGAAACTGCAGCCAAGGTGCAGGCACAATCTAAGGCTCGCCGCAGTGTACGAAAATCCACAACACCTCCTACCACAGTCCAATCGGCAGCATTGTCCCAGTCCCTACCCCCCGCTATTCCATCTTCGATGGCTGAGCAAGCCATAGCTTATACATTCAAGCGCTATGTGGGCACTACACAAAACCGTGGCTTGCTCTCGTACCTACCGCTGTTATTAAGCGAGGACCCCTCTCCTGTGCTGCAAGCCACGATCAGAGCCGTAGGGCTGGCTGGCATGTCGAGGGCCCTCTCGCTGCCAGAGCTGAAATACTCTGCTGGACTGGAGTATGGCACGGCGCTGCTTGCGACGAGCCGGGCGTTGCAAGATCTTGCTGTGGCTAAAAGGGATTCCACTCTGGCAGCTGTTGTGATGCTGAGTACATATGAGGTGCGATGTACTCCATTCCGGGATAGTTAGGTTTGTTCCAAGCTAATCGGTAGGCAATAGCTGATAACATGTGAAGGATCAAAAGGTGGCCATGATATCATGAGAGGTTGGATAAACCATGTCCAAGGATCAGCGAAGCTCCTTGAGCTACGAGGCACGGAACAAATGAAATCACCAGCTGGCCTGGCCTTGTTCACCCTTGTTCGTTTGCAAGTCGTACGTGAAACCACAAACCCCCAGATTCCTCACCTCCTGTTTTAACATAAAAACCCCAGGCATTCAGCAACATATTCTGCAGGCAACCCAGCTCCCCCGAAATCGCAAGTCTATCCCTCGTTGCGAAAGCCCATCGCGACAATGACTCGCAAACAATCGAAGACTTCTTCGACACTCTAGGTGAATTAGCCGATCTCTCCATCGACAGCGACAAACCTTTCACAGAAGAAAACACATCTGCGGACCCGGTTCTGATAATCAGGAAAGCACTGCACCTCGATGCAGACCTGCTGTCATGGTCGCTATCAATTAACTCTACCTGGAGGTACAAGGCCATCGAAACACCTAGTCTCAACAACACCAACGAACACAAACCATACTCCTTCTACCATGGCAGTAGATATCACGTCTTCCCAAACATCGACCTCGCCTCGATGTGGAATAACTATCATCAAGCACGCATCATCATACACGGCATAATCAAGTCGATGTGCGAGTATCTCCTAGCGCTAGATCCCGCACACGGCTGCCGCCAAACTCTCATCCAGTCTATCGCGACCTGCAAGCAAATGATAGAAGATATCTGCGCTAGTGTGCCATACTATCTTACTTCGGGCGAGACAGGTGTCGGGGGATTACTACGGCTTTCATGGCCATTGTTCATTGCAGCGGATAGTTCTGTCTCGACGCCCGTCGAGAAGGAGTGGCTTCGGCAAACCCTGGAGAAAGTTGCGGAAATTACTGGTGCTCAGCAGGCTCTTACTATGGCGCAGTTTTTGAGAAAGGGGTGGGCTGTTCCTTTTATTCCGGGTAATGCGGGGAGGGGGAGGTTCCCATTCCGAGGGCGGGCCTAGACTAAGGGATTTTAAGTTGTATATGACAGCTCTGTATAGAGAACATGCATCCACTAGATTAGAAAGTTGAAGACAAAAGAGATACTAGATACACCAAGATCGAAATTTCGTAACAAATCAGCAACTAAATGCCCAACATACTCTCGAACCCAACACTTAATTACCAATCGCGCATATCAAGCAAAAGCCAAACGCCGTATATATCCTGCACCATCACTATCAGCAAAATCGTACTACCAAAATATTTCCCGTCCCCATACCTAGATGTTCATCCTTATCCCGAAGATACCCCCATCGGCCTCGGCTGCCCCATCTCATGCTGCCCCTGTCCAGAACGCTGACTCGCATATCCATCCGCAACAGGTCGTGGTGCATGTGCAGTCGCAGAGGCAGCCTTTGCACGATCTGATTTCTTCTTCTTGCTGATGAGGAAGGGAAGGAGGAGGCACATTATTGAGTTTCTTGTGTGCGAGGGTTTGTTGGTCAAGATCAGAATGTTGAGACGGGGTGTTATCGTAATGGAATATTTAGGTGAAAGTTATGAGGGAGGAATTGACATCAATGCTCAGAGTCGGTAATGAAGAATTGAAAATAGAATAATACATTTGAAGAGAAAAGATGAAGACGGACAAAAGAAGCATACAGCCCTTTTATATCCACCCACTACCTACGTACGTCGATTCCTCTCGTCAGATCCCATCCATCAAAATAATCCAAAAAAATAAAGATCGCATCTCAAGCCCCTATTTACCACGACTCAGCCTTAACCTCGATTCCAAATGCTTAGCAACCTCATCAGCGCTACTCCAATCAAAAAGCGCGATTCGAAAATGAAATCATAGATAGCAGTGTACAAAACTCGGTCTAACCTAATCGGGTAATGACTTCGGTGCAATCTGACGAAGATCCACACCATGTACATGTGGTGTCAGCCGCAGAGGTGGGTTCTTGACGGGTCTAAAAAGGTATTCTATGCGATTGAGGTAGGTCAGTTGAAGATTTTACTGTTTGTGGTTAGAGGGGAGCCCTGGTTGTGGTTGTAGGTTTAGTACTATCTCCGGGCAGACACAGAAACTCTCCTTACGGACGTAAGAAGAGAATAGGTCATGCTAGTACTACTAGATCGCACAATGAATAGCTCGGATGAACTGTGAGCTATTCAATCGCCGATTTCATAAAGGTCTATCTATGTGTTGCTCGTAATATCTTGTTATAGCTAGATAGTCGGCCTAGAAAACTATACACTGTACCAAGTAGATAAGCCTAGATCTTATACTTCAGTTTTTAAGTGACTCCAGCTATCTTAAATGATTGGAAGTCAATCCTAAATGTAATAGGTCCCTATGTACATCCAATCCTATTACCAGCTACTATCTACAAGAATACACCTCGATCCAATCAAAAATCATTCATAAACAAAAACCAAGTCTAAACACACACTATTTATCCCCTATTAAGTCCTCGCAACCCCCTCCAAAACCCTCTTCTCCATAGCCTCAAACCCCTCAACCGCCTTCCCATACAACTCAAACACACCCTCCTGATACCCCTCCGCAATCTTCTCCACAAACTCCTCCTCCCTCCAGCGCTCCCCAATCAAATTCTCAAACGTCTGACCCTCAGCCCGTTCAATACCCCAAACAGCCTTATAAGCCGCACCAAGCGCGCACGCATTATCGCCAATATCAAGCTTGAACACGCCCTCTGCGCCGCCGAGGATTTCACCCGCAATCTTCGCGATGGCTTTGTTTTTGGACCCGCCGCCGACGAGATACACGCGGCGCGGTTGGGGTGGGAGGTTACCGCCGGGGCTTTGGGTGAGGCCGCGCGAGCGAAGGCGGAGGGAGAGCATTTGGCTTTCGATAATGGCGCGGGCTTCGTCTTGGGGTGTTTTCCAGGTGGAGGTTGTTTCGGTTAGGGAACCTGTGGTTGGGTTGTATGTGAAGCGCCATTGGCCGGCGTGGAGGTTGGGGACGATTTCGGGGCGGGGGAAGAAAAGGCCTAGTTTCATGGCGTCTGTGGGGGATGTTTGGCCCATTGGTGGTGTGGAGAGGGCTTTTTCGTCGAAGTTGGACCATGGATTGGTGGGTGTGTCGTTTAGACTGTCGTTGATTGCGTCGCGGACGTGTTCACGGGCCAGACCACCGTTCTTGTAGCAGAGCATGAACATGTATAGACCGGCCGTGGTCGGGTGGTTGAAGAAGTGGGTGGCCGGGTCGGGCATGTAGTTGGGTGTGGACATGAGGAAGGTCGTTGATGTACCCAGGGATACCATGGCGTCGGATGGGCGCAGTGGTAGTGCGAGGATGGTTGCTGGGTTATCGCCTGTGGCGGGGATGACGGTGCAGTCTGCGCTGAAGCCGTAGCGCTGTTGGTAGTACCGGTGGACTTGGCCCAGGTGTAGTCCTCCGTCTTCATAGACCTTGCCTAGCTTCTTCTTTAGATCTTCGACGTCGAACTTGCCAGAGCACAGCTTGAGGATTTGTTCGTCGTAGGCGCCCTGCTTGATATTCCACAGGTTCATACCGCATACGTCGGAGATATCAAAGGGTGCGACATGGCCCAGGAAGAGGGAAGCCATGAAGGAAGAGACCAGCGAGATTCTCGCCGTCTTCTGATACACTTCTGGATATTTCCTCGTGAATCGAAGGATCTGAGGACCTGTGAATCTCTAATCACAATATTAGCACAACCAATTGCCCAGAATAAGAAAGTAACCTCTTACATGATGAGCTTTGCTCCCCGTCGCCTGAGCCAACTCCTCCGGACTCCCCAGCGCCGCATCAAACTCATCACACTCCTTCTGCGTACTCGAATCCTGCCAATTAGGACTAAACGGATGCGAAAAAGCACCCGGCAACTGCTCCTCCAACGACCTCTTCGCATCAAGACTCTGCAACAGCCCCTCCGCCTCCGCACTCCAATAAACACTACCGTGCTGCTGTCCCGCCCCGCTAATACCCTTCACCCGGCTAAAGTCCAGCCCTTGCTTGCGCAGACTCTCCAACACGGTATCCATCGCCTGCAGCCACAGCGCGACCGGGGCGAAGACTTCATGCTCTGCTTCATTGGTCATTACGCCCTTTTTGATCAGGAAGCCGGTGGAGTCGGCATCGAAGTCGAATTTGGCAATGTATTCGACTTTGAGCTCGGAGTTGACGACTAGACCTTTGAGTTGTTGGGTTGAGAGGTCGAACCCGATGTAGAGAGGGGATTGGGATGCCATTGCGGGGTGAGGGAGTCAGAACGGGGTCGTGACAACCTGGCGAGGGAGTTGTAGTAGGAGGAGTAGGAGCTACTCGTAGCTCGGTAGGTACGAAGGAGTGTCTCGAACAAGCGTGGTAAATGACCAATTGATCCCACAATTCTCTCTGCGGGGGTCAGTCGGTCGTAGTTATATACTCAACTTCAGGGCGGGGCACAGAAGAAAATAAAAAAAGGAAGAATTCCAGAGTTTATCCAGCTCGGGAAAAAAGAAACTGGACAAGCGCAGGATATCCGCGAAGGGGGAAAATGGGCAGGATGAGTCCGCGATGATGTAAACGGGTCGCCGCGGGGTTCCACTTGCTCTGGACTTCTGGAGGGGATCATCATTCCTGTTGGATGCAGGACACACCGAGAGACATCTTTCGTTAAGATCATGTGGTCAGTATCGTGATATCCATACTTATCACTAGTAGTACTGCTAGGGGCCCGCGATTAACCTTTCTAAAGATTCCCCATGCATGAATTTAGTCAGTGGCCCTCGTCTAGAACGTAAACCGGGTAAATTGGATCTTTGGAGGGGAAAGTCTGCTAAATTACTCTGTAGAATTACCCTAGTGGTTGCGGCCCCACTTTGGACTCGAGCCAGAACCGTGGGGTATGTAGAGTTGTAGCTAGAGTTAGGTATAGACGTGATTACTGTAGATTACTTAAACCTGATTCGGTATTTAGATAAGCTTCAAGGAAACTCCTTCGCTATAGGAGTTTAAATTTATCAAGGTAACAGACGTAGTGGACGATCAATACAACCCTACAGCCTTTCAAGAATAGCTTATTTGTACTTGACTTACGATAGAAGACAACTAGAGTAAAAAGTGTTATCGGACATGTGTATTCCTGACTCTGCTAGTGTATCTTTCTATATCCACGCGTCGATCTATACACAGTACAGTATCTCGTTCGCTGAATATCGCCCTGACAAGCGACAAGGGTTGAGGGTGTATGGGGGGTATCATTGCAGCTCCAACTGCCAATCAAGAGCATCTGAACAAAGGTAATCCATCTTTTTCTTTCCTTTCTTCAGTCTTTCCAAAACGAAGTCTATTGCTTCTTCCGAGAAACAGGATCCTCATGGCTGTGATCATGATCATGATTGTGATTGTAATTGTGAGACCCGGGTGCAACACCATTACCATTGCCATTGCTCTCGGGCTCCGGGTTGGCCCCCGTGTCCTGGGAAACAAATTCCTCGGAGAAAGTGAGTTCTTCCTGCTCGGCAGGAATAAAGCGAATCTTGACGCGCTTCACACCGCGGACCTTCTCGCCAACGGTTTTGCGGACGGCTTCCTCGACTACCCGGGATCGGGTAATGGCCCACGCGCCCGGCACGGCCAATTCAATGTCCATGAGATAGTTTTGTCCTGACTTCATGCCTTGGACATCACGGACGATGACCTGCTCGCCGTCCTCGAGGGCCTTCAAGGCCTTGGTGGCGGCATTCTGCACTGTCGTCTTGATATCATTGTCCACGGCGGTATCTGCCAGTTCCAAGAGCGAGGTGACGGTGTTGCCCCAGCCGGCCTTGATGACCATTAGGGAAATCAGGAGACCGCCCACCGGGTCCAGCCAGGTGGCATCTTGGAAGACGTAGCTCCCACCGATGGTGAACAGAGCAACGATACTTGTGAGGGAATCAACGCGGTGATGGACGGCATTGGAGGCAAGGACAGACGACTTGCGCTCTTTGGCAACCTTCATAGCTGTTGAATGGTTAGTAAAACATGGAATTGGTTTGGTTTGGTCCTCGGTACTTGAATCATCACGCGACAATGGGGTAGTAACTTACTTGCATGGTACAACCACTCCTTAATCACGATCGAACCCGCCGCTAGCCAGGCCGCATGAATGCTTGGACCCAACACCTCGATACCATGGCTATGTGAATGCCCATGTCCATGTCCAAGGATCCCCGAGTGCGCCAGCGTTTCAGCCAGGCCGGGGTAACACTGCGCCAGCAGAACCTGGCCCGCATTGAGACCCATGAAAACACCACCACAAAGCAGCAGACCACTCACTCCCAGCGCACCAATGCTTTCCACCTTGCCGTATCCGTTCGGAAACCGGTCACTAGGAGGCTTCAGCGACCATGCGACAGTCCCCAGGGTCAAAAAGTCGGAGACCAGGTCGGTGAGCGCGTGATAGGCATCGGCGATGAGAGCTTGGGAATGAAAAACATAACCACCGATAAACTTGCCAATGGCCATGCATAGGTTGGCGAGAAGACCTATACGTGTAATGCGTACACCAGCATCGTTCTTGTTGGTCGAAGTCAGGTATACATTATCGTGGTGATGGTGGTGGTGGTGGGAATGGCCATGGTGGCCGTGACCCCTAGTTTGCGTCATGGGGAGAGTTAAGAGAGCGCGACGGGAGAAACGGGATCGACCATGGGATAGCCCGAGGGCAGGACAGGCTTTTAATAAAGGAGCGGAGGAGGTCAGGACACGGGAGGAAGCTCGAAAGTAGGGGAGACGATTGGAGCGACAGGAAATTCCGAGGATGGAGGAGTGGAGGGAAGGACGAAGCCCGCACCGCAGGGGCTGCGTCAGCGGCATCACGGCCGCCTGTCTGGACTAGACTGACTAGTAGTTAATTGGAGGCACGCGAGCACGAACACGAGTGGACAAGGTGTTCTCTTCGGGCTGTGTGTCCATGGCCCTCGAACTAGAGAAGTTTAAAAGAAGAAATTATTGGGGGAGGGAGATGTTCAAGGTAAAAAGGAAACTAGGAAGTCATTCGATAGTCCGATCATGTAATCCGGCCGGGGCATCTGGATTCCCAGTGCGCTGATGTTCTTCAACTATCCAATCGTGAGTTGGTGATTACAATCATTACAAAAGCTGGATGATTTTCTTAAGTGCCAGCAATTTCTAATACTACAATAGTATAGGGCTCAAGAATAAGATAGTTCATTATATTTCTTTTTACTTTTTTTCTACTTTTTTCTGCACAATTTACCTCATACCCTGTTCTTTGTTTTAAGCTCATTACGAATCAGGGCCAATCTGCAGCATCATCGCCGGAACAAGGACCGGCCAAGACCAACTGTTACGCAATCCGCCCCGAAAAAAGAGGAGCCCAAGAGATACCAACAGTGATCAAGATTAACCAAGAGAGACCCGGAGTCTCCGCCGCTCTTGATTGCCAAGCCTTCAGAGTCCCTGGGATCCCTACAAGGCTACACACTTAATACACTACCCCCTCATCTTCCCCTCCCGAGGATGCGTCCTCAATGACGACGCCTGCAATTCGAATCCCCTTCACGGGCCCATTACCTCCAGCCATTATCGTCCCCCAATCCGCCAGGAGCATTGCGGGGGCGATCGACGCCGTCAGCGCCTTCTTCACAGCGCCACCATCCCTCCATCTCCGGGGCATCGACGTCGGTAGGAATACCCAGACCGTCCTCCTGACCGGTGCAGGTATCTCCGTCGCATCAGGTCTGTCCGACTACCGCGGCGACCAGGGCACCTATCGCCGAAACAAGTCCTACCGGCCTATCTATTTCCACGAATTCACGACCCGTCATGAGTCGCGCAAGCGATACTGGGCGCGCAGTTTTGTCGGGTGGCCGGGGCTCGTGAAAGCGACGCCCAATTCTACACATTGGGCGATTCGTGATCTCGGGGCGAAGGGGTATATCAGTTCTGTTGTGACGCAGAATGTGGACTCTTTTCATTCCCTGGCTCATCCGGAACTGTCTACGCTGGAACTACATGGGTATTTGCGGTCTGTGGTCTGTACGAGCTGTCGCAATCGGTTCTCGAGGCAGGAGTTTCAGAATTCATTGGAGAGGTTGAACCCGGCGTGGGCGGAATTTTTGGCTCGCATGGTTGACGCTGGTGCTCTTGATACTGATAATCCAGAAGAGCAACGAAGGAAGGGATTGAAACTTAATCCTGATGGTGATGTCGACCTTGCCGAAGCTCCATACTCGACCTTTCGATATCCATCATGTTCAACTTGTTTGGAGAAACCTCCTATTTTGAAAGACGGTAGACGGGGGTATGTCGAGGTCGAACCCGATGGAGCATGGCTGCCAACCTCGACTGCTGGTATTCTGAAGCCAGCGGTGACCATGTTTGGTGAGAATATTGATCCAGCGGTTAAGATTGCGGCGGATGAGGCCATTGACGATGCCGGGCGCTTGCTGGTGCTGGGCAGTAGTCTGGCCACCTACTCCGCCTGGCGGCTCGTAGAACGAGCATATAAACGAGGCATGCCTATCGGTATTATCAATGTTGGGGGCGTGCGCAATGAAGCCATGCTCTTTGGCCAAGTGGGCTCGGGCCTTGAAGGGAGCAACTTTGGTACTCATGTTCGCTGCAGCCATCCCGCCCAGGCCATTCTCCCGACCGTGGTCTCGGGCCTATCCATGAATCATTTGTAACAGTCCATAAAATAATCACTAGATGTAAACCAGTACATACACCTAAGGAATATACACGAAGCAAATCTCATCTCTCATTTGGAGTGGAAATCATTAAATCGCAGAACTAAAATTCATCATGTCCTATTCCTACCCAACACCAGCCAGACTCTAATCTTCTCAAGTACATAAGCGGAATGACCGTAACTTTCCCGGCCCACTTCCTACGCGCGGGGCTCCTCCTTCATCAGCATGGAGCGTCTCAGAGATTCTGCAGCTCTCCCTTTAAAGTCCGCTTCAACACTGGTCTCCCCGGGCTCCTTTCTCTTCAATCCCAATTCCGCTAAACCCTCGGGGGTGCCCGTTTCCCGACCTCCTCACCGTCGCAATATGGACAAATCTCAGCAACCTAGTTCCTTCCAGCAGCTGGAAAAGGTATGATCGTCCTGGAAGCACCGCTCCCTGGTGGATTACAAGATACTGACTAGACTGGCTTGAACTTCCAGCTCGGAGAAGGCACTTATGCCACTGTACGTCGTTATCATCGCCGCTCCGCCCTCTCAGCGGTGGCTTCGCTGCTTCTCTCCCATCGGGCCGCTCTGCGCCTATCCCCCCGCCTTCACTCGTTCACCGCTGATAACAGGATGATTACAGGTCTTCAAAGGGCGCAATCGCCAGACAGGCGAGATGGTCGCGCTAAAGGAGATCCATCTAGACTCCGAAGAAGGCACACCATCAACCGCAATCCGCGAAATCTCCCTGATGAAGGAGCTCAAGCACGAGAGCATCGTCTCCCTGTACGACGTGATCCATACCGAGAACAAGCTCATGCTCGTCTTCGAGTTCATGGACCGCGATCTCAAGCGGTACATGGATACCCGCGGTGACCGGGGCCAACTCGACCCCGCCACCATCAAGTCATTCATGCACCAACTGCTCAAGGGCATCGCCTTCTGCCACGAGAACCGCGTCCTCCACCGTGACCTCAAGCCGCAGAACCTCCTCATCAACAAAAAGGGCCAACTCAAGCTAGGCGATTTCGGTCTCGCCCGCGCCTTCGGTATCCCCGTCAACACCTTCTCCAACGAAGTCGTCACCCTCTGGTACCGCGCCCCCGACGTCCTCCTCGGCTCCCGCACCTACAACACCAGCATCGACATCTGGTCCGCCGGCTGCATCATGGCCGAGATGTACACCGGCCGTCCATTGTTCCCGGGAACCACCAATGAGGACCAACTGGTGAAAATCTTCCGGCTCATGGGAACGCCCTCCGAGCGTTCTTGGCCTGGCATCTCGCAGCTCCCGGATTACAAGCCCACCTTCCATGTTTATGCGACACAGGATCTGGGCGTACTCCTGCCGCAGATTGATCCCCTGGGTTTGGACTTGTTGAACCGTATGCTCCAGCTGCGTCCGGAGATGCGTATTAGTGCCGCCGATGCCCTCCAGCATCCCTGGTTCCATGATCTACCCCAGGTCCAGGCTCAGTTGCAGCAGCAGCAGCAACAGCAGCAGATGGCTGGTGGATATGGAGGTATGGTCCCGCCTCAATCGGCGTACTAGATGGGAGGTGAATGGGGTTGATGGGGTTGTTTCCAGTTTTGGAGCTGGTTAGCCGCGATTATTTGGGAAATTGCGCATAACGAGATGATGAGCTCGATTTAGATAAATTTGGAGAATGGGAGGATTCGGCGTTTTCTTTTTACACTTTTTCCCCCGATGATGGGTGTTTACTTTTTGGTTTTCTCTGCATATTCGATTCGAAATTCTGCGTTGCCTTCCATTTTCTTGTTTTTCGAGTTCCCTTTTTGGACTTTCACATAGTCGAATCCTGATATGCAAGATTATGGTGTGTGAGTTACTTGTCTGCTGGCAATTGTGTTATGTGGACTTTGTGTGCATTACCTTTGCCTCGATGGCAGAAATGTTGAAATCTTTTTCTTGACGGAGTCGATGAGAACATCCATTTGGAGATGTAGATGTAGATGGAGGCATGTCGATTAGTAGATAAGAGAGAATGGGTGTAACAGGATGTAGAAAAGATACCCTAGGCAAGCCCATATATTTGCAATGGATATCTTGTGTACTACTCATGGATCTATATACCAGGAAAGCCTGTGGAAGCTGTAGGTCGGATCACCATTCAAACCAAGCTGGTACATCAAAGACTTAGAACCCTCGCACCAAACCCCAAGAAAAACAAATAAGCTCCCTCCACGAATAGAACCCCGGATCTCCACTTCCCCATACAAACATCCCAGCGTGCTCACTCTGTACTTTCCATTTCCCCGCCGGCATCCCGAAGGGCTTCATCTGGGCAACACCCCAACAGATGATATAGCTATACAACAACACCCTCATTTTAAATACTTCAAAAAAGAGATAATTAGATTTTACTGATTTAGCTAATCGAAATCATATAAGTAAATAAAAAATCAAAAAAAGATAACTGCAGAATTCAATCTGTCTTCCCACCCGCTGCCCGCGGAGCTCCACAGAAGCTTCACGGCACACTAACCAGACAGCCGGCCACCGAATTGTTCAGAATCGGCTACCAGAGCAGCTTCGCGAGACCTTTCGGACCGCTAGGTTGACGGCGAGGAGAGTTGGAATTCTGGGGTTGGAGGCAAATATACGCTCTATTAGGGACTGCATTTGCTAAGGTCATTGGGTTTCTATCGCTATGAATAGTTGTTCTATACATGGTAGTGGTTGGTTGAGAGGTGTAGATACTATAAATTCATGTATTATTATAGAGGACAATGTATTTCAGTAGATTCAAATCAGTTAAACTTGATTCTCCTCCTATCTGCCCTAGTACCCTAAAGTATACAACCATACTCACTCTCCCTATTCTATCCTACTCTCCCTATTCTATCCTACTCTCCCTATTCTATCCTACTCTCCCTATTCTATCCTACTCTCCCTATTCTATCCTACCCTCCCAGTGTGATGAATAAACCTTCCCTCAACCCCCGAAACAATCCCATACCGATATCGTAGATTCCGAAACCACCCCTGCCTAGGTAAACTCATGCGGGGGTATCGGGGGATCTCCCACCATTGATTGGTGCATTTAGACATCCCAGTACCCCGCGAGTCTTTCTTATGTGGATATACGGAGTAAAAAGGGGTGGCGGTGAAAATACCACGCTTGTGCGTGGCTTTTGGAGGGAGAATCGTGGTCTTTCTACCTAATTGTATGCGCTTTAAGAACCACCCGAATTGTGCCTCCGGAGCGGACAAGGGGATACTTTTTAATAAGATCACCTACAAAGATTCACTTCACTATCATTAGTATATAGTTGAATTTAAGAGCATAATGGTCAAGGTGGCGCGCCGTTCGCATCAGCCAATGGATCAAAATTGGCGACACATCCAAGCCGCATCTCAGTCAGCTCTCGACAATTAGCACAGAGTGGTCGTACATTTTGCCAAACACTGCCGGACAAGTTATCCTCGTAATATGCGGGAAGAACTCCTTGGCGTTGAAGCGCAATTCCATGAACTGCAGCGGGATTTCCGCCGTGCCTATCTAGTGGTTAAATCAAATTTTCGTATTATAGAGTATCGTAATAGACTGGAACACTGACTTACTGGGATATATGAACGAATGGGTATGTCTCAGCACAATTTCCGAAACGAATGAGCGTGTTATTTTCTCTTTGCTCAGGACAGTTCGTCATTGTGTTGCCGCTCTCCATCATAGCAGCATCGTTGATCAGGGAGAATCGCCCTTTCCAAATCACCTTATTCTACGGTCCAGTGATGCTGTGGTAGGGACGGAAACCTTTCAAAGAGGCGCCAAGAAAGAATGTACCTTTACTAGGCCTATACACTATCCATGTGCAATTATACATCGTCGGAACAGATGTCGCAAGAGCACTACACCACTTAGTATACATTGCTGTTAGTGGGAGGTAGAAAATGCGTTTTGTAGCCCTGCTCGGTGCAACTCCAATAACGGAGAGAAAAAGGCCGAGTATGTCGAAGAGACCCTAGTAGGGGACTTTATCGTGCTAAAGCGGGTCTAGCAGGAATTTGGAAGCCCTCGATGGATTGCGAGGGTCCTATTCGAGGTTCCAGCGCCGCTTGATTATTTGATCAGGCTCTAAGCTAGGCGACGCGAAATCACTGCTATTTGGAGGACTAGAAACCAGCAAACAATTAGATTTGAATCTGTAGTATATATAAGACAATGTATTTCTTATACCACAGCATTTCAATCTGCTTCAAAATTCCCCAGAGCGATAGCAATCGACAATCTTGAATATCATATAGATGTCCATTATCGACCACATGGTGAAGGAAACCGAACATCTACCATTCCAATGGTCAGCATCGACTCTATACAGCGGAAACATACAACTTCAGCAGCATCGTATAGTGATTCACTTACCTGCTGGCGATCATAAGTATAAGCCCTTCTCAAGTTAAGAATCTCGTTAAAAGCATCCAGAACTTGTTCTGACGCTAGTGCCGCTGCCATAATCATAAGCAGAATATAGTGTGTTTGCTGAGAATTCTCATTAAGAAGCTGGTAGTGAAGTTGAATTGTTCGTAACAACATTGCAACGAGGCAGGTATAGTATGCTTAATTTCACCACCCTGCTCTTTCCTCCCGGAAGGAACCACCGTCGAACAGGCCGCATTCAAGTAATATCATATTTTTTCAATTTTTGAAACCGCCCGTATAGCAGCTATTTGAAAATACGAAGCTTTGTTGGTTGCTTATATTAAAAACATGGAGAATCAGTATGGCCTCGTACGGGCCTAAGGGAGGGGAGGCGCTCGATGAGGTCCGAAGAGGGTGTAGTTTAAGAGGAATCCTAAATATATGCCTGTAACGAGGGAGACTATCTAAATATGATTAGGATCTAACTGAATAATATTATAAGGGTATTTTGTCTTGACAGGTTAATGAATTAATTGAAGTTAACGGCGATAAAAGCAGCGAGACACTTTTTGTGTCAGGGAGTATGATATCCTAATTAGTGACGTTGATGCCTAAGATAAATCGCACACCTTGATTGTAAGGTGTGGAGGCTTGGGGAGTTCAGTCCACTTGCTGCTCATCTGATTGATTGCCACAATAGCATGGTGGCCATAATAGTTTTGTTTTTCATTTTTGCATCTATGCACGTGGTCGCGGTTCGGCTTAGCAGAAACTACTCACAATTACATCAGACCTGCGCTTAACCCCGGTGATCCTTTCACCAACTGACAATCCTGACAAGCGGGCTCCTGGAACTCTGTCCACTGTTGCAATAATGCCTCCCTCCAGAATCTCTACTCCACCTTCTGTGGCGGTCTCGCCTGTCAAGTCACCTACGAAAACCTCCGCTCCGCCACCAGTAAGTATAGGCTAACTCCCTCTTGTTTTGGTCATGTCGCCTAAGGATGCCCAGTTTACCGTTCCCCCTGGCTGGACCTCGAACCCATCGAGTCCTTATTATCAGGAAGAGTGGATAGGCGCCAACTCCGAAGGTCAACTAATTGCTCGAGCATATGGTCTCCAACCAGGACAGCCAGTTATGGAGGATAATAACGGGTGGCACACAATTTTCCTGTCTAGCAATAAGTTCTATCTTTGGGGGCGGATGAACGACGAAGTCGAAGAATTTGTGTCTCAAGATATCCGCGAGATCGCTTCTTTGATTTCCCACTCGGGGCTTAAAAAGCTAGCCAGGAAGCCTCTTATTTAACTTCTGTCTTGAATATACGACTCAGATCACGAGGGTAACACCCTAACTAATATTTTTGTTTCTGACCGATAGATTGCGCTAGAGAGCTCGAAGGCTCACACAGGGCCGCCTGTTTGCGTTGGCGATATGAGGGTTAGCGGAGCTCAGTGATCCAGATCAATGGAAAAAATGCCTCACTGGCAAGGCGCACACGAGGAACGGAGAGAAAGAAAGAGTAGAAGGGGTGAAAGCAGTTAAAAGTTGAAACGGCGATGAACGCGTTTTTATAGAAACACGCACGACGATAGTAATGCGCCGATAGGCGCTAAACCCGAATAGACACGCTTAACTCCTTTGCGTAATTCACTGGCACCGGATTATTACGGAGTACACCATCTTTGCAGGAGGGATCGCCCGCTCGTTCTCGTACGTCTCGTGTCCGTGTCGGATGACTCGGTCCTAAAGCTTTCGGGGCTTGTGGGAATAGGACTAGAGAACCTAAAGAGCTGGCCGATTGACGGTATGGACTAATAGGGCTGGGAGTATCCTTGTTCGTTTGTGATAGCGTCGAGGCGCGCCTAATTTCATGAAACCTAATATGATTCATTGAACCTAGGTTAAATGGAGTGGTGGATGGAGGGAGTAATTAATAGATGGTCTGAGCCTGCGTATCGTGTCGTGTCGTCTTGTTAGTTTATTTCTTTCCTTTTTCTCCCTCTTCACTGCCAAGGCTATTAGAAGTGGACACTCATGCTATTATTTGCTCCCAGGTCGTCATTCTAATTCTCTTCAACGACTTTATAACAATCCTGTCCAGCATCTTCCCTGCCAAGAACCCCTCATCGACAGTCCTATTCGATTCAGGCCGATCCCACGGGGAAGCTATTCAACTACCAAGCTCATTGGCCATCCCAGCCCAGCTACCCTTGGAATATCAACGGGACCGACCCATCGGATGCCCCCCGGATCATCCAGGAAGAACACGAGCGGTTCGTCACCACTGGGTAAAACGGATAATTCCAAGTGGCAACCTCCGACAGCGGCGCTCCCAAACTCTACTTCATCGACTTCATCCCAACCCCCCTCTATCCGAACGAACCGGCGGGGAACAGACAATCACCGAGCTTGATGCTGCCCACATCAACGAAATACGATAGCATGATAGCATCATCGGCAATAGCATGACTGGATATGAGATTCGCAAAAAGAAGTAAACCATGACGCATGAGAATCGGGATACGAGATAAATCACCATGCCGCCGTCTCAGGAACAATTATTGGCGATCTCCGTCACGGAGCGCGTTTGCTCGACCGTCTCGCTGGTTGGCACATTCGTGATTGTCGCGACTTTCATCGGGTCGCGCTCGTTTCGAAAGCCGATTAATCGTCTTGTGTTTTATGCTTCTTGGGGCAATATCATGGCTAATATAGCCACGTTGATTTCGCAGTCGGGGATCCATGCTGGCGTGGGGAGTCCGCTGTGTCAGTTTCAGGCTTTTTTGATTCAATGGTAAGTATTTTGACATTATCTTGTTATTATTGACTTGGATTGCTACTGTACTTTTTGAAAGGTATTCTCTAACTCCTCGTATAGGTTCATGCCAGCAGATGCCCTGTGGACATTCGCAATGGCCTGCAACGTCTACTTAACCTTCTTCCACACGTACAACGCTGACCAATTGCGCCGGCTGGAATGGAAGTATGTAGTCGGCTGTTACGGTTTACCATTTATCCCGGCTTTTGTGTACTTTTTCATCCACACGCCGGCACGTGGTCGAGTATATGGTTCAGCAATTGTAAGACTACTCCTCTTCAACAATCCTACATTCTATCCTACTAACCCTCCATCCCCCCACAGCTATGGTGCTGGGTGTCCCTAAAATGGGACTTCCTCCGAATCGCCCTCTTCTACGGCCCCGTCTGGTTCGTCATCTCCCTCACATTCGCCATCTACCTCCGCGCCGGCTCATCCATATACCAAAAACGACGAGAACTCCGAGCTCTGAGCGGCCTCGAGACCCTCGATACGGAATTAGCCATAGCCCGCGACTTGCCTCACGTCCGTCTCGCCGGGATTCAGGTAACCAGTGAAATTGCCTGCTCTACGCCACAACGCTGTTCTGTAGCCGTTCCAGACGTCGATGTTGATATCGATGTCCCGAGACCCGCGCGGAGTTTCTCGTCCTCGAACATTTCCCCGTACTCTGTTACTATTGAGGGTGGCATGATTGATCCGATTACTATGTATCAGAATTCGGAAGAGCAACTCTCGTCTATTCACGCCTCGGGCTCGAGGAAAAATTCTAGTTTACTTCACTCGGAGATGTCCATGTCCATGTCGCTGAGAACGTGTCGGTCTGACGGTGTGGAGACGTATGAGACGTACTCACAGCGACGCGGGATGAAGAGGGAGGCGACCTCGGCTGTGTGGGCTTATACCAAGTATGCGATGCTGTTTTTTATTGCGCTGCTTGTGACGTGGGTACGTTTTCTCTCTTGGGCAATATCGGCTCAATATTCATACGGGCGTAGCAAGCTGACATGGTTTTTTGGATAGGTTCCCTCCACGGTTAATAGAGTATACGCCTTTGCTCGACCTAACGAATTCTCTTTTGGGTTAAATTACACATCAAGTTTTGTACTGCCGTTGCAGGGGTTTTGGAATAGTTTGATTTACGTGTCGATTTCTTGGCCGGCGTTTAGGACGCTTTGGAGGGATATGCGATTCAGGCCGCGGGGTTTACAAAAGTTGAACTCGTAAAAGTATCGTCAAATTATAATTCATTAATATAGAATCATCCATCGCCCTGTCGTCCTAAATTATGGTGATTTTCCATTTTCTCGTACACATAACTCAGGCCGTTGAAAAAGTGGGGCCATACAAGCAATATCTAAATCACGTGACAATCGCGTCGCGCTCCAAGCTATCGAGAGTATCTCATTCTCTAAAGCCTCCAAATTCCCCAAAACCCCAAAACAAACACTCCCTATCTCACCGTCTAATTACACACTCGCCATAAACCCCCTCCAACTCACAAATCCCACGCGCACAACACCACCATGGCAGGCCCCAATTCCCACCCACCACCAACCGACCACCCCGCGCCCGGTCTCCGCGCCTCACGCCTCCACCAAGTCTTCGACCAAGCGCTCGCGCGCACACTCCGGGCAAACTCCTACGCCAATTTCGCCGGTTGTTTCCCGACGCCAGCGCGACATGTCCCGGCTAGTTTGGAGAGTGTGTGGAGACAGTTGAATGCGAAGTTGGAGGAGAGTGCTAAGGCGGAATTTGAGGAGATTATTGAGGAGAGAGATGCTGTGAGGCATTTGAATGATTTGGATAGGTTGGTTAGTGAGGCGAAGGTGCGGAGGGAGAAGGGGAAGGGGAAGGAGGAGGAGGATGGGGGTGGGCCGGGGTCTGGGAATGCGTATGTTGTTCTTGGTTGAGTTGTTGAATTTGGAGATCTGTTTCGTGGCTAACGATTTTGGTCGCGTTGGACAGGCTGCATACCCTTGGTGCGGAGGAGCTGTATAGGGCTCATTTGACGCCGTACCTGCAGGAAGCGCAGGCGACCCTGAATGGCAAACTTGGGGAAACACATGCGCAGAATGCAGAGTTGGCGCAGACAGTACAGGCGCAGAGGCGGGAGATTGAGAAACTTCTTGCGCACCTCGAGTCTGTCGTTACGGATATCGAGGGTGCTGCGACGGCGGCTACGGAATTCAGCAAGGAACATCATATTCGTCAGGACGCGATTCAAATGGACCGGGAAGTTAACGCCCACCCGGGCGTGTAAGAGATGGCTGTTATTGTTCTTTCTACAGTTTCCCAGCTCTGATTTTTGTCCTGCTTGTCCGATCATGAGATCAGAGCGCTCATGTCGGTGCCTTCTACCATCCCGTCCTCCACCATATCCTGGGCCACCGCGATCAACTGATCCATGGACTTTGCCTTGATTTGATCCAGCTTGGTTCTCTGGCCCTCCAGCGCAGCAGCAATGGCCTCCTTGAACGATCCATCGCGTTCTGCCTCGGTCTCTCCATCCCGGCGAGCTAGTGCTGCTGCTCCGCGGTAGTATGTTTGCGCATTACGCAGGAGCGTGGCCCCATGCTGCGCCGCCACGGAGTGGTTCCAGGGTGCCCGACCCAGTCGCCAGCGCTGCATCTCTGCGTCGCCACGTGCGAGATGGATCTTGGGCAAGTTGTCAGCGCTTGGCAGCTTCGAGGCGGCTGTCAACGAGTCCAGCGCGGTCGAGAGTGCTTGCCATCGCACAGAACAGCAGAACGTGAAAGTTTCCGCATCATCAGCCGGGGGTAGATCTGCGAAAGCTCCGTTCAGCGAGGTCAGTGCCTCCGCTTTGCTGCACAGTCCCTCTGGGTCATTCGATACGTCAAGCTCGGGCCCGAACGCACGTCCGACCTCTTGCTGGTATGTCCGAGCATCAGTGTGGCCGCCCCGGTAGAGGACGTCGTGTAGTGCGCAAATGAACTTTGCCCGCGCCAGCCCTGCTTCATACTGTCTATCCGATCCCTCGACATAAGCCGGCAGCCGAGTCTCGACCAGTTCAGATGAATACTCCTGTACCCATCCCACACCGCCAGCACCAGGGTTGAACGTCAACAAATTGCACAGCGCCGTCAATGTATCCAACTGCGCTACGGCCGAGTCGACAAGGGTATTCTTCGTCACTGGCTCAACGATAGCAGCCCACCGCTCCTGCGGTTCACTATCCGCGGACTCGCTCTCGGCCACCTGCGGCTCCGCTGACGGGACCGCGGGCTCTGACTCTGGTTCCTCGTCCATCTCTCCAGACTCCATCTGCATAATCTGCTCCTCCATCTCAGTGAACTTCATCTCCTGCAGCGCCAGGCATCGCTGGAACAACTCGACCGCTTCCTGCAAATAGGTGCTCGCCTGGATGAGCTGCTCTTCGCTCGGATGCTTTGACTCTGTCAGGGCCTCGGCCAGGCTGTTCAGTACCTGTCCGCTATTGAACAAGGCGTCTGCATTATCTTGTTCCAGGTACAGCGCATCCCGATGCGACTGCAGCGCTACTTCCAGGATTTCCGCATGTGGAGCAGGCAGTTGTGCTGCTAGCTTGGGGTGTTGGGTGATTTCGTATTGGACACGAGCTCTGGCGGTAATGTTAGCGGGAGATCTCGCAATGCATATAGATCGGAGGAATAATAGAGATATGCTTTGCTTGTAATCAAACACAATCTCCACCTCCTCCTCTCTATTTGAATTTCATCGACGTACTTGTTGTAAGCTAGGTCAAAAGCAGCAGGATGTTTCTGCAACCCTTCATCATAATTGGCAATCGCCTTCATAAAAAACCGCATCGATTTGGCCGCATCTCCAGCGCGCCATTTCTCGCCGGCTTCTTCTAGCTCGACGCCCGCTGTTTAGGGTAGTTGTAATCATTAGCTTGAGGACATGGAGAAGACTTTCGGTGGGGTTAGCTGCGTACCTGCGAGATAGTCATCGGCTGTTACGGGCAGCTGCTATACATTCAGTCAGTTTCCGAATTCAAGCTGTCGGGGCATTGTCGTGTGGTCAGTGTGGTGGGATATGTATGTACCTGCTTCGCATTCTTTTTCTTGGCCTTTGATTCCTTGAGGAAAGCCTTTGGTCTTGGCATGATGGTGGTGGGGTGGCTATACCCAGGGCGATCTGGATCTGGATCTGGATTTCGTCACTTGGGAGCTTGGTCGTGGTGTTCAGAGAGGGGTGTAGTTCGTTTAGACTCTGTCGTTAGTGTACGAAGTGGTTGGTTGGAGTGGTGAGAGGGAATGGAGAGTTTGATGATGTTGTCCGAGCACGGAGATGGCGAATGAGAGGGAACTGTTCGGAGGAGTAGCTCCACGGATGATGGGATGATGGGATGATGGTTGATAGCTTTTTTTTTCCCTATGCCAAGCCTCGGGCTGGAGCTGCTGCGTTAAGTTTGGGGTACATCACCACACCCCGCTATACTTGTATCATAGAGTACTTACACGTTAGTTTAATAGGTTTTGAGTGGCGAGAAGGCATTGAATTTCGTAGCCGCTCTGCATGATGTGTCGATAGATAATGACAGCTCCGTGGTGACTATGCTTTTTAGCTTCAGGACTGATCTATTACTTCGTATGTAGCCATCGAAGTTACGAATGACATCCCCTCTGGTAGTAGTAGTACTAGATGATTACCGATTATGAAGTACAGTACATACATCCAACATACTATACTTACTATAATAGCAGGATTTACCTCCTCCCCCGACCGGTCGGATTAATCTAATTCTACGCAAACCCCATCCTGGCTGATCCCACGTGGCAAAATCCACTCTGTCAGACTCTTTTTATTCATACTTCCTCGGTTCGGATACTTCGTCAAGACGATGTAATATGGTAAATCATGGACATGATTCTTGAGAGATGTGATATAACTTAACTCGCTGAATGTAGATGAAGCTTCTTGTTCTCCATCATCAGATACATAGAAATAATCCAAAGCATAGATCATATTATGCCATCCATAGATCATCTGCATCAGTCCTTCGTAAGTTCGTACGGATTTCTTTTCTTTTTGCCCCTCTCATCATCGTCACTTCCAGACCGACTATCCAACCAGCACCCGCCACCTGCAGAAGATCGTCTCCCTTCTGGTTCTCACTCCAGCAGATGCCTTTTCTTCCGAATCCCCTCCTTTGCATCTGATTTCTTCCTCAGTTTCCTCCTCTTCTAACCTCCTTTCCCCACCACCACCACCACGACCCACTTCCGCCGCTCCGGTCCTCCTAAGTCGTCGGAGTCTCATCCAGAAACCATCTTGCCCGTGGCTGCACATCGTGTTTCAAACTCATCTTTCTTGTGCCCACTTCTTTCCTCCCTTTTCCACCTTTTGCGCATTGGCCTGTTACAATAACAAGCCTATCCCGACCCACAGATTGACTACCCGCGAGTGTTGTACGTGACGATCCCCTTACCCGATAATGCGGCCTTGGCTCAGCCCAGAGAGACGATCCCTGCTAATCTGCCCACCTCCCAGCGAAAAAACCCAACTCCCCATCGATCCGGCTCCAGACCACCCAGCACCTCAAATAGTCGCGGTCTCCCTCCCTACTGCAGACATGGCCCGCCATCCGTCTCTTGACTCCGAGCGACCCATCATGTCAAACTCGGTGCGCATTTCTAGCCCCCTTTACCCCTCTCGCAAACATCATCTCTTCCTTCCTGAGCACCCCCTTTCGGCGCAAAATGACTACCTTGGGATGACATCAATGCTAACCTAATTCATTTTAGAACCGCAACTCGAAGCGCTTCTCTACTATCAGCGGCAGCCCTTCGCTCGCCAACTCCGAACGCACCGTCGGCAGTCTACCCAGCGGAGACCCCAGGGTCGCCGACATCCATCACCTCGGCGATGGCCTGGAGCGCTTGGAGAACAAGCCCCTGCAGGCACAGCGCTTTGTGCCCACCGCAGAGAAGACCGACAACCTGAACAAACTGGCTCTCGGCGCCAAGGTGGAGCGTGCACTAGGACGAAGAATGACCAGCCAGGACGCCGTCATGCGCAAGCCAGTCCTGAGCGAGAAGGCCGCAGCTGCTGCGACCAGTTCGTAACCGACTAAGGTCAGGGAAAAGGTTCTCTCTTTCTCGCTTCGTCTCATTGCGCACTCTGGTTGATCTCATACACATCTATGGCATTCTGACCACCCACAGCTTTCCGCTACGTAAAAGCGTGTGGGTAGTCAGTACTATAGCCATTCGGCAGCTAATGTTGGTGTCGATTTTTCTTCATTCAACCCGCTCTATACTCTCTCTTTTCCTTCCAGCGAAGCTTTTCGCTAGGAAGAAATCGTCTACGATCGCTGTTTCCTTTCTCCTTTTCATTGTCGAACCCTCTCACGTCCGATACCATATCATCTATCATACCCCCTTTTCCTTCATTGACCTTGCTCCTTGGCGTTATCTAAACCTGCTATGAAATTTGCATGACTCCTTTGGTTCTTCGTTTTTCATCCTGTCTAGTATATGTCGTCTTTCCCTGGATCCTGTCGCTTTGAGTGTTGGTTCCTCCATATATGGGCATATATTATGAATGCTACCTCGTATTAGATTGTTTGTCTGTGGTGCAAGAGCGTAATGTATTGCCTGTATCGAAAATCGAAAGTGTTGCCTGACTAAGGCTGCGATTGTTTGCCTTGCGATGATTGACACGACCTAATCGGGCGATATCAACGTTGACGATTTTCTGGCCAAACAAACTTCTCCTTCTTCCTCCTTTCTCTTTTCTCCTCTTTCCTTCTTCTCCTACTCAACTCATCGAGTCTCACCAACTCTGACAAAATTGCTTTTGTCTCCATCTTCCCCGTAAGTCACCAATCAACCGTTCACTTCACTCTTCACTCCTCATCACCGATGTCATCGGATCATCGCCTTTGATCCTCCCTTTCTGCCGAGCGGTGAGTCCCATGCCAAGCCCACGCGAAACCCGCACGGAGTCTTTGCAGTTCGAAAGCCAGTCGCTTTTTCCTCGAAGGCGAATTTCCCCCCCCACAGCTTCGTTTCTGTCTCTTCTGCTCCCCTTCTTCTGTTCTTCTCATCCCCGGTTAATTCTCAACCCCATCATCTTCTCCATCCTCTCAGTCTCGCGCCCTGCTGCCCGTCTCCCCTCTTCCCGGTCTATCCCGCACAAGAGTCATTTTTCCCTCCTCTGTTTCCCACCTCTCATAACCTATACTTCCCGCATTACTCTCCGCATCATCGAAGAGTTGTCCTCGTTTTCCTTTTTCCTCCCACCACCTTCTTCCTTTCTTCCTTTCCTTTCGTGCCTTTCAATTGATTGCATTGGTGCTTGGTCCATTTCGCATTTGTAAGTGCGCCGCCAGGCCCACTCCACCTTACCTTTCCCATCAACTGCCGGGGCGGTCGTGCTTTTGCAAAGAAGTGAACCTCAGTGGAGGGTGTGCGATATCAAGACTGACTCGATCTCCAGGTTCAGCGAGCGGAAGAAAAAAACACAGATTCTCTTTTAGATCTCTCATCTGCACAGATTCTGATCTCCCGGTTTAGAAGCTTCGCTCAGATAGCTCCTCTCGGCTGATCCTTCGACGGTCCACACGGCTACTTTAATCTTCGATCCCATCCTCTCTTCTTTTCCCTCCCCGAATATCATATCACCTCCGCTCGAATCCAAAATGGCCGATATGACCCAGGTCCCCATCAACGGCAACTATGCCGCCCAGCATGGCTTCCCCGATGCCTTCAACCCCGCCCACGCTGCCATGAACACTGCCGCCAACTTCCAGCCCGCTCAGTCCTCCACCCCTACCAGTGCCACTCCCAGCACTGATCAGCAAAAGAACGAGATTACCAAGGATGAGGTCGGCTGGTTCTTTGTCGAGCAGTACTATACCACCATGAGCCGCAACCCCGACAAGCTGCACCTCTTCTACTCCAAGCGGTCCCAGCTTGTCTTTGGCACTGAGGCCGAGTCTGTGCCCGTTGCCATCGGTACCAAGGTGAGTCAATCCCACTTTCAGCCCAAAATTTACACCCGATGTAGATGTGAGGACATGCAATGACCAATTCTAACGTGAATTTCTTCTGCGCAGGCTATCAATGACAAGATCAAGGCCCTTGACTTCCAGGACTGCAAGGTTCGCGTTCTGAACGTCGACTCCCAGGCCTCCTTCGACAACATCCTCGTCTCCGTCATTGGCGAGATCTCCAACAAGTCCGAGCCCTCTCGCAAGTTCACCCAGACTTTCGTTCTGGCTGAGCAGCCCAATGGCTACTACGTTCTCAACGACATCTTCCGCTACCTCGTCGAGGAGGTTGAGGAGGATGAGAGCGTCACCGAGGAGGTTACCCCGTCGGTCACTGAGTCTGCTGAGGTCGTTGAGACTGCCCCTGCTGTCGAGGAGGCTCAGGTCACCGATGAGGCCGTTGCCTCCAAGGTTGATGAGAAGCTGGAGGAGGTCAATGGCGAGACCGAGCAGCCCGAGGAGGTTGCCCCTAAGACCAACGGTGCTCCCGTCGAAGAGGTTGATGAGGCCCCTGTGCCCGTTGTCGAGCCCGAGGCTCTGAAGGAGGAGAAGCCCCAGGCTCCCGAGCCTTCCCCTGCTCCCGAGCAGAAGGAGGTCCCCGCTGAGAAGAAGACTGCTGCCCCCGCGGCTCCCGTTGCAGCTCCCGCTGCCCCTATCCCTGCTGTCCCCAAGACCTGGGCCAGCATTGCCTCCAAGGTCGGTGCTGCCAAGGCCGCTGCCGCTGCTGCTGCCGCCCCGGCTGCCCCTGCTGCTACTACTCCTGCTGTTCCCGCTCCTACTCCCGCTGCTGCTGCCCCTAAGGCTGCTGCCGCTCCCGCCCCTACTACTGACTCGGCTGCCACTACTCCTCGTGCGGCTGTTACTCCTGCTCCCGCCGAGAAGGATGCTGCCTCCACCGATGGTGCTGGCTGGCAAACCGCCGGTGCTGACCACAAGAAGACCCAGTCTCGCGCTGGCGAGGACCAGGTCGTTCAGGGTTATATGAAGAACGTTAATGAGAAGGTGGACGCTGGTCTTCTTAAGCAGACTTTGACCCGCTTCGGCAAGCTCAAGTACTTCGATGTCAACCGTCCCAAGGTTCGTTTAACAACTCCTTCCCTTGTGTTTCAGATCAATGTCTAACTTGTTGCTTTTCAGAACGCTGCCTTCGTTGAGTTCGCCGAGCCTTCCGGCTACGCTGCCGCTGTTGCTGCCAACCCCCACCAGATTGGCACTGAGCAGATCATCCTTGAGGAGCGCCGTCCCCGCCCCAACACCTTCGGCAATGGTTACCCTGCTGGTCGTGGCCGCGGTGGCCGTGATGGCCGTGGTGGTAGCCAGGGTCGTGGAGGTTTCCAGCGTGATGGCCGTGGTGGCTTCCCTCCCCGCGGTGGTCGCGGTGGAAATGCGGCTCCCAAGCCCCGCACCGGTGCCCCTGCTGCTTAAGCTCTCTTTCACCATTTTCAGATAAAATTACCTCCAGGCGGAGATGGTCGATGCCCACGCCGGAGCTCGGATAATGACGTGAGGTTTCAACTCCAGCTCAAGCTTCCAGTTTCAAGCTTGTGAGCCAGCTTGAGAAGAACCAGCTCGAATTTTCTTCTCCGGCACCTCGACACGTCTCCGATCATGACTCTCCCCCGTACACTTTCGATGGAAGCATTTTCCAGCAATTTGTATTACTCCGGATTTTTGATAATGCTTTTTCCTTTTTGATCTCTCTGTCTCTTTTCCTTTTCCCCCTCATAATGACATGTGTTATGTGACTTCCCCTCCACCACCCCCTTTTCTTCCTGTCTCTCGTCACAGTGCATATTAGCGGTTGGGTCACGGGTTGGCTGGAAAAGTTGTGTCTTTCTTTCCCTTCCCTCTCTGGGCACTTTGTCCTTTTTGCGTCGATTTTTGTGTTTCTTGCTCTTTTTGTCCTTTCGTGTGGGCTTCCACCCGGCTTAACTACGGTTTACCATTTCTTTGTATTTTTGTTTTTATTTTCTTGGTGGTGATGGCCAGGCTTTCGTGTTTCCCCAGTTTCACGAATGCTATGCCCTATATTCTCCAATGGTTTTCTTTTTTTTTCTAGTTGATCTTTGATCTCGTTGTTTTACCACGAGCCGCTGTTCCACCACGAAGACTCTATATCGCATCTTTATTCTAGCATAGCAAGCTGAGGGTTTTCTGGTGTCGTCCCGTCCGGTCTCTTATTTCTTGTTTCTTCTATGATTTCATCTTTCTTTTTTTCCTCCCATTCTGGTTTCCCTGTCGTGGAAGGGATATAATGGGCTATGTATTTGTTTCTAGGAAATGGGCCTTGTAAATGGTATGGTCAATGGAATGGAAGGGGGGGATTGGGATTTCGGTGGTGGTTCTGGTTATTCTGTCATAGTTACTGGAATAGGGACAATGATAATATCAGATAGTTGTACCAAGTTACCCCTGGCGAGACTTTAATGTGTTGTGTGACCTGTAGGCTGATACGAGGCGGTTGCTGGGTAGCAGTGTGGTTGTCTCGTAAGACAGAGCGTATTGCATGTGAGGTGTCAACAGTTCCGAATAGTGTCTTTGATTCGGCTCATTCTTGTTTGCATTTGGGGATATTCATCTATTGGATGGAACTAATCTGGTGTACAGCAGAGCCTCCTTCTTCTCTGGCGTGAGACTCTAGGTGCAAATTGGATGGGAGCGAAGGTTCTAGATTTCTGTATGCCTGAAAAGTCAGGCAGACAGTTGATCAAGGTCCTTGGAAGTTTATACTACGGGTCAGTCATAGAGTGAGAAAACTTCCCTGGCAGGGAATAGCAAAAGCAATGAAGTGTAGAATCTACTAGAAAAGTATACCAAATTAAAATCCACTACCGAATTGCTAAGTATAGTAACTCTGATAGTAGGGATTAGCTATATCCCCGTGCTGTTCGGGGGCGGTGTCCATCTTGGTTGCTGGGGAAGAACTGGTGGAAGTCTCTGGATCGCCGTAGAACCGCCGCCCGTAGAATCGCTGAACCCACCAGAATTTTTTGGAAACACACGCTTCTTTCTTCACCTCCTCTTCCCTCCCCTCATAAGATCTGCGTCTGTCCTAGCAGTTCTTTCTTTCTTCTTCACCTCTCTCCCCCAACTTCTCTGTACGTATAAACCTTTCCCTTTCCAACTCTCCACGGCTACAATCCTCTCATCACTACTTCCCCTCTCTCTTCTGCCTACTACTCCTCTCTTCTGATCCACTCCCCACCTTTCTCATCTTCCCGACGAGGCTCTTCTCTCTTCAATCTTGAGAGTTCCCGCCTGAAGATTTGAAAATTTCTCATCAATTCAAACCCTTATTCGCCTCTCGCCACCTTTCTTCCAACTTCCCCATTGATTCTCATCTCTTCACCACTATTCTCAATCCCGCATTTCTCCAATTCTAATCAGAATCCACCCCTCCTACAGAATACCCACCGCCATCATGCCCGAGACTTTCGAGTTCCAGGCTGAGATCTCTCAGCTGCTCTCGCTGATTATCAACACTGTCTACTCTAACAAGGAGATTTTCCTTCGTGAGCTGATCTCCAACGCCTCCGATGCCTTGGACAAGATCCGTTACCAGTCCCTCTCGGACCCCTCCGTCCTGGACTCCCACAAGGACCTCCGCATCGACATCATCCCCGACAAGGAGAACAAGACCCTGACCATCCGTGATACCGGTATTGGTATGACCAAGGCTGTAAGTTGATCCATTGGACACAATCACAACAAAGAATCCGGGCTAATATTATTTTCTATCCAGGACTTGATCAACAACCTTGGTACAATTGCCCGCTCCGGCACCAAGCAGTTCATGGAGGCCCTGTCCGCCGGTGCTGACATCTCCATGATCGGTCAGTTCGGTGTTGGTTTCTACTCTGCCTACCTCGTTGCCGACAAGGTTACCGTCGTCTCCAAGCACAACGATGACGAGCAGTACATCTGGGAGTCCGCCGCCGGTGGTACTTTCACCCTGACCCAGGACACCGAGGGCGAGCAGCTCGGCCGCGGTTCCAAGATCGTCCTTCACCTGAAGGATGAGCAGATGGACTACCTCAACGAGGCCCGCATCAAGGAGGTTGTTCGCAAGCACTCCGAGTTCATCTCCTACCCCATCTACCTCCACGTCCTGAAGGAGACCGAGAAGGAGGTCCCCGATGAGGATGCTGCTGAGGAGACCAAGGAGGAGGAGGGTGATGAGAAGAAGCCCAAGGTCGAGGAGGTCGATGACGAGGAGGAGGAGAAGAAGGAGAAGAAGACCAAGACCATCAAGGAGTCCAAGATCGAGGAGGAGGAGCTCAACAAGACCAAGCCCATCTGGACTCGCAACCCCGCCGACATCACCCAGGAGGAGTACGCCTCCTTCTACAAGTCGCTCTCCAACGACTGGGAGGACCACCTCGGTGTCAAGCACTTCTCCGTTGAGGGTCAGCTCGAGTTCCGTGCCATCCTCTTCGTCCCCAAGCGCGCTCCCTTCGACCTGTTCGAGACCAAGAAGACCAAGAACAACATCAAGCTCTACGTTCGCCGTGTCTTCATCACTGACGATGCTACCGACCTCATCCCCGAGTGGCTCAGCTTCGTCAAGGGTGTTGTCGACTCTGAGGATCTCCCCCTCAACCTGTCTCGTGAGACCCTCCAGCAGAACAAGATCATGAAGGTCATCAAGAAGAACATTGTCAAGAAGACCCTCGAGCTCTTCCAGGAGATCGCTGAGGACCGTGAGCAGTTCGACAAGTTCTACTCTGCCTTCAGCAAGAACATCAAGCTCGGTATCCACGAGGATGCCCAGAACCGCCCCGCTCTGGCCAAGCTCCTCCGCTACCAGTCCACCAAGTCTGGTGACGAGTCCACCTCCCTCACCGACTACGTTACTCGCATGCCCGAGCACCAGAAGAACATCTACTACATCACTGGCGAGTCCATCAAGGCTGTCTCCCAGTCTCCCTTCCTGGACACCCTCAAGCAGAAGAACTTCGAGGTTCTGTTCCTGGTTGACCCCATTGATGAGTACGCCTTCACCCAGCTGAAGGAGTTCGATGGCAAGAAGCTGGTCGACATTACCAAGGACTTCGAGCTCGAGGAGACCGAGGAGGAGAAGGCCGAGCGTGAGAAGGAGGAGAAGGAGTACGAGGAGCTCGCCAAGGCCCTCAAGAACATCCTCGGCGACAAGGTCGAGAAGGTTGTTGTCTCCCACAAGCTGATGGGCGCCCCCTGCGCCATCCGTACCGGCCAGTTCGGTTGGTCCGCCAACATGGAGCGTATCATGAAGGCCCAGGCTCTCCGTGACACTTCCATGTCCTCCTACATGTCCTCCAAGAAGACCTTCGAGATCTCCCCCAAGTCCAGCATCATCAAGGAGCTCAAGAAGAAGGTCGAGGCTGACGGCGAGAACGACCGCACCGTCAAGTCCATTACCCAGCTCCTCTTCGAGACCTCCCTGCTGGTTTCCGGCTTCACCATCGAGGAGCCCGCCAGCTTCGCCGAGCGCATTCACAAGCTCGTCTCCCTCGGTCTGAACATTGAGGAGGATGTCGAGGCTGTCGATGAGAAGGCCACCGAGGCTGCCGCTCCTGCTGAGGCTGCCGGTGAGTCTGCCATGGAGGAGGTTGACTAAATTAGTCGTCCTCTTTTTTGTCCTCCATGTCGCAGCCTCCCCGCCAACCTCTTCTCCTTTTTACAAACTGGATTAGCTTAAAGATGGGTTTTTTGCATGCTAAAATCTGTTCTTTGTTTGCTGGTTCTGGTTCTGGTATGCGCGTTATTTTTCAAAGTTCTTACGGGAAATGGGAAATGGGAAACGGGATTATGACCCTTGATGTTATCTTTTTTTATTGTTCTTTAAATCAAGATTAAATGATTTACATTATTACTTGACTGTTTTCCCCTAGACTTGCACCTAGAGTTGGTTTCTGTAGTTGAGCAGTTGAGATAAAATAGAATCTATGACACCTGTTGTTTGGGATTCTGGATCTTTTGTAGGATTGTAGGATTGTAAAATTATTGTTACAAGGCCTGGCCTATTGGAAGATGGTGCTTCCTTAACTACAAGTATAGCATCTCTCATATGATACTCTAGGATTTTGCAGCTGTAACGCCCATCCCTGATTACTTTGACACTCATTTACGATGACCTTGTCAGGTCTCGTTCGAAACTCGTCCTTGAAGGGCTTGAAAGACATGGGCTCATGATGAATGTCATACTGCTTCATGACCAATGCCCCATACTTGACAGGCCCATTAGCATCCTAACCATCCGCCTCGTCTTAAGGGATCAGACAAAAGCCCGTCGAAGTAAGGTGAGGGCATGTGTAGGTCAATGCCGAATAGTACCTAATTTAGCTTATACATTGACTCGCGACTCTGTTGTAGCGGCGTTTGCTGGAACCAGATATGCTTCTCCGATTTTCTTTTTTTTGGATGGGTTTTCGAAATGGGTCTCAATTGTCTTGTTAGGGGTTCCAATGGATGTTTTTTTGGTCCTATATCTGACTTAGACTGAGTAGTCTTTGAAATTCCATCCGGATACCACCAAACCTTGTTGGGACATTTATGGACAGAGTATACTTCTGTTTCTACTGCAGCAATGCATGTTTAGATGTATTGGTCGAAGACAAGGATGTTGTCAGGGAGTACGGAGGAATCCAATATCAGGGATGGGGTCAATCAAAAGCCCTCCTTGTTGGTACTCAATACGTAGTGCATATCTTCCTAACCACGAACTGTGAGACAATTCATACAGGTACCTATTCATCTCTTAGAAGCTAACCGATTTCTTAAAGGTGAACACACCCCGAAGTTCGAATAAGATCCACAGATAATACAGTCGGGTTCACCTCGGGACTATCCTCGGCGATTTACCTACCAGCTCCACTCCACACCGGCTTCACCGGGAGGGTTTCGGGTTGAATTAGAGGAGGGGAAGAGGGGACTGTTGACTCTTTGAGTGGATGATGATGTAGTTATTTGCTTATTCTTATGACTGTTCATCTAATAAGATTTGACCTTGGACGTGCATACCCCCCTCCACTGGCTAGGCGGGGTACTGTACACCGACTTTATCCACCTGCAGCGTTCAACAACCACACCTCCAACTTAACTCATCGAAACAACCTCGACTTAAGATATATTCAGTATCTGAGTACCTATATTCTCAGTTCAGCAAGGAAAACTTATTCAAAATGGTCTACACAATCGTCGTCCGTGCGTGACAATCCCTTTCCTTCATCCTCTCCTCTCCTCCAATCCCTCCCCAAAACCACATCAACATCAAATCAACATCAAATCAACATCCCATTCAACCCCCTACCTAAATCCAACCTAACCTCTGCGGCTGTTCTTCAGACCTCCGCGCCAAACCCGACGCCGAATCAATCTCCAAACTCCACGCCAAACTCCTCGAAGCCTCCGCCATCTACTCCAAAGACAAAGAAACCCTATCCTGGTTCGTCATGCAATCCGTACACGACAAGCAAGATTTCACCATCGTCGAGCGCTACGAGCGTGAATCTTCGCAGGAATATCACTTGAATAACCCCTACTGGAAGACTTTTGATCCTTATGTTATTCCGTTGTTGGAGAGGGAGATGGATTTGAGGAGGTTTGAGGAGTTGGAGAGTGAGAATTAAGGAATTAAGGGTCAAGCTGAATATTACTACGAAAAAGGAATTGAAAATTATAGTGCTAGAGATCCTAGAGACTCGGGCTCTTCCTTCGGTCATCCTACTAGAGCTTGGATAAGCTTGTGTCGGACTAAAATAGAGGATCGAAGGACAGAACGGTCACATGATATATCTAATAGGCCAAAAATGCACTATAGGCGGCAGATTCAGCTTTCTTAGATATATATGTTCGCGTTGTTCAGGGTCCCATGTATTTCTCATGCTTATATATGCTGACAATACTTATTCTATGTCTCCTCATCCTAAAATAGCGATTCTGTGGCTGAGCTAGTTATCTTAGTAGAAGTTCTAGGCTATTGAAAAAACTTATGTGTTACTGTATTTACTTAGTTGCCTTGTGCTAGCATTTGATTAGTGTTTGTTACTAATTAACCTACTAACTTGGTCAGTGATTACTGTTACTCTATAATAAAGGGCACAGTAATATCGGTCCCCTCTGCTTAACCGCTAGCGGAACCGCCTTCCTATCATCAGCCTACCTATCGCCTAAACGCGTAGTTATGTATCGCATTTTGCTTAATATCTGTCGGGTTTACGCCGTATACATAAACCCTGGATGGTGCACGAAGCGTTCGTGCAGGTCGATCGAATACCACGATTATGGAAGAGAGACGAAGGTGTAATAGAGGTGGGTCGGCAGCGAACAGGTTGAACAGTGGAGGGTCAACACAGTTTAATCAAATTTGCCTTGAGCTCTACTCGTGAATAGAAAGGGTGTCAAACTTGTTTTATTAAGCTAGGAAAATAGGCAGTATTTATAACCTTAGGTACATGGCAGAGTGTCACAGGAAAAGACCAATAAAAATTCAGAATAACATGGGGGCATACGAGAGTGTTAGGAAACTCGTTGTTCTTTCTATCTGATGTGATAGTTGATATCTTATCATTGTATTGTGTAGTTGCGCTCTAGGATGTTGATCCGATTGGTCGGATGTGTATCACTTATCAACACGCTTAGTGCGGGGTATCTGTGCCCTCCATGATATTGCGGCCCACCCACCGCTTCCGCTTATGGGTGCGCCCTAAATCCCCGTCACCCCTAAATCCCCGTCACATTTTTACCATTCGATTTCAACTCCCTTTCCCAACCACCCAATATGCCTAAATACTCCAATTTTGACGAGGATCGCCTGCAGAAGGCCTGTAAAGCCGTTCTACACCAAAAAAAGCCGAATATCGCTAAAACTACGCGTGAATTTAGCGTGTCTCGAACTACCCTTGCCGATCGCGTCAAGAAGGCCCGATCGCCCTTTTCTACCACTGAATCGCGCAAGAATGCGCTTACATCACATCAGGAGAAGGCTTTGACTGCTTGGATAGTCAAAATGTGCGATTAGAACCTACCGCCTACTGCAAAGCTTATAGAAGCGTGGGCAAATCAGGCCCTTACGCGCGCTGATGCGGGTCGGCAGCCGGTTGGCAAGAATTGGGCATACTACTTTATATCACGCCTTCTAAAGCACCTATCCCTCGCTCTAGTAAAGCAGAATCTAAAGGAATCAAAGCGCATTTAAGCCGAAGATGCAGGGGCTCTCTCTTTCTGGTATAATCAGCTTGTAACCCTGCTAAAGGATATCCCTGCAAGGCTAGTCTATAACTTCGATGAGTGTGGTTTCCAACCTGGCCAGGGCCAGTCTCGTAAGGTTATTAATGGTAGATTGCACTGCCCTAACCTTGCTGAAGCTGAGCGAGGCGAAACTATCACTGCACTCGAATGTATTGCTGCTAACGGCTGGCAAATAGATCCGCTATTTATCTTTAAAAGCGGCGGGGTCTTTATAGAGAGCTAGTTCTATAATAGTGAGGATTTACCTCTAAACACACTTACTGCTACCTCACCGAATGGCTGGATTTCTGATGAAATTGCTTCTGAATAGCTATATCATTTTATTTCAGCTACTACTACACCCGACCGTCTAAAAAAGGGTAAAAAGCGCTTCCTACTCTTTGATAGCCACGGAGTATATCTTACCCTCGAATTCCTTGAGATATACAAGTTAGCTGATATTATACTATTCGGCTTTATACCTTATTCAACATATCTCTGTCAGCCACTTGATGGTAAGCCATTTTTGAGCTATAAGCAGCAATTTCGGCTTATGAATAATGAGCTATCTTTCTAGGGTAGTCAGCTATGTGGTAAACCGGATTTTCTACGGGTAATTAGGCCTGTACGAGCGAAGGTATTTAACCAACGAATTATTCGGCAATCCTTCAAAGATCGTGGTATTTGGCCAGTCAACGGCCAAAATATAGTGGATAAACTAGCTAGCCAGCTAGAATTTACTCCTCTTTATGCACCTGATCTTCGCGCTTATAGAGAACCCCGAACTCCATCACCGGAGCCTACAAATTTACTATCATTAAGCGTGGAGAATACCCCTCCGAAGTCAATTGAAGCGCTAGAGAAGAATCAGAAGAAGATATCAAAGAAGGTGGCTACCTTTGACCCGAAGGTTCAGCGAGATATTGCAATGCTTCACAATCACCACAGGATAATCTACGAGCGGCTTATGATAGCGGAAGCGACTGTTTCGCGAATTAGGGCCGCTCAGGAGCCCTTGAGGCGCCCAATTACCAAGCGCTAGGTTAAACCGCTTAGCCAAACTGGTATACTAAGCGTTCGCGATGCGAATCGGTTAATCAAGACTAGAAAGGAGAAAGAGGCTGCTGCGGAGGAGAGGAAGCTTGCGAAGCAGTATAAGCAGGCTACTGGTTTGGATATGCCAAAGAGGCCCTAGGAGGATATTGATAGGTCTACCGAATCGGCTAGAGTAGCCCTGGAGCGAGGAGATCTTTTTTATTTAGGCTAGTTATCTAATTTGATGGTTTTTTTAGACGTATGGTAAAAATGTGACGGGGATTTAGGGGTGACGGGGATTTAGGGCGCACCTATATCTGTGCCCTCCATAATATTGCGGCCCACCCACCGCTTCCGCTTATGGGTGCGCCCTAAATCCCCGTCACCCCTAAATCCCCGTCACATTTTTACCATACGTCTAAAAAAACCATCAAATTAGATAACTAGCCTAAATAAAAAAGATCTCCTCGCTCCAGGGCTACTCTAGCCGATTCGGTAGACCTATCAATATCCTCCTGGGGCCTCTTTGGCATATCCAAACCAGTAGCCTGCTTATACTGCTTCGTAAGCTTCCTCTCCTCCGCAGCAGCCTCTTTCTCCTTTCTAGTCTTGATTAACCGATTCGCATCGCGAACGCTTAGTATACCAGTTTGGCTAAGCGGTTTAACCTGGCGCTTGGTAATTGGGCGCCTCAAGGGCTCCTGAGCGGCCCTAATTCGCGAAACAGTCGCTTCCGCTATCATAAGCCGCTCGTAGATTATCCTGTGGTGATTGTGAAGCATTGCAATATCTCGCTGAACCTTCGGGTCAAAGGTAGCCACCTTCTTTGATATCTTCTTCTGATTCTTCTCTAGCGCTTCAATTGACTTCGGAGGGGTATTCTCCACGCTTAATGATAGTAAATTTGTAGGCTCCGGTGATGGAGTTCGGGGTTCTCTATGAGCGCGAAGATCAGGTGCATAAAGAGGAGTAAATTCTAGCTGGCTAGCTAGTTTATCCACTATATTTTGGCCGTTGACTGGCCAAATACCACGATCTTTGAAGGATTGCCGAATAATTCGTTGGTTAAATGCCTTCGCTCGTACAGGCCCAATTACCCGTAGAAAATCCGGTTTACCATATAGCTGACCACCCCAGAAAGATAGCTCATTATTCATAAGCCGAAATTGCTGCTTATAGCTCAAAAATGGCTTACCATCAAGTGGCTGACAGAGATATGTTGAATAAGGTATAAAGCCGAATGGTATAATATCAGCTAACTCGTATATCTCAAGGAATTCGAGGGTAAGATATGCTCCGTGGCTATCAAAGAGTAGGAAGCGCTTTTTACCCTTTTTTAGACGGTCGGGTGTAGCAGTAGCTGAAATAAAATGATATAGCTATTCAGAAGCAATTTCATCAGAAATCTAGCCATTCGGTGAGGTAGCAGTAAGTGTGTTTAGAGGTAAATCCTCACTATTATGGAACCAGCTCTCTATAAAGACCCCGCCGCTTTTAAAGATAAATAGCGGATCTATTTGCCAGCCGTCAGCAGCAATACATTCGAGTGCAGTGATAGTTTCGCCTCGCTCAGCTTCAGCAAGGTTAGGGCAGTGCAATCTACCATTAATAACCTTACGAGACTGGCCCTGGCCAGGTTGGAAACCACACTCATCGAAGTTATAGACTAGCCTTGCAGGGATATCCTTTAGCAGGGTTGCAAGCTGATTATACCAGAAAGAGAGAGCCCCTGCATCTTCGGCTTGAATGCGCTTTGATTCCTTTAGATTCTGCTTCACTGGAGCGAGGGATAGGTGCTTTGGAAGGCGTGATATAAAGTAGTATACCCAATTCTTGCCAACCGGCTGCCGACCCGCATCAGCGCGCGTAAGGGCCTGATTTGCCCACGCTTCTATAAGCTTTGCAGTAGGCGGTAGGTTCCAATCGCACATTTTGACTATCCAAGCAGTCAAAGCCTTCTCCTGATGTGATGTAAGCGCATTCTTGCGCGATTCAGTGGTAGAAAAGGGCGATCGGGCCTTCTTGACGCGATCGGCAAGGGTAGTTCGAGACACGCTAAATTCACGCGCAGTTTTAGCGATATTCGGCTTTTTTTGGTGTAGAACGGCTTTACAGGCCTTCTGCAGGCGATCCTCGTCAAAATTGGAGTATTTAGGCATATTGGGTGGTTGGGAAAGGGAGTTGAAATCGAATGGTAAAAATGTGACGGGGATTTAGGGGTGACGGGGATTTAGGGCGCACCCATAAGCGGAAGCGGTGGGTGGGCCGCAATATCATGGAGGGCACAGATATCGCATATCCACATGTTGACAATATCTTCATCATTTGACCTTATACAAGGTTTTTCTAGTGCCTAGCCCTTTATTCTAGCTATTAAAATAGGGTTTAAAGGTTTCTGTGTAGCCTGGTTGTTTCCGTAATAAGCTTAGCCCTACAGTTTATTTCGATCAGTGTTTTTGCGACTGCGTTTTACTTATAATTTTATTTACGTTATTCCTCAGACGGACATCGATATATTTATCCGTGCCTATCTAAGGTATTTATATCTGTAACTTAATAAAGATAAAATAAACTATAAGATAGAGGCTGAAGAGCACAAATATAGCTAGCGGGTGGCTAGTCTCGGGAAACAGCATGTCTCTATTTCTCATTAAACGCAAACACTGTTCAGCCGCATCGTGACCTATCGTCATTTCAATGTCATAAATAAACACCAGCATTTATGAACTTTTCTGTGTACTTACCTTCTCGATATAGCGCACGCCAACCTCGATACCATCCGCATCTTGAAAGTCCGCCTCGTCACCGAAATCCTCGTTCTCTAGATCCAGATAGGTCAAGCAAGTGACCACAGCATCCGAATACCGTGTACCTATCCTGCGCTGCAGCTTGCCTCGAGCCAATGCCAGGAGCTGATCTTTAGACAAGTAAGAGTCACCACTATCCTGCAAAAACGAGGCCGGCGATGCTAAAGGACAGGCGCCATTGCCAGGAAGAGCCGTATCTTTGTTCTTGTATATAACAAGATGTTCCCAGAGACCGATTTCCAGTAAGCACACGCCGAGACTGTAGATATCGTGTTGCATAATACAGTCCTCCGAGGCAGCGGACCCAGTCCGGTTCGGGGATTGGTAGAGACATCGTTCCTAAGAAAGCTTACCTTTGCGTAGGGTCTTGCCCGTTACCATTCGGAAACTGCCGAACCCGATAATGAAAGCAGACTCGGACGAGGACGCGTCGTTGCTTAGTAACAGTATACTTTCCGGCCGTATATTCTTATGCACGAATCCGAACGCTTGTACACAACTAATAGCTCTTGCGAGTTCATTCGCCCATTTGAAGCGGTCTGAGAGTGAGTCTGTGGGCTTCGGGTCTACTAGGCGACTACAAAGAGCGCGAGGTTGAGAGAATCTACTTAGGACACGATATTGTAGTATGAATTTGTCACTATCGGCGTGAGTGGATTGCTGCTGCTAGCGGTGTTTCATATACCCTTTGTAACTCAACAATCAGAATTCTAGCGGATTGGAGCGGATAAGTCTCCGTGCAAGGTCGCGGCAGTTCTTGTCTGAATCGTTCATATTGCGCCCGGGGAGGGGTTGGACTTTCTTTAGGATGAGCATCTAGCCTTTACTAGCTCGCTTGCCGAGCTGAGCTGAACAAAGAGGTATGTCCTCAGCACCGAGGGTTTCAAGAAATGACTCCTGGAGGACGAATTTCCCTTTAGGCATCTCTGCATTTGAAGCAATCCTCGATGCCGATCGCAGTGATTCTGCAGTGGATATAGGGAGGGACTCGACCATCCTCAACAGGCGATTGTTTCCATTCAGATAGCTGACCGTCAATTAACGGCCCTACTCGACTGATCGCCAAAAACCAGGATAGGTCAAACACTTTCTGCCATTGCTCGAGCGCGTCGACCGACTTGTTGATGCTTTGTGGGGACAGCATATACTTCCAGCGGTTGACTTGCGCCTCTTCATAATCCAACTCCTTCTTCATGGCAGATTCGATGTTCACCTCAGCAGCTACGAGTCTGCTATTCAGCATATTGATCGTCTCATAGACGATTTTCCGATGGTCATCTTTCATTTCATATGCTATAGTTCTGACTGTTTTCTAGCTACAAGTTGACACGCATCCAGTGGTTCTTGACGTGAAGAATCTGCTTGGCGATCTCGCACTTGGCATGCTTGAATGAGGAGCAGAGTTCCCATAACTTCTTCCCCTTTCTATCCTCTCGTCGTTGTCAGGGTCTCGGCTGTGATGTGGGGTAGCTCAATCAAGGCATGGGTATGGCTTACTTCAAACACGGTTCCGCTAGCGTAACGATCGATACCGGGTGTAGGGTGCGTCCAGCCGTGAGTGGAGGGAAACTCGCTCTTTTGAAGGCGATTGAGCCCAGGCTTCATGGCAGTGCCGCCTGAGGCGCTAGGTGCGGCTGAGTGAGGACTGGTGGAGACAAGAACTCCTCACCAGCTGTGGCGGTGCATGAATGTCAAAGTGTCGAGGCGAAAGAAAAGCAGAAGACCGAGGCCGATGACCTGGTGAGTACGGTCTTTGGGGTTGTATTTGGTCATACCCCAGCATTTGGGTGGCGGCTGATAATGACACAGCTCTCCCGCCAGCCACGCGCTTGCCATTGTTAGCCACGGCCGTGCGATGCCAGGGTTGAGAAAGAACCAAAAAGAGAACCAAGCGGGTCCGAGGGACGGGTTGAAAGAGGTCAATAAGTCAGTGGTCACAAAATTTTGGATCGAAAAGTCCTCTCAGGCTTGGACACGTAAATCATAAGCTGCACCCTCCAATGTACACGGAATATTCCGTTTTCGAGTGACTGGTATTCCCTTCGATATGGGCTTGGGGAAGACCCAGAACAAGGGGCCAGAGGCCATAAGGGGCGACAGGGCACGGTACTAAGACTAAGGGATGACTGACACTAACCAATCACGCGAAGGAAACCTGGGTCAAAAGCGGCACGCGTCGATGTGCTTCAGAACGAAATGGTGGACCGGTTATAGCTTGCTTTAGTCATCAAAGATGGACGGAAGTACCACAATGGCCCCGACCACTGTATATAAGGTGACATACAGGGGTGCTCGTTGGGGCGCTTTCAGGCACAGCGGAGATAAACCCCCTGCTCCCAATACATGAACTGCCCATAGGAACGTCGAAATGGCGCGAATCTCAGACCTCATTCTAGATTCTAAGCTAGAAACATATTTCCTCCCGGATTGTAGGGTGGAAACAGTCCACACGGTCCAGGAATCAGATCCAACTTCTGGACAGCGCCTTGTGAACAGATCGGAGCATTAGCAGCGGGAAAGAAAGATCGGAGGTGGTGGATTTGGTAGCGTCTGGCTGGAAAAACGCACCAAAGGTGGGCGGCCAGGTTCTATAGGTCAAGATAGTGCAATCCGAGCAGTCAAGCAGATTAACATAGATACGCGACTCGCAATCGACTACAATCGTGAGCTGGAGGCAATAGCTAAGTTCTCGCATTCTCGTGTTGGTCTCCAGAGGAAGATTCATTGTCAAAAGTTGTACTGATAAAGGTAGTATAAACGATGCTTCGTTAAGTCATTCGGATAGTACGAACGGCCCGGCCAGCTCTTTATAGCTATAGAATACCTCGAAATTGGCGACCTTTTCACGTATCTATATCAAAAACCGCCACAGCCAGAGGCTGAGGCGAAAGATATTGCATACCAGATTCTCGACGGTCTGTGTATAATGCATAAAAATGGGTTTGCTCACCGAGACTTGAAACCAAATATAGGGGATTCCTTGTCTAGTGCGGAAAGAGAGGATATACTAAAGCGAATTTCTAGAATATCCTTATCAAATCACATCCTCCAGACGCGTAGTGGATTAAGCTTGCGGACTTTGGTATCACCAAACGTATCGAAGAAGGCTATAGGCCATCGACGACGCCCTGGGGTACCCCAAGATATTGTGCCCCTGAAATTTAGGGATACATTGAGCGAGGAAGTCCATATACTTCTGGTATCTGGGCTCTTAGACAAATTGTATTTGAGGTTCTCACCAAGAAGCCTGCGTTTGCGGATCTCGGATTGCTTGCAAGCTATAAAACAGAGGAGCACTTTCCAATCACCGTACTTACCAATACTAGTCTCAGTCAACCAGGTATCGACTTTATACTTTCGCTTATACTTCCTTATCCTCAAGATCGAATAACGGCTGCATCTGCTATGTCAAACAAATAGATACAATCCCTAGTACCCCAACCCCCAGAGCCCACGATAGCAATTCAAAGCGAGCCACGGATTCCCTCTCCAGTTGCACTATTAACAGAAGAGTTTGCATCATAGACTACCAAACCTTCCTCAGAAGCTCCAGAGGTTGTCGTTCATAACCTGCCTAGTTCAGCTACCTCACTAGATCTGCTGAACGCTAGCCAGGGAAAGGTCACTGCGGCACAGAAAAAGGAGGCATATTCTTCTCAACGGACTACAGTACTTCAGGTTATGCAAGATTAAGTCGGACACTGTGAGCCTAGCTATACAGAATTCGAAAACCAGTATCAGACCGGTCGCTCTCTCTATCGCCCGAAACAGTACAAAGACGCAGAGACCATATTCCGGCGAGCTCTTCAAGGCCGAGAAAAGGTGCTAGGCCACGATTATAATGATATACTTGATTCTGTATACTAGCTTAGTCTACCACTCTTTTATCAGAATCGATATAAAGAGGCAGAGACTATATTCCGACGAGCTCTTCAAGGTCGAGAGACGGTGCTAGGCTATGATCATAAAGGTACACTCGATTCTGCACACTGTCTTAGTGTCTCACTATATCATCAGGATCGATACAAAGAGGCCCGGACTATATTCCGACAAGCTCTTCAAGGCCGAGAGAAGGTACTAGGCTATAATCATAAAGATACACTCGAATCTGCTCACGGTCTTAGTCTATCACTCCATCATCAGAAACAGGACAAAGAGGCAGAGATCATATTCCGACAAGCTCTTCAAGGCCGAGAGAAGGTGCTAGGGCATGGTTAGGAAAACACACTCGAGTCTGCACACGGTCTTGGTCTCTCACTCTATTATCAGAATCGATACAAAGAGGCAGAGACAATGTTCCGACGAGCTCTTCAAGGTCGAGAGACGGTGCTAGGCCATGATCATAAAAACACACTCGACTCCAGAAAGTACATAGACAGCGCCCGTAGATAGGCGCGTGTTAAAAATATTTTCGTGAAATAAAGCCTCTGTAATACGAAAATGACACGCTCTACACGAACATACTAGAAGAAGAGGCGCGAATGGATTGCCGATCTAATCTTTGCGCCAATACAGCCAATTTTGTATACCTTCCAGGATCCGTAATACTCCCAGCACCTTCATATCATTGAAATAGTCTAGCGAAGTCCAATATACCCTTTAAAAGAATAGGGCCGGGCGGGTGGTGTTGAAGACGATTCAGAACCCTCCCCTCTTCGTCATCGCTTTTTACTTCCTTATTACTAGGAACGCTCTTCTAGGGTAGCTCTGGGTTAAATTCGAAAACAATTATCCCAGGCTCATCAACAAAATCTTTCTGTAAGGTCCCTGCGCACATACGCCCGCTTCTAGAACTGAGAAATCTCTCACAGGCCAGCTTGCCTTAACGCGGCTGCTGGGTTGCTGACGACAGCAGTTAATGCTTCGGCTTTGCAGGCTGAAACCTGCTCCCTTATCGCCTTGGTGACTATTATTGTGACAGCATTAACATTTGTGCTCTTTGGTGGCTCGTTATTCATCTACAAGTTTGTCAATCTGAAAAAGGTTTAAACGATAATCAACTCGAAGGCCAGGCCCAATCTGTCCTCAAAGCCGGGGACATCCTAGCCTGCAGTCAGTGTTAGGCCCAGGCCCAGGCCCAGGCGGATTTGGATGGTCATATATTCGTAGCCCTGGAAGTGCTCCTAGACAAAACTATGCCTCTAATGGGTGTGGAAACTGACGCCCATAGAGCTGACGTCACAGAAATGGCGGCCCGAACTTCCGAAGCAAGGCCAATCGGAATTTTTGATGTCGAGGTATTGAGTATTAACTTACCACTAGTGCCGTGTCAGTCTGCGATCTATCCCAGAATGATTGTATGCACACATCCAGGAAACAAAATCAAAAGAACTGACCTAAACTTTATGCCAGGTCCTACCCCAAAGGTCCAAGTATTGCGCCTATTTACCAGTAGGCCAGAAGTTGACCAGTTCGGGCTCATTCCAGATATCAATGACCCAGCCCTCGGTCATGCCGAGGCGTTTGATATCGGAGCACAGCTGGGTCAAATAGCTATCCCAAAGAGTCCAATCCCCGTTGTCACCCGGGTAAGGTGCAGTCGAATTTTGCCTTCCATCCAATTCCCACAAGCCGTGACGCAGAAGAATGAAATTTCCGTTATGTTCTCGCGCAGTCTTATAAACGGTAATAACCGAAGCCAACCGATTCTGCATGCGTTTGGGATTCCATGGTCAGATTTTGCAGGTCAGTTTTCGGAGCCGTCAAAGACGGAGACTTACCTAATATTCGGTTAAACCCCAGATCCAGCCGCGTGCTGGAGCTGGAAGCTCTCGTTCATAGTTAAATCCAATGGGAGGAGTGTGAGCGGGCGATGCCATGGTGTTTGGGCTCCTGGGACGCGGCTATTTTTGGACATGTAACGGTAAATGAGTATACTTTTATCCTTGTTACCTTGTAAACTGCGAACAAAATATTAATTACGGAACTATCCATATAACGTTTAGCGTATCATGTGATTAGGGTTCGAAAACGTGAATCTGTGTTTTCAATATGGAATGCAATACAGTAATCCGATCAAGGAAGCAGAGACTATCGATTAATTGGGAATTCACCTTGTCACTATTCTGTTAACGCCTACCTGGCCCTCACAAACAAATATGATAGTGATGAAGAGATGCCGTATTAATTTTCGCAAACGCTGTGGAAGATTGATTGCAGTTTTATACTGTAGTCCGCGTACGTTGAAACCACGCCTAAAGAGCACAGGTAATTCATTAACGCAACCTACCTAGGTCGGCAAGAAAATAAGCACAGCATTCCGCCGCGTTTGCCCTCATAATTGTATCAGGCGAAGAAATGGCCAATTTCATTACGTAGTCTCCGCGACCCTCTTTTAGTGTCTCACTATCACTATTTAGGGACGTTGATCCACTCTCTAAATTGCCAATTCAAGCCCTTTGCTGCCGACACCGTTTGGTGTCTGTTGCCTTTATTATTTGGGCCCTGAAACAATATACCTGTTTCCTGCTTCCTGCTTATAGACTATCACGTTGTACACTAATTTACTAGGGATAACAGAGGAAACCCTTTTGAATATTGATTTGATCTTTTCACTAATTTGTTCAGAAAGGTTTTATTGCCTAGTATATTACAGATATAAAGAAGGGTAGCTGGCGCAGAGACGAGTAAGACGCACTATAGATAGCTTTCTAGTATGAAGGAAATTTATACTCTTAGGCAAGAAGTAGGAAGCTCGACGTAAATTACACAACTATAGCTGCAGGCTGGATTATCCTCCTAGTAGTTCTGCCCCCCGGCGACTGATCTATTCCACTAGGGGAAACATACTAAGCGTCGGATCGAGCGGTGTCTCCGGTAAGATGAAAGGGGCAGTGCGTCGGGCTGAAAGCTAAGGCGCAATAGTCTGTGGGGGCCGGAATAGAAGAAAGGGGGCGGCGATGAGTGCAAGATAGAGGAGTTGAAGGGAGGGAGAGAGAGGGAACAAAAGGTCGAGAGGGCAGGCGTTGTCATCTATGTCGGAGCGATGGGGGAGGAGAGGTAACAAAACCGTGTATTAGGGCGCCGGGCCGGGAACGTAAAACTAACCCGATGTAGTAAATCACAGGTTCCAATATTACGGAGTACATGATTCAGTTCGAGTCTGAGGGACAGCGGTCAAAAGGGTTGGTTGCCCTCAACTACCGTCCCAGAGTAGTTAATAGTTATTATATTTAACGCTCATGACTAATTTCTCTTATGTTACGATTCGCATCGGGCCGCCCCGCAGCGACCCAATCAAATAGTTCGTCTGGAATGCGCTATTAAATTGCCTAACTATTGCCTAACTTAAATTTAGTTAACTAACTGACTATTTGCTCAGGGTCCAATTGCACGCCGATTGAATATTGAAATTTTGACCGCTTTGACCTAGAATACTCCAGGCTTATTGTGTCTCTCTTGTGGTAGGAGTACATATGTTGGACCTCGACCGCACGGAAAAGGTCTTTAATTTCAACTTTCGATACTGAGGTGGCTGCTTCTCGATCGCCACCCCAAATCCTACGAGGCCGTTCCGTGCTGAGCTGCTGACTGCAGCCTGTATTGACCCGCTAGGTGCAGTATGTGAGTCCGGTATTGCTTCAACATTGGTCTGCACGCGAGTCTCCTATGGTGCTAATGTGAACGGATTGATGGTTTCTAGTGTCTCCATCTCAATGTTTTTCAGTGCGTCCGTTACCTGGTACAGCGGTGAACGGTGGTATCTCCTGAATTTCTTTATGCAGGCTGTACTCCTACGGAGCGGATGGGTTTCTGGAAGGGTGTGAATGTCTGTCCTTATTTTCACGGCCCGTCTCCAAAAACGGTGTTGTGCAGCGGGAATATGAGCCTCTGCTTCCGCAACGCTGGTCGCAACTGTGAGAAACGTCCCCACGATTGCTTGCGCTCCCACTCTTTGGACTCGGTTGATCGGTCCGCTGGCCTTGTCCTTGCAAGTGTGTATCCAGGCGGTAGAAGCGTAGTCTACCACCGGGGCCACCGTCGATGTGAATAGCTGGCGTGCAATTGCTGAGGTTAGACCGCGAAGTCGCCGAAGCTTTATCGCTGCCTCTAAGCCTTTAGACGCTGCCCTCGCGATATGTTCCTTGTACTTGAGTCTCGTGTCTATGAGAACGCTTAGGATCTTGATATGGTCTCTAGGCACTACGGTCTGTCCCTTGATAGTGAATGACCCCTGATCTGTTTTGTGAACCTTAGGAGCGAAGTGTATGATGGCTGTTTTGTCTGCCTCAAAAGTCGCTCCGCTTCTTTTCTCTTAATCGAGTGCGTTATTGATAATTGCTTCAATACCTTCTCGATTACTCTGCGCAGTTGGAGTACGCACTCCGCAGTGAACTACAGTTTAGTAACTTTTACCTTGGGGTATTGCGTATACACAGAATTAATACGCCCGTAAATTACATGTATCGCTGCCTAGATATGTGTAACCTTGCCACTTTTGTCTTTTTCATTCCTTTCTTGTACGTAAACTTATCCGCCTATGCCCCAGACTGGTTCAATTGGGTTTAGTTCAGGCGTATGCGGCGGCCACCTGTTATGGTGTTTCGTTTATGCCCTTCTATTCCCGGGTTTCTTGAGGTTCCTCTCATAATATTATAAGTGAGGGGCATCGGTGGTGTGGCTTGATCAGTCACACAGTCCTATATTTCCCCTTTTTTTATGCAGCGCGAGGTTTATATGTCTTGTGTCGATCGTTCAGGTGATGAGTTGTCCCCCCCTGTAATTCTACTTCACGAGAGCTCCTTAGGAAGGACGACATGTTAAATGCAATACTTCGGGATGCATCCTCGCGAAATAGGCTTGCCCTAATCTCACTTGGTACCTTTTTTTTTCCCCTAACTGCTAGGCCTTCTACCTTGTAAAGTAGGCACCTTAATAGGATAGGAAAAGAATAAATAATTATTCAAGATCACACAAGAAGACCGGACTGTGACGGAATAGAAGGTTTTGGATTTGGTGGCGGATGATCTGCAGACATACTTTATTGGGAGCATATGCCTTATCCTACCCTGTCCAAGGGAACATATTTGTTTTTCTAATCACGAACTCTATTGATGGTCCCTAACGATAGTGACAGCTCTGATTCGTTCAGTAGCATGGCCGAATTTGAATAATTTTCAGTGGCTTGCATAACAAAAATAACTATTGAACTTTAACCAAACAAGATCAACAAACCTCAAGTCTCGCCACCGAATCAATCCCAAGGGCCTGGTTGCATCGCGATTATCAATAGTAGTCAATCGCGCCCCACGGCCCGCTGACAACTCGCATACTCAGAAAACAAATTCGGGCAGTGGCAGAAGCAACGGATGGGCTATAAAATCCACTGCTCAAGCACACTCAAATTCACTCATCAAAAGTTACTGAGCAAGCGGAACGGAGCATCCAAAATGTTTTTCGCCATAGTCCTTTTAGTTGTTTTTCTCGCGGACATACGGGTTGCCGGTTTGAAGAGCGGTGACGGTGTGCTAGAGATTCGCGAGACGCACCCTACCGCCCACTTCCAAATCTACGATGCGCCCGTGGAAGTTAAGCCATCTACCCGCCGCGCAATTGACAACACGAATGAGTCGCAAAGCATCCACCTCGCCCTCGCTTATCTGCAGAAAAGCCACGGGATCCAGCCTGAAAATGTCAGAGTTACAGATGCTTACACCAATAAAGACACTGGGATTAGCCATATCTACGTACGTCAGACCTCTGACGGGCTCGACTTGCTCAATAGTCTCACCAACGTGAACATCGACGATCATGGAAGGGTCATATCGTCCTCCCATGCCTTCGCACCGATTCACGAGCTGCGCAAAATAGTACGCTCGTGTAGGCGGAGCTTGACAACTCGCTCTGATCAATATACCTCGCTGAAGTCTGCATTGAAGACGTTAAGCAAGCACCTCAATGCAGAAATTGACGACGATGCACTCCAAACAATGCGTATTTCTATGCTGCCTTCCGATGAAGCTCATGCTCCTACGCTCGTCATCGAGAATATTCCTATGACTCTGGCTGAAGATGGTGCAGCCACGGCTCAACAATCAATCATGCGACGATCGGACGGCTCCTTGGCTCACGTATGGGACATAACTCTCAGGCAGGCAAATCACCGCTGGAATGCAAGAGTTAATACAGCAACGGGAGGCATTGAGTTGCTGGCGGACCAAATGCTACGAGTGGTTGGAAGGGGATCTGATACTAAGCCCGCTAAGTCTTCCACCGGCAGCACTCTGCAGAAGCGGCTGTCATACCAAGTGGTACCTATTACGAGACAAGACCCTAGAGACGGATTTGAATTCGTCGTGAATCCAGAAACTGCATCAAGTCCCAATGGATGGGTTTACTCGACCAATACCTCTGGAAACAATGCGTTGGCTTTCAAAGGAGCTCAAACGAATGTGGCAGTTGAAACTAGCCCCGATACCTTTGCATATTATCACGAAGATACCGAATCACCAGCGACACCACAGAATGTCGGTGTGGCCATAACGAACGCATTCTATGTTGTGAATTCCTTGCACGATATTCTCTATATTTACGGCTTTAATGAAGCAACTTTCAACTTCCAAGACGATAATTTTGGGAGGGGAGGGCAGGGAAATGACCGCGTCACTATTTCGGTACAAGACGATCGTGATACCAATAATGCTGAATTCTACACACCACCCGATGGGCAAAATGGCGAGATGCGGCTTTTCCTCTTTGACCTCACTAATCCAAACCGTGATGGTGCATTGGAAGACGACATAATTACCAGCTTATACGCACAAGGCATGGCAGATCGTCTCACCGGTGGAGGATCGGCATCCTGCTTACAAAGTACAATATCGTCGGGCTTGCTGGTGGGTTGGGGAGATGCTGTGGCAGATTGGGTTGAACAGACGGATACTGTACCAGACTTTACTCTGGGCACCTATGTGGAAAATAACCAACGCGGTGTACGAAGTCACCCATACTCACGGGATGTGTATGTCAACCCGCTTACATACACGGACGGTCCACCCTCAGCAGGGCAGACTCACATCGGAGAAGTATGGGCGAATATGCTGCACAACGTTTTAGCATCCCTGGTAGATAACCGTGGCTGGAGTAATACTGGCCTAACCGACTCAAGTGGAACTCTCGGCAATGTTGTGTATATGCATTTGCTTGTGGACGGCTTGTCGATACAGCCATGCGAACCGACCTTCATTACTGCGCGCGATGCCATTATACAAGCCGACCAGAACAGATATAACGGGGATCACTTTTGCATACTCTGGCGAGTTTTTGCTAGTAGGGGACTTGGATTTGGCGCCGCCGAGGATAATGTTAACGAGTATTCGGTTCCACCAGGCTGCTAGTTGAATAGAGTCGTAGCTTTAGCCGCATGTACTACAGCAGTTTGCACCTTCAGAGTAGCAACTTAACACTCTCTCCTCTTTTGTCTGAAACGGTGCCAAGGAGACGCCGTTATAAATATAGAATAGTGAAGGCGACGCCCCGAGTGAAAAAAAAAATCCGTAGAAGTGTGACCAGAAAAGCTTTAGGTCTAGAGATGTGGGTTAGAAAGCCGTGGTGGTAAGGCTTTGGCTTCCAGGCCCCATGATCTCTAGTTTATCAGTCGTCAAACAGAAATTGCAGCTTCTTTTAGTGGCCCTGTCAATCTCCAAGATCATACTTGGTCTCCTGGGAGCGATTGCAACATTTTTTGGTTTGTTGCGGCGTGTTTTGGACGGAGATACAGTAACAACTCCTGCAGTAGGTCAATCTTTTGGTTCCCACTGCCGCATTTTATGTATGAAATGGAAAAAATGATCTTACTGCTCGACTTTGAGTTGACTTCAAAGCCTTCTAAAAGACGTAACGGGAACTTCGACAAGACCGTTCTTTCATTCCCTATTTTCCACCAACCAGAAACGCAGATTGAGAGGAAACAAAGAAGAGAACTCCGTGACTTTTACAATATAACCTAACTCATTTTCTCACAATTTAAATCTGGAATGGTCTTATCTTAGGAGAAGCTCCAGGTGCATGGACTAGTATGAATAACAAATATATCAAACAGGATCTCTTCGAATCAAAAGATTGATTGGTTGAATAATGCTGAAGTGCAAGGAATGAATACATGAAGAGAGGCAGCCATCATAGTTAAGTTCGAGCTCTTCTGGCCAGTCGCTCCGATCGTCTGAGTTTAGATTGAATGCCATCGTGAGATAATTGGCGTTTCAGTGACCGCACGTAGGAGCCGAGCGGCAGGTTCTTCCTGACAGAAGTATCAGTTTGATCTATTTTCTCCCGAGAAGAAAAAGTGTCGGTAGTCATCGAAAGTTCACGCATGTCGTTACCAGACGCAGGCGAATGGGGCTTGCGATCGCTGAAGGTAGTCCAGAAGCGAAGGTGAGGAAACATTTTGGATCTACCCCATCCGAGTGGATATTCAGAGCAATATTTCCGAACCAGTCTTCTCGTTCCTTATAATTCGAAGCTAAAGGAGGCCATCTTTTATGAAGTTCAATAGAAAGTCGGCCGGTGAAGCTGTATCGCCAATTTGCTCCCTTTTCCCGCTCTAGTACCCCGGATTCAAATATCACAATACCATTTAACCGTTCTTGAGATACACGGATATAATTACCGTGATTGTCTTAGTGAACCTTAGTTGAAAAGGTGAGAAACGATTCCGGGTCCCCTCCTTCTAAAGGGACAACTACAGCACCTCGCCCGTAAAGAACATCGTCTTTATTGCGAGTCTCTAGGCTGTAAGGTATATCTAGCGAAAAGAAAGCCGTTCGGATAACTACTTGATTTATTAAGAATTCTCCTAGCTATATCGCCCCCTTCTAGAAGCCTAGGATATAGAACCGTATAGCTACACAGCCTCCCTCACTTCGTCTCTAAGGCTAGTTAGACCTGTTCGAGTTAGTTAGCAGCGTATTTTCTTGAAAGATAGTGTTAGTAATTATATTAAATATATCTAGCACAGAATCACTTACGGGGTAAATAGATCTTATCAAAAAAATCTTTAGCTTATAGATAACTAGTATTCCGACAGTGCTCTATATAATCGTAGATTAAGGCTAGTTTATCGCTAATAGAAGTAGATACCGAAGAGTCCTAGATCAAGGCTGTTTTGCTTAAGTAGTTTATCCGGTTAATATTATTTGCTAATTCGTAGGATAAGGGTACGCTACGATCCTTCTTTAGTTCCTCGATCTTAGAATCTTTGCCTTACTCAGTGCTTAACTCGCTTTCTAGTAAGGTTTAGTATTAGTCTAAAAATTTTATTAGTCAATTATACCTCCGTGGCCATTCGCAACGCTCTCCTTCTTTACAGCCTAAAACAGGGCGTTAAATAAATCCTCGGTAACTCCAAATACTTTGTGGTCCGACGCAAGCCCGATCGAAGTTAGTATATCTAATAGTTAAAGGCTATCTAGATTTTCACAGTCTAGCGATCCGGTTAATATATAGATAGATAACGAGTCGATAGATATATTATCCTTCACCGGACCGGCGAAGTTTCCACCGGTTAGAGTCCCCTAGAATTCTGGTGTAGCTATAATTATAGTATCAGTATTAGAACCACGTTAGTCTAAGTTATCGCGGTACTAACCCTCGTTAACCTAGATCACGATAGGATTAGAAGCCGAGCCTAACAGAGTAAGATTATCTGCGATCAATATAGGATTAGTCTACGTGCCTAACTTAGGGCGAGCAAGTAAGTCGTATACAACCACTTTAGGCTATTCATACGTTTTATGTGCTTTTTCTGTAAAAGAGCTTATATTATCTTATACCAGTAGAAGAGACGAAAACAAAGAAGTCTTGAATAATATGTTAGAATACGCCTTTTTATAACGACGGCGTACGCGGCCTATGCCTTTATACCACTCGTTAGACCTATCACGCCTTATTTAGCCTATACGCTTAGGCGGGATTCACTCGCTCGGAGAAGTCGCAAGCTTAGAGAGCAGGGGCTCAGGCAAGGCAGTATCTAGTCGAAACCTATCTACTAATCGATGCTGTGACTTATACACAGTACAGGGTACTACTGTACAAATAACTCGTCTGCTTATCTATTTGATCCAATAACCATATTATACAGTGTTGTTGCTATTCCGGGGGACTGTATATCGGCGTATCGCCTGCGTCCGGTTGTCACCACCTAGTCTATAGAGCCCTGCTTGCTAGTCCTTACGTGCTCTATAATCAAAACTAAAACAGGCAGAACGCTCTAAATAATCGCAATAGGCCCCTTGTTACTAAAAGGCGCTCGTGCCGCAGGAGTAAACCCCTGTTTCCCCTCCCTTCTATCTCATCATCTCCTCCAATCGATCATAGAGTCATTAGGGCTCCAACACTAAGGCGCACTCTGTTCACAAGGGCAAGGATAAGCTTAATTAGGAAAAGCGGCCAAATTTTGCGTAGGTCGACGATAATAGATATTCGCACGTAGCCTAAGTCCCGGCGAGCGAGGCCTTCCGGCGCAGGGATCGTTCCTAAGCTTAGACATAACCGCCGTGAAGCCTTACAATAATCGTGAAAGGACAGAGTACTACTGTTGTTGATTAGTCTATTCTCGCGGACTCAGCAACTACTAGCCGATACCTATAGCTACTAAGACAGTCGGCTCGTTCACATACGCTGACCAGGTCGATCCCGGGCTTCCCCTCCCGCATAATATAGACGCCATCAGCCAGGGACGCCAACGCCGCCTTCAATTTGCGCCCCTAAGGCAGACTTCAAGCCCTGATCCGTATAGGCGATTATCCAAAAGGAGCGATACGCCAATACACCTCCACGCGCACAAGCTCGACCCTCAGCCAACCGATTGTAGTATAAGGCGGCGGACGTGTAGGTTGGCGTGGCGACTAAAGGCAAAATTGCCTCATCTCGAGTAGCATAGGAAGAGAGCTGAGCTGAAACAAGGCACAGCGAGGGAAAGTACGGTAGATCTGGGCTCGAGGGTTCGAAAGACAGCAAGCGACTAGTCGGTTCGCGCTAGCAATAAATTGGGAGACGGAGCTCGGTGATCCGGATCAATAGCAGAAATGCCTCATCAGCCGGCGTACACAGGGAACGGGGAGAAAGAAAGAGCAGGAAGGCCGAAAAAACCGTGAAAAGTTGAAGCGGCGAAGGAGGGGACTTTATAGAAACACGCACCAGCACGGGAGGTCGCCAAGTTACACTAAGCCCAAACAGGCACGCTATACCGGATGGCGTAATTCATAGGCAGCACCGGATACGTGATAACTAACTACACAATCTACACGAATATACATACTGACTCGGAGAGTATCACTATAACAATTCTCAAAATTGGGGCCGTAGAGTGGATATTATGAGGCTTCGTCATCAACGGGGACTCGATGTGAAATGCACAGATGGGGTTATCCTTGCCTGGGAGGCAGGACTTTATTTTTAGGGAATCGGATCTTGAAAAATGGATCCTTTCAAGGGGAGAAGAGAGACTCGCTCAAAGGATTTACGGGGAGTATCATCTCTTGTGATGACCTCGATGTGGATAGTCATCTGATTCGGCTAAGGGGACAGTTCTATGCATCATTGTTTTTGTTAGTTTCGTTCTTCCAATAAAGAAAGCCTCGTTTTCTCCTCGAGCGAGGTCGATGCCTAAGATTCTGGCAAAAACGACGCTAAGATTGGCATGAAGAGTAAGCCATCATCGGCGCCTAATGTACCATTCTCGAGCCTTGTAGTGTAGCTGGCCCCTTACAAACATTACCATTTTTTATGGCGAGGATCCTCCACCCATACGATATCGCCAATCCACATACTAAACACATCACCTTTCTACTAGACCACTCATTCACAACAATGCCTAATTCAAAAGAAAATTAATTGGATCCTATGTTAAATTAGCTATACTCAAATGATGTAGTTTCAAAAGGTATAATTCTAGAGTGCGTGTGTCCTGTTGTAACGTATCTTATTATCGCGGCGTAAATGCCTATACATAGAGCAGACACTATCATGACTAGGAAATATGCTGGTAATCTTATATAAGGTAATTAAAGCACTTACCTTTCCCATGAGTCTAGGCTACTAATCAACTGCTAAATCGTTTATTTATGGTGGATCTGGTCGTGTTGAAATCGGTCGTTTAGTATGTGGATTGGCGATATTGTATGGGTGAGTAGTATCGTTTTCGGTGGAGGACCCTCGCCTTGCATGGTAATTTTTGTAAGGGGCCAGTTAGTCTGTACGTCTTTAGAATATGGTTGTATTGTGGTGACTACACCATACGGTATAGCCCTAACTATCAATCCCTAATTAAAATTGAAAAAGCAAAGTGTAATCCAGCGCCAAGCGCCAAACACCAAACGTCCATAAGAAAAGGGAAAAGACACCAGCACATAATGCCAGTCGAAAAAGAAGTAATGGATAGGATAGGATAACCAGAAAGAAAAAAGAACGCCAGCCAGCCAGCACGCTTTTCTTCAATCCATCTTCGTCCTTGATCTTCCAAGCCACTTGCGGAAAACATTTCCTCACACTCATACTCATCCATTCGTTGACTTGGTATACCATCCCAGAAAACGAATAATCGAAGAATCAAGAATCACCGGTCGATACTCCCATACCAATGATCAAGCTGGAAATCCGATAGACTTCGCGTTGGAAGTCCCCAAGACCGAGCTACCCACAGTGCCAGCCCACCAACAACCCCAACGCTGCCCACAATCTGAACAATGATCCAACCTCGTCGTCCGAGATCATCGATCCACCCCACAACACCCAGCGGGTCATGAGGACTTAAACCAGCGACACGATATTCCTTTCCATCGCCATCACGAGCTCGCATGATGTTCAAACCGCCCCCACTCTGGTCATTGCTCTGAACGTGCAGCCCGCAGAAACCGGGTGTTTGCGAGATAGGCACTAATGACCCATCTACTACGCACTCGCTCAGGCGCTCAGTTAGCCATATAGCACGATCGCCTCGCGCTAGCGATGCGTATCGCTCTCGTTCGTTTTGGAGACTGCGTTGGAGGTCTGTTGCCCATTGTGCGAGTCGGACTTGGGCCATGCGTTCTTCGTGTCGTGTGTAATCTGCGAGGCGGGCTAGGGTATAGGTTGGTGGGGAGTCGCCGAGGGAGGAGATGGATGAGTTCATGGATGCACCCGAGACAGTTCGCCAGCCTACCCCGGGCGAGTTAGCACCGGAGAGTGCGGTGGGAACTGCTGCGGGTGTTGGTGAGGGCACGGTAGGTAAGTCGCCGCATCGTGAGACGATTTTTTTGGCGGCTGAGTGGCGCAGCCAGGCGAGGTTATCCCGGTCGAATAGTTTCTGTACCAGGGTGTCCAGTTCAGATGGAGTTAGAGGTTGTTCGTAGTCTGGACTCATGAGGGTGCTGGCATCCATAACTTCCAGATCGGCAGTTTTCTCAGATGATACAGCGTAGGGAGGCTGCGGAGTCTGGTCATTTAGCCCCACGACAGGCGAGTCACCGAACATGAAGGGCTTGATGCCGGCATCTTGCGCCTGTTGATGGAATCGGTCTTTGAGAGAGCTGATATTCTCAGGTGATAGTGTGTCTGCTTTGGCGACGAGTGGGATGACATTGCTCAACTCGCAGAGCTTGCGAATACACTCCACGTCCGTTGTCAATGTATCTGTAACTGTAAGTATCCGGATCTATACCATAGTCATAACGTGTCAAGCACTTACCATGAGATATCAGATATAATATGGCATCCACCTGGGTACCACCATTTCCGGCTAACATGTTCTGAAAATCCACTCCCGACCCTGCAACAGCAGCAGTCGCCCGCTGTAGCTGCTGTCGCAAATACTGCAAAACGGCATCGGTCTGCCCTGCCCGACTCAACGATATAGCCGGTGTATCCACAAAGCATAAATTCCGTTCCAGCACAATCTCGCCAATACTTTTTCGTCGTCGGAGCACACGCGAGTCTTCCAGGTCCGACCACCACGAAGGATACGGCTTGGTGCTAGCGTAGATCTCGGTGATAGCGGTGGGCATCCCGCGAGTGGGGACAGATCCGGAGTGGGGTCGCGAGGAACGGCGCCGCTCTAGTGCGGTCACGGAGGAGAGAGAGTCAATAGAATCGACGTGCACGATGTCTTCGCATGTTTGGACGATAGCTTTAATCAAGGATGTTTTTCCAGTACCTACATAGATCAGATTCTGCGTTAGCAGATGTGGGAATTAGTTTGCATGTGTCTTTGGACAAGGGGACTTGCCTGGTGCTCCAGCTACGAGCACTTTGAATCTCCCCATCGCTTTTCCCCGCTCTGTAAATGGACGTCGACTTGGCATCTTAATGCTGGGCATGATAAACTGCGAAGCCCCAGCGAACCCTAAACGCGGTGAAGGTCGAGGTCTCTCTTCTTCATCCCCCGACCCGATTGCTTGACTATTAATTTCATCGGTGATGGAGATATCATCCAGCGGTCGGAGGGACTGGTTGGAAATGGACTTTGGGCTACTGGGCAGCGACGATGGATCATCAGGGTGGAACGGTGTCAGCGGTCGAGAGACCGTGTCCGGGGTAGGTGGTTGCAAGGACGAGTCTCGAATATCATCCGACTCGAACGGCCTGATTGTCGACCGGCGTCGTGAGCACCGTATTTCTTTCATGTTATCGGATCCCGATCCCCGTGATGAGCTGCGTGTCCGTTGGTTATCTGCAGTGAACCCGCGAGACGAGCTCGGTCCAAGCTCTGATCGAGAGATGGTTTCTGCTAGACTATGCACTCCGTACGTGCTTTCTTTGGGATCTCCGGATGCATCTGGAGAGGGGCTGCGCTCTGCATCGGAGGCATGCGGGCTGCGGGATAGAAAGAAGGTTGCGGGGGCGGCAGTGCGGGGGTCTAGTGAAGAGCACGAGGATGGAGGGTCCGCGGAGGGTTTACGGGAGAAGGCTGGCACGTCAGGAACTGGTCGCATTGTCGAGACATTTGAGGGAAGTTGAAGAGGAATAAGTAGGATTAGGAATACTTTCGGCGGACTATTGCGGGGGGTTGAATGTCATGTTGCGTATGTAAGCCATCACATCACGCGGTGCGGAAGGTTGACCAGTGACCAGTGACCAGGGTTGAATAGCTGAGTTAGGTTTAGGAGTGTAATGGATATTTAGCTAGGGAAATATAGTGGACTGAATGAATATATGGGTATGTTCATTTGTATGTCAGTCGATTTTTATCTAGTTGGCTATCTTATCAAGCAAGTGGCCAGAATTACTAGATTAGAAGCATTGCAGTTGTATACACGGTCATTGTATCCCTTGGGTGGGGCGGATGGAGGATAATAGTATGCTACAATATGGTTTCTGCCTGATAGGTCCAAAGTTTGAGCAACATTCCATCAATCATGGCAAGATGGCCGAGTTGGTCTATGGCGCACGGTTCAGGTCTACCTGATCCAAACTTCCGTGTCTCGAAAGGGGCGTGGGTTCGAATCCCACTCTTGTCAATGCATTTTCTTTTTGGATTTTCTCATACTGTATTCACATGTTTCTGATGTGTTTCTTTTTTTTGGGTTTTTTGTTTTTTGGTCTCTTTCGGTTACGGGTTTTGTAAGAAATGCAGTACCATTAAAGATAATTCCATGGAAGCATATGCTTATTCTCTATTAGAGATATCTCGGCTTACTTGCCACACGCCACATGTTCATCCACACACTTGCATAGATATATTTCTTAATATCATCTACATAAATTCACACTGGAAGTGACTGAAGACCTATTCTCCACTCTTCACACTCATCCAGACCTTCGCACAAGCACTATAATAATTTACTTTACTATTCTACTTAATAAACTAACTCACTAAATATTCACACTACTTACTCTAGACTCCCACAGTCACACTTGACTTTCATTTACACATCCACCAACTGTAACCCAGTATAAACCACTCCCCCTTCTCATCTTCCATCAAATGGTAAGATGGCCGAGTTGGTCTAAGGCGTCAGGTTAAGGTCCACCTTAGCATAAATTCCTGATCTCGTTTACGGGGCGTGAGTTCGAATCTCACTCTTATCATATGTTCTTTCTTTTTGCTTTCCTATTTTTTTTCTTGATGTGGTTGTGGTGGGTTGGGTTGGTTGGGTTGTGGAGTGGCAACGGGGAAATTTTTGGGGGAGCCAATCAAGTAGCGAGGGTTACGCAACTACACACAGCATAGTACACAGTAGTTATAGCTAACAACCTCTACAGTACCAAATACAAGGGAACAAAAACACATGATAAATGCTCAAGCTGACTTCAATATACTACAATGAAAACAAGGATCCCTCGGCTTCACCCCATCCCATCCAACCGTATCTTGTCAGATCCAATGCAGACAGACACTCTATGTACAAAAAACACTCAAACCCAATAAGGGACAGGCCGTGCAAATACAAATGTGATAGAAACAAAAATAGCGAAAGATATGTTCGAAATGAGATAACTACAGCTTAGCGCGGGGAGCAGATTCCTCCTCCAGAGCCTGTTCGTACAGCTTATCGAGGAGCTGGCGGTAGACCTTGACGGTAGGGGGACGCTTGAGCTTGAGACTAGAGATGAAAATATTAGTAAGATTGATACAAGTCAAGTGTGGGAGTACCGAGAAAAGATTGACTTACGTGGGAGTGAGCAGGTTATTCTCAACAGTGAACGGCTCCAACTTCAACGAGACGTTCCGGACACGCTCATATCCAGCGAGACGGTGCTTCTTAGCAACGCGCTCGAGATCACGCAGCACCGCGCGACGGATCTTCTCCTCCGACAGAGCCCCCTTGATCGCATCCAGGTCTGTCGCGGCGATAGGACGGCCCAGAACCTTGCTAGCGAAGGGGGCGAACAGGTCAGGTGAAACACCAAAGATACCAACCAGGAAGGTCTGGATGCTGTCACCGTGCACGTACGCCTGAGCGAGATAACCCAGCTCAGACATGAAGACACCCTCCAGACGCTCAGGGGAAATGTACTCGCCCTGTGCGAGCTTGAGCACGTTCTTGCGTCGGTCGATGATGATGATGCGGCCCATCTCGTCGATCTGGCACACGTCACCGGTGCGGAACCATCCGTCCTCGGTCATGGCCTTGGAGGTCTCCTCGGGGTTCTTAAAGTACTCGCTGAACATGTTGTTACCGCGCAGGAGCAGCTCGCCACGGGGGTAGGGCTTGTCATCGACAGAGTACTCCATGTCTGGCAGGGAAACGAGGCAGACCTCGGTACAGGGGGCGAGACGACCGCAGTTACCCGAGGACAGATCGTCGGTGGACTGGGCAGTAGCGCAGGCGTAGGACTCGGTGAGACCGTAGCCCTGCACGATGTCAGTACCGGTGGCGATGCGCAGGAAGTTGTGCAGAGTCGGGTCGAGAGGAGCCGAGCCAGAGACCATGTAGCGGGCGCGCTCGAGACCGAGAGCGGCGGCGACCTTCTTGGCCCAAATACGGTCGTAGAGGGCGTGCTTGATGGTGGCCTTGGAGCGGTCAGGGTTGTTTAAGTTGGCAGTCTTGGCTGCAACAATGTGACGCGACATAGCACCCTTGAAGCCGGGGGCCTCGACGGTGGCAGCCCGCACTGCGGTACCGAAGCGGCTGTACAGACGGGGCACGGACATGAAGCCAGTGGGCTTCAGCAGCTTCAAATCATCGACCAGCTCCACAATGTTACCGTGGAAGTAACCAATCCGAGCACCGCCCCAGAAGGCAGTGTGCTCGGCAAGACGGGCGTAGATGTGAGCGAGAGGGAGGTAAGAGCACATAGTGTCGCCCCGAGCCTGGCCGATAGTGATCAGACCGGCAGAGGTGGCAGCCACGGCGCTCTTGTGGGTCAGAACAACACCCTTGGGAGGGCCGGTAGTGCCAGAGGTGTAGTTAATGGTGACGATGTCCGAGGGCGAAGGAGGGTTGTATCCACGCTTGGAGGCCTCTCCCAAAGCCTCGACCTGATCAATAGTGTAGATCGAGAGGTCCTGATCAGCGGCAATTGACTCAAGCAGGGCACGCTTAGAGTGACCGGTCTGCTCACCGCTGTCCAGAGGGTCAAGACTGACAATCATCTTGAGGTTGGGCAAGGCATGCTTGAGCTTGAGGAGGGTGGGAATATGGGGGAGAGAGGTAACGACACAGCTCAAGTCTGCGTGGTTGATGATATACTCGGTAGCATCGGGGGCAAGCACATCGTAAATGGAGACCGAGTACAGACCCTGAGACATGCAGGCCAGATCTAACAAACAAAGGTGTTAGCTTCTAAACAGCTCCGATAAACTCAAAGTTGGAGGTTCGGTTCCATACCGGTAATCTGCCACTCCGGGCGGTTCTGGCACCAGAGACCAATACCATACTGGCCGGGCTTATGGACTTGGTGCTTGTGGTGCAGCTCAACCAGACCAGCACCAAACGCAGCGCGACGCTTCTGGACCTGCTCGTATGTAAGCCACTGGTAGGCATCGAAGGCCTTGGTGACTGGGTTAAAGGGGCGCCAGCCGAGGCAGTGGTTCTTGGGCTGGCGGTTGGCAGTCGACTCGAACATGTCATGGGCAGTGACGACCTATCCGCATAACCTCGTGTCAGCTCTTCCCTGCCCACTCTCTCTCTTCTTGTTTGTCGCATTCGCCTTCTCACATACCTGAGGATCCAATGTGGTCAAAAGCTCCTTCTGCGCATTCCATGCCCGGTATATCCGGGTACGACCAGGCTGCTCAGTTCCAGGGATAGCGACAGAGTACGGCTGTCCCTTAGGGGGCGACTGCTTCAGCTCCTCCGCCTTGGCGAGGTGCGCGGGTTGTGAGAAAAACATGATGAGTGGTGTAATATCTAGACGCGGGAAAAAGAAAACCGAGACGTTAGCACGAGTCTCTCGGAATGTGGCGGCAGCTGAAGTCGTTGTTGGCACACATACCACGTGGAATGGACTCCGGTCAATGGAGCAAGATAAGGAGCGGGACGAAGAAGATAGAGAGGAGATCTCCCAAAGCGAATGAGTCCACGTCAGGTAGAAGAGAAGGGACGAAAGTGTGGGGATGAGAGGAAAAGAAGGGGAAACGAGAATCTGGAGTAGGAGTACGGAGTCGAGAAAAGGAAATCCGGAGAGGCCGACTGTTTTTGGTCAAAACTCCATTCACGACTGGTGGAGACTGAATCAGGAGGGAATGTACCTCGGCACATGGACTGGTCGGTACTTAGCTTAACTATGGGGTCGCCACTCAAAGTACAGGTACCCCGGGCCCAATCCACTAAATTCAACAAAGTTCAGCCAGCCCGATGTCATCGGCCCTCACATGTCGGTTTTCACATGGGATGAAATAATCATACCGTAGATTCCGATACTTTATTCAAGGTTACTTTGAAGCTTTCCCCATGGAGTAAAGAGTGGTAGTCCCAAAGTAGTCTCTAGACTATACTTCATGTATTCTCATGTCTACTCAGGATTTACCTCTACGAACCGAACCATTTACGCGGGGCAGATCCATCCAGCGGAGATGTCTAATGGATTTATGTATAAATAATAATGCCCAAAACTATCGACATAATAGGCTCAACAAGGTAATACTGTACACAACACACAAGCCAAGCCAAAAAAAACCATAACGCCATGCCCAATGCCCACATGCCACGAAAACAGGGAGCCGAATAAAATAACAGGGGAAAATAAAAGTATAGTCACACATGCCTCATCCCCTCCAAAGGTTCAATATTCACAGAATCAACCAGAGATCCAGTGCCACGCCTTACCATACCAGGTAGTCGGCTCAACGGTCTCCCAGTTCTCGCTCTCAGGCGAGGTTCGGCCCGTGTCCAGGTCAGCCTCGATGGGCTTGACAAATGCTGGGCGGAAAATCACCTTATGGCCAAGGTACAGCACCACGAACAGGATCAGACTCAGGTAGTTGATGAAGAAACTCTTAACCTGGAAGCCACCGATGAACGCGGTGAAGCCCTGGGTGAGGATGATCAGGCAGTTGAAGAACAGACCGTACCAGGAGAACCAAGGCTGCCAGATAGCCTTGTACGGGAGGACATCACGGGAAATATTGCGCGCCTTGAGCGCACGCATGAAGGCCAAGTGGCAGCCATTCAGCGAGGCCCAGGTGATGAAACCGGCGACACCAGAGATCTGGAGCAACCAGGTGAACACGGTCGCGCCCGAGTTCGACACGTTCAGGAAACCGAGCAGACCGAACAGAGCGGTGAAACCGACCGCGTAGTATGGCACACCACCCTTGGTAGTGCGCTTGAAGAAGCGAGGAGCGAAGCCTTCCTGGGCCAGACCGACGATGATACGGCTGCCGCTGTACACGTTTGAGTTGGCAGCCGAGAGCACCACGGTAAGCAGAACGGCGTTGATAATATCCGGCAGGGCGTTGACACCGGCGCGACGGGCCGCAATCACAAAGGGAGAAGCATTAGCGTTACTAGCGCTGGCGCCGCTGTTATTCACCAAGTCCTCGTCGTCCGAAGGCACCACGATACCGATGAAGAAGATGGTGAAGATGAAGAAGAAGACGATACGGAAGAAGGTCTTGCGGATAGCCGAGGGGACAGTCTTGCGCGGGTTCTCGGTCTCACCAGCGGCGATACCGACCAGCTCCGTACCCTGGTAGGAGAAACCTGCCTGAATCAGGCAAGACCAGAAGCCGACAAACTTGGCGAGAGAATCGTCACCCTCAATCAGGTAGGGCACAAACGGACCCGGGTGGACCCAGTACCGGAATCCAATATAACCTTCCTTACCCACACCGGCGTTCATGCAGATAGCGAAGATCATGAAACCAATGACGGTGATGATCTTGACGCTAGAGAACCAAAACTCCATTTCACCATAGAATCCGACGGGCATCATGTTGAATGCAATGATCATCACCCAGAAGACAGCGATAAAGATTGCAATTGAGATCGTCTCGTCCCAGAACTGAATAATCAAACCGGTAGCCGTGAGTTCCAGCGCAAAAGTCGATGCCCAGGAAAACCAATAGATCCAACCCATGGAGAAACCCAGACTGGGATCGATCAGGCGAGCCGCATACGAGGTGAAAGCACCGGGAATGGGAATATAAGTTGCGATTTCACCCAGCGCCGTCATGACCGAGTAGACGATAGTACCGACGAAGATATAAGCGATCAGGGCGCCAACGGGGCCTGCATTGGCGATGGCCGTACCGCTACCGATGAAGAGACCAGTGCCGATGGTACCACCTGTTCGTGAAAGAAAGATACGAATTAGGGGAAAAATTCTGCGGCGAGCTCCGAAACAGGCTCTGATGGTGAAGCGCATGGTATATGTTACTCACCAATGGCAATCATCTGCAAGTGACGACTCTTCAGCTTGCGCTTCAGATCCGGCAGCGGGTTGGACTCGCGACCAGCACCGTGCTTCTCATAGTCGACATCGTACTGGTTGACAGCATCCTGAGGCTGGACCTGCATGATGGGGCCTTCCGACTCCATCTTTCCCTTGTCAGACCAAGGGGCGTCCACGGCCATCACTGACTATATTCAGAGACGAACGGGAAATCGAGGTAAGGTGGACGGTTGAGAGGTGAGGAAGAAAGATTGAGACAAAAAGAGGAGAAAGAGTCAGAGATGGAACGCGATCTCCACTGTTGAGAAGCGTGTCTGACTACTACTACTCCGGCAGTTTTTGGGCCTTTTTCCTCGGTGGAGTCAGACGCGACGTCAAAACCCTATCAACTCGTTCGTCCCGATACCCAAGACGGTAATATCTTAGGTAAAAGAATCTCGTGAGGGGACGAGTAGTGTATAGATCTTGGGGAAATAAGCCTTGGCCCAGGGCTAAACTGGAAATTGGATTTGGAGATGACTCGACAACCTCAAAGATTACAGTTCCTCGAGAGACTTCTTGTATAATTCCTCAACAGAAAATTTTCATCCTTTTCCCGCGAGAAAACTTCGATGCTCCCGGGACATTGAGTTTTTTTGCCTTTGCCCTGCCATGTGGGCCGGCGCCGCCAACCAGGAAAACTTTTTTTTCCGCTGGTGGCGACTGCCTGGGGGGCCCTCATTTGGGGGACTTGGGCCTCTGAAAGGCTTAAAGGATATGACTACTGCCTATGACAAAAGATGTACAATTATCCTATCGCTCAAGATATACGAGATGTTCGGGGACTAGGCCATTGTGACATGGTGTACTCCGTGGTCGGGAAAAGGATCAAGCTAAAGGAGGACCGGTGCAACTCTGCATGCAGGAAAGCGCCACCCGCCGATCGGGGCCTTGCCGAAGTAAAAGAGCTTTTTCCTAGCCACGCGGCCTTAGATATAGGAGAAGAAATTTAACCCAGGTCTATTCTATGTATTTAGGTATATGTCTATATCTGTGTATATCGATCACTTCCTATATATGATGGAGAATATGCAATTGCCTCTCCCGAGTCTCAACACCGACAGGCATGACTTTTCCGGTGGGCAGTAATAATGTTACCATGGGGCCGACAAGGCCGTTTTCGTTCTCGACGGCCCGTGAGACGGGGCCAATCACATCCTCCAGTCCGATAAGTATGTAAGCAGACAACTGATAAGTTGATTCATCGGCCCATCTCTTCTACCTCACACCAACCAATGAACGGTTAGATAGATAATATCTATAATATCTATGACATATCATCTCTATGACATGTTATTTGTATAGCACGTTTAGACTATGCCAGGGCTGCCCTTGTTAGTGGTTGTTCAGACCTAACATGACCTTTTGAAATACCGACTCGATCATATCAGATGTTACCTTGATGTATTGAGCTAATATATCCAAGAATGATCAATACTAATGTATAGAAGCAACGGATATCATGCATACATGTCAAAGTCTAAAGTAAAGCTGAATTTCGGGACTAGGCCAGTCAAATTTGTTATGTCTAAAGCATTCCTAAGGTAGGACCAGGAATAGCTACAAAAGCCAAAGCTGGGTTTACGTAGAGAGTCTCTGAGTCAGTGTGAAGTATTGACATGTCCCCAAGGGAGTGAAATAATCAGATAAAGTAGTTGATCTTTGAATATGGAATATTAATGTTATGCACAAGGTCATCATCGCGCAACGTAAGACTATTCATAGACATGATCGCTGCATCTCTCATAACATCCAAGAAAGAAAAGCAAAAAAGAAACAACAGCCTCGAGGGGTATCGTGGAGAAAAAAGAAAGAAACCGCGCTGTATAAAAAACATCCTCCGACTAGACATGGCCAACCCAGAACGAGCTAGCGTAATCTTGATCTCTTCATCTTCATCAAGCTACCTCAACAACCCAACTCTCGATCCCCAACCACCCCATTAAACACCCAGATGGGCATTATGCGGAGTCTTTTGCGCACTCTCCCCGCTATGCCTGCGCTCCTTAAGATCGATAACAGCAAAATAAGTCGTCACAACGAACAGAACCCTAAAAACCAAGAACACATTAGCCATCTGCCACAATTCTCCCTCCCCAAATCCGAGATCATCCATCTTAATCCTCAACCTTAGCGATGCCACTTACCACTCAAAAGCCCCAAACACAGCAACAGCCTGCAAAGCCCGACATCCACTCCAGGTACAATACGCGGGTGCCGGCAACTGCGCCGCAATCGCGATAAAGCCCGCAAACCAGAAGATCATAGTAATCACCTCGACGGCGGGAATCACGAAGCGATGCGCCAGGCGCGGGAAGTAGATTGGTGCGGCGAGGAGGTAGGGTGTTGCGACGAAGGTGGTCCAGCAGCCGAGGAAGAGGAGGAAGTTTACTGTGTCGGAGAAAGACCACCAGTAGGAAAAGGTGCTGATTACTAGATGGGTGGGTGGGGTTAGTATATACCAAGGTGATGTTTGAGGATGTAGTACTTGATAGTTCGATCGAGGACATAGGGGAGTTGTGTATGTACTTACCATAGGCGGTCAAAGCGACCACGATCAGGCCGAAGAGGATCTGTACGAGGCGCACAGCGTAGATCCAAGGCATCGCCATTTTGAATAGTAGTGGTTGTTGTAGTTGTAGGGATAGCGACGCGTGGGAGAGTAATGTAAAGGGTCGCTCACTCCTAAAGCCCGGGGGAACAAGATGTCAACTAAAAGGAAACAAAACACACAAAGCAAATAGCAGAAAAACAAGGAGTATAAAAGCACAAAGCAACCATTACCCCAAAAGTGGGCAGCCACCGGCGTCGCGTCATCGTCATCGGTGACATCTTGGCGCGACTGTCGGCGTCAGGTGCTGGTCCTCCCTGCAAGCTGGAAGCTAGGCTTGCAGCTGACTGGTAGGGCTGACGTGGGTTATGCTGCTAGTGCGGAGAGTTGGTTGGATGTGGGCAGAGGACCTTACCGTTTGAGACTTTGAGTGTAACTTTGTTTTTTTGGTTAATTGAAAGGGATCGGCGAGGAGGGGGAGAGAAGTGAAATGACGTTTTGTCTAGGAGGTTGGAAGAGAAGAAGGAAGTACAAGTTGACGTTTATATGCAAAAAGAAATGCAAAGCAACTGGATTCCCCTCCGCGCCTCACAGGGCTGGTCTATTTTGATATTTTCTGCTGCCTATCCTCCATGGTACGCACTACGTACAGAGTACTCTTTTCTTCAAGAAAAGACCCTGGCACAGCCACTCATGTCAACGGAGAGTTTTTGCGGCGCTGCCTAACGCCCAGCATGTGAAACTCGGTTAGGCGCGCGCCGATCACAGGGTCTCGTGTTTGTCGCAGGTCGCCGGGGATCAGAACTTAAGAAAGCTATCGAGTGGTCCAGGGTCAATCCCGACTGGTAAATATCGTAGTAAACTTGAAGAAAACCATGGATTACCTCGATCGGACCGTGGCTGGAATAGGAGGCTATGTCGGGTATACTTCTTTGTTTACTCTACAAAGTTTGTGAAGTTTGTGCCTGATTGTCAAGGCGACTGGTGGCTGTTTACTAATGACGTCATGGCTGATAGAATAGACTGGCCCCTCTAAAAGACACTGCCTCTAAACTGTAAACTGGTCTATTGTCAAATCCAGGCCTGAAAGTCTATGAGTCTATGTACATGTTTATACTTCCCTGCTCAAACCTAAATGATCTCGTGATGTTTGTCGAAAGGGTCCAATGATCACCACCACGAAACTTTAGATCGACTGCACAGTAGCCACACGCTCCATTTCCATGGTAGGAATCTCGTGTGATGGTGATGCCTCAGGTTCCGCGGTTGATGCCCTCTTCTTCTTTTCCTCGATGCTATTCTCCGCCAGTTTCTTCATATACTGATCGGACTCAGCGGCATATTTGCATTTTGCGCGCACTGCAGCGCCGTATTTGTAGAAGAAGAACGGGAAGGGCAGGAAGAGGAGCGAGATAAATGCAGGAATTGATGGAGCCCAGTGGATTCCCACTGCATCGTACATCCAAGTTGACACGATAGGTAAAACGGCACCGAAGATCGACCGAAGAACTGCATTTGCAGCTAACACGGACGCGGCATAGATCGTGTACGAGTCGATTAGGTAGTTCATACACCCCATATAAATCAGGATAACACCCATGCCAAACGGTGCCGTACCGATGATGCAAACAGTCCAGTGAATCGAGGTATAGTTCGTCCATGCGAACCAGAACTGGCTGATTGGAATTGCCAGGGCTCCCGGCATACACATAATCAGTCGGGTTTCAGGGGGTGCATATCCTCCACGTTGACTTTGGACTTTTGTATAGTGCAGATTCGCGGGGATCGTGCATATAATCCCGATGATCATACCAACCATAATACCCAGGAAGGAAAGACCTCCCACGCCGGGATTCCATCCGCGGACTTGTTCAAATACAATCGGGAATGCCGCGAAGAACATGTACAGAGTACCGTATACCAGCGCGACGTAGACTGCAGAAAGCAGGACGATGGGTTCTTTGAACAGTAGAACCCAGGGTCTGGATAGTGTTTTCCTCAATAACTCCGCAGTCGTAACGGGACCCTTCTCCAGCTCGATCTTACTGCGATAGACCTTCCCCGTTATCCTCGAGAGTCGCTCCGCACGCTTTCGCAAGAGTACCGGTGCATAAGTCTCCGGAGTCAACAGAGTCGATACCAGCCAGACAAACCCAGCAGTCGCAGCAAGAAAACCCTCCACCCACCGCCACCCAGCCTTCATCCCAAGAAAACCACCAATAATAGGACCCAACGAAGGCCCCAAAAAAGGCGCCGCAGCATATAAACTCAACCCCAGACCCCGTTGCCTCGCCGAGAAAATATCCGAAATAGTTCCACCGCCATTAGTCAACGGCGCCGAACCAAACGATCCCGCAAAGAAACGAAGAATACACAGAGTCCAGATATTCCGTGCCCCGGCACACCCAGCCAGAAAAGCAGCCATAAAGAGCAAACTGATAAAAAATGATACCTGTCGACCATAGACTTCGCCCACGGGCGCCCAGCATAACGGTCCGATCGCAAAACCTAATACATACAATGATAAACCAAGCGTTGCGACGGGCGTGCTGATCTTGAAATCAGCGATGATCTCGTGGATACTCCCGCTGTACGCGGATGATGCCAGCGAGACGATCAAACTGGCAAAGGCGACGGTGAGGGTAATTGAGATCTTGCGCGCGCTGCTGAAGAGTTGGGGATTACGGCTGTCGTTGGGGATCCATGCTACTGCGTAGGGATCTGCTTCTGTGCCGGAGCCGGTATATTCGTAGTCTAGGATATCTTGGGTGATTGCTCCATGGTCGGTGAGGAGGTGCCAGTATGGGATTCGTTTTGGGTGGACCGGTAAATGGGCCCCGGGACTGCTGCCAGACATTTCTATCTGGGTTAAGCACGAGGATGTGATTGATCCAGTTTGAATAGAGCTTCGATACTGTCAATACTTCATGTGACTGTGAAGCAAGCTCATAGATGATGATAGAGTTCAAGACATAAAATGAAAAAAGCTTGAGTAGTAAAGTGAAGAATAAGAAATTTGCCTCGGCACTCGGCGTTGACAAGAGGCACTGTACTCCGTAGAAAACTAGTATTGAGTGGGGGAGAGAAAGAGAGACCCAGAGCGATAGGACATTAAACGACTTAAAAGTGATAAATATGCAAATACCTAAATCAGAAGCAGGTAAGTGGTGGGACCGAATCTGCATAACCTGCAGTAGCAGCAATATTCCACCATTTTGCCCAGCGATCCGCATAAAAAATGTGATACAAATGATTCATGGCGTGAGAACTATCGGCTTTGAAGCGAACGGGAAAATAATATTGCTTCGAGTGCTGATTATCGATGGGGCCTGGTGGGGCGAGGCTGGGCCGATCTAACCGAGACGATCGGCTCGAGGTTGAGGTGGTCGGCTTGCGAGTGCCCCTGGGCTCTGGCAAGCCGATATCATTTTGAATGTGTGAAAGTGGGGGGAAAGGCCGAGGGATTGTCACTATATACTATGGATGTTCTATCGTTCTACTCATAATTGCTAGAGATCTTTTATTAGATCTTATAGACTTTGTCTTTTCCGGTGATCCACTATCAAGACATTCGTTTAGCCCGAATATTTTTTTAATTTAGCGGCAAGTTTTCTACTTGACGTTCAAGTGAAGCTCTGGTTCTATTGATGGGGATTTGCAGGAATCAATTATAGATCACAACCACACTAGAGCCACTGGTACCCGTGTGTGCTAACCAGTGAGGCTAGTCTAGCTATACTTTGATGTTATCACTAGTTTTTAGTATTAATTGTGTCTCCTTTGTATTCATTAAAGGAAAAGCTTGACACTTCATGTCATGATGTGGTAGTAGGGCATGTTCGATACTGTACCAAACTGTCGGAATCGCAATGGTTCAAGGAGACTGTAACAAGTCCTTTTATACATTCCCTGCTACCATTGTAGTTTGTTCGAGAAAAACCAGGACTGCGCTTTTCTTAATTTGAAAATAGAAATCAAGTAGTTATCAAATCTTGTTTTCTTCTTAGAGGACTCAGATATTGACAGGGAATTTTGCGTATAGTCACGCGACCAAGAACAGCTTGTTCAAACTAGGATGATAGAGACCTATACAAGGGAGAGTGGGGTAGCTCGAGCAAGGGCTATCAATGATACCACAGAGACTAAGCCTGGTACTGTCTTCTAAGGACTAATAATATACCGAAGTGTCGACAGCAGAAGTCTGCAGAGGAGCTAGACAAGGTTCTTCCTGTCCACTACAGTCTCTCAATCTTGGACTGGCTACAAAAACTGGCCCGGTCGACCATGACTCACTAAACATTCAGCCTTTCAACCCACGGCGCACAGTGCTATGCCTCCCCCCACCTTTGGCGTGTCCTGTACCTGACCCACTCTCCACAACTTGAAAAAGGCAAAACTACCGCAGCTATGAGTGGGGTATAGTTCCAATTCAGGAAGAGCATGCCCCCCATTTGTAGGTCAAAGATGAGAAGAAAATTCGGTGCTGGTATCAATAGGTCCCGACTGCAGAGAAGCAGGCTGTTAGCATGTGCTACTCAGTATACGGGTCAGCCAAGACATACATCAGGCCATAAAAAGAAGGACAAATAGGCAACATGGAAGTTTGGAGCATTTGTCGCCCGAGAGAAAGAGAGAAAAAAGCAAATTCCTCGAGTTTATCCGAATTGAGGCGCCATTGGACGAACCAGCTCGTCTTTTTCTGTAAACCTTCGTAATCACGCCATCGAGTCCCCCTCCGTCGTGGTTGATGCCCCTCCTTCTTGGTCGTTTTATTAGGCCAATTTGTTCCCTTCTTTTTTCCTCCTCTTTTCTGAAATAGCTCTGCAGTCTCTATTACTCTTGTTATCTCCTCCTCTACCAATTTGGTCGCTATTATCGGTTGGTTTTCGCTGTATCCCGGATATTTTTGAAGCTCCGTTCACCGGGTTCCCCGCATTTCAACCATGGCCGATCAACAAAATCTCCACTTTGAGACCCTTCAGCTTCATGCTGGGTGAGACCACCCCTAATTTCCCTCTTACCTCTTGAATGATAAGAGATGTATGATTAACATTGATCTCTCCAGCCATGAACCTGACGCGGCCACCAATTCCCGCGCAGTCCCCATCTACGCAACATCCTCCTACACATTCAATGACTCCGCCCATGGCGCGAGGCTCTTCGGCCTCAAAGAATTCGGCAACATCTACAGCCGAATCATGAACCCAACAGTCGACGTTTTCGAAAAGCGCATTGCCGCTCTCGAGGGCGGTGTCGCTGCTGTCGCAGCTTCGTCTGGCCAGGCCGCTCAATTCATGGCTATTTCTGCGCTGGCGCATGCCGGCGATAATATCGTTTCCACTAGCAACTTGTATGGTGGCACGTATAACCAATTCAAGGTGCTGTTCCCGCGTCTGGGTATTACTACTAAGTTTGTCAATGGTGATAAGCCGGAGGATATTGCGGCTGCTATTGACGAGCGTACTAAGGCTGTGTATGTTGAGACTATTGGTAACCCTCGCTACAATGTGCCTGATTTCGAGGCTATTGCAAAGGTTGCACATGACAATGGTGTTCCTCTAGTGGTACGTCTTTACGGACGGATATCATACTGTATCAATCAAGTCGTGACTAATTGTACATTCATACATAGGTTGACAACACCTTCGGTGCTGGCGGCTACTTCGCCCGCCCCATCGACCACGGCGCAGACATTGTCGTCGAAAGCGCAACCAAGTGGATCGGCGGCCACGGCACCACCATCGGCGGCGTGGTCATCGACAGCGGCAAGTTCGACTGGGGCAAGAACGCCGCCCGCTTCCCACAATTCGTCGAGCCCTCCGAGGGCTACCACGGCCTTAAGTTCTGGGAAACCTTTGGGCCCATCGCCTTCGCCATTCGCGTGCGTGTCGAGATCCTGCGTGATCTAGGTTCCACATTGAACCCCTTCGCGGCGCAGCAGTTGATTCTCGGCCTGGAGACGCTGAGTCTGCGCTGCGAGCGCCATGCTACCAACTCGATTGCACTAGCTAAGTGGCTCCAGAAGAACGAGAATGTTTCATGGGTCTCGTACCCCGGTCTTGAAGACCACCCGTCGCATGCTACTGCGAAAAAGTACCTGACTCGTGGATTTGGCGGTGTTTTGTCTGTTGGGATCAAGGGTGGTGCGGCGGCTGGAAGTCAGGTTGTTGATGGGTTCAAGTTGATTTCTAATCTTGCCAAGTAAGTGAAGATTATAAGCGTACTTGACGGTATCGGTTTATTCTAACACATCTCCTCTAGTGTTGGCGACTCCAAGACTCTGGCTATTCACCCCTGGTCCACCACCCACGAGCAGTTGACCGACCAGGAGAAGGCTGACTCGGGTGTTACCGAGGATGCTATTCGTATCTCGGTTGGTACAGAGCACATTGATGATATCATCGCCGACTTTGAGCAGTCGTTCAGCGCGTTGAAGACTGCTTTGCCGGATCGTACTGCTTAAGGGAGGCACTACAGTTGGGTTATAGTTCAGTGTGCATTACAGTGAGTTATTCAAGGATTCTTTTTATGTAAGCCTACGGGCTTCATTTAGCTTCTAGAGCTTGTATCTCTCTATGCGTCGTGTTAAATAATGAAGCAATGACACAAATACAATATGAATCAGGCGATTAAATACGTGAATTACCAGATGCAGAATATCTGTTATGGTGGGCGCGAGAAGAAAAACAGGCCGGAAAATAGCAATATCTTGGTGAGACTTTTTGATCGAGTAAATAATATACCGTAGTCTGAGAACAGCGGTCTTCGGAAGGACTTGATATCTCCAGAGTTGATCTATCTCTATTTCATCACTCCAGCTCATCTAACATGTATAAAATCTATCAATCACAAACTGACCCACCAACTTCAGCCAAGCTTGCCGCATGAGCCATTAATGCAGCACCCACACCAGACCCATCCTTCGTAAGACTAATCCTAATTCGCTTCTCACCTTTGACTCCAATCTCAGAAACATCCCTCATGGCACCGCGCATATCAGCCTCGAACGTAGGATAAGACTCTATAAGAGAACCATCGGCTCCGATATCGATAATTTCCTCACACAGAGAGCTCGTCTCAGCACCTGTCGTATGTTTCGGCAGCATCCAGGAGGGTCTCTTGCAAATCAGTCGAACAAAGTCCAAAAGGTGGCGGAAAAGAAGAGGCGCGTAGTTGTAAAAGCTTTTGAAGCTTGTTGACAGAATGGAGGTCTTTAATGAAGGGATTCGAGGGGTGGTTCTGTTGGGGTGCCTTTCGAGTCGTCCGCTTTTGATGATGACAGCTGCTAATGATGCACCGGCTAAACGCGCTGCTCGTCTTGCAATGGCCTCAGATATCAGTTTGATAGCCTTTGCATCTACTTTACTGACGGTCTTGGCGGAGAGTGTATCTTGAAGCAGCGCAACTGCACCCTCGACATCATTGGCGTCCGTCCTCGCAAGATTAGACAGAAGAGAGCTGTCAATTCCGTCTCGTCGAAAAAGGCAAGACTCTTCAGCGACAGTCATGCGAAAAGCACCCCCTCGCAACAGCTGTAGAATCGCCAATCGAAGAAGCTCCCCAAGATACAGCCCAGATACCCTCTTTTCCAACATTCCGTATCCGGGGTCCACGGATGCCGCATCGAGTTCATCATCGAGTGATGTCCGAGGCAAAACTTTCATCTCATCGTCCAGGGATCCCCATTCACTATTGATCACCATGATACCTTCTGTATCATCATTGATATTTTTGAGCCGTCTAACATTGGACAGCTTTTCCACGTAAGCAGCATTCGTCCCAGTCCCGAAAATGACTGCCCCCAGTGTGGATACCCTCTGACCCGAGCTGTAAGATCTCGTCAAGAGCGTACCGACACTATCATTTGCCAGAACCGTCACTAGAACGGGTAACCCGATTCTATCAATGGCTTCTTGCAGCATGACGCACGGATCGCGTCCCACGGCTTCTGGTATATCCCAACCCTTATCCCAGTGTATGAGACGACCGCCCTTGAGAGATTCCTGCTCACAGGTAAAACTGAACGTGAAGCCCAATTTGTAAGGCGATGGACTTTTGGGATCGAGATGTGCGTTGAGAAACTCTGCGATATTTCCTGCGATAAAATCGAACAGAGGCAGATAACTTTCATTGACCATGACACTGGGCGGGACTTTGTGCTTGCTTTGGAGAACGGTGAAAGTGGAATCGCCATGTAACTCGGCCATGCATATCCTGCAGTTGCTTCCACCGAGATCAACGGCTAGAAACTGACCCTTCTCAGTTCCAGTCGGTACGCTTTGCAGATAGGCAGGTAACTGCCAAGGGCGTTCATTTGCAAGGCCGTCCTCTACCAGATTACCTAGTCAGCATCTCCATCTCACATATCGACCTTGATGGTTGCTACTCACTCATCTGACAGACTAAATGCCTCGTCACTCTCCGCACATGCTCAGCACTGAGACTAAACTCGCCAGCAATCCGCTCAGCCTGAGCCATCAAGCCCAACCGCTGCTCTTGCTCTTCCACTTTCGTCATGGTCAACAGAGATAAAAGAATCGAGAAAGCAAATACATCCACAAGCCATCCATAATGAGCGACTGAAGTATTCGAGACTGCACAATCCAGAATAGCTGTCCTCCTTCACGATGTGGAGCAGTCGAAGACCGATGTTACAGAATTTGTGTTAGTATTATTCATTCCACGGACGAATTGCCGGTAGAGTACCGGTTGATTCGGCCTACCAGGCTGGAGCCGCTAAGGAACAGCCCAGCCCCCCTCTGTGTGTTTAGTTGCTGTAACTAGCAGTTACGTGGTCATGTCCCGCGCCTCCGGTGATCTTTTTGACTTTGCCGGTTTCGCCGGGCTCCACAATACGTTTGAGGGGGAATACGGAAGAATTTGAACTTACTGTAGTTGGTTAGTGCTGTAGGTTGTATCTTGAAGGCGCAAGGTACGGGGTCATTCTAAATTGAAGAGCCGCTGGAAGATTTTGTTTCTGGCGCTAAATATGACCACTTTGATTTTCGAGTATATCCTTCCACCTAGACCACGACTACCACTTTACTTTGATATAGTTGTCTTCCGGAGATTGAAACGAATTCCATTGAACATAATCCATTCATCTAATAATATTTAGAAAATCTAGGAACCGATTTGCCTCTAAAAATATACAATACATTGAAACAACCCTCGTAGCAATTCAGACTGGTGAAAATGGCATAGTGACAGATCTCACAGTCAACGGTTTCAGTTGTCCAATGCGTGAGGACATACTGTCTGGCGTCAGTTCTCCATCTTCCGGCTCTCTCCATGCTGTATCGTTCGACGTGGCCAACGTAAGTGTTGGCTGAGTCTCAATGCTCATCCCTTTCTGGAGGATAGTACGTTCCACACCCGTGAAGTACTGTAAACCAAAGTTTTAGCTTCTTAACGACCACATTTTTTCGAGGGGAATCGTACTCTGACCGTTTTCACTTTCAACTCCATCGTAGCATCTTCATCAACAACCACCATACTGGATGGGTGTAGCTGCAAAGCAGATAATGTACACCAGTGGCTGACACCACCTTCAACAGCCTGCTGAATCGCAAGCGCTTTGCCAGTTCCAGTTGCGATTATAACCACCTCTCTAGCATCCATGATGGTCTGTACTCCAACTGTCAACGCCATACGAGGCACAGCGTCAACATCACCATTGAAGAACCGCGCATTAGCGATGATAGTCTCATGAGCGAGGGACTTGATTCGAGTCCGACTAGCCAGGCTAGATCCAGGCTCGTTGAAAGCAATGTGGCCATCACTGCCCACGCCGCCTAGGAATAGTTCAATTCCACCCAGGGCTTTGATTTTAGACTCGTAGGCAAGACACTCCTCTGTTAAACTTGCGGCATTCCCGTTGAGGATATTGACGTTTTTTACGTCGATGTCGATGTGTTTGAAGAAATTGGTGTACATGAATGAGTGGTAGGATTCGGGATGGTCGCGAGGTAGACCGACGTACTCGTCCATGTTGAAGGTTACGACATGTTGGAATGAGATCTCGCCGCGAGAGTATGCGGCAATTAGTGCTTTGTAGATGGGTAGAGGGCTGCTGCCTGTTGGTAGTCCGAGGACGAATGGTCGTTCTGTCGTTGGGGCAAAGGTGTTGATTCGTTCTGGGAGAGTTGAGCCTTAAGTTCCGGATGGATCCTGGTGTTAATACTTACTGACAATATACGCGGCGATATACTGTGCCACCTGCTCTGGACGTTCTCGAATAATCAAACGCATCCTTCAAGATTTTTTGGAAGGATAGATGTGAAATTAGATGTTGGAGAGATATGAAGTCGAGCTTAGAGGTTGTCGTGAGAGTTGATGGGGGAAAAGGTCAGTGTGTTCCAGAAGACAGATTAATGTCTCAATTTCATTGCGACCCGTGGATTTGGTAGAAAATGGTTGCAACCAGGGTAGCCACTCTGATACGATATCCAACTTGATTCTCCATTCTTCGACAATAGGGTAATTCGGGCTATCTAGAGTGGAAGAGGGTCCGGTGATATCGGAGAATCCGGTCAACCCGGCAAAGTGGCTACAATGCCGGTGATATCGGGAATTTTCGATAGTGACCGTGAAGAGAGCTCCCACTTGAAGGATGCTTGATTACGAGTGGCCCAGATGGGTTGTCATTACGTATGATTCCGAGACCGTGTGGTAGAAGTTTGATGAATATCTTTGTAGCACATGTGAGCGAGGCAGACGAGGAAGAGACAAAGATCCTACTTGCACATACAGAGGCATACACTATCATCTTACTTTACTCCATATTATCCCAAGTCAGTTCATCAGTTCAATAATATTCATAAAGAAGTTTCATATCCCAATATCGTATCGATTAACTCATAGCTTCAACGATCACCCATAACAAAATACATAGACCTCTCTCATACAAGAATCATTCCAAGAGAATCATAATCCCAATCGACTCCATCCATCCATCACTCCTCCTTCGCATTAGCAATCTTCTCCTTATACTGCTTACTCCCAACAAACCACCACCCCAAAATCAAAATCGGTAGCCCCCCCACGACCACACACGTATAATTCATATTCTGCGCCGTCAACGGCATAGTATAGGGAAAACTGAAGAAGGTAATCGCAAAAACCAACCACCCCACAGTAACCCCATTAACCAACCACCCCCACTTCCCCATATGAAAAGTGCCCTTATGCATATTCAATCGTCCCGTGAGCATATTCGTCGCAATGGGAATCAAATAAGCTACATTATTAATCGTCACAGCCGCACCAAGCATACTGTTAAACGCAGTGCTGCTGCCCAGGTAAAGACAGCCTAGCACGGCGTTGGCAGCGCCGACGAGTAACTGTGCGTTGAAGGGGATGCCGAAGCGCTGGCTGACGCGGCCCCAGACGTTGGAGAATGGCATGGCGCCGTCGCGGGCGAAGGCCCAGAGGACGCGGGAGGTGGAGAGTTGGGAGGATACGACGCAAGGGCCTAGGGCGATGAAGAGGATGAAGGTTAGGCCGAAGGCGCCGCCGGCGGATTGGGTTGCTTGGTGGAAGAGTTCGGCGAGGGGGAGGCCGGTGTTTGTGGTGGAGAGGGCGGCGTAGTCTTGGACGCTGAACATGAGGCCGATTAGGTAGGTTAGGCCGGTGATGAAGGCGATGGAGAGGGTGATGGCGATGGCTAGAGGGGCGTTGCGGGAGGGCTGCTTCTGTTAATTATGGGGGATTATGAGATAGAATGGAAGGAGAAGGGGGTTTACGTTTGGCATTTCCTCGGTGATATGGGTGACGCCGTCGAGGCCACCTAGACTATACAGTGGGTTGACGAGGCCGGTGATGAAGCAGATACCATTGTTGCTCCAGCCAGTGTTATTGATCCAGGTCTTGAAGACGAACGTGGTGTCTTGATGGGTGGGTGCACATGCAACCACCGTGACAAGAACGACCAACCATCCGATCTGGAGGTAAAATAGAGAGAATTTGTTGAGTGTTGGGATGATCTTGTTTCCGAATAGAACCACTGCAGCCGTGAGTGCATTCAGGATCTGGTAGATGACGAAAGTCTGCCAGGTTTTGAAGGCCATGTCGGGGTGGTAAAGCGCATACAGAGCTTGGACTAGTTCTTGTTAGATATGACCTGATTTGGTCGGGACTTATGATGTACATACCGACTTGAGCGAAGATCAAATTGGTCGAGGCAGTAGTAAAGATCCCTAAAAGGACCAGTTAGTCTCCATGATCTAGTTTCAACAACACAGAATCCCTACTTACAGCCACAAACAGTCAACCAACCAGTCATGAAACTCAAGAACGCGCTATACTTCTTGGGCGCAACAGCAGCAATCCAATGGTACATGCCACCCTCAGTTGGGTAACTCGACACGAATTCGGCCAGTGAAGCACCCAAAAAGGATTGCATGATGGTGACAAGAATAAATCCGTAGATAATGGCACCTGGACCACCGGCATTGATCTCAGTGACAATACCCAATCCAAGACCCGTCCAGGAGATTGTCGTCGTAGATGCAAGACCGATCAGTGATAGTATACTGAAATGGCGCTTCAACTCTTGCGTATGGCCTGATTGACATTCAATAGTTAGCATATGGGAGTATCTATGTGATGTCTGTAGATGTAAGAACATACCCATCTGAGCCAGACGAAGCTCATCAGCATTCATAGTTGAACCCTCCCTTTTGGACTCGACGACCGAGCTTTCGCTAATAATTTCGCCCATCTTGATTCTCTCCCGTTGAGGGTCGAACCAGCTATGTTGATTTAGCTGAGGGGTAACAGCACACGGTGATAGTGTCAACCGATTGGAGATACGAGGGGGCTCCCTCGTGCTGTTTATATGTATTTATCAAATAATCTCGATTGAATACTTCACATCACTTGACCATTCGTGGCTCCACTCTTCCCTCGCGATTTTGCGGAGTTTCAACGGTAAAGAACAGGAGAAAGAAAATAAGCCTTATCGACGAGGATTGCTGGGGTTATTTTCCCTCTTGGAACTTGCAAGATTGGCTGATAGGAAACACCGACTTGACCGGTCGTTTCGCCGGCGAAAGGGCCGGTGCCGGAGCTCCGATTGGATTGATTTTCGATTGACTAACTGCTTTAGACTGCTTTAGTGCTGTTAGTTTGCGTTTTAGTTTGTGGCTTTTACTCCGCAATTCAGCCGAGCCGTGGGGAAATATGTTCCCGACGATAACACAATCCCTGATGCACGAATCACTAGAGATTAACTAACTAATTAACTCCTGGAGAAGGAGAGGACCAGGGTATAAAGATGAGGGGGATGGGGACGAGGTAGCAATAGAATGTCACGTCACATGTGTTCAGGTTGTTTCTTCCTTCTTGCGACGTAAAAGATGCGTGTTCATCTCCATTGGTCTCGGGTCGCAAGTCTTGGCCTGCTAGGTGCCAGCCTGGTGCAGTCAGCAGAGCTGAGCAAGCAATCCAAGCAACTCTTTGACCAGTCAATGACACTGCTGGACGATATTTATGACTCTGATGCTTCTTATTTGAATTATTTTTATTTTCCCTTGGCGGCGGGAGCACACGAGACTCGATCCACTGTTTGGTATTCTGTTGGACTGCTTCAACGTAACCAGGGCACCGACCGGGATGAAGCTGTTAAGATTTTGAAAAATGTGATTGGTGGCCAGGAAAAAAATGAGTCGGTGTTGTGGTTTGGTGATTATACGGTGTATCCTGAGCAGCCAACGGTTGGAAGCCCTGCATATGACCCCGTGGTAAGTGTCATCTCGCTCCTGATGATCTTGACTCTGTCTGGTCTGCATACTGAAGAAAGATAGATCTATAATTCATGGGATCCAAACTGGAGAGGCTTCATCGGCACCGCGCTAATCCTCATCTACGAGGAATTCGGCAATCTTTTGCCCGCAGACGTAAAAGACCTAGTCATCGAGAGCCTATACAACAACACCGTCGGCGACAGCTACCGCGTCGGCGGCGTTGACAACGATAATCTCTACCCGGCCTATTCAAATGCCTGGCTCATGCGAACGGTAGTCACATCCTGGACAGGTCACCATTTGAAAAATGCCAACATGACATCCGCCGGAGACACTGATGCTCAGAAATTCCTCGACCTCTTCGATCGCAATCACACCCTCTCCGAATTCAACGGGCCAACCTATGCAGGAGTCTCTCTCTATGCGCTGACCATCGCCGCAAAGTACCTTTCTCACTCTACATCCGTTATCGGACAGCACGCAGAGCGTGTTATCCAGGATATCTGGGGCTATGAGTCTCAACTGTGGAATCCGAATATGCGAAACTTCGCCGGACCCTGGGATCGCTCGTATGGATATGATATGAATAAATACGTCGCTATCATGTCGATCTGGATCTGGTCTCTGATCGGGAAGGAGCATGTTTGGCAAACCAAAGCTCCAATTTGGAGCATGACCCATGCAGATGATTTCGAAATCTCGCCTATCATTGCTGTATTGTCGAATTTCCATAAGAAACTCGTTCCGGACGCCGCTCTCAAGAGATTAACCTCTTTCTCTGGTGAACATACCTACCATGGACACACTTATGCGCCCCCGGCAGACTACGAGCCACGGAATATCACCACCTGGTTATCATCTAATCTGACCATCGGCACGGACTCGTTCAACCAGAGCAATGTGGGCGGCTACTCAAAGGACTCTTCCTCCTTTTCGCCCTCAGTTGTACAATGGATTCGTCCCGGTGGATCAGTCGGTTACTTCAATCTCTATCCGACCCAGACAGCCTTGCAGGCGGAAGTCAGCCCGTACGCACTCAATCTGACTTATCCACTGGGTAATTCCTCGAGCACGTTTACATTCGTTCTTGCTTCCAACCCACTTGGTTCGAAGCGGGATATTTCTGGTTTCGAAGATGTCGATGGTTTGAAGATTGAGGTTGTCGGTGGAACTGTCAACCCTGTTCCTGAGATTTCGTTCTGTGGTCTTGTTGGTGGGACTTGTGATATTATCCAGTAAGTTGATTTGATGGTCCTCACCGTCCTTTGATTCAGGTGAATGAACTTTTGCTAATTGGATTTATCATAGTAACTTTGAATTTTGGAATGTTACTTTCTCGATGGATGAGGGTAGCTCTGATGTTCCGAGCATTCAATTCAAGTTCACTCTTCCTTAGATCTGAAGATATTGAAGCTGATCAAGGCCGATATTTTGAGGTGGAATCCTACGTAGTTACAAATGAATAAACACACACTGAATGATCTGAATTGTTTCATCTCTTCTTAACTAGCTACTATGGATAAGGGAAAATACTAAATGAGACGATAAGGTAAATCCTCGCAATACGCATGGCTCAAAACTTCGGCACACCAAAGCCTCGCTCCAAGAATTTTGCCTGGCAGCCACAATGGCCATGCCAATATGCAAGCACTACAAAGTAGAACAAAGAGAAAATGATAGCGAAGACTAAGGAAAATAAAACCAAGTCAAACGAAAAAGATCAAAATGAAGGATTACAGGATAAGGAAGCGAGATTAGATACAGGAATGGACCCTTGAGTCCTTTCCCAGACTACCCCTATCAAGGAACAGTCACCGCTACCTATGAGAAAAAGTGCAACCAAGAAAAACTAAAAACCCCAAGATACCTCAACGAGGATCAATGAAAGGGTTACAACGGAAAATAAAAAGCCGCCCTCCTAAGCTCAACCGATTCCAACCTAAGAACGCCGACTGACTGCCCTCCCTTTTTCACCCAGTCCCATCCGTACCGGGACGCCGCTATATCCGAGGGCTGCCAGATGCAAGAGTGTGGAATAAAGACATGGTGATAGAATGGAAATGCACAAATCGAGGGAAAGGAAAAAGAAAAAAAGAAGATGGGATGAAAGTGCTCCATGTGCAGGTACCAACTAGATGGCCGTTTGTCATCTAGTTACCCTGTCCAGGAGGTGGGGGTTGGCTCGAGGGGGTCTGAGCATTGCCCATCATGTAGCCCGGTGGGAGGAAGGGCATAGCGGGCATACCGGGGAAGTTGAAGCCATAGGCTGGAACGGCGGGGGGAACGCCCGGGTTGCCTGCAGCAGACATGTCGTGCTGGTCCTGACCCTGACCTCCCTGAGAATGACCACCGTAGCCATCACGGTCGGAACGGCCGCGGCCACCGCCGCCGAAACGCTGCTGAGGGGGTCCCTGTTCGGGGCCGCCGCGCGTGGAGATAGGTCCCCGCTTGCCGCCGGTGTCGGTTGCGATGCGCCGGCTAATAGCCTTGGAGGAAACGCCCGCACCAATCTCAATATCCGGCTCTTCGACGACCATACCCGACTCGATGGGACGTCCACCAGTACCACCATACTCGGCGGTCAGCATCCACTTGCGGTCAGCCTCGGTCAGCCGCTCAATGGGGATCACACTGATACCGGTCTGGTAGTCGCTGCAGTCGCGAGGACCGAAGCCGACACCCCAGCGTGTGCGCAGCTGCATCTCAGCCTGGCGATATGACTCCATGCCATCGCGAGCAGCGACCGCATCGGGACGGCTAATCATCTTGATAAAGGCGTGGCGCTTGTCGACGTTGACAATGCAGGTTTGGACCATGCCGAATCGGCCAAACAGGGAGCGCAGGTGCTGCTCGGAGGAAGTGACACCACCGACAAACAGGGTGCGGCTGAGAACCTTGATGTTACCCTGGCCGATGGAGTAATCCCACTCGATGAGCTTGGGACCGGGAGGAGGGAGGTTCGGGTCCTTGCGCTGGGGAGAGGGAGAGCGACGGCGGCGACCACCAGGTGGGCTGCGCTGGCGGTATTCACTGGCACCCCGACGGCCTCCACGGGCATCGCGAGGATCACCCCGACGGCCGGGGGAGTCACCGTGGTATTCACCATAGACGGGGCTGTCGCGGCGACGAGGCGGGGAAGCGGTGCGGCGACGGTCCCAACCTGGAGAGCGAGAGCGGCGGCGATAGCCTCCTGGAGAACGGGGATAGTCACGTTCGCGATCACGGTCGTCACGATTCTGGCCATCAAGCTGACCCCAGCCACCTGGAGCAGGCCCCTGTCCGGGCATCATGGGGAAGCCAGGGAGGGCAGCAGCCGGGTTGACACCACCCATAGGGTTGGACATGTTGAGAAGTTGGAGAGCGGTCGCCCATTGGTCTTGTGGGATGCCTTGGGTCGACAGGAACTGGAGCAGCTGAAGCTGTTGGGACAGAGCATTGCCATCAGGCATAGCGGGAGCGCCGGCGTTGTGCTGCGCCATCATGGCGGCCAATGGGTTTGGAGCAGACGCCATAGGGTTCGGGGTGTGAGTCTGACTCTGGGGCTGAGGAGGCATGCCGGGGTTCTGAGCCAGACCAGCCAAAGCAGCATAAGGGTTAGCACCCATTGGGGTACCAGCGAAAGGGTTCGCAGCTGTCGGCATTGAGGAGTCGGCAGATGAGACCGGTGGGGGAACTGCACCAGCCAGGGCAGCGAGAGGGTTGGCCTGAGCTGCAGAGGTTTGCTTGGCCATATCAGCCAGAGCCTTCAGAATGCTTGAGGTATCTGGGGCCGCTGCAGATCCGTTGGTGGGCGCCTTAGGCTGAGAAGGTGGGCCTCCAAGGGGGATGTAATCCGGAGCCGGAGAACCGACAGGAGTGGTTGATTCCACGTCTGTACAAGACATTAATTAGAATCTAAGTCTAGTGGTACGAGATTAGAGAGGAAGACTTACTCTGTGGAGGGGCGTTCAGCTTGTCTCGGAATGAGCCGAGCATGGCAGAGGGAAAGGTGCCGCCACGCTCCCAAATGTCGATGAGCTTCTTGATTTTCTCCTACATGCATGAAAGAGTGTGTGAGCAAATTGACCAATGAGCGAAGAAGCAGTGCACAGATGCAGCAAATGCAGGGGAATGGAGCCCCATCCAGGACACTGTGGTTGGCTGTTGAGAAGAAGTGGAAGAGGAAGGAAAGACCAGGATGTAGCGGGAGGCGGGGATCTTGGCCCCCAAACGGCGCAGCCGCCCCGCCCAAAAAGGCCCAACTGGTCGTGACTTGCAGGACTAGTGCGTATGCAGCATGGTTTGTACAGTATACAGTGCATACAGAGTGTAGCGGATGGTTCGTGATCATGGACCATGAAACCATGATGAAGTGCATCCTGGATAGCATTTCCCCAACAGTGCATCGCGCAACTTTCCAAAGAATATAGAGAGAGCTTACCTTTTGATCCATGGGGGCGTTGTTAATGATGTCGGTCATCAGCACAGGCAGAAGCTCAGTCACTCGATTGACTCCTGCGGCGAATGTTCCATCGGGGGCATCGCTGCCAGAGGATTGACCAGCTTTGCGTGCAGCTTCTACCCATTGGCGGGTTACGGAGTCTACGACGTAGAGTACGCCAAGCTTGTGGGTGCCTGGGGCCTTCTTGAAGTGGGTGTAGATCTTTTGGATCAAGACGGATTCATTCTATGATACTGGGTTAGCGCTGGGTTCGGTTCGATTCGTTGCAACTCGCATATCATTTCGTCGAATTGCCGTATGGATCATCTTGGAAAGGCTTCTCGTACCTGGACATTGGCAGTGCACAGTGTGGTGATGCCCTGGATCTTGGTACCCGAAACACCAGGAGGCTTCAAAGCCAGCATGGATTGGAGATAATTCTCCAGCTCGCCTACAGCTGAAGACATGGCGTGGGTATGAATAATGTAGATGGTGGTGAGAAGTTGCGGCAGTAAGGTTGAAAGGCGGTGAGAGAAAGTTGGTGAGGTGAAGGCGGTGAAAAAGCCGAGGCAAGTCAAGGTTACCACGACTGGGTTTTGTCTGATTTCCTCAGGCCTCTAGATGCCAGGATGATCAACAGGCAACGGTAAAACGGCCAGTACTGGTTGCCTACTTCGAAGAGCAGAAAGTTTTCTGTCAAAGAGAGAGAGAGAGAGATTGGAATAGGAGAAATTTTGTGAAAGCTCCTAAGGAGATTAAATCTCAGTTGCGACAGATGGGCCTTGTTCTCGACACCCGTTATCTTCTTATAAGCAGTCCAAAGTGTTTGGGATTTCTTTTTGGTTTCTTGCCCTCGATTTTTGGTTTCCTTCACACTACAGCACGAGCGTTTTCACTGTCGGACCAGAGAAACTGCCGCCTACAGCTGAGATACAGCCTAGAGCGAGGAAGGAAATAAAAGGAGAGTGGTTTCCAGATGTTTCCAGGGACTCGGAAGAGTGCAGCCTAGTGAGTGTACGAGTGTACGAGGTACTGAGAGGGTACAACCTAAAGCGTACTGTGATGAGAGTTTCCCTCAGAGAGCCTCTAGTGACGGATTTACAGAGTACAGGTAATCCGTGGATGTCGTCGAGATAAGAGGCGATGAAAAAGATGATGGGGGAGGAGAAAAGAGTAGGAGAGAAGGTCGAGGGATGAGGATGATGATGATGAAAGGGGAGAGAATGAAAGGGAGAAAGGGATCACCTGAAAGACTTTTTGCAGGGGTTTCCAGGGGTTTGCAGGGTTTGCAGGTTGGGCGCTAGCCTTGTTTCGTGCCAGATCACGTGGTGTGCAGAGCTCGAGGTAAATTGCATCACAAGTGAGATCATGTGATGGTGATCATGTGACTGAGTCAGTCGTGGACAACCTGCAAGGAATTCCTGACACGCCGTATGTTTTGTATGTACTGTGACAACAATTTTTGTCCATGGCTCAAGGATCCACCAACTGGGAGTGGATGTCCTGGTGGATAAGTATATCTGCTGTTTGAGTTGCTGAGGTTCTGGTTCCCCCGGCTACGGTTACAAAAGGGGGGGCACGGGGAGCTTCAAAAGAGAGCTGTGGATTATTATTTTCTCCGTTCAAAGTGTGGTGTGCTGTATCTTCCCAGTCCAACGAATCTACCATAGCCATTAGACTTTTCAGATGGAAACGGTGGATACATACTCCGGTAGGAATGGGGCCGGAGAAATTTCCGTTCATGACCGAGGCTTTTGAAGCCAACTGTTTGGATGTTGGGCCCTTTTTAGCTCCCTCGGAAGTAAATTTACAGAGGCGTTTAAATCTGAACGTGTCTCTTGATACCCGTTCTGCCCCTTGAGGCCGCCCGTGGAGCTCCCGATCTCGGTGAACCATTTCAGCAATCTGCCGGCTAGTTACGGGGAAGCCAGCACATCAGAGGGAGGATGTTCCAAAGGCTTATGCAGACTCGTTCGGAAATGGAAGAAAAGTAGTCAATGGCATAAGACAGATGATCAGATCCCCGGTCAAAAGGGTGTGAGAGAAAAGCCTCGTTGATCGGAGAATACTACTCGAACAGTCGTGTGTAATAACCAATACGCATAGTAATACGATACCCGCACAGGACTAAGATAAACCCGCGATGCCGAGGATCCATCTTCGGGGATCCGGATGGCGGCACGGGACAAAAGATGGCGACTTGCCGACGTCACTGCCACCCTCCATCAGCATCAGCTGGTAATACCAATTCACCAGGGATCACAATTGTATACCTTTGAAGGTATATAGACTACATCAGAATAGTTACAATACCGGACCCCGATACTGTCAGCAATGCATTGTAAACACAGAGCCTCGACCTTACCAGATGGGTAATAAGAGCAGTAGTTACAATAAGGATAATATGGCCGAGGTGTCCGGAAGAGGTGGACAATACACAGGGAATGAGGTCATCCATAGGACATGGCGGGAGTTTGTATACATGGTACGGGCTTATGAACTCAATTAAGCCAGAATAATACACGAGCACTTGCCAACACTTGAAAATCCCCCAGGTATATTCATTGATGTGATCAAGTCCAAAGCAAAGTTGTGGTAGTTACCCATAATAATCATTCCCAAAATTAACACGCCATGACGGAAGCTCTCGGGCAGACTGGAAGAAACTATGTACAGTGCTCCGTACTGTAGATCTGCCGGCAGCCCGACTTAGACCAAGCCGTACTCGGTGATACACTCGGTCTGTATCGTTGAGAAGGGTAAAATTACCAGAGCTCCTCCCGCTCTCCCGCTTTTCCCTTCCTCCCCAGAGAGAAAACGGGCTCCCGACCGTGACCATACCGGCGGTATTACCAGCCTGGCAAAAAATAATCCGAGAAAAAACGAGAAAAATCCAGGGAGCTCTCGGGATGATTTCTTCTCTTCCCTTTCTTTCCCCCGTGTTTCCTCTTCATCTTCTTCCCACTCTTCCCCTTCTTTCTTCACTCCCCCCATATCCTTGAAATCTTTTTTTGGATATTCACATTCCGTCATGGCCACCTCTCTTCGGATCGGTACTTCCGCTTTGCGGTCTTCCATCGCGAAGCCCGTCCAGACTGCTGCTCTGAACGGCGCTCGCTGCTACTCCTCCGCCAAGGTTAAGGTATGTTGTTGACGACTCTGACCCAGCTTGGTGAAGCTCAATTGATATGCTAACACCTTCCAAACAGACCCTGAAGGAGACTTTCGCCGAGGGCCTGCCCGCCGAGATCGAGAAGGTCAAGAAGCTCCGCAAGTATGTCGACCGCGCCCATTGACCCTCTGTCGCAAGACATTTCGTCTGACAATATAATTGTAGGGATTTCGGTAGCAAGGTTATTGGTGAGGTTACCCTCGACCAGGCCTACGGTGGTGCCCGTGGCATCAAGTCCCTTGTTTGGGAGGTGAGTTTCTTTCCTATCTTCAAGGGGGTGGTCCCTTGAGCGTATATCTGCGATTAGAAGCTAACATTTTACTTTTAGGGTTCCGTCCTCGACTCTGAGGAGGGTATCCGTTTCCGTGGCCACACCGTAAGCTGATCCTCTTCACTCCAATTGCGCAAAAAAGTGTGCAATCTGGCTAACCCTCCATCCTTCTATAGATCCCCGACCTCCAGAAGCTCCTCCCCAAGGCTCCTGGTGGTGAGGAGCCCCTCCCCGAGGGTCTCTTCTGGCTCCTCCTGACTGGCGAGATCCCCTCCGAGGCTCAGGTTCGCGCTCTCTCTGCTGAGTGGGCTGCCCGCTCCGATGTCCCCGCCTTCGTCGAGGAGCTCATCGACCGCTGCCCCAGCACCCTCCACCCCATGGCTCAGTTCTCCCTGGCCGTGACTGCTCTCGAGCACGAGTCCTCCTTCGCCAAGGCCTACGCCAAGGGTATCAACAAGAAGGAGTACTGGAGCTACACCTTCGAGGACTCGATGGACTTGATCGCCAAGCTGCCCACCATCGCCTCCAAGATCTACCGCAACGTCTTCAAGGACGGCAAGGTTGCCGCCATCCAGAAGGACAAGGATTACTCCTTCAACTTGGCCAACCAGCTCGGATTCGGCGACAACAAGGACTTTGTGGAGCTGATGCGTCTGTACCTGACCATCCACTCCGACCACGAGGGTGGTAACGTCTCTGCCCACACCACCCACCTGGTCGGCAGTGCCCTGAGCTCCCCCATGCTCTCCCTGTCTGCCGGTCTCCAGGGTCTGGCCGGTCCTCTCCACGGTCTCGCCAACCAGGAGGTTCTCCTCTGGCTCACTGAGATGAAGAAGGCCGTTGGCAACGACCTCAGCGACGAGTCCATCAAGAACTACCTGTGGTCCACCCTGAACTCCGGCCGTGTCGTTCCCGGTTACGGCCACGCCGTTCTCCGCAAGACTGACCCCCGTTACATGTCCCAGCGCGAGTTTGCTCTCCGCAAGCTGCCCGATGACCCCATGTTCAAGCTGGTCAGCCAGGTCTACAAGATCGCCCCCGGTGTCCTGACCGAGCACGGCAAGACCAAGAACCCCTACCCCAACGTTGATGCCCACTCTGGTGTCCTCCTGCAGTACTACGGCCTGACCGAGGCTAACTACTACACCGTCCTCTTCGGTGTCTCCCGTGCTCTGGGTGTCCTGCCCCAGCTGATCATTGACCGTGCTCTCGGCATGCCCATTGAGCGCCCCAAGTCGTTCAGCACCGAGGCCTACGCCAAGCTGGTTGGTGCCAAGCTGTAAAGTGGAGAAACAAAAAATGAAGGGCCCTGAATAATAATGGCCTTTGTTTTCCATCCACTTTTCTTTCTATATTGATGGATTGATTTTGGGGAACCTTGACTTTGGTTTTTTCTTTATGAAAATTTTCGGGAAATCGAGGGAAGGACCCTGTGTATTATTTCTTTTGTCTTTTGGTGATTTATTCTTATTTCATGTTGTATGATAGGACTTGATCGGTTCGAGCGGGCCTTGGAACAGCACTTCCTCCACTAAAACAAAAATCAAACATGGAATTTGGTCACGCCGGATTGTTCAAACAGAGTTTCTTATTGTTTCGAGTATGCGTAAAACCAGGTTGAAGATGATCTTGTTGGGTGTAATAATGACCAGGTATAAAGTACTTGAGAGATAGTTGAGAGAAGTTAATCCTGCAGATGCAGAATATGGAGGCCTGTATCGTCATACTGCATAATTTAGTAGGGGAGATGCAGTCAATAGTTACTATGATTGGAACAAGATATGATTCCACCCAATGTGGCTCTTCGTTGATCTGCGATAGATTCATCAGAACCCAATTGAATTGGGTTTTTTGGTCTGACGGCTACTCTGGTAGAATCGAGCACACGTGAATTGTTGGGGGGAGCCACTGGTTGATTGGGTCTATTGGGGAGTTAAAGAATCTCAGCTCCCTCAACCGTCCTCACCCGACCCACTCAACCCGAAGGAAAAAAAAGGACGATATGTTTGAGGGAAGATTGAGGGAGAGGGAGAGTCAATTGATAAGTAAAGGATGATGATGATGATGAAGATGCAAGAAGGAATTATCGGAGTAGCCCTATAGGACTTAATGTGAAGAATCGGAATATATCTCGGTGATGTTGTTGCATTACTGCTATGATCGGAGGAATAGAATGACAGAATAGTAGAAAATAGTAGATTCATTCGCCGACGAGCGGATGTAGAAGGAATATTCCGATCTACAGAGAGGCCGATCATTTTTATTTTGTATTATACGGAGTGCTCCGTACTGTTAACTGTTAATTGCTAACTGCTAACTACGGAGTCTATGATTCTGATGGTTGTTGACTTGTTTACTGTTCTGGCGAGAGTCGGTCTGTCGGTATGGGAGGTACCCAGTACCCAAAGGTCTGAGCGGAGACTGGTCCAGATGGAAGTATTCAGTACGGACAGTCTAGACTATGAAGGATAGTATGATCGAGGAGGGAACTTATGGAATAGTTCAAGAAGAGAATATAGAGGAATAGAAATGAAGTTGACAATAATTGATAGTTAATCGTATTACAATAGTTGATAGTTATATGGTTATCATGAGGTGCCCTGGACTATTATAGTTGATCGTCCGGAGTCTGGAGTTGTCCTCCGCAGTACTACAGTCCTGCAGTACTGCAGTACCCGAGCCTACTTGGTACACTTCAGCATTCCCCCCGACTCCTGCTGACTTTCTCCCTATAAGACTATTTGGCACTTCCCCCCTCCCTTCCGAACTTTCTTTCTACAACTCTACTACGTACTTTAACTCTTCAACCACTCTCCTCTCCCCTCCTGTTCTTCCCCCTTCCCTCTTCTCGCGACGAAGCCCCCTACATCCCTTGGTCAGGGCCCCTTTCAGCACATCCTCTCTCAAACGATGTCTACCGCTACCCCCGACAAGGCCGCCGCGCCTAAGCTCGAGAAGAAGCCCGTCAAGTTCAGCAACCTGCTGCTTGGTGCGGGTCTGAACATGTTCGAGGTCACCACGTTGGGTCAGGTAAATACACCCTCTACTTGCTACTTCACTGGTTGCTTTGGTTTGATCTCGGCCTCGGCTATTCAAAACAAAAACAACCATCATCATCGCTACCACCCGGCAACCACTGCCACCGCCACTGTCGAATCGCTATCATCGCATTGAGCCATTATGCTAATCATCATCTCTTTTCTACAATATAGCCGCTGGAAGTGATCAAGACAACCATGGCCGCGAACCGGGGCGACAGCTTCGCCGGCGCTATGGGTCGGATTTGGGGCCGTGGCGGGATCCTCGGTTGTACGTGACACCTGTCTCTCCTCTCCCCTTTCTCTCTCGGACCTTTTCTCCCCCAGCTTCCTCCGATACACGCTACACTACTAGTGTGGGGAATTGACCCCAGCCAAGACAATTGCGCTCTTATCCAATCATGGCACACACACACGGGTCATAAATCAGCAATTGGGCTAACACTCTACGATTTCTAGACTATCAGGGACTCATTCCGTGGGCCTGGATTGAGGCCTCCACCAAGGGCGCCGTCCTCCTCTTCGTCGCCTCCGAAGCCGAGTACTACGCCCGCTCCTTTGGCGCGAACGACTTCTTCGGTGGTATCGCCGGTGGTATGACCGGTGGTGTTGCCCAGGCTTATGCCACCATGGGTTTCTGCACCTGCATGAAGACCGTCGAGATCACCAAGCACAAGATGGCCGCTGCCGGTGTCAAGCCCCAAAGCACCTTCGCCACTTTCATGGATATCTATCGCAAGGAGGGTATCCGCGGTATCAACCGTGGTGTCAACGCCGTCGCCATTCGTCAGACTACTAACTGGGGTTCCCGCTTCGGTCTGTCCCGTCTGGCTGAGTCGGCTATTCGTAATGTCACCGGCAAGGATGATGGCCAGAAGCTGTCTGCTTGGGAGAAGGTTCTTGCTTCGGGTCTTGGTGGTGGTTTGTCGGCTTGGAACCAGCCTATTGAGGTTATTCGGGTTGAGATGCAGAGCAAGACTCCCGATCCTAACCGCCCGAAGAACTTGACTGTCGGCAAGACTTTCAGGTACATTTACGATTCTAATGGCCTGAAGGGTCTTTACCGTGGTGTTGCGCCCCGTATTGGTCTGGGTATTTGGCAGACTGTCTGCATGGTGGCTCTTGGTGACATGTATGTTTTGACTCTCCCGTCCTTTTCATGTGATACCTCGGACTAACCATTTTCTTTTTCTTCTGTACAGGGCCAAGGAAGCTGTTGAGAAGCTGACTGGCGACACTGTTACCGCGAAGCACTAGAGAAGGTTTGAGATACCCTTCTGCTATGCAACAGTCCGGAGATGAAGAAACCACAACCAAGTTGCGGACTCTGTCGCGCTCATGTCCCCCTCCACACATCCATAATTTCGTCTGCTCTCCTTTTGCCTCCCCCACATTTACTTTTACTATTCCGGGGGCGGACTAGGACCAGGCTCGATCGATACCCATGAAATACATTTGCAATTGTGTCTGTGATACTCCTCAACGAGAGTGCTCCCTTTTTTCTGCGTCCGCATCTCAATTTTCTCTGCTTGCTGGCTGTCTTTTGCTGTAATTTTTTCCTTATTTTATTTACTTCTTCTTTTGTTTTGATTTGGGTTTTCTCGTCTTGTTGTGTTTGGCAAGAGAATAGACTTAGAAATAGCCAGTTATACACCGGCACTGAACAATCAAGCCCAGATTCTATCTGAAATATGTCATTTCAATTCAATTCAATTTGAGGTCTAGCTCTATACATCTCATGTCCAATCCCCCATTATCAGTACCATTACACCCGGTTCTAAATCTCATCTCAGTCATGATTCCCAACCCCACACTCTAACCAAGAAAATACCCAACTTCCCTCCGGAACACCCCCGAACGGAAGACCCGAAACACAAAGGAACAACCCGGCCTCCGCACTCTCGCAAGGAATTATCCCGAGCCTTAGCCTTATCCTTAGTCTTAGCATTGGCAAGCTGCCCTGAAATATCCGATGTCGGTACTCGACTCTACCCGGTGCGGTGCGGCTATCGGCTCTTTCACGGGATTTAGGTACTAGGAAGAAATTAAGATGAGCGTTCGGAGGAGGGGATTACTCCGTTTTTGGTTAATTGTTAAAGGATCATGGAATCGGTATAGATGGAGTTATTATTAAAGGTAGGAGTGTATTCCTTTTGTCCGTGTTGCGCTAGTATTGTATGTAAAGTATAGGATGATTTGTTCCCGGTTGCGGCGGCGGTGGTGGTGTGTGCGTATCAACTCCGTTTGACCTCGGCTAGACAACACACTGACATAGTGTAGTATGGCGGTTGGCGGCCCGCTGGTGTTTTCTTAGACGTAGGTTGTTTCCCAGGACAAGCTCTTGTCATGTGCTTTTGTTTCTCTTTTGCATATGATTTATATTGCGTTGCGTCATTAGTGTTTTTGTGGCTAGTGAAGGTACAGGTAAGTAGGTATTCGCTTCTGAAGCACATGTTAATCCCCTGATCGTCCTAAGCTGTCTATGTACTAGGCAGTCAATGCTAATGCATGTTCATAAGAATTGGCGTTCGTACCTAGGTCCAGTTTTAGGCTATTCTTCCCCCTTTTCGTGGAAGGATCAATGGTTTATTATCAATTCTTGTCGAGAGAGCTTTGCATATCGAGCTGAGACTCCTTTACTTTGGCTGTTAAGCGTTGCAAGAGCTCGACGCAAGGTATTTCGTCAACTAGGACTGTATTCACCTGGCTGGCGTTCTCATGAAAATTAAACGATTAGTTCTATCGAGCCTCTTCCGTTCGAAATGCTCTTTCTCATCTCAAGAGTCGTGGTTTCGAAGAAGAGGTAGTCTCACGGATCCTTGGTGGATTAACTGCGCATATAATTCCCTATTTCCCGTAGAGTAGATCGTTTAGTCTCAAAGAGCTAGCTATTTTATGGTTTCTTGCTTATCCGTGGACTCGATTGTTCAGACTAATAGAGTTGTCCTTTGAAGCCTACCATATTTTTGCTCTCTACAAAAGCATTTCAGCTCCTACTAAGATGTCTATAGCATACCCCAACGCCGGACTGCACCTTTTACAAATGACAATAAGCTAATTGATTGTCACATAACTCCGGCAATGAGATAGTGAGTCAGGAACTGGCTCGATGTGAAACGTCCGGGGCATGCCTTGGGATGCATCTGGGAATATCCGGCAACTAGATCAAACGTCCCCTTCCAGATCTTATACTCATAACTTCTCAAGCAGATATATAAGATTCCTAACAGAGTCACAGCCTTCCAATAACTAGGGTGCCACATATAACAGCAAATAAATTGACCGATTCCATGTAAACAAGTCGGAATGAAGGCTATCCTGACTTCAAATTAACAACGGGAGAAGAAGATCATATAGCAGACTACACCGTCTCCGCGCAATAGTGTCCGTCGAAATATCCCAACACATGCAAGGCTGCATATGAGCTCATAACAAAGAATGAACCATATTGTCAATTAACTTCCTTCCAATATGAAGATTCCAAGGACTTGCAAGAACAAGTTCAAACAGGCCCTCTGACACCCTGCGCTGTCATACATGATACTGTTAACTTGGGGTACACTGGCTCTACGAAACGCCCAGGGAGGTTTAGGTTTATGGATCCTTCCAACTCGTTAACCGACCAGTGTACGAATTATTGGTGTCACCTTATTGCCACTGGAAAGACTCCCAGTCCTGATATCCCAGGGTGGAGGCCAAAGGCCAAGCCAAACTCCAAGGTATCATATCACTCCTGGCAACGGTCAAGGTTCTAATCAAATACCTTGCACTACTAGTCCATGGCTTACTATCTAGGTGCTTGCTGGTGGAAAATTGGCAATCAGTAGCCACGTACCAGGTTTCTTATGTGGGAGTTGGAGAAAGAGGAACCGATCGCGGTGATAGAATCAAGTTAGGACTCGGAAGATAGACATACGTATTTGATTTGCCTGCTATTTTTCAATTGTTTAGTTATTGAATCGGCCATTCAATTACTTCCTATTAGTCAAATATCACCGTAAACGCATTCAATAGTGCAGGACTTTCATAAGCTCGAAATTTGGTAAAATGATAGAGAGAGCGACAAGCCAGAAAACACCTATCTGTATGGACATACCTACCCTACAAATTCACCAGGCAGGCAGAACGACCCAGTCAAGTTCAACTACACTCGCCATACAATAAAGAATGCTAATCGGAAAAACTGAGTAAGGTACAATTGTTTGTATTACAGTCAACTACACCCTGAACAACAAAGGAGATATTGGCAAAGAATCTAAGCACAGGTGATCACATCAAATCCAAACGAAGGAAACACGCTTTTCCCTCGATCTAGGGCTGTATGGTATACAAGGGGGTTTAAACGGTCAGGCCGAGGTCCTCAGCGTAGGGAAGCTGGAAGACATCACCGACGCTGACGAGGGTGGCCTTGCCGGTGAGGAAGGACTTGGCAACCTGGAAGGAAAGAGTCAGTATTGAAAGTACACGATACACAGATATTAGGTTTGAACATACCTCCTTGACCTGCTGCTCAGAGACCTTCTCAATGGCCTGGGCAATCTCGCCAATCTGGTAGGGCTTGGCGCCGTGGATCAGACCAGAGCCGGTAGCCTCGAGGCCGGTCTCGAGAGTCTGGACGGACTCCAGGGCGCGGAACTTGGCCAGAGCGGCGGCCTTCTTGATGTCCTCGCTGGAGACCTCGCCAGCGGCGGCCTTCTTGAGCGCATCGACAACGTTCTTGCTGGCGGCACCAACCTGCTCGGCCTGGCCGGACAGAGTGACGGTGAACAGACCGGCATCAGAGTAGGCGATGTTCTTGGTGGAGACGTTGAGCTGGTTGAAGCCCTTGGTGGCCTGGGACAGGAGAGAGAAACCGGGGGTCCACTTGATGGTGGACTCGCCGCCGAGCAGAGCAGCAAGGACGGAAGCCTCGGCCTTGTAGCCAGCGGTGCCGAAGGCGCTGGAACCGGGGAAGGCGATCACAACGGCGTTGCCGGTCTTGGAGGCAATGCGCTGCTCACCACCGAAGTACTTGCTGGCAGCGGAGGGCTGGACCTTGTACTGGCTGGAGGTGGTGCCAGTGGGCAGGTCCTTGAAGAACTGACCCACCCACTTGGTGACATCGGCGGAGTTGGGGCCGGTGGCAACAAGAGCAACGTTGGACTTGGCGTAGGCATCCTTGGCGAACTCAGCAAGGGCATCGGCCGAGAGGTACTTCTCGTAGGGGGAAGTCGGGGAGGGAACGACGGGCGAGCCCAGGCCACGGTGGAAAGCGACACCGTGAGCGGCATCGAGAGCAACGTTCTCGGGGTTGGCGAAAGCGGCCTGCTGGTTGTACTTGAGGAGGTAGCTGACAACCTCGCTCAACTCGTGGTCTGTAAAGAAGAGAAAAAAACCTTATGTTAGCACGACCAGCTCCAGGCCTAACTTCGGCTTGCCATTCTGCCAATATCTCTTGTCCTGCTTCGCGATTGCCATCACCAATGGGGCTGGATCCAACTCACCAGCAAACTTGGGTTGGCTGGCAACCTCGGCCAACAGCTCTGTGAAGTAGGGGAGGTCGTTTGCGAGGAACTTGGCACGGAGGACGACGTTTTCGCGCGAGTGTGACGACGAGATCTCACCGCCCAGCAGCTCGACCTCACGAGTGATCCGCAGTGCCGAGCGCTTGAGGGTAGTCTATTCAATGGTTGCATGTTAGCATTGGGAGGGGAGACTTGGAGACGACCGATTGGGATAGGGCCCGGGGGAGCAGCGGCTTGCGGTTGATACCACCACAACGAACCTTGAAGGCGAACTTCTCGAGGGCATCGGCGAAGCCGGGGAAAGGCTGGTAACGAGAACCAGCCTTGGCCACGAGGGCAATGGTACCGGTAGGGCCAGCAACCTCACGGTTGGCGACCTTCACACCGGCGGCCTCGGTGACATCGTACTGGAAGGACGGGTTGGCAGCAGAGGCCATGGCCCGACGGCCGGCGGAGAGCGCGCGCGGCGCATTTCGGCTGAGGGAAGACCGCGACAGCATTGTGCACCGAGAGCAATTGGAGGAGGAGAGAAGATAAATAGAAACCCAAAAGGGTCGAGGAGGGGAGGACAATTGAAGGGAGGAGGGGGTCTCGGATGGGGGAGGAGAGGGAAGCAGTCGGGTTACGAAAAGCTTCAAGATGTCGGGGCGGGTTGATTACTCCGCTGCTGATTGGCTGAAGTGACGAGTCGGACGGAACCGGAATATCTTTTCTACCTCGATTGTATATGTGAGTATTTTGGGTGATGAACTGGATGTTCGTAAAGGTGAATATGCAAATATAGTATAGAATGGGAATAACTGTACTAGCTTTGTACTTCTGACATTGTTTTACCATTCAGTCTCTATTGTCGTTCTTTCTACTTCCCTCTTCATCGCATCCTTAAATCCCCGATTTCCTCCCAGGTCACCTGATTCATACCACGTGACTGATAAGCAAAAAGTTGCCCATCGAGTTGCTTCAACAGCAGCTCAGCACTTTCACCCTTCCTCCCTATGCGTCTCTGCCGGTGACCTCAATCGCCTCTCGTGAGGACCGGAGGACGGCCACTTTTGCATCGGCGCCATGACCATGTCCCAGGTTCGGGCTTACCCCGCCAAGCCCCTCTCACGATCAGCACTGACGCATTACTTGCATAGTACGCCGCGGAGCTCTGCGCGCTCCTTATCGAGGACCAATTTGGAGATCTCTTCGCGGTGAGTGATATTCAAGTTTGCGATTGCAAATTCTACGCTGCGCAGAGCAAAAATATGGACAGCGGCTATCAGAAAGAATTCTATATCGTGAAGCTCTAGAACTAATAAGAGATTCAACATTTCACAGCGCATCTTCACCACTCTTCAACGCTATGAACGGCTGCCGCTGCCCCGTCTGAAATTTTACTCTCGCTTGACCGAACGTCAGCTACATCATGGACTGGCTGCTATGATTCAACACCACCTCGTTTTCCACTTTACCTCCCTCGAAGATGGCAATACCTACTATGCCGCGAACCCCCAGGCTGCCTACTACCTCATCCGCTCTGGCAAAATCATTCACTTGGTTGAGAGCCGACTCGGCGAATATGCGGCCCGGGTTATGGAAACCATTTTGTACTTGGGACATGTACCCATTAAACACCTCGAGACACTGCCCGACCTACGATACCTAGCACCGCCCGCGGCTGCAAATGGAGTGGTGAAAGAAGAAGAGCCGGGGGAAGAGCAAGAACCTCAAGAGCTTGATATGGAAGCAGGGAAAGAGACCAATGGTGCCAATGGGGACCATGCCGAGGAGGTTCTGCAAAAACCAGCACCTCTCCATTCCACCCTAAAAGCACTTGCGTCGCACGGCTATATAATCCGTGTGAAAGATGCGCATTTCCAGAGTCCCGAAGACAACTACATCGAGGCTCACAAGGCTGCTTCAAACCGGTCTGACATTAAGATGCTCAAGGGAAAGAGGCTGACGGAGGAATTGCTACAAAAGACTGAGGAGATTCTTCGGGAACGCACAGATGGTGACCTTTCAGAAGGATTGATGGTCAACGGCTTGCCTCGCGGTGTGAAGAGGAAGATTGCCAATGGCGTCCCCGAGTCGGCCAGCAAGTGGCGCCAAACGGACCACAATGGAACCAACGGGAACCATGCAGACGACGATGAAGAGAATGACTGGTCCGAGGACGAAGACGGACTTGACAATATCCCGATGGAGGTATGCATTCCTTCCCCTCTTCTTTAACAGACAGCCCAAGCTAACAACCTCCACAGCCCAGTCTGGTCCTTCGAGTAAACTACGAAAAACTAGATGTGGCCCTACGAAACGCCCGCTTCGTCGACATGGCCCGGGACGACGCTGCCCCCGCTACAGCAGAAGTCTACGAAACCCTCCTCCGCCGTATCGAATATGTCACCAAACGCTGCCGCGACACAACCGAGATTCCCCGCGAAGGCGAGGAAGGTGAACAATTCTCCATCCCAATCGAGACATACAAAATCGTCAGCGACGTCGATCCCCACCTAGATCTATCAGGCTGCATGGGACCTTTAAACCCGGCCTCAGCATCCGTAAACCGGCGCGGCAAGCGACCTCTCGAAAACGGAGTCAACGGTGACAACCACTACGATGACAACGAGGAAGAGGACAACGCAGACGACGACGACGACGTCAGCCGCGCCTACGAAATCAACCAACACCTCCAACTCCTCGAACAAGCCCCACACAACCTCGCCTCGCACGTCCGCCTCTCAGACGGGATCAAATGGCGCGTCGGGTTCCGCGGTCTAGCCCGTAAACTACGACACCTGGAACTAGAACGGCTCGTGGAAATGCGCTACGGCGACGTCGCCCTCCGTGTCCTCCGCGTCCTCCACGCAAAAGGCAAACTCGACGAAAAACGTCTCCAGGAAATCTCCCTCCTCCCCTTCAAAGACCTCCGCCAGACCCTCGCAAGCATGCAAGCAGGCGGGTTCGTCGATCTACAAGAAGTCCCCAAAGACGCGCAGCGCCAACCCTCGAAAACGATCTTCTTGTGGTACTTTGATCCGGATCGTGTGTGCAGCAGTGTCCTCGAGGATACATACAAGGCCATGTCTCGAACCCTGCAACGGATCAAATTCGAGCGTAATTTGCGCAGGGATTTCCTTGATAAGACTGAACGCAGTGATGTCAAGGGTAATGAGGAGCGGTGGTTGAGTGAGGGGGAGTTGGAGCAGTTACAGCGGTGGAGGAATATGGAGGCTATTTTGTTGGGGGTTGTTTCTCGTTTGGATGATATGGTTGCTGTGTTCCGGGACTTTTAAGAGAAGGTGAAAAGAATTTTCTTTTCTTTTGCATTCATGAGCGATGAGATTTATTAGGTGTGTCCCCAAGGGTTGGGATACTTGAGTATTCTAGCACCATCTTTATAATCGAGGGTGTTATCTTGTGCCATACTATTCTAGTCTTTGCTACTGTAGGCTTTATGTGCTATAATGTATTATTGATGTGGATTCGCACTTTGACAAGGAAAACTTTGGCCGATCCTCTCTGTACTCTTGCACTTTTCTATTGCGTAGCTACTCGTATTCCTAGTCTAAGGTTCACCTCTCCCTATCCAGTTCGGCCTGCCCACTACTGGCAGTTAATTATCGTATTCATAGAGGCAAGTGATCTTCATACAGTAATTCAACTCGCTATAGTTCGGTTCATCAAGCCGGCATCTAATTAAATTTATCTCTATCGGCTATATAGGTATCGCTTTATTCAACTAGCCGTACCTTTGAGCCTCAAGGGTCGGCTGACAAACACGTATATATGATCATCGCTGCATCGAATTCACAAGTAAACATCAACAGTTGATCATCAATATCATGAAATATACCGATCTCTCAACAGAACTCATCCTCATAATCGGAGAATCCCTCGATTTCGAAGAGGATCTCCACGCCTTCCTCCCTAGTCAACAAAAAGTGTTACAATGCGATCAATCCACTCTTATATCGACGCGTAGTGGATATCATCCGCGAAGGCTTCCCCTCCTCGGCACTAGAATGGGCCACGGAAAATGGCAAAACGGATTGCGTTCGGAAACCCCTTGAAGCTGGTGTACCCCCAGCCACGGTCTGCGGCCCTGGCATCCGATTGTTCTTGCTGCTATGAATGGATATTGTGATACTCTGCGGGTGTTTTTGGACGTGGGTGTTGATGCTAGTCCTCCTACAGGGTTTCACTTTGAGGTTCATGAGAGATTGACGGAAGTGGAGGAGAAGGACGAGTTTGAGAAAGAAGACGACGAAGACGAAAGACAAACAGGAGGAGAGTGAAAAGAAGTATCCACGAGTCACAACCAAACCCGGCAACCACCTCATATTCGCCATCAAGAACGGACACACCGACATAGCGCACCTATGAATCGGCCATGGAGTCGAGTGAGAATTCAAGTCCAACTACTCCGGCCCACAACAACCCTTCGCCCTCGCCACGAAACACAAAAACAAGTCACTAATCAACATCTTCCTCCGCAAGGGACGCAATCCCCATCTCAGAGGCGGTGGCTCTCTCAAGAGCGCGTTTTCATACGCTGCTTCTCACGGCCCCGACTTCTTACAAATGTTCATCAATGCTGGCGTTGATCCCAAACTCCTTCGTACAAAGTTTACGAAGACGGCTCTTACTGCTGCGATATGCGCTGAAAATGTCTCAGCCGTTCGATATCTGCTCCACAACGGGGTCGATCTCAATGTTGAGAACGGGGTGTTAATATATGCGCTTTTTCGCATGGCGGCGCGGGATGGAAATAGCGAAATAAGAAACATCTTTCTATCAATGATTGACGTTGACAAAGACATCAATTCAGATAATGGATCCGACATGTTCCGTGAATTGATCATATGCACTGCAGCCGGTGGTTTCGACACTTTCTTACAGAAATGGCTCGAGGAACGTCGAATATTACACCGATCAAACAATCCCAAGGCTGACAACTTGATCGAGTCCGTTCGCACAGCGACTTATGCTGCAAGTGGGCGACGACAACCCCGTTATTTGAGAATCATCTTGGATGACGAGGACTGCTTTATTGACGACGACTTACATTTACTGTATACTGCCAAGACGGGTGATAAAGTCGAGACATTCAGCATGTTACTAGAGCGATCCGCTCTCGTGGACCCTCCGATTGAATTCGCATCGAGATTGATGTTGGATATTCTTACCGATGGAAAATTAGACTTCGCAAGAGCATTGATGCGATATTCGGATCGACTCGATCTCGTCGGCGGAATGGGCAGTGAGTTTGTCTTTTCAATGGCTGCAATGGGTGGTGTGGACGCGATGCAATTCGCGATGCAATTCGCGATCGAACAGGGTGCTATATTAGATCCTGATAACGAAGGACAACAGAAGACGATGGCTACGGCGGCTCAAATGGCAAGACCGAGTGTACTCAAGATGTTTCTCGATGCAGGATTCGATGCGCATGTCGTCAATAACTCCTCAGGAAAAGACGACCGTGGTCCTACGAATGCCTTGGTCGATGTTATACGCGCGAAGGACGGAGATGACGCAGCGAAAACGGCGGATCTCTTTCTAAATGCAGGACTCGACATTGAAGAACCAGATCAAGAAACCGACGAAACGCCACTCTTGTTCATGGCTGGGAGAACAAGTCGCCGGATATCTTGTCGTCGCCGAGAGCGTGCTGCCGGTTACCTCTTGGAGAAGGGCGCCAACATGTTCTATCAAAGTAGCCAGGCTCAGAATCCACTAGTCGAGGCTGCTGTGAACGGCAATACAGGTATTGTCAGGATTATGCTGGAGTATTTGGATGTGACTTGCGTCCCCTTGGAGATCAGTCGACCTTTCGTTCTATCGGCCATGGGGATGACGACCTATCGCGACGTTCTCAAAGTTCTGTCTCGTTGGTATTGGCCGAAGGTGTATCCCTGCCCACCTTGAAGTTAAGCAGGCCATTCAATATCAGGATGTGAAACCAAGCCCTAGTAGAGAATCAGCAAATATTTCTTGACTGTATAGAGCAAACCTCGGATATTGATCGCCAGGTTCTGAAAATTGGTTACTAGAAGTGCAAGTACTTGTTTGCTAGGCCGTGAGATAGAGCTAATCTTTCTCTAAACGAGTCTCCCCAACAACCAACATATTTAAAATCTCCACGTCCATGAATCGAACCGCTCACCTTGCCGTTCCCTATATACTTCGCCCTGTTACTGCGTTGCCATCCCCAGACACCGATGAACATCGCCATCCCACCCCAGTGCCGCACTTGATATACACCATTCCTAGTTTCATCCTCTAGCACCGTAAAAAGGCCATTAAAGAATGATGATTTATAGAGTATAGCAGTATTAGATAGAGCTCTATTAGAAAATAATATTACGAAAAAGAAACGCGGAAAAAATGAACTCCCCCCACCTAGTGGTGTGCTCGGCCGTCCGTGGAGCATGAAGCGTCAACACTGGCCCTGTATTTTTCTTCTTCTTTTGTTTGCCCACTCCTCCAGGGCACACCAATGGTTTACCAATCTATGGTGGATACTAACTAGGCCATCAGAGGGGGGGGGGTTTTGATTGTTTGACCTAAAACACGGTCATAACCTCTGCCATAATTGACTTGCGTGTTTTGTACAAGCCCACCCTTACAAAAAAATCAGTCAAGCATGCAATAAATTCACTCATATTCTGATCTTGCAAAACGCATATACATAGAACCGGATATACAGTATTCACATAATGACACATTGACACATGCCACAACAGAGAAAATACCAACCCCTGAGAAACGTATATACGTATATCACATATGACGTCTATCTGAATATCCATTATTTCAAGACGAGACTCGACAGGATGCAGAGCAGATGAACAGTAAAAGGCCAACAAGATATTTCAAAAAATAGCCAGCCTCCCAAAAGATCAAAAACCAAACCCAATCAACAACACCGACGCTATCACAAACCGCCGAAATAAAACCCCCTCCCAAAAAAAAGAAAGAGATAGAGATCATTACACATCTGCACATCTGCAAGAAGTTAAAAAAGAGCTGCCGCTGCCGTAAAATATATCCTGGTTGAATCTGACCCATTATTCACTCTTTCTTCCTTCTTCTGTCGAGCAGAGGAGATAAGAGATGGACGCAGGTATAGGCCAACAAAGGGAAAAAATGAACAAGAAATGAATAAGATGAAGACAAATTTCCCCCCAATCCCGGCTTAATCATGGTATTTTGGTGTACAATTTGGGCATGGTCATGATGGACTCTTGGTTGAGGAGTCTGAACCGGTACCGTTGGTGGTGGTGCTGGTGGTGGTAGCATTGGTAGTCGTAGTTGTTGGAGAGGTCTTCTCAGCCACTGCAGCAGCAGGTGAGGCACTGGTGGGTGTGTCGTTGAGATTGACACCGGCAAGCTTGGCCTCAGCCTCGGCTAATTTGGATGCCGTGTCGTCGAGTGTCTTCTTCAAGGCCTTGATATAGTCAATGGCCATCTCCACGGCACTGGCCTTGCTGATGGCCTGGTTAGCTGGTTTCTCCTTCTCCTTGTCGCCTGGCTTGGTTCCAGAGGCAGCGGCCTCCTTGGCTTGTCGCATCTGAATAAACTCTGGGGGAATCAAGGACTCGATTTCCTTTAAAGCATTGTTGATTCGGTTTCGGCGGCCCTGTTCGGCAAGCTTGTGGTTGGTTCGCTTGGAACTCAAATTCTCGGCAAGGTTTTCGGGATATGAGACTCCAGAAGGCAGAGTGCCATCCAAAATGTGCTGATAATTGGACTTGGAGGCCAAGTAGAGCGCATCTTGAGACAAACCTATCAAAGTAAATATTCGTTAGTACATCGGATGAAAGGCCGCAAAAGTAGTCAAAACTTACTGTCACCGCCTCGCATCAGAGGCTGAATGCTTGGGCTAATCTTTGGACGCAACAATGGACTGGCGTGTGTGGAGCTCACACTGGGTCGCTTCCGACTGGATATAGACTGTCGGGATGGATCAGACCTCTTGGGTACCGGCCCACTAGGCGAGGGCATAGCGATAGTGCGCGGACTGGGCGCAATGGGGGTACGCTCCGCTGCCGGAGTCGACCGAGGCTCCATCAATGGGGTTCCATTGGCCGAAATGATCGGACTGGCTGTGTTGCGCATACTGGTATCAATGCGATTCATCTTAGGGCGTGGCTGTAGAGCCGGCTGGGCGGCCTCTGGGAGAGAAATGTCCTCCATCAACTCGTCCGGAACTTCCAACTGGGCCTGACCCATTATTTGATCCGAAGGCTCCTGTGCATGTTGGGATCGCTGAATGCGCATAAGCGTGGCCGGAGTAGCGGCCGTGCCCGGTAATTGCTGAGAGGTCTGGTGAGGAAGGATGGCAGGAGATTTGCGAGGTGGAGGAACGGCAGGAGGTGGCATCAATGAGTCGGGCAAAGGTTCAGGGGAGACTGAATCCTGGCCTGATCCCTCATTGCTACTTTCTTGGAGTTGGCGCACATCATGGTTTGGCGGTTTGTTCAGCTCCTGGGTCATATTATAGAGATCCTCCGAGCTGGGAGCATGTTGTTTGCCCCGGGCGCGCTGCGATTGCGTTGTCTGTGCCCGAATGTGAGGGGATTGACGGGTTTTACTCGTGCGCCCGGCCAGCCGAGAGGAAGCAACTGAAGTGCGTCGGCGAGTCTTGCGGATGATGCTGGGAGAAGGCGGAGCAGAAGTACCGGGAAGAGGGTTGACCTCCGCATTGGTGGGGACGAAGCCCACATCCGACACCTGGCGCGCATGAAATTGATAGTTGTTGCTGGAGTGATTTTGCGCTTCCAACGCGGGCGATGTCAAAGGGGTGAAGTATTCGCCGGGGATGGTATATTCAGGAAGTCGGAATTGGCTTTCCAGAGGAGTCATGGCGGGAGACACCAGAGGAGTATATAAGGCCTGATCGCGGGAGAAGAACATGTGTCAGTAAGAAAGTTACGTGTGTAAGTTAATTTTTTTGAGCGACATACCTGTTCCTCATTGATGCGCGAGTAGCGATCGTACATGTCCGAGTGATCATCCACGCGCTGGGGGTACCGGGCGGCATTGCCGTGCAACTCCATGCTGTTCGGGGTGGGAGGAATCATATGCTGGCCCTGCTGCATGTATTGCTGCGCCGAAGGACCCTGTTGTTGCGACATGGAGTGCTGCTGCTGATGGTGATGGTGGGCGGTATCCTGGGCGCAAAAGCCCGGAGTCATCGAAGGTGTCGAGTACGGGATAGGACCCGGCTGTGACTGCATGGAAGACTGCATACCACCGTGGCCATTGAAATCCATTGCGAGACCTTCCATTGGAGATGCGAACTGAGGATGCGACCGGGGATCTGAAGCCATGGACTGGTCGGGGGCTGTCGTGGTGGGAGGCACCATGGAATGTTGCTGGTCTTGCATCTGTTGCTGTGCTGATCCGTGCCCGTCCAAGTCGGCAAATTGCATATTGAACTCGAGGAAGTTGGAGAATTCATCTTCGCCGGGGGCCGTGATAAGCTGATTCTCATGGATTTGCTCCGGCCAGGTCATGGCCGGTTGGTGCTCCATGGTGGGAGGAAAAACCGAGAGACAGTTGTGTCTGTCTTGATTTCCAATTCACCCAAGTAGGGTGGGAGAAAAGAACAAGAATGGACCAGAGGGGGAGATTGGTAGATTGGTAGATTGGCCAAAATGGACTGGACTGGGGGGTTGTTGGATAGGATAGGACAGGCTGGATTGGCCGGATTGGCTGGGATTCTGGTGGTGAGTGGAGCGGGGTTTTTTTTCGAGTTTAAGAGGGTTGCAGGAACACTAGGCGGCTCCCTTATTTGTTGATGATTGCTTATCCTCGAATCCTTCACTCTTCTTCTCTCACTGCCTCTTGATATACCGAAAGAAGGAAAAAAACGAAGGACAAGGGTTGGCGGGAAGGAGAGGAAGAGAAGTAAGAGTGGAGATGGAGGGGGGGACGAGAAGAGGCCGTGGAGGAGGAAAGATGAAAGGTGCAAAGTGTGGGACGGTGGACTTTGGTGGACTGTGGTGGAGTGCAGCTGGATGGTGAGGCCGGGCGGAGACGGTTACGCTGTTCATTCGGCGTTTACTACGGAGAACGACTAGAGAAGAAGAATAATGTACTGTACAGTACTTTTTAGACGGGAAGACTAGATGGTCCTTATGCTAGCTATAAAGTATATATACTTGAGGGGTACTTGTGAATACTTTAGGATCCTTTAGAAGTACTGAACCACTGAACCACACTCTGGAAGAATTCTTAGGGCCATTTCGGCTCCTTGTAGCGAGCCCTCTAGTCCCGCCTAGTTCCTGGGTTAGTGTATTTCGTTTCCTTCGGAGGACTCGTTTCCTAGACTCCGCGTAGAAAGAGACTAACCAGCCTAGACCAGTTCTAGGCGACTGTCCAAGTCCACTCCCATTCGCTCAGTGACATTTCAGCCTGTTGGATTTCCCCGAGAATGGAAAGAAAAAAAAAAAAAAAAGGAAGAAGGTTGGTAAAGTCCCCCTCAGGTACTGGGCCCGTACCCGAGGCCATTTCAGCCGGGATGTCCTCCCCTAGCCTACAGTAGTCCAGTCCAACTACTGTACTCGTACTACTGTCCAGACTTATTTTCTGGCGCTAGAAGCGGTCGATTAGCCGATGCAGGGCTGGTCATGTTTGAGTTGGTGGCGCACTCAAAGAACGCCCCGTTCTCATATGATCATCATCCTGGAGACTCAACTACGGAGTACACTTACCTAGAAGAAGGACTAATAATAAGATTACTCGCATTGACGCCCGTAGAATGTTCTACCAAATCAACCAACCTCTCGCCTCTTCCTCCGGTTGGACCCTGAATTTTCCCCCCAACAGGAATAAGATTAGCATGACAAGATTCATCCACAGTGGAGTTGAGCCAAAGAACTCAACACCAAGATGACCAAGTAAGAAGAGAGAAAAATCCCGAGATCGGCTTGGCAGTTGGTCCGGGTCACATTACCTCATACTGGACCCCAGTCCCCTATAACACTGGATTATATAATTCATTTTTATTTTATGTCTAAACTACACCCAGTCTATATCCATGCCTCAGGCACCAATCAGCTGACCTCAAGCTTCCACCTCCACAGTAACACTACGTAAACTTCCATATCAGAACTACGACAGCACATTCACACTCCTCCACACCTGGGCCATACCCACCCCGGCTCTAATCATGTCCATCCTCCTCCCCCTCCTCTGGCTCTGCCACCTCGCAAACGCAGCCCTAACAATCTCCATCCCCCCCCTCCACCCACCTCCCAAACCCCCATATCCTCCCCGCAACCACCCACGCAACCCTCACCACCCTCCCCGCCGCCGGCGCCGGTGACCGCGACCCCAGCCACATCCTCACCACCTCGCTCACGCGTGGCTCGACACTAGTCTTCAATGACATTCCCGCCGGTCATCCCGAATCCTATCTGCTGGACATTCGCGGTGGTGAATACGTGTTCGCCCCGTATCGGGTTGATGTCGCGGCTGATGGATCGGTGATGGGTGTTTGGGAGACGTTCCGGGGTAATCCGTGGGAGAATCGGGGGGCGGAGAAATATGTTGTTGATGTCGCTGGTGCTGGGGCTGGGAAGAAGGCGGCTGATGTTGTGGTTGAGGCGAAGGTTTTGGGGAAGAAGGGGTTCTATGAGGAGAGGGCTAAGTGTGAGTTTATGCAGACCCGGCGAGACTGTTTTGGTTGAGATCAATTGGATCATTGCTAATTCTGGGATTTGATATGCAGTCTCGCCGTTGAGCCTGGTCAAGAATCCCATGATTCTGATGGCTATCGTGGCCCTTGTTCTTACTCTGGGCATGCCCAAGCTGATGGAGAATAGTACGTGTTTCTATCCTCAATTCTTGACCTACTCTCTTTTCTCTACATCTAGAAAGAGTCACACTATCTCCGTTCCTTTAACTAACCACCCGGCTCTTCTGTTTACAGTGGACCCCGAAATGCGCGCCGAATTCGAACAACAATCCCGCGCCTCCCCCATAACCGGTGCTACCACCAATGCCATGACTGGCGGTGGCTTCGATCTCGCTGGGTGGATGGCCGGTACCGCACCTAACCCAATGACTAGTGCCGAGGGTGCGACGGGTCGAGAGACTACTACTGGCTCTGCGCGGAAGCGTGGTTAAACAAACGAATTGTGGTGTTGGTGATGAATATGTCAGATTATTGTAGAGATCAAAATCTAATTTATAGCAGATTTTGGGAATTTGAATACTTCATAATCATAGAACTTCAAATGGAGTTGTCAAATGGAGTATTTCTGTAATCTATAGACAAATTTATAGAAGACGACGGATTATGCATATTGTGTATTGATAAGAATACCCTCCTAACCTTGCCTACCTAGCCTTGCTAAAGAGCAACAATCAAAGCGAAGACATTCTTTCTTCTCGAGCATTCAAAGCGAAAAGCCATGTACATCATAACAACGTAAAGGGGGGTTGTAAGCATCCGAAAGAAGAAAGGGAAAAATAAAAAAACAAGACCATCAACCCCAGACTATGTAAACTCCCAGATGTCGAATGACAATCACCCTAGAAATCACCACCCCCAAAATCCCCACCATCACCACCATAATCTCCGCCCCCATTATCATTGTAATCATTATGATCCCCGAGATCCTCCACCGCATCCGCAATCAACAACCCACCCAACAATCCACCACCAACACCCAAAGCAGCCGCCCCCGCAGTTCCCATACCCCCAGACTTTCGCGGCGGCTGTTGCGCGTAATATCCACCTTGCTGGGGGGGATACCCATAGCCACCGCCGCCATACCCGGCTTGCGGGGGATATCCACCACCATACCCCTGCTGGGGTGGATATCCGCCGCCGTAGTATCCTCCCTGTGGAGGACCCTGTTGTTGCGGGTATGATGCATATTGCTGTTGCTGTTGGTACGGGCGAGAAGAGCTAGAACCGGAGCTGGAGCTCTTGCCCATGAGTTTACTCAAAAACCCGCCTTTGCTGCGCTTTTGTTCCGGCATGGGACTTTGCGATTGCGGGAGGGGGCTTTGCGAGGATGATGATGCACCCGCGTAGCTGGGCGGTGCAGCGCCTTGACTCGAAGGATCGCCGTAGTAGTCATTTGCAGCGCCGCGATCAGCGCCGCCTTTGCCGCCGGCGCGGGCTCGCGAGTCCTCCTCGGCCTGGAGTTTGGCGGCTAGTCGGGCGTCGTCGTCGATAATGTTGGAGGTGCTTGCGGGATTGTAGGGGTTGTTCGAGGCCATGGGTTGCTGCTTTTTGTCGCTGGGGAATTCATTGGGTGGCGGGCCCGCGGGGGGTCCGGATGGTGGTGGTGCTTCGGGGCGTTCCCATTGCGATTTACCCGTGGCGATGTTAATGTAGAACCTACGGGGAGAAGGGGGTGTTAGAGTTTATTTTGGGAGAAGGATGTTGGGGCGCAAGGAAGGAAAAAGCACTGAGAGTGAGACTTACCATGCCTGGTAGCGCTCGTCGTACTGGGCTTTCCACCCCTCGGGCACTGTTGGCGGGGGTGGGCCGGGAGGCGGGGCGAATGAGGAGGACATGAGATGAGTTGTGGGAGTGAGGATAGAAATGAGGTTGTAGAGAAAAGAGGAGAGAGTGGTAAGGAGAAGAGTGCAAGTCTGTCAGACGAGGATGGATGGGATTTAAAAGGGGAGGGGTTCGGTTAGAAGAGAAGCCAAGAGGTGAACCAGGTGTTATATAGACCCTGGCGGTCATCAAGCGGGGCCCGGAACAATTGCGTCGCGGGGACTGGGAAAGGCCACCAGGCTACGCAATTAGGCGCTGCGCCACCGTGGTGGCAGTGCGAGATATCGCCATTGGCAGGCACCGTCATATATTTCCTGTCTCTTTAGGAATTTGGAATTGGTATTTATTTTCGGGGGTCTTCAATTAACACCTACGTAGTGATATCATGCTGATACAAGATTCTAGAATCTACATATTCTAGAACCCTTCCTAATTTGTCAGGCTCGTACTCGAATTGCGGGAACTGTGCATAACTAAAGTACCTTAACCCCACTCCAAGAGGACCCTCTCTTAGACTCTTACATACTGCATAAAATACAAAGACTAGTCTAGACTGACGAGTAATTTGCCTTGAGTGAGAGTTCTCTGATAACCTAGTCAAGATATAGCATTGGTATGTAGGCTCTATCTTAGAAATCAAGCATAGACCGGGTACCTACCTAAAGCTACGATGTTATATATCTACAGAGAGCGAACGTCAAGAAAGTGAAGATAATATGACAGAGGTAATATTACATAGTGGAACCAGTCCGTACGCTAGAACGACTCAAAAAATAACCACACAGCAATCGACAGAGATATGCACCATCCACAATCCATCCTCAGAGGTCAGAACCAGCTAGGTTGGCATCAACAAGTCTGCTATCAGGCCACCAATAGTCCTCGCCATCCGATTCTTCGTCCAATACCTTCAGCATAGGAGAGAGAGAAAGTGCCCGATTTAGTGACCCTTCAAGTAGCTCAACACTGGCTTCCATAGTCAAGTCGTCGGTCTCAGCAGCCACAGCCACAGGCGCAGTCATAGGGGTGGTCACAGGCACAGGCACAGGCACCGGAGTAGCCACAGAGGTTGCAGTGACCAGCTCCGAATCCGAATCCATGGTCAGATCAATGATCGATTCTTCAATCCTCGTGATGACATGAGAGTTCTTGCGATGCTTCCTAAGCTTGTCCTTCTTCTTTTTCCTTTTCTTGCGGGCTTGGCTATCCTTGTCAATGCCGCCGAATTCAACCAAGCTATCACGCTTGCGCTTAAGAGCATTATCGCCGCTATTTAACAGGGCCCCTGGTCCACCGCGACGTGCATGACGGGCACGGGCCAGATTGAACTGGCTTTGGACTTCTCTGCGTACCTTAGGGTCGAGTCCGCGCCGCTCATCAAGGGGTGGTCCATCGAATTGGCGTAGCTGATACTCGCTCAACAGCGGAGTGCGCTTGAGCTTTTCATTGGTGACGGTCTCAGGGAGATCGCGAGCCCAAGGTGCATAGGGGCCGTTGTACTTGGGCCCTTGAACTGGACCAAAGACCGGATGTAGGATAAGCTGCCCCGAGGAAAGATACTCCTTGGCAAGAAGAATCCCAGGTGCATCCGAAGACGGTGGCTCTGGTGCATGCTTGAAATCGAAATCCACTGCTTCCTCTTCCGAATGCTCACAAGACAGCACATGAACTGCGCCGCCGTTCGTTCCGAGAAGGAGCTGTGACTTATCTGGGGAGAATGCTCCGCTTGTGATGCCATCTCCCAGGTTTGCAACATTGGCCACTAATGCATCCTCCGTTGCACGACGAATATCCCATTGTTTGAGGACTCCGTCGGATCCGCCAGTGTAGAATTGATCCATGGTCGTGCCCCATAGCGCCATCTTGACTCCGAAATCGGTGACCTCTCGGGAGTGTCCTGCGGGAAGCGGGGTCACCGAGTTACCGTGAGACAGCTTGTGGATAGGTTTGGAGTCGAACCGGGAATCCCACACATAGGTGCTCCCATCTGTGCAGCTTGCTGTGAGAAAGGTAGAATCCATGGGACAGAAAGTCACTTCGTTCATATCCATCGCTGAGCAGGCGTATTTCCCGGTCACCACAGCCCTGCCATCGGACTCGATGTCGAAAAGTTGAACGACGGATTTGGACCGCAAAGGCAGGTTCATGGACTGACTGTAGGTACTTCCTATTGCGAACCTTGGCAAAGTGGGATGCCACTTCAGATCGAAGATGTTTTGCGAGTCCGGTCTGACTCTGCATGGCTCAATTGAAGCTTCCGTCACCCTCCACAGAGCGAGGTGACCACAGAGTGGGACCTTAAACTCACTCGTGGCAGCTTCAGTCATACCTCCGACAAGGTAGTGCTTGGTTGCCTCATTTTGTCCCCACCCCAGGACCGTCGGTTCAAGGACGACATTAGCCTTCTGGCGAGGATCACGATGAATTTGAAGAGGCTCAGGAGTCAGAGATTGATCAAGCAGGTTCCACAAGGTGAATGAACTCTCTGTTCCCGTGGCCACGAGATGAGGCATGAATTCTGAAACATCCATCACTCGTACACTGGAGTCGTGTCGCAGTGTAGCAAGGCAGGTGGGGGTAACAGGAGAAGTGATAGGATCAGTGTTCCAAACCTTCACTGTGTGATCGTAGCTCCCAGTATAGAGCTGCCGATGGACCCACTTGACAGTTGAGACAGTCGGGAATTGAAGATCATCCGCCGTGGTTGCATTGATTGTCTGGGGGATATTATGATCTGGGAGTTCATGCAAGACATTCCGTGAGATATCACCGAATAGCAGGGTATTTCGGCGATTGTACACATCAGACTTGGCAGAGGCCCCGGTCACGAATTTTCCACCATTAGGCGACCACGCGAGGGCACTCACGTCACCAGAGGCACCCTTCCAAGTCTTCCAGGGCTTCAGATTCGAGCTCACTAATGACCGAACAAGGTCGTGAGTAGGCTTGGCGCCTTGAAGTTCTCGAGCCCACAGAAGCTTCGTAAGCTTGGGTTTCGCAAGCTTGGGGTCTTTCTCAGGGTCAGGCGGCTCCTGTATTTCTTTTGGAAAGTCCTGTAATGTCGGGCGGCCTTGTGAGGACCGACAAGCTTGTGAGGGTTGACGCAACTGCAGCAAAGGACGTGGAGATGCCGTAGGTGGGGGAGACCTGGATACAGCAGGAGAATTCTCTCTTTCAGACTGATTCGGAGAGTCATGGATTTTGGAAGAGAGTGTCTTCAAATTGTATGTCACGGGTTCTGCTCGAGCCCGTCTAGATCGCCGTGTACCTGGGGATGTGGCCTGAGGCGGTGACTGCGGAGTAGGTGATCGGGAAGACTGCGAAGATGGAGAGGATGGTCGGTACTCCGAAGAAGACATGGATGCTTGGGAGTCCGGGATATGTAATGAGGTTGTTGTTTTGGTGGCTTTGATATGAGCTTGACTGGTGACTTGCGTCGCAGGTTTTGTCTTCTCGTGAGTTCTGCTTGCATTCAGGAGTGCGACGCTCCTTCGCAGATCCTCTTTTCGAGCAGATGCCGGGAGAGCGGCTTTGGAAGCCTTCTCTCGAGAAACTCTAGGCGCTTGAGGCGCAACTTGAAGAGGCTTTATGACAGTCACCGTAGCAGGAGTTTTCTGAGCAGGTTTGGGGGTATCCACTGGAACTGAGGTTTTTGGAGCAGGTGAAGTAGAATCCACAGGCGTAGGAGTTTTCTGAGGGGGTGAAGTGGTTGTCGCAGGAGTAGGAATTCCCTGAGGTGATGCAGCAGATTTCACAGGAGCAGGTGTTTCCTGAGGAGGAACAGTCGCATGCACAGACGTAGATATTCCCTGAGCGGACACATTCATATTCACAACCGTAGACGCAGTCGTATCCACCGGAGGAACAGACCTCACCGTCTTAGAAGGCGCAGACGCAGACAAAGAAGTAACCCCATTAGACAAACAAATATTCGTCGGTCTCGGTTTCGTGAAAGTAGGCGTAACCAGAGCGACCTCGCCGACGACATCATCATCGTGGGGAACCCAGCCCAAATCATCCCTCTGCTCAAACATCGTATGGCCATGCGTAACAAAATTACCCGTTTCCTGCCCCCCATTGGATGTGGATGTGGATGATTGGGCCAGACCAAAGGTATATTGTTGGTATAGCTGCTCTGCCAGCGCTTCGAGGTGAACTACCTGTTTGGAGTCGCCTGTGAATGCGGGGACGGTACTTCGGGGTATACCCCGGGTGAAATAGATTGAGTGGTGCGGCATTATTGGGTATTTTTGTTTGTTCACTCGAGAGATAAGTGAGGACAAGAACTGGAATTGTCGGGCCGGAGTTAGGCTTAGTCGTCGGGGGAGCTAGAAAGATAGCATGCTCTCTGACTTAAACCGGGGCGAAATTAACGAGGTAATGCGTTCAGATTGGTGTGAGGGGGTGATGTGAGAAAGACATTCCGTCCACGTTTGTCGTTTGGATAGGGTATCAATTAGTTCGGACTGATTAAGGTGGTGGCGCTCTTCCGAGGGCCTGCCAGAGGTTACTGTTCGCACGTGGACGGGAATTGTAATGGGATTACGGAGTCACTCCCTCGATGAATAGGAACGAGACTCAGTATTCCCTCGGTTATACGGCAGACGTTGTATTCGGCAATGTCGCGACTTCAGCTATGTGTGGGAGGAGGAGTGCGGGAGGAAGCCGTTGAGACCGGAATAAAGCGACGCATATCTGTTTTTGCGACATTAGTAAAGACACCAGTACACTGCGACATAAGAATACCCGCACATAAATTGGAAGTCTTTTCCGGACAACTTCTTTGTAGCCAGGCTAGGCCCTGAGAGAGAGTGCTTAAGATCAAAGAACGAGTCGATCGCGAAAACGCGCTACGCGGAGACGCCAACTGCGGGCGGTGAGGGCTGATTTAATTGGAACAGTGGAGTCTCCCCGCTCAGTCAGGTACAGACTCTATAAATATGACTATGAACCAGTCGAGGTACATGCATTAAAGCAAAGAAGTAATGTATGTGCAACTGGATTAAATCACAATCTAAATATCACTTCACAATCTCATTATTGTTCTTAACAGAAGAAAAAGGAAAGGCATTTGTATATATACAGAACTGTCGGGAGAACCCAACAGCTAATCTTGGCGGAGTAGAGGGAAGTTGAGAGAAGCGCCTATTTCTCACCTAGGCGCATATTTTGTAAGAAGGAACCAAGTGCCGTTCAAAACGCAGGTCCCCTTCTTACGGTATAGTCGGGCCGCAATACGCAAGTGCGACTGTGACTGCCATTTTTACGAGGTCCGTCCGAGGAAAGACCCATCATAGACCACCCACAGTAGCTTTCACCCACAGGAAACACCGTGGGGTTTTTCCGTAAAGGTGGTCAACACCATTCAAGTGGTGGCCGAGTCTGGCATGGGCATTTACTTGCGGATGGAGCGACCCTTGCGCATAGAGACCATGGTATCATACAGCACGTCTTTGAAGGCAAAGAGGAAGGCGGCTGTGATGGCACTCTGGGTGACCTTGGGAGCAATACCTGATGATAAAAAAGAATATTAGCAACTAGCCAGCTGTTTACCCATTGAGAAAAAGAAAAGGCTCACCCTTGTACAGCCCAGTGTATCCCTCCTCACGAATAATCTTCTTGAGGCTTCCGTTCAAGCTCTCCTTAGGACCATCCTTGCTGGCCACGTGCATGCGGCTCTTGACGGTAATATAAGGGTAAGTGATGCTGGTAGCCAGGATCTTGCCCAGCGCACCCAGATAGAAAGCATCCTTGGGGGTCATGCGCCGACGGCGCTCGACAATATTCTTCAGCTGCTCGAAAATGGTATACTGAAGGATGGGGTTGATAACTAAGATCAAGGCCGGGAGGACACCGGCGAAGAGAGCCTTGGGGCCCTCCTCCTTCAGCAGAGCCATCAATGTGCTGAAGGTCGAGGCCTTGGCCTTCTTAGGTGCGCCGGGCAGGCTCTCGTCAGATTCAGACTTGCGAGCCGTCATGCGGGTGTTGATCACCCAGATAGGGTTGGTCAACATGACGGTGGCACTGCCGGCGATGGCACCGGCAATCATGGACTCCACGGTCGTGAGCTTCTTCGAGGCACGGCCAGACTGGATCGCGCCCCTCTCGAAGGCGGCACGGGTCCACTCATACCAGTAGTAGTATACAAAGTTGGTGACACTGATTCCGAACAGGGCGGACTCAAGGCCCGAGTAAAGGCCGGAGATACCCTCGCGTTGAATGATGCGACGCACAGCGTCAAGGGTTGTGGAGTCCGCGCGCTTGGATTCGACCTGGGCTCGTGTGGATAGTGTGATCAGAGGGTATCTGCCGAGGGTGTGGATCTTAGTACAAAAAACAGGTCATGACCCATGGGGTAGAAAGCGCGGGGTAGAGATCAATGCATACGTCAATACCATGGACAGAATGCCACCTCCGGCACCTGCCAGCGCGTGGGCGATGTTATCGCTCTGCTGCACGGCCGCCGAGGGCGCGGGCTTGGATTGTTGCTGAGACATGGCGAAGCGTGGAGGTTGATCTGCGGAAGGGCGGGGAGTAGTTGGGATCGTAGAGTCAAGACCCGAAGGGTGGGCGAGAGAGAGAGAGAGAGACAGACAAGAAGGGAAAGTAAAAGAGGCAAAATAGTTCACAGTCAAGTAAAAAGAGCGGATCGCTTTGAAGAAAAGGGTTTCCAGGAGACAGGCGCGATAATGATTCGGCTTGGGGGAGGGAGAGTCAGAGGAGAGTTCATGACGTTTTGCCGAGTGCTGTGCCTCGGCTCCTGCACAACTCCACTACAAATGGGCATTATTTCCGAGCCGCCTAGGGTCGCAAAGACAACGGAAATGATGGGCACTCGGATGTGCAACTCGACTCCTTTCCACATGGAGCATAGTGAATTCGGTTGGTCCCCCGAGAATTTCGGGGTGTTGGACGCTAGGATGCTGCTGGAAATTAAAATCTTCATCACAGTCCGGGGTTGAGGTTTTTGGCAGGTGCTTTGGCATGTGATCCCCATACCTCTCCTAGTTTCCTGGATACTCTACATGGGATAAAGGGTCATAGTGTAGGATTTAACTATATGTATCGAGTGAAATTGCATGATGCTTACAGACTATAGTAACCGTTGTAAACAAGGGATTACAGGGCTTCACAAGGCACGTTCCTCTGGTCCTATATAGGGATCATCAGTTCATACTCCTTCCAACCTGGGTACTAGTACAACTACGACGATTAATAGACCAGGTAATGAGAGACAACAAGACATTCTCAAGAGGTGAAATCATACATGGAGGCCTTAAACACAAACCACAGAAAAAGTATAAAAACCATAAAGGTTTTCGCCATTAATCCATTCTGAAGAGATGAATCCAACCTACAAGAAAGAACAAGAGAGAATGGAGGGCCAAGAAAAATAGATGCGGCCAGGAATAAGAAAAAACAAAAGAAAAAAGAGAAAAAAAACACCAGCGGTAATCACAAAAGCAAAACGAAGAATCACAGAACGCAGAGCCATCTAAAGCACAGGGAAGGAAATCAAAGGGGGGAAAGAAGAAATGGCACACCCAGGATTTGGCACTCGCAAAGACGAATGGGACAAGCTTTCCCCCCCTCTCTTCCAGCATTTCTCGGGGTCTGTCTGGATTTGATGGCTAGCTTTCGGCCAATTAGTCGAAGCGGGTGGGTAAAAAGACAAGCCTGGCTGCCGATGAGATTATCACGCCGCTTGGAAAACCCTCATCCATGATTGTAACATTGCGCCAAATGGAAGTACCGCCTTTGCACACTGGGTCCATGGTCGTCTAGCAGCAGCCGCCTGCGGATCCAGACTGGACGCCCTGGCCCTGGCCAACCTGCACGGTGGGCTTGTTGTTGACAGTGGCTGTTCCCATGCGCTCCTTGATCTGTCGTGCCATCGTCAAGAAAGCCTGCTCGACGTTGGATGCGTTCTTGGCAGAGGTCTCGAGGAAGGGAATTCCAAGGCTGTCGGCGAACTCCTATAGAGAACCGGAGATAAGAACCGTCAGCCTGTGAATAAGATAAAATAACACCTCTCTATTCCAATTCCTAAGTCTGCGGCATCGTGCACCCAGAACGAATAGAAACTCAAGGCTCTCGGTCCAGGAACAAAAGCTTACCTTTGCAACAGTGTACTCCACGACCTTCTTGTCCTCCATATCGCTCTTGTTACCGACGAGCAGCTTGTTGACACCCTCGGTGGCGTATCGGTCAATCTCCTGAAGCCACTGCTTGACGTTGTTGAAGGAGTCCATGTCGGTCACATCGTAAACAACGCAGATACCGTGGGCACCACGGTAGTAGGAAGAAGTGATGGTACGGAATCGTTCCTGGCCAGCAGTGTCCCACTGGAAAAAAAGGCAAAGGTCGGGTCAGCTAGCGTTCATGCAGGCGCCACACGCTCAAGTGTTTAGAAGAGGAAGTCGTACGATCTGAAGTTTCACAGTCTTGCCATCGAGCTCGATAGTGCGGATTTTCTGCCCACCCGTCAGCATCAATAGTCCCAGGTTACCACAACACCGCCCCGCAAAAAGCAATAGATCCACATACGAAATCAACACCGATGGTCGAGATGTAGCTTTCGGTATAGGTGTCATCGGCGAATCGGAGCAGCAAGCAAGACTTTCCAACACCGGAGTCTCCGATGAGGAGGAGCTTGAAGAGATAATCGTATCTATTTGGGTTAGGTCATGCAGATCGGCGAGATGGGGGATCGTTGGGTATGATGAAGCGGCCAACGCTGCGGGAAGGGACTCTGGAATAACAAAGCGGCGTCAGTGAAGATTCTCAGTTCAACTGGTACTCGGCGATGACCAGAAGCGAATCCGCGATCAACGGAGATGGCAGACGGAGCAGGAGGTTTCCCCAAAATAGACAAATCGACAAGAGCGGATGCTTACCACTCGGGGTTCATGATGGGCGAGCTGTGAACAGACGTGAAAAGGGAATCAAGAGGATCAAGGGGCGAACACAGACGAGAGTCGAGCAAGAGATGGAATCGAAGGGTGTTCGGGGTCGGTGTTGGGGGGGGTCTTGGAGGGGACTGAATGATGAACGCCTGAAATGATAGGAGGTGCAGGAGGCCAGATGCACCTGATGCGCAGCTTTGTTTCAGCGGTCACCGCCACCACCGCCCCGAGGAGGATGGACTACGGGAGTACATTATTAAACATCTAGAATTTGATCAAGTTTCTGTTGAGACTTGTATATTAAATTTCGATGCGTCATTTATTCTTCATAGTATTATATTGTTAAAGTATATTCCTTCTCAGTCTTGCCTATTACCCTTTACTATTCAACCTTTCCCGCCAAGTTATACTATGACGGAGTGCGTCATTCACGAGTCTAGCTGTGGCTGATCCCGTGCTTCTCTCCTGCAGCCTCGTGGGAGTTGCTCCTGGCAGGTGACTACGGCACGTTATGGATAAAAAACAGATCTTGGAAGTGACTGTCACATTGCAGTTCGCTATCTCTCACAGTTTTTGCTGCCTAGCCGATACGATGATTATGATTTACCAACAATGACCCTCGGAAATATTTGGTCCCATGCATAGTGTGAGGATTATCTTGGTGAATCGTCAGGTAGTCCTATCAAATCCACACTTTACGACGCATATCCGTGGGCCTTCAGCCACTCCAGAACCAGTGCCTCATCACGCTCCTTGTAGGATGCGTTCGTTCGGATGTTATCCTGGACGATGACAAGGGCACGATCATAAGCGGCCGTGTCCTTGTCCTGGAAGAACTCGACAATATCATTCCCAATCGCGTGGTCGGCGAACTTGGACAGACCCATGCGGATGAAGCGCTCGAACACAACGTTGTTGGAGGAGAGGCGAGCCGAGACCGATGTCCAGTTCGTCTTGATATACTCCCACAACAGGTGGCGCACCTTGGAGTTGGCGGCCAGGGCCACCGCACCGCTGTGAAGGTCCTGGATGGCCACCTTATCCGAGAAGACAAAGTCCAGGTAGTCCGTGACCAGAGCCGCATCCTTGGTGCGTCCCATGGAGGCCAGGCAGATCTCCTTGCCGTCCACGGAGTCGGTCCGCAGGTACTCCTCCTTGACAGCATCGTACTCCTTGCGGCCGCCCTCCGAGACGTTGAGGCTGAAGATGGCAGCGCGCAGGTTAGTGTGGATGGCACTCTGATCCTGGCCGGTCGCCCAGAGATCGAAACGGCGCTTGGCCTCGGCGACGATGCTAAAGGAAGAGTTGTAAGCAAACGGGAACTACAGGTCGGCATATCTTTGCGCGACAAAACGGGGTAGCCTTACTTTTCGTGGCCAGAGTTACCCGCCATGGCGATCAAAAGCTTACGAAGCTGGATGACCAGATAGTCCTCGTTGGCCTGGAACTCCCAGCCAATGCGCTCAGCTGCTGGGGCAGCTAGGTTTCGAGTGAACTTCTTCAGGCCCTCGGCGACCTGCTCGTTCTGCGAGAAGACAGAGCGGAGGTTAGCAAGAGACGAGGACACCTGGGACCAGACACTGTGAAATCCGTAGTCAGTAACTGCAATGGTAAAGACGTCGAATATTGTAAGTTATAAATGGGATGGAGTCCTTACAGGTAGTTTTGCTCTCCCTTGAAACCCTCGAGAAGGACCAACAAGGCGGGGGTGTTACCATCGCCAGAGACAGCAAGGGCAGTCGCATCACCCAGCAGACCAATCTTGTCCTCGGTGCTCAGGAGGTCAAGAGACTGGCCAAGCTTCTCCAAGCGTGCAGGGGGGTAGTTGGTTCGGTAGAATCCAGCCAGATCCTTGTTGATCTTGTAGAAGCCATCCGTGCCGATATCTCCAACGGTGTCAGACTTCTGAGTGAGAGCACGGGTGTCCACGGTAGCCAACTTCTCGCCTGACTTAATACCAAGGGGAATCCACCAAGTGGTCTCATCCTCATGGGGCTTGGCATCACCAGTGGACAAGAATCGGCTTTGGCGGACGCTGACCTGACCAGGCTCCTCGGCGACGGTGACAACGGGGAAGCCGATCTTCCGAATCCAGGGGTCCTGTTGATATCTAGTCAGGTTTGCTGGCATAAAATAGAGTAATATTGAAAGAATCAATGATTCGACTCACCATGAAAGTGTGCACATCCTGGCCGGAAGCCTTGCTCAAAGCAGACCACAGGTCATTGGTGGTGGCGTTTCCTGGAAGAGAAAGAAGAAAGTAGGTCAACTAAAAGCCATCTCAGCGAAGATTAAGCCTGAAATACTTACCATATGCGTGGGACTTGAGGTAGTCAGCCACACCGCGAAGGAAGGTCTCTCGGCCAAGGTGGACGCTGAGCATGCGGATGACAGAGCTACCCTTCAGATAACTGATGTGATCGAAAATCTGGTCCACCTCGAGAGCATTGCGGACGGGCACCTCAATAGGGTGAGAAGCACGGAGCGAGTCGAGATGGAAAGCTTGTTGGACACCCTCAGCCTGGGACAATGTCAATCGTGATCTTTAAAGAAAAGACGGGATTACCTCGATTACTACGTACAACGAACTGAGACCAGACGTTCCAATCTGTATCAATGTATTAGAATTTGTTTTACATGATTGATTTTTCAGTTGTACTCACCGGGATAGAAGTGATCGACAGCCAACCAGCCGACCCAGGTTGCGAAGCCCTCGTTGAGCCAAAGCTCATTCCACCAGTCCATAGTGACAAGGTTGCCAAACCACTGATGAGCCAACTCTGTAATTTTATGTCATGTCAGATCAAAGAGCTCTCTGCAATAACGAGAATGCCATGCAATCGGCAGTCTTACCGTGCGCAACGACGTAGGCAATACGGTTCTTGTATCGGTTGTCCGATTTGCCTTCATCGAAAAGAACGGCAGTCGTGCGATATGTCACCAGACCCCAGTTCTCCATGGCTCCCATTGCCTAAGATCAGCCCTCAGTCAGCCGGTCTTGATCTGTTAATACATTGGGAAATGCCTTGCAACTTACAAATTCATGCACAGCTAAGAGATCCGCCTTGGGCAAAGGGTACTCAATCTCGAAGATCTCCGAGAAATAGTCAACGGTCTTGTGGGCACATTCAAGTGCAAAGCGGGCCTGTTCCTTAAGTCCACGAGTAGTGTAGACACGAACGGGGATGCTCTTTCCCTGGTACTTGCGCTCAGTCATGGCCTCGACATATTCAAAGTCACCAATGGCCCACGCAAGGAGCTGTGAGATTACATAATGCGTCAGTAAAGGGCACTACACCATCACGGCCTGGTAGAGCTGTTAATACTAACGTAAGTGCTCATGACGGGGGTCTTCTCAAAGGTGACGAATTTGAGGCCAGAGTTGCTACCCTCCCGCTCAGACTGAACAGGCATATTGCTGAGTGCCGTTTGGCCCTTGGGAATTTCAATCTCGAAGTCAAAGGTAGCCTTCAAGTTCGGCTCGTCGAAGCAAGGGAAGGCCCGGCGAGCATCGCAAGACTCGAATTGAGTGCTGAGCATGTAGTAAAAGTCTCCTTCCTTGGGTGTATCGGCAGCGGGCTCGCCCACAGGCTTGTACTTGGAGCGGTAGAAGCCGGCCATGGCATTATTCATAGTTCCGGTGAAGTTGATGGACAGCACAACCTCTGAAGGGGTGAGTTCCTCGGCGAACTTGAGGGTCACACGCTCTGACTTCTTATCGTAAGAGATGTCGGTAGCCTTAGCCACTGAAGCTCCTAAGGCGAGAAGAAAATACCGTCAGCCTAGTTCCATCCGAGTTGTTCGCCAACTGCCATATAGTCGATGGGAGTATCCTAACCATCCTTGCCGAGCACCTCAGCGCTCTGAACATCAATTTCCTTCGAGTTCAGGACGACCTCCTTTGTAGCACGAGTAATCTTGGTGTCGACCTTCACCAAACCCTTGTAGCCCCACGAGCCACTAAACTGCAAATCGAAGAGGGAGACATGATAGTTAATGGGCTTGGCACTATAACGACGAATTAGTACGGTTTAATAGACTTTTTTCCCCCAATTAAGAGAGTATTAGACTGCTTGTGGGACGAAATAGTTGACTAGTTGAGTCTTCTCCCCGCACTCGGCATCACTCACACGTCAGGCAGAGTCTCTCTGTCGGTGGACGCCATCATGCGAGCTTCTGCAGAACAGTGTCTAGTGGGCGTTAAACCGAAAGATATCCCGAGAGTAGGTATCGGAAGTCTAGATCGTAAACGGGGAGGTCGAGGGGATGAGAGAGAGGAGAAGGTAGAGGCGGACGTGGAAAACAAAGAGGAAGAAGAAGCGAAAGAGAAAGCGAAAGAGGAGGGGGAGGGGCGGAGAGCGACGTGACGGCAGTGAATTGCAACGCCTGCGCGTTTTGACGCCGCAATGGATCTTCTCCCCCACATCGGCGTCTCTAGCGACGGCTAGTGTCGGACTTGAGGATAAATTTGAGATTGTGCGACGCGAATGGTCCTTCAGTCCTTCACCATCCCTGGATTGCAGCAAGTAGGCGACCTGAAAGAGGTTTCTCCATACGGAGCTCCGGCGGAGCTTGGACCCTCTTTGGCGGCTAATTCGTGCCGGCGCCTTTTGAACTATCTTTCTCTTCTTTCCACTCTATTACTCTATCCAGCTCCAGCTCACGACCTTTCGCTATGGCTGACTCGGATGAGGAATATGTGGGAAGTGTCAGCGATGACGAGGATGATCTCCAGGTGACTGGGACGGATCAACAGCCCCGGAAGAGAAAGCAGCGTGGAGGCGGAGAGTGGGAGCTCGCTCGTACTTGGGAGACACTGGTCGAGGGTGCCGATGGAACCATCAGTTCGACAGTTGAAGGGCTGCTAGAGGCGAGCAAGCGCAAGAGGTCAGAATCGTTCACCAGGAGCTCTTACCTGGTTTCCCATTACTGACTGCTTTCCGCACTGGCAGACTGCTCAAAGACACTACGCCTCTACAACGAGGTATCATACGACATGTCATCCTCATCATTGATCTCTCACAATCCATGGCCGAAAAAGACCTCCGACCAACACGATACCTGTTGACTCTCCGATATGCCCAGGAATTCGTGCGGGAGTTCTTTGAACAGAACCCCATTTCGCAACTCGGCGTCATGGGCCTCCGAGACGGTCTCGCAATCCGAGTGAGCGATATCAGCGGCAATCCCACCGAACACTTGACCGCGATTCAGGAACTCAAGACACAAGATCCAAAGGGCCTACCGAGCTTACAGAATGGTCTGGAGATGGCCCGGGGTTCTCTCTTGTACATCTCACCTCACCTCACCTCATCCCCGCCCTCGTCTCTCTTAAAATTACCAGTTAGACTGACCAACATAGCCACACACCTAGTCACGGTACGAGAGAAGTTCTCATCATCTTCGGCTCCCTCCTCTCCTCCGACCCCGGCGATATCCACCAGACCATCAACACCCTGGTCACCGACAAAGTACGAGTCCGGATCGTCGGTCTTGCCGCTCAAGTAGCCATCTGTCAAGAGCTATGTAGCAGGACCAATCGAGGCGATGAAACGGCGTACGGCATCGCGCTCAATGAGCAACATTTCCGGGAGCTCTTGATGGACGTGACGACACCACTCGCGACTCAAAAACAATCAGCGAGCTCGCTGCTGATGATGGGATTTCCCTCGCGTACCGTGGAACCCACCCCGTCCCTCTGCGCATGCCACTCGAAACCCTCGAGAGGTGGATATCTGTGTTCGCGCTGCGGGAGCAAAGTGTGTAGTCTGCCCGCCGAATGTCCGTCCTGCGGCCTCACACTAATTCTTTCGACCCATCTTGCCCGCTCCTACCACCACTTGTTCCCGCTGATGAATTGGGTGGAGGTCCCCTGGCGCCGGGCCTCGAGCTCAGCCTGCTTTGCCTGTGGTCTGCCCTTCCCAGCAGTACCACCTGAAGACCAGTGGTCGGTAACGGAGAACCATGCTAAAGGCATGAGTGTCAGCAGTCGCTACCAGTGCACGGCGTGCAAGAACCACTTCTGCATTGACTGCGATCTCTTTGCCCACGAGGTGGTTCACAATTGCCCTGGGTGCCAAAGTAATAGTGTCCAGGCGGTTGCCGATGGGATGGACACCACTGCATAGAGTAGTTCAACCAAAAATTGCATTGCATGGAACGGCGTTGATGGGTTTTGGCGGGAGATCATGGAAGGGGAGTTTTGGATTTTACTATACATTTCTATACACTGATCTAGCAATTTTGCTACAATGACAGATTTAACTGACTACCCATCTCCTTAACTTTCAATTCCATCGCAATTCCTGTAGTAAAAAGACGCGTGATCGATTATACTTCATGAGCCTCGGCTAAATGCGAACGGAAAGCTCCCTCAATTTGCCCCACGTCTTCTCCGCCTCCGTCTCCGCATCGCATCGTTTGCTCTTCGCATAACTACAACCAACCATCCGTTCGACACAACCCCATTCTCTTAACATGACCGAAGCACAATCCCCCAGCTCATTCGAGCAGCTCAAGGCCTACCCTTTTACCTCCGACCCCGAGTTCGCAAATGGCTTAGCCATCATCCTGGGCCATGCCGGCACGCCAGCCTCGGAGGCGGAGATGAGCCGGGACGATGATCTTGTCTTGCAAGCTAAATGTTTCTTCTTTTCGAGGTATGACACTCGGATGCGCTACTATTTATGGACATTGAACTAATTCTTTTTCTTCTTGGCTTGCAGGAAGCAAAAAATCACACCTCCTATCAACTTTGCCACATACAAAGCTTGGTTGACCGGGGCATCGTCGGAGTCGAACGCTGCGACAGCTGTATCGGAACAACCCCATGAACCCTCAACTGAGACTACTGTTGCTAGTACCGAATCATCTACATCCGCAGAACCTGCCTACCCAACTTCATTTGCACACATTGTGGAACTCATCACAACTGGTCAACCAATTCCTGGTATTCAGCAGATCCCAGACACGGTATTGGAGGGACATGATCTCTCAAGTGAGAAGCCACGCCGGCGAAAGCCTTGGGAGAAGGATGTCCAAGAGAAGGAACCCGTACAGGAGGAGATGGCAAGCAACGCTGCTTGATCGGTCAGGGCTATATATTTGATACCATCACGCCTAGAAGACTACAATATACCCGGGAGAATGGAAGGCTTGATACAATGATCATATGGGATTGGCATAATAAAGATACTATCCCTTGTAATTAAAGTCACACAACAATAGCCAATCCAGTTGGCTGAGCAAGATGAATAGTGGACACAATCGGTCAAGGTAAAAGCTATAGTAGACGCCGACAGGATGGGGAAGAGAGTGATAGATCCATCGCGGCTTGGCATGAGAAAGCATAAGCAAATCCGAATAACAAGAATTAGGGAAGAAAGTTTGCGCATCGTCGCCACCAAATAAGTTGTCCGCACTTGAATGAGATATGAGCCCCCATCACAGGCAGATTGATGCATCCGAGCATGGTGTTTTTGTCAGGCCGAGTTCATCATTTGCGGCAAACAATGTCTTCGGGCACCGGGACATGAAAGAAAGACAGGCAAAATGGGTAGATGAGCAGGCAGGATGAATGTTGAGTTTGAAGCCACAGAAATAACATAGGAGCCATGCATAGAAATCAACTGGTAGCGTCTGACTGGTAAGACACAATCAGCTGCTCTTGGGGCCTGGGAGTGAATGCCGAAGTAATTCATATAAGTATACTCCATGTAATGCTGTTCATGTTGCTGTTTTTTTTTGGTATTTTTTTTCTTTTTGTTTTGGTTGATCGCTAGTTTGTTGTGGTGCCCGCTGCGGTAACTTCTTCTCCCCGGCTAGGGTGCGGTCATTTGCGTCGAGGTTTGAAGCTTGCTGGGCAATCTAACGGTAAGGAGAGTATCCGGGGCTCCACTGATTGCCTCGACCAAAACGGCCACTGTTGGAGCTCGTGGAAGAGAATCTGTCGTCGTTGAAATGACCGAAGCGGCCAACTTGCATGCCAGTACCAGGCCCAGGGCGCGTGGCATGGGACGGGTTGCAACAAAGCATCGCGACTCGGGAGCCAAACTTGGAACCTCGGAGAGAAACCATATGTTTCCTGTTCAGACGCGAAGCAGTCAGAATTGTTCCAAAGAGTGAGACCTATACGAAGAATTTACCGAATATGACTGGCCACAAGCTCACGCTGGTGCGATGCAGCATTCATCAAGACCCACTGAATCAAATAGTTGCCATACTGATCTCCCGCAACTGGAGACTTTTGTTAGCACAATCCCAATAGAGAAACACAAATGTTTCCCACTCACTGTCAATCAAAGGCATGCGGGGTCGATCAGTGCGACCCGTGCATACACGGTTGAGGTATCGGTCCAAGAACTCGGAGCTACCGATTTTCAGGCATTTCTCAACAATCTTCGAGGCAAATTGATCCATGCTGTAATCCACAGAATGGTGGAGGATATGCTCAACCGCACGACTCTTGTCATGGGGAGCGCCATGCTCGCAAATGTGCTGGATGCACCAGTTGCCGAATTGGCCGTGAGCAAGTAGATCGATCTTGGCCAAAACTTCTTCGATCGCCGGTCGCTTTTGCAGGTATTAGCTTCTTCATCTGACTTGATGTCAAGGCTGTATGATAATGACTTGGGGAAGGGGCAAGGCAGTGAAGATCGGGAGGAGTGATCCGAGATACATGGGATGTTTGTATCCGCAAGGATCTCGAACAAAGCATGCTCTCTTACCTTTTCCTCTTCAACGCAGTTCTCGAAGATATTCTGCACCACCAGGCTTCCTGTTTCACCCAAAGCCACTTCATGCCACATTCCTTCCAGTGCCTCATTCACCTTGGTCATGATCTGGGGCGGCTCTCCAATCCATCGAAGCTCGAAGAGTTTCTGCCAAACGTGGCAGGCATACCGATGAATCACAGTTTCCGGGATTCTGCGAAGAAGTTCGTGCACCATGACGGTCTTGTGGTCTTCTGGAACACAATCAAATGCCTTTTGGATGACGTGACAACCAAAGGCATCCATGCTCAAGCTAAGAGTATTGCCTCGGATTGCATTGGCGATGGCAACAACTTGATCGGGTGTTCCATGCTCGAAACAACGCTGAACAAGAAAGTTTCCAAAGCGATTGATCATCAGTGGGTATGCCTGACTGACAATGGCCTCGATGATGTCAAACTTCTGCTCCGATGTGCCCACTTTGAGCTTTTGTTGCAGGAAAATGGATGCTTGTTGATCGTTGTTGCAAACAATCTTATCCACAATGTATTTCCAGTCGCAGGAGACATTTTTGTCGAGCAGACGTCTATAGTTGAGTGGTTCAAGGGGAGACACATAGGTTTGCATGCAATGTCCACCAACACCCTAAAACAAGCGTCAGCAAATATCTCATCACGTAAAATGGTGGTGAGATAAATCTTACTGAAGTATTTGTCCACACAGAACTAGTCGCGCTACCAGTGGTAAACTCAGACGCGGTTGGAGACAGCACCGTTGGACCTTGTCGCCCCTGATACGAAGACACTGGATAGACTCCTACCGGCTGAAAGACGCTGGATGATCTGCTGGTGGGCGATCCCGGAGACTTGGGAGCGACATCACTCTGGGATTCGGAGGCCAAGGGCCCCCACGTAGTATTTTGAGCAGGAAAGATAGGGCCACCTCGACCTCCCTGTGTAAGAGAACGGCGAGGTCCGGGATTTGGGGCTTGGAAGAACCGAGATTGTTCACCTGGTGGCCGAGGATAAAAGCCATACCCACTGTTTGAGGGACCAGAAATGATTCTTTGAGGCTGGAAAGCTCCTTGGGGGGCGCCAAAACCAGTGGGGTATACCGGTGCGGCACCCCAAAAACGACCAGATTCCTGATTCGCCGATTGGGATCCAGGGAGAGGCTCGCCATAAGCTTTGTCAAAAGAATGGTTCTGGGTGTTCATCCCGAACGGTGACTGTCCATTCTGCTTCCAAAGCCCACAGGCACGGTTGTACGCTCCAGCGGACAGTGCATCTGAAATATCAGATTGTGAGTCATCTTGTGTATTCCATGCGTCTTGAAACGGACCAAAGGTGGGATTCGAGGCGTTGAAAGCGTTTTGCAGGTTGCTGATGGTCTGTTCGGTGATATCACGAGCGCCAAACTCAGCTTCAGACGGAGGACCTAGAGCCTGGTCCAGAGTGTGCTTGATCACACGATTCTGGGCAAGTTCTTGCTCCTGCAAAGCAATCTTGGAATTGGCTGCGAGAAGCTCCTGCTTGAGTCGAAGAAGCTCAGCCACCTTGTCATTGGTGGAGTGACTGTTGCCAGTTTCCGCCAGCCTCGCCGCTGGCAATGTGTCACGGGACTGGGGAACTCGAGATGAACGCGAATTTGGATCGGGCTCTGGGTGGGAGACCGGTGTGGATTTGGGAGATATCTTCGCCAGAATCCTTTCCAAATGGGAAGTTTGACTAGCACTAGATTCGACTTTGACATGTCCCAACTTTGGCTTCTAGGATTGTCAGATTCCGAGCCAGTAATTTCCTCGAGATACGGGATCAGACCCACCTTGATAGACGGGGTATCAGCATCCTCACCAGATGCTTTCAGCGTGAGTCCGTATTTTGGCACTCCATCAAGGTCTGAGTGGCTTTGACGGCTGCCCGAATGCTGGTAACATCCAGTGTCAGGTATGCTGACCACTTGTTGTATGTCCAACCCCAAGGAGTGGCGAAGACTTACCGGGTGGTCACGAGCAAATGAAAAAGATCGTACGTCCCGACCTCCATCATGAGAGAGAAATCTTCCCTCTTTAGTGATCCGAGAAAGCACGGAGGGCCCAGTGAGGGTGGCCATGATGCTGATCACCGTGGTTGTGGGGAAGGGATCAAGTATAGATCAGATTGCGAGGCACACTAGCAACCAAGAGGGTAATATGAAATGGAATAGCAGGAAGATTCACCGAGATGATAGGAAACATGGGCTAGATGAAGAGATGGAGAAGAAAGGGGAGAGGAGTTGGGAAGAGGCAGGGTGGAGGACAGTTGTGGAGGAGAGAAACGGAAAGAGAGTCGAGAGTCGGGAGCAGGAAGGTACGCGATAGTCGCCCGTTTCGGATGGCATCGACATCATCCCCTGTCCAGCCCTAACTAGCACCCCCTCCACAAGGAACAACACTAAGAAGCTTTCTTTCTTTTTTTCTCCTCGCTGATTTCTCCTTCCTCTTGCCCCCTTCCGCCTCTCTAGCATTTTCGTTCTTCCATCTTTCCATCCGTACTTGCCTATGTCTCGTTCTCTCTGCATGGGACTTGCCTTTAATGAGATCTTCAGATGGGATCAGATTGGTATGAGCTCGGCGATATCTGCCAAGACCAGTCGAGATGACCAGCAGCATAGGCTCCAGCCACACCTTCCCAACGAGAAGAATCTCCCAAGACCACATACTCAGGCTGTCCTGACCCAGTGATCGTCGGAACCAGACGAGCCGCTTGCCGCAGACCATCCAAGTCGGTACCCCATACCACCAGCTCCAACGTTTCGCCCGGACAGGGTCTAAGGAAGACCGCACCCAGGCCTGGCTCCCCAAACACGTACTCTTCCCTCAGAGCAGGCAGGGCCGATAATGAACCACTCGTCGATATGACAAGACGACCTTGGTCAATCTGAATCGGGTATGTTTCCATCGGGGCTGGAGGCAAATCGTGACCCACAGCAAGCGTGATCACATTACCAGGTTGGTGCTGCAAGGTGTTGTTCGAGCAACTCTCGATGATCTGCGAATCGGCTGCAAAGTACTGGAATAAATTGCGACTAATTTGAAGAGCGACACTGTCTACTCCAGGAGAACACCCTCGGATCGTGAACGTCCCTTGAGTTCGGAGAATGGCATCGAGTGCACCGAGCTGACGACCATACCGTTGATGGACCGTCTTCCAGCGAGTATCATGAGAGATTTCCCACTTCCCCTCCGCATCCCTGACCAACCAGGTCTGCGCTTTCTGGGCGAAGTGCACCTCGAAGCTCCCGTTCATCCCATCAAGCACGATTGTCTCGGGCAACTCGACCAAGGAAGATGCCTCTGAAAAGTGGAAGCGATGAATATTGCGGGTGGAGATATGCCAGGTCTTGTTGTCTGGAGAGCGATTGACGCGAAACTTACCGTTCACGTCGGGTGTCTGGAGCTGGTCGACCTGGATTCCAGCTTTAGACCCCAATGTACCCGAAGCTGGAACCGTGATGGTGAAGGTTTGTGGCAATACTTTCGCCGTTCTAGACCGGCTAACCATACTTCGATAGAAGTCTTTCAGATATTCGGTCGTCAATACGCCTTTATACCAGTGCCCTTTTCCTGGGAGCTCTTTGTACTCGGATGGCCACTGGGCCTGATCTAAGAGCTCGTGCATCAGTCGTCCATGATATGCAGGTACATTATCATCTGCTGCCCCATGCTGTTGTGCCACCGGAATACCAGCCAGGTTACCCACTAACAACTCGTGCTTATAGGTTGACCGTGACCTTAACAGGACGGAGGAAAGCGAGGGCTCCGAGTTGTGCCACATGGTATATGGAACATAATCTAGAAATCTTAGTTTGGATCCTTTTGCAAGAGAGAAGACAGTCACCACCAGCCATACTTTCGATCGATGTGTACCCGGAGACAGGCGCTACTGCAGAGACGTTGTCTGGGAAATGAGTGGAAAAATGCCATGCGCCTTGACCTATTCAACATCAGCAATCAACGCTACAATCTGTCAGTCCATTGAGTCTTTCATACCTCCATTGGAATGGCCAACCACGATCAGCTTATCTATAGCAGCAGCAGGGCCGTCCCAAGAAATTTGTTTGACCCAGTCCGCAATTGCTGACAGTGCAGCCTGGAAGTCGGCGACACCCCAATAGTCTAAATCGAACATACGTCTGAGTCACTGGCTTTATGTATGGGACGAAGAAAAGGCATAGACTCACGCCAATCATCTCCACTCCACGACGTGACACCGCTTGGGAACAGCATCCAAGCACATGTCCCATATGCTCCATCCAACATACTTCGTACCTGAGCAGAATTTGCTTCGAGCCCTGCCCCATGGAGAGCGAGGATCACTGGAGCGGGTATCGAGATATCACAAGAATTGAGGGGTGGAGCCCGCAGAATAGCGTAAGAAACTATACCTGCCGGGTGTAGGTAAGTGATGCGGAGCGGATCTGACAGTGGTTTTTGTTCGAGATTAATGTCGAAGCATAGGGCCCGCAAACTCCCGTCAGGGGTCTGGTATGTTACCTCTACGGAGAAATGAGGCTCATGGTCCGCCGAGAGAGAGATCTTGAAAACCAGAGGCCGAGTCTGGTGTCCAGCAATCCGCAGTGAATTTTGCATGGACACGCGATGCGCAGTCTAGATCGAGGAAGAGCATCAGCAGACAACCCAAAACATATCGTGGTAAGACGTAGGAGCCAACCTTCAATGCGCGGATCGATTTGATTTCCACCAAATTCTCGTCATTGTTCTGCACATTGATCGAGGCCCATGGAGTCCCGATTTTCCTATTAGCCAGTTCAGAGATCAACAGACTATGTTCGTCCAGCGTGATGGGCTCTGCTCCCCGCAGCTCGGCTTGAATCGTGACTTTGATGGCATTGCTAAGTCCACCGTGGGCCCGGACATCACGAGTGAGTCGTAGCTCCAATACATGACGTCCCGGTGCTAATATGATCAGGCTGGGTACCCGATGATACTGAAACATATCCCCACCGAAATACTGCTCGCCATCCACCAAGAATTCCAACAGACCATCCCCGAAGAGTGCAATAGTCTGTGGTTGAGATCCCTTGACCTCTAGGATCCCACGCGCCCATGCTTGATACTGCAATGCTGACCAGCCATAGACCGATTTCATGAATTCCCAATTGACGGCTGGAAAGCTCACATTGAGGGCCGCCTGGACTTGGCCGTGAAAAGACCTTGCTATAGTTGCATAGGTGGTGCTCCATTGAACAGATCCATTCGTTGCAAGGGCACTGCTGAATGTGGCATTGGGCTCATAGGATAGATTGTGGAATCCACCGTGATACTCCAATGGGTCTGCTCCCCAGATGGCCTCTGCGCCAGGTAACAGTTGTTATTTCTCTATCAGCCTACTCTATCTTTGATTTCGGTCCACTGACCTCTTGTACCGAGCCTGAACGGCCCTAGAACATCCCAGGTGTCCGATAGCACCACTTCTGGCAGTGCTTGTCTTAGTGGACTCTGGTGGAGAGCACTGTCTGGGACAAGCTTCCTGCTCGTCCCCGCTTGCTGGGCGCATGAGACTGGAGCTAACTCGCACCATAGCAGGAGCAGTCCCACCGCGACAGATGAGATATTAGGGTGCATATCAGACGCATACACACCAATAGCTCGGATAAGATCAGGGTATATAAAGTTGTTTGGACCTTAATCTTGAACCCTTGAGTAGTCCGGAGGCCAATCGGCCCGTCCCTCCGTCAATTGACAATTGACAATTGCGGGATGCCAAGTGGAGAAAAGGTCAGTGCGGTACAGGATGGCATCGTATCGTCATGTACACGGTCACGTGGTTTGTTGTTCAACTCTCATGGATACAAACGGCCGGCATCTTCACAAATCAATTGAGGGTAAACCCTCTAGATCAGAACAAATGCCACAGATATATCTACCTAGTATATGCAATGGCCCGCGAGGAGTCGGTTTTCTGCTTCCTTAGTAACCGTTCTACAAGCACAACTGCACAACGGAGGGCTCCGAGGGTACCATAGTATTGTAGTATCACACGGGTACTGTGTACGGTCACAGCCGGTGGCGGTCGCACGCTTGTCGGCCTCGATTCCATGGACTCTCCCGATGGGGCCAGTTTAGTTAACCCAACCTTCAATCTCCCTCTGTACTCCGTACCTGGCCCCCTTTTCCTTGATTATTCTTTCCGGCATCTGGGCAATTATCCGAGCCCACTATACGCCGTGACAAGCTTGGCCCCGTTTCGCTTCCTGCAGCGTGTGTCCTCCGTCCTCAACGCCCATTCGCCCAAACGAGATTCGTCATCGCCAACCATCTTTCCCTGCACTCTGGCCAGACGCCTTCTGCAGGTGAAACCACCCCCGTCTAACTCGACTACTTGACTTACAGTCTCCTCTACACCTGGGTAAGTCCAATCCCGATGATTGCCCTAGACGCGCAAAACAACCTCATGCTGGAGAACCGAGGGGAACCCGAAGAGTTAACGCTTCCCTCAAGCGAAAGCCTATACCAGGCCGCGATGACAATGGCCACAACTACAGTAACGGGTCATGGGCGCCGGGCTTCAATGCGACAACCCGAATTGCAAGTACCAAACAAGCCTTCAACATCCCAGCCCACGAGTAGCCCCATCGACAAATTTCCTCCTTACGAAGATTCTCTCGACGCCGCCGTGGGGTCCGCGGCACCCTCAACCCGTCCGCATCGAAGCCCCTCGGTGAAATATGCCCCGGCTGAAGCGTGGCAACCACGAAACACTTCATTCTACTCGCGAGACCCTCCCAATGGATCTTTGAGGAATCCCAAACATCGACCCCGAAAGAGTATCAGCGAAGCCATCACCACCATTCGAAACCGCAACGGCAGTATGAGCGCCAATGCGCAGGAGCTTGCAGAGGCCCTTAAAGCTCCGGTATCATACCGATTGATTGTATGTTGATTAGGACGGCGATAGCAGAATTGGCTCCCCCTCATCTGCTCAGACCGTATTTTATTCCCGCTCCAAGGATCCCCTGGCTAATGTTCGACGAATATTCAGGGTCTCTGTCTGGTTTGGTACCTGACCTCAGCGCTCACGAATACATCCTCGAAATCCATCCTGAATGCCCTTCCAATGCCCATCACTCTGACGATCATTCAATTCGCGTTTGTCTCGTTCTGGTGTTTACTGCTAGTGTATCTGTCGACAGCGATTCCGTGGCTCCGACAAAGCGTGCCGGTCCTCAAGCACGGCATTCGTTATCCTTCTCGCGATGTGATCTCCACCGCGTTGCCTCTGGCCGTCTTCCAGCTGGCTGGCCATATCTTGAGCTCCATGGCTACCTCTCAGATCCCCGTTTCCTTGGTCCACACAATCAAGGGCCTGTCCCCATTGTTTACGGTTCTGGCATATCGAGTCCTCTTCCGCATTCGGTATGCCCGGGCAACCTACCTCTCGTTGGTTCCCCTCACCGTTGGTGTCATGCTTGCGTGCTCCACTGGGATCTCTACCAACTTCTTCGGAATCCTCTGTGCGCTTCTGGCTGCCCTGGTGTTCGTCTCGCAGAATATCTTCTCGAAGAAACTCTTCAACGAGGCCGAGCGTATTGAGGCGGAGGCGGCTAATCCGGCTCGGCGTAAGTTGGACAAGCTCAACCTGCTCTGCTATTGCTCCGGACTGGCCTTTTTCCTCACATTGCCCATCTGGTTCGTGAGTGAAGGTTACCCTCTGATCTCTGACTTCATCCATGACGGTGCCATTTCACTGTCTCAAAAGCAAGGGTCGCTGGACCACGGCCGCCTGGCGATCGAGTTCGTCTTCAATGGTATTTCGCACTTTGCGCAGAACATCCTCGCATTTGTGCTCCTCTCCATGGTGTCACCCGTCTCTTACTCGGTTGCCTCCCTGGTGAAGCGCGTGTTCGTGATTGTTGCTGCGATCTTGTGGTTTGGCAGCTCGACCACGCCTATCCAAGCTGTTGGTATTGGCCTCACCTTTGTCGGCCTCTACCTCTATGATCGCAACAGCCACGACGATGTGGCTGATCAGCGCGCGAATGCGGATCACTTCCGTGCGCAGGAAGCCATTCTACCTATGAATGTCCGCCACTCGAGCAAGCCTTGGGACTCGAATGGCTATGCATTCCCCGGTGCGAGGTCGTTCGAGACCTCCACAGGAAGCACTTCCCACGCGATCAACTCCTCGAAGAAGCAGGATGATGGCCCCGGGCGTGTGCGACCCCGAGGAGCGAGTGTGAATCGGACCTGGCTACCCGGAACGAAGCAGGAGTCGACGTGGCAGCCCGCCGATTCTACAGCTGCCGCATAGGTAGTGTTCTCTCTGTGTCTTTATCTCATTTCTCATTTTGTCTCTCTTCACCCCTTAACCTTCTTCCATTTTTGTATTCTTTCCATCACAAGGGGTCGGGGGACACCGGTGTACTATATCAAGGCGTTACGGATGGTTCCTTGCTTTTATTTCTCTTCGGAAGAGACATCACTGGTCGGCTTCATTCCCTGCCGACTTACTTGATGTTGTCTCAAGTTGTTTTGGCGCCAGCATAGATTGGGTGACGGGGAAGAAGAAAGGATAACCGAAATTATGTAGGTTGTATATGATTCCAATCTACCTATGAAACTAGTGATCCTGAAAGAATCAAACCAAAGCCAGTAAGGCCATTGCATTTTCTTCAAATATCCAATCCACCGTCAGTGTCGCGTTGTATTAGGCCGGTCAGTATGTAGCTACCGTCGGTAAAGAACATGCCATCATCGGGAAAGAACCCTTGACTGCTCCAGTTCGGTGCAACTCTGCTCTAGGACAATGTTGCAGAGGAGACTGGGACTGAACGCCCGGCATCCTACAATAAATCATGCCCAGAAATGAGATGATTTCCGGTGAAGGACGGGCGCGGTCGAAGGCTTTTTAAAGGGAAAATCTCGGAGTCGAGGTTTATCCGCGTAACCGAGCCAATGGCCTCCAGCCCATTTGGGATTTGTGAGGACCCGGCTCTTAGTCAGCCCCGGGATGGTCAGCAGCATTATGTAACCCAGCAGATTCCGAACTCTGAACGTCAAGCTCCTTCGTTCTACCCCCTCGTCCACCCCCATCGCAATTCCCCCTCCCTCCCCTCTCTCCTTCATCGTCTCGCTCACAATCATGCGGCCGCAGCTGTTTCGTGCGGCCGCCCGGTCTCTCCGGGTGCCCAGGGCCCGTTCCTTCGCGACGACAGCCCCTCGCGCGGCCGAGGTGGAACTGACCATTGGTACGTCTGAGATCCCTCGATTCACGCATTCTGGATACTGTATACTGATGAGACCGTGTAGATGGCAAGAAGGTGTCTGTTGAAGGTAATATCCGCGCAATTGGCATCCATTGGACGGCTACTCACATCCTCCGCAGCCGGCTCGGCTCTCATCCAGGCTTGCGAGAAAGCAGGTGCTACGATCCCCAGGTACGAATGCTTCTATAGACTGACAAATGTGGTTTGAGACCGTGACTGACATTGTTTCTAGATACTGCTACCACGAGTACGTGTTCAATTCCCTCCGGCCCGAATCCTCCGGTGACGGTATATGCTAACTTCAGCCACAAAGAAAACTATTGATTGCAGGAAACTGTACGTCTTCAAAGTCCGATTTACTTACCAATTTGCGTGATTAGCAATGCTAACAGGAGGGATTTCCTTAGGCCGCATGTGTCTCGTCGAAGTCGAGCGCGCCCCCAAACCCGTCGCCTCCTGCGCCTGGCCCGTCCAGCCCGGAATGGTCGTCAAGACGAATTCACCTCTCGTCCACAAGGCCCGCGAGGGTGTGATGGAGTTCCTCCTGGCTAACCATCCCCTTGACTGCCCCGTCTGTGACCAGGGTGGAGAGTGCGATCTTCAGGACCAGTCAATGCGTTACGGAGCTGACCGCGGTCGGTTCCACGAGGTCAGCGGCAAGCGTGCGGTGGAGGATAAGAACATTGGCCCTCTCGTCAAGACCTCGATGAACCGCTGCATTCACTGCACTCGCTGTGTACGATTCATGAACGATGTGGCTGGCGCCCCCGAGCTCGGTACCAGTGGCCGTGGTAACGACATGCAGATCGGAACCTACCTCGAGCAGAACCTCAACTCGGAATTGTCTGGCAATGTTGTCGACCTTTGCCCCGTCGGTGCCCTGACCTCCAAGCCCTATGCTTTCCGCGCCCGTCCCTGGGAGCTCAAGCACACCGAGTCCATTGATGTCCTTGACGCCCTTGGCTCCAACATCCGAATTGATTCCCGTGGTCTGGAAGTGATGCGTGTCGTCCCCCGCCTGAACGACGACATTAACGAGGAGTGGATCAACGACAAGTCGCGCTTCGCCTGTGATGGTCTGAAGACTCAGCGCCTCACCACTCCCTTGATCCGCCGCGATGGCAAGTTCGTTCCCTCCACCTGGGAGCAGGCCCTCGCAGAGATCGCCGAGGCCCAGCAGAAGCTCCAGCTGCAGCCCAACGAGTTCAAGGCCGTTGCCGGCCACCTGGTTGACACCGAGTCTCTCGTTGCCATGAAGGACATGGCTAACAAGCTGGGCTCCGACAACCTTGCTCTGGATCAGCCCGGTGGCAGCGCTCCCATTGCCCACGGTATTGACGTTCGCTCCAACTACCTGTTCAACTCCAAGATCTACGGCATTGAGGAGGCCGACGCCCTTCTTCTGGTTGCCACCAACCCCCGCCACGAAGCCTCCGTTCTGAACGCCCGCATTCGCAAGCAGTACCTGCGCTCCGACCTCGAGATTGGTCTCGTCGGTGAGGAGTTCGAGAGCACTTTCGAGTACCAGAACCTGGGTGTCGATGTCGCTGCTCTGAAGACTGCCCTGTCCGGCGAATTCGGCAAGAAGCTGGCTGGTGCCCGCCGCCCCATGATTATTGTTGGCAGCGCCGCTGCTGAGCACCCTGATGCCAAGGCCATCTTCGAGGCTGTTGGTAGCTTCGTCGAGAAGCACGCCAGCAACTTCAACACCCCCGAGTGGCAAGGTTACAACGTCCTGCAGCGTGCTGCTTCCCGGGCTGGTGCCTACGAAGTCGGCTTCACTGCCCCCTCTCCCGAGGTTGCCCAGACTACCCCCAAGATGCTTTGGCTCCTGGGTGCCGATGAGATCTCGCAGACTGAGATCCCCAAGGATGCTTTCGTTGTCTACCAGGGCCACCACGGTGACAAGGGTGCCCAGTTCGCCGATGTCGTTCTTCCCGGTGCTGCCTATACCGAGAAGTCCGCCACTTACATCAACACCGAGGGACGTGTCCAGGTCACTCGGGCCGCCACATCCCTACCCGGTGCTGCCCGTGACGACTGGAAGATCATCCGTGCTTCCAGCGAGTTCCTCGGCGTTCCCCTTCCTTACGACGATATCGAGGCACTCCGTGACCGCATGGAGGAGATCAGCCCCGTCCTGCGCCGCTACGATGTCGTTGAGCCCACATCTGTCAGCTCCTTGAGCAAGGTCCAGCTAGCTGATCAGAACAAGGGATCTTCGGCCACTGGTGCTCCCTTCCAGAAGGTCATTGAGGACTTCTACTTTACCGACTCTATCTCCAGAAGGTATATATCTTTCGTCCCACCTAGTCTCATTTACCTACTATCATACATACTAACACTGATTTCAGTTCCCCTACCATGGCCCGCTGCTCCGCTGCTAAAGCTACCGGCAACCCCGAGACCAACTTCATGGCCGCCGGAGAGATGTCTCCCCAGGCCCTGTACGGCTAAACGTAGCCAGGGCCTCTCTCGCTGCCTCTGACTTAGCGCATGAGCCGCCGATCCAATTCTTGTGTTTTCTATAATGGTTGCAGGCGTTGTCATTTTGTATCACATTAAACTTCCCTTTGATGTACCCCCGTTTCCTTTCCACCTTCTGTTTTCCTCTATCATCTTGAACGCCGCTTCCTCCGGGTTCCCGTGGTTGACCTCTTTCGGCCACTCTCTCCGGCATGACCTGGGATTGAATCGGTTGGGGTTGACTTGTACATAAAAAGCTTGAGACCCTCACAAAATTTCAGTCCCTTTTCGGAGATGATAATGTGGATTGTAGGTTGTGTATTCGAGTAGTTATTGTTAGATGTGATATGAATCCTGGGGGGTTATTCCTTGTGGTGAGGTTGATGGTCAGACTAGGTATAGGCAACATATGTAGGACAATTGTGCGTCCGCATATTTTAGCCAGTATACATATTCAATCAAGGAGACGAGATATCCATTGTCTGCTACTTGAAAAGCTTCAATCCATCAAAATAGTGCAACAGCGGATACTCATAGTTCATCATCATCCGTTTCCCCTTCTGTCTCTTCTCCCGCCACACTGGTCTCTGCCAGAGGCTGCGGTTGAACCTGTGCCTGTGCCTGCGCCTGTGCCGCAGGCCCCCGTCGAGTAAACGGTAATTCCCTCCGTGGAGGTGCCGGCGCCGCCTCCTTAGCCGGAGCCTGTCTTTCCGAGGTACGAACCTTGGCTCGTTCAGGTACAGATCGCTGCGAAGTCGCTGGGACTTCTTCGTCCTCGTCATCGGTGGTCGTATTCCCTTCTCCGTCTTCGAGTGGTTGCGGCGTGCCTCTCTCTTCTTCGTCTTCGGTCTCTTGTGCATACGCTGCTTGCACATCGGCAGCTTTACGGTCCACATCCATTCGTTCGAAGCCATCGTCTGATTCGTCTTCGTCGGCTAACGTGTCTGCCGCACGGCGTTTTGTGGTTGGTTGAGAGCTGGTTGCTTCATGTTTCACAGTGGCTGCTTGAATTTCGGCAACTGTGTCGTTTAGAAGCATTAGTCACCTATCATTCTGGTTTCTTGGTTATGTGGTCTTTCATCAATCATACCTTTTGTCGGGTCAGCCGCAGCAGATGCCAGCAATCGCTGCTGATTCCGGATTTTGAGCTTTTTCTCGTTCAGCAACTGGGCAAAGTTGACGACCATTTGATTCTCATGCTGGCTTTTGGCTTGCATGAGGTCTGCCAGTTGTTGTGTTAATTTGGCGATGGTATCTTCCGCGGTCCGGTAGCGGTCCGTTAGGCTTGTCACTTGGCTGTGCAAGGCATCGGCTTTGGCAGCTGCGAGGCCGGTCCATTCGAATAACGCGATCTCCTGATCTTCATCTTGCTTGAGGACTAGAGACCCTAGTCTTTGCTAGAATTGTGTTAGACAGCGTACATAAGATGTGATTAAGGGTCTCGTACAGTGATGTCCTGAACTCTTTTGCGAATAGTGATGACTATTTCTTGTTCATCACCCCCAGTGCTGGAGATACTAGCAGAGACTTCGATCCCGGCAGACCAGGATGCGTTCTCGGTAGAGATTGGCTGTCTTAGGACGTAGGCAATGATGTAGGCCCATTCGTCATCGGATCCTTGATACTTTTTGCCGCGTAGGGCCTGGAGACGAGATTGTTTGACTGTTTTTGTGATGTTAGCTGGTCATTCATTGAACAGGGCTAGTGGGAGTGACTGTACTAGAAGCGGCGTATGGGTTCTCACCCTCTGTTGCGGTGAGGGATACATCCAGAGGTGCCTGGCCAGTCTGGGAGACGTGGACCAGTACGTAAGAATGCGGCTCGTCCGACCGGGGAATTCGGAGAACCTGGGGGGTGGACATGTTGGAATACCGCAAAGAGGATACCCTGATTGAACTTGTGTCGGTGGTTAAAGTAAATGAGGATGTGCTGGAGTGTGTCAATAATGTCGAGTGTAGTGTAGTCTCATCATTGATGGAGTGGACTGTCCCCAAAAGAGCCGCGTTGTACGAAGGCAGCAGGACGTGGTGGAGATCCACTCAAGGTCCCAAGGCCCCCAGTGTCCCAAGGTACGTCGCCGAGCAACAAACTAGCTTCCAAGCTTACTACTAACTTACTCAGTTAGCCGACTCCGTTTATAGGGCTTCGTAGTTGGTCAATTAATATTCAATATTTTAGTCGCTAGCTAGCTAGTTCCAGTGACTATCCCGACCGTTAGAAAGAGGGGAAGAAAAAGAGAGATTCAAGGTTGTTAATCCCTTGGTATGAGATTGCGGAGTACACGGAGATTATATGTATGATGTACTCTAACAATAAGTACCGGAGTACTGCATGATTTATGTTCACGATCTAGTACCGGAGATTTTCAAGATGACTATTTTTCATTGTTCTGATCAGACAATAAACGATCAGCTAGCAAACGACTACGAAACAATACACCCAGACCAAACGCACGGTTCCCCTGACGGGGAGTTGTGGATGTCGAGTGGCTATAGTGGGCTCCCGTGGCTCTAGTTCAATAGTTAGTGAGTCTTTTCGTTAAGAACTGGAGAGTCAGGACAGCCATGAGTAATAAGAAGGAGTGTATCCATAGCTACAGCTACAGCTATTTGACTAGTGCCAATGTTAAAAGTGGTCCTATTTAATTTTCCAGTTATTTCCAGCCCAGTTCCAACTTTCAGGCCATTTCCAGGCATCCGGCACGTTCCTTTCCTCCACGAGGAATTTCCCCCCAAAGTTCTCAAGTTCCCATCTCCCCTCAAATTCCAGCCTCCACCACCAGTCATCCCCATAAACTACCTCCAGTTACGACTGCCCGCCCTTTCACTTCCCTGGATATTTTCCCACAAGTTACTCCGACATCGTATCGTTCTAAACTGTCCTGACTTGCTATCGCTCTGTCTCACCCCGTTGCCGTGTCCGCCGCACTATCTGACCCGGCCCCCCTAACCCCCTCGCACGCGACGACCTCCAGCTACCCACCAGCCCTGTTTCACCTGACACAAGCCTTCCGACAAGAGCGACCACGGCAGTCTCCGGCCACCTGGACATCTTGCACTATCGCGGAATGATGTCCATGGTCCTCCGTCTTCGTCCAGTGTCAATGTCAGTGTCGTGAAGCTTGGCGTCCACTTCCTGATCCAACGACATTGCTCAACTTTGTACGAGTGCGCACGAGCTATCTTCGCTTTTGGTCCGGTATTTTCGCACGCGCCGCGCTGTCATGGAGTTCCCGACCACCCAAGGTCGACCGCATGGGCCGGATGAAATCATTGAATGCTGGGATGACGACGATGACCTACAATTCAACGAGGGAGTCCAGTTCCGTGCCGCATCTAGCACAGGCTCGGTGACCAATTCCTCTTTTCGACCCTCTGGGCACCGCGATTCTATCTCATCTCGCCGATCCGCTCGCTCCGATCTCGACTCCAATGCCGGTGATGAAGACTGGCAGGTTCTCCTGCACGATAATGATGAATTCTCCAAGGAGGAGGCACTGGCCTCCGCCAAACATGCCGGCATCCCTATTCCCGCCGATATCCCCAGCTCGGCCCTCATTGGGGGCGCTATTAAACGTCTCTCTGCCCGGAAACACAAGCGAACTTTTGTAGACGATTGGTCAGATGACGTTGAGCTTCCTGGCCCTGATACGGTCCTGGAGCTAAAAACTCCACACGACAATGCTTTCCCAGAATCTTTACGACAGATCAGCTCTGCAGCTACGAGTCCCGTGAAGTCGGTAGCGTCTCCTTCCTGGAATGATGACATTTCAACTCGGCTACAGGCCGCGTTCGCGCCTTTGGACCGCTTTCAGGATGAGAACGACTACCCCGGGAACCAGGATGTTCCTACAATCAAAGCCCCTGCACCACGCTCACCCCAAAAGAATCCTTTGGCTATGGCTGGAAGTGGACATGCAGGGGATCAGATGGATGATTTTGATGACGACCTCGAATTGCCTCCGGACCACCAGCCACTTCAACTGAGCCATCGGAAAGACCATGCTGAAATTTCTAGCCCTATCTTGGATGACTTTGATCTCGAGTGGTCTGAAGGCAGCATTGGTATCCGAGTTGGTGGGACCGCGCGGGACGGCCGATCACTCCCAAGCTCCACCATATCAATCGCAAGCCCCAGCGTTTCCAGCTGTCTCACTGCGGAAAGCGAGGAGGATGGCTTGGATGGTGTTTTGTTTCCGGAAGGGCCCCTGGATTTTACGGCTTCCCTCAAGCGGAGAGAAGAGGCTCAGGCGATTGAGACTCCCATCAAGAATGAAGTTATTCAGAAGGCACCGGCTTCACCGGATGCCGATGACTTCTTCTCGGGCCTTGAGGTTGACCATGGCAGAGCATTTGCCTCAGGGAAAATGACCCTCAATCCCAATGTCAAGTGCAAGACAGAATGGCCGTCAAGCCCAACTCGTCGGCCAGCTACCACACTCACATTCACCAATGCCAGCGGTGGTTCTCCTCGTACTCGCATCCCCCGCCTGTCTGGCCATGACCGAACCCATTCAACTCACCTAGAGACCGTCTCAGAAAGCGGTGCACCACTCTCCAAATTCCGGAGATCGCAGTCCCGACTTGGACATTCGGCGCAATCATCCGTTTCGAGTCTACCTGCCACCGGTACACAATCACCATCGCCAACCCCAGGTGCCTCGAGCCGACGACTTCTAGGGCCCCGGGCTACCAAGACAAGCCCAAATGTCGACGAGAGTAAAGCCCCTCCCAGAACACTTCGAACTAAAAGATCACTACCGTCCATCCGAGGGATCAGTTCGGCTACTTCTACATTGGCTTCGCAACGGACGCCATCTCATCAAGATGGCTCTGTTCGTACCTCTCTAAATCGGCCTAAAACGCCTGTTGAACGGACGGCTGCACTCGATGGGCGAAACTCGGCTCGCAGAGTTCAACCGCCATTTCTCTCCTCTGGTGCATCAGAAAGGAAGCCCCAGAATGCCAATGTCAAAATCTACCGTTCCTCTCGACGCACCAATTCCGACAGCTCTGGTGATATGCTCAGTCCACAGGGCACATTCTCCCGGCTGTCACGACCTTCTCGCCCAGAGAGCCTGCGACTCAGTCTTGGTGAATCTGGCACAGAAAACGCCGGCTCGACGACTAAGCGGACCCTGACCAAACCGACCAGGCGACGCAATTTCGGCGATGGCACCGAATTAGAATCATTTGACGATCTACCCACTTCGGCTTCAACTGAAAGCAAATTCACGAAAAATCCAACTGGGCGAGGAGCCCCCCGATCTATACGTTCTCGACTCAGCCAGAGCCGTATCACTCCCCCGATTGATTCTCCGACTCAATCTACGCCTCCCTCGGTCACCAAGCCGCTGAACCCGACTCCGAGGTTCGCTCGCGATACCAATGCATCCCGAAATGCTCGAGAACAACGAATTGCTTCCATGAACTCCCGTACCCGAGACACAACCCCTCTTGCCTCTGTGAACTCGAATTGGAAACCCCACCCGGTTGTTTCTCGCATCTCCCCCAGCGCCGCGCCGGTACGAAGCCGCAAATCGAAACCCATGACCAAGTCTTCATCCAAACCCCACCTGATCAAACCTCTAGGGTCTGGTGTGCAGGATGCCAAATGTAAGTGCCCGAGACCCCTTTCCTTTTTCAATTTCGTTTTTTTTTGTTTTCGTCCCGTGCCCCGTTCCATTCCCACTTTAAGCGCTCTGAGAGTCGAAATTGGAAACTAACACTGTTGTCTAGCCGTGCGAGGTATGCGGTACAACCCGTCAACTTTCCGATGGGAAGGAAACGAAAATCTAGTCCAGGATTTCGATGTTGCAACTGCTCCTCGATCACCAAAACCTGCACCGGCTCTGATCACTAATGTGGGTCCATTGCACAATGTTCAGTCGGTTGGGGGCATGGTCTTTGATCCCCAGCGCATGTGTTGGCTCAAGGCCTCTGCCCTTGAGTCTGGAGTCCACGGTGCGGTACCGGAGGACGAAGATGATGTCTTCGCTGGGTTGGATGACCTGGATGACGACAAGACTGCGGCACCAACACGCCGAAACTCGGGGGATGTACATGACTTGTCTTCCCACACGCCTGGTGGAGAAGATGGCAGCGCCGGAGAGTCATCCGACGACTGCCCTATTACAGAGGAGTTTGATGTTGGTCCCGAGTTCATTCGACGACAGAGAGCTGAAGAGGACAAGTGGAGACGCAAGGTGGCTAAGTGGGTTGGCTCTGCTCGCGGTGATCGGGAGCATCACTGGCGATGGGCCATTCGTGATCTGGTGGCCGAAGATACCGGTCATGTTATCGGTTAGGATCGAGAAGAAGGAGGCGGGAGGAGAGAGAAAGGGGCCCGATCAAGGTGCCCAAGAGAGCCTAGATGGTCTCTTTGTACCATCATCCAAGTATCTTTTGTCCCTTGGTGTGTGTGCCAGAGTGTCCTTGTTGTTGGAGAAGGGCAAAGGCAAGGCACTTGTTGGGTTGGGCATAGATACACATGAACTTATGACGCGAAGACATAATCTGTCTTCATTGGCCGTGATGAACTTGGCCAAACGATTTTTACGGCAGTGACAGTGGCGGTTTAGTGTCTTATTTTGGGGATTCTTGTTGTTGACGTGGTGACTTTGTGACCCTGTAACTATACTATTCGCACTCGCATTGCTCTATTATCTCCGAGAGTACATACTTCCATACATACTGCCCTGCAGTTGCACCTAATGATTATGAGCATTTCGTTCTTTTGATCTTCTTCCTGCTTCCGACAGATCCGACGATCTCTGGTGCTTTTGGGACTTTGTCTCCTTTCGTTCCTTCGTCTTGTTCCAGAAGTCTTGTCTCCGCTATTCTCTCACCCTGCCCTGTTCATCCCCCACGCCCTTTTCCATTCCCCCTCTATTGTTCACTCGTTCTACTTCACCTCAACGATTTCTCACTGGGCCAAGCCTCCATCATGGCCTGCTTTCTGCATCCGATCAACAGGGAGCATCCATGCTGGTCCCTGGTCCTCTCGGGGGTAAACACTGTCGTTTCCACCCCCGGTCTCTTTCTCTAGTCATTGCCTCTCTCTACCTCCCCTCCAGTCATCATTACTCTGATCTCGAAACAAGCCCCCCTTGGCCAATCCCAAAACACCTCGGACTCGGCGCTTCCCCCCTCATCAGAGCAAGGTGTTCGTCAATTCTCTCTTTATCTTCGGAAACATGCACAGGCTCGCGATCAGGTTCGGGAAGCAGCAGAGTGACACCGGGTGATAGATTGTCTAACGCGCAAAGACTTCGAGCATCCCCCTTTCCGTTTCACGACTGGGCCAGACGCTGTCATTGCTGCGAGTCCCCGGCTGCCAAGTCCTTCGAACACGGTGTCTCACCTGTCGCGGACTAGCCAAACGCAGGCAATCCTGCCATCCCGCATGCTGCTGCATTGATTGCCCGCCAACATTATCCAATCCACTTTGGCCCTGACATCGACGCCACGTCAAGGTCACGCCTAACTGCCACGGATCTCCCTGGCAGCTCATGATCTGGAAAGGCGAAGAGGAGGCTGTAGGACAGCAGCACCGACCAGGATGCGCTTACTGGCAACCCCCTCCTCCTCCTCCTCCCGCGCGCGAGAGCAGCCCACCCACACCCCTGTTCAACGCTGCTTCAGCCCATCCATGCCCATCCTCTCACCCGCGCTAGGCTTTTCTCGAGGTCGTAAATGGGGGCCCCAAGGGACTGGAAGATTTTTGCAAATCCCCTCTCTCCCCAATCCATGTTCCTTACGGCAGCGGTTACGTGCATGTTTGGACTTTTGCCGGAGCAATCTCCAGCCCAACTTTGTTTGACGGAGAGCAAACCTGCAGAAACAAAGCCCTGCACGAAGGGAAAGAAAAAAGATTGTCATTGATTGTATGTACTCGCCTCTTCTAGCCCTTACCCCCGGGGTCGAGTTGTTCCACCGCGACTCGCAAGTCGCAAGACCCGAGTTCGTGAGTCGCGAGTCGCGATTCGCAAGGTCGGGGAGGTCCCCCCGGTGCTTGTCGGTGACATTCTAGAGGCCGATCGTCAAGCGCCCCTCCCCATACGTGGCCTCGAATAGCCCAACGTGGCTCCTCCATGAGGCGAATGGTGGCGCCGGGCATCGAGGCAGGAATCCGTATCACCATTGCTTGTGTCTGTATGTGCTGTCGTAGGCCTTCAATTGCCTCGGCGGGTCGGAAAGCATTCGACCACGAACCCTAGTCCTGTCTCGCTTTGCTTTGCTCTTACCTTTTTCCTTTCTTTTTTTTTTGGCTGTCGCTTTATTTTGGGTGGGAATTTGGGAGACCCATGCCACCTCTCTCTTCCCTGCAAGCTTGGGTCATGCCCTTTCCTGCCTGTACCTTACAGAGCTCTGCTTGACTTGGCTGGCTCCTTTGTTTCTTTTTTTGTGGAATATTTGCCTGTTGGTCGTCCAGGGATTACCTCTGTTGCTTCTATCCACTCTGCTTCCACTGGTCTCGTGCGCTATCTTGGGCATCTGTCATATTCATGCAAGCTTCGTTTGGGGTTTGGTGGTTCTTTATAATAGACAATGTCGCCCCCTTTGATGTTGTTCATGGCTTTGTGTATTCATTCTGGCTTTTTTATAAGACGTGTCTTCCAAAGCTCTCACGAGTAGCTTACCTCTACCACAATTGTGCTGTCGAGACTGAACGGCTCAAGCTCGTTCTTTTGCTTTCACTTGAGCCTCGCTCGCTGTCTCCGTTCCATCATATTTATTGTATCTTTCCTGGTGATCCCTGGTCTATCTCCCATCCGGACGTGAGAAAACGACAGCTCGTCTACAACGAGCATAATATACGATGAGCAGCTTCTCCAGACGCGGAGAAGGAATCGACAATTATCTCATGAACCCATCAATGGCAGTCCCCGGTACTTACAGTCACCCCGATAGCCATGAATATGGCGCAGCAGGATCTGGCACATACCATTTCCCTCAGCATTCCTTCAATCCATACGGAAACCAATTCAGTCCTTCGTATGGACAGCAGTCAAACATGTCATCCGGAATGCAGCATCTCCAGTATGCCTCCGAGCATACTATCCCCTCAATGTCTACTACCGAAGATATGAGACTTCATCATCCCCCCCCGCAGTACATGGCCCAGCCCCGCTACCCACAATCTCCGAGATACCTGCCGCTGCGTGACGCTCTTGGTGAGACGGATATCGAGAGCCAAGAGTCCCGGAATGAGGGCACTTTGCTCTCGGAGCCTGTGGTACCTGCTCTCGATGGGTTTCCAGATGTGAAGGAGTTTGATCAACTCATGCAGAGGTTTGTGGAACGCCAGATATGCGCGGAGCTTTGGTTTATCTTATAGTGGCTAATATTCTATTTCGGACTAGCTATGTGGATGATCTCTCGGTGAAGAAGCAGGACAAGGCATTGATCCATGCTAAAAGAGCGCGAAACATTCGGACTGTGTTGATTGATCCGAAGGACACTGCAGTTGAGTCCGCCCAATTTCGGTGTGTATTTCTTTTCCTTAACTATCATATCGATCATACTGAACAAATTTCCAGGTTCTGGGTCAAGAAAATGTTTAAGCTTCAACCAGTCGGCATGGGAACGGCAGATGTGAGACATCCATCCCCTGGCCTGATTGTCTACACGAATCTAACGAATTATCTCAGTGCCGAAAAATGATTTGTCATGAAGGAAAGCCTGTCGCAATTCGCGAGAAACTGTTCAAGATTCTCACCAAGGCACACCAGCAATGTCAGCATGGAGGTCGCGACAAGACCTCTGCACAAGTCCGACGGATATACTCATGGTGAGTGTCTCCCACCCACAAAGCATCATCTATGCAAGACGAAAACATCTCACCACTAACCATTCCAATCTTCCCCCGCTCCAGGGTCCCAAAGGAACTAATCTCCCGCTTCGTCAAAATATGCCCAACCTGCCAAGTCCGACGCGGAGGATCTCGTCTGACACCGCCCAATTCCCGACGAGGCTCACCAAGACTTGAAATGGTGCCTCGGTCTCCAAAGCTGCCATCCCCACCAATCGTCAAACGAGAATCCTCTTATGGAGGACACTCTTCCCTCAACCGAACACAGACAGAATACCTGAGCCAGTTCCACGGTCATAATGGCTGGATAGATAGCCCACAGAGTATCCAGGGCCGTTCTGCCTTGAACTCGAGTGTTCGGTCTTTCCCGGGTCCCATGAATGGTCTCTCCCACTCAATGGCTGGTGGTATGGATCCTTTTTCAGCGGAGTTGTCAGTGCCGCCGTCGCAGTTGAGTTATACGACCGGGTATGTCCCGTCTCATGGGGCTCCGACTCAACGGGAGTACTGATCAGACGGGATCTTAGGGAGTATAGGGCTGGCTCGAATGATTGAAAGAGGCTCTGACTTTAGTTTTGTGGGCTTGACCGGTTTCATGTTAGATTTACGCTTTATGGTCTGGTCTGAACAAAAGCGACATGTGTGTTCTACAACGTCCTGGATGGATGGGTTGAATGATCAACCCTCAAAAAAACTCGCCTGGCCGGGCCCAAAAATGGTGGCAAGAGGTAGATGGAAAGAGAGGGTCATGGCCCAAAAAATATGATACGAAGCAATTGTAGACGTGGTTAGTGTATTAGGGAGATAATTCAAAACTTTACAACCAATCAAAATTTCCCGGTCTAGAGTAAAAGTGAACTGAATTGAAACCAACTAGGCTTGGAAACTACGCAAGAAAGACGTAGAGAAACATGGCTTCGGTGCGAGGACTCGCCAAAAGTGAACATACAAGCATGAGATAGCAGATGGCTAAGGATGCGTATAGAAATGCTTGATAAAATCATAACGAACCCGCCTCCAGAAAATGTTCCCTACAATCTCTTCTCTTACAAGCGGCACCATCAGTCATGTCTGTATCCATTCCGCTTCTTGTATCATTCAAACATGGTTCTCTTTGATTTATCTTTTATCAACAACCAACAACGCCATACCCACTCTCTCATTAACATAGCCTCTTTCCCCCTGACATGGGCGCCGGGCAATGGAGTCAGTCAAGACCACAGTTCCACGGGAGGATTTGTGGAACATGGCCACAATTGAGGACTGGCACCACATAACGTGAAAGCGTCATCAATTCATAGATTGACTCCGACTCGATTGTCCGGAGCGGGTGCTGTATAGAGCTAGGGACATGATCGTATCGTGTATTATCTGCGGGGAGGCGGGGAAGCTTTCAAGATGCATCCGGAAACAACTAGGGAATAACCAATCCACGTGAAAAAAAGATCCATCGACACATATACCCTCAAGATGGACTTGACCGAGAGTCTCATGCGTTTATCACAGGCCTAATGGATCCTCCTTAGACGGGGAGCGAGAACTTCTTGCCTTTCAGAACCCTGGTTCAAGTCAGTTAGCTTGGGTCATAGACAAAATATGCAGGGTTCGAGCGGCTTACTTGTTGTAGTAGATATAGAAAAAGTCCGAGTAGAGCAGAGTCTGGATGATGCCGGCGATGATGGGAACCGGCTGGAAGGATCGCTGGAAGGAGGCCTCGGTGAAGTATCGCCAGATCCAGTTGGGGATATAGAGTGCCCGATACAGGCCCAGGGCAAACAGATAGTGTGTGGTGATCGTGTCCGCTTCTCCAGTGCGTTGCAACATGAACAATTGGGGCAGAATGGCGACTGACTCCAACCAAATTGAGAACGTCCAAAGGATCTAGGCAACGTTAGTCGTATGTCCAGGTTCTAGGCTATCCCTTGGGGAATTGCCATGGAAAATGACGTTGGCGCATCGGTACGAACCTCGGAGAGTCGGTAGTCGTGGGGGAACAGCAAAGCCAGAATCACGCTGATTCCAAGCAGGTACTGGACCTTGAAGGTATCGATATTGGGGTCATGAGTGGGCTTGTAATCGTTGAGCATGAGGTAGATGATGTAGGCGGAAGAGCCGATGAACAGCAGCTTGAATGTGGTCAGGTACAGCGAATCGGTCAAGGTCCAGAATAGATCTAGAGATAGAGGCAATTGATTGCACGCGTCAGAATTGATCAAGTAGAAAGGGTGTACAATAGACATATGCGCACTCACCCAGATAGCGTGTGACGAAGACCAGGAGATAGAGCGCTTGCGACTTGAAGGACAATCCGGAACAGCTCTGCGATGACGTTAGACATGGACGAGGAAGCGCAGGACTCGGGAATGGCATACGCTGGACGACTTCATCTTCTGGAGAAGAATGAAGATGGACGCCAGGTGGGAGAAATCGGCTGCTTGGAGTCAGTATGTCTCCATCATCGTGGTGATCGCCCAGGTCGATTGCTTGGCTCACCTAGTAGCCGGAAGATATTCATGGTGACGGTTGGGAGCGTAGCTCAGAGAAAAGGAAAGAGGGGATTGTACAAGGTGGATATTCGAATCCAAGTCGTGAGGATAAAGAGAAAGACACCAAATATGAATGGGGAGGATGGGGCGAGAGGGATGGTGGAAGCGGGAAAAGAAAGAAGGGTTTCAAGGAATCGAGAATCGCGGGAATCGGAGTTGTTGACACGAAAACCAGAAGCCAAGCGGGCTGCCGATCAGTCAGATCCTCAGGTACGGGAAAAGCCAAGACTTGTGTAGTTTAACCTCTTTTTTCTAACAAGAATTCAACACAAATATTCTAGAAATTTTATTTTAATCACTACATCAATTTAATATTAGAATAATCAAATGATTAAAAAGACTTGTTTCAAGGGGAAAAAAAAGGTTGCCTTTGAAGTGTTGAAGTATTGTACAGTTCCATGCCATTGCCATACCAGGCCCGTATAGTTCCCACCAGCCTTTCCTAGGCAATAAACTCCACCGATATGAAAACACCCTTGAAGGTGAGAAAAATACGAGAATAACTCTTCTTCTAGGTATCATCCCGTCAGAATAAAACACCACCCCCAATGCCGCTCTCCTCGGCCATGCGCTGTAGATGGCCCTCCGCCAACTCGCTCTTCAAAGCACAAATGGAACTCTCACGATCCAGTCGATCCCAGTCGCGCAATCCGGCCCGTTTAGACTTTTGAGTCTCCATCACCTGATCAAGGATCTTCTCTCGATCCGCTTCGAGCTGGTGAAGACGCTTTTCCGTCGCGGGATCCAGGGTCGAAGGGAAAGCCCTCCCACCCGGGATGATAGTGCTCAACCCAGCAAGATGACTCGGGGGTTTCGGTCCTGTGGGTGGATGGGCAGATGCTACACTATGTTGTCGAGCACCCGCGTGCCGATAGTGACCCCCGCCTCCGGGTACGGGGGATGAAAAGGAAGCGCGTGGCCCAGAGGGGACACCATGTGCTGCGGGCGTTGTAGGCGGTCCACGGCGCGCCATAGGAGATCCACCCCATGGCCCGTCTCGAGAACCCGGCCCACGACGAGGACGAGTGGGCGCAGACAACAGTGACATATTATGAGGGCCACGATTTGGTCCAGGAGCAGCCACATGCGACCCCTGAGAGGGCCCCGAAGGCGGAGGTTGACGGATCCCAGCGTTTCTTGGCTGGGTAGGGATGTTGCCCGGCGATCGAGCACCACTTATTTGACCTTGCTCCGCGAGCACCTTTTCTGAAATGCGAGTGTCATCTTGCGACCTCCGAGGACCTAGCGACTCCATTTCACGATGGGGATCTCGGTATGGGGATCGGCTTCGGGGGCCTGGTGGCGGGCGAAGTGAGGGGGATTGCCGCATAGGTGATCGGCTGTGACTGCGGATAGAGGCGACCCCCATTCGGTCAGGATGTATGGAGGGAGATGAACGCCTGGATGTGGCGCCAGATTCGGGAGCTGCGGCAGCGTGAGCGGGCGATTGTCTTGACGGTGACAAGGGTCGCTCTCTCTTATCGGCATTCTGTTGTCGACGAGGAGCGTCGGTGGAGCCCTGTGAGCGGAATACTAGCGTCGGTTGGGCGTCTGAGGAGATAGCTTGTGCCGGTCTATCATTATCGGGAAGGGGAGGGGAGGTGTGTCTGGTAGTTCGGGGATCTTGACTTCCTGGAGTGGGATCCCGGGCCCGTCTTGGGCTGCCGCGACCCCGGGACAGGTCGCGCGGCCTACTCTCGTTATATCCAGGGGATCGAGACCGCCAGGAAGGAGGAGGCGATCGGAGGCGGTCGTCTCTTCGAGGCGAAAATCGTCGTGGAGGGGACCTTCGCCTACCGTACGAGCCTGGTCCATAGCCTCTACCCTGGAAGGGAGGCGTTCGCGAGCGGCGTCGATATTCGGGTGAGCGACTGCGGGGACGTCCATATGTTCGATTAGAGGGTACCCAGGTATCGGCACGCGGACGCGAGCGATTTCGTGGTGGCGAGCGTCGACGGTTTTCGTATCCTCGAGAGGGCGATCGGCCTGGTCGTTCGGCTGGCCGATAACTTTCTCCCCCGCGGCGGTCGTCGAATCTAGATGACGGTGAGAAACAACGACAGTCATATATAAGCTGTAATCGCTAACCTTCTGCGATCCCAATCCATCGCTGGGTGATTATTTAATCAAAGAAGCATTCGAAAGCGAAATTGTGACGGATCAGTTGTGGCAGATGGAGACATGAAAGATGAAGGACGGAGAAGCCCAGCGGAGGTTAAACTACTTTAGGATGGAGACATTAGCCAGAAGCCAAAATGGAAGGCGGTGAGTATGTGACAATAACTATGGTAGCTAGTTACTAACGAAGATAAATCAAGAGAAATACGAGTCTATATATGGATTAAAACTTTGCTCCATGGAAATGATCTCGCAGGGAGGATATGATAGCGCTACTAGTGGACACTTACCCAGCATGTTCAGGTCGAATGGTCGCAGTAGTATGGGAACAAATGTTGCCAAAGAGGCAAGATCATAGATGAATTATTGGTCTCATAGAAATACAAAAAGCAACCACCATAAATGGAACAGGTCGCCTCAAGGCTTGCCTCGTCGCTCTTCTTCCTTGCGTAGTCTCTTCCGACTCTCCTGTGCAATCATGTCGCTAAGATCCTCCTGGAATCCCCACTGAGGCTGATGTTGTTGTTGTCGCTGGGTCTCGTATAGATCCTGGAGACGTTCCTTGCTAAGACCATCCCCAGATTGGAGGGCATCCAGATCAACTGACACCTCCACATCGCCAGGCTTCTTTCGTTTCCGGGTTTGGTCGTCCACGCCAAGGACGGGATGAGCGCCAGATGATGAGGCGAGATCGTACGCTCGGTCACCACCAAAGAATCCTGAGACGCTGGTCTGCTTCTCGGGGATCACCTGGTACGCACTGCGAGGATGAACAGACTCCTCGGTTTCGGTCCCACGGTGGTGTTTGCGGACATCGAATTCACCAGACACATTCTCCGTGGCTCCAAATTCGGACGGTATCGCGGAGGCCAAGCCACTAGGAGAGTGAATACCCGTTTCTCTCTCCTCATCAGCAGCGTCCTCATCGTCCGATCCCTCTTCCTCTTCGTCTTCTTCTTCCTCGTCACTTTCCTCTTCTCCTTCAGATGCCTGCAGTTCACCCCAAAGATCCTTCTCCACGGGCTCTCCCTGTTGCCCATTTTGCTGAGGTTGCAGTACACCGAAGATATCACCGCCGTAAAGTGGCCGGTTATGTTCATCGACAGGTGGTTTTCCGTAGCCTCCAGGATGATATCCCCACATTGCACCTGGGGGTGGAGGCGCATTGAGACCCGGAATTTTGAGCGCAGGATAGGATGGAGGAGGTCCGAATCGTTGTTGGTTGATGAGCCATGGGGGAGGGGCTCCGGGGGGCATGTTAAGAGCCTCTTTTAGTTCATCGCTTAGTTCGCCAGGGCGCAGATGTCTGAGGTTGGTCTCGTGCTCCTTTCCTTCATAGTAGATCTCGCCATATCGGGTCAGTTCCGGCTTGGTTTGGAAGCGGAAAAAGGCCTCGTAGAGTTTCTGGTAGTCGATATCTAACCGGCCCATCTTGGGTTGGACCCTCTCTCGTTGCTTCTGTTTCAGAGAGGATTGTTCCTGCTTTTCCAAGGCGGCATCGCGCATTTCGGCAATGCCCGTCTCTTGGATGAACTTGGGAAGAGCAAAGGGGGCCTTTTCAACTCCACGTTTCGACGACAAGTACTCGCGCTTAAGGGACCAGTGCGTCGGAACAGGGACTACATTTCGATGGGCTTTGATGTGAACCAAAAGACGTGGGTCGGTGGCTGATGTGTCTGTCCATTCCACAATGTCGGGTTTGGAAACCTGGGCCTTGAGTTCGGCCACGGACAATTTGTTCAGCTCCTTTCGCTTCTTCTTGGACAGCTTCGGCTCCAGCTCTTGCTCCTCATCAGGAATCTCATCTTCATCATCAAAGTAGACTTCTGGCTTCTCAACCTCTTTTGTTGTAGCATTTTCCCCCGGCCCTTCCTCAAACTTGTTGGCGAGATCCTTGTACATCTCCCAGAGAGGGTCATCTGGCACAGGGACGACGGGGACGGCTGGAGGCTCTAATACATCCTTGGGAGTAGCAGGAGGAGGTGTCACCTGCTTTTCGGTCTCCCCATTTGGTTCGACGGGCGCACTGGGAACCTGGGAAATGTGAGTGTCTTTCTCGACGATGAGAGGCGATCGGCTCACCTCGGCCTTCAGGGCCTTCTTGCGAGCTCTGCGGAGCTGATTCTTGTTGGGCTTCGTGGCAGACGGCATTGCGACGACTGGGCAACCTTGATCCAGGGAATATGTTGCGTCCCGGTGCCGAGAATGTCAGTGCGATGCAGATGTCGCGCGACTGGCGTCGGGCTGGAGAAGTTGCGGGAAGGCGATCAGAATCGCCAAGCTCTCAGAGGCGAAGTGGTGATTGGTCCCCGTGACCCACCGCCTTTGCGCATCCTATGCCCTGTACAAATTGTAGATATTTTTCAAACCCTCAGTTCCCAAACTACTCTGTTGATTATTTGAATAATCTTTCTGATGACCCATGCTATAACGCTTGTTTATTGAAGATTTTGTGAACAGAATGACAAAGTGGACAAAAGCACATGCAGAAAGTGCTGGCACCAGGTCATTGATAACTCACAGACCAATGTATAGAAGGCTTTCCATGGTGCTAGCTTAAAACAATCATGATAATCCAAAATTGGAAAGCGAAGAATAGCACTAGAAACAGTGGCAGTACCACAATAGTATTTAACGGTAGTAGGCGATTTCCGGAAATACTCCCTCGTCCAACCACTCCAAGATACGGACTCGAACAGGGAAAAAAAAGACCGATTGTGATGCTAACAAAAGTGGGTAGTTCTATGATACATTTTGGGGGGTGTGGGATATGGGCCATCATCAAGTCACCCAGAGGTGACCCAGCCTCTGTCGTTGGAAAATATAAAAACAATGATCACTGGGTCACTACTGTACCCCAGTGCTAACACGAGCCCTAGGCACTCATTTCTCCGATGTGGTCGTTCCGTAGGATATTCAATGATAGCTGATAGATGGAGTATGACACGTTTATTTCTTCTTCTTGTGGGATCTCGATTCTGGAAAACTGTCAGCGAAAACGTGGACCTTATGGTTCTTCAAAGCCCAGTGAGCCTTACCAGCAGCGGTCCTCTTCTTCTTGGGTCGACCCTTTCCTCGCAATTTGGTACTGTATATATCAGTCAGTATGGAGCAGCGCAAACCGGGTGTAGAAGCCCACGGACATTTGAATAGCCTCCTCTCGATCGTCCTCCGCTTCGTCAAACGTCGTCAACCCGAGGGGCTTGTAGGTGTTCTGGAGGTCTCGGAAGGAGACCGTCTTCTTAGGGTACCATGCTGCAAGCGCTGGGCCGCGTAGTCGTTGCCGAAGGATCTTATTGCCCAGTCGGAGCCGTTGCGGGTTGAAGTTCAGGGAGAAGATGCGACATTGGGTCTGGTCTCGGGGTCAGTAAAGATTCCGGTTGGGTAAAGTGGGGAAAATGGAGGAAGTAGATACCTTCACCAAGTCGAGTATTCGGGATTGTGCCATCGTCACGACTCAATCACTTCCCGTTGTTGGCCGACGGAGTGATGGTGATGTCTTGCAGATTGCGGAAGAAGCGCGCAACTTGCGGCTTTGCTGTCAGGTCACGTGCCATGTCTTCGATGGACCCACTTGGTTCCTCCCGCCGCGCCAACTTTCGCGCCTCTGCGGCTTCGCGGCTTCGGCTTCACAGCTTGCACCGGGGCAAAGGATCGCCCAGACTTAAGCAATGGGAACTAAACGACCAGCCACAGGCCCTGGGAGCATGGCTGCTCCCATTGAGTCCTTGAAACGAGCTAAGGTATGTTCATTGTTGACGAGAAATCACTTGAGCGGCATCTTTCCGCTCGCTCTTGCCGCATTATGTTCCCAGGTGTTGAAATTTGAACTGACATTTTCTTAACTTTAGATTGAATACTCGCAAACAAAGGATGTGACTGTTGCAGAGAGCTCGACCATGATTTTGAAACCCAACACTCATTCTCGTCTATCTTCATTGAAATATCTGGTACAAGAGGTTATGGCCGATCCTGAGGTCGCGACGGCTAATTTGGAGGTCGCGGAGGCTCTTTCAAGGCTAAATGACAGTCTCAAACACCTTCCAGTATCCTCAAACTCACCCACAAGTCGCCTGGAGGCTTCTCGGATCCAGAAAAGCAATCACCTGTCACCCCCTCCAGAGAATAACGAACCTCAATTACCTGCTCCACCGCCTATCCTCGATGATCAACTGCAGAAGGCAGTCTTTACACACTCCGCGTGCAGCGGCGATAATAACTCAAATTATGACCGGCTGGAGTTTCTGGGTGATGCCTACATCGAACTGATCGCAACGAGGTTGATCTGGGAGAAATTTCCAGGCGTACCGGCGGGTCGAATATCTCAGATTCGTGAAATGCTGGTCAAGAATGAGACGCTTGCAGGCTTTGCGGAGGCATATGGCTTCGATCGCAGGGCCTTGGTCCCAGCGAATTACTCAGATCAGCCTAAGCGGTGGACCAAGACCAAAGGCGATATCTTCGAGGCCTACGTAGCGGCCATCATACTTTCTCGGCCCATGGGTGGTGGATATGAGCTTGCAGAACAATGGCTGACTAGCTTGTGGGTGCCCAAGCTCAGCAGCCTAGGCCACCAGAAAGCCAGCTTGCGCTCAAAGGAGGCTCTAGCCCAGCAAATCATGGGCAGGGACATCAAGCTGGAGTACCTTGAAGAACGGCCATCGATTCAGAAGAAAGGCACTGGTACACAAACATTCTTCATCGGGGTATATCTCACTGGTTGGGGATGGACCAAGAGACACCTCGGTTCTGGGCAGGGTTCGAGTAAGGTCGCGGCGGGTGATGAAGCAGCACGAAATGCCCTCTTAAACACATCCCTGATTGCTGAAATCACTGCTCAGAAAAAGAAACACCTTTCATAGGAGAAAAAAATTAACAAAATAATGATAGCACCTCGAATATCTTCACTACAGCTATCTAAATCGAAGAGCGGAGAGATGTCTTTTTAATCAGGAATCGACCTCGACTTTAAACAAGTATTTTTTTGGCTCTATTTTAGAGATACCCAGGCTCCAAATTTATCAATTACATGGCAAATTTGGGAGAATTTGACATATCAATCTAATTGCAATGTTGTCAGACGTCTTCCTTTCACCGGGAGCTCTAATATTCGAAAGTTTAAATGTGCATACATACTACTGTAGGATCCTCGAGCGAAGCTTCGACGTATGCTCATCCCGGAAGTAGGAGTGAAGTAACCCAAATTCCGGCATTGAGGTGTACCAGCGAAGCCGGGCTTTCGGAGCTATTATCGAACCAGCTTTAGTGTAAGTGGAGATGTATACAAAGTCATCTAACCGATGTTTCTCGTACTGAAGCCGGTTTGCAATACCGATGTGAAGCCGAGCCGATTAATTCGGTCTGATGCTGGGCGTTGAGAAGTGCGAAAGGCCGATGCATATAGATAATGTCCAAATAGGCCATCGCCATTTGGGACTTGGAAAGGTGCTCACAGACATTTCTCATGTTTACTTGAAGAGTGAATTAGCCATGTTGCTACAGGTATCCTGTATAGTCAACCATTATGGATTATGTATCAGCTGGACCCATGCCCTGTGAAGAGCCGATCTCTGAAGAGCTCATGTTCGGAGCCCGAGTTTGACTCCCGTCTTCTTCCGCTTAGTCACGTCTCTTTTCCATGGCTAAGTTAGTTAGGTAGGTACGGTAACCAACTATGAAATTGGGAGTTTTACTCAAAGGCACTAGCTTTAGGTAATTATTTGAATCGATTTTTCCCTCCTAGTGAGAGGCCTCGATATCTTTTATTTTCTCTCCTTGCCTTTCCTTCCATACGCTCATTTTATTACTTCTCATTTCCCTCATTCTCTGGTGGAAGAAATCACCAAGGCCATTCTACAGGATGCAGCACTGCTTTCTATCAACATGCATCTCCCTAAACCTTTTGTGGCTGCAGTGGTGGTATCCTTTCTTTTAAGGCAGCTCGTTTTTTCTGCCAACATGTAACGGCATATCATGATTCAATTCGGATCAGCAGTATGAATGTCCTGTTTGGTGACTACGACCAAGGCATCATTGGTGAAGTGAATCTGTCAATGCCCTCTATCCCCTGAGAGCAAGGATTTTCCGACCGTCTATCAGCACTCAATTACCGAGTACCCTACCGCTGATGATGTGCGACAAGCCGTGTGCAAAAGTCACTTTTGGGGTGCAATCTACGCCAACACCGGAGCTTCATCAAGGTTGTCTTCAGCCCTCGTCTCACCACGGGGGGCAGAAGTCTATAACAATTCTCAAGCCTTGACCTATGTGTTGAATGGAGCTAAATACGCTGCATATGCGCAAACAATCTATTCGAGCCTTGAGGTGCTTATGCAGGCTACGAAACGGGCATACTCTCAGATAAACGGAGCCAAAGTCATGGCCGCCATCAATGTTACAAACAGTCGAATTGCGTAGACTCTCTTAGATTCAATCTCGGCATCATCGATCAATATTAAACCGATTAACCAGGGCGTTCGCTTCTACTACAACACCGTGTCGATGGTGATGCCAATCCTGCAACAAATCTTCTTCATCATGGCGCTTAATGGGATCTTCGCTGAACACCACATACTCCGCTTTCTGTCTGTCAAAGTTGGTACTACCCTTCGACTAGGCATCTCAGTCCTCTACACATTTATTGCCTCGATATGCATGTCTGGAAATATTTGGGCCTTCCGTGAAGGATGGGATGTGAATGGCGGTCAAGTTGCCCTTACATGGATGGCAATCTGGCTGGTCATGCATCTGAACTTCTTGCTGATTGATTCGGTCACCACTGTTATACCCATGAAGTTTATGCCTTTCGCTATCCTGACATGGATTATCATCAACGTCTCAAGCAGCCTTTTGCCCTTTGATCTTTCCCCCGGGTTTTATCGAGTTGGATATGCGCTCCCGGACCATCAGCTTTACCAACTCCTACTTGATATCTGGACAGATGGCTGCAATCCTCCTTTATACCGCAGCTTGCCCATTCTTTTCAGCTGGTGGATCATTGGCTTCGTGGCTTTCCTAGCTGGAATGCGCAAGCGGCACAATGAGGAAATGAGTGGGGAAACTGAGAAGGACCTCGCTGAGATCCCTTTGACTGCGGTTTAACAGAATTCCCAGGTATAATAAGAATTTTTGCGTGATTGGAGTCGGGACACAGGTTTCTCTTTCATTTATTTCCTCGCAGCTGTCGATCGTTCGTTGAGTTTCCACAAATCCTTTCTTTTTTGTATTAGTACACTATTTATTAATTTCGTTGTCAATTACAATCCAATAGACCAAAACACCAGAAAAGGCTCCATAAAATTCGATGCGAGAGTACTGAGTGAAGCTCGAGTCTACTTGTAGTTGCATCAATAGTTGCCTGTAGATGTTACTGATTTCCCCATGATCGAAGTGAAAAGGGACAACCTTATGGACACATTAGGTGCCTATTTACTCGGTTTAAACGATTTGGGATAAGTTGCGTTGTATTCAGACTTATTTCATCCAGACTTGATACTTTCGCTCAAATACATAAGCTGATTTCTTAATCTTCCTTTTTGACACGTAACAGATATTGCCATGTCCATAGGTCCAATTCTCTATCTCTATCAATGACAGACCATTATATTGTACGCAGGAGCTTGCGACTGTATTGTGAGGGGCATTGTTTCTATGTAAAAACTGAAGATATTATCCCCATAAAAAGCCCGGCTACAAAATAGCAACACACTCGATCTCCACATCAGTATTCAACGGCAATGTTTTCACAGCCACGCACCTTTGAGATACAGTTAGCGCAGTTTCAATATAGAATTTGCTTGTGAGTCTCAGCTTACGTCCTGGCAGGCTTCACGTCGCCCCAGTACAGCGTATAGACCGAATTCATCTCCGCAAAATCGTCCATGTTGGATATGAAAACATTGACCTTGACGACCTTTGTGATATCTGACCCAGCGGCTTCGAGAATATGCGATATATTTTTAATGCATTGATGCTGGTGACAAGATAGCGTCAGTATTGTCCTGTTAAAAGGAAGAAAAGACCTACAGTATGCGCTTTGATATCTCCTTCGATTAGCTTGCCTGTTTGTGCGTCCATGGGCACGCAACCAGAGCAATAAACGAATCCATTGGCAACAATGGCTTGCGAGTAGATCCCAGGAAGGGGAGCCGGTGCACTTTCAGTGAGGATGGCTTGCTTTGCTGACATGTTGAAGAAGTGATTTGAAAGACTGCAGGCTTATCGCATGAAATAGCAATCGGGATACTTAACTCTTATATACTGTAATAATGGGACTCAATCTCAATCAGGCTACTTGAATGACCGTAACTTTTTTTTGCTCTGATGCTACCCATCCCCCGTGTCGCTTGTGTTCAACCCACCATTCATCCCACTTAAGTCGTGGGATGCAGGGGCGGGATGATCGTAGCTGGGAGACGGATGATTGAAGCATGCACTACGGAGGTCCATTTCAAAAGAAATGAGCAGCGCATTGACCACCACTTGTTTAAAATACTGTATGAACATCGTTTCCTACTATACCCTAAACATCTTCCCAATCACCCTGCTGCTTCTTCTCCCTGCCCTCTTTATATTCGTTTCCTCCTTCTAGCTCTATAATCTGCTTTATATGCCAAGGAATACGCTCAATCCACTGCTGAATCCTCTCCTGCGGTAGTTCTTGCCAAGCTGCCTTCCATGCACTAAACGCTTCCTGCCGGGTCTTCGGTGCTCCCTTACGTGTTGTTCTTCGCTTCATCCAAGGCCACGCAGGCTCAATTGCATTAAGATCAGGCGAATTAGGGCACCAGAGTAATCTTTGTACCTGTGCTGCATCAAAAACACGCTGTTGGATATGATGATTATGCGCTGGTGCTTTATCTTCTTGAACAAGCGTTCCGGGTCTTTCAATAGCACATTCTTGCGCGAATGGAAGCAATTTTGGTAGTAAGATAAGTCGTTGATATCGATACCAATCGATTCCACCTCTTTTTCCACGGCCTAATTTACCATTCTTTGCAGTAAACTTCCATGTAGGCTTCCTGCCACTAGGGTTTTGACGAAGATTTAGACGGCGTACGCCAGTCTCAATCTCCCACGCAGTACGTAGAGTAGGTTCAATCTCGTTGTTTAAACGTTCAATTTCCTTCTCAGCATCACGTTTTTCTTGCGCAGTCTCTGGAAGCCAACAGTGATAGGGCCCTTTCTTATCATAAGAAAAGCATCCCCAAAACATAAATTCAGAAGCGCCTTTCCATCGTTCGCGAATACAAGATCGTAAGAAACGCTCATCTTTAGTTCGCCAGATTCGATAACCTCCACGTCGGTGTAGAAGAATCACTGACGTTTCGTCAGAGAAAATAACGTTTTTCCAATCTTCTAAAGTCCAGGATTCGTGCGCAAGACACCAAGCAAGACGCTCAGCACGCATCTTCTTCGTCAATCCAGGCTTCCTCGTTGGCTTCGTCTTCCGAAAGCCAGCGTTCTTTAGCACACGATAGATCGTTGTACCGGAGATATTGATTCCTAGCTTGCTAAGATCACCAGCGATATCAGCGCAGGTCTTTTCCCGGCCGTATCGATCTAGGCGCACCTTTGATAGGATAATATCGACTGTAGAAGGATCTTGCTTGGTAGGCCTACCAGAACGAGGCTTATCTTCGACATACTGGTTATCAACCATCGTACGATGCGGATCGAATCCTCGCTTAATTGCTTCTGCATAGATTCGATTCACAGAAGGAACAGATAGATTGGTAAGAGCAGCGATCTCGGCAGCAGATTTAGGCGTATAGGCCTTCAAAGCAACTACCGTTGCGCGCCTAGCAATTGTAGACTGCTTTGCCATGTTACCGTGCTCATGTAGTAGGAGTAGTAGAAGAAGCAGAAATAGAAGGGTAGGGGAGATGTGTGTGCATGTGTGTGTGTGTGTGTATTCGCCTGGTAAAAGACTAGTGGTAAAATAATAGTGGTCAATGCGCTGCTCATTTCTTTTGAAATGGACCTCCGTAGAAATAAGTATAATTAAACGGCCCCATTGCTTTTTTTAAGCCCTTCATGTTACCTACACACTGTTCTGATACAGAAAAAACAACTGAACCATCATGTCTGTCGAGGTTTCAACCCTACCACCCTATCCCCTCCACGAGTCGGTTAGGGACAAATTGAGCCCCGAATATGTGGCTTTCTACAACCAATACATCATCAACAACCAGCAAGTCCACTACCAGCCCGTGGAAGCTTCGCGCACGAGTGGAACGCTGATTCCAGGAGGCGGCCCACTGCTCACTGTTGGTCAAACCGAGGACATCTCTATTCCACGACGAGCAAGTTCTGGACCCGACGTCAAGGTCCGCTGCTTCACCCCAGCTGGGGGGAAACCGCACGATGGATGGCCAGTTCTGTTGTATTTCCACGGTGGCGGATGGGTTCTCGGGACAATTGATACCGAAAACACCGTTTGCACCAACATCTGTGTGCGCGCAAACTGCGTTGTCATTACTGTTGATTATCGGTTCGTCTAAACCCCCGAGTCTTTTTCTTTTCTGGGGAATAATAATGAGTGCTAAATCATGTCCACACAGCCTCGCACCAGAACATCCCTGGCCCGCCGCGGTACACGATAGCTGGGAAGCATTCCAATGGCTCGTTTCCGATGGAGCTTCCAAGCTCTCCATCAACCTATCCAATATGGCCATAGGTGGATCGTCGGCCGGTGGTAATCTTTCAGCTATCGTGTCCCAGAAAGCCCTCGCATTGTCGCCACCCGTCCTTTTCAAGTCTCAGGTGCTCTCGGTTCCTGTCACCGACAACACAGCATTGGTCAGCAACAATCAATCATACGCGTTGTACGAGCAGACGGCCGCTCTACCGGCAGAGAAGATGCTCTGGTATCGGAAGCACTATCTGCCCAGTGAATCCGACTGGGCGCATCCGGAAGCAAGCCCCTTGTTCTACCAAGGCAACTGGTCACAACTCCCACCAGCATTGATTCTAGTTGCGGAGTTGGATGTTCTTCGTGCGGAGGGGGAAGAGTATGGGGAGAAGTTACGCGCTGCTGGGGTACCTGTGGATCTACATGTTATGGCGGGAATGCCGCATCCTTTCCTCGCAATGGATGGCGTGCTGGGGGAGGGCAAGAGGGCTATTACTTTGATGTGCGACACGCTGCACGAGGCGTTTTGGAAGAAATGAGCTAGAACCAAGAGTTTTGTGTCTTAGATTGCATTGATTATAGCCTCCGAGCAAATTGCTTCTACAAAATACGCTGTCTATTGTATGTTCTGCGCTACCTAGCTTGCAGAAGATAACCCAGTAGATTTGAATTAGATTGCAGCAACGGATACCTTGGCTTGGACCCCACAGTCCACCATGAATCTCCATTAGGCCTCAAAGAAATAGACAACGCATACCTTCTTTCGAAATGGATAGTACGTTCTCTTCTCCAAAGTGATAGGTCAATTTCATTGTTATATGATCTTGATTGTGATGGGATCGTAGTAGAGTTGAAGATTGCTGAACTTGAAAATAATCTCATTTCTATTATAACTAGCCCGCGAACTCATACTTCGGATACCCTTTGGCGTCCTGAGGATGATATTTGAACATATGTCCGCCCTCATCATTAGGGTCTGGATTGGCTGTACGGTCTTTTCCACTTGCCATGAAGATAATATCATGATTAACTCCTCCCCATGTGGTGCAGGCCGGGTTTTTAGCCGTCACCACGATATCTTTCAAGTGCTTGCCTTCCGGGCTAAAGACCATAATTCGATGAGACGCGAACACAGCTATCCAGAGATTTCCTTCGGAACTATCAGATATCAGTGGTCGTATCATGCCGTATGTGAGCCGGAGCGAAATGAGGAAAAAAGAATACTTACTCGACCACCATCCCATCTGGCTCCCCATAAGACGAGCGTCTGTCGATAAGGAGTCGCTTGTTTGAGATGTTTCCCGTCTCCAAGTCAAAGTCGAATGCAAATACCATCATTGCGACCGAATCATTGAAGTACACTGCTTCTGTTAGTAAGTTTCACTAAAATAGAAGCAGCAGGCACCTACTAATCGTGTTATCTGGGCTCCATGCAAGCCCATTCCCGCAGACCACTCCCTCGGAAATCATCAGATGCAAGCTTCCATCCGGATCATATCTCCACAGTCGGCCTCTGGGTGTACCATAGCTGGCGGGAAGTTGGTTAGGTCCAAATGCCATCGCCTTCTTATCTATCTCTGCCAGCCAGAACCGGCCTTTTGCGTCGATGCCGCCATCATTGAAGCGGAGCTCGTCCCGCTGGTCGGTGGGGATGATTTCCTTGACGACCTCAAACTTGCCCGTAGCCTCATCTAAGAAACATACTCCTTGATAGTACGCGGCGATGTAACTGCCGGGTCGGTCTTTGCGAAAGAATGCCACAGTCACGCTGTCGTCGAGAAGAAGGATACGGGTGTCTCCGATGGCGTCGCCAGTGTGTGGGTCTACCTTGAGGATGTAGAGTCTTGGGGGCTCAGAGAGACAATCCACCCAGTGTAGAGTTGAGTCGCTGGCCCGATAGATTGGGGCTTCACCAAGGACCATGGGGTCGGGGCAGTAGTACCAGGGCTTTCCGCCATCAATTGATTCAAGGGGTTCAACCATTTTTCCTGTTGGCTTGTTGAAGACAGAAGTGATTCCAAGAGTTACGTATCTACTATCTCTTTTGTAATCAAACTTTTTTCAAGGTGGTGGTCACGATAGTCTTCCCTGTGGCTACACGAAGTGTGGAGAAGGGATGTCTGGATTGTTCTTGCCCGCATATCCCACATATTCCACACTTTACACGGGATAACGATCAATCTACGGACAGTTCTTGTAATATCATCACCCCCACCCACTTATCTCGGCAAATAAACAAACTACTACTAGTCACTTCTCAAGGAGGGGTAGATTACCCCCGCGGGTGTTCACTAACCAATCTTTTGTCAACCGCCATCACCCCGCCGTAGATACCACAAAAAAAACCAGTCACAGAAAGAAAATAATCTCTAACTTAGATTTCATCCCAATCAAAACTTAATCAACCATCGCGATGTCAAAAGTCTTCTTCATCACGGGCGCGGGAAGCGGTATCGGGCGAGTCACAGCACGCGAGCTTCTACTCAAGGGCTATCGCGTCTTCCTAACTGATTACAACGATGCCTTCCTCGAGGACACTTGCTCCGCACACCTCCCTTCCGTTATCCCCAGCGACAAGCATGAGAATTTCAAATGGGCGCAGATGAATGTCTGCGATGAACAGCAAGTCACCAAGGCAATCGCGCTGTGTGTCCAAGCATTTGGGGGCATTGATGTCCTAGTCAACAGTCTGGTTCTTCTGTTTCTTATTCTCTCTTGACGGGAACCTCGAGGAGGTCATTGATGATTAAGTTTCAACTAACTACTTTTCCGGTGGATATAGATGCAGGAATCAATGTATGTCTTTCAGAACCTTACCTTCATCCTAAAAGAGTCGCTAATAGAGGTCTAGAGCCAATATATGCGGGCAGGGGTCAGAATGGATAAAGTCCCCACTTCAGATTTTGAGAAAATCCTCTCCGTCAATCTGGTCGGCGCATACCGTGTCTCCCAGATGGCCATCCCCTATCTCGAACAGTCCTTGGGCGGCGGCGTCATCATCAACATGTCTAGCTGCCGAGCGAGCCAGCAGAGCAAGAACGGCGAAGCCTATGCGGCCTCCAAGACCGGAATCGAAGGCCTCAGCATGGCCATGGCCGTGAGTTTAGGACCGAAAATTCGAGTACATGTGGTGAGCCCAGGGATGGTGGATGTTCGGTGCGAGCGGAATGAGAGCTTGTTGCCGGATGTACAGACGCTTCGGGGCGACCTAGATCGAGATTTCCAAAGTGAGTATGCACCCACTTGGGGGGCGGGGAAAAGTGACGCTCTGAGCGAAGCGCATCCGGTAGGCAGGATTGGAAGAGGTGAAGATATTGCACGGTATGTGTAACTCTTACATTACATGGGGCAGGGTAAAAAAGGATCAGCTAATTCTGAGGATATTTTGGGAGAATACAGGTGGGTAGAATTCTTAGGTGTTTTGGAGAGTGGCTTTACAACGGGCGGGGTACGTATTTGGAAGATTTATTCATTGATAGACTATTTCTGTACTGACTGGATATAGGCGTACTTGGTGGATGGAGGTTATTCAAAAGTTCTGTCTTACCCTAGCTAGGGGTCTAGACATCGTGTCACTTTGTGAAAATAGCATGTCAGAAATAATCATCTTCTAAATCTCAGACCGCATTGGCGAAGATAAAATTTATTTCATACAAATTACGTAGAAAATATTTGCTTACGTGGGAGGAGGGTGAGGGGGGAAAACGAAGAGGAAGAACGAGGGATGCATCATTAGGTCACTTCTAGCCTGTAGGATATATGAAGTGCTGATCTCCCGAACTTTCTCTCATTCTTCTCTAACCCATCAACTACAACCAGCTGACAAGGTATAAAATATACCTAGCAAAATGTCGAAGATCAAAGCTGTTATGTTAGGCACAAGTCATCCTCACATCTTTCATCGATATAAATATCTCCAACAATCTGCCAACATCACACTTCTGGGATACTATGATAGCGATGACGTCGTCGCCCAACACATGCAAGGCTACGCGGGATGCCCACGGTACGAAAGCCCCGATAGTCTCCTGGCCCTTCCATACGATGTAGCCCTCATTCATGGCCCCGATCGCGAAAATGCAAACTATATTCGTTTGGCTCTTGACAGCGGAGCGAGGGGCATCTTCGTCGAAAAGCCCGGCGTCGCCCAGCCACCAGAATTCTACCCGTTGGCAGAAGAGATCCGCCAAAGGAAAAGCACCCTTGTCTTCGAAGTCGGCTGGGAGCTGCATTATCTCGAAACCGTGGCCTTCGCACGGCGAATTCTCCGCGAGTCGCTGCTAGGGACCATCACAATGGCTCGGTTCCATGGCGGGTGTCCAGGCGGCGCGGGGGCGGAACCCTGGCAATCGGATCCACGGAATATCGGTGGCTTCTTTTATAGTCTCGGTGGCCATGTCGTGGAGATCGCCGTAGATCTCTTTGGCTTGCCGACGCAGGTCGTGAGTTCGATTCGGAAGCTGCCAGCGCAGCCGCCTCATCAAGGTTTCTCGTGGATGCCGAGCCTGTTCGATGGACGTGAAGTGAATCCGTGGCAATCTATTGGAACGCTGGTGCACGAGGACATTGCATCGGCAATCTTGGAGTACGAGCATTTCAATGTGCATCTGGACTTTACGGCATGGGAGGGGAGTCGTTATCTGAGGGATTGGAGCGTGGAGATCTACGGCGTTGAGGGGTCCATGCGACTAAATGTGGACGGTCCAGGGAGCTGTCTGCTGTTGAAGGAGAAGAAGGAAGAGTGGGAATCCGGGAGAAATGAGCTGTTTGAGAGAGAGGTGAGTTTGGCTGCAGCTTTCGAGAAGCAGATGGAGTGCTTCTTTCGGAGAGTGGAGGGCGTGGGAATTGACGAGGAATATTGCGATGAAAGCATAGTCGAGAAATTGCTGAAGCTTTACAGTGCTTTGTATGAGTCTGCTCGGACTCAACAGTGGGTAACAATGTAATAATTACGAGGAGGTGGAGCATGATATTGTAGCGAAAGTAGTGCTAGCTAGTAATATACTTCGGAATTCTCTAGCCAATACGGATCCCCCACGTTTCCTCCCTTCCAGCAATCCACAGTGCACAAAGAATACCAAGACTTGAGCGGAGTATCAAAGTCCTCAAGAGAGGTACCGCTCTCTGTCAGGGCTAGGAGAATAGTAGCTTCGGTGGTCAGCTCAGACAGACGGACTGCAACATTGTATATCCCGCTGTTGGTCATCTCAGAACACCCGCTATAGGCATTGCAAGGATTTGTGTCGACAAGTTCAAGATACGCATTTGACGGTCGCAGTATCTTGAGCTCCATCTTAATATCACCCCGGGTTAAAGTCGCAGTTCGATTATCCGTACCTAGAGTTATATCTGCAGTTGTATGCCAGCTAGCAGCTATGTCCACTGCACCGGGCGCGATAATCTCGTCTCGGACCAGAAGCTGCGAGTCATTGAGAACTACCACTCCGCGAAGGACGCTGCTTGTGACATTGGAATATGCTTCTGTGAGGTTTGCGATGCCAAATCGACTAGATGAATCAAAACTACCCGCCCAAAGAAGAGAGTTGTTCGCGGAAGGAATCTGGTTTGCGAAATGCAGTGCAGTCTGAGCCTTGTCCGAAATGCTCAGAGTATTCGCGCCCTCGGAGCGGCAACGGTAGTATGTCCAGCGTTTTGGCGCAGCGAAGTAATTGCTGAGACTGTAACTATCGGACCCCAAAAGCTCGGCCCATCGGTAGCCCTTGTAGTCTACCACAAAGGAGCCTGCATCCAAATGACCATGAGAGCGTCCGTTGAACCCCCCCCATGAACCCGTAGAACCAGCCATCTGAGTTGGTCCACGATGTGCGATAAGTCATTCCCGCAACGCCTTTGAACTGGTCGTAGCGAGGCATGCCTGGCAATACATTTGTGGTATTCAGCGTGGTGCTGTAGAAAAGATATGCCTGGAAAGTTGCTGCTTGAACAGCTGTGAATCTCGACAGCATTCCCTGCAACCAGCCAGCCTGGTTAAACCGCGTCGCCCAGTACCCGACGCTCCAAAGACTGTTTGCATTCGAAAATGTCCATGCCCCGTCGGCCCAGCTAAATCCACCCGTTTGTCCAAATCCATGTGTCAACCAGGCGCCCAGGTTGCTCATCCCGGGAAGGCTTGAGATGCCAAGGTCATTACCGAGTGCGCTATCGAGCGAGCCCATCATCAGGCCCAGGAATATGCCTGCATATGTTCCGTATGAATAGCCTTCAACCCAGCCGCCATCTGGGGCATACTGTTGTAAGGAAACGTTTAATTTCGGAAGGGAGAAATCTATGATTTGGTTTGCAAGTGTTGCCTTGACATCTCCTATGGCTAGAGTGCCAATGATCAAGCACCCATGCGTCACCTGTGCCCAGTTATTGGTATGCTCACTCCACGAGTTGACCGAGGAGTTGAGAGCTGGCACGAAAGACTTCTCAGATATCGCTGTCTCTATCGCCTCACGCTGGGTCTCAGTCAATTGATCATACACCCAGTCGTAGCCAAGAGAGACCGTCATGGTGATATCTGCCGTATTTAAGAAATTCGATGGATTCCAGTCGGAGAGGTTAACTATCGTCAGAATTGTCTCAATAACCCAATCGGAGTAGGCACTGTCATTCGTCAACCGGTACATGCCTGCCGTCGCGCCGACGTTCATCCGAATGGTGCTAGACCAGGAGGTTGATGCGGATAGCGACAGGGGGGTTGCGATAGCAGTATTTGCCGTCTTCTGCAGATATCCAAGTACACTCTGGTAGTACAAGTCTGTTTTGTTCATTGAAAGCACCGCTTGAACCCGGGCATCGGTGAACATCAATCGTGGATGAGATGGGAGACTCGAGAAGTCGATTGAGGCACTTGCGATCGAGGCAAATGCCAATACCATGGCATAAAGAAACAGCATACTGTCAAAACTTGACTATAGTAGTAGTTCCGTATTGTATAGTACTTTTGAAAGACTACTTGGTTGAAACATGGGGACTTGCATTCGCTTATCTATGTAACTGCTTAATCTTCATCAAGTTATCCACCATCCCGCATAACCCGAAAGCCACCCAAAAGCCTCGGTAGAATCATTGGTCTGGGGAACTACAGATTCAGTGCAGGAGAGATTGTCAGTTTCCTTATCAGATAGCCTTTCTTTATCCCGTAAATTACGCGGGATGTTGCTGTCCAAGCGTCTTTACCGAGGGCGGAGCACATAGTATATAGAGACTGGGGTTGGAGCATGGGGTTCCCGCATTTCAACAACAGCACCCACTGTATCCAAAACAAGATTCAATTGAAGATGGATCATCAAACATCAAAAGAAACTGAAAGCCACACCAGTGTGGAGGAAGAGCAAGCAATGGCTGTTAGCAGTAGTGATTCGAAGAAGATCTGCTATACTCGGTACAATTCGCCTTTCTGGCAGATTGTCATCGTCAGCTTCGTTGCATTCGGGTAAGATTCATAGGACTTGCAATCCACGGAGTACGCTAAAACAATGTGAACAGATGTCCTGGCATGTATAATGCTCTTTCTGGGATCGGAGGAGGTGGTCAACTGGACACTACCACGTCAGCCAAGGGCCACATCGCCCTCGCCTCTGTGAGCGCAGTAGGAAACATCTTTGTTGCCCCTGTTGTGACCAATATCCTGGGCCCGAAGTGGACTGTCTTCATTGGTGGTTTACCATACGTGCTCTATGCCGGATCTCTGCTGGCCTATTCCCATACCGCGAGCCAGGGCTTTGTCATCGGTGCCAGTGCTGTCTTGGGTATTGGGGCCTCATTGCTGTGGATTGCACAAGGCTCTATCATGACCGGATATCCACTGCCGCAGCAACACGGGAGAATGATTGGAATATTTTGGATCATCTTCAAGTGAGCTCTGAATGCCGTTCGATGGGTCGCCCAGGATGCTAATCTAGGCTATACAGTTCGGGTGGGTTCCTTGGCTCCATGATATCTTTTGGGCTAAACTTCAGCTCTAAAAGCGGCACGGTCTCCGATTCAACATACATTGCCTTTATGTGTATCATGGCCGCTGGCTGTCTTTGTGCACTTGGCTTGCTCAACCCTTACAATGTCATTCGAGAGGATAATTCGCGCGCCGCTGTTTCGAAAAAGCCCGGTGTTTGGGAGGAGTTTGTGGGGCTGCTGAAAGTCCTACGAGACTGGAGAGTGGCGTCCCTCATCCCTTTCTGGATGGCTGCCAACTGTGAGTTCCTTCCCTCTTACTTTGCTTACCCCTCTTTTTCATTCATTCCTCATCTATCACATAGATGCCTACAACTACCAGCAAAATACCTATAACGCGAAGCTTTTCACCCTTCGCACACGCAGCTTCAACGGCGGAATGTACTGGCTAGCTCAAATGGTATCCAGCTATATATTCGGCCTTTTCCTCGACAACCCATACATGAACCGCCGTCAGCGTGGATTATGGGGCTTTGCTATCAATGCCCTCATCTCGATGGTCGTGTGGGGCGGCGGATTGGCCGCCCAGCTCAAGCGCGGCCCTAACAGCGACTACTACGCCCTCAACGAGATGGACTTGATTACATCCGGAGGTAAGTATGCCGGTCCGTTTATGTTGTACTTCTTCTACGGTAGCTTCGACGCTATCTGGCAGACTCTGGTTTACTGGACGATTGGCTATCTGTCGCACGAGTCCCCGGAGCAGGCGGCGCGGTATGTGGGGGCGTTCAAGTGCGCCGAGGCAGTGGGCAGCGCGATTGCGTCGAAGGTCAATTCTACAAAGACGAACTACAATGTGGAGTTTGCGGTAGACTGGGCATTCATTGTGCTGGCTATAGTCTGTGCGATCCCCTTTGCGTGGTCAATTGAGGATGCGCCTGCGCACGCAGGGCAGGAGACAGTTTACGTTGAGGGTGATAAAGGGGAGAACAGAACGAACAGCGATTTAAATGCCTAAAGAGGTAGAATTTGGGCGGGTTAGGGGGAAGTGGCTTGATAAGGGAGATTGTTAATTCCGAGCGTAGCTACAAATCTATCTAGGATTGATAATTCATTGGTGGGAATACCCGTCGCCGATAACACTACTGAGAGGTCTTTCAAGGTCTTCGAATCGAAAGCATAGACATCGCTTAGAATAATCCTTCTAGACTTGCCATTATCCTAATCTACTATCCAATGGACAGCCACACTAGCCGAGATAGTACTACCGTAGTACGGAGAGTAAAAGAGGGGAACCCTCCGTTCCGCCCCCCCGCAATTCTCGAGCTACTAACGAGCACTAAGCAGCCCGTCTAAGAACTAAGTGATAATCCATGTCCTTGACCCGCTGGAGCCGATTCTATTAATCCCTATGGAATAATAGTACTGGAGTTCAACCTTCAGCATGGAAAGTCCACGCATGCGAACTCGGCGCTCCTTCAGCTGCAAGGAACCAGGATGTGGGCGGTCGTTTATCCGTCAGGAGCATCTTCAACGGCACCGCCTCAATCGTATGGAGTCTCAAACATGAAACTGTCTTCGAGATAAAGCACTAATGCTGTTGGTAGACCAGCCAGCGGAAATATTCTCCTGCGATATCTGTCCTAAGTCATTTGTTCGGCAGGATCTCTATCGCCGACATAAGTCACGCCATGCAAAGGGCATGTTCTTCAGAAACACTGGGGGGGTTGTTCATCCGTCATCCTCCTCCTCCTCCACGTTGTCTTCAACAAATGAGCAAACGGGCATATTGGAGCCGTTTCAGAGCCCTCATGTCCCTGTAATGCAGATACAGAACGCAGGGAGTATGCCCGAAGAGGAGGCACTTACTTCAGAAAAGAACGTGCTATTCGCGACTAAAGACAACAGCCTGAATTCCTTCTGGGCAGGGTGCGCTCAGGTTCCCAATGTTCAAGATGGTTTAGATTGGTTTTTTGAACCTCTGCAGGATATTAGTGACCTGGTTGACCCTTCCATACCCCAATTCGAACCCGGTTTATCTGCGTTACGCGATGCAGACAATCAAGCAGCGAGACATACTGTAGATGGAGAGGCACTTAATCTTCCTACAGATACCAGCACTGACCAAGACAGCGATTGGGCTTTTGCCCGATCCAACATTCTTGAATCCCTGAATCAGCTCGATATTCGAGTCTTGACGTCGTCATTTTTTGAGGTTGACAACCTCAAGCTGTTTTTCGAACTCTATTTCAAACACTACCACCCGCATTTTCCCATCATCCACCATGCAAAATTCTCAGTAATGGCCTGTCATCCGCTCCTCTTGATTGCAATTTTAAACCTAGGCTCAGCGATGGCAATGGATGAGATGCTTTTCCATCTCGGACAGCAGGTGCATCATTATCTGCGGCTGATCATTCTCAACGTACGTTAGCGATCCAAGTCTCCTTGCACATCCTATTCTTAAACTAAGACTGGCTTGTAGAGCGGGATATTTGAGCCCCCTATCCCTCTCTGGTGCCTCCAAGCTCTCCTTCTGGTGCAAGCTTATGGAAAGATGATCTCTTCACGGAAAAATTATGAGATGGCGCATATATTCCACGGAACAATCCTCACCGTGGGTCTCTCATCCAATCTCCTGTGCCTTCTTTACATGTAATTCGGGCTAACGAAGCTCAATTTTTTGCGGGTCAGATGATGAAAAGAGGAAGTATCTATCTCACAGCTTCCACTTCGCAGTCAACCGAGCCCAATGAGCTCCCCCAGACAAGCTGGCACCGCTGGATAAGCGAAGAATCTTGGCGTCGGACCGCGTTCTTCGCGTTTGTCATGGATGCCCAACATGCCTGCGTATTTGGACACTCTCCCGTGCTCTCAGTGATTGATATGCGGATCGCGCTCCCTTGCCTTGAGTCGATATGGGAGTGTCCTTCGGCAGAGTCATGGCAAGCGCTGAATCGACCCGAAATGGCTCCATCGCTCTTTTTACCGACGCTCAAGTCCCTGCTCCGGGAGAATGTGGTCCCACCGCACTGCAGTGAATATGCGCGGTTCGTGCTTTTGCATGGGCTGATGAGTCTACAGACTCATCTTCAGGCCGGCTCACGTTTAACGCTTGGGATCGAAGTGGGGAAACTACACGCCTATGCGAGGACGCATGATTCTCACCAGCCTGACTGCCCAGGTAGTATTGGCAGCAGCAGCAGTAATAGCACCCCCATCTGGGCAAACACTGTCGATGCAGCCCTGGACACCTGGTCCACATCTCTTTTCTCCCTGCAGCCATCGCTGTGCCTCGAAGCGGCCCGGCCCTTGCACCGCGTTGCACAGATTACCCTACACGTTAGTGTACTCGATATCCACACCCTCGCCATGGACCCGTATCTCTTGTCCGGTTCATCGCTTCTGAGTACCGATTCCGGGACCTCGATCGCTAACACAAACACAACTAAAGCCCTAACACGCCTGCAGCGCTGGGCCCATACCGAATCCGCTCGCAGCGCCTGTCGATATGCGCTTCTCTTAGTGCAAGAGACTATGTTCAGTGGGAAGCGCTACTTAGCTCGCGAGGACAACGTCGCGCCGCGGCCGTGGTGCTTATATATTGCAGTATTGACGCTCTGGGTTTATGGCCTGATCACGGAGGGTCCTGCCACGGACGATGAAACTACTGCTGGGGCCGAGGAATACATGATTCGGATGACACGCGTGATGCAGCAGGCTAATCTGACGAAACCGGTCATCGGCGGGACGAACCAGATCGCTGGCTTGATTCGGGCTGTAAGGGATGCGTTAACGGGGTGTCGGTGGGAGTTGTTGCAAGAGGCCCATCTGGTGCTTCGGCGCTTGGGGGGTGAGACTTTGCTTGACGCTAGCGGCGATGGAAAGACTCTAATTTAATCTAAACCAATAACCGGGAGTTGTAAGGTTCTACCTTCGAATGAAGACTGTAACCCTAGTTACCGACCAGCACATCAGCTATTCAGTACAGTCTAAGCATTATAGGATAAATTCCCTCACAATTAAATCTTTTCCATCTATCCTCAAAAGTCCCTCGATGGGCCACAACCATTATATCATTATTAATATTACGACAACATCTACTATCGAGTAGAAGGCCTGTTAGTGAGGAAAGAAAGAGACAAATTGGTATAGGGCCTTTTTTGAGGCTGTCGAAAAACCTTCCTCGCAGCCCTCCTTCACCGGCGTTAAAGTTAATCGAAGACTACCTCGAGATTAAGTAGTATTAAGTAGAAATAAGATAAGAAGATTAGACATGCTCGAAAAATGAAGTAACGGAGAAGAGATCATACAACCTAAGGACGAAGCTTTCTTCTTGTAATCCCCTCACTACCTACGAAGCTATACCTATGTTTTTATTAACTATCCTACTAACTTCTGTCTACTTTTCTAGCTTCCTTTTACCTTCTTATTCTAAGATCCTCGGTGATCAGAATAGCCCACCGACGCTACGTCACGTGATGTCACCCGGAATGGAGATCCGCCCAAGAGTCTCCACCCCACAACCCAGGCTCATGTATCCAAAAAACTCATTGCTCTTCAACCAGCCCTGCCGGGCTAGCTCAATCGGTAGAGCGTGAGACTCTTAATCTCAAGGTTGCGGGTTCGACCCCCGCGTTCGGCTATTCCTACAGATAACCTGAGATCATTTCTTTTTGCTGATATAAATTCGAGCACCTACCGTGCTACGTGGGAAGATTTAAAGTTATTTATGTACGGAGGTCCATCCAAAAAGTATTGCGCAGCGCACGTACCACCTTTATATTACCACTAACGATATACCAAGCGAATACACACAATCCTTCTTCCTATAAGCTGATTTTATCTTCATTACCTAGTACTACTACTACTACTACTACTACTACTACTACTACTACTACTACTACTACTACTACTACTACTACTACTACTACTACTACTACTACTACTACTACTACTACTACTACTACCTACCTACCAGAGTCTACTACTATCATCACTATAGCAAAACAGTCAACGCAAGCTGATCGTGTGACAGTCGTCGCATTAAGGGCGTATACGGCGAAAACGTCTAGTGAAATCGCGAAGATAGTAGGTCTATCTATTGCCACTGTTAATCGTATATACGCGCGTGCGATCGAGCGTAGTTTCGATCCGATTTATACAAAGATCACCGATGAATACGTGCAAGATAGCCCTCGCACTAGTCGACCTACTAAGCAAGATCCTAAGACAGTTAATACTATCCTGTTAAAGGTGCGCCTTAATCGTTACAGTCGCGAGAAAACGTACGCTGATATTGCTAGTGAGCTTAGCTAGGAAGGGAAAGAGATATTATCCTCTACTGTCTAGACTATCCTAAGGAAGGCTAGTTTACGGAAAACGAAGCCGACGAGGAAGCCTAGACTATCGAAGAAGATACGCGCTAAGCGTTTAGCCTAGTGTCTAGTGTCGGATTTACGCCGTGTGCATAAACCCTAGTGTAGTATACTTGTAGGTGTATATAGGTCGATCGAATACCACGATTATAGAAGAGAGACGAAAGTGTAATAGAGGTAGGTCGGCAGCGAACAGGTTAAACAGTAGAGGGTTAATACAGTTAAATCAGAATTGCCTTAAGCTCTACTCGTAAGTGAAAATAGTGTCAAACTTATGATATTGTCGTCAAACTTGTTTAATTTAACTAGGGAAACAGGCAGTATTTATAACTTTAGGTATATAGCAGAATGTCACAGGAAAAGACTGATGAGAATCCGAAATAACATGGGGGCATACGAGAGTGTTAGGAAACTCGTTGCTTTTCCTATTTGATGCAGTAGTTGATAATCAGCATCGTATATCATGAAGCGGTGTATAGGGATGCAGATTTATGCATCCAATTGCATTAGCGCGCGCATGCATGTATGCGCTCGCTTATTGCGGGGATACGCACACACACATATGTTGACACACCCCCTCAGCTCTCGATGTGAGGGCAGAATGAAATCAAAGTGAGAGCTGAATGAGATAAAACAGAAAAGATAGGATAAAAGGGCTTATAAGAAAGAAGGTAAGCATTTTATGTGGTTTTTAGGAGGTTTTCGAGGTCGATTCGTCTGGTGATCGTGATTGAATCGAAAGATATTGTATAAAGGTAATCGGGAGGCTTGATATGGTGAATTGACTAGTTTGTATGCTTTGGAATGGCTGATTAGCGAAGATATCTCTTTGATAGTGGTGTTTAATGAGTGTGTAGGGGTTCTACCCCCTAGGTCTTGTGTAATTTGCTGATATAGTATAGCAGCATCGTGTGAAGTAGTGTTATGTGAAGCAGTGTCGTGTGAAGCAGTGTCGTGTGAAGCAGTGGTAAGGGCTAGGTGAGCAATAGGTGAAGATCGAGCAGTGTAATTAACAGATGATTCGACAGCAGTTGATTCGTCCTATTTGATCAGGTAAATGCCTGATTTCGCATTTAATCGGCAAATTGGGGTTCTATCACTCTCTTCTAGAGTGCAATTTTTACTATTAAGATAGATTCTAGCGCTTGCAGCATGTTCTGCTGATATCAGGTTGATATGGAATCCAGGGTAGTATGCGACGTTTTTCAAGGGAAAGGTGCTTCTATTAAGAGATTGTGTTGGCTTGACTTTGAGGTCTCTATATCCAAGGATTGTGGTTTCAGTATTTCCGACTATAACTGAGGAAACGATTGGTCTATAGCTTGATAGTAGATCCTTGTTGTTCGTGATATGGATTGATGCTCCAGTATTATAGCACTAGATATCGTTTTGCTTAGCAGTGATCTAAGTTGTGCTTATTGCTTTAGTGCCTTCGTCTCGGAAGATATCTTTAATCTGTTCCTTTGGAATATATACTGCGAATGCATTTCTGCTGGCTGATTTAGTCGAATTAGTTAATTCGTCTGTTGGTTCTTCGGCTGATGATTCGTCTGATTCTTCTGATTCGTCTGATTTTTGATGCTTTTTGATTGCATAATTATAGGCTGTTTTAAATCTCGGTGATGATTCGCATCGTTCTTTAAAAGCTTGTTGGGCCTTCTTGTTAGGCTTCTAATTATTCGGTCTGACTAGTGGATTGATATAGCTGTATTGATCGAAATTATGATCGCTGTTGCTTGGTGGACCCTTGCATGGACAAGTGCCCTTTCGGCCTGGTTTCGATAGCTTTTCGTCGTATTCGTTATCAGGGTTTCGGCCCTGATAGGTCTGGTGTGCTATTCGCCTACGGCTAGGCAATGCGATTGGTTGATATTAGTTAACAAAGAGATTAACTAGTTCAGTGAGTATAGGCTGCTGTAAGCCCTGAAGGATAGTATTGTACTAGAAAGTGTAGAAGCCTTGGTCGCTTGGTTGAATAGCTTCGAGGAAGTTGTAGACTGAAGCGAGAGGGTCTTGGAAGTGAGAGATATTAGCCTGAATTCCTTCTGATTGGCAGATAATCTATTTCTGGCCCTATATAGCTAGTTCAGATGAATCGATTGGTAGATTCTTGCGTTTTATCGTATCCCAATTGCGTAGGATTTGGCGATTCTTTGATTGGTCTGATCGAGCGAATATAGCGCGTAGCTGTAGGATTGTATTGCGTGGTGATAGGCCGTTGATGATTCTTCTTCCTTCTGGTGTAACAGATGCTTGAATGCTATGCTTAAGTGATTGAATTGATCGTATGTATTGCTTGAAATCAGATCTAGACGAATTGTATTCGTCAAGAAGGATTCTATAGATCGATATTTGATTTGGTGTAAGATTAATCAGGCGTGTAGGGGTCTTTTGGTCTTCATTAACCACATCTGATAGCTATGGCTTTATCGGCTCCTGCGGCGGCGTAGCAGGTTGTTGATCAGGATTGGCGTATTGCCACACACTGTTTTCTACTGCATAGTCTTGTACAGCAGTAATCTAGGAGGTCTAGTGTGAGTGGCTTTTTAGTGGATATTTAAGCTAGGTGGCTTGTATTTCAGTTGAATCCATCACTTATAAGACGAAAGTGATAGAAAGATGAGGTGAAAGTGAAGGTAAAGTGAGATATCCGAAAGCTTTAGTAAAGGGCTGCAGCGATCGGGCTTATAACTGTCGGATTTACGCCGTGTGCATAAACCCTGGTGTGGTGTGCTTGTAGGCGCACACAGGTCGATCGAATACCACGATTATGGAAGAGCGACGAAAGTGCAATAGAGGTGGGTCGGCAGCGAACAGGTTGAACAGTGGAGGGTTAACACAGTTTAATCAGAATTGCCTTGAGCTCTATTCGTGAGTGGAAAGGGTGTCAAACTTATGACATTGTCGTCAAACTTGTTTTATTTTGCTAGGAAAACAGGCAGTATTTATAACTTTGGGTATATAGCAGGATGTCACAGGAAAAGACTGATGAGAATCCGAAATAACATGGGGGCATACGAGAGTGTTAGGAAACTCGTTGCTTTTCCTATTTGATGCAGTAGTTGATAATCAGCATCGTATATCATGAAGCGGTGTATAGGGATGCAGATTTATGCATCCAATTGCATTAGCGCGCGCATGCATGTATGCGCTCGCTTATTGCGGGGATACGCACACACACACATGTTGACATCTAGCCTACAAGTACTAGACCCTTGAAGATTAGAAGAATATAATATTCTCTAATAAGACCTTAGTGATTCTTCTATATCGCTGTAGTGGTTATCGTGTGTAGCGTTCTAAGGATAAAGCTTTTCTACGCTCTTGTATCCGTGAACGATAGAAGGGTTTGTCTAAATTTATATTTTAGGGCTGCTTTTCTTATAATAAGAAGGGTCCTTCTCACTGTTAGTGCCCTAAAACTGCGATTGAAAAACGCAAAGCAGAGGAAGAGATTGAACCTATCCTTTACGAGCAGTAGGAGCTTAAGACTAGTATATAACGTATTAATCTTCGTCGGTA